CTAGAACGGCTAGACGAGGCAGAGAAGATGTTCCAACGAGCGCTGCAGGGCTACGAGAAGGTATGGGGGCCAGAGCAAACATCAACACTCAACACAGTTTGTAACTTAGGTTCCCTCTACTCGAAGCTAGAACGGCTAGACGAGGCAGAGAAGATGTACCAGCGGGCGCTACAGGGCTACGAGAAGGTATTAGGACCAGAGCACACATCAACACTCAATACAGTTCATACCTTAGGTATCCTCTACTGGAAGCTAGAACAGCTAGACGAGGCGGAGAAGATGCTCCAGCGGGCGCTACGGGGTAAAGAGAAGGCATGGGGACTAGAGCACACATCAACACTCCATACAGTTAACAAATTAGGTGCCTTCTATGCGAAGCTAGGACGGCTGGACGAGGCAGGGAGGATGTACCAACGAGCGCTGCATGGCTATGAGAACGCGTTTGGACCTAGTCATCAAAAGTGCAAAAGGCTTCGAAACAGGCTTACTTCGTTAGGTCTAGAATCTGATAAAGCCGATGTATTGAGAGCAAAGTGTTTGGCGCAAAGACCTAGTACTATGGACATTTCTGCGAACATCCAGATGGAAGAAGCTAAGCCAGCTTCTAGACGGCACAAACTCTTTCGCAGATTTAGATGAATTCAAGATTGATTTAGTGCTAAGGCTTATATTGGTGTACGGTAGACAAGTAGTATACAAATCGAGAGCGCATTGTTATCCAACATAGGATTACGTTAGCCGAAGAGAAACTGCGCACACTTCTAGAAATCCCATCACCATACGTCACACCGCAGCTAGTTTCAGATCAACTTACCAAATGATCACTGTAAACCCAGCCTCCTTTCTCACCATTCCCTTTTCCCAATAATGCAGACTGTATCGGGCCATAAGTTGTCCCAGTGTGTCATGAAGAACAGCAAGACTATTGTAATCACCTGGATGGTCCCATTGCATCATTTCACAAAAAAAAACTGGACTTCTGGAGCGCGCCTCATCCTGTAGGAACTCAGTGTGTAATACGCTCTTCATACTATCATATGGTAGTCTATCCGGAAATCCCACGACCACACAAAGTCTAGTTATCATTGTCAGCCACTGTGTGCGGAAAGGGATAATCTGGCAATGGTAGCGTGACCGAAATCACCCGGAAGCGTTGAGAAAGCCAACGAGGTAGGAAGGTGCACTTGGCACGCACTACTCGTCAACGGAATAGGGGACGAACACTAAGTTTTAGTCCCCTTCGAGCTCTTCGACTTTTGACCTTTCTTTGTTTCTCTGCCTTCCTGGCTCCCGTTGGTTTCCATCCCTTTTGATATTTCTTCGCATGCTTTGCCTTCTTCGCCTCCTTCAGATCCTTCTTGCGCTTCTCGAGCTCCTTCGCCACCTCATGGCTCAAGCACGAGGGCCCTCCGAGGTCAAACTGAGCAGGAAGATCTCGAATTGTCTTGTTCCTCAAAGGAATGACTGGCATTGCAACTTGCTCATGGGTTTGACCATCACAATGAAATTGACGTCACGGCAGGCACAAGTTGTAACTGCTCTTGTCGTGCACGATCCGCTGCGGTATGCTCGTGTAGTGGTTCGCCATCTAGATCGACGGCCCATGTGAATTCTCCTGCAGGCTGTGTGGAATGTACACGCCTCTTCTGAAATCCTCAAGTTGAAGATGATGTTGCCTTGCTTACATTCTGGCGACTTACTAGCTGACCTAGTCGAGCTCCACCATTTAGCGCCGTAATAGGTCCTCACGACGAGAGGAAGAAGAGATCTAAGCAAACCGCGTTCGGTGTGAAGATAAAGTAGTAAAAGCTAGAGCAACTTGAGCTACTTTATGTTTATTGACCTATGTGCTGTCCGTGTTCATGTTGACGTGAGGCCGGATGCCTGAGACCAACACCGCCACCCCAGCCCTGTAGAATCTCAGGAATTCTCAACGATTGGCAACTGATCAACATTTATCAAGCACACCGCAGTACAGATTTACGTCTACTGGGGATATATTAAATTTTGTACTTTCCATGGGCCCACCGAGCAACGTCCCGGCAGGGCGCGACAAGTCTAGATGGCAATCGCATCGCTACCAAGTCCATTCCTAGCATCACGCACATAACCCATGCTGAATGTTTGTCTAAATGTCCCCGAATCCTCATGTCAGGGATAAAACACGCGCCACAATATCTACTATACAACTCTTTAACCAGAGAACTCAGCAATGTCGGTGGTCTTGCCCGGGACGAGAGCAAGAGGCACGATACCAGAAACGTGCATCTCAGGGCCGTACACGTGCATGTTGAGGCCGAGCTCCTGGCCGACGTTCTTGATGTTCTTAAGACCCTCCTGGTAGTTGGGGCCGGCACGACGGATCCAGATCTGGACGTTGTGTTCAACGAGGAGGGGTGCAACTTCCCTGAGGGCGCGGATGACACCCTTGAAGGTAGATGCGACGTTGGTGAAGTTGGCAATACCACCACCAATGAAGAGGACCTTGCCCTCCTTGTGCTGGGGAGCACGGAGCATGAGGTCGAGGACGGTGCGTGCGTAGTGGAAGGTCTGGGTCTCCGTGGGTGCACCAGAGTACTCGCCGTAGTTGGCGAGCTCACCAGCGAAACCAGCGGAGGCAATGGCATCGGCGTAGACGACGGAAGCACCACCACCAGCAACGAGAGTCCACACACGGCCGTTACCGTTGAGGATGGTGAGCTTGAGAGATGCACCAGTCTTCGCGTCCATCTCAGCAATGTAAGCCTCCTCCTTGCTCATCTCACGACCGAAAGGAGCAGGGAACTCGAGAGGAGGGCCAACATCGACGGTAGTCTTTCCATCCTTGGGAGCAGCGGGTATGCCGAGAGCAGTGGCACTGCGGGCGATAGCCCACTTAGCACCGCACTCAAACTCGGCAGTCTGGTCGATCTTGCCAGCAAGATCCAAGAAGTGGACCTCAGCGGAGGTGGCATCGGCGTTGGGGATGACAACAAGGGGGTTGATCTCGAGGTATCTGCGGAGGGTTAGCGTGGTTGCTCGGGAAGTGGAGGGGAGTAGGATGAAACCCACGTGAACTGGCAGTCGACATAGACGGCATATAACCTGGAGATGAAGTCGACGAGAACGTTGTGGACGCCCTTGGGAACCTTGCTCAACAGGGTGCTGGCGATGGTCTCGTTGGACGGATAGTTCTTGAGGTCGACGGGGATGAGAAGCTTCTCAGCCTTCTCATCGACATCACCAACGTCAACACCACCCTCATGGGTAAAGAGGATCCAGTCACCCTAGATCGGGGTGTTAGCGCTAGGATCGGGATGTGATTGGTAAGGCGGTGCGGTAGCCGAGCGCCAGACTAGAGCCGCAAGATTGGAGTGAAATGAGGCGACAGAAACGGCAGGCGCGCGCGCCAATTCCGCTACATTTGGACTGTCACATGCTTGAAACGCGGACATTGCGCTGCAGAGTGGAAAGGCGTGTGCTCGCGGAGTGGGCCAGGATAAGTTTTCCCTTCGCCCGAGCGGTCGTTTAACAAAACGAAATCCGCCCGCGTATCGTGGCTACACGCCTGCACTGCACTGCAGTCACAAACCCATTTCTTGCGACTTTTCGACTTTTCGCTGACGGCTCGTCTCCCGACTGCACTCCGCCATGCGATCGCACACAGGATTGGAATTGCACATACCTCTCGCACCGAGTTGATGTTGATGTAGTACTCTGTGTTCTGCGGGTGAGGAACAAATGGCTCGACCAAGAATTGCCTCAGGACACCGTCGACGGTCTCAACACGCTGGGGCTTGCCGGCCCTCTCCTCGATCCACGCGCGGGCCTCGGCCCAGGTCTTGTTCAACGCCAACAGACCGCTCTTGCCTCGCCTCTTGATCAACTGATCGGGCTTTGCGACAAACTTGGCGCCGGAAGCCAGCAGCCACGGGTAGGTGGCCTCGGCCTGGTCCAGCACGCCCTTGATGTCGGCATCGGCAGCAAAGTGCAGCGATGCGAGCTTGGAGGGCGGGTTGTGTGTGGAAGAGGGAGGGAGCGGCGTGGGCTTGATGACGGGGGCACGGGTGAGGTGGTAGTTGATGATGGCCTTGCCGTCGGCCTCGAGGATGGATTTGGCGGACATGGTGGTGAAGAGGAGGGAGTGAGCTGTGGTGCGTGAGTGCTGACTCCTGAGCGGGGTGTGGGCGTGCAGTCAAGAGAGGGACGAGCGGTTTATCGGGGCAGCAGCGTTGGCTAACAAATTTCGCAGAGGCTCGAAGCTCGTAGCCCGACGCCGCCCCGGTGATAGGCTCAGTGGGTTTTATCGAAAAGCGCCGACCCAACTGAATCGGACAGCTAGGAGCGAGACACGAAAAAAACAAGGCGGATGGGGAAGTTGCTGGGACGTACCTTATCGGTTGAGCAGCAACAGTCGGGTCCTGACGATAACGAGACGGCTGGAGCAGCAAGGAGGCAGAACAGCAGCAATTGAGGACGTGGGGAACGGCGGTCTGTATGTTTTTTGCTCGTTGAGCGTCGGCGGCCAGGTTGGGGAGGGCCGTGCAGGAATTCGGCGGTGCGGGTCTTTGCCAGCCAACCAGGGCCGCGCTAGCACCAGGGGCGGCAGGGGCATCGGCGTTGGCTCAGCGAGGGGCCACGCCTGCGGCGGCGCGCAGAGCACGCTGCCAGAGCGACATTTCCACCCGGAAGCCGTGTGCTGTCGGGCCTCGCTGCGTCCAGCGCCTGCAGAGCCTACAGACGCCGTTGCAGCGTCTCTCCAACAGCCTGCGGCGAGGAACTGCTGCGTTGGACTGTCGGCTCCCCGTTCACCGACTGTCGGACTGCGGTCTAGCGCGCAGCTCGGCCATACCCCAACAAATCCAGCAGCAGGTGCAGGGACCTCAACGCCGACCACGCTGGACCGCCCAATTCTTCGGGAAGCAACACCACCAAACTTCTTCTACCATCCCCCCCATCCCGCCCACGCCAGCTTCTGCTTTTTCAGTCCCTGGCGCAACAGTCAATAAGGTGAGCCGCCTCCCTGCCGTCCCCCTTTGTTCCTGCCCGCCGTGCCTCACCTCGTGTGTGCTCCTGCCCCAGCTGCGCCGCTATTTTTTTCTGCCTCTCGTCTCATTCCTCGCCCTGTCAGCGAGCCCACCCCGCCGACTGGTGTCCGCGTTATCAATTGCACCCTTGCTGACATTCTCGCTGCACCCAGGTCTTCTCATCCGCCGATAGACTGCCGTCTTCAACACCTCTGGCCAACATGCCCTCCGCCGCGCCTGTCAACGGGGCTACCCCCAGCCAGGCGGCTACCTCGTCGGACAGCCTCTCCGCCAACGACAACATCCGCCGCTTTGCTGCTCCCTCGCGGCCCATGAGCCCGCCCGCCGACCACCTCCTCTTCCACCCCAAGACACGATGCTTCGTCTAGTAAGCTTCCCGAGATGCACACAGCACAAAAAGGCGGTCAGTAGCGGGCATGCGACTAACTGCACACAGCGGACTGCAGCCCCGTGCCGTCCAGGGCATGCTCGATTTCGACTTCATCTGCAAGCGCAAGACCCCGTCCGTTGCCGGTATCATCTACACCTTCGGCGGACAGTTCGTCAGCAAGATGTGCGTACTCGGAAATTACTGCTTTGAGCAATTGGGATGCTAATATTTGCAAAGGTACTGGGGAACCAGCGAGACCCTGCTGCCCGTCTACCAGGACGTGGCCAAGGCCATGGCCAAGCACACCGACGTTGACACCGTCGTCAACTTCGCCTCATCGCGATCCGTGTACCAGTCCACCATGGAGCTAATGGAGTTCCCCCAGATCAAGTCGATCGCCATCATTGCTGAGGGTGTACCAGAGCGAGTAAGTGGTGGTTGATATTTGACAGCTCATCAGCGAAACTGACCGCACTAGCGTGCCCGAGAAATCCTGTACGTTGCTCAACAAAAGGGCGTCACCATCATTGGCCCCGCCACCGTCGGTGGCATCAAGCCCGGATCTTTCAAGATCGGTAACACTGGTGGTATGATGGACAACATTGTTGCTTCCAAGCTCTACCGCCCCGGGTCGGTTTCCTACGTGTCCAAGTCCGGTGGTATGTCCAACGAGCTCAACAACATCATTGCAAACACAACCGACGGTGTGTTGGAGGGTGTTGCCATTGGTGGTGACAGGTACCCTGGTACCACTTTCATCGACCACGTCCTCCGTTACCAGGCCGACCCCAACTGCAAGCTCATTGTTTTGCTTGGTGAGGTCGGTGGTGTTGAGGAGTACCGTGTAGTCGAGGCTGTGAAGTCTGGTCAGATCACCAAGCCCATCGTTGCGTGGGCCATTGGTACCGTCGCTGGCATGCTCAAGACTGAGGTCCAGTTCGGTCACGCTGGTTCTTTCGCCAACTCTCAGCTCGAGACTGCGGCGACCAAGAACAAGACCATGCGTGAAGGTGGCATCTACGTGCCGGAGACCTTTGAGGACCTCCCCCAGACCCTCGCTCAGGTCTACCAGAAGCTTGTCAAGGAGGGCACCATCGTGCCCAAGCCTGAGCCTGGTGTTCCCAAGATCCCCATTGATTACTCGTGGGCTCAGGAACTTGGCCTCATCCGAAAGCCCGCTGCTTTCATCTCTACCATCTCCGACGACCGTGGTCAGGAACTGCTTTACGCCGGTATGCCTATTTCCGATGTTTTCAAAGAGAACATTGGTATTGGTGGTGTCATGTCGCTGCTTTGGTTCCGTCGCCGTCTGCCCGACTACGCCAGCCGCTTTCTGGAGATGGTTCTCATGTTGACTGCCGACCACGGTCCCGCCGTGTCCGGAGCCATGAACACCATTATCACCACCCGTGCTGGCAAGGATCTCATCTCCGCGCTGGTGTCTGGTCTTTTGACCATCGGTTCCCGCTTCGGTGGTGCCCTCGACGGTGCCGCTGATGAGTTCACCAAGGCCTTCGACAAGGGTCTTAGCCCCCGTGACTTCGTCGACACTATGAGGAAGGAGAACAAGCTCAGTAAGTGATGTTGCTAGCGGTGCCAAAACTCGTTTCTAATCAAGTGCAGTCCCTGGTATTGGTCACAGGATCAAGTCGAGGAACAACCCTGATCTTCGTGTCGAGCTCGTCAAGGAGTTCGTCAAGAAGAACTTCCCCAGCACCAAGCTGCTCGACTACGCTCTTGCCGTCGAGTCTGTCACCACGTCCAAGAAGGACAACCTCATTCTCAATGTTGACGGTTGCATTGCTGTCTGCTTCGTCGACCTCATGCGCAACTGCGGCGCTTTCTCTTCTGAGGAGGCTGAAGACTACCTCCGCATGGGTGTTCTCAACGGTCTTTTCGTGCTCGGTCGCAGCATTGGTCTCATTGCTCACTTCCTCGACCAGAAGAGGCTCAGGACTGGTCTGTACAGGCATCCTTGGGACGACATCACCTACCTCCTCCCCTCTCTGCAGCAGGGCGGTGCGCCAGGAGCCGAGGGTCGTGTCGAGGTTACGTTGTAATTGTGAGATTAGGAAAAAAGGGAAGGATATATCAACGTGGGTTTACGCTTTTAGACGCGTATTGGACGTGCTATGGTAGAAAAAGCCAGCCGTCGCTGCCATGAACGGTGTAGCAATAAGTCCTCAGCTTGGGACGGAGTTTCAACAGGCCTTGGGGTTGGCTTGGCGCCACCCGCTCAGCCACTTGACCGTACGACGATTTAATAACTTGCTTACAATGCAAACATGTCAATGTCATCTACTGTCCTCTCAATCATGGTGTCTGTGTAACATGGAGAAGCGCCTACGCCACCTTCGACGTGGATTGACGTCTGCATTCTTGCGGTCGAGCTGTAAGCTTGGCCATATACTTTTCGGCCACATATACTTCTCGGCCACCCCACCACAACGCGCTACTCTGCTTTTTACGCTCTGTACTGTCAACGCCACATACTCAAAATGGATCCCCGAGAGGCTGCCTATGATAATGCTATCCGCGATCTCAATGCAGGTGTTTTTAAAAGCCAGCGACAGGCTGCTAAGGCGTATGGAGTTCCGCGATCATCGCTCCAAGAGCGCATCAACGGCCGCCAACCACACGCGATAGCTCATCAACAGCAGCAGCGATTGACTCCAGAACAAGAGGCCTTTCTAGTAGATTGGATACTTGATGAGGACTCACGCGCTCAACCTCCCTCCCACCCACGCGTACGAGAAATGGCCACTCGGCTCCTCCGCATGAACGGCGACACCGAGCCTCTTGGGCAACTATGGATACCCCATTTCATTGCCCGCAACCTATGCGTCGCATCTATAGTCGGCCGAACGATCGAGAGCGCGAGAACTACAGCAGCTAGTCACGATACTATTCGAGCCTTTCTTGAGCTATTTGAGCAGACAAGAATAGAGCTAGGCATATAGTACGAAGATATATGGAATATGGATGAGACCAGGTGCGCACTAGGGGTATGTACAAACGCCTAGGTGCTCACAAGTGCTGCAAAGAAGAAGGCTTATATCAAATCTCTAGAGGATCGTGAGTGGGTATCGATTATTGAGACTATCTTAGCCACCAGCGTCAAGCTTTAATGCCTAGTTATCTTTAAGGGCAAGCATCTATAATCAACATGGTTCCTAGCATAAGGCGCACCAGACTGGCTCTATACAACCTCTAAGAATGGATGGACGTTAAACTCAATCGGCTATGAATGGTTACAGCGCATTTTTATACCGAATACTTCACCATCTAGCGGCGGCTATCAACTCCTCATTCTTAACGGCCATGGCTCCTATATACCTGTTAACTTTATGTGGCTCTGTAAGGTCAATAAGATACATCTCCTCTACCTCCCAGCCCATGCCTCCCACTTGCTACAGCCTCTAGATCTTGCTCCTTTCTCTGTACTCAAGTCACGCTATCATAATGAGATCCGAGCTCTCTCAGCGCTTAATGACGCAGCACTAGTCAAGAAGGAGCGCTTTATTGTATCGTATAACAAAGCTAGAGAAGAAGGGCTCTCAGAGCGAGTTATCTGAGCTGGCTGGAGGGCTGCTGGCCTCTACCTATATAATCCAGCTGTTGTACTGCTCTCATCTCAAGTAAATAGCCGGCCACTTACTCCACCTACTAGCTAGGGCTTAGCTGCCACCCTAGAGTCAACATTCAACACACCTTGGAGTTCACAGGCGTTATATAAGGCTCAGCAACAGCTGTTGTTGTCAGAATCTCTCTCACGAAGCACCCGGCTCGTGCTTAGCAAGGCAGGCAAGGCTATTGCAGAAGCGAACACAAGGGCAGCCCAGCTTGAGGCTGAAAATCAACGACTTAAATATCAACTAGATACTACTAGGAATACTCGTGTAAGGAAGCGAGTTCAGGTGAATCCAAATGAGCGCTTTAGCAACATTGAGAGTATTAAAGCTGCGATTGATCGCGCAGCAGCTCTTCAGGCTGAACAGGCAAGCACTTCGCCAGAGAAAGAAGCTCAAAAGGCAGCGGCAGCAGCAGCAGCACTTACTCTTAGCTCTATGTGTACTGAGTGGCAAATATAATTGTTGTTGTTGAGAAGGGCGCAATTCAAAACTGCGTGACGCGTTGTGGTGGGGTGGCCGAGAAGTATATGTGGCCGAAAAGTATATGGCCGAGCTTACTTCGGTACGATCTGGAATTGGAAGTTCCCGAGACACCTACGGTATACTCTAGCGGTAAGCGGGCGCTATCGCTAGACTCACTCACATCTCCGACCCGATGGTACACACCAGACCGCTAGCGAGGTATTCTTCCAAGTCGCACTAAGCCAGGACGACCCGACCCGACCTGGGGGCAGCGAATGTCTCGACGGGTCATACATCCCCCACGGAGAGCGCGGCACCGGCTCAGAGGTCGGAGCGAGCACGGCGTAGGAATGGGAACGCCAGGTTCGGGGATGCGACGGAGCATGACAGCCGAGGGGATGGTGGGCAGCTCTCAGACATGACCGTGTGAAGTAAGGCTGCGGAACCTCGGTCAAGTCTGTCGCTGGTACAGGTGCGAAATTCACGTTGACTGTATCGCATTTGTGCTCTTGTGGGCTGAACGCACCGGGCCTATGGGCTGACAGACGGGGAAGGTCCACAGCACTGCCCGTGACGATGACAGCCGAGCAGCGGTCACATGCAGATCCGCAAGGCTGGTCGTCGTGAGGGTGCAGCATGCGGCTAGACTGTGTTGGAATGGCGTGCTGATAAGATGAGCCCGCAGGATACCGTGAAGACCTGAGAGCTGAGGCATCGAGATTGGACTCAATGTATCTTGACAATCGGTGGATGATCTTCGGTTCGATGTCGCCCAACGATAGCAGGCTGTTGCTTCATAATTAAGGTGCCTGGGCTGATGCAGACAGTGCGCGAAGGCGTGGAAGGCGGCGGATGAGGCTGTAGACGATGATGGAATGCTACCACTCTTTGTTGCAAGCAATCCAGCCCCCCGCCAGCTGTGCCTGCAATGGTGTGCTTTGCTCCTCCAATCCCCAACCAGGTGTCCACTCCTCGACCATCCATCCGACCAATCACCAGCTCGCTTGTCCGCCAGCACGCCCCGGAGCTGCAGCTACCCCGCTACAGAGCTCTGAGGAAGCTCTGGGGAGCTCCAAGAACAAGCTCAGCGATAAGCCAGTGACGACCGTGGTTGAGTCGGGTGCCTGGCACACGCACATCCTGCACATGGGAACGTCGCATGCAGCCCAGCGGCTGTAGCAATAAGAATGTGCTGACGTCCGGCGTGGTGCAATTCAGCCTTGCGCTTCTGCCATCCCTCCTGCAACTGAGCTCCAGCTCGCTATGCTTCTGTCCTCCCTCGCGCTCCTGGCGGCGGCTCGTGCCGTGCAAGGCCAGACCTACGGAACCGAGATCAACAATTATGGCACCGTAGCTTTCATCCGCACCGGCGAGCGGACGCCGTGGGTGCGTTCCGGGACCGAGACACTGTCCGCGCTGGGCGCGCAGCAGATGCTCGAGCTGGGGAACAACTTCAGAGGCCGCTACATCGACCGGAATTCGGGCGCGACGCGTCTGGGAGTGCGCCCCATCGAGGGCATGGCGCCGCACCTCTTGAATCCCGACCAGCTCTACATCCAGACCCTCGAGAAGCCGTACCTGGTCGCCGCGGCACAGGCGTTCATGCAGGGCCTCTACCCACAGTACAGCTTGAACGAGACGAATAACGGGGTAAGCCCGGACGCGGTGTGGCTGCTGGCGAATGGCTCGACTGTGGGTTACCCGCTGGACGGTTACCAGTACGCGAACATCATGACCATGAGTGAAAATGATCCCGGAAGCATCTATCTTGATGGACATGATCAGTGTCCGAGGGCCTGGTTAGAAAGCGCCAATTATGAAGGCACGGAGGATTTTCTCAGCACGCAAGCGGCTGAGAGTGCGTTCTACCAGTCCTTGAGTTTAAGCTGGTTCAACGACGATCTACCCGAGCCAATGCTGTAAGTGCTTGATTCGTTGTCACGTAGTGAACGTTGAGCTGACAGCCAGGCTTGTAGCGACTATAGCAACGCGTATGGCATATACGATTCATTGGCATACCATAAAACTCACGACATCAACACCTCAAAAGATCTCAACAATCCTGACAACGCTGGCGTCTTCGACAAAGTCGAAGCTCTTGCCAACCAGGATGCATACTACCGCTACGGCAACGTCAGCTCAGACACCGACTCGACGAGCGCCACCCGCGCGATAGCAGGCAGGACAGCCGCGGGTCTCATCACCAAGCGCTTCGAGAAGATAGTCGACAATGAAGGCAACACCACAAACGGCATGTCGCAGCCGCTGAACCTCCTCTTCGGCGAATACGACGTCATGCTGTCCCTCCTCTCTGTCCTGGACGCAGACTACTACCAGTCCGGCAGCATCCGCCAGGAAATACCAGATTTCGCATCCGCCCTTATTTTCGAGCTCTTCACCACGGGCAACAACACCGCCGACAATGCAGACAACCTCTGGGTCCGATTCTCGTTTCACAACGGCACCGACGGCTACACGGACACCGCGCCCCAGGCGTACTCCATCTTCCGCAACGGACCGTCTCACGATGCAATCACCTGGCGCGAATTCTCGGATAGCATGGCGAGAGTTACCATTCGCCAGAGCCGCGACTGGTGCGAGGCGTGTAGTAGCCAGAGCGTGTTCTGCCCGGTCGTCGATACGACTGGCTCGCTCACCACGGCGGAGACTCCGCGCTCCAAGATCTCCCCCGTGGTCGCCGGTGTTATCGGCGCCGTCGTAACGCTCGCGGTGGCAGCTCTGCTCTTTGGTCTCGCCATGCTGCTCGGGGGTCTCCGCATGCACCGCGTCGAGCGCCGCCGACACTCGTCCTCCCTCGGCGGGTTCAAGGGGAGTGCGAAGTTAGCGTCTGATCCCGACCTGGGGCTTGCAAACAAAGGCGTTGTGCCCGCGAGCAACGATCCCTTTGCTGATCCTGCCCCTAGTGCTGGCGTTGGTGCAAATAAGAGAGTCATGCACGAGCGCGTGGGCAGCTGGGAGTTGCGCGCGAAAGAAGGCCCGAGCCAGGGTGAGAGTCCGCGTGGCAGCTTTGAGGCTATTGAGGCGGCGATGGGGAGGCCTGTTCAGGCGGTGCAGCCGCTCGAGAGGATTTGAATAGGTATTTGTGAGACAGAGGATGGTAGGTGTGACGGTAGCCCGGTAGAGATGGGTTGTTGAGCAGACAACGTGTCGCGAAGACATACGCGTAGGTGCTAGAACGATTGTTTGATGTTCCTGCATACATGGGGGAAAGGCGAGGGGTTGTGGAGGTGAGGACATTCGTTTCTTACGATCTTGATACCCCGGCTTTGCATTGCAAGTGCCATTTTTCATTTTCCTTACAGGTACATTCACGGATGGGATGGACACACTCTCTTGGGACGGACGTATCGAGTGTGTGAGGAGATGCGACATTTGAATTGCAGTTCATGTAGTCGCAGAAGTATTCAACACATTACCACTGAAGAGTTGATTAAGCTTTGAGCACTCTCGCTCCTTCCTGTTCGACCCGCACCGTCCTTCCCAACATCTCCTCGTACTCCCATCCGTACTTCATGCCTTGCCCTCTCGTTACCACATCCACATCCCAATCCTCACCATCCGCCCATCAAGCAAAATTGACAGGACGTGTGGCCTGACGGTAGGGCGCCCTCACTCTGCGACCACCTCCAGAGAGGTTCCCCCCGCAGACGCTCTGCATTTGCAGACAAGCATGGACGCGTGCTTGGGTGATGTGGAAGACCTCGGTCCGAATCCGAGCATGTCCAACCTTCTTTTTTCGCGGCGGTGGTGCTTCGGACTGGATGCGATGCGGTTCTCTTTGGTCAACCTCCTGCCTGTCTCCTCAACCCCGTTCTATTCGCGTGCCATATTTTCAGCATGATCCGCGCGACTTGGTGTTTTTGTCATCCTGTAGGGATCGCGTGATTTGCGTTGCCGTCTCTTCCTCTCCGTTCGCGCTTGCCTTCCTCGACGCAACTCCGCTTCTACCCCTTCATTTTTCGGCATACACAGAGATCCTGGATGCATTTGTCGTGATCGATTAGTATATGTTATAGCATTAGGCCTTCGCTTATCAAACCTACCTCATGACGCGTGGCTCACTGGTGACCATCTGCCTTTCTTGGCGAAGAATACGTTCGCAGTGAGATGTCTATATTTCCGCACGCATCGGCCGAAGTGTGCTATGAGAGACCCATGTTCGAATCCTCGCGCGTTCGGTCTTTTTTGCTTCCTTTGCTCTCTCCTGCTTGATTCTGTCCACCTTCCAGTCTACATACACGTCCCCAGCCCAAGACAGACAGACCTTTTCGTCTGAACCACTATTTTGATTCAATACACCGTCATACTACCACCACTGTTAACAATGTAGAACGCACAGCACAGCGGCCCAGCTCCCATTCGCGAAAGGTCACTCTGGGACGGACATGAGGCTGAGTGTCACGACTAGCATGTGGAAAGCCAGGGCACATTGAAGACCTAGGTTCAACTCACAGCGCGTTCGGTTGCCTGGAGGTCGAGGTCTTGCGTTTAGTGACTCAGTACGTGTAGTGCAGGCCACTTTTGCCTTCATCCTTTGGGAAACAAAATGAGCTTCTCCTTTTGTTCATGAAGTTTGGACTGCGTCAGATACACGAACGAATCTTTGGGCATGTGAGGGCGGAATTGAGTGTCGGGGTAGGAAGGTAGATGGAGGGAGTTGATACGGAGCTGAGGATAGATAATCGAAGGTTGTTATGTATACATTATCAGACATGGAACAAGGGCTGTTCCAGGCATCCTATTTCCTCGTAAGCAGCGGCTCTTGTGCAGCCCACCCTGCTTGTAGAATTGCTTTTTCACCTGAAGCGCTATCTATCGAACATGCGAGAGGATCTGAGAGTGAATACAGTGTGTAGAAAGGCGGGAGGTCGTAGTGCGCACGCTGGCTAGGCGAGGCCGTCTTGTACGCATACCCACATACTCACCCGCACTCCAGGTACCAGCGATCATGCCCTCGGGCCTGCCACGGATCCCAATAGTATCCAAAGGTCACATTTGCCCTGACTGCAGCTTACCACCTTCATCCAGTGAGCCCAACATCTCGCACTCCGCAACTCGTCTGGCGCGTACGTAAGCGAGCTCTGCACAGGTGTTGTTGGATAATCTGCAACTCGTACGGGAATAAGCAGCCCCGCCCATACTGTTGCAGCTTGACCGCTCCTAGCGATCGATATTGCGAGATATTCCCGAGCTTGGGATCGTTTCGGTGTGAGAATTGTGTTGCCTAGAGGTCGCGAGGATTCATGCGGCCCGTTTCGCTTACTGCTTTTGGTTACGTGCGGGTAGGGCGCGATGACAAATGTTGGAATGTGCGTACTACGTATATGATGCTACATGCTCTACGAAACTCGGATTATATCCAGTGACAAGCTGTATGAGATTTCTGTGCTTTCGCATTCATTTAGCCTCGTATTTCGTTTTGCTGCGGACTGAAAATATACGTCGAGACTCACAACCTTGCAATCGATCCCGTGCTGTAGTTGCTTCAGACTGTCACGCACACGGCGATGGCTCAGCAGGTCATCTTCTACGATATCCCGAGCAAGGCGCCCGCCAAAGGATGGTCGTTCAATCCATGGAAGGGTAGGCCAATGGCAGCATCTATTTCTCCCAACCCGCTGACACTCGCAGTCCGCATGGTTCTGAACATGAAAGGCATTGACTACAAAACCGAATTCGTCGAGTATCCCGACCTCGCTCCCACCCTTAAAGCCCTGTACTTCCCCCATCTGACCGCTTCTACCACCCGCTAACCCACAAAGCGGCCTCCCCCCGAACGACCCCAACGACCCAGGCTATTTCTCAGACTACACCAGCCCGGCCATTCGCTATTCCGACGGCACCTTCTCCATGGAAAGCTGGCACATCGTTCACGCGCTCGACAAGCAGTACCCAACCCCTTCTCTCCACCTCGAGGATCCCATTGTGGAGAAAGTGCGCAACAGCTCCATGCTGGGACCAATCGTTAAGCACCTCATGCCCAAAGTGCCGAATCTGCTAAGCAGCGTCTCCTCGGAGTACTTTTACACGACAAGGGAGAGCATGTTTGGAAAGCCGCTGCAGCAGGTGGAGGCGGAGGCGACGGAGGAGCAATGGGAAGACATGAAAGTCAACGCGAAGGAGATTGGGGATTTGCTGCGGGAGAAAGGAGGTCCGTTCTTCCTGGGAGAGACAGGTGAGTCTGAGATCGAGAGGGGAGCGTAGGAAAGGGCTAACTTGTATGCAGTCTCGTATGCGGATGTTTGCTTTGTGACGTGCTTGAAGTTTCTGGAGATACTTGATGACGGGGTGTTTAAAAAGTATCTAGCGCTCGATGAGGCGTTTCCAATTGTGTATGAGGCATCGAAGAGGTGGTTGGCTAGGGATGATTGAAGCGGGGGTGACGATGAGCTGGTGCCTGGCGAAGAGTCTTGCATTCGTGCGGCGTAGTTGTACGTCAAGCGTTCGAGTTGGAATTAATGCTGACCGTTGATATCTGCTGCTGAGCTCATCTGCTTCCGCTTCTCGCGCAGTCTCTGTCTCTTGACGGCTTTTGCGTCTTTTACGGCTCGCCTTGCAGCCTTCTTTGAATGGTTTGCGTCTAAATTGAGGCTAGTCGGGCTTCCTGAGAGTGCACTTGACTGACTGGTATCTTTGCTTGGAACCTCAAGCGTTGGAAATGTCATCTGAAGCAATGACAAGGCTTTTTGCAACACCTCGCGATCGTTCTGGAATGTCAAAGCGTTCATTGCACTGTGCCATGACTTGAATGCAGGCAGCCATGTGTCTTCTCCTGGTAGTTTGTCCCTGCCCGCATCCCCTTCCAGGGCTGCAATAAACCACCATATAATCTTCGTGCCCTTCCCAGCCTTAAGTGTTCGAATCTGGCACATGAAGGGCTCTACAAGGTTCTCGCACACGTGCGCCTTATCAGGGACATCTGGACGGGCCTCCACAGGTGTTGCTCTGGTCGGCATGGTAAGTGGTAGTAGTTGGCAGCGAAACCCAGTTTCCTCCATCACTTCACGGATTGCGGCATCCTTGCGGGCTTCTCCTTGGTTCCGGCGTCCTTTAGCGAAATGCCATTCTCCGGTGCTTTTGTGCTGGATTACGCAGACTTTGATGTCAGAGGGGTTGGTCAAGTCGAATAATATCGCGCCGCAGCTTTCAACGAATTTCTCAGAGCTGATGGTCTTAGTTTGCAGCGTGCTCGCGGCCATTGTAAATGATTGTGTGAGATTGAAGGTGGATGAAGGTTCTGTTGGGGCGCATCCAGGAGGCCGATCGCAACTTAGGCAACCACCAAAGGGCCAAGAGGGCTCATCAGGATATGAGGGTTCCAGAAGTAATGATGAAAATAGTGCGAATTATTCGATGGGTTTTCCACAAAAGGAAACAAGTCACGAATGTTTTCGATTGAGGTTCACACGATCTAACGTAAAGTGTACTAGCGTTTACGATTCTAGCCATGTGACGTATTTGCAACCTTGCAGAGCGAGAACGACACATGCAGCAGGCCGTATGCATCTTACTGATGAGATCGGATCAACCACAATGCTCAGAGCCTTTTTTCAAACAACCAAGCTGCTGACTAAGACTCTGAACAGCAGACGGGACGAAGCACTGAAACTAGCAAGGTTGCCAAGACCGTTTCGTTGATATTCACAGCCACCGCATCTACTACATTGAATCAGCGTTCCTGCCGCATATGTTCGATTCTTCTACGACAGTGGAGACTGCGTGAGGCCGCCCGCCAAGACCCACCGAGGTTGTTGCCTGATTGTATATGCACTTACTTCTGGACAAACGCACCCCTCTCCATCTCCCCTATCCACTCCTGGACGGTTCACAGCTTATGAGTCATTCCCGTTTACACTTCCGCTGCATCCCTCCCAACTCGGCCACGAGTTCACATTATAAAAAGCTTAGGGAACTCCGTTACAGCGCCCCACATTGATCTACCTGATCAATATTCAGGTTCTTTCTATCATCGACTATCCTCTACCATCAGCACCATGGCGTCTTCCGGCAGCGTGTTCTCTAAGACATTGCAGGACATTACCACAACAAAATTAGAAGAGCTCGCTGGGCAGCGCGCTGCTTTCGAGAAGCAATACAAGGAGCTGTTGGACAAAGCGTCTAAGGTGACAGATCAATTGGAGTGGCTCTATATCCTCGCTGATGGCATCAAATCATGCCTTACTGTTGCCACCGAGCCATCGAAAGATGGAAAAAGCGGCCGTGTTGTACTAGGTTCGACCGGCAACAGCCGCCTTGAAACAGACCTGAAAAACCTTGATCGCTTCCTGGAACAAGCCCGATACGATCCGTCAGTCTCGCCCAAGGTTCTCAAAAACTGGGAAAACATGCTTCTCCAATATCTCTCCATCCAATCGAACAAATATCAGTACGCAGGTAAGGGTTTATCACAGAACCTTGACACAAGTCTTACATGATATAGATCTGTATGGACGACTTGTCACCGAGTGGCTCTCTTCGGAGAAGTCCGCTCTGTCAGAGGGTGATACTGAGTCAGGGGAGGACTTCGAAGAGCTACCTGGAACGAAGAAACTTGAAGCCAGGGCTAAGTGGGAACAGGCGGTCTTCGAACCTGCCGATGTTGATGAGCAAGAGCTCAAAGCCTATCTTGAACGCCTCTTCTCGATCAGCGAAGAATCAGATTCTGATGTAGGCGCTGGCTTAGAGGAGCTGCGTCGGAAGGTTGCTGCTTTTGAGAGCGGCCTCAGCAGCTCCCAGCAATTCAATGTCCACACTCTGCGATGGGTCATACAGAGTCTGCAGTCTTCCGACCTTCTCTCGAACGAAAAGCGCGAGGTCCTCAAAGACTTTCTTGGCAACGATGTCATCCTCGGTGAGATTGCAGATGTGCTCAATATGCGCATGGCTGTCCTGGGTCGCTGGTCGTGGGGCGATCACGTCCCGCTTGAAGAACGACGAAATGTCAATGGTGGCTACAGCATCCAAATGCACGAGGATCTTTTACAAGCCATCTTCTTGCACTACATTGGCGTGAAGTGGTCTGTGTTCTTCAAGAATGCGTTCAAGGGCTTCCGCCTGGAGGCTTGGAGGTCGAACGAGATCGCTGTCCCGAACGCAGATCGTTACCGTCGAGAGCATTACCTTGGAAAGGACGGCGTTGAGACCTACTCCAGTCTCCAGAAAAAGCGGGCAAGCGGTCATAGAAAGACCTATTTTGCCCACCAGCTGCTTGACTATGAGCAACAACGCGTTGAGACTGAAGAGGGAGAGGAAGAAGCTGAATTCAGAAGCTACGTTCAGCAGCCGATGGCGCAAACTACTACTCGCATGAAACAAACCGCCCGCAAGTCTACCGGCGGTAAGGCACCGCGGAAGCAGTTAGCTTCGAAGGCTGCGAGGAAGTCAGCCCCGTCTGCTTCTTTTCCTGTTGGTAAGTGACGCAGCTTTAGAACCCTTCTTCTTTACTTGAATTAACACTTGAATTAACACGGGTGTGTCCAGCTGATGACGAGGAAGTTGATGACGACGAAGAGGAAGACGACGAGGATGAGGACAACTATCGATCGAAGAACCCAATGGAAGCGAAGCAACAGCTTCTCCATATTGTCGCTACCGAGATTGTCCTGAATACTCGTCTGCACGGGGAACTTACCTGTTTTCGTTCGAACTTCGAATCCTGGAACCCTCTTCTGCCGCACGAGACTATCCTTGCTGTCTTCGAATTCTTCGGAGTCGGTGCTAAATGGCGTACATTCTTCAAGACGTTTCTACAAGCTCCACTGAAATTCACTGACGATAAGTCTTCGTCGCCGCGACTCCGTCGCCGTGGCACTCCCGGGTCGCACGCACTGAGCGATGTATTCGGCGAAGTCGTCCTTGCTTGCCTTGACTTTTCCGTAAACCAGGCGACCCATGGCGAGATGATGTACCGCCTCTATGACGACATCTGGTTCTGGTCCAAGGATTACGAGAAGTGTGTAAAAGCATGGGACTGTGTACAGGAATTCGCCACTGCCATGACTGTTGAGGTATGTACCTTCAGTAAAAAATGAATGACATAGGGCGACACATCTTTCACGTCTGGTTGCTGAATCTTTCAGATTGACGACGTGAAGACTGGCCATGTGCGCATCTTCCATGACAAAGCCAAGCACAATTCCGACGATGTGGATATGGACGGACGTCTCCCGGCGGGAGAAATCCGCTGGGGCTTTCTGTACCTTGACGGATTCACCGGGCGCTTCGAGATCGACGACAAGATGGTCGACGGTCATATCGAAGAACTCCGCGCGCAGCTCCAAGGTAAGTCGAAGAGCGTCATCGATTGGATCCAAGCGTGGAATACATATGCCGCTACATTCTTCAGCTCCAACTTTGGAAAGCCAGCAAACTGCTTCGGCCGCGAGCACGTGGATAGAATGCTGGCGACCCACCGCCGTATTCAAGAAAAGATCTTCGATGGCGGCAATGTGGTCCACTTTCTGAAGAAGACCATAGAAGAGCGATTCCATGTCAAGGACATTCCCGATGGCTTCCTTTTCTTCCCAGTGGAGCTCGGAGGACTCGACCTCAAGTCCCCCTTCGTCGGCCTGCTTCAAATCCGCGAATCGGTCAAGGAGGATCCACATTACCTCGTAGACGAGTTCTTGAAGAAAGAAGTCAAGGACTACAAAGAAGCCAAGATTGCGTTCGATCGCGGCGATGTTAGAACAAATCGTTACACCGGAGCGGATCCTGAGTGGAAGCCGGCCAAGGATGCAGACATATTCTTCCCTATTGAGGAATACGTGCGGTATCGCGAGCAGTATGCGCCCACCGGAAGGGCGAGCATCGTACGTACGTACTGCAGTCTGATGAGGCGCCCCGAGGAAGAGTCGATCGACGTCAGCACGCAAATACAGCAGGCTACGCAGGCGTTGAACGGACAAAGCAACTTGAAGGGCATCACAGGCTACTGGCACGGTATGGAGCCGTATTGGAAGTGGGTTGCGCAGATGTACGGCCCAGAGATGTGTGAGCGGTTTGGGGGGTTGAATGTGGTGGATCCGGGGCTGCTGCCTATTGGCATGGTGAGTATGTTCCGCGAGAAGAGGATTAAGTGGCAAGGCTAGAGTGTTTGTCGTGTATGGAGAGTGGGGATTTTTGATGGCCAGATATGGGTCGAACCATACCTCGAGTTGCATGGTTGGAAGTGCTGCGTTTTGACAGCGTCGCCCCTGTTACGCAAATCAAGCTTTACGGTACCAATGCTACTTGCGACCAGTCTTGCATTCTCCTGTCTGCATGCTGCACTTCATTATACTGAGAACAATTTGTTTGTGCCATAGTTAGACTGTACCACCGTACAAAACCCCAGGGTACCACACTAGGTCATCGACCCAACGCTGTACCTCCTCATCCAACTTCCCAACTCCATTCGCGCCGCACACTCTACTTGCAGTTGCAACACTCCAATGCGCCCCACGTTCGTACTATATTACTACCCCTGCCCATATGTCCTCGGTGCTCACCGCATCTGTGGCGTAGCGGTGGCGGCGGGCTTGACTGTGGCTGTGGATGTTCTACTCGCCCTCAGTGCCAGCGCACCGCGATCGCGGGCGAGCCGAAGCAGGGCTTCCCTGCTCCCAGATGGGCGTGTAGAAATGGCGTCATTGAAACTCTCCAGCTTGGAATGTGTGTTTGCCACAGGAACAATGCATCGGCGCGGGGAAACCGAGACAGATCATCCCTCTGCTCGTGCGCGGCGCGGTTGTCGGGGTTGGAGTGAGTGGAGTGGGCCTGAGGTACACATCCTCATCAGTAGACAAATCTCGCAAGCTTTAGATTCATCGACGTCTACTCATCTCGAGCTATCTACACTATGTACTATGTATACTACAAGCCATTATCATTAAACATCATAGCCGTATACCAACCCAGCCCATGCTAGTCGTAACGGACGTGATCATGACACGAAACCCACCCACGCACATCGAAGGCAGGTATCATCTATCTATACAAAAAAAGTCATCAGCGCAATGCACGAGGAAAAGGAAATTCGTGAACCGCGCTCATCCCAACTTCGCTTCCTCCACATGTGGTGCCCAGGGTATTCAGCTGCGAAAAAAAGCAATCCAGAGACCCGTCCCAAGTTTTTGTTTGCATCGCGTTTGTATAAAGCAAAGCGACGCGCGCTAGTAGTACGTGTCGACGACGTCCTGGCCTGCGCGAATAGCCCATTCGACAATCTCCATACCACCAAGCCCGCTGGCCCAGAAGCTCTTGTTGCACCCCTGCAGCCGATTAAGGTACCCATATGCACCGTTGCGCAATGCCTCGCTGCCGAAGTGCGGGAAGTAGTCCCATTTCTTGAATGCCTTGATTTCGTCGGAGTCAACAGGCTCCGATTGCGCTGTCATGTTCCTCGGGTCTTTGTTGATCTTGGAGAGAGTAGTCTGCAAGATTTCGCGAGCAGTAGATTCCGACTCGTAGACGTTGTCTTTGCCCCACGACCAGGATGTCGAGACGTTCGAGGCAGCGCTGAGACGGAGCACGGCGACCGGCTCCATATCGTTAGGTGGAGGAACACTCGAGTTGGAGCTGTTGGCGATGTATGAGACGCCGAAAGGAAGCTCAAACTCTACTGCGGAAGAGTAGTAGTTGTGGGTGACAACTTCTGAGAATACATCATGTTCCTCTTCAGTCAAGTCTAAGCCCACTCTTTCTAGGTTTGCAATGGACGGCGGGAACGCGAAGATCAGCGAGTCGCATTCCTGTTTGCCCCATCGATAGAAGTTGCTGTAAGGCTTGGGCGCTGTGTACTTGATGACCGGGTTCTTCCCGGATCGATCAATGCAGCGGACCTCGTGCGAAAGGTTTATCTTCGCCTTGCAGCCCTTCTTCTTCAACCACTCAACCCAGATCTTGTGAAAATCGGTGTAGTATACATTGTGCTGACCGAGGAAGCCGGTAAGGATGTCGGGGGTAAAGTACTGGAGGATGTACAACTGCTGAAATTAGTGGCCATTCCCAATGCCCGAGTCTCGATATGCTTACTGCCGGAACAACTCGAATATCCCCATATCCGTAGAGTGCGATGGGATTAACGAGTAGTTGCGGAAGAACAGTGAAATTGTTCGTTTTGAACCATTGTTCACCAGACACGGTTAGGCTGTCAGGAACACCTTTCTGTTCGAGGATTAGCTCTCCGCATGCCCATGCCGTCACTCTGTTGCCTACCTTGTAATTTGTTGCGCTGATGGGCGCAAAGTCTCGGTTCCAAAGCTGGATGTATCGCGGCACTTCGGCAGCTACACGTTGTAAAGCTTGTGTGGACAACGCGGGCACAGCTTCAATTGCGCCCGTGGTAATGTTGAAGCGGAACTGTTCTCGTGCGCCTGCGAGCGCGAATTCTTCGATAGAAACGCCGGACTCGTTAATGACTTTCAGGGTCTCGGGGTAGCTCGTGTTCGAGAAGAAAGCTGCGCCAAGCGGGTGGAAGATTCCTCTGAAAGGGTGGTCAGCCGCGGTTACGGCGCTTCGCTTCAACGTCGTGTGTAACACTCACTCATCGTCGTAGTACGATTGGCACTTGCCACCGACAGCAGCTTGTTTTTCAAACACTATCGACTCAATGCCTTTGGCGTCCAGTCTTGCAGCTGCCGTCAAGCCAGCCGGTCCTCCGCCGATAATGCAGACAGGTGCTTTTGGTGGTCGCGTCGGCAACGCTGATGCGGTCAGACACAAATATGTGAGTACGGGTAGCGCAAGAGAGCACTTCATGGAGTACTGCATCTTGAAAATGTTCAAATGGGGAGCGACAGTGACGCAGCGACGTACCTGGAGCTTATACTGCAGCTGCATGCATGGTCCACGACCCTGCGTATATGCTTTCGAGGACGTATTGACCTTCGGCTGCACGGTGCGCTGGCACTGATTCAATTGAGGAGCGCTAAGGGACAGGTTCGATCCCGCCTCTACGCCATTCCTCGGATTACGAGGCTCGACTGGGCAACCACTGGGCGGAAAAGTTACCGTCTGCGAAAACTGGGACGGCGGCCCCTCGCGCACGGAAGCTTTGGGCTTCGACATGACGTTCCATGGTCCGGGAGCTGCAGCAAAAGCGTTAGAATCAATTTAGAATCAACAATGCCCCTGCTCTTAGTGGTATCCAGGGAAACGATGCTTTTGCACAACGAATTCGTCGTCTGTTGATTCTTTTGCTCGAGGACTGAGGGCTCGTATTGCGGAACATTGCTGCCGACTGTCAAGCGAGGCGATCGATACCGAGATGCGGTGTACAGCTGTACAACAGATGTCATGATGCATAACGAGAGGCTGCTTGTGCATACAAATGCAAGCGCCGATTGCCTGGTGCCGAGGCGCGCCAGCTTCAGCCCTGGGACAGCGCGCCGTTTCGGGTTCCACCCTCTCCAGATGCTCGGGTGGTTCCTGACCCCTTCAAATGAGTCGCATGCCCTTCAGAGCGCGAGCTTTGGAAACCCCTCGTGCGCTTTGCATGACATGCGCGAAATGAATGTGTTGAGCTGTCTGGAGCATGTTCCGCCAGTTGGCGCCGCTCCAGCTGAGCCACAGAGGCGCCTGGTGCGCCAACGCAGCCGAATGCCAGCTCACCAAACACTCTGGCCTTGATCTTTACGACCCAAATTGCGACCGAAGGAGATGTGAGGCGATAAGACGAAAGAAAGATGATGTGGTGATGTAATGACATCATAAGCACAGACGTTGACAATGACGAGCTGAACAGCGAGAGCGAAAAAGCGAAGGCGGTCGCACCATCAGGAACGGCGAGGAGACAGCTGGCCAACATGGCGCTCGAGCGCAGCGACTGACTCTGTGCGAAGTGGCCTGAAGGTGGCTGCCGTCATCATAGAGTGCGATGGTCGCCGAGCAGAAGTTGGCGTCGGTGGGTAGAAACGGGGACGAACAGACTCACCGTGCTTGGGCTGTGCTTGCTCAGTGACGCGCTGCGATGCGGAAGGCAACGTGAGGCGCGAACATCAAACACGAACCATGAGCGAAACAAGAGTGAGTCGACATGATTTGAATTGATTTACTTCGCCAAACACCTTCGCTAACACCGTATGAGGGGATATCGTGACCGCAAAACCAAAGTTTCCTCCCAAATGACCGACCAGCGTGACTGACTTTTCACGAAGAGGCGAAGAGGTAAAGGGACCCAGTGAGTGGGAGTGATCCGGGCGAGATCTACTATTTACAGTCGGCGCAGCATAGGCGCAAATTAGTAAGAGAGGAAAAACAGAAGGAGCGAGCGAACGATCATAACATGTACGTCTTCTGTTGCTCTATGTCGTAGTCGAAGCGACTCTTGTCCGTCGCACCGCTCATCGGTCGAAAGCCATGGCTGATTTGCACGTGTGCGGTAGCAGTGTCGGGTCTCGAATCGGTCTGGGTCAGCTTGCGCGTGTCCATCTCGACTTGGTCGAGCACCGGCGTCACCTTCTCCTTCCTGCGGCTGTGAGTCGAGCCATTTGCGTATTTCGAGCCTGTAGCGCGGGCTCTCGAAGGGAATAGCAGGGGCTTGAGTGCTGGAATACATCCGCACACAACGCCGACGTTTGTCTCGATGGCAGTCCACAGCCAGATCTCGTATCCGTACCATGTCGCATCGTATGTCTCGTACAGGACGTAGTGAACCCAGTAGGCGCGGAAGCTGCCCGCCACGACGATGACGCCCCCGACGGAGAAGAGGACAACAAGACCGATGCGCTGTATCATGGGGAGCGACAGGCTGAATAGGGTCGGGATAGGAAGGGCGTATATCATGAAGTCTGTCACGACGTTGACCACGGTCTGGGTGACCAGGGGTGGGCCTTCGGGGATGCAGTCACCATCACCAGCGAGCAGATTCCAGTAGCTGGAAATCGGTCTGGGGTTGTTAGATGTGTCAACGTTGTAAGACGAGTGACACTCACATGCACTGCAACCAGAGGGCGATGAGGAAGGTCAAGAAGGCTGCCACCACGATGCCCAAAGTGACCCACACAAGCTTGCGGAACGTCGACTTGTTTGGTGCAACACGGAAATACGAGACTAGAATGGACATCTTGACGAAGCTCGAAGCGAGAACGAAGAGGGTTTGACCGGCCATCGACGCCTATGCGGTGTTAGAAGGTGGAATGTAGAGGGAGCAGTAAAGGCGTACCTTTCGACCATTCTGCAACAACGGAATGGCGGCATCCCAAACATGAAGGTTCCATCCGTACATCTGGACGGCCATGATGACCAGTGCCGTTGTAAGACATGAGAATATCTACCCTCCTTAGCGAATGTCATGCGTGCCTCGGTGTTACACCTACCATAGCAGCCACCATCAGGTAGTCGTCCCACCAACTCTTGTGAAGCCATCCGATCCGAATCCAGAGCCGCAGGATAACGCAGATGAGAGCGATGGGGACCAGGGTCAACTCAACAATCAGGAGCCCGGGTCCTCGGACGACGGGGTTGACATAGTTCGGCTTGGGCCAGTGTGCGCGGACCTCTGCTGGTGGAAACCTCATGGTGAATGGTGTATCGTCGGAGGACTGTGGTGTGCTCCGACGATGTATGCAGGTTAAGGATCAATGTTGACTTCAAAGACCCTGAGATCGCGATGGTGGTCTTTGTTGGATGTACAAAGTTGAGAGCCTGGACGGAGCGTCACCACACTTCTGGAGCACAGGACAAGTAGGATTGATATATGCTCCTGTACAGACGGCACAGTCCATGCTCAGCTTGCCGGGCCAGGCCCCATCTCCACAATGGCGAAGTCGGTAGCCAGGTACTTGCAGGATGCTCATGTTTCTGGCCCAGAGTGGAACAGGCTCAAGACACTACACGGTAGTATACCGCGGGCACTGGATGACATGCCGCAAGCCGAGGGCAGGGGTCCATGTACTTTGACCTCTCAGTCAGCGTGGACGAGGCGTGACTTGAGACCACCAATATCAGGCACTTTGCTCAGTGGCCATAAACGGTGGGTCTGGTCGCATCCAGGTACAGGCAACTTGTTGCTGCAGCATCCCAGTGGTCAGCTTCGCAGGGACACTTCGGGAAGCGCGGGCCAATGAGATGCGGGAGGCAAGGATGGCTGAGGCGCGGCGCTTCCAGCCGCATAGTCGGCCACCTTGCTGCGCCATGTGATTTGGAGGCGGTTGTGATGAGCCAGTATCGCCTACTACGGGACTTGAGTCGAGAATCTGTTGAATGCCCCGCCGTGCGATGATGGCATGACTACTTTGGATGAAAGACCCAGACGCCATTGTGTTGCGCCCTCTCGCTTGTTCCCATCCCGGCCAAGCGCGACGGGTGATCGGCCAATCATTCACCCTCTGTTCCAGGACATCCACGACACCTTTCACCCACCACAGCAAATCAATTCTCCGTACTCCTAGCAGCTGTGACGACGCCGTCGGACCGGGCGAGGGAAGAGGGGCCGCGCTTCGAAGCCGCCTCCCTTCCTCGTGGGCCGCACGCGATCCGGCCGTCTGTGGACCCTCAGCAATTTTGGTCCCAGGATGCTTCCCCGTACCCGGCTCTGCTTTCCCTGTAGCTGTACCATCAGCATTCGTATTCCCCTGGACGACAGTGGATGAGATCGCAATTATGGCCTTTTCGAGCTATCCACTGCTCCGAGGCAGCAATGCTGTCTGCTCTTGCTACCCCCCAGAGCATGACGCTCAATGTCAACGCTCAGTGCTATTGGGTAGCATTCCATTTCGCGACCCTAACGTCGATTGGCTGATGCTGTTATTTCAGTGTAAAGCCTGGCTCGGAATTTCTCGCAGGCGGCTATTGGTGCATTCACTGGACGCGATAATCAATCTGCATCGTAGAGCTCGGCCCCTGGCCCGGCTCGAATAGCCTCGTATGTGGCTGCATTCCATCTGGCCTGTCCTCAGACCTGGAGAAATTTTCCGCCTGCACTAGACAGCTGACTTCCGCTACACCTGCGGGCAAGGCATGCGCTTACTTGCCCAATGCGGCGGGCCCTCCGACCGTCTTGAACAAGCAGGACGCCGTTCAGGTACACGCTTACGTTTCGACAAATCATGGCTCTCACCCACCTTCAAACTCAATGCGACCCCTCTCTTGCGTAGATAAGTGTTACTTCCCAAGGTACGCCTGCAAACGCGTAGTATACTTGCACTCTCAACAAACACGGCAGAGCAACACCGCTCTCTTTAACTGATGTGATGCGAATCCCATCAAATTACTAGGCGTCAGGCAGCGAACGGTCCGCAAGGCAACCGGAGTGCTTCCGTGTGATCAGTGTCGTTCAAGGTTAACACCTCGGATATGGCTTCCAATTCCCTTCCTCGTTTGATCGACACTATAGGGAACATCATCTCGTTCCGCTTTCCGTTCTTCGTTTGGGGTCACATTCGTGTTGATATCCTGTCGGGCCTGTCATATACTAGAAGGCACAGCTTGGAGGGACGCGTGGAAAGCAGGCACATTTGCCTCAGAACGGGCTGGTAATGTTGGTAACATTCACGTCCTCGAGTAAATTTGGGCGTTTATATGGCGACGCCCGAGGAAAAGGCAAGACGCACGTTCGGAAACGGCACCCATGGAAGTGCAAGCTTTGAGTACGCTCAACTCCGGAAGTCCCACAGACCAACAAGTACGGTACTAATGCAGAAGTCTGAGTACACCGGACCCATGGACTGCCTTCCCCGGGGTAATATGTAGTCAAACTTTTGGCCTGACGTTGTACCTGACTAACTCGATGTCAACGCTTTGTGTTTCATCAGACTCCCACACTCGACCGTCTTCGATGAATGCCTGTGCGCTAATTGGACACAGCGCAAGTGACAGGGCTTCTTCCTGTCCCGTTCAACAGGCCATCCTCGATAGAACATCGAAACCGGTCTATACCATACATTCAACTCCTCGAGCATCCTAACACCGCCATGCCACTTTAAGAAAAATTCGTACCCGACGTCATATCGAAAATACTGTCAATAATGTCTCTCAAATCTTTCGATCTGCCCCCGTCAGCGCTATTATTGGTGTTCCTGACCATACCTTTGCATATACATAAACTCCTAGCATACACACGACACAACATGTCTTCACTTGAGGTTTAGTCCATTCCATAGTAGCCTAGCACTCAGAACCAGATATGAGCGCCCTTGTACCACGCGTCGTCGGTGATGATGGGTCTTTCAAAATTGTACGAGATTTATCCTGAATGAGTAGGTTTCATAGTAAAACGTGGGAGACTTGACGATAGTTTAACGATAGCTATCTACGGACACTATCTCTCGTTCCCTGTGAGCGCGATGAGCCATACGACCCAACGTCGAGAACGAGCATCTCCGTGGACTGTGGCAACATCCTAAACACCAGCGCTGTACTCCGACTAGTGTCTCATGTTCCTACCCCAATTTTCGGAGAGGAGTCAATCACAGGTTTCTGCGATCCTTATCTCCAGGTTCAGGAAGTTCTCATCGCCTATCAGACAACGCGATCTGCAAACACTAAACCACACTGGGTAAGACGCTCTTCCCCATCTCCAGCCTTGCATGCGGAGATAATCGAGCTGCAGCGCACCTTATCACGACTCCAACTTGGAGACGTCATCTGCGGCTACTCCAACGGTTCCCGCGATGTGACAGTGGCAGTCTGTATCGGCATATCAAGCTTTGCCAAACGGTACACCACACGTATTCCACCCGCTACTAGTCTACTCATAGTTGAATGACTATCACAACCGGGGTTGTGATAAGGAATGTGTGTATAAGAGATGAAGACCCCACATGCAAGATTGGCAAACTCGTACTTGCCCGAGAAGCAGACATGGCGGATTCAGCAGCTGCAATTCTACCCGTCGGCGCTGGCTACGGCGTCGTCGTGGGCATTGGGTTCTTCTTTGCTTTCTTGATGATGGGAATCTCGTGGATACAGAATCGTTACACACCGTATTCGACGAAACAATCGGAGGAGTTCAACACAGCATCGCGTTCAGTGAAGCCAGGTCTCATAGCGTCTGGTATCGTCTCAGCATGGACGTGGGCTGCGACGCTTCTGCAGTCAAGCACCGTTAGTTGATCACTTTAAATCTACCGACGAGTCTAATTTTTGATAGGTCGCGTATACATATGGTGTCGCCGGTACTACAATTCTGATCATAGAGAAATTGACGTGAATTAACTTTTTCTAGGGCCCTTCTGGTACGCAGCTGGTGCCACGGTTCAGATCCTGTTGTTCTCCATCTTGGCGTGTAAAGTCAAACAGAACGCTCCACGATGCCACACCTATCTCGAGATTATCAACGCACGATATGGTCGCGTAGCACACTTGGTCTTCATGGTCTTCGCCTTCATCACGAACATTCTAGTCGGCAGTCAATTGCTTTTGGGGGGAAGTGCAGTAGTCACAGCATTGACAGGCATGAATGTTTACGCAGCCATCTTTCTAATCCCAGTTGGTACGTTACATTTCTCCAGCCATTCGAAAATCCGCTTATCCACCCAGGCGTTTGCGCCTACGTTATATTGGGCGGCCTCCGTGCAACGTTCCTTTGCGACTACTCCCACACGCTCATCCTCATGATCATCATCCTTTACTTTATGTTCGATGCATACGCCACAAACTCGCTCATAGGGTCGCCCTCCGCAATGTACGACCTGCTACGGAAAGCCGCCGTGCAAAGACCCATCGACGGCAACCAAGACGGCTCGTACGTGACGCTCAAGTCGAATTTCGGACTCATCTTCGGAGTCATCCAGCTCTGCTCCGGCTCCGGAACAGTCTTCCTCGACCAGGCGTACTGGCAGCGCGCCATCGCCTCGCAGCCTTCGACCGCTGTCAAGGCATACATTCTCGGCGGCATCGCGTGGTTCGCGATACCCTTCGGGTTCTCGACGACACTGGGACTCGCTGCAGCAGCGCTGACGGACAATCCCGCCTTCCCTACGTACCCCAATGTACCCAGTGCGCACGAGATCTCATCGGGTCTTGCGGCACCATATGCGGCGATTGCACTGCTTGGGAAGAGCGGTGCTGCTGCGCTTCTGGTAGTGCTGTTCATGGCAGTCACCTCATGCGCTTCAGCAGAGCTCATCGCTGTGTCGAGTCTACTGACATTTGACGTGTACAAGGCGTATATCCAGCCCAACGCAACGCCCCAGCAACTTATCTTCGTATCGCACATCATGATTTGCGTATTCGGTGTGATCATGGCTGTTTTCGCGTGCATTTGGAACGTAGCTAGCATCGACCTGGGGTGGCTATTCCTGTAAGTGATTCTCATCGCACTAGGTGCATTGCATCGCATATTGATATATTCCCCAGTGTCATGGGGATCCTGATCGGCGGCGCCGTCTTCCCCACAGCTTTCGCCATTGTCTGGAAGAAGCAAACCCGCCTGGGTGCCATATCTGGCTGCATTGTTGGTCTCGCAGCCGGCCTCATCGCATGGTTCACCACAGCCTATCAGTACTACGGCGAGATCACTGTCGCCTCGACAGGAACAGAATATGCCACGCTAGCAGGGTGCCTCGCCAGCATTATGACAGGCCTTATTGTAACTGTCGCCATCACGTACATCAAGCCCGACAATTTCGACTGGGAAATCACGCGCGCCATCAACGCCGTACCGACAATTCAGGGCGTGGGACAAGAGGTCCATGATTCACCGCGCTGCACGACAGACGGAGAGAAGCCCAGCCAGACATCACCGAACTGCAAATCCTCTACACCCTCCCTGCCCAACGAGCTCGAAACCGAGACCGCTGTGCCAATGTCAAGTCCTCAGGAAGACTCTCCATCCTCATTGCGCAGCGCTTTCAAGCTCGCCTGCATCTCCTCCTTCCTGCTGACCTTCGTCCTGGACTTTCTCCTTCCGATGCCCATGTTCTTCAGCCATTACATCTTCAGCAAAGGATTTTTCACTGCGTGGGTGATAATCAGCTTCATTTGGGTGTTTGTGAGCAGTGCGATTAGTTGCTTCCTGCCGCTCTGGGAGACGCGGACGTTCTGGGGAAAGTTGTGGAGGGACGTGAGGAGTGGGCAGAGGAGTGGTTGATTTAGAGCAGTCAGAGTGAGGTCAGAGAATAGGACATGGGACGATTGTACATGCGGCAGCGCCACCTTTCAAGAAAGTGATTTTCAATCAATCGATCTTCACACATCTTTACTTGAACATGGGCGTACGATGGTCAGACCCGATCCTCTCTTATCCGGTTCCCGATTATTGACACCCACCGTTATACAGCCGTGCTGAATTCTCTGTCCGAAGAAGCTGAGTCTAACTAGCTTACTAGGTATACCATTCCGATTTTCGAGATTGATCGCTTTCCGAAAGGATGGCGTGGAATATAATGCTTAAATGCTACCCTGTAGTATAAAATGCCCCTTACATGTATACACTTTTCAAAAATCCCCACCACACGTTCTTTCCCACACAACGCAGATCTGTAATTATCACACCGCCTTTCCTCCATCCTCCACGCGTCCACACGGTACCTTTTTCATGCTCTGTCAGAGATACAGCTTTAGGCTGGCCGCAGAAAGGACACTGAAGTCACCTCACAAGGGACCCACGCGTGCACCTGTAAGACAGCGCCTCAGTCCTTTTCTAGACCAGCCTTGACCCGTTCTCTTCGACTGTCAGAGTCTAAGGAACATACGCGCCCCCCACGCAGCCATGTGACTTTCTTCCTCTGACAACTAATACGCCAGCCTTAACTTCCAAGGTAGGAGCGAACTCACCGCTGACCACCAGGAACCGACCCTCCCTCCACAGCGCCACTATAGGTACCGTGAGCGCCACACATCCACGGAAGCTCCTCTCCTCCCCTCGTCGTTCGCCGTTCGCCCGCAGTGCCCAGCTGTCAACGGCTCAGACACTCTCACATGCTCCAGAGGATGCAAGGCAGAACGCGTGTGAGAGGCGGAATGCCGCAGCGCTGGAAAACGCGCAGCATGCCGCTCCGCACGTTGTGTCACGTCGCCTCGCCTCTTCGCTTCTATCTGCATACAAATCCAGCAATCATGTACTTCTCAGATACACACAGACAGAGCCAGTTCATGGGGGCGCGTAGTCAATCGGTCACGACGCCCACACCCCGCCCTTCCACCGTCGCAAACCGGGCGCGTACTCGACGCTGGAGAGAAGCAGCAGGAGACTTGCCATACTCACTTTTATTTTATTTTTACATGGATTATGCAGAGGCAAGAACGCTGTACGGATGGTGAAATGCCGGCCTACTTGCCCAACAACCCCTTCTTGCTCACACTCGCTACGCTGTCTTTTGTCTCCTCCCTTAGCACGCCCATTTCCATCTCCTCGCCACTCCGCACAGCATGATACCCGCCATTCCCACCCCCACCTGCATACCCCGCATACCCCGTGTGCGCCCCAAACCCAGGCTCTGCACCCCTGGCCCTCAAACTCATCCCCGTGAGATTGAACAGTTCCCCCCTTCCTCCAGCCAACGTCGGCACATCGTCCTCCTTTCCCCGCCACGGCCCAACTCCAACCCCCTCCGCCGCCATGCGCTGCAGCTGGAACGCACCACTCTCCACCCACTCAAGCCTCTTGTACGCGCCCAGTCCCGCCCGGCGCTGCCAGTACGCTGCCAGTTGTGGTAGGATGGTGTTTACGAGCATGATCAGCAGACCGATGCCGATGAGGAGGAAGAGCCCCAGCACGGTGAACGATGTATGGGCCTTTGAACGCATCTTGATACTGTCGCAAAGACGGAGCATCTCTGCGTCTTGCGGCCGTACAATGTACCGCAGGATAGTGGCGTTCTCGTTCTGGTCAGCGGTGTTGGAATTCCCAATGTCAAAGTCAGGCGGCTGTGCGAAGGCGGGGCCGGCGCGCTGCAGCGCGGCGAGGCTGACGTTGAAGAAGTTTGTCACTTCAGACTGCCAGTGGTTTGGTGGGAGCGCGGCAGAAAGGCCGAACTGCGTCCCGCCGTCCCAGAGGTAGTCGTTTGCGATGAGGTTCTCGCGGCCGATGAAGATGAGTTGGAAGTTGAGCTGTGTGACTGCATTTCGTTTCGTTAGTTCAGGGACAGCTAGGAGTAGGGCTATAGTGGTGAAGGGTGGGACGTACACCAGATCATTTTCCACATGAGCTGGAAGACTGCTCTTTGCGTTGGGTGGAGGTCTTTCAGGTCTTCGTCTTCGTGGGGGATGCCGTACACGCCTGTGTAGGGCGAACAGTAGGATCGGTCGGCGGTGCAGAGCTGGTAGCGCTGGCGGCAGCCTAGGAAGGATCTTGGGTGCGTTGCGGTCCAGCCCTTGGTTTTGTAGGCGTTGTTCGTGCCATTGCCGTAGTTGGTTGCGGTGAACCAAGGGTCTTGGATTGCTTCGGGGTAGGTGATCCGAGAAATAAGTCCCATCAGAGTAACGTCAGCGTCTTGTATGTCAAGTTCGGGAACGGGGTTGAAGATCGGCGCGTACGAGCCGTTGTATTTCACAAAGGATGTTGCAGACCTGGAATCGTCAGAGGAGCCTCACGATTAAGGCGATGCTGGAGCATATCGCGTTGCGCGGGCAATACAGCACGTTGAAGCATATACTCACTTTATGTCGTACGAAGAGTCGCCATACTTGAGCGCGTTACTCGTTATGCAAAAGAGGAAGGGCGTCTGTTTCGTTTCGTCTGTTCCGACCTTGTAGCATATGCGCTTCTCACTTCTGGGAACGCCGTCATTCCACCCCCCGTCCATACTGATGTTCATGTGCAGCTCATCCGCATCGCCCCATTGTGTGGCATACGGCTGCGCGTCGACAGGTACACAAGTCCAGGTCTGACGCAAGGTGACAGCGCTTTCCGGCAAGGTATTGATGCCCAAGTCGGTATCGGACCGCAGGCCATCCATGTCCGCCGTCATTGCTGTTCCGTTGCAGACCTTCTCGCTGAACGGACATGGCTCTGAGAGACTGACATTGTAAGGCAAAGTCGGCTGCGTGTAGATTTCGCAGGCGTTGGAAGAATTGTCGCTGGTCTGCGCATAGCATGATCGTGCATAGCCGGCGCTACGGCGATACCCGTACCTCGCCATGACTACCAGAGCGCTGAAGGTATTGAACTTCGTCGTATCCTTGAGCTCTTCCATGAGGCGTTCTGACTGGTTCTGGGCAACTTCCTCCATCCAACCGCAGGTTCCCTTGACCGCCAGAACAGCATCGCTCCCAGCAATGAACCTCGAAGAGAGACCACCGAGAGCACCAATACCAGCAGCGTGCACCATCGCAAGCAAAATCAGCCAGGACGTGCGGCCAAAGGCGTTGATTCTTGAACCCTGATGGACGGCGCCCACTCTGAAGAGCTTCCAACCCAGGCTGGCTTCGGTGTCTGTGTTGCGCAGAGCGACCTGGATCTGGTGGTATGTATCATCTTGAGGCTCAGAGGAAGCGTTTGACTGGTGTATGGCGAAGCAGATGATGCCCCAGAGATAACTGCCAGCGAGCCTAATGAACAGCGCAAGGAAGGCAGTCAGGATTATACCCCATTGCGTGGGCAATGTCAAGGTAGATTGAGTGGCACGATTGTTATCTACGCGGATCAGTGCAAGTGCGGGGCGTGACTGGATAGACTGACCAAGATTGACCCAGAATCCGCAGTGTATCCTCTCGCAGCTCTCCCACCACATAGCGCAAGCTCAGATAGAAGCCTCGATGGAGAGATGTGTCGTGGAAGAAAAAGAAAAAGAAAAAGAGGGCATCAGTTTAGATGAAAGTGCGTCATCACAAAAGCGCACAGGGAGAAGAAAGTCAAGGCTGCACTGCGAAGGATGGTCAAACGTGGATGAGCTCGTGAATTTGTGGTCGTTGCATTAAAATGGCGACTAGACTATGAACGGCAGGAAATTTGCGAGTCTCGTCCTGCCGCATCCTTTGATAGGTAGGGTTGCGGCCCCCACGGCTCGAACAAAAGGCTGAGCAGGGCTGACTTCTATTTCGGCACCAGCCAAGCAAGCCAAAGGTTGTGGTGGAGGAGCCAACACTCGCCATGGGTCTAGAGAGCGCCCTGTGCGGCCGACGTCGGGGCGATGTTATCGGCTGCAAGGCCGTCAATCGCTCTCGATTCACCATGTAGTTGCGATCGGCTTCACCCTGCGACGACATCTGATGCATCAAAATCTGCGGGGCGTAAGAAGACTAAGCAGGCGATTGTCGCCCCTTCACCCGAGTTCGATGGCCTGCAATGCGCTGATGACTTCTTCTGCAACTCCTCCCTCTTCGACCACCATCTTCACGACCTGAGAGATTAGTCCTCTCTTCATGCCACCTCTCGGAGGGGTCCAGACGCCAGAGTTTGCGAGGAGCTCGCGCTGTGTCAAGGCTTCGGCACTTGATGCTGGGACGGTTCCACCGGTGGCGGAGTTCATCGAGTTTGGTACGCCTGGAGGAGTGAGGTGGGATGGAGGGTCGATGGTGCGGACCGAGACAATCCGTGCGCGCGTAGATGACGCAGTGGCATTCGCGCATGCAATTGCGAGCACGGCATCAGCGACGGCCAGTTCCTCCATGCACGGGTCGAAGATGATGTTGGGACCGACGGCCATGGCTAGCACAATGACTGGAGGCTTGTCGTCGGGTGCATTTGCTTTGCTCTTGGGATAGAGGAAGACGGCGGCATCCCAGTCGTCGTCGAACAGCGGGTCCTCGTCCTGCTCCGACTTCAAGGCGGGCAGGCGCGCGGTGAGCAGGGCGAGGTGGGTGGTCATGGACAGGAGAGCGAGCGGGTAGGACAGGGGCGGCGAGAGGAGGAGAATCTGGAAAGGTCAGCGCAGATGCGGCACGGGGAAAGAGCGGCGCACGTCGATGTACAGCTTCCAGTGGAAGCGGCTGTTGATGTACAGCCTGTCCTTGAGCCCGCCGCTGGCGAGCAAGCTCTCGGTGAGCATCGAGGCGAGGAACACGGGCAGCGCGTCGTCGTCGCGGAAGCCTGGAATCTCGACGCTCATCTCTATCCACGCGTCTTGTCCCCTGCCCGTGGCGGCGGCGTCGTCGTCGTCGTCGGCGTCGCGCATCTCGGCATCCCCCGCCAGCCCGCTGCCCCGCGCCTCGAGGGACGGCCGCCACTGGGACCTTTCGACCTCTGCCTTGACGCCCACAAGCGCCTCGGTGCCGTCGTCGAGGGCAATGCGGGCGCTTCCGTTTGCGCCGGGCAGCACATCGCACTCTGCGCGCATGGAGCGGAAGTCGTTGGGGCGCTTGGTGTGGTCGAAGCGGAGGGGCGGGTCCTGGCAGAGGGTCGCGCGCAGGAACGACAGCTCGGCGGGCGAGAGATGGACCTGCTGGGGCTGCGGGGGCGCCATGGTTGCGTGGGCGGCGGGCGCTGGTGGTGCTGGCTGCAGCTGTACATATTTTCGAGGGCCGCCGACACGCCGCGCTCGGGCCCCGCTGCGGTTGCGAGTCGCGCGTCATGCCTGCGCTGGCAATGCCACCGCTCCTTTGGCTGCGGGAGCTACACTAGCAGCGAGCCTCGCCGTCATCGTGAGCGGCGCTCTCGTGGTCGTGCATCCTCTGCCTCACCACCTTTGCTGCCGGCCCGAGGCCATGCCGTTGCAGCAGTAAGCCCAGCGCCCACGCGACCCGTCACACGCGCACGCCGCACCGCCGCGGCTGCCCATCCCGTCCAATGCGGAACCACCACGGCAATGGCATCGACAAGCTCGACTACCACTCGCCCCGGCCGCTCCTGCAGGCCGACAACGACTCCAACCCCAGCCGCCGGTCGCACAACACGAGCTCCGCCGGCAGCTTCTTCGAGCAGGTGGCAGAAGGCCTCATGGAGCGCGACCGCGCCCGCATCCAGCGCGAAGCCGTGCGATGGCTGAGCTTCGTCTGGGCCCTCGTCAACTGCCTCTGCGCCGGCAGCATCACCGCCTACTCGCTGTACGGCCACCTGTTCCAGGCGCAGCTCCACTACACCCAGGTCCAGGTCAACATCGTCAGCATCACCGCCGAGCTGGCCATGTACCTGCCCGTGCCTGCCTTTGGCTACCTGTGCGATCGCGTAGGCCCGGCCACGCCCTCGGCCCTGTCCGGCGTCTTGTTCGGCCTGGGATACCTGCTGGCCGCCTTTGCCTTTGCCAGCGGGCCGCCGCCTTCTGCGGGCGGCCACGGCTGGCCCTTCGGAGCCATGGTGCTGTCCTTTGTCGCCATCGGCATGGGCACGAGCTGCATGTACCTGTCGGCCGTCACCACATGCGCCAAGAACTTTGGCCGCGGAAAGTGGAAGGGCATCGCACTGGCTGCCCCCATTGCTGCCTTTGGCCTGAGCGGATTCTGGCAGAGCCAGGTCGGCAGCAGGCTGCTCTACGTTGTGAACCCAGACGGGTCCAGGGGAGATGTCAACGTCTACAAGTTCTTCTTGTTCCTGGGCATCACGCTGTGTGTCGTTGGCCTCGTCGGCTTCTTCGCGCTGCACATTGTGGACGAGGAGGACATGATCGACGAAGCAGTGGAAGAGCTCGAGCGATCGGGCTTGCTAGCCCACGACGAGTTCTTCACCCAGGCCGCCAGTGCCCACGGCTACGGTACCATGGAACCTCGCGATCTCTCAGATTCTACCTTCGACTTCCTCCAGTCCGAAGCTGAGCGTCTGAAGGCCCAGGTAGAAGAAGAAGCACGCAAGAAGACCTGGCTGCTCAATGAAGAAACCAAGCGCTACGTCTCGGATCCTACCATGTGGTGGCTCGCAACCGGCTTCTTCCTCGTCACCGGCCCCGGCGAAGCCTTCATCAACAACCTGGGCACCATCATCGGCACCCTGTCTCCTCCTCACACCCAGGCAACCACCTCTCCCGCCACTCACGTCTCCATCGTCGCCATTACCTCCACCGTCGCCCGCCTCGTCACCGGCACCCTCTCCGACATCCTCGCTCCCAGCGCCGTTATCCACCAGCACCGCCGAGGCCCCGACTCAGTCGCAAATTCTGTCTCCTCGCTCCTCCCGCGCGACTCCAAGAAATTCTCCGTCTCCCGCATCACATTCCTGCTCACCTTCGCCTTCATCCTCTCCCTCGGCCAGTTACTCCTTGCCTCTGGCTGGGTGCAAAACCACACCTCGCGCTTCGCTGCCGTCTCCGCGCTCATCGGCGCAGGCTACGGTGCCGTCTTCAGTCTCACTCCCATCGTCGTTTCCGTTGTCTGGGGCGTCGAGAACTTCGGCACGAACTGGGGCATCCTGGCGATGACGCCTGCCGCAGGCGCGACCGTGTGGAGCGCCATCTACGCGACCGTGTACCAGCGCGGTGCTGATGGCGGGGAGCCTGGCTTGCAGCGCGAGGCGGACGACGTGCTGTGTTACGGCAAAGGATGCTACGCTGTGACATTTTGGGCGATGGCGGCAAGCGTGTGGGTCGCTATGGGATTGTGGCTCTGGGCGTGGAGGGGACCTGGCGGGTGGAAAAAGAGGGCGATTGCTGTCTGAGCTGTTTGCATGGCTGCATATACGTACGGGACGCCGGATTGTACAGTGGATGGATGTGCTGGATGTGTGTTTGGATCTCATCACGACTATGCGTTACGACAGCACGCGTGTGCATTTTTGCGGGTTTTATTTTGTCGACTACACGGCTTCAGGGCCTGCAAGAAGGGAGTTGAACATGGGCGTCGACGGAATACTGTATACTGCATATTACCATCTTTCCTACATTACATACCAGATTCGAATTAACTGCATTTGCATCAAGATAGCCGAGAACAGAAGCAACATGTCATTAAATCAACAGAAGATGTCACTCGTTTGTCGAAGTAGCAGCCAAGTAAAGTTGGCAGGTGGGGGCAGGGTTTGGCAGACGGACACTGCAATCAGATTTTCGACACAACACTGGTCCTGGGCCAGCATTCCTACTATAGCTACCCCAAAACCTGACTTCAAGTACACTCCGCTCCCTTCGAACGACTTCATCAGACTCCTGCACATCCTGCCCGTCGTTGACAAGACAGCGCAGCTAGGCTTGGAGTGATTAAGGGTGATCCTATTTGGTTGACTTTCCGTAGCCTATTGTCGTTACCATGGATCCGACGAGTGTGGGTCTTTTAGGAGATGGCTGCATCGAAAACCCTGCTCGTTCGCTGCGGGCATCTGCAGTTGGAGTGGTCTGCATTACTAACATTCTCCCACATTTTATATGAAGGGCTCCCTACCATAGGATCATTGATCTTAGCCTCACTCACATGGCTTCAGTGAGGGGCCTGAGATCACTTGCTATGATGCAACTCCTCACCAAAATGTCCATTGATAGCTACATGTGTTTCTACGCTCGGACAGTTCGCCTCATATCGGTCATCAGACCCCAGAGACAAAATTTTGGGCATGCTTGGACTTTTGCACGCGTCCGGACGTTCTATCACATTCAATGCTGATTATCAAAGCAGCACGCGGGAGGTCTAGGTCGAGGCCACGTTCTACGCTCTAATCAATGCCAAGAGACCATTACTGCTCCAAGGCGACGTACTGCAGGTGACAGGGCAGTTTCTGGACAAGGTAACTCGACATACGACTGCCCATGCCATGTACGAATCATACCAATCGATGGAAGAATCAATTGAATTGGATTACACCATCATCGACGTATGGGTACAGTGGCTTATTGAGGTGTTTGAGCTTGCAAGTCCCCAGATTTTGAGGGCTGCTAGGAGTGCATACAAAGACAGCATTGTTTGTGACGAGGACGGCCTATCGACAGATCCCGTGGATCTAATACCGGTGACTGTGGACGCTCTCTGGCACACGTTAAGCGCGGACTGCGTAGCAAGAGATGGGTGGGACACTTCTACAGCCCAGGAAGATCATGAGCAGACATTTCATCTCTTCCTGAGCAGCTGCCTCTTTCTCTCGCAAAAGGAGGTTGAGGGACCTTTGTGGGACACTGCAAAGACCATACTAGAGAAGAGCAATGGTGAGTGCCCAGACTATGATAGCGACTGGGGATGCGCATTCGGCTCTGCTACTCAAGGCCGGCGATTCGCAACGACTGCTCATGGACGGTTCGCGCTCATACCTGCGGCGACAGGCGAGGGAGATGAGATCGTGCTCATCGCCGACAGCCCTTACGTAATTCGCGCAGCGGGCAACAAAGACGACGGGTACATTTTGCTTGGGGACTGTTACGTCCACGGGATCATGCAGGGCGAGGCTCTGGACGAGTCACCTTTGGTCGACATCCCTCTTGTATAGTTGCGCGATCCCTTCACATGGATGAGAGGGAGGACCATCGCCAAGTAATAGATGTTGTACAAATCTTGTTGCCTCGGCAGCACCCGCACCCTTTGGCGCCTCCTTTCACCCTGCTTCACCGTGTTTTTCTAGTACCGCAGCAGCACACTCGACTGCTGTCGGATGATAGCAAGGGTAGCACGTGTCAGATTGGACAACGTGCTTCAATACAATTCCACAACCATCCAGCTACACTTGGTAGGCGGCAGACCCTGGGAAGACGCGCCGACACGCGTGAAATGCCAGCACGCTAACCCCAAGCAGGATCCACCCTGGGCGCTTCGCACGACCCAGCCTCCTCACTCACTTTGCGACCTGCAGCGCTTGCGTTGAAGCACCACCAAGCGCCAACAACCAAGATCACTTGCAGTCGTCCCGGAGCGAGTCTCGGAAGCTACCTTCCATGAAGCGTCGAGGCCTCCGGTAACCATCAGCCTCGTGCATAGCAAGGGTCTTTCCCCACTAGGGATGGTCATCAACCTGTACTCTGACGAGTACAGTAACCTGCAAAAGCCACACGAGCAATCCGGTGCATTCATTTGCGACCATGAGGGTGATTGCGGAGCAGAGTGCCCTTGCAGGTTGAACAAAACAACCTGCCGCGAAGCCTGCAAATGTCCTTCGACCTGTCCCCATCGCTTCCCTTATTGCGAGTGCGAGAAGGTCTGTACAACGGGGTGCCGTTGCATCGGACGTGGCCGCGAGTGTGTGCCAGGCAAGTGCAGAAATGGCAAGTGTGTCGAGAATGGCCAACGCAAATGCCGTTCATTCTTTCCCCGCAAGGCCCACGACTGCCTTTGGGTGGGCAAGTCTACCATCCCATACGCGGGCAACGGTCTCTTCACGAGGGGCGACATCAAGGCACACGAGTGTTTGGGGCGATACACGGGCACGATTCTGCCTGACGCTGAGATAGAGTGCAACGGGAAGACTGTAATGACGGCTTTTGCAGTCGCCAAAGGCAAGCAATCCGGTTCCCCTCTACTTGTTCCTAGCTGACGCCTGTACCAGACATGTCGATACAGGGCATTCATCCGAGCAATTGGCTGTACTGGGTCAATCATCCCCCACGTGATAAGAAAGCCAATGCCGAGTTCAGGATGATTGAAGGGGCGAGCGGACGTTTCGTCGTTTTGATGCCCACTCGGCGTATAAACAAGGGCGAGGAAGTTTTTGCGAATTATGCGTAAGTTCCTCACGTTTCTCTCTGAAGGCGTCGTACTCACACTATCACAGCGCAGATTTTGCCGGGTTCCCCGAACCGTCTGAAAAGCAAAGTCACGTATTGTGCGAGCAGGAATTGAAAAAGAACGACGACTACAGCGTCGGAGAATATATCCTCGTGTTCGGAATATGCGAAGTAACCGGCGACCACCATGTCTGGGTTGGGAAGATCGCAAAGAAGTATCATGGTGACCAATTCGGCGTCCACTGGTTGTATCACCCTTCCCAACTCCCCGAGGCCGACAACCTCGAATTACCACGGGCTGTGAAGCTCAAGACGCAGCAATTTGACCCATGGGAGCTTATCATCAGCGAAGAGGGCTCGATTGTTGATAGGAGCATAATCATGTCACGTTATGAAGGAATGATAGAGAGAGCCGCTCTCAAACGGAAAGAGCAGGGTTTCTGGTGGTGGGACTGGGTGATCCGGTACCGGGCCGTAGACGATCCCATTACGGGTACTAAAAGAACTCAGCCATTCATGGTCACCTCTAGAGACTACTTTAGAAAAAGAAAAAGAGTATCTAATTGGGATATCGTTGCACGGGCACAGGAGATGGGACTGCAGCCTATTAAACCGATCAAAATGGACAATATACTTGTGAAAGAGGAAAGGACGGAAACCTTGAACAAGGCAGAGACGACTGTCAAAAAGAGCAAGCGGACGACTCGGGATGCGCTCGAAAAGAACGAGCTTGACACACACAGAGCTAAGCGCCAGCGGCAGGCGCTGCAACGGAGCATTCACCTTCGGTCTAGAACACGTGATACTGATGACGAGGTATCTCAAGAACTGTTTGATGACGAGGACGACCATCATCGGGCGTTGCCTGCCAGAACTCAGCGCAATAGAAGATCATCGCAAACACCGTCCACTGCAGAAGATCTCGACGAAGACAACCAGTCTCGCAACGAGACGTCGAACGCTAGAGTTGCGCAAGACCCGATCCCTAGCAGGCTCAAATATGCTCTCCGATCGACCGAACGAAGCCATGTCTATGAGTACGACGAAGTGTCTGACGTTGATGAAGAGCTGCAGTATCTGTTCGTTGACCACGACGAGGAAGAGTCGGAAGAAGATGCGCCTGACACGCGAGAAGATGAGATGGAAACACCAGATCTAGTCGACGGCGACACTGACAGCGCGTTTCCCACAGCAGTAACGCCAATGCCTGCTCCTGTGTCTGGCCCCGGCGCCATAGAGAGGATAACCCCGGAATTGGAATGGCCCTGCACATTCATTATACAGAGTGACATGCTCAGGGACATGCCGAGGGATATGCCGATGGACAAACCGATAGGCGTACCCCTGGGCATACCGATGGGCATACCGAACTCACCACCCCCGGCAAACTCCAGTCGTAGGCGAGGCCCCGCCGTGCCGCTGGAAAGGTGATGAAGAGACGGCACGTGCAGCTATCACTGGACAAATCAAGGACTCATTCGTATTGCAGAGCGATTGCCTACGACCAACTTTTCTCTCCGCCCAACCCGGCAAACCCAGCTTCTGACGTTCAGCGATGCTGCACCTTGTCAGCGCGTTCTCTTCCGCACCTCGCTCGAAACTCTCCAGCGCACCTTGACGAACCCGATATCCGCCGCCTTCTCCCGGAACGCCTGCCGGCTCATGTTGAGCCCGTACTTGCGGATCACACCCGCGTGCTTCTTCTCGCCGGTGACCACACTGCGAAGAGCTCCTTAGCACCCATCCAACGTAATCTAATCCTCCTCGTGTCTGGCCGAGTAGGGAAGTTTGCGGACTGTGTGAGGGGGAGGGGAGGCTTACCAGCTCCGCGAGCCCTTGCCGTAGGTGCGTGGGCGCGAGTACCAGACGGAGTCGTGCGACATTTTAAGAGTGTTCCACGTCGGTCTGATGGTGTGTGGGATTGTTAGGCGAAGAGAGGTGTATTGGGTGTGGGAACGTGGTTTTGTGCGCGGTGCGGGAGGGCTCAGTACCATGATGGGTAGCCGGGCCATTGGGGTGCGCAACGGGGATTTGCCACGCGCGAACGACAGCGACATGGATTGGCGACGGCCTTTGGGCGCTTGTTTTTGCTATTGCGTGGCACTTGGTGTTTGTTGCGCGATGTCGTGGTAGTGGAACTGACACGCGTGTGATTTTCGGACTGCTTTTCCATTTGCTTTTTCATTTCTTTGCATCGCTTTCTCATAGCATTGCATCGACAGCGGCTTAGCGAGGAGCGTGCAGATACCTTTTTCGTCATTTATGTGTTGCAGCTCTAAACCTTTCTGTGTTTGGCGGTGTCCGGGCGAAGAGGGATCGGTGACGAGCATATATACTCCATAGTTTTCGGCATTCAGTTAGAACACACACCGAATAAACATACATTGGTAATAGTGTCCGACTTTCAATTGCTTTGTGCATGGATCCTCCATGTTTTACCTAACTTCTCCCCCAGTCCCACTCCGCACATCCCACCTGCCCAGGAACGTGGCATTGTAGTTCAGCATTTGCTAATTGGGAGACCGTTCCTCTCGCAGAAGAGGCTGGACGTGAGATAGAATGGACAAGAAGCCTGAGATTCCATGGTGTGGTGCTTAACTTGAGTTACGTAGGGAGCGGTTAGTGGTGATGATGGTTATCGTCGCTGTCGTTGGGTACTCCAAGATTTCATGGGCGGCACTGGTTGGACTTGGTCCACAAACCTCGTGGCTACATGGGCATGTGCGCGGCAGGAAGATGCTCGAAAAAAAAAAAAGTACCAAGCGAATAGAAAAAAACCCCAACGCTTCTGCGGCCCGGGCTCTGCATTCTCTGAAAGCATTAGTTTCCACTCGGAGCCGGACACCAGTCTCCTTCACCCAACTCAATCCTCGCCGGAGACTAAAAATGAGCACACATGTGGAACTGTCTCTGGTGTCGAACCTGGAACAAAAAGGGAAGGTGGAAACGCAAAAGGTGTTGACCGGATTGCTTCTTTCCTGCAACAGCCTGGGAACGCTCTGTCTGACATTCTCAAAGGCGATGACCCTGACATCATGGAGGAGCCCGGCGGTCTGTCTTATGAATGTTAATGCTATCGTGCGGAGAGAACTACAGAAGCTCACAAGTCTTTTCAGCTGTACGCCACGGGAATGTGTGTGCTGTACATTCGGCCGAAAACCTCAAAATGATGATGACGACCATCATTGCTCGAAGAGTGACGCGCCAGCTTGATCGCGAAAGACGGGTGGGTCATAGGCACGCGGACTGAGGGAGAATTCCAGTGGATTCAATTCATGTCAATTACCTAGAACCTATATCATTCAGACCGTTTCCTAGCGCTTCAAGGTGCCCAGAAGAGCATGCTGTTGTATCCCGTAATCCATCCAGTACTCCGAACGCCCGCATCACCATCTTCTCCCCTACAACATCGCACCGAAGACAGCTGATCCCAGCACCATAGCCAGCATGCCCAAGCCAGCCTTGCTCACGCCCTGCGGCACAACCGCGGGCGCCGCACCGGGGCTGCTCGTCGAGCTCGACGCACCACCGCTCGTCTGGCTCCCCGTCTCCTTTGCTCCACTCCCACTGCTGCTGGCCCCGCTCACCTTGCCCGTCGCCGTCGCATTGTTCGGCTGGTTGCACTGTATACTGCCAGCCTTGACGCCACCATCTTGCCAGCACTTCTGCAGGTCTGCGATGCTCTGGTCCGCCGCGAGACACCACAGCGCGCAGTCGCTGCCCCAGGTCTCAACAGGCGCAGACTTGCAGCAGCCCTTGAGAATGTCCTCGTAGTTGTCGGGGACCCCGGACGTGCCGCCGACCGCGCAGGCGGCGTCTTTGGTGGGGAACTCGGTGAAGGAGGTTTGGGCGCAGGCGGAGTTGGAGGGAGCAGGAGCAGACGAGACGGCCGAGGAAACGGCTGAGGAGACGGCAGATGAGGCGGGGGAGGACATGGTGGGTGGCTGTGTGGTCTATGAAATGTTAGAATGGGTGTAGAAGTGGAGTTTGGGGGGCGCACATTGATATAAGTCTTGGGTTATTGAAGGCGAGGGTCTGTTGACTGCGTGGTTCCTGTGTGAGAGCGAATGTCAGTTGTTCAATAGTTCGCAGCGCAAGCACGATCAAGGCAAGCAAGGGCTCATAAAGTCGAATGACGCAGGTCCGACGGTTTCACTCCCGTGCCACTTCCAGCCGCGCTTCAGCCAGGCGGTGGCCGTGTCGTGCAGCGCCCACGACTGCCAGCCCGCATTTTCAGGGCACGGTTGTCGGGGAGACCAGCGCAGCAGGCGCCGTGTAAAAATAGTGTGGCGCGCATCGACTGTGCCGGCTTTGCCATGTTCCCGCATCGCATGCAAATTGGGATGAGCATCATTCGACAAGTTGACGGATGGATAGAGTAGGGCCGTGTAGGCAGTGGAGGATGAGATTCTGGACGGGTACAGTGTAAGCGCGGTAGATCCCGGTTCCTGTCCCTGATCACGCGTTCCTCCGCAGTCCGGACTTGCTTGACACAAAAGGCAAGATTGGTTCTTGATGAAACAGATGTAATTAGACTTGTGATTTGCATTGCATTTGCTTTGATGTGGCTATAGCATCTCGTACTCCGCTGCCGCCATCATGAAGCTACCCGCACCCTTGCCGTCATTCTCACCCAGCGGTACACCGATATAATACTCGTAGCTGCCGTTCGAGCCCAGACTTCCAACCGACACCGTGCCCTCCCAGCTGAGCGTTCCATTCGTCTCATACTTGATGAATTTCTCAATCATAAGATCGTACGCCTTGATTGCCGGTTGCTTGTACTGGCTGTCCAACAGGCCGGTACGCACTCCCTTCAAGAATCCGTACGTGAACATGGCCGTACCGCTGGACTCGATGTAGTTGCCCTTCGCTCCAGGGTAAGGCTCATCCATGATGAGCCACCAGCCGCCGCTCTTGTCCTGCGCCTTCTTCAAACCTGCCGCGAGGCTCGTGAAGTAGCCCAGGAGGCGCGCGTACCCGGGCAGTTCCTTGGGATAGATTTGGAGAACCTCGACAAGCACCATAAAGTACCAGCCAACCGCACGATCCCACACGTGCGGCGCTGCCCCCGTGACAGGGTCTGCCCAAACAGCTTTCTTGCTCCCGTCATATCCATGGGCCAACAAGTTGGTCGTCTGGTTCCTCGTGTGCTTCTCGATCAGGTCGAATTGCAGGATGATATCGTTCCATGCCGTCGTGTTGTCAGGCTGGAAATACGCCGTGTACTGCGCGTAGAATTGATCGGCCATGTAGATGCCATCGAGCCACATCTGGTTAGGGTATGTAGGAGACCGATGCCAGAAGCCTCCTTCATCATTTCGCGGGAAGCGGTCGAGCTGAGCCTTCAACGAAGCTGCCGCAATCTCGTACTTCTTCTCCTTGCGGCCTTCCGCATCCCAGAAGTAAAGGATGTTGTTACCGAGGCGCTGGTCATCCAGGGAGTAGTAGTACGGGTCCCAGTTCTTGATGGTACCATTGGCATCCACGATAGAGGAGATTGCTTTGGAGGCCCATGAGAGCAGAGTCGCATTCTTGTGTGCGAGCGCTGCCTTCCTTATGCCTTCGTTGATGACATTGGAGACATAGTGATTGTCGATTGGGTGCTTCTTGGACAGGAAAGAGTCTGCCATCCATGTTGAGTAGAAGCTCGTCACATTAGTAGGTGCAGCGGCAGCTGCCGTCGCACTGGCGAGAAGAACCGTGGACACGCGCATACTGATCGACCTCTGAAACTTTCGAAGTGGCAACAAGAAACAATGAAGACTGAGCTCGGAGTCGATCGCAACCTGATAATTAGGAGCACATCTTATACCCTACGTGTAGACCTCATATCGCCCCTGATAGTTGTAATTTCCTCCGTGCCATGCCTTGGCATCTGCGGGAGCAGATTGAGGGGTTGCGATGCATCGAGGGATTCTTCGTTAATGAGCAACTTTCCTCGGTCGAAACTCCACCCTGGGTGTGAATAAGGCCCGAAGACTACGCTCGGCGGGAGGCGGAGAGCGGCAGGTGGAGAATTGGCGCGCTTGGAGACGGAGAAATTCCTGATTCGCTGCATGTTTCGTTGGAAGGGCTGTCCCGCAAAGCGGCTTAGGTCAGCGCAGCTTGACGCGTTCCTCAGCTGATGTCGGAAATATCTTTACTTCAAGGTTAAGTGCTGGTCGAACTTGACCGAAGGATATCTGGACGTGGGCTGTGATGTTGGGGCACTGGGAGCGGGAAGGAACACGCGAGCGGAGCTTAGCTCGCGATAAGCTCGTGGCTCTTCCTCTCGCGTCGCCCTTCCGGTCTCCATCCCACCTGGCACATAGCTTGTCGCGACGGAGGCGACCCAATAGACAATTCCTAGGATGCGCAACAGATCCGCAATCTGATCGCGAATGGTACAAACTACTGATACTAGATTACGGCCTGCTTTCGTAAGAATGCGTCTTCAATTTTGTGAGCAGTCGCAGGAGGAACAAGGCCACCTGAGAAAGTCAATATGAGCGCGCTCTCTGAGGCGACCTCATTCTTACCTCCATAGAATGGTAAATTCAGGATTGATCTGCAGTCCTTTCCACTTGCGACGATGCCTCTTTCTCTGGTACGCACCGAGCAGGGAAGGAACTATCTTCCGACCCACTGCTACCCGCTTCCAGTCCCATCGAAAGGTGTCGACGGCCATACGGATCGTGTTCCCCAATCATTCAACAGTCTGATAGCTCCCTTCTCTGAACTCTGCTCGCATTCCTCCTCGACTCAGCCATATGCCAACATCTGATTCCATGCTCGTATTGTGTCCAGGATGATCTTCCTCCTCCTAGCTCTCAACATCATCTGCTTACCCAATTTTGCTTTCGCTTCTCTAACACAGTCTTTGGAAGGGAAATGGGTCAATGCAAAAGTAGCTGCGGATAGTATTCGCGATCCCGATCCAAAATACCACCCTAATATCTCTCAGCGTATTCCCACCCCAGATTGATATGATAACATGAAGCCGAGATACCCAGATCTCCACTTCGACGAGTATGTCAGTCTAGCCATAGAACACCCGTTGGTCACCTGCTTGGCACAACTATGAGGTCGTCCTGTACCATATATTTGCCGGGAAAATTAGCCAAAGAAGTGGAAATATGCCATATGCTAGCAGAGAGCGGCAGAATTATCGATCTGTTCAGATTTTGAGCCTCCGGAACAGCCCTACGGTGGAGCGGATGGCCCCAACATGCACTATTGTGTAGATGCATATGTTACCCGTTCCTTAACACCTGATGATCTATCATCAACTACCACCTGGTCACCATTGCAAACTTTTTGCTAGAAGTCAAGTGGTGGCTTTACATGTGATCCGAGGACCATGGAACTTGTATTATCAGTGTTTTTGCATGGCTTATCTTGGGTCGACTTAATGTCCTCAAAAATTGGACGGTGTTGCAAACTTTGTACAATCCTAGTTCATACTTGCAACCCCAGGTACGAAAAGACCCTAGGCGATGGCCCAAGTACGTATCATTCTCTCTAGAAATGCTCCAATTTGAAGTTTCTAGTAGAGGCGAGAGACGTACTCATCAATTTGCCAATCGCCCAAATTCACACCATGGCTAGACACATGTCTGCTAACATGTCTCCTCAAGAGAGGATAGAAAATGCAGTTGCGTGCTCAACTGGTGGATAATCGATTGCCCATACAATTTCATGGTGTAAAGGCATCCACCCCGTGCACATTCACACGGACACTCACTCAGGCAATTTGAATATAAATCGCATTTGTATGCGATATCACAATTATGGGCACCTAATTGAGGGTTCGAAGAAAACCTTAGTGAAACCACATCGTTGGAACGATACGGACGCCAACACCGGCTTCAATCCATATCGCATGAGACCCGAAGAGCATGGGACGTATGCTGAACACTACTTGGAGAATGGGACGTGTTTTCCACGGGAAAAGCCTTATCACCCTCTGGGCCATGTCAACGGATTGACCCTCAAAATGGCCGCACTTGAGACATGCGAGAAGGACCGACAAGACTCCCCTGTCGGATCTACCAATATGTCGATGCCTCGAATTCAAGGTGTTACGTTCTACAACAAGGACTGGGATCATTACCACCTACTGCAATACCACGAACAACAAGCAAATGCAGTCGGTGTGCGCTTGACTGCGGATTGGGAAGATCACAAGTATCCGAGTGGGAGCTTGAACATGGACTCTGTGACATGCAGAGAAAGGATTTACGCGACGGCAACGTGCGGCTTCTCTAGCCGTGAATCCAAGCCCATTGCTTCGGGAGTAAGCCTGTTCGATCACCAAGGTCATGTTCTGTTGGTGGAGGTTGAGTCCCGGGAGCTCTTCGAGAACGAGAGGAGGTCGACTCCGAAGTTCATACAACCCCTTCAGCCTCAAGAAAGCATGCTCTCTATAGATACTGGAAATTACGGCGATAAAGACGCGGTCATCGTAATCGTCACTGAGGCTCCGTCCAGCATCGCCGAACCCAGTCACGCGCCTGTGGACAGTAACAATGCGGGTCTGGCGGAACCGTCAGGACCAACAAGCACGGCGACTCCGAGTGTGCTCCAAGCCGCATAGAACCAAGCCCGGCCATCGGATGCGCTCTACTCTACTCGCATCAGCATCGTGGGGTCGGTTCTCACCGTTAAAGTCAAGGGTACCAAGCAAATCAAGCGCAGAAAACTAAGCCCGGCTCACCGACTATCACGGGACTGGGACACTTAGATGCCACAATCACCAAGAGCCAGGCATCTGAGTCAATCTCACCGACTACCTCTCGCTCGCGGACTAGACATCGGCCAGGGAACAGGCCAGTATTCACCAAGAACATGGATGGTCCCATGGCTCACGGCCACGAGTGAGCCTCGGAATTGATAGGAGGACACGACTGGAGACGAGGCATCGTTCCTTGAGTTTCTACAGGCTGGAGGACCTCATTGGCTACTTTTGTTCTTTTGAGCTGGAATCGGTAAAGGAAGCAGCGAAGAAAAAGAAAAGTGATATTGTTGCGTGAGGAGGCGTGCGAGGGGGCGAGAAGTCTTTGAGTATGGACGATGGAGATCACAACAGAGCGTGGTAGTTTTGGTACCTTGTCTTTCCCCAGGCTAGGCGATCTGGTGCTTATGCCCGCTGCAAGATCTGGCTCGATCTCGTGCAGAGTGAAGGATACTGTCTTGTTTCCGAAACTCGAGAACGCATAGTGCGAACTTCATGACATTCATAGCCCTGCCCTCAAGTGTGTGGGCACTTAATGATTTGAAAGCATATACGTGCTAGAGGCCTGTTCAAACAAACGAAACGCCTGGTCATGAGTTGATCATGCGCCAGAAACGGCGTGCGCCTATGAAGTATTTGGCATAGCTTGTGCCGCATCTGTCCCACCATCCGAAGAAGCCGTCGTACTCACACCGCTATCAGCAAGCACCGAAGGATCCGTCGATGCAGTCAGTTTCCCGCTCGTCGCAGACCCATTGACAGACACATCCCCTTCAGCAGGGGCGGTGAGACCCTTTCGCACTTTGAGAACGAGATCGACGATGACAGCATCGATGCCTTCTTGTTTCTGGATCTATATGTTGTTAATGAAGAATTTAACGATTTGTCGACGAATCAGCTTACCTGCACGTTCTTGGGGTCGTTATTCTTTGTGCCATAGCTGACGCAGACTAGACTGCTCTCCTTCACCACCCGGATTAAACGTGGACAAGCAACGAGGGGTTCCGCCGCGCTCACGACACCAAGAAGATTCCATCGACTGGCGAACCGAATAGCCTCCTGCAAGCTTCCCGCGCGGACATCACCGACCGGACTAGTGCCGGCATCGGTGAGGAACAGAACCGGGATGGAAGGCTGTTTGAACGACAGCATGAGGCAGATGTCGGGGTTGAAAGATGAGAAGATGATATTGCGACTGCCCATCTTGTCGTACACCATTCGCAACACCGTGTCGACAAAGGAGTTGAGCTCGACAGCGTAGGAGTCCATTTCTTCCATCTCGGATTCGTAGAGCATGGGGTACTTCATCTCGATATTGAAGCCGGTGCTTTCCGGCAGTTTTGCGAACATTTCTTCCAGCGTTGTGAAGGGTTCGTGGATGGAGTGACCTCTGCTGTTTCCCTTGAAGCCCTTGTCTTTGAAGTCGCGCGTGTGCTTGATTCGTTCAACGTGCTGCGCTTCGTGATAGGCATGCATCTTCATCTGCTGTCCGTGATCCACCGAGTATGAGCGCAATCTCCGTGGCAAAGGAGCAGCCCCGTTGTCTGTGGTATCATTCATACTGCGTCCGTGTTCTGGGGAACCGGATTTAGATTGCTGTGGCGCTTGGCGCCTACCCAGATGCATGAATTGATCGTAGGTCAAGGTGTGAACCGGTGCGTCAATCCCAGTCTCACTGACAAGGAAATCGTGGTAAATGACGGGGACGTGATCTTTCGTTAGCTGGACATCGAACTCGACGTATTCCGCGCCTAGATTGGCTGCCGCGATGAAAGAGGAGATAGTGTTCTCCCCAAGTTGGAGAGAGTCACGAGTGTTGGTGTTCTTTCCGAGGCCTCTATGCCCGATCACCATAGTGGATTCCACCGTCTTCCAATACGTATGCTGCTCTGTGATGGATAGATTCGGATGAGAGAAGGGCGTGATGATGATAAAGTTGAAGTTAACCGATCCAATGACGTCCATGGTGCTCGCGGCAACGATAGGGACGCTGAGATCACCCTGCAAAGGAATTCGCTTCGAGCCAAGAATGGTCTTGAACGTGGAAAGGAGGGCAACTCCGCGTCCGACAATGCGGTCATTCGAGCCAGCATAGGTTGGCACGATATCGAAAAGAATCTTGACCTTCGAGATGTCCTTTGTCTTGAAGGTAATTGGCTCTGTACTGATGTTCTCCTGGACAGGGAGGTCAACAACAGTAGGTTCGCCTTCCGCGCCTGAGGATGACACAACGACCGAAAGAGCTGTGTCCAATTGTGTAGCATGCGCGTCCGAAAATGGTATATCGTCCAGCTTGACCGCTGGAACATCTTTGCGAGGGTCCATCGAACCTAAGCTGACTAGAACCATGGTCTGATCTGTGAGATATCGATGGCCGAAGGACTTCAACGACTCAACGGACTTTTGCTGATAAGAGCCTTCCCTGCTCAAGTTCTTCGATCTGCGTTCTTCAAGAGAAGACACCTGTGTTGGCGGGGCTAGGCTTTCCGCAACTCCTGGTTTTGCAGGTGCGATTTCCTCCAGGACCTTGATAATGTCCATGTGCCCACGAAGAGCTGCATGCTCACGAGCCGTCCACCCGTCACTGTCTGCGCGGTCAAGGTCCGCGCCGTGTTCGATGAGAAGCCGTACCATAGAGGCATGGCCGTCTACACAGGCGATGAAAAGTGGTGTCCAACCGAAGGTTTTCTCGGGAATGTCAACCTCCGCCTTGTGCAGCGCGGAACCTGCAAGAAGTGCTTTGGCGCTTTCTTCGTGGCCGAAACGCGAGGCAACATGTAACGCGGTTTCGCCTTGCTCGCTCCGAAAGTTGACATCGACTCCCGCGTCCACCAAAAGTTTGACAATCCTTACAAAATTTGACTGCGTGGCCACAGCTAATACTGCGCCTGAGTTGGGTATCACGGTGTTTGCAGAAGTTGCGGCGATGCCAGCTTCTAGCAAGGTCTGAGTCGCTAGTGGATGGCCGCCGATGACAGCAAGGTGGATGGGTGCGTAGCCTTCGGTGTCTTGCCAAGCTGGAGAATCAATGCCTCTGGTGATGTCGAACTGGTTCCATGCTTGCATATGTTTGACGATAGTCTGTAAGACTGCCACGAACCCATATTGAGCAGCGTAATGGAGCGGTAGGCGTCCATACGTATCCCGTGATCGCAGAGAAACTCGCTGCGCCGGTTGAACGTTGTGGAGCAGATAGTCGAGCAGCTGCACGGTTTCATCCGCGTCACTCAGAAGTCCGTTGGACTCGTTTTCCGTTGTACTACCTAGCAGAGGCAGCCTGTTTGGAGCAGCAGCTGGGGTAATGAAGTTTGGTTCCGTGGATGCTGGTAGAACTTGACCGTCAGAGCCCTGAGTCTCGCCGGTCCTTGCACGCCCAATGGTAATGACGAGACGATGGATGCAATTGCGCTTGTTGATATCGTCTTCTTCTTCCAGAGAAGTAAGACGAGACAGTAACGCAACCATGCAAAGCTTCGCGCGACATGAAATCGCACGCTGAAGGAAGTTCAGCAATGTCTGCTGAACAGAGGTGGAAATGGCAGCGAGGTCATATCTCGTCGAGATATCTGATGTTATGCGAGAGAGGTTCTCTGCATCATCAGTTCGAATAGCCTGGTCAACACTATCCAATAAGCTCGAAGGAAGGTTCAAAGAAGCTCCCGGAATCCTGCCAAGGGAAGCTGCTGAATGTGAGGAGCCGGTGTCGTCGAAAGTTTTCACTTCATTTAATCCGGATAGCCAATCGTTGATATCCTTCAGATTCTTGCCCAAGGGGATGTTGTGCGCAAAAGCTTTGGGATACACCTTTGATTGTAAGTATCGCTGCTGTGTTGTCACGCCTGCAATCTTCTTATCCAGCTTTTTTGTGATCTTGATAAAGCCTCGTCGATTGACTTCGCCATACCACTGAAGGTTACGCAGCGCGCTGCGCAACTCAAGTAGCGCACCTATTAGATCTTCTTTCTCATCCCGATCAATGCCCTCGGGCAATTGAGCAGCACGACCATAACGCCTTTCGAGGAGTTTGAGACGCCGATTGTATTCGGCATATTTCTTGTTATAAAAACCATCAACATCTTCCAGATTGCGGTCGAGGGAGAAGAAGAACTCTGCGCCCTCTGTGAGCCTCCGTACACCAGGATGATGTCGATAAGACTTGCCTGCAAGATCAGGGTCTTCGCCACTCTTGACGGATTCGACGGCGGTCTTGATGAGCTTCTTTAGGCCTTTGTAGTTGATGTAGGAGGAAGCCCACTCGGGAACCTGATTCCGGGACAGATTGTGCCCAAACTTCATGGCTGGCAGATGGTATGCTTCCAAGGTTGCTTGTGGGAGGAGTGCCGCTTAAAGGGCAGCCGCGCCCAGAGAACTCGCTATTTCACAGCGTTGGTTGCGAAGACGTGGAACAAGCAAAGGGAGCCGTTGTTGATTGCGCAATATCAAGGTCGATATGTACCGGGACCCTGCATTCTGGTGAGTTGATAGGTAGCTATTCGCGACGCGGAGTCCAAACACGAGGCAATGCGCGGCAGCTGATTGGCCGGTGGAAGAACGAGAACGAGCCACGCTGCATCTTTGTGAGCTTCGCCCAGCACAGTGACGCTTAGCGCTACCGAACTATCTCCAAAGGAAACTTGGTGGTGAATGTCTTGCGGCAAAGGTGGACTGTGAAGTGGTGGGTGCGCACCAATGACCAAAGCGGCGCGCATGCGATAGCGATAGCCGTTATGCACGTGTCTGGCAGCGGTTGCAGAATGCCAGAATTCAGCCAACGTACAAAGAAATTCGTGTACGTGTGTGTGTACGACCGATAGCAGAGACGCGCTATATGAATTCTTTGAAGACCAAGAAAGCTCTGTGCATATCACCCGCCACCGCCTCGGCGATTCACGCACCGTACCGTGTAGCGTTGCGTCAGAGCTGCAGGCCCTAAACCCACATCGTTCACATTTTGACATTCGGCACACCTTCGCTTTCTCCATGCGCGCATGCCGATGTATGCTTATGCAGCCACGGCGTGTCGTGCTGCGCTCTGTGTGGTCGCGTCGTGATTTGTTCTCCACAGCAACAATATCCCATAGATCAGGATGACCGTCGCGCAGTCACTGGATGAAATCTGAATGCGCATGCAGGGTCTCAGCTAGTCGTGCATCTCACGATGTGCCCAGGTGCGGCAGGTGCTCACGCGACACTTTGCCCGCCTGCCAGCCCCACTACGTGTTCATCAGGTTCACACCGCTTCACGTGCCAAAGAACACGCCCGCGAGCGCTAATGGAAGGAATAGGCTGCTCTTTTGGTCTTATTTATAATTGTTCAACCAACGTATCATTGTTGCGTAGCATAACCTTCATAAACATCGGATAGTTTGTACCAGTGATCCCGGCTTGGGTGTAGTTTTTGGTCCTTGGGGTCTCGTGCCCAAGAACAGACCAACGATCCTGTCTTTTTTTTAGGTGAAGAAAAATGCATTACCCTCGTTGTCTTTCCGTTGCACCTTAGAAAGATCCTTTTCGGGTTTGTATTCTTCCCAGACACTGGCAGGAAAGATGTGCTTGTTCCGCTCGTACCACCTTCGATCAACGACCTTAGTCAGAGCTGGATCTTCGCTGAAGCCCTCCAGCTCCTCATCTGGGAACGTAGGGGTCTTATCTTTGTTCTGCCCGGGTCTCTCTAATGGATTGAACGTGGCAGGGTCGGGCTCCGGGCCTGCCACCGGTGTCGCCTTCGTTGGTTGCGCTGAGTAATCGAAGATGGGCCCGTTGAAACCCGCAACTTTGTTGAACAAGAAGTAGTAGAAGTCATAATGCTGTGTAAAAGTCAGCCTCAGGTGATACGGCATATGCATGGCCTCAACATACTGGTGGTAGGATCACCTCACCCCTCACAAGCATGAGGTCGTCAACATTGACCCGGGCCCAGTCTCGTCTGCTTTTATCGCCGCCAACACCAAGCTCAGCACCCACTTTCCGGGCTCTGTCAAGAAACAGCCAGATATGGTCACCCTTCTTCACCCTGCAACGGCCGCCTGGGATATTCGTCCCGTCGTAGAAGACGTATGGTATTACCACCTCAGTCGCCTTTACGGCCTCACGCATGGCCAAGAAGTCCTGCCGCGCCAGATCCGCTTGCTGCGCCTCGCGCTGCAAAGCTGTCTTCGTCATAATCCGCGGTTTCAACCCTATGCTCGTGTTGGCGCCGAGCTTTTTCTTCTTGAAGGCCTTGCCCTCGGTTTCAGAATTCACCGCGGATGAATCGGTAGGCGTGTTGTTGCGAGGCGTGGGGATTGCGGAGGTGCTAGAGTCTGCATCTTCGTCTGCATCGATGCCGAAGGAAAGCTTGCCTTTTGCAGCTATCTTGCGCTTCTTCTTGAACGAGGGTATTGGTGTTGTTGCCCTGTACTTTGCAAATTAGCTCTATGATGCAGTGCCTACTTGCTGTATCACACGTACCCATCAGCCGGAGTGCTCGCACTTGAGCTGCCGCGCTCCTTCTGCTCCAGCGCTTCGGCGCGTCTTTTGCGAAAGTCATCGAGGTGGACGAGGCCGACGGTTTGCGACTTTAGCAGATCCTCTGCTGTTTCTGCCTGCGCAGTGAATCGTCCAGTTACAGGTGTGCCACTGCGAGAGCGATCACTTGCGCTGGGTAAAAATTTGTCCATGTCGAGATCTCAGAGTAATGCGTAAGTGGTGGTGGATCAGAAGGTGCAATTGGCGCCAGTCGTGGGGGGTACTTCCCTCGACGAGAGGTCACGCCGCGACGCGTTTAGCGCTAGTCTCAAATCATCACTCTCAACACACCGCGCGCTTCCACGCATTGTCCCGCCAGCAATTGCGCACGACAACGCGCATTGGGATGCGGGAACGCCATGAGGATCATACAGGACTCCGAGGGTGAGGATGACCTTGAGCTTGAAGCGGCTGAAGCCATCAGACCAGATGGAAACGCGACATCAGAGCACATTAGCAGTAGCACTTCTCCCAGACTAGGGGAGAAAGGAACTGGCTCTACCGGTACGTAGCCACAGTATAATATGGACCAGATCCTTTCGTTGACGGGATACAGAGTCTCTGAAGCGCGCCATCGTCGCTGCACATCGCGCACAGTTCCGGGATGACTCGTCTGATCGACCGGGCCAGGGCGACCAGTCTGGGGTACCTCCAGCTGCAGATGCATCTGCTTCAAGCAAATCTCAAGACGCTCCGCAATCCTCCATTTCGTTGCCTGGACATGCCAGTAAGCGGAGGAGGACGTCATTGGATGGTGCAGTTGCACTTGGTTCCGCACGTGACGTTCTGCCGGCGACCTTGGATGAACGCCACAACGAACAACTTAATACCAACAACCATCTGGGAATTGTACCGGAGAGACCTTGGGACTTTCAAGGAACTATGCGGGAGGTCTGGGAGCACCACGAACCGATGGGCTTATTCGCGCAAACTGTGTCCAGTACTATTCCCAACGCCACCGCCACTCAAGAGCAATTGCTAGCAGAAGTCCTAGCACCAGGATTCCTTGGTGTTGAACCGGAACCCGACCCTACTGCAGCCAGATATGAACCGGCCAAGTCGTCAGTACCATGGTCGGAATACCTGAAGTCGTCTTCAAGAGCTCCTGAAGGGCGGTCTCAATCTGCCGTGCACTTATCTTCATTCTCACAGAACAACGCATGTTCACCAGCAACGAATTTGGTTGGAACTCCGATCTATAATGAGCCAAGGGCAGAATCCCCTGATCCACTTCAGTACGCATCCCTTCGCAAGGTGCAAAGATAAAGCGCACTAACACATGCCTTCTCTAGCCCTGGTCCCGTCGGTCAGGCGTTCAGCGTTGAAGTCACATCCGGCGAAGCAGAGCTGCAAAGTACTGCACCCAACACGATTACTTCCCCTGGCAACACCGAGCAAAAATCTGCCTCTGTACCAAATTCCGAGGACGACATAGTTCCCATAGGAGTCTCCTTGGAGCGGTACAGGCCTCGTCCAAGTCGGTCAAGATCTCTGAAACTCAACTTGGAGGAATCCATCGACTATTCTCAAAGGCCCGAGAGGTTCACCAAGAAGACGCGTCGAACACGGACGACCGGGGAAGTAGATACCACATCTTCTGCCACCACGCCAGAAAAGGTTCGACAGATCTGCGACATGGGGTTCACCCCGTTGACCACCAAGAAAGGTAATGTCCCTTGAGACTTCAGCACGGCGTTCCCTTCTAATGGTACTTTGTAGCCCTTCGACAGCACAATGGTGATGTCTCGCATACCATAGACTGGCTGATCGCTAACGGTCTTTCAACTGAGGACAATATGGGTCCAGAAAAGCCTGAGAGATCAAAGAACAGTAAGCAGCCCTGTTGATTTGGTGTGATAGAATGCCTGTTAAGCCTTCCACAGCAAGAGAGTCGAAACGAGTAGAAGACACACATCATGTTCCAACCGATATGCATTACGGACAGAGCGCAGAGACGCGTGTGCAAATTTCAAATGCCGCAGTCGACCCGAGTACGATTGCCATCGAAGAGGATGTCTCAGAATCTGCATGTATAACTTCAGTCAGAGGAAGTGCTACGGCCGTAAGGGTAGTCATTCCGATGAAGCCCACTACGCTGTCCAAAGATGTGGAACATCAATCAATAGCGCCGATTGATTCTGATCATGTCTACGATGAAGAGACTGCAAAGCACCAGAATATGTCTGAACCACCGGAGCTCCAGTCTGAGCAGCAGGGTATTGTTGTGAAGGAGCCTCAAAAGAAAAAGAAACGTGGACGGCCTAGAAAGGAAGCAAAACCGATAGAGTCTATCACAGAGGAACCAGAGGCTAAGACCAGCAAGCCTGACACCGCAGTGATCGCCCCGGATGAGCAACTGGAAGACTACACACAAAAGCCGGACAAGCCGGAAAGTCCTGCTCCTACAGAGGCGGTACCAAACGAGCGTCAATCCAGTGGTGCTAATGCCAACAGAGATACGAAGATTGATCAAGTCACCTTGGAACTACAACCACCACCAGAGAAAAAAGTCAAACAAACAATCGAGTCGCCGTCATCGATCGGCAAAGGCAAAACGCCCTACAGAGTTGGTCTCAGCAAGCGTGCTCGTATCGCTCCTCTTCTCCGCATCGTAAAAAAATGAGCGCCGAAGACGTTCACACGCTGGAGAAAGGACGTATTGGTTGTTCTTCACGAAGTCACGAAGTTTATCCAAGATGATACCCCACCTTCCCCTCCATAATTGCACTTTAGTCCTTGTTCAGCTGCATCGATGTCGCCATGGCGTGCGCAGCCAACGTTTTGAGTTGTGGCTAGTGAGCTATTAGGGAGTTTGCACAACTTCTTCTCGTGCTCTTCCACTTCTATGTTTAGCACGCTCGGTAGATGCGAAAGCGTTATCGCTTCTGTGACACTGCACGGTGAAAAGCACAAGCGACGCCAATCACCAATTTCTTGACAACAGCGCGAACGCGAGGATTCAATCGTCTGGGCCAGAGCGTCGGAGCAAAGCGCTGAAGTTGCCGAGATAGCCAAGATGTGCTCGACTCTTGTTTTCGGATCTACGCCAGGGGTACCCTTCGCGACCACTCTAATTCCTCTCCAAGAAAGGAAGAGTGCCAAACAATACACTATTGACAGTTTCAGGTGGACATATTCAACGTCACTCTACGGCGAAAATCGAAACGCGACTTTCAAAAGGTCTTCCGTTGCGACTATACCGTATGCACGAGCACTACTGCAGCACTGGCGGTGGCGGAACATGTGCGCCGCGTGCGAGGAGGTGCACGAATTCCAGGCGGACCCGCTGCTACCGGGACTCGGGATCATCATGCAAGTGCCCTGACTAATGCAGGCACAAGGCTAGCTGCACATCCAATAGATCTTAGTTCAATCTTGGCAGGTTCTCCGTTGTCTTTGCTTGCCGCTACGCTTCAGTCGTAGGCCCTGCAGTTATCGTCCCTCCTGAACATGGTTCCTCGGAGCGTTGAGAATATGTACAGGATCAGTGACGATCCGACTGTCCGCGTACGTCTTTCGAACTATCCATGCAACACGAAACTGGCCAGGCTCGTTTCAGTTTTCAATTATGGAAAACGCGTTGAGGTGGGTCCTAACCACGACCGTATTCAGAACTTTGCTTGCCTGGTCAGGCACCGAGCGTTGTCAGTCGTAACAGTGGTCTGCTAACAAGCGGCCACGCCCGCCCGGAACCCCTACTAGGGCGTGGCGTCACACTGGACAGCTCCACACTCGTCTATCTAGTTGAGCCCTGTCGCTCTATGTATAAGACCAGCGACGCGCCTGTACGTGGCTGCTTTTTGTTTCTATCCGTCTTTGCTCGTTGAGACGCTTGTCGTACGCTCTTTCTTCCCACAGTTTGTAGAGTCATTCGTTAATAGTTTAATCGACATTTGTCGACCCACATTCGCTCTTCATCTCCATTCGAGTTAATATTCGCGGATAACAACCGTCGACAACCATAATCATGCGTCTCTCCGAGGCTTTGATCGCCTCTTCGTTGGCCGCTCCTTTCGTCTCTGCCCATGGCTCTCGTGGCATACCGAAGATCTGGGGAATGGGGCCTGATGTGAAGAGGGAGGCCTTTGGCCCGGTCGCACCGCGACATGCTTCTTCTGGCTCTTTGATGGCTAAGAGCTTTCCCAAGCGTCAAGATAACAACAACATCGACGGCCAGTGCGGCGCTGGTGCAGGAGGCGCAACCTGTGCCCCGGGATACTGCTGCTCGCCTTCCGTAAGTCCATTCACCATCGCGAGAAGTATATATGGCTGATTATTTCTCAGGGATGGTGTGGTAACACCCCGGAGTACTGCAATGCCCCGGACTGCCAGATTAATTATGGCCCCGGCTGCGATGCCAACAAGGTGCCTAACGGCGACGACACCCGGACTGTTGCCCGCCCTAAGCTAGGAAATGTGGACTACGGTAACGGTGGTCTTTACTCATGCACTGAGCCCGGTACTGTTGCCATTACCTATGATGATGGCCCCTACATTTACACCGACTATGTTCTCGACCTCTTTGAGAAGTACAACATGAAGGCTACTTTCTTCATCACGGGTATCAACAACGGCAAGGGTGCCATTGATGATGCCTCCACTCAATGGCCTGCCGTCATCTCCAAGATGTACGCTGCTGGTCACCAGGTCGCCAGCCACACATGGTCTCATCAAGATCTTTCTGCCATCACCCAAGAGCAGCGTATCAACCAGATGGTCCACAACGAGATGGCCATCCGCAACATCATCCAGAAGTTCCCCACTTACATGCGTCCTCCCTACTCGTCTTGCGATGAACCTTCCGGCTGCTGGAAGGATATGAAGGATCTGGGATACGTTGTCACTTACTTCGACATCGATACCGATGGTACGCTCGCTCCAAAAATCAAATCATCCAACTTCTGTGGCTGACTAGAGAATAGATTATGACAACGACGACCCCAACAAGATCCAGAACGCAAAGAACAACTTCAACAAGTACTTCCAGACCGACAACGTTGCCACGGACAAGTTCCTTTCCATTGAACATGACATCCACGAGCAAACTGCTCACAACCTAACCGAGTACATGCTCAAGATCATCCAGGACAAGGGTTACCGCGGTGTCACTGTCGGTGAGTGCTTGGGCGACCCAGCTGCGAACTGGTACCGTTCATCCTCTGGCAAGATCGTCACTTCGTCCTCTTCTGTTCCCACCGCCACCTCCTCCGCTGCTACTACCGCCACCCCGACAAAGGTGTCTACCGATGCGACCTGCGGCGGCAACACTGGTTCCACGTGCCAGGGCTCCCAGTTCGGCAATTGCTGCTCTCAAGCAGGCTGGTGCGGAACTACAACTGACCACTGCGGCACCGGTTGCCAGAGTCTCTTCGGCACCTGCGGCGGCGACGGATCTTCGCTTGCTGTCTCTTCGATCGTGAGCAGCGTTGCTGCTAGCGTTTCCTCTGCCGCCCCTGCAGCCAGCGCGACTGCCGTATCAACTGACGGCCAGTGTGGTAACGGCAAGACCTGCAAGGGCTCCACCTTTGGTAACTGCTGCTCCCCGGCCGGCTGGTGCGGTTCCACTGATGCATACTGCGGCACTGGCTGCAACCCTCTCTTCGGTACTTGCACCGGCGGCTCCGGTGGCTCCGGTGCTATTTCGACCTCCCCTGCTGTCATCGCGTCCACGCCCGCCACCACCGTCGCCACCTCCGTCCGCGCCACATCTACTTCCGCGGCTGCTCCCGCGAAGACATCTGCTGCGAGCAACGTGAGTACCAACGGCAAGTGTGGTGCTCGCAACGGAAACAAGACGTGCCCTGGCTCCAAGTGTTGCTCTGTCTTGGGCAACTGTGGTGACAACATGCTTTACTGCTTTGTGGGTTGCCAGAAGACTTTCGGTAAGTGCTGGTAGAGGCTGAATAATGGACGGAGTTGGGTGTAGAGGGAGTCGGTGATAAAAGTGTGGATGACTGATGTTCATGTATATACACTGAAGATGGTTTAATCTTCTTCAGCCACATTGGCTCAAGTAATGTTTTATACACAATCAAACGTTCCATTGAAGTCAAATTAATCATAGAGACTGTCGTATGCACAGATTTTATGAGTTGGGTGCACCCAGGTTTGCAGCTCAGATCGAAAGCTCCACCATAGGTAGCAACAGCCGGCACTTCGTCAAGCCCAACGAAGCCGAATATTACAGCCGAGCCTCGAGAAGACCAGAGAAGAGGTATAGCCATGATCTTGGCATGACACAATTCTATTTCTGGTTTGGTATATTGGAATCAGGTACGATCTGCTTCAGCTGTTGAACTGCAGCCAGTGGGTGACGTGCGAACAGGAGTTCATCAGCGTGAAGCGCCAACTTCGATGTTCCAGCCAATCAGAGCTAAGATCTCCAGCCGTTCCTGCCACCCCCAGCCACCCCATCCATCCACACACACCACCCATGTTTCATTTCCTGCCATGCGATTTATTCCTTGCAAAAGTTATGTGATTCTAGACAAAATGGATGTGTTCGCGCTAGAGTTCTCGAGACTCTACACACTTGCCGCCTGCTCGTCTTCTGTCTGCCTCACCATCCACAATGGATAGACAATCACAGAATTACCCACAACACCCTAGCAGACCTCCTCTGCATCACTCTGCAACTTTGCCCTCATCCTATCACTCTGCAAGCCCGGCAAAACATGAACCTGTGGCTTCAATCGCTCCTCAGGGCGCTCGGGAAAGAAGGCGCAGCGAGAGAAGAAATACTACTCAGTCCACCAAACGATACATCCCTCACAATGGCGCGACATGCGGCAACAACTTGTGCGATAGCCCAGAGATCAGCAAAGACGAAGAGCTGTGTCCGGGACCTGAAGGCCTCGAGCTGTGCTATCGGTGCTACAAGCGCTTCAAGATCGCGCGCAGGCGAGCTCGAGAGGCGCAGCGCGACATGACAGAAGACTGGAGGAGGCCGAAACAACGAAGGCAGATATCACAGACAACGCCAGAAACTACACCCTTGGAATCACCGCAAAGACCTGTTACTGCTGTGCTCAAGACGCCCGACACAGAGCACTCGGATTTGAATTTCCCGTCACCCGTCCTCAAGACTGACTCGAGACGGAAAGCCAACACGTACGGCGATGAACCACCGCCGTACGAAACCCGTCAAAAAGAACCCAGAGAGCAGCCTTCTCCTCGGATTGCACGGCTATCCGATCCTGAGAAGAGTCCAGGTCTCCATAGCGTGTCCACCAGCTCCTTGAAAGAATATGACCGGCACACCTCCCGCTCACCTCGGAAGCAGCGTTCGGCCCGGGGAAGAAACAGGCAAAGACACTCGCGCAACGAGCATGCCCGGGACTCGTCCACCTATGAAGAGGCCGAGTTTTACAAGTACGGCAGGGCGGAAGAGAACGGCTATTACGACAGACGAGAGGAAGACAACAACCGCCGTTGTGGATGTTGCAGCATGTGGAACCGCCGCCGAAAATGCGTAGTCGTCGGCCTCATCACCCTCTCCCTCATCGTCCTTGTTATCATCATCGCCGTAGCCGCCACAATGTCCCGCAAGCGCGGGTTCAACTACGTCCCCTCCACCGCGCAAGTCAACAACACCGCGGCTTTCTCCTCCGGCGGCGCAACCCGAAAAAACGTCAACAATACCGACGACGGAATCGGCGCTGGCACAGACACGTACACCTACTACCACGGCGACGCGTCCAAATTCCCCAACCAAACGCAATGGGTCAGCTTCGCCGACATGTGGACCGCCAATCTCGACACCTTCAAATACTCGTGCGGTTGGCTAAAGCGCGGCGACGACAACACGCCCGAGATGATCCAGGACATCTACAACGCGATACAGGACCGGGCGAATGCCTCGCTCGTCGACCACCGCATCATCCTCGCCACCATCATCCAGGAGACAAACGGCTGTCCGCTCGTCCCGCACACGACGTCCTCGGGCGGTACGCGGAACCCGGGCCTCATGCAGAGCCACGATGGCCATGCGTATGATGCGAAGCACAGCCGCTTGTCGATCCTGCAGATGGTGCAGGATGGGACGCAAGGCACGACGAAGGGGTGGGGGCTCGTGGATAATTTGAATACCTATGGGAATCCGTATAAGGCGATGAGGGGGTACAATAGGTGAGTTTTCCGGTCTTTTGTGTATATCCTTGACGAGCGCTGACAATGTTTGTAGCGGGTATATACCGGACAGCGGCGACTTGTCGGAGAAAGCGGGCGCTACCGCGTGCTATGTCAGTGATATGGCGAATCGACTGACTGGGTGGGTCCGGGCGAAGACAGAGTGCCCGGATGATATGCACTAAGCAGCGGGATTGCGACTGATCTTGGCTGGACATTGTTTATGTCTGTATGTGCAATTATAATCCTAGATGTGTTAAGACAGGCATGGGTAACGTGGGTTGGTAATGTGGAGCTGGCTATCTGGATCATGACCTTAATGTATTCTACTTTCGTGGTTGGAGGTAGGACAGAGAGCTCGTGAAGCTTTGCTTTCACTTACTGAATGTAAATTTGAGGCATAAGCACACTGTGGATACAAATAGTATCTCTACACGGAGTATAGTCTTACAAGACTTCTTAACCGTAGCAATGCCTCGCAATGAGCTAACGTGCGCTATCAACTACCCTGACCACCGACGCTGTACGCCGAGCCAGCGACGCTCAGGTATGGACCAGGTATGAATCGTTGTGATGGAATCTACTGTCACCCGTCCACTCTATACGTCCCTCGAATCGGGGGTGAGACATATTACCACCGGAGGCGAAATTAAGACATCAGAAGGTACCTACTGCTTCTTGCCATCCAAATCGCTGAAGAAGTTGTAGCCAAAGCTTTTGCTCGCGTCGTTGAAGCGCAGCTTCTTGTCGATACCATCGATCTTGTGGACGTCCTCGGCGTCCAACTTAAAGTCACCCTCGAGGTTCTGCCTTATCCTGCTCTCGGTCTTGGACTTCGGGATGACTGAATGGCCCTTTTCGATACCCCACGCCAGTGCCACCTGGGCGCCAGACTTGCCGTGCTTCTTGCCAATCTCAACAAGCACCGGGTCCTCCATCAGCTTTCCCATTCCCTTGCCCGCATCGTAAATCTCGTTCTGGTTTCCGAAGGGCGAGTAATGTGTGATGTGGATGTTGTGCTGTTTGTGGAAGTCGGCGAAGGACTTCTGCTGCAGCCAAGGGTGCATCTCCATCTGATGGGCCGCGGGGACGACACTGGTCTCCTTCAGCAAGCGATCGAGCTCTGCCTTGCTGAAGTTGGAGATGCCAATCGCCTTTGTCTTGCCGGTCTTGAGAGCCTTCTCCATTGCCTTGTATGTATCGACGTAATCGATGTTGGCCGTCTTGGTGTTACCATGGCTGTCCTTGGGGAACATCTCGTCACTCGGCTTGAAGGCGCTGGGCCAATGCATAAGATAAAGGTCGACGTAGTCTGTTTGGAGGTCTTTGAGTGACGCATCGAGCGCGGCTTCGACATCTTTTGGGTCTGCCAGTAGAACAGTCAGCGTAAGACCTCAAATACAGGCAGGAGGTAGCATTGAAATGTAACGGCACCCAAGCAGCTACTTACCGTGCTTGTTGTTCCACAGCTTAGTCGTAAGGAATATCTGCTCGCGAGGAATGCCCGACTTCTTGATGGCGTTACCGACAGCCGCTTCCGTGCCATATATTCGCGCCGTGTCAATGTGCCGGTAACCGGCCTCCAACGCAATAGTGACCGCCGGTTCTTGCGCTTCCTTATCCTGCCACGTGCCAAAACCTATGAGAGGGATCTTGGCGCCCGTGTTGAGGCTTGCGGTCGTGCCGTTGTGTGCCATTCTGAGATGCGTCCGGGGCTGCAAATGTGCGGTTGTTTGAGCGAAGCGTGTAGCGGCGGTCCGGAGGGAGCGGGTAGCGGTAGAGGCGAACATGTTGGGCGGTTTTCAGATGCTAGAGCAGCGAGAGCGATCGAGTACCATGTAGGGCGCGCCTCGTCGCGCGAATCGTCGCTGCGAGATCATGACGTAGAACGTCCCGCGCAGCGTCGGAGGACGCTCCTTATGCGGGGAAGGTAGACGGAGAATAAACCGGCAATAAGCGCGTGCTGGAAATAATCAACAGGCATTGACTGTTCCTCCGCGGGCCTTCGGAGCATTGAATTCATTCTGAAGGAGAGATGCGGATAGAGGAAAGGAAAGCACCACTCCCGACACGGTATCACGTGCCGACTTCTGTCGCCAAGGACTAGAACGTGGACTTCACTACACATGAAAGCTACCGGCACATCTAAATTTGCAATATATTATTTGATGCTTATCTGGACTTTAGTGCGCATAGCCGTATTGCTCGAATTGTACCAGCATTGATGTCGTGCCGTCCAAACTGTCCACATCGGTAGCCGCCATCACCGCAGATGCTACTCGCGGGGCCGAAGCCCCAATTCGAAGCGAGCTCGAATACAACATAACGACTCGCCGGAGCTTGGCTCTGCATGTCAGTTGGCCAGGTCATGGATGTCCCACATCGCAAGGCTTTCTTGTCAGCAAATGCTGAGCTGGCACCCGCATGCACAGCCGCTCAGCCTTGCAGCCATCGATCCTTTAATTGACCCCTCGGTGAAACTCGTCGAACGTTGCTTTACCATACAGGTACCGAATCCGTCTCGTCTCAGCACATATGTACCCAGCATGTCCTTCGGGTTCTCGCCTTCTGATTTCGTTACTCTCATCAACCTCACAAGGATAGCTTACAAAGGTTGGGAAAGCGCCTGCGGTGAATATGCCGACATCACTAGCACGCTCCTCAGCCTTCAGGTTGTGCTGAAAAGAGTTCAACGGCATGTAGACCAACCGATAACTGAAAACGTGGAGCCCTTCCTTCAAGCTCCTGGCACCCTGCGCGATGATCTGGCAGAAATCCTCCGAAATAGCAATCGGACTGTCGGCGAGCTACAAACTATCGTGCACAAGTATCCCAGCCTGGGCCGCGACCGGAAGTCAAATTGGGAACGCTTGCGACTGGGTTGTAAGCAACTCGACGGATTGCAGATCCGCTTGTCGCGCAACCTAAATCTGATATCGACTTTGCTCCTTGACCGGGTGCTACTGTCGATAGACCTATGTCACCGGGATATCCATCATATCTCCAGTAAAATCCAAGGAGGTGTTCCCGTGGCTCTAGAAAACATTGTCGAAAGCCAAGCGTCCGATGCGAGGACAGCTAGCTCTACGTTCACGACGTACGAACACGACAGTGTGGAAGTCTGGAGAGAACTTCGACGTGAGATGGTCAATCTGGGGTTCAAGAGCGATGATGTTCTGGCTAACAAGAATGATCTACTGGCACTTGCACGGGCTATATCTGGCGATCCTACTCAAGAATTTCAGGAGCGAAGCATTGCGGCAGCAAGTCCACCTACGGCTCCTCTGAGAACTCGTCCGCATCAAGGCGGCTTTTCTGAACAAGACCAGTCACAAAATCATGCTGGAGTAGCCACTCCCTCAGAGGCCCTAGGACCTGGCAGAATTCCTCGCTCAAGCGTCAGTGATTTTGAGCGAACTTCTTCGTCAACCCGCCGTGTATCACGAGAGGAAAATCCACAGCGATCTTACACGAGATCTGGCAATGCTGAAAGTTTTACGAACCGGACAGCTTTGCCACATCGACCTGCACATCGAAACACGCGACCAGATGCCAACCGATCCGGTGATCGAGACGGACCGCCGCCTGGCAGATATTTGTATTCAGCAAGGCCACCCAGCAAACCGAAGGGCCTCGATCACCCTCAAGTGCCCACAGATCATCCTCATCAATCTAAAAATCAGTACACACAGCCAAATTTGAATCGACATGGACCTGCGCCCGGCAAACGTTCAACACAGCTCAATGCCGATTTGGACAGTGACTCTTTTGTTCAAAACCCTTTCGCACAAGTACCCACAGACAATCCCGGCCTCCCCCGCAAACCGCCCCATGCAGGTTCGGGGCAACAAACACTACGTCTGCTGGGATATGAACCATTGTCTCTGAAAGAGCAGTCCCACATGCACATACATCTTTGCCTTCCGATAGGTTGGCAAGTTCACATAGATATATCCCTCAAGGTGACGTTCAAAGATCTCTTCGCAACAAATAACGAGCCCATGTATCTGGAGCTCCCTCCGAAAGTCCATCCCGACTTGGCCGTTACACCTCCTGGATGGAAAATACATTCTTCATTCGGTCGCTTGAGCTGGTCGTCGACAGACAACGGACGACGAGACTTTGTACGCCAGATACGCTACACATTTCCTTCAACAGATAATGATGACCCTAAGTATCGACTGATTCAAGAGGACTATGGCAAAACTCTTCAGTGTACCAAACACAGTCTAGAACTTGCAGATGGGTGCTACAAAGTCGATGGTAATTTTTTCGATTACAGAATCACGAATCCTTGTCAGGTATTGGTCTGGACCCCCGAACTAGATTCAGCAAACCCTACACTGATAGAGAATTTGAGGGCTTGGGCAATTGGTGGAGAGATCAAGTCATAGAGGCGTGTTCCGATGCATAGTTATTGAATCTGCCTATTCTCATAGCGATTGAAGAAGAGCAAATTCATGTGGACAAATCACCAGCATACCACATTCTTAGAGTCGCAAAGCTTACACCGAAATGAGGACTCCCGTATACATAGTCAAAATCGCATGTGGATGTGGTCAACGAAGCAACAGCTGTGTTCCACAGGAAAGTTGAAGGTATGCAATACCGAATTGGCCTACTCTGAAAGAGGCAAGCCGTCCGCCCATGCTGAAATGGAAAATGCCCCACCCTCCACTCTACTTCCCTCCGGATCAACTGCCCTGTAGCTGCGCCCTTGCGTTTCCCCCAATTATGAAAGGCAGCGAGTCATGGTAGATCATAGACTTCTGCGAAGTCTGCTGGTCCCGTACGAGTACTTTGATAAAGCGATGCTGTGACGTGTTCCAACCCTTCGCAAGCTGTTAACCTTCACTGCCTACAACCGATATATTGGGGTAAACTTGCTCAACTAGCCACCTAGCACGGTACTTGCATTCGAGCCGCACTGCATCTGCACCCAGGGTATTTGGGCGAACCGACCTGCAGCTGTGTTCCAATAAAACGTCCGTTCTCGCCCACATGTCGCTGCATTCTCTTACACCCACAGTCTTTTCCACCTCCGCTACTTTGAAGCACATTACAAAAGTTCCCTGATAACCATTCACAATGGGCCAACACGCGGTAGACATCGAGTCCCAGCCACAAACCTTCCAAGCTAAATGGACCGCCAATCCCGATCCCACAGCGCTGCCATTCCCGCGCGACAACCCGCCCTTCGCACTCACAGCCGTCGACTGGCACCAACTCAGCATCACCGACGACCAATTCACCCCGCACACCTGGGAAAACGTCCACCATCTGATCAGTACCGGCCAGCTCGACGAGCTCAAGCGCTGGCCCTCCTTCCTCAAAGCGTACCTCGCGTGGACCGCCCACATAAAGGCCAAATACGGTAGCGCGACCCAGTACATCCTGCAGCAGCGCCTCTTCTGGGAGCCGCTCAACACTACTGGCTCTTTCAAGTTTGAGCTCGTCAACGAGACGCCCTTCGCTGACTCTGCGGACTACAAGATCATCAAGAATGACTGGACGTACGCGGTGACAGAAGGAATCAGTCATATCGTAGTGTGGTCGAAGAAGCAGTTACCGGTGGATGAGGTGGGAGCACTGACTCATGAGGGAAGGCGTCTTGTGGAGGAGTTTGTGAAGAGGGAGTTTCGGGACAAAGCTGGCGAAGAGGTGGAGGGTACCAAGGTGCAGTGGTTCAAGAATACGACGATTTTGCAGAGCGTAAGGGCATTGGAGCATATACATGTGTTGGTTAGAGATGTGCACGAGGAGGTGTTGAAGCAGTGGATGAACTGAGCTCGCTTTCGATGGCTGGAATGCGATCGGAGGTCTTCGACCTAGACAAATGTTTGGGTACATTGTGTTACCCCACGAAGAGCAAAGCAGTGTCCAAACTTTCGACCGAGGACAGTAGAGTATAGAATACAGATCATGACTCTAGATTATGCAGTACTCCCATCCAACCCTAGCCCACTGCTCGTTGTCGTTCAGAGCTGAGTCGTCTTCCCATGTCTGCTGCAACACATCGTCATGCGCTATCAGTCTTCGCATGATATTCCTCTCGAACCTCCTCCCGTATGGTGGAAACTTCCCAAATAACGCGACTGCTCCAATTCGTGTAACCGATTAAGCACAAACTCGACTTGGTCGTAATTACTCAACTGCGACTTGCCCAGTACGAACAGCAGCCACAGAAAAGCTCCGCTATCAACCGGAAGCTATTTGATAGCTTCGATGATGGCGTTGCGAAGGCGGTGGGACAGTTCCGTTGAAGCATGTGGAGCCATAACCCCGTCGTAGTTCAACTTTAACTTTCCGGAGGACCGACCCAATTTGATCGAGGACATCCGCGATTGAGGTAACGGCAAGAGCAAGGAAACAGGCAACGACTCAGCCCAGCTATCTCGGGAAATGAAGTCCTTCAAAGTCTCGAAGCGCAGTGCCAACGCAGACGCTACATGACCTGTCTACTTTAAAGGTCATGGCAGCAAGGATGCTCCTATATACGTTTTGGACATTCTGACACCTAGCACTCTCATCGAAGGTCCGGCCACTATCCTTGACTCTACCCAGACCCTGTGTTGCGTCAAGGGGCCATCGCACGGACATCGGCGGTTTGGGCGGGACGTCAATGCCCCCAAATTCGACAGAGCTGTGGCAAGAAGGTGCAGCAATTTGATCTTTCAGGCTGATTCGAGATGGTCTATTTGACGAAGAGGGTATCACCAAGCTTCTACTTGCGCCCGGAGAGCACCCTGGTTGCAACGGCAGTCGACGTTTAGGGCACAACTTGGCAGATCTGAAAGCCCAGGTCGCTTACAAAAACAAAAGCTCGTCTCTGGTCCAAGCGCTAATGGAGGAATGGTCCCAACAGGTGGTCCAGCTGTACATGGCTGCAATTCAATAGAGCACCGAGGTTGCAGTGCGCGCATCCCTCAAGCAGACATTGCAATCGCGTGGGGATACTTTGTTTTCGGAAGATTCTATGGACAATGGTTCGTTCATAAAGCCTCAGGGTCACCATTGAGAAGGACGGTAGTGCGACCTTTGACTTCACTGGCACTAGCTGCGAGCTATACGGCAATATGAATGCGCCGCCTGCCATTGCCAATTCTGTTTTGCTCTACTCCCTACGGCTACTCATCGGGCTCGAGATTTCAATGAATCAAGGCTACCTTACACCGACGAAGGTGGTTCTGCCCGAGGGCTACTTCCTCAACCCCTCAGCTAACCCTACTATCTACGCTAGAAACACGAACACGTCGCAACGTGTTGTGGACGTCATCATAAAGGCCTTTGAGGTATCAGGCGCATCTCAAGGCTGCATGAACTGTCTTGTTTTCTTCGGCGAAGGCGGAAAAGACCCTAACAGCAACAAGCTTGCTGGTCACGTCTACGCGTTTGGAGAAACAATATATGGTGGTTCAGGCGCGACTGCTGTGGCAGACGGAGCGCGTGGCGTCCACACATACATGACGAACGCTCGAATCACAGACCCCAATCTCTCAAAAAGAGATATCCTGTCATTCTGCGTGAGTTTAGCACCCGAGAGGGCAGCGGCGGGAACGGTATGCACAAGGCGGCAACGGAGTGATTTGCGACATGGAATGCCGGGCACCACTGAAGTTCATTGTCATCACTGAACGGCGTGTCACTGAGCCATATGGTATGAAGGGTGGAGAGACCGGCGGAAGAGCTGCAAATTACTGGGTCAAGAAAAGGCCGGATGGTAATGATCGCTGGATCATTCTCGGGCCCAAGAATATGGTTGCAATGGACACTGGTGGCCTTTGTGTCATCTACACGCCAGGCAGTGGAGGATTCGGACCTGTAGGTGCTGTAAATTACGGCAGGCTCAATGGCATGCAGAAGACACCATACTCACGCGTCGTGGGTAGCGTAACGGCCTACGCTGATACCCAAGCGCAAGCCAACTGAGCATACCGTAGATTCGTATGAGAGGTCATGTACTGCTTGGGCGGGGTATAAGCGTCAGTTCTATCTCGCAAGGTGGATTCCTCTGATTGGAGGCTACCTGAAAGCTCGTGATGACAGCCAAGCCTGAGCCCGCTCCTGTCTCTACTCTCAATATGTGCAACCCCTCACTCTTCCCACAGTAGCCTTTCTGCTCTCCATCTCGCACACACATACCTATGGAAACCTCATGTTACATTACAGCCATCATCTCTGGTTTAACTCAATCTATGCACAGCGCCCTTGAGCTGAAGACCCAACTGTCTCACGACTGGGCGAGAAAAAAGTCAGATCATATGCTGTCCCATGTTGGGATTCAGTGACATGAACTTATCTTTTGTTAACATCACCATCTCTGGGTTAGTCATGGAGCGCCGCTGGAAGCAGCCTCGAGGGTCTGTAGATTGATAACAAATATCTATGAAGCGGGCCTGATATCGGGAAAGTAATGACCGAGATTAATCCCAACAACAACAATCGAAGAGGATCGCTACTTGACTGAAGAGGAGAGGCGTTGCAAGCGAAACGATCTAACGCTAAATGCAAGATCGTCTTCGAATTACTTCAGAACCTGCGTGATCCTGACTTTGACTCCCCATCTGTAGTCCTCCGTAAAGCTAAACTGGTACGCGCGCGCCATGGCGATGTCTTCGAGACCAGAGTCAACGAGCTCCATCTCAAAGTTGCGAAAGATCGTCGCTACCGTCATGTACAGCTCAGTGTAAGCCAGACTATAATCCAATTAGTTGTGTAGGTACTTAACGTAGGAGAACTCACTTGATGCCCAGACACATGCGGCCACCTTTGACAAACGTTGCTAGATACTTAACTAGATTTTCGCCCCGTTCGCGCGCTTCGATCCAACGCTCCGGTCGGAACTTATCAGGCTCAGGAAAGACTTCGGCGATGTGGTTCTGAAGATATATTGCACATCCGATGTTGGTCTATATGCCTGTTCAGCGCAACATCGAGCACAAGAGTCGATCACTTACACCGGCGGGGATCAAGAAGTCCTTGTATGGCAGGGGCTCAACAAGCTTTCTTGTGAAGCGGCTCGCCAAGACTCTCTCGCAACGAAGTCCTTCTTGAACGACAGCGGACTTCGTATTGAAGGTCAGAATACGTTTAAGTGCCATGATGCGGACCAAACATACCAGATATGGAAGATTCTCCAAGATAATGCTGGGTGGGCAGTCTCCGGGTGTTGGCATAACCGTCTTAAGCTCGGCTCGAAGTTTGGCCAAACAATACGGATTAAGGAGGAGATGGGTTGTGACATTTGTCAAGTATCGCGCCGTGGTCTCCAGGCCTGCACCTAAGACTACTCACGGGCACAAAGTCAGTGTCAGTACAAGAGCCGGGGATGGGTACACGGCATCTATGTTCGATACATAGCGACTTTGTACTGGGGCGTCACGTACTAACTATGCCTTCATCAGTCAAACGTTGCAGTGTCTTCTCCTCGGGCGGCAAGCTGTCGCTTAACAGTGCTTCAAAAATCGTTTCCGGTTTTCCTGAATGCTTCCTTTTATTCGACTTGGCGGCCTCGAGCGCTTTCGAAGCATTCGTAGAACACCATATGCGCAGGTTATTGGCGCATGATATGCCTGGGTTGAGTGCTGTTAATAGCCACTCAGGCAGAAGCCGCAGACAGTCTGCTACGAATGGAAAGTGCTGCATTATTGGTTGCGCGAAAGCCATATCGCTGAGGGCGTGTAGGAAGTCGTTCCTGAACGTGGAGTCGGTGTCCTTCCCCAAGTAGTCGAAGCTCTTACCATATGCGTAGAAGCTAATAATGTCGGTTGTTAATGCGGAGTAGGCATCGTTAGCTTCAATCACATGTCCGACCTCATACGCTCGCTTGAGCTTCTCGACAAGTAGACCCACTCTAGAAGAGATAAATGGTTCAAGTTTTGTGATGGCCTGCTTCGAGAAGAAGCCAAGAAGGGGACCTCGGCGGATTCGGTGATGATCATGGTTAACAGTACAAAGGAGCGAAGTGGAGGCGGTGGTGACCCTTGCGAAAGTCTCATCAACGTCACGGCGAGCATCTGGGTATCCTTGTCAGCTACCTAGGCCGATTTCCCTTGCACCGATATGGAAGCTTGAGCCCAAATACTCCACAGCAGGAAAAGGCCACCCTAGACTTCAAAAGCCCAGGTCGTCCGGAAAGCAATTCCGTCAATATGACTTACTCATAGATCCATAAATATGCTCATAGAACTCAGCATCGCGAATCGATAGCTCTGTTGGAGTAACCCTTACGATGGGTCCTACAGCCGTTAATAGATGCTTACAAAAGGGTTGACAAAAGCTTACCATAGCGAGCATGCATCGCTTCAATCTCTATGAAGTATCGGCCACCTTTGATGATGTCAAAGTACGCTTCTGCATATGAGGTGGCACCGGCCCACCATGGACCAGGGAACTTGGCAAGAGGATGGAAGTAAATATTGTACACAAGACGCCATACGGTGTACAGAAGAGATGCCACAAGGGAAACAGAGGCAAGAGTAACAGAATGCATAGTTGTGTGCCAAGACCAAATGAGGACTAACACTAAGCAGAATCGCAAAAAAGTGTCCGATAATGTACGCTCGGGTCAAGAGATACAAAAGATGATCGAAAGAGGGGACTTGGGCTCCCTTCCTACTATCTATAAGGTTGATACCTGCGGAAGTACGCAACCCCACCCTCCCGAGCGTCTGTGAATCGGTCAATGCGATGCATGCATCCATGAACCGAAGACGATATCAAGCCATGGCATACACACTCTTTCGATGAGTAACCAGTCATTTCCGATAGCCCAGCCCGGCTGCAATTGTTTGGATGGTTGCACCGATGCGGGGTTTGCCCGCGGTGGCGTTGACAAGGGCATTTATTGGTGTGATGTGTGCAGTTCATACGGCACTGCCTGGTGCCCGCAGCGTCTGGTAATGACTGCGGCCATCTGCGTCCCACCATCAGCACAAGGTTGGTTGTTTACTTGTCTGGAATGGGGAGAAGTGCCTCGTAATGTACCTACGGAATCATCATGCCAGGAGGAATAGCGGGCCTCAGCAGCAACCCTAAGATTGCCTGTTGGCTTTGTGGGAATCGCGAAGGCGCTCGTATGTCACACCCAGTATTCAGAATTTTGGTTCGAAAAGCTTTTACGGTTCTCCGAGCAAAAGGTTTCCGAGATGGTTCCACTCCAGGGCACGCCAGGGCACTTCAGGTACAGCAGCAAGGACTGATTTGGACGCAGAAGCGGGGCATCCGGATATTGTCAGCAACATCAGGGGATTGGCAGGTCCTCCGACTGCGGCCCGCGTCTACGACGCTTTAATCAGCCCGATCACTCACAATTAACATACCAGCCTTGCCGACCGTTCACGGGCTTGATGCGTTTACGATAGGGCGTTCCGAAAAGCGATGACCGCGGCAGCTGTCAGTACCAATCCTAGAGCTTGTTTGGACGACATTGTCTATATTCACTCTGTTTATTCGTTCGCTTACTTTCTACCTGGTTTTCGTACGATCGTATAATTGACGCCCTAAGCGCTATACCAACATGGTGACATGGCATTAGATGTCTCACAAGGCGATTTGATGAATTATAGACCAATGTTGTTCATGGCGTGCACTTTAACCCCTTTGGAAGGTACGTCCGTGCCGGCGATTTTTGGCCGTGGGAGACACGGCTCCAGCCTTGTCGACCTTTTCTAGCCCCCAAATTGACCCATCAGCTAAGCCCAACACGAGATAGATGATCTCAGCCGCCTTGTCCACTAAGGCTGGGGCGACGAATACTGCGACGGCAAGAAAGCCATCCTTGAAGTACTCCGCCATTAGGGGCAAGAGTCGAGTGTTTGCGCCATCGATGGATATGTATAGCATCTGCTACCTGTGACCGAAAGCCAAGGGTAGCCTGCCATGGCCACTAAGTGCTGATCCTCAAACTCTAGGCCCCATCTTGTATTGGTCAGTTTCAGATCTCTTCGAACTGTTTGCCTTCTTTCTTACGATAGTGATTGCGAATGTCATTCTTCCCATAGCTCAAGTCCTTTCAGAAATTCCACAACACCTCGCACACAATATTTTTTGCCGTATTTCTCACCACGGCCCATCGCGACTGTTGAGGCTAGGCCGTCGCACTGTGTTCAGCGCCATCTATTAACCACACGGCGTTTTGGACCCCAATTGGATTGCCACTAAAGCGTGGCTTTGCGCAACACCTCCTGCATCTTCTTTTGTAGCAGGACATCCCTCTAGGAAATTTATACGCTCCCCTCTCTCTGTAAGTCTGGTGCGCTTTGTATGAGATCTTAGACGAAAGGAGCATAAAACGTTCCGAATCCAACGGTGGCCAGCTTCGAGTGATTAGGGAAAGACGGCCAGTCCGAGGACGGCCCTTTGGAACACCTCCTGTGCTTACGGTTGTAGCAAACGATTTGCTGAGAAGCACGTACAACTAGCGCCACTCCCACGCTCGTATCCTTAGGAATATTTATTCGCGTCGATTTAAGGCTTCCTCCCCAACTCGCGACTGTCACCGAGGTACTCTCGTTTGCGACATCGCTCGCTAGACATCAGGACCATGGACAACTCAGCCTCACCGGCCCAGGTCGGTAATGCAACCCACACAAGCACAGCGCACGACATACAACCAGAAGTCGAGCCATCCACAATATCTTCACCGTCGCGAAGTCCATTATCACAATCGCCGCGACTTGAAACGCCACTGAACCCATTCGAGAGGCCTTACGACCCACCCGAGATCCGCACCCACGATGCCGACAGCGACATCGCATTGCAGCAGCTCGATGAACCGCTCCACCCAGGCCACACCGAATCACCCATTCAGTACAAGAACGACTACGGGTACCTCGGCGCTGGAAGCTATGGCTCAACTTTCGACAACGACACACGCAGCCTGCTATCCGCAAAGCACTACGACCACCACGAGTCGCGCAAATTCCTGCTGAAAACAGGAGCATATCGATTCATGATCACGCTAGGCTTCAGTCTCGCAATCGGGCTGTCTTTGAAAGCATACGAAGGCTTCAACAAGCCGTTCATCATGAGCAAGATCCAGGTGCGGTACTTCAACGCCATCATGCTCGGGCTGTCGCTTGGTCTCGGTCTGAACCTTGCGAGCTCGCTGAAGCGGTACGCGGTGATTCTGCGGTGGTACTTACTGGCAAGGCGATACGTGAGCCTGGAGGTCTTCGATCTGATCCTGGGTCTGGAGACGCTTACCAAGGTGGGCAAGTTGATGATCATCTCGCTGCCGGGGATACGGAAGGTCAAGTTACTGAGCAAGCTGCCTTGGTTCCGGGAAGCTCGAGACGATGGAACGAAATTCACATGGATTGCTTGTGCGCTGTGGATACTTATCAACATCGCAGCGCAGGTGCTCGTTGCGGCTTTGTCGCTCTTCTGGCCTGTCGATCCTTCCAATGCAGTTCCGCTAATGACATACGGGAATGTGACTGTAGCAGACCTGCAGGCATGGAGCCCCGGGGTTACCTTTGACACAGGTGATTATTATGCGAATACTTCTTATATGCAAGCTGCATCGTTGGCAGGGGTGGAAGGAAGCGTTTACCCCGAGTTTCCGTTGCATGCGGAGTCACAGACGGATCTGGGAACTCTTCCAGGCACGCCATTGTACCACGATAATCTTACTGGGGTCTATGAATATCGCTTTTACAATCGAAATCCGACATCCCAATTTGAGAACTACGCCGTTTCGGGGAGGAAGATAAGAGCAACCGCCTCGTGCCAGCGACTCCAATTGAATGGTAGCACAACGGATGACTTCCTTATTTATGATAACGGCACGGACGGTATCACTCGTCAATACCTCTGGGCCAAGGTAAGCTACCATTGCGCATCGTTTTTGTAGTATCGTATAAGGAGTCGCTAACTGAGTAACAGGAAGAGGGTCAGGACTATGACTATTATTGGCTCCCCTCATACTTGCCGGACGGCTCTGTTAACTGGATAGCCTCGACATGGGAAGGCTGTGGACCGCGATGCACAAACTTTACAGTTTATCAGCAAGCCAACACGTACCCGATGAATAACGTGACCATCGACGTCTCTTCGTTATTCCTTTGCAACTCTACAGTCTCAGAGGTTGACGTAGGCGATTTCTCTGAATTCCAGAACCTCTCTGATGAAGACAAGAAGCATCTGAAGGGTACCGATGAATTCGCTAGGATTGCAGCAGGCTCCATCGGCTGGTCCGGCTACTACTCAGCTGAATACGCTGACAGACAGATCAGACCCTATCTGCGTGGTAGTAAATGGAGTCCGAACAAGGTCATGACCAAGATTGATGTGGAGGAGCTGTTGGCACGGTACACGATCGGTGGAATTGCTGCCTTCGACGACCATGGTCTCCGTTATGAGGTAGCGAACCAGTACGCAGTGCCAACGCAAGGCCAGCAATTGAACGTGGACTGGCCTTACGTGCTCGGCTTGTTGGGCGGTATCTGCCTCATTCAGTTCGCAGCGCTCATCTGTCTGTTGGCGTTCGGTAACAAGTCGGTTGTTCGAGATGAAAGCTTCATGAGCATGGCCATGCTTTTGAAGCCCGTTATGGACCGTATACCGGGCCAGACGGGAATGAATTTAAGCGGCGACGAAATCAAAAACCATCCTAAGTTGCTGTGGAAGAGAATACGCTATGATTACCGGGAAGGCAAGGATGGAGAACCCAATCGAGTGGATATCTTCTTCCAGGGAAGGGACGATGCGCAGAGTAGGAGGAGCTGGGCCCCGGGGGTGTACAGTTGATATGACCTCGGTCAGCAATTGTTGGTCATTGCATCGGTTGAATCTTGCGGTAGCACGCTGAGTTGGGGATCCCGTGTCATGACAAAGGCTATATAAGCAAACCTTTAATTCATGATAGGCTCCATGCTTATGTTATCATGTGCGGATGTAGAGCGGCACGTTTGTCCGTTCTAAGACGTAGATCCAATGCGACACCTTCGGCCTATGCGTGGTCTCGTTGCCCTTGGTTGCCTCTGACGCGGTCTGAGGTTCTATATCGTATTTTCCGACCAATTTCCAAAGAGTGCTTGGGTCTGGAAATCCATCTTTGAGAACCTTGACTGGAATATCGTCGAGGTCGTCATCTAAGCTCACCTCATCGTTGGATTCGGCTTCGTCTCCAGCAGTGCCTTGCTGTGGGGCTTGACTGACCGAGGCGGTCGTCTGCATAGGCTGGGATGAGCCGTTCGCAGATTCAGGGGTGGGAAGCTGTAAGAAAGGGTATCGGTTCATGGAATAGGAGAGAGAAATCCAGCGGCCTCCTGGCTTCGTGACGAGTGCAAGATGGACGGCCATGATATGAAGGGGATGTAAAGGCTCGGGAGACTCAGTTACGTTTGTCTTCATGGACTGTGGTGAAGCTGCCACGACATGATATGGCAGAGGAACGTATAAGTCATCTGAGCAAGCGATCGAATCCGATGTACTCTTGTCGACAACGATCGAGTACGCGGAAGCTTGACATGTCCGGAGGAGTGAGGAATGGTCTAGGAGATTTGCGGACGACCATCTCATGCATGAGGACGGAGAGTTGGCAGCTGTACTTGTTGCAGGAGTGGACAGCTTCTCTTGGTCTGACTCAAGTGAATTTCTATCCGGCTTGGCACTGGTTGCCTCCTCCCCGGAAGCTGACCATCCTGCTTCGAAGATCTCGGCCTCTCGTTTCCTCCCCAGTTTAATCGCGACATCTGAGTAATCTAGATTGTGAATCTGACTGGGTTTCTCGACATGCGCACGTAGGTGGTACGAAAGAAGTGACGTCCCGCACCCAATGTGCAGCAATTGCGGGTTTGGGGCTTCGATCTCCTTCAAAGCGTCAATAATGTACGGATCTAGCGCAGTAGGAGCCTCGAGCCATTCGAACGGAACCGGATTGGCAATGAAACGCATGTTCCAGTACTCTTGCGAACCAAATGAAGGCGGTGCTGGAGGCATTGCAATCTGGGACGCGACATGTTAGAACCACGCGTATTACCTTTGTTTTGGAGAGGTCTCACTGTTAGTTGGGATTGGGAATTGTAGATCAAATGTTTGCGCTCTTGATCATTCGCGTGAAGAATGTTACCTGACCTCGCGATGTGGTTGGGCCGAAGAAACGCCGGGCCGGGCCCGTCATTTTGAAGATTGATTTCCCAGCTCCCCGTCTTCCACACAACAACTGTGCTGCGCAACGTCGTGCCGCATTCACAATGGCGACGCTACAGTCAATACCGCGTTTGCTCCTACCCAGAGCGCCTCTCCTCCTTCGACCGGCCCCGCGCGCCTTCCTCCCGCTCTCGTATGCAACAACCCTCCGCCATGCCTCATCGTCGTCGACTCCGAAGACGCTCTCAGAACAATTCCAAAGAAGACAGCGGCAACAACAACAAGCTGCACCCACAATACCGCAACCCGACAAGTATCGACCACCATCCCACGGCAAGCGCACGCCGCGAAGCGAGACGAGCTATCGTAGCTACGGCCCGGCCTTGACAGAGGAGGACAAGAAGCGAATGGCTACGAAGAAGTACCCGAATATGATGAGTCCAGAGGGAACCTTCTCGCACTGGTTCTTGAACAATCGGGTCATCCACCTTTGGATAACCTTGGTACGCCTCCGCCATCTACCTCGCGATCCTCTTCGCGCAGCAACCTTGAATACTTGATTTGTGCTGACTTCCTCAACAGGGCATCCTCGTCTCCCTCGCAATCGCCGCCTGGTACATGGACTTCATGTCTAAGACCATCTATGGCGAGCTCGTGCCCACGCGCAAAGAGTTCTTCCGCCACCCCTTCGAAACGACCAGTCGCTTCATCGAGGTCTACAGGATGCACGTTGCGCACCAGACGCAGATTGTGCAGGAAAAGCGACTGAAGAAAGAGGAGGAGATCGAGAAGAGGAAGCAATACCGGTTGGAGAGGATAAGGGAAGCTGAAGAGAGGGGCGAGGAGTACGTCGAGGATCCGAGGTACTATATTGGAGAGGATGGTATTCGGAGAAGGCGAGTGAAGAGGTGGTTCGGCATCTGGGAGTAGAGCATGGGGAAGGGAATACTTGACTGGAGTAGAGGCGAGGGCCGGGGTTCGACAGAGGAAGCAGGCGGAGCATAAGACACGGCACAGGCATGGAAGACAGCAATTGCCAGACGGTGGTGGGAACGTTGCATAAGGATTTGTACATTGATGTTGTAACATACTGGTGCGGGAGGTCGTTCGCATACTAGCGCTTGGAGCATGGCTGATAGATGTTTTATATGGGGATTTGCAAAATCTATACCCAACTCTCTCTTTCCGCGACCGGTATGTGTGTCTACACTAAGAGTGTTTAAGGGACATAAGTCACCTCTAGCTAACGTAGAGCATATGAATATGCTGTTCGTTGAACCCTTTAGACCACAAACGGCGCCCAAACCGTTTATGTCGCGAGCCTGCAGTGCCTCAGCAGGCTAATAAACCACTGTTGCACATGTGCACCTGCTCATCGCAGATGCATGCAAGGTTGGCCGCTCTGTGAGATCATCGCCAACCGCCAACCCGACCTTCGTCCCATCGTTCCTTTCTCTCCGCTCGCAGATATGCTACTTTCCGTCCATCTCGAAGCCTGCGCACAAACTCGGTCACCTCGCGCTCGCTCGCAACGGCATCTGTGCCACCAGCGCCCTCGCCCTCGAGAAAGCTCTCTTCAAGGCCTCTACAAAGAGCTTCCTGTTCTCCGACCGCGGCAGTCAGTCTCTGGTATAACGCAGGAGCGCTAAACTCGCGCAAAACCTCATCTTGTTCCGCCTGCTTCGCTCTCCACTGCCGCTCAGAAGCCTTTAATGATAAGAGCCGCGACTGCGTACTGTCCCTCTGGCGCTGGAGATGCGCCTCGAGCTGCTTCAAGCTTTCAGCCAGTGTGACATTCTGCGCAAGCAATGCCTGCAGCGGAGCCGTGGACGCGGGAACCGAGGGATGCGCCGTCTCAGGGTTGTGGATCAGCGCATGCTGTAGTTCGGCGGTCTGCAACACGTGGTGGAGGTCGACCGTCCTGGCCCAGTTCAGCATCCGACATCATGCGTTTCAACGATGACGTACGCCTTGTCCTTCAAAACATCCGGCAGCCAACCATCTTCGGGCGGTGAAACGGCGGGCTGGCGGGGTTGTGTCTGCGAGCCCTGGGGGTAGGGCTGAGAGGCTGACTGTTGGGAGGATTGCGGCGGTGGAGGGAGCGGGGGGCCGGTCTGCGGTGTCGCTGTTCCGCTGGAGTGCGCGGAGGGCTTGGGCGGCGGTGGTGGTGGGGTGGAGGGGTTGAAGTCGTAGTAATTCTGCGACTGCCGAGGGGAATGGAACGCCATGGTGGAGGACTATGCTATGAGTGCCTCAGTAGAATATGCTATGGAAGGGCATGTTGTTGGACGCGCACAACGAGTGGACGTGACAAACGGTGCTCCAGGCCTGCGGCATGAATGACAGCTACCGGTGACGCGCACGGTCACAGACTCCCGAGACCTGATCGGCCAGCAGGTTATTCCGTTCCGATATCAAGCTGACTCGGAGTCTATCCGGATGATGTGCACAGTGAGATTGCGACGCTCCTTTCGTCGTGGCCAAGGGACGCGGCCGAGCCGACGACCTTGTCCATCACAAGCGAGGCGTCCAAACGAGGCTCCCGATCCTGGCGCGCCGTTCTGTCTGCGCTGTTCACTGGCTGCCCCTCCCCTGCCGGGCATGTGGGGAATCACATTTTCCGCATTGCAGTGGCTGCCTTTTTGAGGCACCTTACGGACTTGTAGAGAGTTGCACGCCACGAATGGAGAAGATGCGCACAGCAGCAAAGGGAAGGTTGCATGCGCGACCGAAGCCACCCGTCGTCGTGAAGTGCGCCGTCTGCGAACTACTGCGGTAGAGTTCCAGGTGTAATGAGGGTCGGCGAGGCTGGAGGTTAGGCTGTACCGGAGCGGGACGTGTTTCAAGCGCACGGAGGAGACAGACACTAAAGCATGAACACGACTGCTGAGAGCATGTCAGCGGGCTGTACGCTGCCGGACACCGCGACAAGTGAAGGCCAGCTACGGCAGTCTCTCAGCATCAAATCTCCTACCCCCGACATGCCCACCGTTATCAATATCGACTCCCTCCGCCGCCCGCGCGCATTCGTCTCCCCAGCGCGTCGCCCCTGTCCCTGCATACGCCCCATTGGCTGGTGCCGCGCGCGTTCCTGCATGCCCCTTAGCCGCCAGATCCACATCGCACAAAGCCAGCCTCCAACCGCCGCCACGAGTGGGCACTTGCGCCTCGCCGACAGCCAATTCCACGCCCGCGATCTACACACCAGGGCGCTCTGAGGACCTGAACCCGTTCATGCGCTAGTCTGGGCCTCTCCTTTCTGCGCCAGCACTCTTCCACCACGCTGGGCGAGCAACTTTGTGCAAGATCATGACTTGAGCTGGGGATTAATCGTTAATATGCAAGCGCCCCAGTCAGACCCGTCTGGGGGTGCGCCTTCCACCTCGTCTCCCCCGCGAGCAAAGCCTGCCTTCCTCGCTGCTCTTGCCATCCCTTCGTTCGCGTCCTTCACGCGCTCGCAAGCTACCCAACCTGCACCACCCACGGCCGTCCAATCCCCATTGCGACGGAAGCCCCTGCCCCCAGGATCGCCCGTTGTGGGACGATACTCGCCGGCTGAATTGAACAACGGCACTGGCGTGGCACCCGATCGACAGAACGGGCGCAATATCCTTAATCGACAGTCCCAAGACCCTCGCCGCGCCGCTGCGTTGCCGTCTCCCGCCTCCAGCGTTGGCCTCATTGACTTGATACCGCGCAACCTTGACGAGTAAGTCCTGCTATACCCTCGCGCCTCTGGAACGTCCTCATGCTGACAGCCCTCCCAGACAGCCCCACGGCCAGACTCCTTTAACTGCGACTGCCCCGAAATATCCTGACAGACAGAGTTCTCTCTCCTCGAACAACGGTCGCGTCTCCTCGGGCCCCCTACCAAGGCATGATCGGTCTGCCAGCAGCTTTCAAGTACACCGACAGAGCAGACTAGAAGAACTGAGAGCTTCGGCGAAAGGACAGCACGCGCGCTCACCTACTATGCCGAATATGCCAGCATACAACACAGCAGAAGTCCGACCACCACCCAACTTGCGATTGAAACTGGACGGAGTGACGGAAGATTTTATTGACGATCTATACGAGACGGACGAAGATCGCGAGGAAGAACAGGCGAGGCCCGTCAAACCCAAGTCCCCGGCCGCAGGCTTCTCTTCATTCTTCGGCTGGAACTCAGCCAAGCAAAACGGCGGCGAGTCGCCCACAACCACATTCTCGGAAAAGTCTTTGTCGCCTGCCGCTTCCCCGCGATTTCCTAAGCAACAAGGAATGCCAGCCAAGACAAAGCCGACTGGCCTAAACATCCCCATGGCAAATTCCTTGTCTCAGCCGTCTTACTTCAACGTTCCTGGGACGCCACTTCTATCATCGTCGCCCCAAATGAATGCTCATGTCGAAGAGCTAGAGCGCGAGCTTCGCGAGGTCAGCTCGGAGCTGGCTGCTTCCATCCGCAGGGAGATGGAGCTGGAAGACGAGGTGGAGCGATGGAAATCGGAAACCATGACCACCATGTCAGTGGACAACCGACGAACGAGCGATTACTATTCGGACTCGGGTGCCAGTTCCATCCGCTTCCCCATCTCGGACCCTGAGAGCAAGCTGGAGGAGGTCGAGACGCTGCGTAGGAAAGCAGAGCAAGAACGTGCCACTTTGAAGGTGCAGATGGCAGAACGCTTGTCGGACGAACTGCGCCGTCGTCGCGACCTTGAAGAACAAGTCCAGCAACTTGAAGACAAGGTCAGCGGTCCATCTGGCACATCTGCTGCTGGTGGTTCGAAAGTCAAAGAGCTCGAGGCCTCTTTACAAGATGCTCAAAGACGTTTGGCTGAAGAAAGACAGGTCAAAGAGAACTTTGAAGATCTATTGACAGCCCTTCGGGATGAGCTTGAACAACACCGAAACGAACGAGACAATCTCCGCGACGAGGTAGTGCCACAGCTCAGAGCTCGCCTCGAAGGCTTAGAGTCCGAAGCGGCCGATACACAAAGCCTCATGTACGAGACGACGCGCATGCAACAGGAAATCCAGCAACTGCGAACAGAGAACCAAATGCTTGTCAACGCGCGGAGGTTGCAGCAGGAGATGACACCGCAAGCCACTCGCTTCCAACCGATCGGGGCTATTGCTGAGGAAGGAGAGTCTCCGCAGAAGACCAATCCGCGCGTGGGCCTATCGCGATCAAATTCCCTCGCTCGAAGCTCTGGTTTTGCTAGCAAGAGAGGCTCACTGCAGCGGTCCAATTCGGTCAAGGATAAATCCGGCGCCGCATCACCCCTGGAGGGATCATCTCCACTCGCAATGGGCAACCCAGTCAAGGAGCTAGAAGAGCAACGGGATGCCCTTCACAAGGCTCTCAAGCACCTTCTGCAACGACAGGAGATGCAGCAAAGAGACTTCGAGAGGCGCATCAAGGAACTGGAAATGGAACGAGACAATGCGCTGAATCTCACGCCTCGGCGCACGGCATTCCATAAAGAGGTTGCCAGCTTGAGGGGTGAGGTAAACTCGCTCAGACGTAGAGCTGACGACGCTCTTGAACAAAAGTTCCAGTGCGAAAATGGCCTCCGTGGACTTCGTATGGACCTGGACCGTGCCCAACAGGAGACATCGTCTCTTCGCGAACTACTGACCGAAAACGACATTACCATCCCTGAGATTCGGATCGAGAACCAGCCTTACTCGCTCGACAAATCGTACAATGAACTACGAACCACGCACGCCTTGTCGCTCGCCCGCATCAAGCAGATGGAGTCGGAAGATTCACTAGGCGATGCCAGTGAAGAGGCTGAGCGAACCCTAGATCTGCTGAAGCGAAGCATCTCGGATGCGGAAGCAGAGCGCGATTATGCGCAGAAAGAAGCCGAGCAGTATCGCCAGCAGGCCCGAGCACTGCAACGGTCCGAGCTTGAACACTTGGGCAAGGAACAACATCTGAGCAGTGAGCTCTTTGCAGCAGCAACTCGCATGGATGAGCTTTCTAGCAAGATCCAGCAGCAGCTTGAGTCGAATAGAGCACTGCGCAAACGACTGACGGACGCGGTCGCTCGTGGTGAGCAAGAGCAGGAAAAGTCCACAGAAAAAATCATCGAGCTGGAGCGACGACTCAAGAGCGCGGAAGAGAAGGTCATGACTGCCCAGCAATCGTCAGAGGAGGCTATCTCCAAGCACGAGGTCGAGGTACAAGCTCTTAAGGAGAGCAACACGAACCAATTGCGCCGCGCAAAGTCTGGCCTGCTAAGCCCCGCTGCTTTGTCGCCGAAGATGCCGACATCGCCAGTGTTTGCACAGAGGGCGCCTCGCCTGAGCCAGACCACGAGTGGGCCAGCGATGTCCATGGCCGAAGCCACTAGGACCGAGCTTCTCGAGAAGCGTGTTGAGGAGCTTGAAAAGGCTCTGAGAGATGCCGACCACGAGATGGAGGAGGTCGTGGGCCGTATGAACATGGCTCAGATGGAGGTTGCCGATCTCCAGTTCCAGAGGTAAGTCCCATTGCCATTCTCTGGCCGACAGGTTGCTAATCCAATTGCAGAGACGAAGCCATGATGCAGACCAGGAAGCTTCAGGCCGATATTGTCGCCGAACGCGAGAAGGTCCAAGCCCTCATGACGCAAGCATGATCTTGATTACGATGCATAACGCCGAGCGTTCGAAACGACTCTCCCTACTTCACTTAGCCGATTATAATATTTTCCTTCTCTCCAGACACGGCCGTGTCTCCCCTTAGCATCCCTTCCGACATTTGGCGTTTCCCGGACATGGCATTTACACTGGAGCAAGGGTTGCATTCTCGTATTATTTTGCACCACATGCCCCGTTGCTGAGGCAGTTGCCCGCGGCTGAGGCCCTGGTCTTCGGACACATTCGATCGGTGGACCAATTATGGCCACAAGTTATATACCCTTTCTCCGGTGACAGCTGCATGCTGCAACAGCTTTGCGAGTTTTGTCTACCATTGTATTAGTTGATTACCTGGCGAGCAGCCCATTACCGTTGTACATAATGATTTAATGGTTGGATGCTTGATGCTCGACATTGGTGGGAGAACAGGTGTAGCAGTAGAGTGAAGACCAATGGTAGCATTGCCGCGTGCAGAGATGGGTGATTTTGCAGGAATTGTGTGAAACTTGGACGTGATGCATGTAAGACGGTGCCATACGCCTGGGATACGGATTGACAGGCGTAGCGCACCGGGAGTGGAAGCCAGTTCGCGTTCTGTACCGTGGGACCATGGAACGTCGTGAAGGGTTACAAGGGAGGATATAGGCAGCAGGATGGCGTGATGTAGGCTATCGAATCAATAGCGGGTGGTCATACAGACGCATGCCTGCGGACACTGTGTCGAGGGCGGTGCAATTCAGTCAGCGCGTGAAGTCGCGGGATGCTGCCCGACGCTGCGGAAGTTTGCATCTGTGCATCTGCCACGGCGCTCGCGTGCGTGCGTAGGGCAGCAGGCCGACAATGGGCGCTGGCGGTGCCGTGTGTCGCTCAAGCTGGCAACAACAGACGAGTCCGCACGTGGCGGAATGCACAGGTATCGTCTCAGCCTTGGTTGGTGACGCGGTGCAGCAGTGCCTGGGCCGAGCTTGGGACGTGGATTGCTCGAGCATCGGGGCGTCCCTATCGATACGCGGTAGCGGTCCGGTGCGTGCTCGGTGTGTGCCGTGCCTGCACTGGAGCGGGGAGGAGGGGAAGGGAAGGGAAGGGAGCTCGCACGGCGCCGCAGCGTAACGCAAGCGTACAGCGGGTCGCGCAGAGAGCATGCACGCCGCCGTGTGCTGGCGTCTGGTCCCCGCCGTGCCCGCATCACCTTCGCATCGCACGCTGGCTGTGGTGAGAGCGCCGACCATGTCGCTGCACTAAGCGTGCGCTAAACCGCATGGGACGGCGCCCATTGTCTCGCCGTTTGAGTTATCCCTGACTTCGAGCTCTCTTGCGACCGACTCCCTTCTGCCGTGTGCTCCTTTCCCCTTCACTTGACTCTGCTGCTTGCTCGTGCAGTGCACTACCAGCCCGTGCTCGGCGAGACAACACACGGCGTGTTCCTGGGCAGCTGCGACCTGGCCCGACCTGCCTGTCCCCGCCCGCATCCACGCCCACGCCCCTCGAATTGCGGCCACATCCTTCGCCCGCACCCGCCCTCCCACCACGGCCGCCAGACACAAAACGCCCTCCTAGGGACGCCATCCCGGTGCCCCTCCACGCCAACTGCAGCCCGCCATGAACAACCAGCAGCAGCAACAGCAGGGCAACCGCCTGAACCTCGCCTTTGGCTTCGGCGGCGGTGAACGACAGCAGCAGTACCCCACCACGCCGTCCACCTTCCCCCAGCCCGTCTACCCGAACCAGGCCGGCCAGCAGGAGGTGTGGGGCGCTCAGCAGGGCAACGGATACGCGGGCGGCAATGGCTACTTCATGAACCCCTACCAGCAGGCTCAGTACCAGGGACAACAGGGAAACCTGCAGGCCCCCAACGCTGGCCGCTTCAACGAAGCTGCCAATGGGCTTGCCCAGCAGTTCCAGCAGCAGCACCTCGGCGGCAGCGGTCGTTCTGGGAGTCCCTACGGCGGCCGCCAGCCCTCGCCGAGCCAGCAGCGGCCCCGGACCGCTGACAACAGGGGCTACCCGTATGGAGGAGGATATGGTCACCACCCACGGCAGCCTTCGCTGAACGACGAGGAGCCTCCGCCAAAGACGCCGGAGAAGTACTCGGACAATGTGCTGCGCCAGGCCAAGGTCTCGATCAACCTTGTCAGCACCTTCTTCAAGGACAGCGTGCAGCGAGCGCGGGATCGCAACCAGCGGTATGCAGACCTGAACAGAGGGTCTCAAGACACACGGCTAACATTGGAGCAGTGCTTTGGAAATGGAATCCATCATGAAGGAGCCCTCTATATCCGACAACCGCAAAGCCCAGAAGGAGCAGTCCATGCGACGACAGGAGGCCGAGTACCTTCGCTTCCTCCGAACCAAGGAGCGACCAGAGAACTTTTCCACACTAAAGATCATTGGCAAGGGTGCTTTCGGAGAGGTCAAGCTTGTCCAAAGGAGGAACGATGGCAAGATCTACGCCCTCAAGTCGCTTGTCAAGGCTGAAATGGTTCGTTTTATTATATCCCTCGCTCGCATGTGCATGTGCCAACTTTCTACAGTTCAAGAAGGACCAGCTTGCCCACGTCCGCTCGGAGCGTGATATCCTCGCCGAGTCGGATAGCCCGTGGGTCGTCAAGCTGCACACGACATTCCAAGACAGCACCTTCCTTTACATGCTTATGGAGTTCTTGCCTGGCGGTGATCTAATGACTATGCTGATCAAGTATGAAATCTTCACTGAAGACATCACGCGTTTTTACATGGCCGAAATCACTCTTGCTATAGAGGCTGTCCACAAGCTTGGTTTCATCCATCGGTAAGCCAGACCAAGACAGAAGCTATGCTTTTGGGTGCTAACCTTGAGCAGTGATATCAAGCCTGACAACATCCTCCTGGATCGTGGTGGCCACATCAAGCTCACTGATTTTGGTCTCTCGACCGGTTTCCATAAGGAGCACGAGGCCGGTTACTACAAGAAGCTACTGGCTGGTGGCGCACACAAGTCGAACAGGGAAAACCGGAACTCAATGAACTTGGACCAGATCCAGCTTACCGTCAGCAACCGTGCGCAGATCAACACCTGGAGAAAGTCCCGTCGCCAGCTGGCATACTCCACTGTGGGTACTCCCGACTACATTGCGCCCGAGATCTTCAGTGGCCAAGGTTACGACTATGGCTGTGACTGGTGGTCGGTTGGGACTATCATGTTCGAGTGTCTGATCGGGTGGCCTCCGTTCTGCGCTGAGGAGCCGCATGACACATACCGCAAGATTGTGGACTGGCCGCGGAATCTGCACTTCCCCCCGGACCAGCAGCTGGGAGCTGAGGCCGAGGATTTTGTAAAGCGGTGAGTACATGATGTGTTGATTCTCGTGTTTGCGAGTCATACTAATGCCTGTCTAGCTTGATTTGCGATGCCGAACATCGCCTGGGCCGTATTGGTGGGGCCAGTGAAATCCGGCAACATCCTTTCTTCCGCGGTGTACAGTGGGACGGTCTGCGCCGTATCCGTGCGCCATTCGAGCCGAAGCTGCAATCCAATGTCGACACACAGTACTTCCCCATTGACGAGATCGACCAGAACGATACCAGTGCTGCGTTGCGTGCGCAGACGGCGCAGGCGGGCGACGACGCGGCGGCGGAAATGAACCTGCCCTTCATCGGGTACACGTACAAGCGTTTCGACGCTTACAGAGGAAACTAGATACCCAGTCCTGCTGGCTACGACGGCATGAGGCTATGATCGAGCTTTGTTGGTCCTGACCTTCGATTTCATCAGTCAAAGAAATTCTCGCGCTGCTACCTATCATTTACCAATGCTCGGCTGGGGTTGGTACTTTTCTCCTACTACGAATGCATCTTGGCATGTGGGCTGGAAATCGTTGTTGGGAATGTTGGTGATAGGGATCATATTTGCAGGACAAATGCATATGTTGGTGCTGTGGAGTGATAATCCAGCGTCGGGTTTTTCGTATTGTGTTTCCGTGACCGTATTTCGTGCCGTTCCAGCCTGCCGTTCCAGCGTGCTATAAAGTTTTGTGGATTGTGTCCACTACAGCAGGACAACAACGATAACAGAGCAAGACAAACTACAATACGATTGAAGAAGGGCTTTTCTGCTCATCTCTAACAGGAATCAAGTAGAGCTTGAGCGTGGACACGCACAGGCTAGATTGTAAAGCAATACATTCATGCAACTGCTAAATAGGACGATGGCCGGGTAATCGTGCATGCTGTATGATATTGTGGGCCCAACCATGTACACCGAGGAACTCCAAGAGAGATTACACACTTGATCGCAACAATACGCGCATGCCAGATGCCATCCATACTCCGCTCCTGTCGTTCGTATTCTCTCATCGCGTTTCCTTCCCGTCCTTGCCTATCCACCAATCCATGGCACCGACCGTTCCCACTCCCCTCAATCCAATCCAATCCAGTTCGGTGTAGTTCACTCCAGTTGCTTTCAGCGCGCCTCAAATTGCACCATGCTACTCCACCGTCAGCTCCCACTCCATTCCACCTGACTGCCTCCAGGGCCCGACTCACCGGTTCGTCCGCTTCTTGTACAGCACGCGGTGCCCGCAGTTGCGGCAGCGGATGGGCTCGCCGCGCTTGAGCTGCACGTCGCCGTCGCAGTCGCCGCAGGTGTAGGAGACGGCGCGCGAGTGGATGTCGATGGCTGAGGCGTCGGCCGTTTGGGAGGTTTGCGGGGCGTAGCCGGACATTTTTGGGGTTGGCGCGCGCGTGTACGGGTGGTCTGTGGGAGGGTGAGGCGGTGGAGAGTGTGGTGTGGGTGCGGTTCGTGGAGAGGTGGTGTGGTGCCTGATGCGCGTGGGTTAGTAAACTTTTTGGGCGGGCAAGGCTGGGTTGGCGCGGGTGGCGGTAACGCTTATCGATAGGGTACTGATGAGACTTGCACTCGACACTGGATGCAGACATGAACTCTATGCCCCTGTGTGAAAGTTATTGAACTACAGGAAAGGTTCGCCGTATAGTGAAATGCTTCTTGCTCTATGTCTGGCTGTGCAGCGAAGATGGTAGCTTGTGCATGCTGGCTGCGGAACGTCCGAGCACCACACATGCCTATAATACAGGTATTCTGCAGACCATCACTATCGCCTTCCACCCACGGCTTCCCGACCTCTGTCGGCTCCCATTACTCACCGTCTTGCTGATATAGTATGCGCAGAGCTACAAATAGAAGCAAACGCGTCCGTCCGCCAATAATCAGCAAACTAAAGGCCACTATGTTCAAAGCTAGGCCTTGAGTCTCTCCTGTCTCCAATCCGACACTGATGCTCCAGACATGTGTGACTGATTCCCATATGCATGGCCAGAAGTTGGCCAGGGCGGTTACTACAATACGTTCAATGTTTGGACATCTCGAGTCAAGAACTTGGCAAACAAGGAGCGACTTCCGACAGCAATGTGGGTTTCTAACGGGCCGTTCCTAGGGTTCATCCCCACCGCCGAATTGGGTGATTATGTCCTCAGGGATACCTGCGGTATCGTAGATATCTTTGGGTTGCTCAAGTCATCGGAATCTCACCATCTACGAGACAGAAAACTCAGCCTTGGGAGGCGGAGGCAGTCTCAGCTTAAGGGCCAGCACCAATGAAGAAATCTACCTCTCGAGATTAGACTCCTATTGTGAGCAAGCTTCCGACGCAAGACTTCTAGTAATCATAAGCAACATGAAGACGAAGTCGCCTTCTCCTGCCTGTCTTTCACAGTCTCTGCTCCGAACTGGACTGTGGTTGAACGCTGCCTCAAGCTGTCTTCACCTGCCCTGCTACGGTACAATGCCATGTCTGTGCAAAATACGCGTTCGTCGACTTCCAAAGTCCAGACATGTTGTCATGCAACAGGTGTCACGATTGTGTTCATGTGAGCGGTCTGAATGCATCCAGTGAAAAGTTGACTAGGCAGGTGTAAGGTGCGCGGGCGGAGTCTGCAAGTGTTTCAGTGGGGGTCACAGGCAACCCAAATGATCGGACGGAGAGGATACGTTGGTAGATGAACCGAACTGCTAGTGTGGGGGACTTCGGTTCCAGATGCCAGGCGTTGATAAGAACGTGGAGTTGAGCGTGGGCAAGATAGGTAGGAGGAGAGATGTGCAGCAAACATCGTGCCGGGTGGTCGCTTGGAACTTTTTCTTTTATCAATCCGAGAAAACGGACTTAGATCGGCTTCAAGTCACCCGGTGCTCGTGTAAGACATCATCCCCTGGATTTTGGTGGACAAGTATGCTCTTGCCGAAATGTGCCGATCAATCTTATGCAGATTGACCAGAAAGTTGCGAGGTGATCGTGTTCATTTGTGCAGGTGCGAAAGACATGAGGGTAGTCGCCCGACAAAAGGAGATGGAGTGCCGATGCCTGGAATAGCCGCGGTCGAGGAGACCCCTTTTTCTGCGGCTCTCCATGCACAATCCCGTCCGTTTCTATCCATGTACACCTGAGTCACACAGCGAGCATGCGACCAGGAAATCGGCCAGACTACCGCACTGCCACAGCCACCCGAACTATTGGAACTCTAGTGCCAAGGATCGTGGGTTGCCCAAAACGTGGAGTGCGGGACTCTCCAGTCCGAGTGGAAGTGGAGGCTCTGGGAGGCTCCGGGTGTAGGCCGAGACCCACGCACGTGCGCCAACGGGACTAAGCTTCGCGAATTTCCCCAAGGAGTGACCCCCAAACGGCTGGACAAGTCACCTGCACCGTGGCGATTTTCACATGAGATGAGTTGCTGGTCACGGTGAGCAGCTTTGTGGGCTGATTGGGCCTGGGGCGAAGATCCGCCATACCTACAACATACTGATAACCGCGGAGACATCTTCACGCTTATCTCTTAGCGTTGACACAATTTTGAGCATCCGAAATTTCTGACCGCCGGAATAGCTTACATATCTACAGTATACGCAAGTACACCGACGGTCGGCGGAAGGCATTAGGGACCGGGCGGGCAGTTCGCTAGACTCATTGACTCATTGCCCCTCGAGACGATGCATACGCAATGCTATGCTTCGGTGTACGGGCACTGTGAGCGCGAATGACGGGCCATTTCCAAGCAAGAGTATGGCACAATGAGAAGCCCCAGTCTCCTCATCAGCTGGACTGCTCGCCTGCCGCTTCCCCGTTCGAGACTCTGAAAGTCGTCGTAGGCGAACTTCCCCGGTCGCACGAAAGCGCCCTGAAACTGTCACCTTTTGGGCGCCGCGACCGTGCAATGGCATACAAAACACCATGGCGAAGTGGCTCTTCGTTGTAAAACAGCGTCGAACCCCACAGTAACAGCGGCTCGGCTCCAGTGCGGACACCTTCCAGTGTTCTCCGCTCCACCTGCGGAAGTCCACGATCCTTGGCAGAAGTTTCGCGACGCACTATGTAACTAGTGGCCGTCAAAAGAACAAGCTCTAAGCCCACAATAATCTGGACCCTTGGAAATTTCTGAAGCTGAGAAAGATCCACCCTAATCGCCATCATATGGGGCCGTGCTCATGCTCCACTATACTGCCCCTCAAAAGGCGGCTGCCCGCTGTGGCTGTCCGGCTCTGATCTCTGCTTTTATCCTCCTCCTCAGTCTCGCTCTTTGTTTTTGATACCCGACAGTTCATCGTTTTCACCGAGAAAATGCCCCACATCACCGAGGCGCCGCTGAGGCTCAGCAATGCCAACCTCGCACAGTTCTCGCAGGCCGAGACAACACCTGATTACGACCGCACAAAGTTGAAGCATGGTATTGTCCACGTTGGTGTAGGTGGTTTCCACCGCGCACATCTTGCTGTCTACGTCGACCGCCTCCTCTCCAAATTTTCGGCCAACGAGTGGTCAATATGCGGTGTTGGGCTCACTCCCTTCGATGCCTCCATGCGAGACGCACTAGGGCCCCAAGACCATCTCTACACCGTCATCGAGCGCTCTGCTCGGGGAAGCTCCGCACACATTATCGGCTCAATTTCCGATTACATTTTCGCACCCGGCAACGAGGAGGCCGTGATTGCGAAGATGGCTGATAAGGACACCCACATCGTATCTTTGACGATCACTGAGTCAGGTTACTACTACAACGAAAACACACACGAGCTCGATGTCTCAGACCCGAACATCCAGTTTGATCTCACTGGTGATGGACCACCCCGCACAACCTACGGATATCTCACTGCCGCGCTTGCGAGGCGTTACAAGGCTGGCCTGAAGCCCTTCACTGTCATGTCTTGCGACAACATGCAGAAGAACGGCTCAATCAGCCGTAACATGCTTCTCGCATTCGCCCGTCTCAAGGAGCCGAACATGGCTGCATGGCTATCCGAGAACGGAGCTTTCCCCAACAGCATGGTTGACAGGATCACTCCACGAACAGTCGATGAGGACAAGCAGGGCCTAAAGCAGCAGTTTGGTATCGAGGACGCTTGGCCTGTCGTTACCGAGCCTTTCATGCAGTGGGTGCTCGAAGACAACTTCAGCGATGGACGACCGCAATTCGAGGATGTCGGCGTGCAGGTTGTACCTACCGTCAGAGACGTGGAGCAGTTCGAGCTGATGAAGCTGCGACTCCTGAACGGTGGTCACGTTGCTATGTAAGTTATTCAAGTTGTTGAGAATCCGAGATCTTATACTGACGCTACTTTAGGGGATACCTTGCCTCCCTCGCAGGATTCACCTACGTCCACGAAGTTATCGCCGACCCGCTCTTCTCCCAATATCTCAACGACCTGTGGTACGAAGAGGTCAAGCCTCTCCTGCCCTCCATTCCCGGTGTTGATGTCGACGAGTACATTCAGACGCTCCACTCGCGTTTCTCGAACCCCACTCTCAAGGACGAGGTCGCCCGTATCTGCCTCGGCGGGTCCGGAAAGATGCCTCAGTTCATCCTCCCCTCCATCGCTGAGCAGATCGAATCCCGTGGCCCCATCGGCCGCCTTACACTTTGCGTCGCCGCTTGGTTCCGCTACCTCAGTGGCATTGATGAGAACGGCAAGACCTACAAGATCGACGACCCCATGGCCAAGGAACTCCAAGCCCTTGCCCGTGAGGGTGGTGCGAGCCCCAACGCCCTCCTCGGCGTGCAGACCCTCTTCGGTGACGACCTTCGCTACGATGGTCGTTTCGTGCGTGAGATCACCATGGCCATGCGCACGCTCGACCGAAGAGGCGCTCGCAAGACACTCGAGAAGTACGTCGAGCTTCCCGAGGATGACAAGATCTCCGTTGCTGGCTCCACCGGCTCCGTCACCGGCACCCACACACGCGAGTCATCGAGGACACGCGAGTCAAGGACGCGCGAGGACATCACCAAGCGCATGCAAGAAGAGGAGATTGCGAGCCTCAGGCAGCAGGTCATCGAGCTTACGCTTGAGAAGAAGCGCCTTGCGTCCAAGCTCAACGACATCTGGAAGATGGCGTCGATTTACTGAGTACCCAAAGATACCCTTGGATCTTACATTATGCTCTTAACCGACGTTGCTTGCATCCAATAGACCCACGTCGCAGACCGCGACACAGCTCACGGCGTCCGTGGGGTGGAGGATGTAATACGAGGCAATATCCTCGATGGCTAGAGGGGTTTCCCACGGCCCCTGGTTAGACCGATACCATTTAGCATGTTCCGTTTGTTATACGAAAAGCAGGCATTTGCGGGCGTTTATAGACTTGATACATGTTTCCAGTCCTTGTCATGCAAGAGCATGGCCAATCTTACTATTATCCACATTCAAGTCCTCTCTGTGTAGTGACGCGCGGGGCTACATCTTGCCTCGTCTGCAATCGCCTGTGGCTGCACCACTTCTCTCTTTGCCACACAGCAAATACAATCGCCTGCTGTATTCGCCACCTGCCCCTCCTTCCCTTCCCCTCCTTACCCAGCAATCATCACCCGCGCAGTTTCCTATTCAGGAACCCGACTTAACACCGACCCCCCTGTCCCCTCTGGTAAGGGCTCCACACAGCGGCTCGCCGCGGAAGCACCAAGTGGACCTCGCTCGCTCGGAATCCTAGTCCGCCTGATGTCACTGCCCGTGGGAACATCAGCTGCAATGGCGTCACTCGTGTTGTTGTCTCGCGGGAAGAAGTTCCGTCCACGCCCCGCAGGGTCCATGGGATGATGCTGTGCTGTTGGAGTCAGGGTCCTGCGCTACGGTAGAATGTTGATCGCGTATGAGGGGTGAGCGGGAGAATCAGCTGGCGAGGGAATTGGTAGGTCTCCGATGGTTCGAATTGAATTGGTGTAGTGTGATCAGAACATTCGAGTGCAGGTTCAGTGTGATCGGAAAGGCGAATCTGTATGTATATTTGTATGGTTTCTACCCTAGGTATATTCAACCCAAGTTGTCTAAAACCTCCAGCAAGCCACAGCAAGCATCGTGAGTCGTATCGTCGTGATCATCCCCAGTACGCCACCATGCATCTACGCACAAGCAATGCTGCCTACCCATTCATGCAGTTCAAGACGCCTCAGCATAGCTGACTCGCTCCTTCACAAATATTCTCGTTCCACGTAGCTCTGAATCATACCCGACGGGCTTGGGTCATACTCCTTAAGCACCGCCTTGTCTCCCTCAAGCACTGTGTTCGCCTGCACAAACACCTTCCGCGGTTGCTTCTTCGACAGCACCGCTGGGCGCACCTTGTTCTCGTAGAACGGCTCGACATTCGAGAGCTCCTCGTACATCCTCTTTCCAGCTTCGTAGTCCGCAGTGCTCTTGTAGATGTGCAGCTTCTGCAGATACTCCTCGACGGCGCTCCGGCCAAGGTCAAGGATGCGGTCGCGCTCGAGGCGAATGGTGAGGTCCGACAGATCGTTCTCCTTCCACTCGAGCTCACAGAACTCGACGCCGGCGTTGAGGAACGTGCGGAGGATGGTGAAGCGCGCTTGGCTGTGCGCCTGGCCCCATTTGCGAGACTTGGGGTCCCAGAACTCGAGCGCAGCAATACCAGCGCGGGCCATCTGGAGGTAGGCTGCATAGAGAATGTCGCCGGGCTCGCCGTTGATGTCTTCTTTGCCATCACCAAAGCCGAAGAGTTGGAGAATGGAGAAATCGCAGCCGAGGGCCATGGCAACGCACTCGGCGCGGCACTCTTCATAAGACGCGGCAAGGGAACCAAAGACAGAGCCCCAGGTCTGGCCGGGCTTGTAGTAGGTCGTGATGGGCTTACCAGAGATGGGCGAAATTGGGGGGTTTTTAATGTCGAAATTATAAACACCAGGCGCAGTCTCTTGGAGCAGCTTGCCGCAGCCGTGGCCGAGAAGCTCGTGGAGACCGACTTGTACTTCGAAAGCTGGGTCGCGGTACTTCTGATATACGTCCAAATCCTTGTCCTTAATGAAGGGGACTTTCTCGTTGGGTGCCTTCGCTGAGAGAACATTGCCTAGTGATACGTTCTTGAAGCCGATGTTCTGGCGAATGTCGTCGTAGTTCGGGATGTTGATACCGGCAGGGATACTGTGCATCGTTAGCGGTGTACCATTGGAAAGTAATTGAAAGGTTTGACATACCCACTACCGGCAAACGTAAGCACCTCAAGTGAGGTAAAGTCAGGGCTCAAGAAGGTGTCCTTCTCGAATTCCGCCTTCCACGGCAGCAATGGAATTAGCTTAGGCGCAGCGCTCACTAGCTTGCTGAATGCCTCTGTCCGCTCCTTGTTGACCGTTGCGACGAAGCCTTCCCATTCTCCTCGAATGCCATGCGGGTCGCGGTAGGTCTCCACGAACCCAATATCACTCTCGACCGCTGGGCCCTTGTCCTTGATCCACTGTCGCTGAGACTCCTTGTAGGCTTCCAAAGAACCAGTAGTAAAGCTCTTTACGTATTCCTCGGTCATCTTGACCTCCGTGTCATTCGCAGCATACTTCTTCGCCTCGGCGATATGATGCGCAATAGTCTCCATCTCCTTAGCATGGTCGCCAAAAACCAGCTTGACTTTCTTGCCGCTGGGCAGTGTCCATTCGCTCTCATCGAGATCGCGGTCCGCCGCCGCCGGGTCTTTCTGAGCGCTTGCGATGAGGATCTCGAAGCCCTCTTTGGTCTGGCGAATTCGCGTATTCTCTGGCAATAATCGCTTGCCTTCTAGGAAGTCACTCACGCCCGAAATGTCCTCCTTCGTAATGCCGGGGCTGTCGGGGTAGTAGGTAGACACGTGGCCCGCGCTTGGGTAGCCCAGGTGCAACTTCGCGATGTCTTCCCCGGCGTATATAGCGTTCTCGAACTGTTCGTATAGCTTCTGTGTCGTCGGGGACAGCTTGGCCAGGGCCTTCAGCTCGCTCGGTTCGATGCGCGGCACGAACTTCGAGTCGCCGAACGACTTGTAATTGCCCATGTTGCCCAAGAACTGAGCGGCATAGTTGAGGTATGCATCAACGGCTGCTTTGGAAAGGCTGGCATCATCCGCGGCCTTGGCGTAGTCGCCCTCGACGTGCTTGTGTAATGCGACGATGAAGTCGTAGATGGGTTCGGATTCGGGGGACACCTGGCGAAGAACGATGCGGGATCCTGCAAAGCAAGCTCTATTGTTTTGTTAGTTTACCATAAATCACTAGTATCCGTAAAATGTGGCTCACAGGGAGAGATGGTGAGCGTAGAGCTTCTCTTTGTCGCTGAGAGCTTCGAAGTGGGGTTTGATGGCGAGATTGACTACGGAAGGCGGGTCGTCGGCTAGGTATTGCTTCAGTGTCTCCGAGTCGATTGAGGCAGTCATTTTAGCCGGTAGTGCAGCTGCAGCTGCGAGATAGACAGCGTTGTCGAGGTAAGGGCGAGGTTCAAGTGGGCGGTGCCTGGAGCTCGGATTCAGGGCTCACGTACGCGGGGTATGGACCCTTTGTAATTAGCTCGCTCCGTGCGGCAGGACACAAACGCCACACGACCCCAACGGCAGGTGCGTGTTGCACGTCGGCGTTGCCATGCCCGATTGGCGAGGAATCGAAATGCGCACCGTGTTGACGCTAGTCCGGTCGTATTGTTGTCGATGGCATCTCGCGCCGGCCTGGGCGCTCCGGCCGCAACGAACAGAGCCACATTTTCGAGGCTTTAATCCAGCCGTCACGGTGCCCACCCAACGCCCGAGGACACTCAACCAGGCCTACTCTGCGAACAAACCAGGAACAAACTTCTTCGCCATCACTGTGCCCGATGGACCCTGACCTGGCTTGCATCCTCACGCATTCCTCGATTGATAGTCAATTGGTGAATTGATGCTTCACTGCTGTAAGTCACCGCGAGTTAATGGAAGACTGCATGCGCAGAGACAAGGATCCACCATTGGATGTAATCCTTCACATAGTAAATTGCATATATGCATTCGTACTACCCCAACGGGTTCTGATGATCGAGACTCCAGGCACTGTGTCCTACAAGCCTACCCACAAAGATGTAAGCCCGATGACTGCAACGGCACACCACGAGAGCGACACACGTGTCGCCATGCTGCTGCTCACAACCTCCGGGGTTCCCAACTCCTTCACACCATCAATCTTGCAAACAACCTTGCACTTCTCGTCCTTCCTCTTATCAAGTAGCTCAGCCGCTCTCTTGCTATTCGGGTCGGGGCTTGTGTCACCCTCCACCTTTCCGCTCGTATTGAAAGTCATCTCAATCCATTGTATCTGGAACTCCGCAGAGCCGTCCTCCGTCATGTTTCCAGACCATGATCCGCCGTCCGACCACATGTTTATTACCAGGTAGCTCGACTTTCGCGGCACCGAGTACGTGTTCGCAGCGACCTGCTTATCGTTCAAGTACCAGTAGCTGTTCTTGTCGAGCCAATCGATACGGTGCTTCTGCCACTCGTTCCAAGCCGGAAGCTTCGTCTTCGTAAGAGATGCTGCTGCAACCTCGTCACCGCTTTTGTCGACCGATGGCTGGTTGGTGTACCGGATGACATCTGTAGGGTCGTCCGTCAAGATCTCAATATCCGATTCATTTTCGTCGTCGTAAAAGGTGAAGAAGCCAGCGACAGCTCCTTTGTCCCCCACCACTCTCGCTGAGACGCGCATCGACGTGTGCATCACGTTCTTCTGCAGGTTCTCAATCTCTGCCGCGCTCTGGAATCCATTGCCACGGGTCGTCCGGAGTGTGAGGTATGTGAATGCGTCGTTGGTGTCGTTGTTTTGCTGCAAGTAGACGTTTGCTGGCGAATTCACCATTCGCACGGGGAAGTCCTCGGAAGCGTTCTTGCTCCAGTTCTGTATGTTCCAGTCCTTATTCCATGCATCGCTCTTGAGAATGCTCGGCTGTCCAACATCAAGGTTGGGAGCTTCGTCCCAGTCGTCGACAATGGCCGGTGTTTTCAGATACTCTCCTGCTTTATCCGCAAGATTCCGAAAGTCGTAGAAGCGATAGTACTGGAAGTATTGGGGAGTCTGCGAGTCGTCACCAGATTCGACAACATAGCAGGTACAATTCGGATTGTTCTGGACTGGCGTTGTGGAGTTTGCAGTTACATATCCAGCGGAAATTGCAGGTCGAACGAGGAACGCAATAGGCCACAAGGCCGCTGCCAGTCTCACCACCATGGCGCAAATGGTTTGATACTTTGAAATGTACGCAAAAGACAAGATGGGTATCAGATATTAAACAATAAGCTACAAGCGAGAGACTGTAGAAAGCAATATGCAGAGCGAGAGGTCACCTCCGGGACATTTCGAGTGAGTTCAATAGTCGTAGTGTGTATCAGCAGGAGGGGTGCGCGACCTGGACTTCATATACAAATGAGTTAATAGATGAAACCACCACGTTGTTGCGCCTCAGAGGGTAGGGCGAGGCGCAGGCGCTCCGTTTGCGCCCATTTGTAATTGGTGCCCTGGCAGCGTTAAGTTGTTTGTATAGCTCCGTATCGTCCCCATTCGGTCGGAGCTAACATTAATCTGGCCCGATCCCTGCGTTTTGCTGCTTCAATAGCGTGCAACAGTAGACAAGTAGGGTAATTGAGCCGGCACGCTGCAGTGAGCGACGGCGACTCTTAGACATTGAAACATCTCTCTTTGAAAAGAGAATATAGGATGGAGCGCTTCATTCGTATGCGCGCACCTCCAGCCACGTTGACTTGTGAGCTCGATTCGAGTGCTGTTAGTCTTTCAAGAGCGAGACTGGCTGGCTAGCTAGCCCAAAGCTAAAATTAATCAACGGTCACGCCACGCTGTGGCGCCTTCGAAAGTAACTTTAGGCTGAGAGGATGCACGACGTCGAGTGGAAATGAAATTCAATGAAAGCGCAGCAGTGGCAGTGCACTAGCGTTGGTGATACACAGAGCCTAGCCCAGCTTATGTATTAACTGCAGGTGAAAGTTGTGGCTTGCCTGCCTGCCAAGCCTTCCGCACGTGGGCCTGATGTAAGCGTTCACGTGCCTGCGCGACATCGACGCGCTGCTGCCTTCGTGCCACACTCACCAACAGTCGTTGCTGGCTGATGCCTGCGAGGCATCCTTGAATACATGTATAGTGGAAAGTACCTCATTGAACCTATAGCGATACTCTACGATTGCATCTATCCAAACACCCGCACAATGGCCAACAAGTATTTGCAGGAGAAGGTGGCTTACTTTCAGCAGCAAGATCTGTTGGATCTTTCCGAGGACGATGAAGATTATCGTGACCCTGGTCTCTTGGCCGCAGAGCGTTTGTTGGGTGGTTCTGCTCCAATGCCTCCGCCACCGCCCATTCGCCGCGGGAGTGGTTTTCTGGGACCTACGCCCCCGGAGCGGCAGCAGGAATTCAAAGCGCACACGACAAAGTACCGTGCGGTCGGACGTGAGTGCGATCCTGGCTTGATGCGATCTTCCACGGCACCAGAATCAATTACCCAGAGCTTCCCAGTCACGACATTCACACAAAGGCATGGTGCGCCTCAAGGAAAGCTGAAGAAGACAGCGTCCATGTCAGACATTGCCGCAAAGGATCTCACACCCTTCCACAAGCGTATGGGAGAGATCCCTCGCGAGCTCAAAAACGCGAATGCAAAAGCTGCCTACAATATCATCGTTGAGCCAGAGCATAAACAGCTGCTGAAAGAAAAAATTGTCTATTTCTTCCCAAACAATGACATCAGTATGGCGCGACGCCTTCGAATACATAAGATCATCCAATTAGGCGCTGCTTGGGTGAAAACATGGAGAGACGATATAACGCACGTTATCTTCGATGATGATAAACACACATACCCTCAACTCCTACGTCACCTGAGCAGGGCTGGTTTGCCAGTAAGTACGAGCTTAGTGATGCGATCTCTGCTGAACAAACCGAAGGGCAAAGTCGTCGTTGTTAGGTTCGACCCATATATACCACAGTGCATACAGTCCTCTCTACTGCTCGATCCCTCGAAAACAAGGTTTCTGGTCAAAGGGGCGCCGCGTCCAAACGAGGCACCAACGCCAACACCTCCAGAGTCTCAAGACTCACTAGTGATCAAAGCTTCAAGACGAGAACTGACCGCCAACTCGTCTCAGAAGACCGATTCAGTGGAGCCCGAAGATACTCCCGCGAAACAGCATGAGGATGACCTCCCAACCTCCAGCGGGGACATAGTAAAGGATAGTTTCGTACAAGTCCCAGAATCACCCATTTTGGAATCTGCGAAGCTTCCAGAGGAATTCAATGACGAGCTCTCGCAAGCCATACGACAGTCAAGAGCTGTTGCGCATCTTCCACTTGATGATGAAGAAGAGAGCGAGTCGCGACCCACTTCTTCGGCAAGCATGGACTTTGAGTTTAGTACAGATGAAGAAAAATCACTGCCAAGTCCGAAACGTACAAGGAGCCAGACAGCCGCTGTAGCACCACGCAAGAAATTCGGAGTCAATCAGAACACCTTCCAATGTATGAACCCCATGGGAACATCCTCCCCGACTTCTAATCCTAATGCACGGACAATCGAAATGCTCGAGCAAATGGGAAAATACTACGACCAGACGCAGGATCAGTGGCGTACACTTGCCTACAGGAAGGCTGTCACCACACTGCGGAAACAACATGTCCAAATTTCCACCGCGAAGGAGGCTGCGGCGCTCCCATTCATTGGGTCTCGCCTCGCTGACAAGATCGAGGAGATTGTGTTGACGAATCGACTGCGCAGATTGGACAGCGTCCGCGATGATCCAACCGACAAAATCCTCCGCCTGTTTTTGGGTGTTTACGGAGCCGGACTGGTACAAGCCAACAAGTGGATACAAGCCGGGCATCGCACGCTCGACGATTTGCTTGCGAAGGCGAAGCTCACAGATGCGCAAAAGGTCGGGATTGAGCACTATCATGACTTTGCAACGAGGATACCTCGAGCTGAAGTCAAGGCGCACGGTGACCATGTCAGGAACGCTCTGCAACTGATCGACCTTGGATTTCAAGCCACTGTCATGGGTTCTTACCGCCGCGGTGCAAAAGACTCTGGCGATATCGACATCATCATTACCAAGCCCGGTGCGACAGTATCAACTCTGCGAGATGTGGTCTTTCACACGCTTGTTCCTCGACTGCTCAAGACAGGTTTCCTGAAGGTCAAGCTCGCTACTTCTTCCAGTAGTAAATGGCACGGTGTGTCTTGCCTGCCGTTGTCGACTACATGGCGCCGGTTGGATCTCCTTCTAGTGCCAGAGGAAGAGATGGGAGCAGCCCTGCTTTACTTCACAGGCAATGACATCTTCAACCGGAGCATAAGGCTCTTAGCAAGCAAAAAAGGTATGCGCCTCAATCAGAGAGGGCTGTACAAGAATGTCATTAGAGGAAGGCATGGAGAGAAGCTGAACGAAGGAACTTTGATCGAGGGCAGGGACGAGAGGAAGATCTTCGAGATTCTAGGAGTGCCCTGGCGCGAGCCAACTGAAAGAATCTGCTAAGGGCCAAATCTATTACTGGCTAGTGTGGGACCCACAGCAATCCTTCCAGATAGCAGACGTGTGCCTCATTGTCAATCACTTCAACTTTGAAACTCCGCTTCCGCGATTGTTCCCTCCTCCTACTAACGGGACGCTAAGCGGCTCTAGCCGGGTCTATCCGTTCGATACATCCGTGCCTCCATCTTGTTGACAGTATCAGCTGCTGTTGTTCCTGAAATACCGAGTATCTACACATTGACCACCCACCATGTCGTCGACAAGCCCGCCTCGATTAGGATGGTTTGGCCTGGGGTCAATGGGACTTGCCATGGCCTGTAACCTTCAGAAACATCTCACAGAGCAAAATTTAACTGCTCTCCACTTCGCGAATCGAAACATTTCTAAAGGCGATCCGCTCAAGGAACTTGGAGGTATACCATGTCAGGACATCAAGGAACTGGTCCGGGCATGTGATGTGATCTTCATATCGGCAAGTCCACTCTCGTGCCCTCACAAACGGCTCGGCAGAATTATTAATATGTCCATGTATCGTAGGTAACGAACGATGACGTCCTTACGACTGTAATTAAATCATTCGTATCCACCAATTCGCTGAGAGGCAAAATCCTCGTAGACACAACGACGGTTCACCCCAATACAACAGCCGCTCTGGCAACTGAACTCGCATCCCACGACTGCTCTTTCGTCGCTGCCCCGGTCTTCGGCCCACCGCCAACTGCCCGCACAGGCCAGCTCCTCGTCGCTGTCGCTGGACCCTCTCAAGCGATCGAAATCCTTGCACCCTACCTCCACGGGGTCATCGCCCGTGGCGTCATCCGCGTCGGCGAAGAACCCTCGAAAGCTCTCCTCTTGAAATCGACCAGCAACTTCATTGGTGCAGGCCTCATGTACCTCCTCTCGGAAGCCCACGTTCTTGCCGAAAAATCCGGACTATCAGCGCCCGTCCTAGAGTCGCTCATCGAAGCTAACTTCGGCGCCTACGCGGCCAACACGTCTAAGCGACTTACTTCGGGAAGCTATATGCCTGCTACAGGACAGGCGCCGAACAGCGCGCTGGAGCTGGCGATCAAAGATGTGGGGATCGGGTTGGGAATAGCAAAGGAGCAAGGCGTGAGGTTGGAAATCGGTGAGTTGAGCATGGGGGCGATGGAGGAGGCGAAAGCATTTGGAGACGAAAGGGAAAGGAAGCTGGACAGCCATAGTGTATTCGGGATCGTAAGGAAGAACGCGGGGCTGGACTTCGAGAACGAGGCCGTCAAGGAGAGAGATGGGTCAGGAGAGCAGAAGAGACCGTAAAGATACGTGGGGGGGAGATTTCCTCGGATGCGTACAGATCCGGGCTGGACCAGGTTTTCGTCAATTATATGTATCGGAACATATTGTCTTTGACACTTCTCTTCATAGAAACAGGCTGGCCGTCCTCGTACTCCACACCCGATTCTCCGCCGTCCCCTGATAGACCCTGCATTTTAAGCTGCAATTCTTTATCCAGTTCTGCTTGCGTTTTCTTGGGCTTCGTCTTCTGCTCATCAGTTTTGGTGGGCTGGTCCTGGTAGGTGTTAACCTGAGTGCGGAGGAAAAGGAGCTCGGTCGACGAAGATATTGAGCCACGTCATGTATAGGATACCGCTCTGGAGTACTGACCGAAGAATCTGTTGTAGCTTTTGTATCTTTCTGGGGTCCTGTAACAACTGTTGATGCGATTTGCCGGGATGGCGCTAACTGTGAGGATGCGATGGTGCTGTTGATAGAATGAGACCGGGCTGCCGCGACGGCTCGCCGGACTACCTGATGTAAGACAGGCATTCCAAGTTAATAGTTGCTACAAAATGATAAAAGTATTGGATCGCAAAGAAATCGTTTGAGTGGCCGATTCTGAGCAATTGAAAACCTCAGTTGAGAGGTTGAGAGGTGATGTCAACTATAGTGCGCAACAACCCGTGAGCCGTTGGAATGATGCGGTGATGAATCTAGTGCAATGTATTTCTCTGCGAGCTTCGAAAGTGAGTATCTCCCGTGACGTACCTGTGATATCTTGTGCTTTCGCCTCAGCCTGTGTTACATAAGCAAGAGCGTCGCCGCGCTAGTGCCTTTTCCCGAACTTCTGCGCGACAGTCTTGCAGCGCGCGACAACCACGAACTTCACTGGTACTCCAACCCGCCGTACGCCGCCACGCCTCCAACCCGGATTCCAAATACTGGCAAACTTAGACAAGCTATTACAGGGTAGCCAGGGGCCAAGATGGTTGTCACCAAGGTGGGACAGTGGTCGAACGTCGAAGATGAGGTCCTCAAGGCCGCCATCTCGAAGTATGGCCTGAACCAGTGGGCGCGCTGTGCCTCCCTCCTCGCAAAGAAAACGGCGAAGCAGTGCAAGGCGCGATGGAACGAATGGCTAGATCCGAGCATCAAGAAGACCGAATGGTCGCGCGAGGACGACGAGAAGCTGCTCACGATGGCCAAGCTACTCCCCACACAATGGCGTACGATCGCACCGATTGTTGGAAGGACCGCAACGCAATGTCTCGAACGCTACCAGAAGCTCCTCGATGAGCAGGAGTCACGCGAATCCGGCGATTTGGGCTTGGCCGGACCAGAAGGTGGAGAGTCTGCGGCTCCCACGGCTGAGGATGTCCGCCGGCTTCGACCAGGAGAGGTCGATGCGTATGCCGAGGCCAGACCAGCTCGCCCTGATGCGATCGACATGGACGAGGAAGACAAGGAGATGCTCTCAGAGGCGCGTGCGCGCCTGGCTAATGTGAGCGGAAAGAAAGCCAAACGGAAAGCTCGCGAACGACAACTGGAGGAATCGAGGAGAATCGCGCTGCTTCAGAAAAGACGTGAGCTCAAAGCTAGTGGGATTAACATCAAGATCACAGCGAAGAAGGGCAACCATATCGACTACAACGCCGATGTACCCCTCGAACGCGAAGTACCGGCGGGATTCTACGACACGACTGATGAGCTCGACCGCAACGAGAAGCAGCGCGAGGCCTTCGACCCACGAAAACAACAACTGGCAAACAAGCGCAAAGCAGAGCAACAGGAGGAAGGCGGCAACAAGCGAAAAAAGGATGAGAACAAACCTGGAGGTCTTGCAGCGTCATACGCAAAAGCAGCCCGGGATCAGAGGATTCGCGAAGCCGAACAGAGCAGCAAGCGTCGCGCTCTAGCACTGCCAGCACCCCAAGTTGGCGATGCTGAAATGGAGGACATCATCAAGATGGGAATGACAGGAGAGAGGGCTATTACAGGAGTTGGCGGCGACAACATGGCTACAGAAGGTTTGGTGGGCAGCTATTCTGCGCTCGTGAGCAACACACCAATCCGCACACCTATGGCGCCCAAGGAAGAGGATGTTATCGCCAACGAGGTACGAAATGCGCGACTTAGGACGGAAACCCAGTCAGCACTGTTGGGAGGAGATAACCCAGACCTCGTTGAAGACAGCACTCCCGCGTTGCCAGGCTCAGCGACGCGGCACCAGATTGTAACCCCGAACCCAATGGCAACGCCATTTCGTCAAGCCAATGGAGCGGGTGCTACACCTGCGCGGCAGGGTCATGGAGCGACGCCCATACGAACCCCTCGCGACAACTTCCATCTAAACCAAGAGGATGGGATGCAGCTCGTAGGGCAAACACCGCGTGACGTGAAGTTACGCGAGAACGCCAAGAAGTCAGACCTACGAAGCAGACTGGCAGCTTTGCCCAAGCCCAAGGAGACTAGCTGGGAGTTTGAGTTGCCCGAAGAGCGGGAAGATAGCATGGAGATTGAAATTAGCGAAGAGGATGCTGCTGAGCGTGACCGTCGGAACAGACAGGCCCAGGAAGCAGCGGAGCGTGCAGAGTTCGCTCGTCAAACACAAGTTGTCCAGAGGTCGTTACCGAGACCATCCACAGTCGACATTGATGCGTTATTGAAGAGGGCGCTGGAGATTTCGGATCCGATTGAGCGCGAGGTCGAGACGGAAATGGCACACTTGATCGCAAACGACGTGCAGAAATTTGGTGGGGGCAAAGTGTCTGGAACAGCGAAACTCCTCGAACAGTTCAGTGATGAAGTTCTGAGGGCGGCCAAGATGGAATTCGCGCTGGAGCTGTCGATGAACAGTGAAAAGGACAAGAAGGTGTTCCACGAGGAATTTGGCACAGCGTGGATCAACTTGCACGGATCATCTACGCTGCCAGGACTGGACGGGTACGAAGAAGACGAGGTCGATGAGCACCAGATGATGGTGGAAACATTCAACAACGCGCAGGACAGGATCATCGAGACAGCACAGCAGGCAAACAAGATCGAGAAGAAGCTGTCCACGCACCACGGCGGTTACATGAAGCGGTCTGCTTTGCTTGGAGACAAGATCAAACAGGCGTCGCTAGCGCTGGAGAAGGCGAAGATGGAGCTGGACTCTGTCAGGACGATGCAGTACTCGGAGCAGGCGGCCGTAGCAAGGCGGCTCGAAGGGTTGCGCGACGAGGTGTCGTTTGTTAGCAGGCGCGAGCGCGAGACACAAGAGCTGTACAGGACGCGCAGAGACGAGCTGGAGGGGTTGCAAGCATCTGCCAATGGCGGGCACTAGGAAGGCGTGTTTGGATCGCGTTTGGGTAATTTGGACATACGAAGAGGACATGGGATTTGCATTGGTGGCGTCGGTGGGGCGGCATGCTTGTGTAGTCAGTCAGTCGAGCGTCAGGTCACATCAGCGGGCCCGAATACCAAGGATGCGGTATGCGTGTAGAAACATGTCCACAAATCAACACAGCCGCCCTGTACAGCCGCCTTCGCAGCGTGATAAGCGCGGCGGTTGTTGGGTCATGCGCGTGCCCGACCCCGCAGAGTGCAGCGGAACGTGGGGTCCACGTTCTCGGAGCAGTGGCAGCTGCGGGCTGGCCGAACAAGCTTCCGAGGCAGGGCTTGAGGTGCTTGCCAACGTCTTCTGTGCCCTGGACGCGCGTTGACGCAGCACTGTGCGCCCGCCTGCACCAGTCGGCCTGCAACGAGGAGCGCGCCAAACAGCCGTTTGGAGGGCGGGTGCGGATGGACTGTGCGCCCTGCCGGAGCGGCACCGACTCACTGGGGAAGCTGCGGACTGGGGCAGGGATGGGGTGTGCGCCAGACTCGTTGCGATTCATCGCGACATCCTCCCGCCGGCTCAACCGCTGCCACTGCCACCGCTGCGCTCTGCCCATCTGCTGCGAACGGCGCTCGCCGAATCCACACACACTGCACCGCATGTCCCCTCGGTAATCCGCGCGCAAAATGGGGCGCAACGCGCGGAAGCGCATCTCCTATGGTGGGTGCTCCCTTGCGTGCCCTCGACGCAAGCCGGGGCTGCGTCGTGCCTCGACACTGCTAACCACCCGCCGCAGTGCTGCCGCTGGCGAACTCGGCAGGAGGCCACCGCCTGGGCGTCAATGGCCTCGCCGTCGACCCAGCCAACTCCATCCTGTGAGCTTCCGTGGCATCTGCGTCATTATCCCACTGACGCGGCACAGTTACTCGGGCGGCCGTGACGGCGTGATATGCGCCTGGGACCTGCACCTCGACCTCCATCGCCGCGACAGCGACGACAGAGACCCCTTCGCCGACTCGAGCGCACCCAACTACAAGCCGCCGCCCACCCAGTTCCGCCAGCAGGCCCAGGCCCACACCCACTGGATCAACGACCTCGTGCTCGCCCAGAGCAGCGAGGCCCTCGTCTCTGCCTCTTCCGACATCACCGTCAAGGTCTGGCGTCCCGCTGCTACAGATATCCAGCCGCCGCAAACGATTGGCCTCCACACCGACTACGTCAAGCGCGTCGCCTCGCCCGGGCTACACGAGAACTGGGTGGCTTCTGGCGGGCTTGATCACAAAATCAGCCTGTGGGACCTGAACGGCGCGGGCCAGAAGCTTCAGATCGCCGTGGGCGACGATGAGAACATCGCCAAAGGCTCCGTCTATGCCCTCGCATGCAGCCCCTCCATTGTGGCAAGTGGCGGGCCCGAGAGCATCGTGCGCATATGGGACGCCCGGACCGGCAAGCGCGTCACCAAGTTTGTAGGACATACCGACAATGTGCGCGACGTCCTCATCACCCAGGATGGCGACACGATCCTCACGGCTTCGTCAGATCAGACTGTCAAAGTATGGTCCATGACAGCGGGCCGGTGCATGTACACGCTTACCATGCACAACGACAGCGTATGGTCGCTCTTCTCAGATGACCCGCAGCTGAGAGTCTTCTACTCTGCCGATCGCTCGGGCATAGTCGCAAAGAGCGACACCCGCAATTGTCCTGAGATGGACGAGGGCGTTTCCGTCGCAGTGTTGCAAGAGCACGAGGGTGTCAACAAGGTGGTCGCGGCTGGTGACTGGGTGTGGACGGCAACATCCAGCTCCAGCATCAACCGGTGGAACGACGTAGAGACTGCGGCTGAGATCGCGCTCCCGGAGTCCTACAAGATGCATAGGTCCAGCATCGCCACAACACGGTCCCGCTACCCATCCCCTCCTGCTGCGTCGACACCTCCTACGAATGGAGCCGCGCCAAAGATTCCATTCAAAGCTCTGCTGCGCATGTCTAACACGGCGCCGTTCCCGCAACTGTTTTCTAAGGACTCTGATGCATCTACCTTATATTCGGTCACCAGCGCGCGCAAGCCTGCCGAAGTCTTGGTGGCACCTGATCACGGCGTCATTGTTCCCTGTAGAGATTTGCCTGACTTTTCTATAGAAGGCCAGAACGGTCTGATCAAGCACCACCTGCTCAATGATAGAAGAAGAGTGCTGACCCTAGATACTGCTGGAGAAGTTATTCTCTGGGACTTGCTCGCTGTATGTACCGTGCTCCCCGGATTTTCTTTTGCTAACCCCAGCGCAGTGCGTTCCCATAAAATCGTTTGGCAAACGTCACTTGGAAGATGTCGTCCCGGAAGTAAACACTCGCGAAACTGTTGCCCATTGGTGCGCCGTCGATACACGAATAGGAAGCTTGACGTGTGTTTTGGAGGAAAATTATTGCTTCGATGCCGAGATGTACGCCGACGAACTGGACCTTGAAGAGAACATTGACTTCAGGGAAGACCAGCGGAGTAAGCATGTCATACGACAATTCACATGGCGTGTACTGACTACGTGCAGTAAATCTTGGCAAATGGGTCTTGCGGTACCTTTTCGCGAACCTTGTTGACGAGGAGATTAAGCGCGATGCTACTTTCAGAGAAACTCTGCTTGCGAACGTAGCAAGTCGAGCCAATCCACCAAGTAGCATTCAGCTGCCAGACAGTAATCTCAATGGATGGAAAGACGCGACGTCAGGGCCTACATCAGGCTCCACTATTCGCCCTCAGAACGGATTTCACCTACCTCCCACAACGCCTGGTATGCACATAGGCCAGGCTACGCCGGGTATTACTCCCTCAAGCGCAGGTAAAGGCTCCCATCTTAATCACCTTCTGACTCCTACAACGGAAGAGGGCTCTCAACTGGAGAAGACTGCCACCCAGAGGAGTTCTACACAGGACCAGTCGGACTACTTCTCCAGGACGCCTACTACCAATGGAAACGGCAATGGAAACAAAAAAGAAAACAGTTCCACAGAAGGGTCAGAGGAAACGGTACCTCAATCACCAGCCGAGGACCCCCAGACGCAGAAAAAGAGCAAGGGTCTTTTTGGCAAGAAATTTGGCATGTCCCTCAACATGAAAAAGTTTGCCACATCTTCAGAAAAGCCCGAGGCACCGAAACCAGCGGCTGCGGATGAGAAGTCGGAAGACAGTGACTCACACTCGACTAAAACCGACGAAAAGGTCATAGAGGATAGCTTCTTCGGAGCTCTACAGAAGATTCGCCAGACATATGAGGAGCAGTCAATTCTAGGCACTCAAAAGCTGGAGACGCAGATAGCGCCCAGTTTACCAAACGAGACACCCGTCCTGAAACCGCCTGCTAATACGACCATTCTCATTCAAGAGGATCGTCCCGACAGTGGTGGGGTCGCTGATCTATTTGAAGGGAAGGTCGGCTCTTTGGGTCAGCAAGCTGATCTCATTGAAAAGTGCGCTCCCGTCTGGCTTGCCGACGTCCTCCTCCGCGTACGCTTTACACTTACCACCATTTCCACAAAACCCCCGCTGACAAGCCCTCCCAGAACCAAATCCCCCCCAAAGACATCGTCAAGGTGTCTTTCATACTGGAGCCCTACCAAGCTCTGCTCCCCAGTATCTCTTCCGATGGGTACATACCCCTGATCTCTCACCCTGATAAAGTAGTTCGTGATGCTAATTCGCACCGAAGCAACAACCGCCTCAACGCGAATCGCATGCTGCGCGCGCGCAAGATCCTGTCGTACGTCGCTGAGCGCATCGAACCCGCGCCCAGTAAGGAGGACTCTGAGAAAGAGGATGCGCAGCTGAAGCCTGAGGAGTATCTGGAGCTTTACTGCCAGAATCAGGTCAGTTGCTTTATTTCACATGCATTGCGATGCGGAAGTGTGAAAGTGTATGCTAACGCGTAACACAGCTCCTCGCCCCAACTATGACCCTCGCCTCCATCCGCGCACACATCTGGCGCGGCGGCGGTGACGTCGTTCTATACTACAAGGCGAACGGGCGGAAGGAAATCAAGCACGCGCCGCACGCGGGGCTCACACTCGGCCCGGGCAGCTCCGGCGTGAGCGAGGGCAAGTCATCGAGCGAGGCTGAGCGGAGTAGCCAGCAGAGCTCGAGAGGGATCATTGAGGGGAAGGGACTTGTGGCGTGAGCGATGAGATGATGTTGCGTTTGTTGTTGGGGCCGTGTGGGAAGGTTGTATATAGGTGGTGGGATCCGTGTCTTGCGCATACCCCCGTTCTGCATGCTTGTACGGTTGGTGCATGCATGCTTAGTTGAGGCTGGGTGCGCGGTGTGGTATGATACACGTTTATACACTTTTTTGCATATGTGTGGCACTATAAAAGGCGTATCCTTGGCGTAGTGCTGAAGTGGCCTGGATGCGGGTTTGCGTGAGGGCATTTGGGTTTTAGTTTGTTCCTGGGAAGCTGCGAGGCACGCTGTCTCATGTACACACGCTCGCTCATCTCCTGACACCGTCTCGTCAGCTAAGAATGCTTGTATCCTCAAGCGCCGATCAACTTGACCGGCATTCGATCCATGTGTCGAGGAGGCAACTCGTCTTCTTCTTGAATATACGTCAATAGGTTTGACTGAGCTTTGATGATGATAAGATGGGTCTGGCGAGGTAGTACAAATCTTGCACTAAATACGCAGTTGGGGGTCTTATTGGACGATTGATCAAGTTGTTCGGAAGACGGAGCCGTGGGAGTGGTGGTTGTGGAGATTGGCTGGTAAGGTTCGGGGACTCTGGGTTGGCTAAAAATCGTGACAATTGTAGATGTGGCACAGATCGGCTAACGTGTGACACCACCGAACCGGCCACTTCTGCCAAGACCACCTCTCATTACACCTTCCATCTCATTGTCTCAACAACCTGATCTTGAATTGCTCCCTTGTGAGGATAGGATAATCCTAGCTATCCAAGCAATGAAATCAAACGCGACTTTAAGCGATCGATGTGCTGCTACTATCTATAGCGTTCCCCGAAGGACCCTACGTGACCGACGCGCCAAAACTACCTCACGACGCGATTCCCATCCCAACTCATCCCGTCTTACTAGAGTTGAAGAGGAGATGATTATACAATACATAAAGAAGCTTAATGCGCAAGGCTTTGCCCCTACGCTTAGCTATGTACGTGAAATGGCCAATCAACTGCTAGCTGCTCGAAGTGGTGGTCTAGTTGGAGAAAACTGGGCTTACAGGCTTACCTGCCGGAAGCCAGAGATCAAGTCTCAGGTGACTAGACAGCGTGATCACCAGAGAGTCCTGTGCAGCAACCCAGCTATTATCAGCCCCTGGTTCAACCTTGTACGCAACGTTAAAGCCAAGTATGGTATCCTAGACGAAGATACCTACAACTTTGATGAGACTGGCTTCCAGATGGGTAATGGAGTGTCTATTCGGGTAGTAACTGCATTGGAGAGGCGTCTTAAACCATTGCAGGTCCAGCCTGGCGACCGTGAGTGGGCAACGTTAATTGCCGCGATCAACGCTATGGGGTGGGTTGTCCCACTCTTCTTCATCTTCAAAGCAAAGCATCACGACCAGGCCTAGTATCACAACCCAAAGGACTGGCGTAGTAGTGTCAGCGAGAACGGCTGGACAATAAACGAACTTAGCCTTAAATGGCTGAAACACTTCATCCAGCATACAACAGCCCAGAGAGTGGGTAGCCACCAGCTGCTAATTATTAATGGTCATGAGAGTCACAAGTCGCTTGCCTTCCAGGATCTGTGTGAGTAGAATAAGATTATTACCCTCTATATGCCTCCTCATACCTCCCACATCCTACAGCCACTTGATGTGGGGTGTTTTGCCCCATGGAAGCAGGCGTACAAGAAGGAAATTGATGTCTTAGCAAACTGTCACATCACTCACATTGACAAGAAAGCGTTCCTAGCTGCTTTTAATCAGGTTTTTGATAAGGCGTTTTCATCTAGTAATATCCAATCAAGCTTCCGAGCAACAGGCTTAGTTCCAGATGACTCAGAGGTGGTGCTGTCAAGACTTGAAGTAAAGCCTTGTACGCCATCACCACCTCCACCAGGGCCTACCCCCTAGCAACCCAAAACACCAAGCAACGCTGCTGAAATCGGAGCTCAATCAACGTTGATATTAAAAATGATGAGGGAATACAGGAGTTCATCAACAGAATCAATCCGTGAGATGGTGCAGCAGTTCCAAAAGGGAGCTGAAATAATGGTTCATACCCAAGTGCTTATGGCAGCTGAGATAATAGTACAAGCTTCAAGCAGCAAATAAAGCTGCTTCTGGGCGTAAAGCACGTAAAAAGAAGCGGATCCAGCATAGAGGGACCCTATCACAGCAAGAGGCAGGGGAGATAATTAAGCGCAGAGATGCTGAGGCACTAGTTGAGGCAGAGAGGCGGGAGAAGAGTGTGCGAACAAGTGTTAGCAACAGGGGTATTCCCCATTATGGCAGGTGTGGTGAGGTAGAGCATAATAAGCGCACATCATACAAGGAAGTTATAGCTAGATTAGGCGATTAAATTAAGCTATTATGCCATATTATATCTTGTTGTAGTGTTGAGTTATTTACATGTAAAGGTAGGTTGCTTGAAATAGTGGGCGTTTCGGTGAGTGTCACACGTTACATCACGTGAGAATTCCCATTACTGGTCGTGCAGTGTCATCATGTAATGGGCGCGTATTAACAATCTACTCAACTAGATTGAGGGTACACATGTGCCCGTAACTAAATGACATATTACGTGAGCTGGACTCGCTTACTGGTGTACTTTGCCCAGATTGCTTTGCTACGCCGCATTGTCTGAAACCCCGAATAAGGCGATTGTGCTCAACTCCGAATTGCTATCAATATCCAAAGGTCCGCTTTAATTCTGCTGGTCGTAACTCCTCACACATCACTCCGTACCTTCTTCGGCCCTCCACCCAAGATGGCTCCAGCAATTCTGGCTTCTTTTCTTGCGCAATTAGAGCAGAAGCCCGAGTTCAAGATCATACACACCCTCTTCCTGGATCCCGATGCGGATCCGAGCGCAGTGGCCGAGAAGATCGTCGAGCTCACGATTCCATATTTCAGCAGACCAAACTCAGCTTCAATGTGGGAAGACGATGAGCCGCATTTGTTTCATACGGCATGCTCCGTGATTGAGGTTGCTCAGCGAACACCACCAGAACGTCAAGACAAGCTCTGTGACTTCGTAATGGCGCTCAAACAACATTCACTCAATGATACAAAGACCGGGAAGCCATTGATGGACGGGGGAGCCAAGGTATGGACAGATTTACCAGCTTTTGGATACACATTTGCCGATTGTACACAATTTATGAGTAAGTACCCACGAGCCCTTGGAAACTACACGATAAAGAAAATATTCAATGATGAATTAGGTGGCTACGACAAGAAAACGTCCGAGGAAGCCCAGCAAGACGAGAATCTGGAAGCATTTCTTGCCAAGTTGACCGGTGATCCAAGGGACCGAACAGTGGACTTATCGGATCGCGGACAGCTCGCGATGAGTAGAGCATTCTATCTGGAAACTGCGCAGATCCCACCAGGTCGGGCTGTTCACACTATACGGCTTGGGTGTTGGTGGTTTATCCGTGCTGCAGCTGCTCTTTGGGCCAACGTGCAAGACCCTAAGAACGATAACTGGTCTCTTGAGCTATGGAATTTCTACAAAGAGGGGCTTCTCACCAGAAAAGCGGAGATACGTAACCACGAGGTGAGAAAGATGATTGAGCAAGCAATCGAAGAGATGGAGAAGGCTGAGCGGGGAAATAGCCAATAGTTTATAGAATCTTACTGCGTACCACTTGAAAAGCGCGTGGAGACTCGTGCCGATGAAAGCACATACGCATGAAATCTTGTGAAGTTCGGAACCGAATAATGTGGCCGACCTGCAGTAACAGATGATACATTGAGTTGTGGCTTCGCTTACTTGTCCGGATGCCAAACGGTGGCCATCGAAGGGAGTGTAACGGCGGAGCAACGCCACTTGCTGTCTCACAAACTCAGATGATATCGATGTTTCACAGCTGCAGAAGAACCACGCCTCTTCATATACAACCATTAACAGTACTGTACCGGAAATCCGAACCGCCTCGCATGTCCGAACCCATAACTGTGCCGCACTCAACTAGATTAAGGGTACACATATGCCTATACTTGAATAACGTATTACGTGAGCTAGACTCGCTTACTAGTGTACTTTTCCCAGATTGCTTTACTACGCCGCATTGTCTGAAACCCTAAATGAGGCGATTGTGCTCAACTCTGAATTGCTATCAATATCTAAAGGTCCACTTCAATTCTGCTGGTCATAACTCCTTACGCATCACTCCGTACCTTCTTCGGCCCTCCACCCAAGATGGCCCCAATAATGTCAGCTCAATTTCTTGCAGAATTAGAGCAGAATTAGAGCAGAAGCCCGAGTTCAAGATCATACACACCCTCCTCCAGGACCCCAGTGCGGATCCGAGCGCAGTGGCCGAGAAAATTGTCGCCCTCACAATTCCGTATTTCAGCAGACTAGACCCAGCTACGATGTTTGAAGACGATGAGCCACACTTGTGGCATACGGCATGCTCTGTGCTCGAGGTTGCTCAGCGGACACCACCAGAACGTCAAGACAAGCTCTGTGACTTCGTAATGGCGCTCAAACAACATTCACTCAATGATACAAAGACCGGGAAGCCATTGATGGACGGGGGAGCCAAGGTATGGACAGATTTACCAACTTTCGGATACACGGTGTCTGATTGTACACAAGTCACAAGTAAGTAGAGTCTAGCCCTCAAAAGCTACGCTATTTGGCATCTTGACAGCGAAAGAAAATAATTAATGATGAATTAGTTTGATACTACGAAAAAACGTCCGAGGAAGCCCGGCAACATGAGAATCTAGAAGCGTTTCTTGCCAAGTTGACGGGCGATCCCAGGGACCGAGAAGTGGATTTTTCGGTACACGGACAGCTCGCAATGAGTTCCGCGTTTTATCTGGAGAATACGCAGATCCCACCAATTCGTGTTGTTCACACGATACGGCTTGGATGCTGGTGGTTTATTCGTGCGGCAGCTGTTTTGTGGGCCGACGTGCAGGACCCTGAGAACGATGACTGGACTCTTGAGCTATGGAATCGCTACAAAGAGGGACTTCTCACCAGACAAGCAGAGATACGGAACATTGAGGCGAGAGGGATGATCGCGCAAGCAATCAAAGAAATGGAGAAAGCTGAACGGGGGGAACGGGCAATAGACCATAGAGTCGTACTGAATGCTAGTTAGAAGCGTGTGGAGCTTTCGCCGAAAATTGCACGTACAATCATAGCATCACGAGATTCGAAAATGAATATCATGGTTGACCTACAGTGAAAGATAGTAAAATGGGTTTTGGTGTTGGCTAATTTGCCTGATGCCAGACAGTGGCTATCGAAGGAGACGCAACAACGGAGAAACGACACTGCCTGTCTCACAAGCTGAGATTGTATCGAAGTTTCAGTTTCAAAGGAACTACGCCTCTTGATGTACAACTCATGACAGTACTGAGCCGGAAGTTCAAACCACCTCGCATGTCCGGAACTCCACGATCGCCCCGACTGTGCCGCACTCAACTATGCAACTTCTGGTATTCCCGATTGTCCAGCGCTTCCAGAGAAGCAATGTGCACAGTTGCATGTTTCGGAGTTCCATCGCCTGCAAAATGTTCTTTATAAGGTTGTTTGGGCGCTCTTGACTGGCAGCAGAGCCTTCTCACTAACAATCGTTTCCATACTCGGCTCATCCCTTACATTCGCTTCTCGTCACTCTTTATAACCAGTTACGTTCTGAACTAGCCGCCGTTGATCGGTGACTTATGTAAGGTCAGAATGTTCTTCAACTTCAGAGCCATTGTGCTATACGGCCTTCTTACGGTGGCCACTGCAATACCTATCCTCAATATCACGGAAGATGGCACACCATCCCAGCTTGAGGCGCGCATGACGAAGAAGAAAGGTGTATTGCAGGACTTTGTCGCACGGGACGGTAAGATCATTACGAAGGAACAAATTGCGGCAGCCCTTCGTAATCTTAGGAGCCACAAGGCTGCAAAGACAAAAGAGGGCGGATATCCTGAAGATTTCAGTAATCTCATGGCGCTTAATGGACCTGAGCGCCCTGTGTTCGCCGACAGGCCGACAGGTAAAGGGGCTAATCTGCTAGAATATCCAATTGACAGTAAGTTCCGCAGTTCTGTTTACACATCTTCACTTTGCTAAACTATAGAAGTTCCTAGTGAGAAATGGCCTGGATCTGCACGTGTTATTGCCACAGCAGGTGCAACTCCGAATTTCGTTGGTGTGGCGCAGCACCCTCTTGGGTTGCAAAGGCAATTCAGACGGCTCAAGGAGGCCAAAGACGACTGTGAAGCAGAATCTTCCAAGCCGAAAAACGCTGCGCGGGACCTGTGGGAGCTAGTTAGGAGGAAGGTGACTGGTAAGAAGGCAAAGCCTGCTAAGGGCAAAGCATGTCTTCTCAAGCCGAAGGCCAAGCCTAAGACACCTGCCAAAACGCACACTAAAACGCCGACCAAGAAGCCAACCAAGAAGCCTGCTAAGAAGCCTGCGAAGAAACACACAAAGAAGCCTGCGAAGAAGCATGCTAAGAAGCCCGCGAGGAAGCACAACAAAAGACCGGCCAAGAGGCCTACACGCGCATCCCGAAAGGGAGGAAGGCGGGGAGGTAGAAAGGGCGGCCGGAGAGGTTGAAGATTTTGAGATCTTGAGATGATCCCTTTGCCCTTTCATACCCCTTCTAAGTAGGATGGATTGCAGTGGTGTACATTCACTTCGAGTTCTGTATTTATATTTGCGCATTGAGAAGAGACTTGGCTGGAACGGGCCGTCATACAAAATTAACAGTGAAACCGGTGTTGCTACTGCGGCATCGTTGTGTAACTTGATATTCATTTTTCCAAGACATTCATCCACTTTCGTACTTCTTCCAAAAAGGCTCCAAAAAGGCTCCAAAAAGGTTTCAAGTGTCTAAAATGCATGGCATACAATGAACTAGGTTCAATACCGCATTCTATCACAGATCTGGAGCACACTCGCCGTAGCTTCAACAATGACACGAGGAAGGCGCGGGATGCAGGACGGACATCTGAATATGGATGGCTTTCAGACGTGGCAGAAAGCTCACACTGACATAGCATCTAGAATTTTGGATAGTCCAGATCATCATTTCAGGGACACTGAGACGTTCGGATAAACATACCGGTCGTCGGGGCGCTTTCACTGATGCACTCTGATATCTTGAAGCCTGTGACGATTCTAGAACCTCGTCGGATGCTACACTGCAATTTTATGCAAAAACTAGCCATTGCTCATCACATTACATTTCAGTTGTGAGGTTATGTGGATCCATGGGCGGGGCTCGGGGACATGCCGCGGAGGTGCTTGATCGACCACTACTGTAGGAACATAAACCTAAACCTGATGTCTTCCAGCCTTGCAATCCTAGATCTCGATCTGACAGCTTTGACAGTATGGTCCACATTTTTACCCTCTCCACACTATCTGAGCTCCCTCTAATAGCACAGCATGACACATCGGATCTACGCACGCGGCCTCGCGCCCAGTGCCGAAGGTTTTACAACTCGATACGAACCCTCCACCCGCCCATGCACAAGTGCCATGCGGTTCGGCCCCAAATTCGGTCGCATTCCCCTCGTATTCATCAAACATGCCCCCGCTCAACCATGGAGAACTCAATTCTGCAGATACACTTTCGCGCTACCGGCGACGCAGCCATAGGCCCGAATGAAGGCGCCTGACGCTACGCAAATGTTACGAGCCGCGCGTGCAGTAGTGGCTGCACGCGGAAGGGGAAGCGCGAACTCAATTGTTTGGGACGCCGTTGGACAGACATGTGGCGAGGATATGGCAGGTACGCCGGATGTGTCCCGGTGTCAACCCACCTACCATACGCCGCATCGGGCTAGCGAGACGCAGCGTCCCAGAGAGTGAGGCGTCAGACGGACGGTGCAGAACAGGACGTGATGGCGCGGGAAACGATCGGTGTGCTAGGGAAGCTTGAATTTGGTATGTCAACTATTCGTGCGCTTGGGTTCAGGAGTCGCTCAATATCGGAGTCGTCTGCAAAATGTGGTCAAGTGTACGGCCGTGAGGCTGCTTGGCGTCATTGCCAGTTGTGGATGACACCGAACGTAGCTTGCGCAAGACTTTACTTTAGCACTGGGGCCGGGAATATTGTGCCGGTGCGGAAATAGGGAATAGTGTATTGCGAGCTCCAAGGCTAAGTAGACTAGAATCAGGACAGGAGACCCGCAGCCAAAGCCTCCATGTCCTCCAGCGTTTGCGGCTCCTCCACGTGCCGAACGCTCTTTGACTTCTTCCGCTTCTTGCTAGGCGCGGCTTCTTCTTCCGAATCTGACTGGAACCACTTCTTGCCCTGCTTCTGCGGCTGCTCGTCGTCGTCTTCATCATCGTCGTCGTTGTCGCTGAGTATGTCCGCCCTGAAGTTTGCAAGAGCATCCTCGTCAGCATCGGCAATCTCGACGCCCCCTTCCTCGTCACTTCCCACGCCCATCTCACCCCTTTCTCGCTCCTTCCGTTTCCGCGCCTTCTCTTTCCTCTTCGCCTTTGCTGCTGCCTTATCCAGCACATCGGCCTGAGCAACAGCGTCCCTTTCGGCATCGAGGAACTTCTGCCGCTGCTCTTCGGGTAGACCCTTGGCACGGAAGTCGTCCTCATCTTCAAGTTCGTACATTTCGTGAGCATTGCCGTCATCATCGTAGATGAGCTTCTTGCCCTTGTCCATGAAATTGAGCAGCTTCTTCTTAGATTTGAGAAGCTTCTCGCGGCGATTGCTGTCGATGATAAGGGGTTGTGATGCACCAGCCAGATGGATGACCTTGCCTTTCGATGCCGTGGGGTCGTCGTAGTCTGCGCCTTCCGCACCCGCATCCTCTCCCTCAGCAGGTATTCTTCTCTTGACAGCAAGGAAGTCGTCATCGTCTTTGCCAACATTGGGTGCATCGCCAGTGAAGTCATTCTCGTCCGATGCGCCCTCCGCTTCACCGTCCTGAACAAGCTTCTTGTAGTGGTCTGCAAGGATGTTCTGGTTTTGCCTCTCAAACATGCGGTCATACTTCGTCCGCACCGTTTTGGATTGTTTGCCTTCAGCCTCCTCTTCATCTGAATCAGAGACCGCGAGTTCTTGCCGAGACTGGTGTTTCCTCTTCTTGTCGTCATCATCCTTGAGAAATCTAATCTTCGGTGCACCTGGAAGACCGAGACTCGCGGCGAAGGCTTCCAGGTCGTAGTTCTTGATGTTGAAGATCTCCTTGTCCTTTTGCACGTACAGAGACTTGGTGTATGTGACGAAAGCTTTCTGTGCAAGGTATTTCAGTTCAGGATCTTTAAAACACATATGGACCAGTTGGCTCTTGATGGACTGCTTCTTCTTTTGCCGGGCGTTGATGCTCTCGATAGGAACCTTTTTGGCTTCGAACCGTCTCAGCATGCCCTCCTCCTCGCTTGGAGCCAGGAATAAGACACCGCGACCCTCGCGGTGGTAGCGCGCTGTCCGACCGACGCGGTGGATGTAAGTATCCACATCTTCAGGACAGTCTACCTGTATCACAAAATCGACAGCAGGGAAGTCAAGACCACGCGCTGCAACATCGGTAGCAAATAGACAGGAGGCTTTAGCAGCCCCGAACTTGGTAGTTACATCGAGTCGAGCCCCTTGTTTTTGGCGACCGTGAATGTGTAGCAGAGGTATACCTGGCTGCATGTGGCGAAAGGATTCGTATACAAAGCGGACCATCTTGGCCGAAGAAAAGAAGCACAGTATCTTCTTCTTTTTACTTGCTTGAATGAAGCTCCAGAGTGTGTCCAGCTTCTCCTCGACCGGGCAAACGAAGTAGTTCTGCTGCAGGGTCTTCGGGGTGGCAGATTTGTCCTCGGCGTGCACGGATACGTACTCTGGTTCGTGTAAACTTAGGCGAGCTAGATCAGAGACTTTGCTGGACTGCGTAGCTGAGAACAACATTGTCTGGCGTTCCTTGGGGAGATAGTCTAGTATAGCGTCAACGTCCCTCTGAAACCCCATATCAAGGATGCGGTCGGCCTCGTCCAGAACTAGCATTTTAAGGTCGTCGACGTTGAAGGCAGCCGTTTGCGACAAGTGTTGTAATATTCGGCCGGGGGTGGCGACCAGAATGTTCATCCTCGTAAGAGCCTCACGCTCGGCTTCCAGACTCTTCCCGCCGATAACGAGACCAGCTGCGAACATGTGGCCGTGCTTTCCGATCTTGCGCAGCACGTCGAAGATCTGAATCGCGAGTTCGCGCGTGGGAGATATAATCAAGGCGCCCAAGCCAGCATCGGCGCCAATGTGTTGCAATCGGTGCAAATTTTCGAGGACAGGAATGAGGAAGGCCAAGGTCTTTCCACTGCCAGTCTTTGCGGCTCCCAGTATATCGTGGCCTTTGAGTGCGATAGGGATTGCTTTCGCCTGGATATCCGTCATCATGGAGAAATGCGCCGCCTTGAGTCCAGCTTTGGTTGCGCCGGAGAGCGGGAGGTCGGTGAAGTCCTTGTACGCGCCGTCTTTGAGGTCCTGTAAAGATCTGTTAGCCTACGCACACAGCAGCCAGAAGGCACTCGGGGTTCTTTACAAGCTCGGCGACCGCATCGTCCAACTGCTCAACATCGACATGGTCGCGCTTTCTCTTCTGCGCACCTGCCTGTTTCTTGACCTTTGTCGGCCTGGTGCGGCCGGTGATTCCTTGCGCAACCTAAGGCAGTTAGTATTGTAGCTATGTACTGGCTCCACAGGACACATACCATGGCTACGCGAAAAGTGTACTTTGGTGAAGTTGCGAAACTGCGGCCAAATTTTTTGGAGACGAGGATCGCAGTGGCCCGTGCACGACCAGGCGGCGGCGGGGAAGCTACGCTCGGAGGTCCGCTCGCTCACTGCCTTCAAGACAACCACTACACAGTCGCTACACCCCCACACACCTTCACCATGGGAAACGAAGACGGGGATATCGAGGCCGAGCTCCTGGCAGCCGGCAGGGAACTCGACAAGGCGAGTTGCTCTCCAATCACCTTGTCACACATCGCGACCATGTCCGCGCGCTGGCACAAATCGACGGTTGCGACTGCTACTAACAATTACAGGATGGCGAAATCGACCGGATCCTCTCCGTCTTCAAGCTCAACGCATATGCCGTGCTGGACCTGCAGCCCGGCGTGCCCGAATCCGACATCAAAAAAACCTACCGCAACAAGTCCCTCCTCATACATCCCGACAAAACCACGAACCCCAAGGCGCCCGAGGCCTTCGACCGCCTCAAGAAAGCGCAGACCACGCTCATGGACGAGAAGCTGCGCGCCGAGCTGGAAGAACACATTTCCGACGCGCGCATGCTGCTGATGCGCGAGCGCAAGCTCACCGCCGACGACGAAGAGACGCGCGGCGACGAGTTTGCGAGGGCGTGGCGCGAGAAAACGACGTGGGTCATCATGGACAATGAAAAGCGGAAGCGGCGGCAGATGGAGGCGCAGATGCGGGAGGAGGGTCGCGCACAGCGCAAGGAGGAGGAGGAAATTGCGGAGCGGAAGCGCAAGCGGGAACATGAAGATGCCTGGGAAAAGACGCGAGACACCCGCATCAACAGCTGGAGGGATTACCAGAAGGGCAAGGGTCCTGAGGATGGTAAGAAGAAAAAGAAGAAGATGAAGGTGGTGGGTTAGGAGGTTGCTGCTCAGCGAAGGAGTACGGTTCTTCAGGCACGGCGTTCACGGGCTTAGGTTTCTGCTTCGCGAGGGGTGAAGCTGCTGGATAGTGTGGCGTCAAATGCGGTTGTGTTAGGGCGCTCTGGTGTAGGTGCCACTTGCATGCAGTGCAGCATGTGGTCGAGGACACCCCTTGTAGCATAAAACCCCACATGAAGCTTGTTTCTACTTCAGACTTCGAACATGCCATCGACATCACATAGTGCAATCTGAATCTATCACTGGTCTGATCTAGTATTAGCTTGGAGGGGAGATGTTGTGTGTGAACCTGGGACTAATAGTAGACCGCTCGGTTCTGCTACTGTAGCTCTGTTTACGTCCGCAAGGGCTCTTAGTAGACCCACGGTTAAACATTCAACCACAAAAACTGAGCGCGAATCGTTATCCTGGAACACCGTGCATCAGTGCGCCAAACCTCGAAGCTAAGGTACCCGTTGTAACGTTACTCAGCCAGACACACAGATGACAAGAACCCTCCCACCATCGACGCGCCTGGCCGTATCATTCGTTTCATCCTACTGTTACATTCTCCTCAACATGATAAAGGGTATACAAAGTCCGCTTGCCCTAGCCATTCCTCCCATGTTCCTACGCTCTGCTGTTGCTGTCCAGTCCCTGAAATCTGAGCCATGCGATCGATCTTAAATCTCCGAAGAGCCAATCACTACCAGCCCGACTAAGAAGGTGACCCCACGTCTCGTCCCACGGAACACATGTACGCACGCCCGCCGTTGCTGCCGTCGCCTCTCGGTCTTCTTTCGCGCGCAAGACTCCCCGCTCTTGCTGCTTGTTCTCCTCGACATGCACGCACCTGGAAGCGGAAACAAAACATGTGTGATAAAACAATTTGTGACCAAAGTCGAGAAAATGAGCTGTGAACGCTCCGTGGTATCTCCGCTGCCCCGAAATGTGCTTGTGCTATAACGACAAATGCCTCCGAAAATGCAAAGAGGCAGAAGGAAAGTTGAGCGAACCCTGGAAGATGTGGCGTTCCAAACCCATTGTCGTGTGTTTCGAACGCGCGCGACAAGGCCGGCCTCGTCGAGAACCAAGATATGTATGTACAAGTCTCGTTCCAACGAATCAAAAAGAGGACTATTAAGTACAACGTTTGCGTATTAGGTCAATTATCTGATGGATGATGCATGCTGTTCAGCCGTATGCTTTCGTCTTTCATTCCAGTACTTCGTGAATGTTCAGGCGTCTTCGTTTTCCAGTATCTGGCGAGTCGGGTCTCGCTTCTGTGCTCGAAGGAGAAGCACGCCGTCGCAGGCGTGCGCTTTCACCAAAGTCCTGCGCCAGGGGTGATCCTAGAGCAGGCGTGGTGCGAATTGGCGGTAGTTGTAGCCCCTCCAGCCGAGCAGGGTGAGGCGCCCCGCGCTGAGCCTCGGACGCAATCGAATTCGTCCTGGACGCAGGCTGGTAGGTAGAGGGGTACGCTCCCGGCTGGGATGGCGGCTGGTAAGTCGGAAAATATCCCTGCTCGGGACCAGCTGTTGGAGAGTAGCCGTACGAAGGGCTACCCCCATAGGAGCTGGAACTGATGGTCGGAAGCGAAGTTCTGACCGCTTTGAAGTTGAAATAAGGTGATGTCGGAGCGGAACCGGCAGATGAATTTGGTCGAAGAGAGTACGTGCCAAACTCTCCAGGCGGGGCGTTGGTAGGAGCTGACATGGTCTGGGAGGAGCGAACCGGTGTGGGGGGCGCCAGCTGCTTTGTCAAAAGAGGCGGGCCTGCCGGTCGCGGCGGGGTATGGACCACCAGCGTCACGAAGTACAACGATGTCTTTGCAAGTCTGATCTGGCTTTGAAGAGACTGATACTGACCGTTGGGCAGTCGAAAGTTAAGAAGCGCGGATCTGGGCGTAAATCCGTGACTCACTTGGTCGACATCCTTATCCGCGACTGATTGCATAACGGGCTGCATAGGATCTTGTCCGACTGGAGTTATAGGGGCCATGTAAGCTGGCTCCCGCTCGTCACGCTCCATCCGCAATTCGGTGCGCAGCTGCTGCAGAACATCGTGCTGCCGTGTTTCAAGCAATTCCACCAACATTTTGCCACGAGCATCACCAAGGAAGCCGATCAGATCTTGAAAAGCTTGGTTGGTCTTTTGAATGACGAGGTCCAGATCGAGAAACGCCACAGGCATGGACTGATAGGCCAGATTGGGTACTCCAGAGTATGGCAAGGCTGCTACACCGCTGAAACTGCCAACACGCGGTGGGTGCGTAGTGGTTATAGCAGCGGGCTGTAAACGTAGTTTCGAGGTCTCTTCGTCGCGCGTGGACGCCAGAACGCGATACGGCTCGGCCGCTCGAGGCACCGTCGTGAACGGGGACTGTTGGCCCAAGATATCTGGGCCGGACTGAGTTAACGATCCCAGAAGTTGCGTGGGCGCCGTGCGAGCTTCCTCGCTCCTTCCGAACTCTTTGTCGTCCCTTAGCCTCGGCCGGCCCCTCTTCTTGTGCTGGACGTCCTTGCAGGTATCCTGAACCATGTTAGAGATGCTTGTGTTACCGAGAGCATATTGCCCATAGTAAAGGACGAGCAATGTACTGACCTGCTTCCCCGAAGCAACGCACCGACCGCAGGGGCGCTGGACATCACAGCTCAGATGCGCCTTCTTACAATTGACGCACGCAGACGCCACATGCGCCTTAGTCCTTCTTGCTGGCTTCGCTTGCCTCAGTGGTTGCGGCGTTATGATGGCACCCTGCTGGACCTGGGGACCTGGAGCACCCTGGCTTCCAAGATACTGAGAAACATTAGGAGGGGGATATCCATATACGTAGTTCTGCGGAACATGAACAGAGCCATAGGGAGGGTCAAGAGCGCGGGCTGGTTGATAGTGCATTGGTGGACCCCGGACTTGAGACTCTCCAGGATAGAGCGGACGTTGTTGCGCAATGCCCTGTGGAATGTTTGCTGATCGAGGGTCAAGCAATGACGACGGTGGTGGGTGCGGACGTGGTTCGTGCAGATGCGGTTGATAAGGGTGTCCTTCTACTTCGACAACATGAGCTGGTCGGCGGGCGGGCGAAAGAGAATCGGACATGGGAGGAGATGGGTAGCTGTGCTGCTCAGGCCTGCCAGGACTGAACTGTGGTGGAAACTTTACCAGGCCGCTTCCCAACTCTTGATATCGCCCGTACGGCGAGGAAGGAAGTGAAGTCGGAGGAGGTAAGGACAGACTCTGCATTGCTCGACCAGCGCAGTGCTCAAACGCTGCAGCTGCAGCGGGAGCGCAATGCTCAGTGTGAATGGTTGGTAGGTTGAATGGATCCGCAGACCTGCTCGAATTGGGCGGATGATGGTACGATTCGAGAAGGGGGAATTGGTGCGTCTGCATGTCGAGTATAGGTGAGTGACGTTCTTGGGACCTCGACTACAACAACATGGGAAAAGATGCAAACACACAAGAGAGAAGAAAACAAACCGCCGAAAGATTTACATATGGTGCCCCTCACGGAGAATCAGAAACGTCGGTCAAGCTGCGAAGTCCGGGCAGGGATGTGGGCTGAAGGCGGAGACGTAGAAAATGGTCGGTACCTTTTTGGAAATTTCCGTTCAAGACTGTGCGGTCGGAGGACTTGTTTCAGCGTGCTCTCGTCGTCAGCACGCGAGCTTCCCGTGGTAGCAGGGAGCAGGCGCTGCCAGTCCGTCGAGGCAGGGCTGGGGGAGGTGGTCGGAGAAGAGGTGAGAGAGGACGGATGACTTGGCCAATGGTCCGTGGCGCGTGCTGGAGCACACTGAAGGCAGGAGGAGGGCTCTCTGGCTAGCTCGGCGGAGATCCTCCAGTAATAACGTGGATCGATTCTCAAGCTTCTGCTCTCAGATCTGTGTGCCAATCCCTGCGCTGGTGCAGGCCATGGATGGCAGCCACAGCACGGGGCCCTGCTCGCCCCGGGCCATGGGAAGCTTGGGCTTTTGGAGCGGCGTGGGCGACGGCATGCTCGCTGGTTGTTCGGCTGATGGTTCTTTGACGACGCATGCCGGCTGTCCCAAGAGCAGAGTCGCGCGGCCGCTTGTGCATGGGCAAGGCAATAATGGGAGGGGCGGCCTGGGAGGCTCGCGTAGGCGCACCAGCATCCCCTGCAGCGCACACCACCGGGCTAGCGACGTGTAGCGAGGTCTGGTCTGGTCTCGAGGGCGACGGCAGCCGGTGGCAGTGGGCTCGTCGAGTCGGCGGGCGTCGATGCTGCTGCCAGGCCGTGTCGCAGCGCCGGAAGGCCCGACAGCGCGCGCTGCTGCTGCATGTCAGGCGCCGGACGCACACAGGCAGTGGCTCGCTGGCCGCCGCGGAGCTCCAGCAGTGACAGGCCCGCTCGACTGGCACGCCTGTCACCATCGCGCTCCCGGGGCCAGTGCCAGCGCCCGCGCCAGGCCCAACGAGCAGCCTCGCCCCGCTGGCGCGCGCTGCTTCTGCCGGCGCGCCCGCAGGGTCTCGCCGTCGTTGCGAGTGTGTGCATGGCCAGAGCAGGCCCAGCAGGCCAAGCAGGCCCGCTCTCTGCGCAGAGCCTGCGGAAACGGATAGGGCACGGCGTCAGCCACTGCGTCGATCGACCCGCCCTGCGGATGCGGCTTGAACCCTTCGCATGCTCCAGCACGCGTCCCGTCGAAGCGCTGGCAGCCTGCCGCCCAGTGTGCACCACCGCCCATTATTGGAGTGTGCATACGCACAAAGCTCCGACGCACTGGCACACGCCTACGGCTGCCTCAACCCGAGCTGTGATTCCGCTGCACGCCCGCAAAGCTAGCTGGAGATGGCTGACTACACGCGCCGGCGGGCAACGGACGCTGCGGGTGATGGAACTAGCTGTTGCTGTGCCGCCCGGAGACAGACACTACAGCTGCATGTGCCGGCGTCTCCTTGGACTTTTATGCCCTCGGCTCGACTCCCCGGCCTGCCGTTGCCCTGGTAGCTTCGACTGCCAACACCTGCCGAATCACGGCTTTGTATGCTGGCAGCTCAACCATATGGAAACGCAGTTTGCATGTTTAGAACAACGCTGCACGCCTACATCACGAGCATGTCCCCGGGGCTTCTCTCCACGTGGTCGCCGGTCGCGAAGCCTGCCAAATGGGACATGGCTTCTCAGCCGGCTCGTGTGTAAGTTCACAGTAGCAGCCCGTCTACAAGCCGACTCGTCACAGTCTAGCCATCCTCATTCCATGCGAACCAGCATCGCGGTGCTCGTACGCATTAGGCGGATGAGTGATTACCACTGCGGGTCGAGACGAAGACAATCTCGATAACCTTCATGGTCAGTCTCGGCCAGCGACGTCCTCATGCGAAATGGTGATCATAGCTGCGCAACTATAGGTGTGGCTTGTCGTCATATCGAGCAAGACGTGCAATCTCGCCCATAATAATGTTCCGGCGTGGTGTCTGCGACCCTGGTCGCCGTCGACGATCACCCAGAAACGTCCGCTGCGGAGATTGCCCTGATTCATGCGTCCGGGGAGCTTGGACGCGGTGGAGCCGCGCCGAGCCTCGTGGTGTCACACATATTGTGATATATCTCGTGGAAATTATCGTCGAATCTCGCAATGTGAAGAGGATTGCATGTGACGGCAACCGCAATCCCAGAGGCGGGTCCTCATAGCATGGCTGGCGGTACAGCGACCAATAGCAGCCACTTCTGACTTCTCAAAAAACCGTCGTCAGCACACTTGCAGGTACGGCAGAGGGCCTGACGAGCAAACACCCAGGTTTTGCACGCTGCACGCATTTCACTAAGAAGCTTGACCTCGGAGACGCGGGTGCATGACCCTAGCGATCTCTATCAACCCGCCACTGAGGATAGAGGGCTGAATAGATTGGCTGCGGACAAGAATAGCAACGCCGACGAAGCTTACGGTCCCGTGGTTGTTGTGACTCCGCTCTGCCATTTGGGATGTCGCCTGCCTTTTGCGCTCTACTAAAAACACATATACAGACAGGTGCATGGGACCGTCCACCTCGCACGTCCTGGCTCGCTTAGCTGTCGGTTGCAGGCTTCGATGGCGATTCTGGAAGCTCGACGACGAGCAACGGACGCACGCACACATGGGGACATTCAACGCCGCCAAGACTACCGGCTTCGTACTCGGGGCCTACCCATGGCATGTGTAAGCTGCGTCTCCGGGCGTTCGCTTATGGAACAGGAAGACAGTAGTGCTGAGCAAAAACGTGGTTGTCCACAGTCCGGCGGCCGTGCCACACCGTGGGCCTTGCGGAACGGAACTTTTGCGAGCATCGTGGAAGCCAGACTGGGATTTTAGCCTTTTCAGCAGCATGAGCCAAAAACGGCAGCGGAAGTATTGAAAACTCCGCTAAGAGAAGGTCAGCATCAGACCATTTATTGCCTCATTTGTTGGATTCTGAACGCGAGGCTGTAACGGTGGCCAGCCGACGGACGAGCAAGCGGGAGAGTCATGCCTTGTCGCATTCTCCCCGGCGCCCTGTCCCCGGTAATCCAATCCATTTGTTAGTACGACTGCAAGTTGCCTTGAGAGGCCGTGTCACCTTAGTTTGCTCTTTTTGCGGGTAGTGTGCAGCGGACACTGGCAGTAAAAGCACGGCATGCTGCCGTGCGAGCAGTCTGAGTCTGCGTAAACGTCATGCCTCTCAAAACCACATCCCAGGATCCGAGTCAGGTTCAGGGGCGCAAACGTACGGATTCAACCGCGCGATCTGCGAACCCACGTTTGTGCCAAAAGTAGCTCAGTGCTGGCCGGGGTCCTTATTGAAAGCCACAAGCCAATGTTCATCCCGGCATGCACGCGCCATGCTTCGATTGACTGGGTGCGGGCCGTCCATATCCATCCGTTGGCGGAATTCTTCCTCCATACACAGCGCGGTCCACCCTGGCCAACAACCTCACTTCGGCCTTATTCGTGCACACCTCGTAAACGTCATGGGTAGACTCGTAGAGCATCCAGCGAAATCCGCCGCGTAAAAATTGCAAGCGTATCGGCACGAGCAAGCCATCATCGTGCCAAACCTCGCTAGATGTCGCGTGACAACGCGGTAAATTTCCGAACAGTGTATCTTGTCAGTGGTAGCGTGGTGTCGCGTAGTTCTAGTCTTCCTTCCTTCCTTGGCTGGCCATCTTCGTTTACCACCGGGCTACTCTACACTCATTTAGGTGATTATCCTGTTTCGATGCCGTACCAGTTACCAATCCGACAGTCGTGTTCAAGTTCCATTATGTGATTGTGGACCACACGACCGAGGTCTGAAATTTCGATGGGTCCGTAATCCCGTCATGCACATACCATAGGATCGATAAAATTGTTGCGCGGGACCTTTGTCGGAGCATTCAAAGATTCTATCGAAGTTTTCGGCACCCACGCGACATGATCCTAATCAGTAAACCTGTGTGTTTAGATGCGGAACGTATACGGTATAATACGTTCGTGGCGTCTTCTCGAAGCCCGGCCAACTTGGCTCTATCCCCCAATGGGGAAGCTCCGCAGAAAATACTCCTTCGATCTTGGGAAATATTGAACTGCTAGCATAACCCTGGTCTGCTGCCGCTCCGAAAGTCTCGCAAATGAAATTCTCCTTGCATGCGCGGGTAAATGGCACATGCACATCGTACGGCGCGGCACGTCATCATCGATTGCTTTCTTCTTTCTCTCATTCTTTCTTTAGAACATCGCTTAGGTGAACCTTGATGCTGGTCGGTGTCGCCGTACATAAGCCATAAACGAGGTCAAGCATACGGACTCCACTTGCCGCACTGTAAAAGACCGACTATAAGGAATGGCTTTCAAGGTTATCGTGACCCTTTTGCATGGTGCAGCGTTTAACACTTAGTGGACGCCGCTAATATTCAGCTGCTCTCAGTGTCGATATAGTAAAGTTCGTAGCATTTCTGCCACCATCGCCGCATTTCTGCATTGCGTTGGCGTGTCGCGCGCCAATAAAGCGGGCGGCGATATGTCGGACGGCTGTGCCTGTTCCGACTGGTATGGGGTAGCACACTGTAAGATACGGGTCTGGGACAGGGTGTCCACTGTGCAATATCCGGGCGATTTCTCATGCACCCTGCGGAACGCGCGAGAAGTCCCCAATCGCCATGCATCTCACACGCGAAGCCGGGGCTCGTGACACCATTAATAATATTCATCTGCCGAAGACTGCATACTGCGAAATTACCATTTCCATATTAGCAAATGGCCGGTATTTGTACACCCGTTCGTACAACTGGAGACTCAACCCTGACTGCGTAAGATTGCGAAGGTTTGCTACGTGGAGTTGATGACGGTAAGCATGTGCGGGCGGTGAGAAAATGTAAGCCCAAGTGGGACAATTGATGGCGCCAGGCATGTCCGATGCCACCCTATACTACCGTAGTCCTCACGCAGCACGGTAGCGTGGGGCGCTCGGTACGTACCGATGTCGCCTGGTAAGGCTGAAGATCGAGTTCAGATCCAGCATCTGGACGAAACTGTGGATGTCCATCTTTGTGAAACCTCTGCTCTACTCGCCAAACGCGAGAATGAAGCAATATATTGACTTAGAGTTGAGTTTAGAATTTCCGTTTCTTGGAAGGCCTTGCGTTCTTCTCCTTCCGTTTCTCTTCCAGCTGGCGTTGTTTGCGGACATCGTCCACGCCCTTAAGCTCATTTTTGCCGCCACCGTCCTTGAACTTCCCGATACGTTTCTCCTTTGCCTCTGCAACCTTCTTCTTTTGGGCGTGGTAATCGTCTCGGTATCGATCAGCCTCTTTGGGTGCCCTTTCTGCCTTGTGTTTGTAGTGGCGGCCACCACCTTGGTGTGCTGCGTGACCTGCCTTCTCTAATTCGCCGACACGTGGCAGGCGCCCAACCTTGTTTGATTTGCGCCAGTCATCGTATCGACCGCTGCGGAAGCTAGCAGCAATCTTCAGACCACTCTCACCTACGATCATCTTCGCTCCTTTGGAACCGTCCTCATCGTTCACCTTGGCAACGTACTTCTTAGACTTCTTGTCCCAACGCATACCCCTAGCTTTGCTAGCCTCAGCGAATCCCCGCGATTCATCATTCGTGAGATCCATTTGCGCGGCCCTGGCACTTTCAACGAAGTTTGAAGCTTGTTGTGCCGTGTTGTACGACCCTGTATGAACACCATATCCTCGTTCTTCCGCTGCGTTCACACCTTTCGGTTCATACGACATGAAGAACTCAGAGTTCTGCCAATCATCTTGACTCGTGTTGCGATCGGCGGGTTGCGAAACGGAGATCTCAAGTTCATCCGATTCAGACCCCAAGTCCGCATCTTCAGGCACCTCTCCGTCTACTGAGGCCACGTTGTGAACACCCGCATCCTTCGATAGCGCTGTTTTGCCGTAAGCCTCATCGGACATGCTGGACTGGGACGCCTGCTTCTGTTTCATCCTGTCAATTGTTTGCCGTCTCTTCTTCATGATCTCAGCAGCTTCGCTACCTGTGCCCCGGTGTCCGATCTCGAATATCGACTCCGTGGGGCGGAAAGAGCTGATTCGCTCCAACATCTTCTCTTTCTCGCGCAAGGCGTCGTGCACGTCGTCACTGAAAAGAAGATGTGTGTTGGAAAGACTGCGTGCTGACAGCAGCTGCTTTGCGCGCTTCACTGACTCGTTGCTGGCGGAGTTCCTCGTTCTCGTATACTGAGCTTCACCTTTGCCCGCGACGATTTGAAGATTGACTAGATCTTCGTCGTCGTCGTGTAGTCTGTTGACAAGCTCGACCTCAGGCGCAAGTTCATCTTGGACAAAAGTACCCACTACTACGTTCTGGGCGTAGTTTGGAACCATACCGGGTGTTTTCTCGGAAAGCAGAGGTTGGCCCAGGAACAACTGGAGATCAATGAGATAAGGCACATCGGACTCTCGAATTAGACTGTAGCTCCAACCCTTTCTTCCAGCTCTTGCTGTCCTTCCAACGCGATGAACGAAAATCTTAGGTTGGGAAGGGAAGTCGTAGTTGATAACGTTCGCAAGGTATGGCAGATCCAGTCCACGTGCGGCGACATCGGTCACGACGAGAATGTTTGTCAAACCAGCCCTGAAATCTTGAACTTGTAATTTTCGGGCAGTCTGATCCAAATTGCCGTACACTGGGGAGACGTTAACGAAAAGTCTAAACATTAATGCAAGATTGCTTACCGTATGAAACAGAGTAGCCTGTAGCCTTCAATAGGCTTGCCAGATACTCAACTCGATGCTTAGTAGCTGCGAATATGACCGTAGAATTTGGGGTTGGAGACTCTCGTGGGTTAGGAGCATCAGGTCCCCGCTTACGCTTCTTGCCTGCACCTGCGGCCTCCAACTTTTTGGCCTTCTTCGCGTTCTCGGTCTCACCAGGTGGTAGTTTGATAACTTTGTCGAGTAAATGCAGGAGGGCCCCGTCTCTTTCTCCGGTCTTCACGGTGAAGAAGGCACTTTCAAGATCTGGTGAGACTTTGGAATCATCAAGACGTATCAGTCTCGGTTCCTGAAGACCAGCCCTTGCAAACTCAACCAGGGATTTAGGGAGCGTGGCCGAGAAAAGGAGGGTTTGTCTAGACATGGGCAGTGCGTGAAGGATCTCGGCCAGTTGGGCGGCGAAACCCATCTCGAACAAGCGGTCTGCTTCGTCGAACACAATGTACCTCACGGAGGAGAGGTCTAATCCCATCTCTACTTTCAAGTGAAGAAACCGTCCAGGAGTGGCAATGATAACATCGGGATTCGTAGTCATTGAACTGAATTCTAAGATCTGAAGTTAGTATCCAAATGGCTTCTTTGCATGAGATGATACGTACGTTCATCGAGACTGTCTCCACCGACCAAAAGAACAGTCCGCAAATCAGAGCCACGGCCCAGTTCTTTAACAACTTTCAATGTCTGCAAAGCCAGCTCTCGCGAAGGCGACATGATGATTGCACGGGCGCCGAACTTGGCCGAATGGCCTTTTAGTGCCTGGATCATAGGTATAACGAACGCTGCGGTCTTTCCAGAGCCGGTACGTGCCATTCCAACTACGTCTTGGCGATCCAAGATGAGAGGCACGGCGCGTCGTTGTATGGGCGTCGGAACCTTGTAACCCTTTTTTGCGATAGCTTGGAGAAGCGCAGCATTCAAGCCCATTGCCTGGAAACCTCCTCCTTTCTTGACTGTATGCCCCTTCAGATTTGAAGTCTTCCTGTTCGAAGCCGCTTGCGTCGCGGCGATAAAAGCCTCGTCGTCTGAACCATCTTCGCTGCCACCTTCCAGATCTAGTCCCAGATCTTGGAGAGGTCCCTTGTCATCCGCACTGTTCTCGTCTCCTCCGAACAGAGCGGCGCCGATGTCGAATTCATTCTCAGACAGCGCCGGCGAGGCCGCGCGAGGGGCCATGTCGGTACAGCCGGTGGGCAGGACTGTGAAGATAGTCGTCCGTCACTGTGTCTGTCCTGGAAAAGCAAAGCGTGCGAAAAATCCTTCCTAGCAACGTATGCGGGCCGGTGTTGCAGGCATGGGCTGCTGCTCGGGAAATTCTGAACTTTCGAAATTCTCGCACAGACCAAGTCTTGGCATACGTGGGGTCGCGCCTTCAGCTCCAAGGGCTGCACGCGTCTCGTCGCGTCGCTCCTGCCCCACTTGCAGCATTTGATCAACGCGTCGAACACCATACCACCAGAGCACACGCTATACACAGCACACGATGAGTATGCCCGTCGAAACAACTCTCGCAGGGCTATACGCTAACACCTATAGGTTACAACAATTACGAAACCTCGTACACTTCGTACAATGCAGGTGGAGGCGGCGGTGGCGGTGGATTTATGCCCGATGGCAGCCAGAACAGCCCTAGTAGAGGACGAGTGAGTGTCCACTGCAGGATCTTCTCGACCGGAAATGTGTCTGACAAGACTCGTAGGAAAATGCTCAAGACTCGCTCCGCCCCGTGACCATAAAGCAAATTCTCGACGCACAGCCTGATGCATCCGGCGACGATTTCAAGATTGATGGCAACAAGATCTCACAGGCAAGTCTAGCTCAGCCTTGCTGACAACCTTTCTCTAACATGCGTAGCTCACTTTTGTCGGACAAATACGCAACATCGCTACGCAAACCACGAACATCACATACAAGCTCGATGACGGTACTGGCAGCATCGAGGTGAAGCAATGGAACGATGCCGACGCGATGGAGGCGAGTCCCCTTAAATCAAAGCTTGTAGAAGGAGCTTACTGCAGGGCTTGGGGAAAGTTGAAGAGCTTCCACGACCGACGGCATGTCAACGCGCAGATCATTCGTCCAGTCGAGGACATGAACGAAGTCCAATATCACCTGCTCGAAGCCACAGCAGTCCACCTACACTTTACTCGCGGACCTCCGGGTGCATCCGAGAACGCAGGCAGTGCCGCGCCAACAAATGGCGCTGTCCATCAGACAGGAGCTGGATCAACTCTTGCGGGAGTTAGTAACTTGGGTCAGCGAGTCTACAAGTTTTTGCAGAGTCACCCAGACAACAACGAAGGCGTCAACTATCAGGTCATTGCCTCTCAGATTGGTGTCGATACTGTGGAAGTGGGCAGGGCGGGTGACGAACTGCTCGAAGCTGGTCTTATATACACCACGCTCGATGATATGACGTGGGCGTTGCTCGACACAGCGTGAATATTTGGATGTGCGCAGGCGGCGACAGAAAAACGAGGTGCGAATCATGTACAGCCAAGATTGGGCAGAGCACAGCAAAGTACGGCGAAGATTGTACCTAGTAGGTGCGTGGTTTCAGCCCACATTTACGCACATAACTATCGACGGTTCTGCGCGTTCGTAGATAAAAACAATATGCAAGCTGCGACAATAGTTGTCGCCACCACTGTAAACATCGCTTGCGTCTTCCACCCAGCTTGCACCAACGCCGCTCGTCTACTGTATCTGGCTACGGTCTTAATATAATTCGCCAGTCCAGAGACCAGACAGGCTACCGATAGGATCCAGAAAATGATACCGAAGGGAAGGGAAATTCTCCGTTCTAGCAGCACATGTCAGAGCATTGGTTTGATTGACAGGGCCCGGGATGTAAAGCATCCCCACATCGGAGCACAGTCGATCGGAAGAAGTGGGGATTGCGTTCACTCCACTAATTGGGGCTGCACTCACCAACAGCGGTAGGTTCCGATTTCAAATGGAAGTTCAAGATGATTGCCACGGCGACGATTGCCATGTAAACTGACAGCCGCAGCCACGACAAGAAGGCTGCGCGGTTTGTCAGAGCCCAGTGACCACGACCTGACTGCTCAACACGTACTCCTCTCATTTGCAGCATGGTCCCGTGCATCAGAGGCGATGTTATCGAATAGAAGCACTCCCAGCCATGGCCTTTCTATGAAAACAGCCCCGTCATACTCATTGTCCCTAGCTTGTTAGCCGCGCGTTCTACTTGGTGATGGCTCTGGCCTCTTACTGATGGACAATAACAGGCTTTGGTGCCCAGAAATTGTAGAAAGGCCGAAAGGGCTCGTCTGTGATAGATTCGTCCGTATCAAGCATGCGATCTAGCGGCCGGAAATCCATGGCCGAATGTATTCGGACGTGTACGCAGGCGTGGAGGGTGTGGTTGTGGCTGCTAAAGTGGTGTGGATCGCGGGTGAGGAGAGTGGGTCGGCTGCACGGACGCCAACTCGGGGAATTTGTGAGATCATAACTTCAACCAGTGCATCTACTGTGTGAATCCTCAATACATTGTCCCAACAGTCTTGAATTAATCAATATGGTCAAGGACAAGGAGCATGTATTATTCGGCGGCGATAAGTAGGAGCAACCTGTGGTTTTCTCCAGGTTTATAGGCCGCAACGCTGACCAAACGCAGGACATGGAAAGCCTCGGACTGGACCGCAAGTGATGATCGCGTTCGCGGCGGAAAATCGCAGTCGTACCTCGAGATCTCGGGGACCACGGCACGCTTTCACGGCCACTTGGACATCGAGACACTTGGCGGAGCCGGCTTTGCAAGTCAACGCACTGTAGCCGAGGATTGTACTTGGGATGTTTCACACTACGACGGCATCCTCCTCAACTTAGGCAAATCGGACGGAAAGCGCTACACATTCATTATGAAGGATGAGTTGTTACCGCAAAACCCAGACAATGGACGTGAACAAGCCACCATCTCATGGGAATACGATTTCGTCGTTTCGGTAAATGCGGCGCAGGCGGAGAGCTCGTTCGTCTATATCCCGTGGAAAGACTTAAAGCCGACGTACCGTGGAAAAGAGAAGAAGGGTGTCAAGGATTTTGATACTAAGAATGTCAAAAGGTTTAGTCTCATGATGAGAAGGTATAGCTTCCAAGAGGGGTCTTCGGTAAAGTCCTCGGTCGCTAACATGCGGTAGCTTCTTCGGGGATCAGCATGGGGACTTTTCCCTTTCTGTGAAGTCGATCAAGGCTGTGTCGAGGTCCAAGGATCTGGAAAAGGGCCCTACTGAGGTGAGCAGTAGCCATCGCCTAAGTCTAGACTATTGCTAAACTTCGGTGTAGAGCGGGAAGACGGCAACGTTGCGCGCGCCGCTGCTAATGTCCCTCCTTGCAGCGGGGATACTTGTTTATGGGCTATGCGCGTACGTTTGCCCGTGGGTCATGAACACTCATACGAGACATTGGGGATGGTGATCGTCAAGCTACGCCAAGGTGTTGTCTCAGTGGTCGAGTGAACAAGGTTGAGGTCCACTACCCGTTGCTAAAGGCATGGCATGCGCATGGCGAAAACATGTAAGTATTCTCACTTCTTCATTGAAACGAGTACTCCTGAACATTCTCCTGAATGTTCAATGCGTGCTTTGAGGAGAGAAGTTGATTGGAAATTACTCATGGAGCTCAATAAACCCAACGAGCAGATTCCGAGATGCTCAAGGAGGGATATCCAAACCTAATGATACCCGCCAATTCAGATCAAACTTCAGTCCCAGTCCATTCGCTCCACCATAATGCGGATCTGACTTAACATCCTCAAACACATCGCTTGATCACCCTTGTTCCTGCACATGTTATCGGCTCCAAACATCTTCGTTCGCTCTTCAGTATGCATGCTTGTATCCTGGTGCCATCTGCGCTGCCTCTTTTCCAATTCCCCCACCACTCCAAGTAATGGCGTTGGGTTGTGTCCTCCGCCCACGACCTCCGTTTTGAGCATCTGCTTTGCCAGCCTCTTCCAGTCTTGGGCGTCAAGATTGAGATCATAGCCCATGGGACAGTCCAGTGTGCCCGTATGCAAGTGTCTGTTTTCAGTGGAATTATCACCAACGCGGAATGGTTTCTTCTCCTTAGTTTGCTCGAGTCGGGCAGCCTCGGCATCGATACCACACAGCACTTTGTGGAAGCGCTCCGTGATAGCGCTAAGTAATGCGCTCAGCGCTTGTATGTTTTGAATGGCACTGAAGGTTTCAGTGGGACACTTGGTACAATTAATCATGGTGGATGCGGTTGTAAGGGCTGGTCGAATGCGAGGAATTACAGCAGGAAACGCGAAATTTGTGATGGACTGAAGGTCGCTAAGTGCCAGGTAGTTGAGGGAGAGACAACTACACGGTCCAGATTCTGGCTGGCCAGGTGCGGAGTTGGCTTGTGAGTTGAAGCCCGAGTCGTTCGGTGGAGAGTCCCACAACAACGGATCTATGGGGTCCATGCTATGACTGAATAAGGGGTTAGACGTCAAACAACAACATAGCCGGTGGGACTCACACAGACTCGTATGCGGGCACAGGTCCGAAGCTCTCTATATACGATGGTGGTATCAGGCTACCTGATAATGCGTCGTTGATAGGTACACTTTGGTACCCAGGGAAGTCAGCAGTGAGATCGCCGTGCGAATTCAGACCGCTGTCTCCCAAGGTCGGCATGGCGAAGCCGTCAAATGTAGGGCTGGGCTCAGGCTGGCCTTCTTGAGCGTCTTCGGGTGGTATATCTTCTCGCCTTCGTTTTCTGGGTCGCCCCATTGGTTTTTGAGGAGAGTAGACACATGTTATCTTTTCTCGTTCGCAACGACTACATGCGGGGGCGTCGCCCGAACATTTCAGCTTTCTCGTACCTGCGCTGGCACTTCAGCCTTGGCCTGAAAGAAGGGGTAGGAGATGTGCCACTTACGGCATTCGTCACAAGCCGCGTGCAATTTTCCAGCTTGCATTTCCACCATATCCTACAGTATATACTCTGTCGCGACAAGAAAAACCAAGATGACCCTGGTGTAACACCCAGCCACCACACAACGCGCAAAAGGCTAAGGCAATGTGAAGGTGAAGACAGCTCGTTGGTAGGAGTAACGCTTGAACAAAAGGTAGCAAGCAGCGGTGCGCGTCTCGCGTCTTTACCTTGGTCAGCCCTACGGCTACGCCTCGCGCGGCCATGCCATCTACACCGATATGTCAGCGCCCCAAGCCACCGAGGTGGTGCCGGAGCTACCGGGGCGCGGCGCCCGGGCCCGCGATCGTTGGGACCCACTCAAAACTTCGTCGTTCGCGCTGCCACTCAAGCGCTTCCGACTTCGACTAGCAAGTAGATGCCTGATGGCGCTGCACAAGCACGGCGCGCACAGGGAGGCTGCTGATTGCTGGGCAGAAGACAACCGCGGGCGGAGCTTACGGGTGCCTTGGAACGACTACTTCTATTCCAAGACCTCTAAGTCCGAGAAAGTCCTGCTTATCGGCGTTACAGAACAACAGTACGTATGTATGCACACTTTTTCATCGAAATGCATGATCGCGGTGAAATTCTGGAGCCGTCATGGTGTGACTCATTGTAATAAATTTGCAGCACCGGCGGTGGCACTCGTCCGACACGAAGACAAACTGGAGGTTTGCTGCACGTATTAGGCTTAGATTCTGTGTTGACTTGACTTGATCGAAATGAACAAACTATGATTCACCATCCAACAGATTCGCGTTTCAGGGCATCAAGTGCTCTAAAAGAAGATTTCTTGCCCAACTGCGTAGCTTTCCAACGATCGTGGCTACCACATCTGGCTGGGCTAAGGAACATCAACAATGAACCCTTTTACACAATCGCACAAAATCGTGGCATTTCATCATCCAGGAGTCAAAGGAACCCTCTCTGTTCTCATCATGGAGCTTCGTCAGACAAAAAAAAACAAGCTGCCACCATGGTCCACAAAGGAACCGTATTCTCCAGCTGTAAGGCTCAAACCCAACTCCCTGGATTTGCGTCTCTTTTCACATCATTTCCGGAGTACAAGACTAATTGAACTTCCGAAACAATAATAGACAACACAGAATCAATATCCTTGACAAACCACCATACCAAAAACACAAAATATTCCACACCCGGGGTATCCATACAAAGTGAGTTTAGAAGATGGCCCAACAATTAGTGGAAAACATGCAAAACGCCGTAGCCAATTCCAAGCGACCTAGAGTATGTGTACGTTATAAGCTAAAAGTGGCTAGCCCGCTGCTAATCTCTATGTAGAGCCCGATTTAGACGAACAATTACCCAAGCGGCGACGCAAAGTTTCACTACGCCAGGGGAGGGTCCAAGTGAAGCCACCTTTGATTCCATGCGACTTCCAAGAGAATTGAGAGATCTTATGTACGACTACGCCATGCGCGCTGAAGGGGAGTATACAACAAGAATGCGTCGAGGTCCCCAAACGGGACGCCGCAATCAATTTGGGCTCGAGCGGACTACCGGTAGCGGCACCCGCCATCGTTCAAGGTTCAATCTCCCGTTACTACGGGTTTGTAGGGACGTCAGAAAAGAAGCGAAAAGACACCTTTACCGCAACGGTGAATTCCTTTTCGACAAGTCCCACACTCTGAAGATCACGTATCGTCCTGATAGACTTCGCGCCCCAAGGACCAGGGTCGCCTTCTCCTACCTCCGCTTCGCGTGTGATCTGCACCATCTGCCAATCGACCAAGGCCAGCATTTGATCGCTACGGCTGCTCAGGTGGCAAGTTGGACGTGAATGCCGCACAAGACCGGATTCTGGCAGCCAATATGAGGGACGCGTGCCGAATAGATGCACTGGATATTGTGTTCATTCGTCGTAGAAGGACTAACTTCCTCGTGGACTAGCAAAATGCTCTTCAAGCAAGGATCCCTTAATATGGTTGCGAATGTTTAAATCTTCAGGCGAGTTTGCTACTTGGCTGATGAGACCTCGCGTGCCTTAGGCGGTCCGGCAGGGAGGACAGTTTATCACATTTATTCAGCTATCCTCTAAATATGTTTGTGTTGCATAGTAAGCTAACTTATGCATGTTATTGAAGTCTAATATAGATAGAAATGATGTAATTTAGTTTGAGATTATACCATGTGAATACGTAAGAACCATAGAGAGGATAATCGCAGGCTTGATGCAGTACAGACTTCACAGTCAAGTACGTAAGTTTCATTGAGATTGGTGCAGCGCCAGCCATTCTAGGAGGGTTGCAGCCACGGTCAGTATGACATTGTTCTAGATGCCGGATCACAACCAGTGTCACGACAGCTACCCAGGCTGTGATATTGGTTCGCAGTAAGCCGTATTGGGTTGACCGGCCTAGTGTCATGCAATTGCTTCTCAAGATCTTCTTTCCGGCGTGGTACCAAAGAGGTAGTGGATAACAGCATCAGCATCGCCGCTCCCACATCTCATCAGTTGACGCCGCAGCCGCCGGGTCCGCTCCACCATGCAACATCCACAAGCTCAAAACCGCGCTTTCACGTGTTGCGTGGTCGTCGGACTATCTTATGTCCCCCGGCTTCCATGGCCTACAGCACCGCTACTTCGAGATCAGCAAGCCGATACTTGTGCATTAGGTAGGATGCTCAATCTGAGGCATAGAGAGGGCGAAGCGGTTTTAGCACCGCCAATGTCGCTCTTTTCCTTCTAGCCTACCACACGAGTATTGTAAGACGGGGAAAGCCTCGCGCACGCGGATAGAACGCAAAGGCCTGCACGAGCGCCGACGGTCTCCATCCAGTCTACCTCTACCATCACGTTTAGACTTTTAGCAGCCGTTACGTCAACAGTCGTTCACGGCGGACTTGAACGGCTCGCGCCGAGCAGCTGGTGGTGTCGGAGGGACCGACTAGGCTCGGACGCGGAGAAGAACACAAGCACATGATGTTCAAGAAAATGTAAGCAGCGTTTCCTTTCAAAGATAACGCAGGCGCCTTGTCCAATAACATGCATTGATGTACGCAACACAAGAGTCGAGATGCCAGAGGGTCTTGGTTAGTGTACGAAGCCAAGGTGGTATTACCAAGCAAGGCTGATGGAAAAGTGCCATCGATGCGAGACGCTGCTCCCCACGCTGGATGGTACAGCATCTACCCTGAACTCACCGTGCAGCCTGGTTCGGCTGAGATTTGAGCGGCGAAGAACGGACAAGGTGGACGCCAGAACTAACGTCTGGGGTATGTGTGGTACGAAAAGGCTTGATGATTGCGCATATTTCGGAACTTTTGTAGCCATGATGCATGGAAGCCTTCCGTGCAGATTGATTATCTGTCCCAACCCCGTACCTCGGCAAATGGATTAGACTACGACAAGGTGGTTCTGTACGGCCTGGTATGGAACGGTGCGTATGTTTGGTGGCGTCCAATCCAGAGCGCAGTTGTTCGGCCGCGTACGAAACGGCATGAACAGGCAGTAGGCGGGCACGTGGGACGAAGACGACGTGAGAAATGACGAAGCTGAAGCTGTGGCACATATTGCAGATGTGTCGAGGTTACGAGGTTACGAGGACGCAAGAAGTGATGACAGGTCACATGGTCTTGGAGGCGTGGGAGGATGGGGCTGTGGGCTGCGGCTTGGTGTGCAACCCCAGCGACGGGCCAGCGTTTAGGGCGAGAGTACACAGGGGATTGGGGCTGAGTGGGATTCGATAAATTGGGTGGTGCCTGAGGAGTCATACCTGCCCTGTTCAGCGGGATGCAGAGGCCGTTTGCACTCGACACACCGCTTCTTGCGCAAAACGCGGGGACGAGGATTGCGCCGCTCGATCGCATCTGGATCTGGTGTTCTGCGAACGCGCGGAGTCGGTGCGCGGACGTGGAGAATTCGCCATGGGTTGCGACCACGCGCGTCGCCAAGGAGAGAGCTGTCCTCTTGGGCCGCGCGCGCAGCAAGTCGGAGTTGCAGCAGCCCAAAGGGCGTTCGTTTGCTCCGCCCTCTTTTCCCGTCGGCGTTTTGGTCGTTATTCCGCAGAGCGCAGGTTTAGCGGGTCGCAAGCAGGGCCACCGGCTCCGGGCCTCAGCTGGCCCAGCAGCTAGGGTGCGCCGGCTGCTGATTCGCGCCCTACTTGTCGAAAAGTTGATGCCTGATGTTGGCACCGCCAGTGGCGCGCGGCGCGGCCGCCCGCTTTGTGCTGCCCTCTGCCTCGCCATGCACCGCGCGGCGGGCGAGGGCGAGAGGCCGCTGTTGGGCCCTGTGGTTGCTGCTGCCCACGAGCGCAGCCGTCGCGCAGCCGGGGACCGCTACGGCGCGATGGGCAAGGGCGTCCCAGCGGGCCAGCGTCGAGGGCGCGGCGGCGGGCGCTGGTTGGCTGCGTGCGGGCGCCGGTGCGAGACATCCATGCCGCAGCTCGCGTCTCTGGCTCGTCTGTGACTCATATCTTTAGCGCGCCTCGCTGGCGCACACAAAAAGACCAGTGCCCCGCGCCAGGCACCCGTTTCCTTTCTCTCTCCATCCATCACGACTTCACACAATAACACACACAGGCAACCAACATAATGGCTGCCTTTTAGCCCCCTTCCCAGCTCCCAGTCGACGCACAGCCGACACCTTGGATTCCTCAACCATTCACCACCTCCCCACTCAACCCACAACCTCAGAGCCTTCCTTTTTGGAACCTCTGAACTACAGCCCCGCCCAGTGCAGCTTTAGTTCGCCGTCACCTTCCAACCCCCCGTTCGACTTTACGTCGTCCACCACGGCTTCTCACCAGTCAACATGGCTTCCCTCACCAGCTCCCCACGCCTCGCGGCAACCAACCAATACGTCCCACACCGACTTCGCGCCTCCGCACAACGACTTCGTGCTCTACGACCAGCCGGCTCAAGCCCCTCTTCGGCCGCATCGTGCACCGAGCGCTCCGCAACCTGGGCCTCTGTTTAACGCAACCCCGCCCTTCTACGCAAACTCAGCGCCTACATCAACCATAGCTTTCCCGCAGCCACAGTCACAACAACGTCCACCGGTCCCCTTGTTCAACAGCTCTAGCAACAGCATTCCCCAGATCCACCAGAACAGCAACGTCGCAGCCATGGCAGGTAGGACTCACGCTGTTCTTGCACATCAGAGGCACAGGCTCACGCTCCGACCAGACTTGAACAGCAGCAACTCGTTCGACTCTGGGGCCAGCCTCTTCGCTGGCCTCCAGCACGAAGTCTCTTGGGAGGCGCCCTTGAACGCCTTCACCACCGTCAACCCCCACTCGGTGTCGAGCTCTACGCGCACAGTGTCTCCCAAGGACATCTTCGCGGACCCGTTCCAGTCTGCGCCTCCTTCGACGACCTTCACAAACATGACTTCCCCAGACATTGACCAGTCGCCCTTCATCACCGACAGCTTTGAGACCTCGCCCATGTTCCAGGGCGACGCCTACATGCCCACCGACAATTGGTTCTCTCTCTTCCCAGAGGAGGACAACAAGGGTGCCGCGCCAGCCGTTGCTGCTCCTCTAGTCGCTCCCGCCCTCGAGCGCACTGTCAGCAGCAACACGACCAAGTCTAGCGGCTCTAGCGTCAACTCGCCTGTTGTCATGTCTGCCAACTCTCACCGAAGGAAGTCGTCTGTCAACGGCTCTCCCGTCACGAATGCATCAATTACTAAGCCCCGTCGCCGGAAAGGACCTCTTCCCACCATCATGGTGGATCCCAATGACAAGGTTGCCTTGAAACGAGCTCGCAATACGCTTGCAGCTCGTGACTCGCGTCAACGTAAGTTCGACCATGTCAACACTTTGGAAAAGCGCAATGCAGAGCTCGAGGCGGAAGTGGAGAAGTGGAAGCAGATCGCCTATGCTCAGGGTTATTCCGGATCATGAATCTCTGCGCCCCCCGGAGTCGGTCCGGATCAGTATCGGTGGTCCTATGGAGCTGGTGAGGACAGCCTCGCCATCCCGGCCTCGACCAAAAGTTTTCCTTTCCTCAGTTACAATCAGCGTTCAGCCTGTTGTCTTTCGCAACGTGGCTATTTTCCTCTTCATTAATGTGCGCTTTGCGTTTTTCCGACCGGAGCGTAGTCTCCCTTGGGTTGATCGACTCCTCCTGGTAACGGTTGCGGTGGTTTCAGTCGGCATCTTGTCGACTGCGCGAGTGTTTCTTGTCCTTTATATCAGTAGTTAGTGAACAGTGGCTGCCTTTTGGCTCAAGCCTTGCAGGTTGTTTCTTAATATATTCGCCTCCGAATTACCATAACTCCTTGTCGTGACTATTGCTCCGAACGAACCGACTTGTGTGACTAATGTCACAGTGACTGTTCATGAGTGTTTCCAAGTCGTGCTTCGCTTAAGACATCTATTGGGTCTGGAAGTATGTTCAACATTACTCTACACGTTATCGTTGCCTGGATCCCCGCGTGGTTGCAACGCAATCCGCGTGACTCACCTCTGCAACTGGCTCACCTGGACTCAGAATGCTGCTAACATGAGCACCTTTCCAGCCAAGGCGCGTTCTAGCGCTACTCATCTCACAAAAGCACGCCCGTTCAAACACGCTTGCTAAGCACCAACGCAGATGGTCTGGTGGTCCTAGTCCCATCTGACCTCCCGGCATCTTGGCTTCAACCAGAAGGCGGGATCTTGCTCTTGGACGATCATCTGGTAACCCACCAGCGTTTGGGACGCTGGGTACAAGACGATCGACGAAGGCCTCCCTCACTGAGTCGCAGGATTCCCGAGCACTGGACTTCGCTTGAGCCTACAACGGTGCACAGTGTTATACTGCATGCGAGCTCTAAAGTCATGTCACGGCATCTACCCGCCCAAACCTTGAACAATTCGTTCAAAGTGAAAGAATAAGATGAGCTCCACCACGATCAACATATGTGTTGGGCCTTCAACGCCACCCGGGCGCGCTGATATCCTTACCGCCAACGCGTCTGGGACAAAACCAGCCCTCATCTTAGTCGGTCTAGATGGCCGGGCATGCAATACAAACTTCATTCTGCCATACCTCCAATCCCGCGACATACATTTTACACTGGTATTACGGGTATGACCCCTCTGTCATGGACTTACTAAGCGCTTCTGCGTCCTCGGCCGCGGAATACAGTGGTTTACTGTGAAATCCGCGACCATTCTTGAAGCCCTTGAACAGCGAGACAACTCAGAGAGGTGCGTTGTCGAGCTCATTCGCGCGTAGGAGCGCATTCAAACTCTCAAGTATCGCGAAGGACCGGTTGGAAGCAAGCTGGGTATTGGGCGGAACTTTGTCGATATGCGTCAGGTGTTCCCGCTGTGGGTGGACTAAGGTTGCTGCTGTTTCTACACATGCCGGCGAGCAGCAGATTGACGACTACATTCCAGATATTTCGCGTGGGGTGCAGGACACGGGCAGCCGCACCTACGGTGCTGCCATGAAGAAACATGCCTTGCCGGTATTCGTGAACTCATTGCCCCAGAATGGACACTGATATGCTACGTACCGCAGGCGGAACCTCTAGAGATAATGTTCACTCTTTACACAGTCTCGGCTAATGCCTTTTGAATGACGAGACTTTGGCTTTGCGACTGAGCCTTTCAGAGTCGACAATCTGGTGCATGGCAATCACCTCAGAAGACCTTGTTGCGGCTTGGAAGCAGACGCCCGTCGTAGTACTATGCAGCTGATACATCTGCTTAACTCAAAGGTCCACAGGCCTAGATCGCTAGACGCCTCCTCCGTGGTCGCATGAAGTAGCCTCGGGATACCTCGTCGTCAGCAGCTTCTCCCCCTTCGGATCAATGACGTTTCAGCAGACTAATTTTAGCACACCAATTCTTGAGAGGGTGTATGTTAGATGTTAGTGAGCGGAAGGAGCGGGTGTTGCTAGGTCCGGCGCTCGGAGCTGGAGCTAGTCATATATGGTTGCTGCGAGGCCACAGCACGTAGTATCTCACGTGTGCATCGTTTGTCTTGCTGAGGGGCAAGTATGTATGCACATATTGAGATTACATGAGGTTCGAAATACGAGTACGGCGTTGCTGGGGCATCGGTCACGATGCTGCTACTAGATAGTCACTTGCTTTCCAGTATCTACAACCATCAAATGTAAGCGTCCTTCACAGACACAAGTTGGCTGTGTTATGCAAAATGTGCCAATCGTGTTTGAAGCGTGAGCATGGTTATTTTGTCCGACTTAAGCGTGTGATGGTACAAGAGACGATGCCTCAAGTCGCCCCACTGCTTGCACGCTGTATGACCACATAGTAAATAGAGATTACGTTACGCTCCAGACGCGCCCACTGCATTGTCCTCGCGATCGCGATCGCTGAACAGAAGATGAGATGCGAAGAACAGGGTATCGGAATGCCGCTCCATACACCTCAGTATGCAAACAAGTGAGAAACTATAGACAAGAAGAAAAGTCCCCCACGCAAACCCCCGTCTATGCGGTGTTCAATCCGCCCCGGTTCGAGGCGCCAGTAATCGCTCACCCTCCTCGCTTGCCTCTGGCGCGCCATCTGTTTCGCCGTCTGGTTGCAGTGGTGATGCCGGTGGAAGTAAGGGCTCATCCTCTGCTGCGTCGATATCGCCATTGACCATATCCTGTTCGGGATTTGCAGCCAGCGCGCCGTCCACCTCATCTGTCACATCTTCAATACTACCCCTCCTCTCGGGCGGTGCAGTATCAAGACCCACTTCCGGATGTGTCCCGTTCACTCTATCAACGGCTACACCTTTACCGTCCGCCTGGCTATTCGCAGCACCAAGTCCCAGCTCCCTCACAGCGCGCCTCATACTTTCCAGCCTGGCTCGTTCAGTCACGACCATCTTCCGTGCAAACTCTTTTAGTGCTCTCCTGCCCATGTCCACGCGGTTCTCCTGCCAGCTGGCAAGCTCTTGCGCGACGACTTGCTGTGTATACCGCAATTCTTTACCCAAGCCGGAAAGCTCCTCCGTGGCGCGTTCCATCTTCTCCTGCGCATCGCGTTGCATACGCGAACGAGCGTCATCCAGCAGCCCAAGAGGCCAGCGGTCAGATCGGCGCATGGAAAGAGAGTGACGATCGACGGCTTTTTGCGTTGCAGACATGGAATTGATAAGCGTGGAAGGCCGGTTCAGAGCGCTGAGTATCGCGTTAATGGTGCTAGCAATTGCGTGGACATTGTAGTAGAAACCGGCCAACGGGCTTGCTTCACTCTGGGTCAGAGTCTTCGTGTACCGATCCACAGCTCTCAAATGCGGCTCCGGCAAGAACTTCAGAGTGTGAATAGCAGTGTTGGCGAGCTTTGCTGCGTCAGCCAGATCCGTGGACGTTGTACGCAGTTTGTTCGTGCGACGAAGAACCGATTTGGATGCATGGTGTAGGGAGCGAACGGATTCGCGGGCATGTTGCACGAAAAGTTCCACTTCGCGAACATCGTACACGGGAATATATTCCTCCCGAATTCGTTCAACAAGTAGCTCAGCTTTGCGAGAAGATCTTTCTGCAAGCATCGCTATATCAATATCTGGAACGAGGAAGAACTCCCAGACCATTTCATGGGTTGCGAACGTAGGATGCTTTAAGAGGATTTTGAGAAATGCGTCAAGTCGAAGCTGTATATCCCGAAGGACAGAACGCGACGGCCGAGACGGGATGAGGAATGGAGATGCAAGATTATTGATGACCGGAAGCCAGGATGCTGGATGCTCCTGGGCTAACCATTTCGCTAATGTCTCGAAGTCGTGAAGGGAGCGTCGGCAGGTCGTAACAGTGATTGTGGCATTCGAATTGGGAGCGCCTGATTTGAGGACAAGCCGGATGCTTCCATCCTCAACAAAGAATGATCTCACGACAGTAGTTGTTCGGCCGTCAGGTCCAGGCTCGTTTGACAGCAATACCATGTCATCGATTCTGTTGCGTACTTCATCATCCTTGGCCAGCTCGACAGCGGTAAGCCCTCTGACATCTTTGACAGACAGATCGACCCTGGGATCTTGAAAGAGAACGCGAACTAATTCAGTGCGGCCGTATTTGCTGGCCACCATGAGAGGAGTGAAGTGCTTGTCATTCGGAGCGTTCACATCCGAATCGCACCGATACAGCAGCCTGATCGCAATCTGTGGATCTGCAACGATGTGCAGCAAGCTATTGCCTTTGTTGTCAATGTGCTCATCCAAATGCAATGGCTGACCATCGTTCTGGGCTCTTGTAGCGGCGTAGAGTGCCCTATCGATCATGTCTCGATATTCATCGTGGTCGTAAGATCGACAAAGGGCAAACATGGGAGTCTGACCGTTCTTGTCCTTCAGGCGCCAAGGTACCAGGTGACCAATTCTGTCGATGAGCAATGGCTGATTGAAGAGATAATGTGCCATACATCGGCCTTTGGAATCTTGTTTTGCCAGGTACGCTCGTAATATGTCCTCTGGTGGTCTTACCTCAAGGATCCAGCTGAGTAGGACGTCGGTAGTCTTTGCATTGCCGCCTTGTACGGCCGCACTGAGTAGAGTCGTGCCTTCGTTGTTGCAGTCATCAAGAATGAAATCAGACGAGTAAAACTCGGATAGGCTGAGCAAGTATTGCAGTGCCTTATCTTGTCTATTCTCTACAGCCATCATGAGGACGGAATCGCCCTCTGAGCCCTGCGTCTTGGACAATTTCTCTATGGATGTGTCGCCTTCGAGGCCCGTACCACGGGAGCCTAGTGTAGTATGCGACCGGAAAGAGACTGCCGAGGAGCTGGACATGCTTCTTGTGTCCATTGAAACCCGTTTCTTAGGATTTGGTCGATCGGGAAGCTCTGGTATTGGAGGCGTTGGAGCTCGCTGGAAGGGAAAGATGTGAGACAGAGGACCATCCTCATCTTTGTGTCGAAGTCGAGAGAGTCTTCCAGGCCTATAAGATGATCCCGTGTCGCCGTTGGTAGGTCCTTCAGCTGAAGCCAGAAGCTCCGAGGCGCTTGGTGCGAACCTCACAGGTCGAACACTCTCGCGGATCTCTTCGTCTTCGTCTGAATCAGCCCAAGCGTCTTCGTGGAACGACCTCTCAGGCTCAAGCACACCCTGTAAAGTTGCAAGGTCGCCCGATTTGGTTGCTTGCCATAAAGTTCTGTTGCGCCGACTGGCTTTGCGCAAACCCCCTGAATCCCTGACTAGATATGAGAGTACAGCCTCAAAGGTGCTCAATGCATAGCCCATCTCGCCACTCTCTACATCGTCTATGAAGATGAAATGTCGCATGTAAGATAGACGCGCCTGTAGGTTCTTTATCGGAGATCGTATGACGACGATGAGCAGGAGAGACACCAACGTGTCTGCATTGATGGTGAGCAGGTGGTCGTTCTTTTCTGAATAAGGCTGGCCATTCAGAAGAGGTTTTGCAGCAGTCGAAGAAGCCTCGGGCATTGTTATGTTTTTTTGTACTGCAAGAAGTATTTCCACCATCTCTTGCGGACTGCCAGCTACACCCATCTTCTTGAATATTTCGCCTGCCTTGGACAAGCGCACCGAAAGCTCGTTCTTGCCTTTCCGACCATGACCGATGTCGATGCCTACTTGCGAAATGTCGATGTCTACCATTTGCCGCATTCGCATCTCGAGCTCGGCATCGTCCGACTTTCGGATATGTTGGAGACGAGGGAACATGAATGCATGCAGCTGTTCGGTGATGTACTTTTCAATCATGCGCTCCACAATGGGACCCGTCAAATCGGTGGTTGCGCCCAGCAACGAGAGCTGTTGCTTATCGACCCCTTGAAATAGGTCTATCGCCGCGATGACCGCTGTCTCCAATGACCGTCGCATCAGATCCTCTTCATCATCGATTTCCAACGTCGAGATGAATCCATTAGGGCCTGAGATGCTGCTGTGTAACGACAAAGGTGCGCTTTCTGCAGAGGACACGGAACCTCTTCTCCGTGAGCTCAGCGAAGACGCGCGAGACGTGCTCGAAGGCGTGGGCGGGAGCGGCTTTTCCAATTCTTTCCTAAACTCGGTGAAGAGCCTGTCGAGGCCCGGCTGCATCTGCCGCGCGATCATGGGGAAATGGTTCAGCAGGTCTCCAAAGGATTTGACGTCCTTCTTCCGCGGCATAGACGCCGTGGGACCGCTGTTGGACGGGCCAGCCGGGGCATGCTTTGGCGCGCGCTCTTTAGAAGGGTCTGGCAAAGAGGCAGGGATGATTGGTGTCGCATCGTATGTTCCAATCAACGGCCGCGAGATGAAGTAGACCAGCCATGGCTGCGGCTCGAATGTGTCCGGAAAAAAGATGACGTCGTTCAGCAGCTGCGCCTGGTTCAGAGTCTTGAAGCCCTTGTTGCTGTAGACGAAGGCGTCCTTGATGATCACGGTCCTCCCGTTGGCCGTCGAATACTGCTTTGCCTTTCCACGGCTCTCTCTGAACGTGGAGCCATCCTTGACGTGGTTGTTGGGGCCCACGCCGCCTGGAACCCGCAGGACATGGCTGGCCAGGAACTCTTCGGAGCCGCTTAGGTCGGCGTACGAGGCATTCGTGTCGCGGTCGCGGGAGGTGAGGAGGACTTCGGTGGTGGGGACGAGGAGAACCTTTGCTGCGCGTTAGCTGGGGCATCCAGCAGGCGGCGGGAGGGGCGCTTACGTGGTGCTGGACGGGGGAGCACTGGCTGGGGAGAGTGCTACGGAAGAAGGCCCGCAGGAAGGGATTCAGGACCGGAGGCATTCAATCGACAGGGAAGGGACTCGCAGCGCGTTCATTGATCGCGGACCATGGGTCCTCGCAGGGCGGACCGCGCGAGTCGGTGGGGGTGAGCGCCGCGCGCGCTGTCGACGGTCGCAAACGGGTGCCTGCGTGCCTGCTGGGCAGGCGCTGCGGTCGGGCTGGCTGGCGCTGCGGTGGGCCGGGAAGCGAGCGGTGGTGCCGAGGGCGGATGGGCTGCGACGACAAAGGACTCGCGAGCTGGGGAGGAGCAGATGCGCCGGTGGGAGGTGAGTTGCAGCGGTGCGCGATGCGCGATGCGAAGCTGTTCCGGAGCGCACGTTGCTGTTCCTTGCGCTTGTGATTGCCCGCTAGTCTGCATCTGATCTGCTGGCCCGCGCAGCGTCATCGTTCGCTTCTCCACACTGTCGTCGCAACGTTCGATTCGGCACATCACGTTTCATTCCAGCAAGCTATTCACTGCTCGGGATTGGCACTATCAACGTATCGCCTCGGCTATCTGCATGGGAACGCGCAGCCACGTAGGACAAAGATGCTCACGAAACCTTCCGGCAGAGCTTCGTTCCTTGATCAAGGACATCCCAGTCCTCGGTCCCAGGCGTCGTCTTTGTGTACAAGACCCCCTTCGCATCCCACTTCTTCCGAATCTCCAACAGCCTAGGATACTTGTCGCCCCAATACGAGTGCTGCCAATTCGGCTCGTTGAGGTCGCCTTCGTTCACATACGTCGCCCCGTCAGGTCCAGCTTCCCTGAGCCGCTTTCCAACGACGTTGGTCTGGACGTCTTCCAGCTGTTTCTTCTCTTCCCACGACTCCAGGCCACTCATGATCACGTTCGTGATGACAAAGCTGCTTGACTTGCGCCACTTGTCGTTGATGGCATTGTCCGCGTAGGGAACGCCGTGGCCAGGATCAACAATGTGCCCAACCGAGAAGCCGATCCTGTCCTTGGTAGGGTTGCCGCTGGCAAAAAGGATCGCGTCCGCTACCTCGTCAGCACCGTCATCGATATCCTTGCGCGTAAACAGACGCCCCCCTACGATTGAGTTCTGATTCGGCTGTTCATCTTCGAACATGTCAATGTAGAACTCAAAGAAGGTGGGGAAAGCTCTCGTGTGTCTGTCGTGCGGGATCTTGGCTGCGTCCAACTGGTCGAACAGAGGCTTCAGCACTTCGTTGAGCTTCTTTTCATCCATCTTAGGACCAACGAGAGGAGCGATGTGCAGTCTGCCTGGTCCTGGACCCACCTCGAAGTAGACGAACATGCCGTTGTCCACGTAATGGTTCGCCAGGTTGTGGAAAATATGGAAACCCTTGTTGAAGACAGCCGAGTCGTTAGTATGGGTGCTGTTGATGTTGATGATGGTCCCTGCGGTTGGAACCTCGGGAAAGGTCTTGACTGTGATGGAGACGACGACTGCAAAGGTAGATGGACCACCCCCTTTTAGGGCCCAGAAAAGATCTGAATTTTCCTTTGCGTTGGCGGTGACGTATTCTCCGTCCACAGTCACGGCGTCGAAGGCCAGTACATTGTCAGCACCCATGCCATAAATCGACGTCAGCGGACCATGGCCCCCTCCTTGGATGTACCCTCCAGCCCATCCGACAGTCTATTTCAGTATCAGCATATAACTTTGCCTTGGTCCAAGGTTTGCTTACTGGGCACTCTCCGCCAACAATGACAACTGGTGGCTTCTGCGCAAAAGCCTGTCGGAACAACTCACGTCCTTGCACTCCCGCACCTACAACCGCAGCGCTACCAGTCCAGTTTCCGGGCCCACTATATGTCTTGAGGAAGCTCACATCCTTGAAGCTGTGGGTGTTGATGATGAGCGATCCAAAGCCTGTGGAGCGTCCCATAAAATCGTGACCAGTGTTCCTAATAATCAAACGCAGATTCCGTTCCCGTGCAAAGTCAATTCCGGCCTTGATGTGCTCCTTTGTCTTCGCCAAGACGACGTATCTACCATAAAAACCCCGAGTACAAGGAGTGCTTGGGTCATCGTTCGGCAGGCAGGTATTGTTCGTGTACAGCGGCCACAGGTTTGCAATGGGATGATCAGTCCTGCCCTATCTCAGTACCGTCATTGTGGCCAGAATTTTTCACTTACAGCCACTGTTCATTGATCCAATTCGCCTGAACCTCAGCACACGCCGCCTTGTTGTACACGCTGACCGTCGAGTTTTCAAAGCTCTTGTGGCAAGCTGCACCAGGAGGTACGGCTACCTGCAAAGCGCCGTCCACAGTCTTGTTCAAGGCGTTCCAGTCCGCATTGGTTGGCCAGCACGAGTTGTCCGAATAGCATTTGCACTGGTACGTAGCGCCACCCACCTTCTTAACCTCGCCCTTCCATGGTGCCGCAAAGGCGTAATTGACAGCAGCAAAGAGTGTAGCAAATGTAATAGTACGAGCCATCCTGACCAAGAGCTCGTAGTGCGCAGAGCCAAACAGACTGTTTACCTGCTCGCGGGTTCACGGGCACATGCGCTATTTATCGTTTGTGTCCTCCACCCATGCAATCCACCACTTGCGCCGAAGCTGTTCCTTGCAGAAGCCAAGCAAATAGATATGAAAATCGCGAATTCGTCCTACGGTAAGCAATCATAGGATCGATAGCAGTGTGTTGCAGGTATAGCTTCCACCCAGGGCTGCAGCAAACGTACGCTCGCGTTCGCGCCGAGCCATCGGGGGCATATTTTGAGCTCGGACGACAACCACAAGCGGTATGCTTTCCTGAGTTGCAGGCAGTCGCGTCCACTGAACCGGTTTACAGCGGTCATGTCCTGCTCCGGATAAATGTACGCGACAATTAAACGAGAGACTCGCCCGCTAAGCACCACAGATAGGAGCCGCAGCGGCAAGCGCTTATGCATGTGAGATTTGCTAGAGGGAGACTCGCAGGGCGTAAGGTCTGGATCTATGTGCAATATCCAGAGCGATTGGAAGCGTTGTATCTTTATTCACTGCTCGAAACGCACTCTGGGGAACTGATTAGATGAGCATCGCTTAGCACCGCCACATAGTTCCGGTAAGCATCATATGAATCGCCAATCTAGTCGATCAGGGCACGTCGGGCTGAGGAGGGGTGGAAAATACCTATAGAGTACAGAGCGCCGGACATCAGGACCTGGACCCAGGATGGCTCAATTTGCCGGTAATTCGTTCCCTGTGGGGCCTAGGACTCGTATATCTTGTGGAGAACGTCTGTCATTAATCAACATCTAAGTGGCGTCGAACGATGAGTGGCACTACCTGACTGGACTCAGCTATGCAAGAAAACCACCGCGAACAAAGTAACTTTATCATTTTTGCGGAAGCAAGGGCTTCTTTGTCACGTAGTTGTACCTTTCTTGACTCAATGGCTTTGTACGCGCACCTTACGCATTACCCCAGCGCCTGCCGTAGCTTTGCCGCTGCATTGCTGGTTAGACATTACGGAAGACCTCACAGCATGCTTGGGAGAAATTATCTACTCATCAAGCTAAGTCCACGCGCGAATTTCAAGCTGAGACAAGAGTTTGCTGGGTTCAATTTCCAGGCGCACAATCGCCATCGTAACCTGGCATAAATTCTTGCTGTACAATGGCATAGACAAATTCAATTGCACATAGTATCTTGTGCCAGTTGCGGGAATGTCAGAGATTTGGCCACTCGGTTTTTCTATAAGCTCCATCACACCCCAGCAAACATCCTTTTCAAGCTCGTTTCTGCCTCGTCAATTACACGAAGAAAAATTACTTACGATACATGACCATGAACTGCGAACCTGTCATGCAGAGCTCGGATGCAGTGGAGGTATTCCTGCCCATAACGCAGTAGGAGATGAGGATATTCCCCACAGCGCAATGTGGTGGGTAGTCAGACCTCGTCCTGGGACGAAGCTTCGGCGCCAGTGTGTGTGAACGCGATATAATGAGGTGATAGGGCTGTAGATATGATGTTTTATTTGTCTACCTTTCTTCGGAATACCACTTCGTGGTCAGTTACTGTCAACAATCAGATAACTCGTAGATGTGCTATACGTTGAGGTGCTATCCAAGAATATGATACTTGACTATATATTTTACCACATGCTAAAAAATCATTGTCTAGTGTTGGCCACCGTGCTCCGACACAAGTGTGAATGCGAGGTGCGCAGGCTTTGGGGCTGGGTGACTACATGCACGTGCACCTACGTCTTCCACGGTTAGGCTGCCCCGCGAACCACGAGTAGAAGCTTCGCGTAACTTCACCATCGGTTACCCGCGCACCCCTCCGCTCGAAGCTCTCCAGCAGCCCCATTGCTCGGCTCCCTGCGTAAACATCCTCGCTCCTGCTGCAGCCACCTTCGGATCTGAATCCAACTGCGAAACGTACCCGAATAGCTTCTATCTGCCGCCATGGTGAGTTCTACTTGCCCCGCCACGAATCAATACTCGTTGCAGCATATAACTAAGAAGATGCAGGCATCACCCGCGCAGACAAAGAAGCGCCTTGCACTCGCAATCCTCGACTTCCTCCAGACCTCGCAGACCGACGGCTCTGTTGCAGCTGAAGACGCCGAACAGCTCGAGGTCGCCGCCAATTGCATCAGCGACGCCTTCAAAGTCGACCTCTCGGACAGCGGCGCGGTCAAGGATGCCCTCGGCGACCAGAACCTCCTGGCGATATATAATGTGTACGAAAAGCTAAAGGGCAAGACGACGGCTACCACACAGGGCTCCTCCTCGGCTTCGGAAGCACGCCCCGCGACGCCGCAGACGTCGTCATCCGACAACGTAAAAGCTGGACCTGGCGGCGTGAACAAGGATGAGGCAGAGCGACTCAAGGGGCTTGGGAACGAGGCCATGAAGAAGAAGGACTACGCCTCTGCTGTCAAGCACTACTCTGCCGCTCTTGAAATCGTCCCGCTCAACCCCATATATCTATCGAACCGCGCCGCCGCACACTCGGGCGCCGGAAACCACGCCGACGCAAAGAGTGATGCCGAAATGGCCGTCGCTGCGGATCCGGGCTACTCGAAGGCTTACTCCCGACTTGGTTTTGCCAATTTCGCGCTTGGAGATGCAAAGGGCGCTATGGAGGCTTACAAGTCTGGCATGGATGCTGAAGGTGGCGGCTCAGATGTCATGCGCCGTGGCTACGAGACGGCGAAGAAGAAGTACGAAGAGGAGGGTGGCGACGTTGGCGCTGTCGAGGCGGAGGCATCACGCGGTGCACCTGGTGCAGGTGCAGGTGGAATGCCTGACCTCGCCTCGCTCGCAAGCATGCTAGGCGGGGGAGGTGGCGGCGGTGAGGGAGGTGGCATGGGTGGCCTTGCGGGTTTGATGAACAACCCAATGATCCAGCAGGCGATGCAGAGTCCCATGGTGCAGCAGATGATGCAAGACCCTAGCGCCATGGCCAATTTGATGAACAACCCTCAAATGAGGCAAATGGCTGAGCGATTTGCTGGCGGCGGTGGTGCAGGAGGAGGAGGCGGAGGAGGCGGCATGCCGGATCTCTCATCTATGATGAATGACCCTAATATTGCGGAGATGTAAGTTTCGACTATCTGCTATCCGGCGTAGAAAGACAACTGACATAGTCCAACAGGGCACGAAACTTCATGGGTGGCGCCGGGCGAGGTGGTGCTGGCCGGGGTGCTGGTGGCTCATCATGATGAGGTCCTCGCCGAAATGTCTTGCGAAAGCGGTTCGGCCGTGCATTTGCTTGAAAGTTCTGAATGATAGTATCACCACATGATTAGACGGTAATAACTATGATACCAAATGATACTCAAGCAAATGTCCTTGCTCATCATGCTCTCTAGATGAGGAGCGTATACTCAACATCAGCACAAAGTGACTTTTGAAAGGCTCTAAAGTCCCCGTGCAATATGAGACGTAAAGGGGACGACGCACGCGTTCCTTCATCGCAACCAAAACAGGCCCGACGGATTGTTCTTTCAAGTCTGCCAGGTCCTGGTACAAGCGACCATTCGATATGACCGCCTTTGATATGCAAAACGCACGCTGCTCCTCCAAGCCTTGCTTTGGTATATCTAGTACTTCAAAGGGTCTCTATTCCGCCAAGACCACAATTGCAAGCTTGCCTCGCGCCCATAACCCCCTCATCATAATGAAAGGGTCCACAGTCCATCTCCCAGATAATGCCCCGCCTCACAGGCCTGGCCCTTCTTCGTCTTCTTCATTTCCGCCGTGCCTACTTTTAGTACGCCTACCATGCACGCCATCTCTTTACCCTCGGCCTCGATCACGACCGGCGTACCTGCTTCCAGTTCTTCCTTGCCATATTTTCCCTCGGTATCTTCTGGATCTCCGGGCAAGCGACCGCCTGGCGACGTCAGGCCTGGCGCCATGAGGGTTGCGCCGGAGAGCACGAAGCGGATGGCGCCGCGGTCAATGCGCAGCCTGGGGAAGCAGTTTGGGTAGCGGTGGACGATAGCAAGGTGTGGCAAGATGGCGTCGTCCATGTGCTGGAAGAAGAGCGGAGTCGACTGCAGAGTGTAGAGGGATACGCGATCTGGTCTAAGTATGCTTGTTAGCAACGCTCCAGAAACGAAGCACTAGAGATGTGAAGAAGATGAGGGACCGAGAAGAGAGCGGGCAAGGAATCGTACAGTTTCACAAGGTCGAGTTGCTCTTTCTTGGGCATAATGTCTTCAATGTACGGCTCGAGGAGCGGGTATGTGTCCAGGACCTTCTGGCGGATGGTGCGCTGCACGGAAGACTTTACCTTCGACTTCGCGCCGGAGGTTATGCTAATTTTGTTAGCATGATGGGTCAAAGAACGGGCAGACAGTGGATACATACTCTTTCTTGAACATGGTAGCGGTTTGAGAAGATTGGGAAGCGGAGGGAGTGCTTGGAGAGAAGGCGCGTTGAAGATGCTGCGCGTTAATGAGGGGCAGCTATGAGCATGGCGGGGTACGAGTGGGCTGGCTGGTGGCGCGTGCGTGCTTTCTCTACGAGTGCTGATCCCCGCTCGCCAGATGCAAATAGATCAAAAGCATAAAGCCAACCGCACGATATTTGCAAATTCGCATGGTGCTTTGGATACTTGGGCCTGAAATGAAACATTACGAATGGTCACTGATCCCACTTGGAACAGAAAGGAAGTAGGGGTTGACCAGTGAAATGCCAACACTTATTGTAAGATCTCCTTGCTCGAAGGCTTCGTTTCTCTGTTCTTGAATATAGGTTCGCTCACCCAGGCTCGAAGTGTAGTTTAAGTTTATCTAGAATATGGCTTTAGCCAAAGAGACGTACATTATGATTCGGGATAACAAGTGTCTACTACCACATTCTTGTTTTACATGCACCACTGCTTCCCTTTCTAAAAGCTGCCTTAACTGCTTTTGTAAGCTTCGAAACTACCTCTAGTTTCCTAAAATTCTATATTCATGCTCGCAGCTGCTCGGCAACATTCACGTGTATTCGTGACGTGTGGCTGGGAGTTGAGACCAAGACGCGTGCAGCAAGCGCGTCACTGTTTAAAGACGCGTCCACCAACTCGCAACCACCTCTTTCTGATAGCAAGGCTACTTCTCAAGAACCTTCTACTAAACCTACCATTGGTAGAGGCAGACCGAGGAAAATCGCCGCTTCTGAGCCAACTTCGCTGACTCCAAGAACGCCTGGCCGGGGTAGAGGACGCCCGAAGAAGGATGTGACGACAGCTGCGAGCTCGAAGGCCATTGGAGGTGCAAGAGGTTGTCCCAAGAAAGTCCCTATTTCAAGCGCAACTACAACGGCACCTGGAATACCTGGCCGAGGTCCAGGTCGATTGAAGAAAGATAATACAACAGCTAAAAGTTCCAAGGCTGTCGGACGTGGAAACGGCCACCAAAAAAGGACACGACTCTAGCTACGCCTGCCAAAAGTGGCCGCCCGAAAAAAGACACGAGCACAGCACAGGCTCAGTCCAGCCCTAAGACCGGTCGAGGTAGAGGTCGCCCAAAGAAAGCCAGGGATGTTTCGACCGTGGCAGCTGCGCCCACCACACCTGCACATTTTATCGTCACTTCCGACATTGAGGAGGAAGAGGAAGACGCGGCAGTATTAGATGGCCTGAGTGACGGACCTATCGACCCCAGCAGCCCTGGTGTCCTCCAATCTAAGCTATGAAGAGGGCATCACTCCACCTCCCCGGTTGTGTGCCTTTTGAAAGCGCAATAGTATCATGTCGTGTATTGTATCGAACATGCGTCCAGCTTCCCAGATTATAGCATATCCTGTTGATGAATACGGGAAGAGGAGAACTGGGGATGGACAGGGAACCCAAGAGCCATGCCGCGGTCAATTTGCGCCGAGGCTCCAGTATTCATGGAAACTTTCAATCAGGTAGCGCTTATAGAACAAAGCACATTCTATAGAGGACGAGTCAGAGTTTCATCAGCTCAGGACAGCAGGAGGGTCAGAAAACTTGATGTAATCGATGGGAGAAAGTCAACCCATGTCACCCTCATGAGTCAGAACGCACTTATCTTCATATTTCATCTTGAGGATAGCCGACGCGTCTTGTTCATTGCGAGAGTTCGTAGCTTCGTTGTTGCTGCTTGCGAGGTATACAACCCGAAAGTTCTGATAGCCGAGTGGAGCGGCCAAGTGGAGCCTGGCGTTCCACATGCCAATCAAGTTCGCACCGATTATATCCGCAAGTAGCCTCATAAAATATGGCGTGGAGGGGCCCTGCTTTAGATGCCCAGTTTTAATAGGGTATATATTTGTTCCCAATAGCCTGCTCCTCATCAATCAGGTGATTGCGACTCACCAACGAATACCACGGTGGTATGGTCTAGTGGTATGACGTCGCGTTGTGGAAACACATGATAATTCCGCGCCAGCCTGGGGTAGGTTGGCCCTCTCCTTGAGAGGATCTTATCAACGCATCAAACAAGTACTGACTGTAGTAACAGTTCGATTCCCAGTACCGCCAGCAGCTGTGAAGCTTTCTTTTTTGCTGATTTCTCGAATTAGACTAAGCGAGAAATCTTTTTGTTGGGTGGGGTTCGGCGAATCGTTTCAAGGTTAGCACAGCGAGCGCTAGTGGACACCATTGGGAGACGGTGAATGCGGCATCGGGCCGATGTGGTTCCGTCTCCGCGTCTAACTTTTTGTTGCCGCCGACCAAGTCAGGTTTGTGTTCATCACTGCGCATACAAACAGTATGGCTGAATCCGACGCGAAAGCGTCGCAAGCCCCCAATCCATCGCAGAATGCCGCGAAGCCGCCAAAGCCTCCGAACCCTGTGTGGAGGATGATGGGTGCGCCTCCGTCTTGCTATTCACATCTGCCTCCCCTTGCTAATGAGTACAGGTTTGCCCAACTTCCGCTGGAAGCTTCCCTCGCGGAATTGGATGATTTTCCTCTCCATCACTGGCTCGTGGACGGCCGCTGTTGTTTACGACCGTCGTGAGAAGAAGCGCATACAGCAGAAATGGACGAAGATGGTCGAACACATCGCGAAAGAATCGGTGAACGAGCGCCAGATGCCGCGCAAGCTTACCATATATCTCTCGGCTCCGCCGGCTGATGGACTAGTAGCTGCGCGCGACCACTTCAATGAGTACGTGAAGCCAATACTGGTCGCGGCGGCACTGGACTGGGATGCGGTAGAGGGAAGAAGAGAGGGCGATGTCAGAGCAGGGCTGGCGGAGAGGATACGCAGGCTGAGGTGGAAGAGAGGGGAGACCATCAAGGATGAGCCTGAGCTTGACACAAAGGACATCGTGGAGGATTTGAGGCTGAGGGCCGGTGTTCCAGAGTGGAATGGGCCAGCGGGTGACATAGTGATTGGGAGACATACCTGGAAAGAGTACATTAGAGGGATGCATGAGGGATGGCTCGGGCCACTAGATCCCCCCGCTTCTGTGGACCTATACGAACCCGCACCGCCTGCGCCTGAAGCTCCGCCAGCTATCACATCTGAAAAAGTCCAGGAACAGCCTACACCAATGGCTCCAGCCGACGATGCGTCCCCTATCACTGTCCACGAAACACCAGCACCCTCTGAAGCCGAACCGCCTAAGGAAGAGACAAAGCCGAAGAAGAAGAAGCAGCCTCCGCCGTTCATCACAACTGCCGAATATTCACAGGCACAGCTTCCTCCAACCTGCCCGCAAGCCCTTGGGCCTAGTGCGACTATCGCACTTCCACACCTGCTCGGTTTCTTCAACTTTCCAATACGCATGTATCGTTTTCTCAACCGACGGAAGGTTGCAGACGATGCCGGGCGCGAAGTCGTTTCCGCCGTGCTTGCTTCCTACAGACCATATGACACCACTGCTTCCGAGCTAGCCAGCAGCGACGAATACCAAGGCGCGCAATGGGAACAACAGCGCTTGCTTACACATGAAGAGCCTGAGTGGCACAAGACGGCGAAGGAAAGAAAAGAGGGCGAAGGAGAGAGGGTTTGGTTGGATGATATGGTCATTGATCCGAGAATCGGAGAGCGAATGAGAAAGTTTCAGCTAAGTGCAGACGAAGAAGACAGGGCGAACAACATACCCGTCGGAAAAGAAGGAGCTTCGTGGTTTACCGGGCTGTGGCCGAAGAGAGAGAAACAGCCATGGGAGGGACTGGAAGATGAATCGAACTAAGTGGGAATGACGCGAAGAGTGAACCGCGTTGTACATTTAGGTTGATGTGTTTGTATAAGTATGTTTGTAGCATAGCACGACAGAGCATGGGCATGGCGCATCATTGTATACATATGTGTTACACTCCACCTTCATGGTACCAAAAACTGAGGATCAGCACAGCTTGATGTAGGTACATACACAACCACGGTGAAGACAGTGTTACACTCGTTGAGGATCTATTGTCCAACTGGGCAAAATAGTACCCTAGGTCTGCCCATCGCTGCACAATAGAGGCATATGAAGTGTGGTGAACAGGGCCGATTGGTGTCTTGCTTTTGGCCAGGACAGCACGTGAGTTCGTGTTTCCCGAGGCCCACAAGGCTTGATGTGTTCACCTTCTTACTGGGTATAGTCATACAGAACAACGGCAAAGGGCACCAACGAGTCGAGTCGCGTTATTTCTTGTTGAAGCGCAAGTCGTCGCCCAGCTAAAGCGTGAGCAAGTCAAATATAGGTCCATAATCACGAAGGACTGACCTATGTTGTGCCTGGTCCGCTTAATCTGAAACGCCAGCGCAGCCTGAAATACGACAGGACCAGCGCACATGCTCATTCCATGTCTCCAAAACGAGACACACTTCTTGATTGGCCGCAGAGGGATCGCCGGTGTTCGCGTAGATCAACTATGTGAGTGGCAAGCGGTGATGCCGTGGTACCGTGAAGGGGCTCAGCGCAAGCTCGCGAAATACTAGCAGCGCGAGGCAGCAGCCGTGCCTTGTACCTACTCTGCACGTTGTCGCCGTTCTTTCCAGTAATTTTATTCATTTCCCGGCCTCTGCCAGCGCCATGTGGTTCTCAGCAACCGTACTGGTGGTTAATTTCGTTGTTGGAGCTGTCGCGCACGGGCGAGGCGGGTGGGACTGGGTCCATGGGCTGCCAAGCTGTTGGGAGGACTGTCTGGACAACAGTGGATGCGACTCCAAGAGCTGTCAGTCCGCTTCGATCGTTCTTGTCACACACGTACTGATGCTATCTTAGGCATATGCGAGTCTAGCCAGGATGGCGATTACCTGACCAGTGCAGTCGAATGCGCGGTGCGGTCCTGCAACGCAGATGGATTGAATGTCGCTCTAAGCTTCCTTGCACCTCTGCAGATGTACTGCAAAGCCACTCGAAACGAGATCCCCGACGAGATCATGAGCAGCGCGTACTCGTGCGCAACTGCCACGTCCACATCGGCGACTCCAACCACAACGCGCAAGGACGAACACTCCACCCAAGCTCCCAAAACCTCGAAAGACGCGGGCAGTGGGCTGGAGAGCACCATTACAAGCACTATAACGGTGACAACGACCGATGAGAGTGGGAGCACGTTGCAAGTACTCATTCCGATTGTCATGGGCCCCAGCACCATGACTACGGGCGAGATGATAACTTCGACGCTTGACAGCAAGCCGACCGCCAGTCCTGCTGCGACCTCGAATGCTGAGGCCGCAGGGTCGACCGCCGCGGTGCCGGTGCCGGCGCCGTCGCAACCGCAGGAATCGCCAGCTTCCTCTGCCACAGCAAAAGCAACCAGCATCGGCAACGGGAGCCCCTTCGATCTCTCTGTGCAGGGCGGATCAGCGCCTTTGGGCTTTTCGGCATCCTTCGTCGGGTTTGGTATACTGTTTGGAGCTCTTGCCAGGATATAGAAACCTGCGAGACGCGCCTGTACATGTGTATAATATAATAATGGGTGTGCGGTGGGTATTACTCTGCGGAAGATACCACAGGAGTGTGAAGGCCTTGAACTGCCAACTGGACGTCCGGAACGTAAAGCGATAAATACACGAGAATAATGCCATATCTATACTGTTCACAGTGTTTCGTCATGGTGAGTCGTGTCGGTCGCTCCGAGTCGCGTGTTCTTTTCTACTTGAAATGCGGATACCGCACAAGTAGTCGATACTTTTCCCACATGTTCACATCCTATCGCATGAACCGAGGTTCCTCGAGAAGAGCATCTCTTGGCGCTGCCTCTCTTGCTCGAACAAGAACACTTTGCGACGCGCTCGGCCGAGTTATGCGACCGTTTTTCACAGTCGCCTATGATGCGGCTCTGCGCCGAGGCTGAGCTAAGTTAGGGCACTAAGCCAATCACCGATTGCAACTTACACCGAGGCAGCACGCCACGCATCATCATCGTTTCAACAAGGCCGACCAGCTCGGAGTCGGCGAAGCGGCTCAATCCACTCCACCGTACATTGCTCGTGCTTAGTTTCGCGAATAGGAGAGACTTGGGGTCATTGTGCATAGGGCTCCGACGCATCGCACCATAAAGATACTGACTGCCCGGCCACCTTTCTGAGCAACACACCTTGACAAGCACATCGCAACGAATTCATTGCAACGAACAAAGAGCAACGGGCAACGAGCATATTTCTTCTTTTGAACTACACATCCTTGGTGACAGCGTATTCATACAATGGAGTACGAGCCATTGCCGGGGCCGCCCGGGTTGCCCATCATAGGCAACCTTGGAGATATCGACGCCGAAAATCCCATGCAGAGCTTTATCCGCCTCTCCGACACATATGGTGAAATCTGGAAGTTCCATCTCGCGGGTGAGCTAGATTCCTCCCTTTCATATATATCGATCGTCTAATTGTAGTATAGGTGAAAGAATCGTAATTGCGTCCCAGGCTTTAATGAATGAAATCTCCGATGAAACCCGGTTTTCAAAGATCATAGCTGCCAGCCTCAACGAGGTCCGAAATGTACGAGACTCCCCAGTACGAAGTCACTATGTCTAAGGCATAGACACTTCGTATCTGGCCCGGCCGACGTGACTGGGCTGACTATTTACCCGCGAATATAGGGAACTCATGATGGGCTGTTCACAGCTAAAGGACCTGAAGAGAAAAACTGGGGAATTGCCCACCGAGTCCTCCTCCCAGCGCTTGGTCCCTTAGCGATTCGGAACATGTTCGATGAGATGCACGATATAGCAAGCCAACTCGTCATGAAATGGGCGCGCCAAGGACCCGAGCAATTGATACAAGTAACGGATGATTTCACGCGTCTCACATTGGGTAATTCTCCCAAGCACGAAACGGATATGTTCGGTAGCAAAGTGAAAGATAGGCCTCTTATCAACATGCTTAAGACATAAGGAAAGAGGCTTTTCTTCGCTCGGAGAAGACATGAGCAAAGTACTACCCTAACTCTGGCAAGATGTACACTGACTTGATACCTCGGGGTCTGGCAGACACGATCGCATTGTGCGCTATGGATTACCGCTTCAACTCCTACTATTCAGAGCATATGCACCCCTTCATCCAAGCTATGGCTGATTTCCTGAAGGTCAGCGGAGATCGCGCTCGCCGTGATCCCATAACTCAGATGTTCTACCGCTCTGAGACCGCGCAGTACTGGGAAAATGTTCAGTTGCTTCGCAAAGTAAGCCAGGAGGTCATAGACAAGCGGAAACAGAATCCGACCCAAAAGAAGGATCTACTGAACGGCATGCTGAATGGTGTGGATCCAAAAACTGGCGAAAAGATGAACGAAGAAAGCATCATCGATAACATGATTACATTCCTTATAGTGAGATACTCCCCGGCTAAATGTCGCCATATAATGCACATGGACGCTTTGTACATGGACTTACTTTCGAGACCCAGCTGACTTTGTTTACGCGAGCATAGGCAGGTCATGAAACCACATCTGGTCTTCTATCGTTCACCTTTTACTACTTGCTGAAGAGCCCAAAATCTTATGAGAAAGCGCAAAAAGAGGTTGACGAGGTCATTGGGAAGAATCCTATCACGGTCGATCACCTCACCAAATTGCCGTATCTGAACGCTGTCCTCCGCGAATCGATCCGTTTGCAACCTACGGCCCCTGCTATCGGTCTCCAAGCCAAGGAAGACACGACATTGGGTGGCAAGTACGAGTGTAAGAAGGGCGTTCCAATTGTTGCAGTATTGCCAAAAGTCCACCGCGATCCCATCGTTTATGGAGAAGATGCCGAGGAGTTCCGTCCTGAGCGCATGCTAGATGAAGAGTTCGAGCGCCGCAACAACAAGTTTCCTAATTGTTGGAAGCCTTTTGGGAACGGGATGAGAGCATGCATAGGAAGGCCATTCGCATGGCAAGAGGCTCTGCTAGGTTGGCTGCCCTCAGTATCAACATCATGCGCTTTACTCACACCCAACTATTAGTGCTGGCGATACTGCTACAAAACTTCAACTTCACTATGGAAGACCCTTCGTACCAACTTGAGATAAAGCAGACTCTGACCATCAAGGTAAGTTTTCTGCCTGTGTAACGACACATACTCATCTGATGGACTTTTTTCCATGCTGACAACATTAACAATGCAGCCGAAGGGCTTCTACATGCGAGCGCACTTGCGTAACCACATGAGCCCCACTACGTTGGAGCGTGCACTTGCGTCGACGTCAATCAGCGAGCATGCAGGTGAGAAGAAAGCTCAGGGCTCAAAGAAGAAGGCGGCTCAGGGCAAGCCAATGGCCGTGTACTATGGCTCAAACACTGGGACGTGTGAAGCACTGGCAAACCGACTTGCTAGTGATGCTCCAAATCACGGATTCAGCGCGGTAGTTGACACGCTGGACGCCGTGAAAGAGAACTTACCAAAGGACAGGCCAATCGCTATCATCACGGCGTCTTATGAAGGGCAACCCGCAGATAATGCCGCTCACTTTGTTGCCTGGCTCAACAATTTAACAGGTTCCGAGCTGACCGATGTACAATACTCTGTATTTGGGTGTGGTCATCGGGACTGGGCGAGCACATTCCACAAAATCCCGAAAGCTTTGGACAAAGCCATCGAAGAGCGCGGTGGAACGAGAATCGCTGATATTGGGACCGCCGACGCTTCAAAGGGTGATATCTTCACCGAGTTCGAGGCTTGGGAAGAGAAGGTCTTCTGGCCGGCCGTAAAAGAACGCTACGGCGCCTCAGACTCTTCCGAGTTCACTCCATTCGAGGCCAACTTTGAGATTGAGGTGTCTACCCCACGATCATCAATGCTTCGACAAGATGTCCGAGAAGCACGGGTTGAAGCCGTAGAAGTGCTCAGTGCACCTGGTACACCAGGGAAGCGTCACATCGAGATCAGCCTGCCCTCTGGAACGAGCTATTCTGCAGGAGATTATCTTGCGATACTTCCGCTGAACCCGAAAGAGAATATCGCTCGCGCCATGAGATACTTCGGCTTGCCTTGGGACAGTATGCTGACCATCACCTCTTCAAGTCCTACCACGCTCCCAGTCGATGTTCCCATCTCAGCAATTGACGTCCTCGGCGCCTATGTGGAGCTTGCACAGCCGGCAACGAAACGCGACATCACCGCCCTGGTTGAAGTCGCTTCTGACGAAGCCGCAAAAAGCGAACTTGTACGTCTTGCCACGGACGACTTCACCGCCGAGATAACCGAGAAGCGCGTATCCGTACTTGATCTTCTGGAACGATTCCCGTCAGTATCTTTGCCACTTGGCCCTTTCCTGAAAATGCTGCCTCCCATGCGTGTGCGTCAATATTCCATCTCATCGAGTCCACTTTGGAATCCCAATAACGTCACCCTTACGTATGCGGTTGTTGACCAGCCTGCATACTCTGGCCAAGGCCGTTTCGTAGGTGTCGCCACCAACTACCTCTCCAGCTTAGCTGTGGGCGACAAACTCCATGTCGCAGTGAGGAGCTCGCACCAAGCATTCCATCTGCCAAAGGATGGAAAGAATGTGCCAGTCATTATGATTGCCGCAGGAACTGGTACGTTCAGCTGCGATACAGTGTGGTGAAGCATGTGCTAATATATCTGTGTCTAGGCTTGGCTCCTTTCAGGGGATTTATTCAAGAGCGCGCCGCACAAATTGCCGCCGGACGTACCCTTGCGCCCGCTGTGCTGTTCTATGGCTGCCGCGACCCCAGCAATGATCTTCTCTACCCAGACCTACTCTCGCGCTGGGAGAAGCTTGGCGCTGTCTCACTCCGCTACGCATTTTCTCGTGCTCCCTCCTCCTCCGAAGGCTGCAAGTACGTCCAGGACCGCCTTTACCACGATTCTAAAGAAGTCGTTGAGCTTTTTGACGCTGGGGCAAAACTTTTTGTTTGCGGGAGTCGTGAAGTGGGCAAAGGCGTTGAGGACGTTTGTCTGAAGATCGCGAGGGAGGAGAGGGTGAGGAAGAAGGGCGAAGATGTGGATGAAGGACGGTTGAGGGAATGGTTTGAGGGTCTGAGAAATGAGAGGTTCGCTACTGACGTTTTTGCTTAGGCGGGCGTGGAATATACATTGTTAGCTTCGTAATGAACACAGGAGGCGTGCAGCCTTCATGCGGACCTCTAGGGTGGACTGAATGATGATTGCGGAGTTTACTAAAGTCGTCAAGCGAAATGCTTCTTTGGAGAGGATGTGCTCGTCCTTCGAGCGTCTTTGCAAAGCGCAATCCTCACACCACTTGCTCCCATGTCGCAGATTCCCCACGAACTGAAGCTGGAGAGCATAGAGAGGGTGCTTGGCTTATTGCCATACCACCGTGTGGCCTTGCTAACATGTACAACCAACGCAGATTGCAGACGCTTCAGACTTACAAGCTCTATGTCTCATATCTACCAAAAAGAAGATTGAAGGTTCAGGTGGCGTCCTATCACGACGAGGTAGTATGAGTAAAGGTCGTTTGTGTGTACTACGTTTGACATATAAGAATCAGTATGAGAGCATTGTCTTTTTTAGTCGGTGTCGCATACATCTCACTATCTTCCTGCTACAGTTGTTGCAGCACGCAAGTTGTGCTATTGTGCATCCTTAGCCCGCAACCTACATTGTATTGTTGGTGTATTGCAAGTGCGTTGCAGGAAGCTGTAATTATTCTGTAAGATAGTCTGTGGATACACGAGCATCTATTAGCTCTTTTTTTTATTTCTCAAAAACAACATGCATAAGCTTGGGAACGCTCTCTATTACAATCAATATACGTGTAGTAGTCCCGAAAGGATCACAATGTGGTACAGAATCTATGAGCTCAACATGAGATGTGTCTGCGTGTATACTCAAACCTTCGCGTTTAGAGTTTGAAGGGTTCCATTAATCGCGGGCTTAGAGTTGTTTACGACGCAATGATGTTCAGCAGTGCTAGCCCTGCGATTGTATCACAGGGAAACTTACGAAGATGCGGGCAGCTTCAAACAATTCGAAGTGTTCGACTAGTGAGCTGCAGACAGCGAAATAGAATGTCGGCCTAGTCGATGGTGCAAACTTTGCTGTGTCTGAAACGTGGTCGAAATCAAATCTAGATCGCATTGACCTCGCCATTCTTTCTTGTTATTTCGATGACATCGCATACTGACCCTACCCTTACCAAGTTGGTCTGGCCGGACCCTTTTCCGCTCATCCGCCAACTGCGCCACTAGCCCGCCTTGAACAGCCACTTCGCCCATGCGCAAACTCTAATGTGAAGCATAGGTATTTCTTAGTGGTCTGGTGCGAGCTCCACATAATTAGTTTGCAGCTATCAGTTCGTGATAGCTCAAAGTGAGGAATGGCGGTGTCTGGCTCAGATCGTACTCAGGTAATTCCTGTTCTTCACGTCCATGTTTGATTTGTATGTTAAATCAACACGTACGGAAAGACCATTTAGTCAGACGACTCAGTTTTGGAGCAGAGCAATTCATGGTATGATTGGACCCGTTGTAGGTAATGCCAGCTGTACCCATTGATGCGGCACCAATGCCGCTGTCCCCATCGAGAGACAATCAAGCAACATTGGGTCTCTCCCCGCGCCATGCAGACAATCGTACGGTTTACGCAGGAGAGCCGCCTCGGGATCGAACCATATTTACAATACTGTCCCTTTTTTGTATCATGGTATTATCACTACTGCTGGGTATGTAACTACGATGAAGCATCCGAAGACCTACGTTGCTGATGATTTACAGGCTCCCGGTTCAGTCGGTTGCAGCGCAATGCCATCATGAAACGGAACCTCACATCAATGCTTGTCCTGGTTATGTACATTGCTGTCTTGTCCTTCATTATCTGCTCTGCAGTCATGCTGGCAGGCCAAGGATTGTACAACTACGGGTTGTGTTTCGGTGCCACATGGATTTGCTTGATTCTGTACACCGTTGCGAAGTTTGTCATGTCAGTGCATTGCAGTATTGCATCAAGGACCCGAGTATATTGCCCACCCTATATACGGAAGGCTTTGATGAGAATCTCCCGCCAGAATGAGTTGCCTGATGCTGACAATTGCAGATACGTGTTTCTCGTCGAGCGCATCCATGTCGTTCGCGCGCCCTTCGTCCGTCGCAGTCGCGATTGGCTATACCTATCATGCTTGGTTCTGATGTCGGTATCCTTCCTAGCTGTCGCCATCAATGCGTACCTGTCGCCAATAATTACCATGGAAGCGGACGTTGGACGCTGCCATATGGGCATACCTGGGAAGGCTTCGATTCCGTTCATGTCAGTTGACATCGTTGTCGATGTCGCCTTGACAGGTGTCTTCGTCTACCTTCTACGCCCAGCTGTCAAGATGCATGGACTCAACAAAATGAATCATGTGTTTAAGGTCCCCAAGTCACAAATGCTCGGTGTGGCGAAAGAGCTTCATGACACTACGGTTCGGAAGAACATCAGAACACTGCTCTGGAAGAGTCTCATCGGGAGTTTGCTCATTATGATTCCCACCGTCGCGAATATGATCCAATTCTATGTCATGCATGGAAGGGAATTGGCGCTGGTATGCCTTGCGCTATGCACCATAGACGGTAAGTGAAACTGTCTATTGGATATACAAATGCTGGCAGGCGGCTGACGATCCGAAGTAAGTTGGGATGCAGTGGTTATTCACTGGCTCACATTTGGGTCAGCGGAGCAAGAGAGAAGCTTGTCACGGGCTACAAAGTCTTCGGACTTGCCTTTGAAGAACAGAGCAGCATCAGACTCAGTAGATCGTTGCCGCGGCTGTCGAACGGATAAGGCTGCTCTAGCTGCAGCAGTTATTTCGACGGTCGCGACACCCCTTGAAGAGCCGGGAAGAGTTCACTCCACACCCTCCACCCCTCATACACTGTCGTTTGAATATCAGCGAGAGGCCGCGTCCAGCGACTCTATACTACCTGGACGGCATGGCTGAGTCTGATTTGGTGAAGCATAGTGCTCTTGCTGTAGATGAATAAAGAGTGCGGAAGTTACAGATACGTTCGACTATCAGCAGCACCAAGCTGGCGTGGAATCGATCGCCGACGAAGAGGCGGCAGTCGACATCTGAGCTGGAGTCAATGGCGATGTTGATGGAACAGGCAGAACCCAGATGGCAGGCTCTCGCGCAGGGTGACTCTGGACATATGGAACATAGAGACGATCAAAATCCCCCTTGGATCACAGCCGAAACAAACAGAGGACAAAGTTTGGGACTTGTCGGCAGCCGTAGCTGCAGTATACCTTGACTATCGTGTGTTAGTGTGCACTTGGGTGATCTAGGGCACAGGTAGGTTTCCAGGGCGCGCCCAACGACGTCACGCTTATGTGCCGAGCCGGGCCCGCCGGGAGGGGCCCAAGCTCCCGCGGTGCTGCTAAAGGCGTGCGCCTGTTCGCAACCCACACGCGCTGGAGCATGCGACGGTGACGAAGACCGAGTAAAAGGCGAACACGGAACGGCCACACAAAGAGAGCAAGGATGCGCATGCCGTCGCGGAAAGAGGTGGACAAGGGCAGGAAAGAAAGATAATAGAGAAACGGACAGGACAGGAAAGCACAGGACCAGCGATGGCGCTGCCGCTCCCGCCCAACTCGCACCTGCAGGCGGTGCTCCTGGTGACCAAGTCGCGGTCGCTGGGCCCGCGGCTCGTCTTCCACTACCCACCCATCTCGCCGTCGGCAGCCGCGCTGCTGGCGACCAAGGCGCCCGCGTGGTTCGGCAACGACACGACGACGGCCAGCCTCGACGAGTCGACGGCGTCGAGCAGCGACTGGGACAGCAGCACCGAGGCCGACGGCGCCGACGACGACTGCGAGGCGGGCAGCAGGGCCAGCGCGGGGCGCGCATCGGGGCGCACAGGCGCAAGCGCGAGCCACCGCGACAGGGAGAAGGCGCGCCCGGCTGCGGGCGCCTGGGGAAGGCAGGAAAGCTTCGACGAGGACGACGGCGACCAGCCGCCCGCCGGCGGCAGCGGCCGCCGCGCGCAGCCCGACAAGGACGGCAAGCATGCGGGCGGCGACCGCGACTGGGACACGGTGCTGGGCTTCAAGGTCGACGCCCTCGAGAAGATGCTGTGCCCGACCAAGGCCTTCAACAAGCGCCGCTTCGAGCTCGGCGTCGAGAGCGTCGTCTTCGTCGGCGCCCCCATGTTTGTGCGCGACGACGGCCTCTGGAAGAAGCGCAAGAAGCGCCGGAAGCCCTCGCCCGACGGCCTGCTCGAGGGCGACGTGCTAGCCCACCTCACCACCGGTGCCGACGACCACCGCGACGCGAAGCCAGCGAAGAAGGACATCTTTGTGCTCCCTCCGGGCTTCGAGGCCGGCTATGGCCACGACATGGACTCTGCAGTGCCCTCGCCCGCCGCCTCCGACTTCGGCTCCGACGTCAAGAGCGACTCCACCACCAACAACACGCCCGACATGTCCATGTTCAACGTCGTCTTTGTGCTCAATCCCCCGGCTTTGGAACATCAGATGCGCGTCAAGGACATGTACGACAACGTGACCAAGAAGTACGCAAAGGCGCTCAAGTATGAAGAGGCGCGCTTCCAGTATGTGTGGAAGGAGTCGAAGCGCATCATCGACATCAAGCAGCGCGCAAAGGAGAACGGCGAGTCCTTGACAGCCACGTGGAAAAACATTGTCAGCACCTCGCCCTTGGCAAAGTCCCTCGCGACCATGTTCGACGCCATTTCATCCGACAAGATTGCCCACATCCACTTTGACGCCAGTTTCAACACGTCCTTCCAAGTCCCGCAGGCAGACTCGACACCGTACCTCCCAAATGCAATGGAGCCGCAGATGCCCGGTCTATGGCTCACGACCTCAAATGTGGTGGTCGACGACGACCACGACGCCCCCATGACCCAGCATGCCGCCTTGTTACTCCTGCAGGATCCCGAGGTCATTCTCAAAGACCTCCAGGGCGAGAAAGCGAATGCTGCAGCTCTTTCGTTCTATATTCGCACCATTGTGCCCACCAAGTCACTGCTCAAAATCTCAATCAAACACAACATCCTCGCACAGGATATGGAATACATAGCCAGCCACTTGGTATACTGGCGTCGCGCTCGACTGATTACCCCCTTGCACCCACGAGATACCTACATCGTTTCGCCCAATGCTGACTTGTCCAACCTACAAGCTGCGATGGTCGCTTATGCACAACGCTTCCCTACTCTCCCTAGCTTACCCAAAATGCTCAGCTTGTTGTCGCAAAAGCCCAAAGAGTATCGATACTTGATACCCACGGCTGAGCATCGGGACGCTTACATGGACATCCTCGCATGGCTCATGCGCGGCGGTTGGGTCACCCAGCTCCGCACCTTTGCCTGGGTGCGTGTCAGCCCCGACATCAAAGCTCAAGTCGCAGCCGACATGGAACGTGAAGAGCGCCTGAAGAAAGACCAACAGGACAACGAATCTCTTGCCGGCTCACTGCGTTCGGACAAACGGTCAAGCTTTTTGTCGACTGGCACAGTGGTGGGAGGACCACGGCCAGGAACACCTCTTCGTAGGACCCGTCGCGACATAGAGGGGGATGAGGAGATGGACGCCAGTACGATCCTTAGTCCGCGTATGGCAGCCACCAGCAGCGGCCCAGGCTGGAGAGGTAGCCCCGCCCGCGCATCCAGCGACACTGGAAGCACTAGCTCTGCGCGCACAACCATACCATATAACGCAATCGGCCGTCCTACGTCCCCGTTACAGCTTTCTTCTCCCCTCCCACCATCGACCACAAAACCACCCCATCGGCCATCTCCTCTGCATCTGAAGTCACCCTCGCCTTCGCGTCCGCCACCATTTTCACCAACTTCGCCGACACACATCGCCAATCAGCCTCCGCTCTCTCCACCGCCCGTATCAGAGCACTTCACAGCCTCATTGATACTCAGTCCGCAACGAGCTAACGCCGTTGAGGCAAGATGGCTAGAAGCTATTGGTAAGAGTTTCACAGATGCAGACCTAAGGGCGCACTGGAGCACACTTTTGAAGTACTTTGATGGGAAGCATGCCATTGAGGATATCAGCCCGAGGGAGGGCTTTAAGAGAAAGAGGGTAAGTGCGATGATGCAGGGCATTCGGGAAGGCGGATGGTTAGCTGTTGTGCGACATTGGTAGGCTGTACTGGCGGAATTTTGGTTGATTCTAGATACCCGCATTTCCTGCTGTCGGTGTTGTGTTTCGCGTTGTTGATCATACGTAGTTGTAAACGAAAGCAAGCTAGCTGGTGAGAATAGCCTCGGTACATCATTGCTACTGCCATGTCAGGCTTAGCCCTGCTCGAAAACGCAATAATCTTACAAATCAAAGTGGAACAGGGCAGCAACTGCCAGTACAATTTTATGTCTGAGTGGGATCTTTGTATGCAATTCGGTACATCGCCTTGGTGCACCTGAGAGACAATCACTGTACAACGAATCCAACGGCTGTGCGCGCTTCAATTTCAGGGTCCCTTCAACGCAACAACACCATGTCCTTTACACGCGAAAATCATAATAACCCAGGCGTGAAGGGCCTTCCGTACTTCACGCCCGATCATGCCGTGTCGCCTGGTAAGTCTCTTCGCAAAATTATGCTAGAGTGGGATAGGCAGCCTCAACTTTCGATACAATTCATCACTGAGCTGACGTCGGATTCCGTTTTTCAGGTACACCAAGCGCAAAGAATACAGGCCCAGTGCCAACACTCTTCAAGCCTCTATCCATTCGGGGATCCACTTTACGGAACCGCATCTTGGTCGCGCCTATGTGCCAGTACTCGACCGCTGCATTTGGGCCAGAGACGGGAAGTCTTACTGACTACCACATCGCCACATTGGGGCATTATGCTCTGAAAGGCGCAGCCCTTATCTTCATCGAGGCCACAGGTGTTCAGCCCAATGGTCGAATATCACCGAACTGCCCAGGGCTATGGTCTGATGCGCAAATCCCTGCGTTGAGAAGGGTCAGCGACTTCATCAAGAGCCAGGGTGCCCTGAGTGGTATCCAGCTCGCACATGCCGGCCGCAAAGGGAGCACAGCAGCTCCCTGGACGACCTCCTCTAAGCCTGGTTCTAAGGTCAGTGCCAGAGCTGGAGCGGACGTCGGGGGATGGCCTAAAGACGTCGTGGGGCCCATGGGTGGGGAGGAGTGGACGTGGGATGGAAAGCCGAGCACGGATCCGTCAGGTGGATTTTGGGCGCCACGAGGGTTGACCGAGGAGGACATCTCACAGCTGGTACAAGACTGGGCGAGTGCGGCAGAAAGAGCTGTCAAAGCTGGAGTGGATGTCATCGAGATCCACGGTGCGCATGGATATCTCGTGCACCAGTTCCTGTCCCCAATCTCCAACAGGAGAACGGACAAGTACGGGGGCGGCTTTGAGGGCAGGACGCGCCTGTTGATCGAAATCATTACGGCGATAAGAAAGGTCATCCCAGAAACGATGCCCCTCTTCCTCCGCATAAGCGCCACAGAGTGGCACGAGACTAGCGAACTGGGTAAGCAGCACGGTAGCTGGGACGTCGAAAGCTCCATTCGCCTGGCGAAACTGCTTCCAGAACTCGGAGTGGATCTCCTCGACGTGAGCAGTGCAGGCAACAACCCTCAAGCAAAGATTCCCATGCACAACAATTACCAGGTGGCGATTGCAGACCGAATTCGCGCTGCTGTCAAAGCTGATGGCAAGAAGCTTCTCATCGGCGCGGTTGGCCTCATAACGGAAGCGGAACAGGCTCGCGACATCCTCGAAGAGGGCGGTGCCAGCCGCGCCGGCAATGGTGCGGATGGAGGAGATGCGGATATTGATAGAGAGGTGAAAGCTGCAGTGCAGATGACGGAATCCGAGGGCGGAGGGGCCCCCAAAGCTGATGTGATTTTGGTTGCCAGGCAGTTTATGCGCGAGCCGGAGTGGGTATTGCGAGTGGCCCACAAGCTTGGGGTGGACATCGCGTGGCCGAGCCAATTTCTTCGTGTGAGATTCCCGAAACTCTAAGACACATTCCAACCAGTAGTTTGATCTAGCAAAATGCTATGAGAAGCAGACCCATTCGGTCTTGAAGTCCTCTGCGTTGTCTTTGGCGTCCGCGGTTCTCCACAGCTGTTCACCACCAGGGACACCATGCTCATCCACAGTCCAGTAATTGTTCTCAATATGTTCTTGCTCACTAAACTGTATTGCAGGTGAAGGCGTTTCGTGGCTAGGCATGAACGGGGTGCACATGCCGTGTCGGTATGTGACTGACGTCTTCACCAGGTCGCTCGACGTTAGAGCTGTGCATCCTCAACACATGATTCTCTGTGTAATTTTCACGGCAGGAGTATGCCCTGCGCATAAAATGCGAGCTCCACACACCGTAGGTCATGCATGGTATTGCATGAACCCTGGTTTGCGGACTCTATCTAGTCCCAAAGATAGGGATCCTGCTCCTTCCAATGGAACGGGTCGTATCATATTCTACCGCCACAACTTACACCTTGTTCCGACTCAATATCTTGGTTAATAAGAGTATATAGTGTCACATTTATTGATAGCGAGGTAGGCCGGATGACTCTTGTGATCCTTCAGATGTCTGAGAAACGCAAGGACGAGATTGCCACCAGCAGAATCCTAGAGAGTACTATATGATCTGGGCTCACACCTAGGTTAAGTACATATTGGTAGAAAGTAACAATGTCCTAAAAATGCCTATCCCGTATCTGTGACAACAAGACAAGCATCATCCTGCTGTGAAACGTCGATCGTCAAGGCTTACTCAAAGCAACGCAGGAGGTTTCGGGCAGAGGAGCGACAGAACGGAGGTTGGGCTAACAGTTCCCAGAATGCAGCAACAGGACTGCACTGGAATACGATGACAAACGTTATTACGATGAAACACATCAAGCATGCGACCACGGTTACTATTACGATCCGACGGAAAGTCGTGCTGATCTAAAAGATGGTTTGATAAAGCCAGAGGATACTGATCTTGACCGCCGTTATGACTGCGACAAACAGCAGCTCAGTAGATGTCAACCCAAGGTTGTATCAGGATTTCGAGTTTTACCTGTAGCAGTGCCTTGGCATCCACTGGGGAAGTTATCTTGAAAACTTTGATTTCTCCTTTCGTAGAGTTATAGCGGATGTCTGTAACCGCATCAGCGGCCGAACTTTCGACCGTGGAAGTAATGAAGTCCTCCTCAGCAAGAATAACCACGCCGCAAAGGGCGAATAGGCTGATTTCGTTTGCGTTCTTGCACCTGCACTCTAACGATAGCTCAGTCTTCCCATTCATTTTTATGGTTTAGCCAGCGTCGAATTGCGTCCCTTTCTTACCCAATGCCACGAACCTAGTTAATCTATATCTATGGTCACTCAAATGGACCCCCCCTCCCCGCAGCAGACTGTCCAAGGCCTCGGGAATGTCCTGGTCATTGGAGGTTGCGGTCTTCTTGGTCACCATATCGTCAAATTTCTTGTCGAGAATGGCAAACCATCGGATGGAAATTTTGTTTTCGATTTATCCGTTAAGCACAACCGGATCGACAAGATTAACTACATTGCTAAGATGCTGTATCCGCGGTTTTCAGGCATACCAAACCTGATGTCCTTATCAACGTCGCTTCGCCTGACGCCATGACAGCCGATAAGTCGGTCTTCGCGCGGTGCAATATTGTTGGCGTCCAAATCATCGCAAACTGTGCACAGGAACAAGGTATTCCTGTTCTTGTACACTTGTCGAGCTCTGAAGTCATACAAGGCTCATACCACGACATGATATGGGCCACCGAAGAATGGCCCATTTAGGAGGATCTGGTCAACGGCAGTGTCTACGCAAAGACTAAAGCCATCGAAGAAGGCTTGGTGATACCTGCCAATAGGCAAAGAAGCCTCTTGACAACTGCGATTCGGCTATGCACCCTGGTTCGAGAAGAAGACAGAGTGCTCACGAGACAATTCATAGAATTGGGACGGAAGGGGACGATCAAGTCTCAGGTTAGGCACGGGAAAAACATGGATGACTTTATTTATGCTGGAAACGCAGCAGAAGGCCATCTGATTGCTGCACAGGTGCGTGTCGATCCATGTACTGCCCTAAAACGAGCTGATTCTGACTACCGTAGGCTCTCCTCCACACCGCATCTTCCGATGCTTCCATCCCCGCAAATAAACACGTTGACGGCGAAGCCTTCAACATGACCAATGACGAGCCATGGCCTTTTTGGGAAGCTGCTCGTTTCGTCTCTAACACTACTGGCTTTCCAATGGCTGAGCATGAAGTATGGAAGATACCTATGGAGCTCGTGTACTTTTTCATGGCTATATGGGAAGCCATATACTGGGTCTTCATGCTGGGTGGAGAGCCCGAGGTCAAGGCACGAGTGTTGCGATACACCCAGCAGGTACGCACTTTCGATATCACGAAAGCGAGGGAAGGACTAGGCTTTGAACCGAGAGTTACTTTAGAGGAGAGATTCCGCCGTGGCGTGAACTGGCATCGTGAACAGGACAAACAAAAGGCAAAGAGTCTATGACCCTTCGTATTAGATGGCGGTGGGGATGCCTGTTCGAGCACCAACGTCACGGCCGTGCACGAGGGACTGCTGACACGGAGGGTTTGTTGACGACAATATCTATGGTAAGATTGGTCGGAACTAGTGTTGTAAGCTTATCGAAGCCCACTGTGATTGGAACATGCTCCTCGCCTGAGCACGACTCCGGCTCTTTCCCACAAGTTGACCTATCTGAACTTACATTAGAGCTAGAGCCAGTGCATGCTTCTCTCAAAGTGTCCAGCTTCTAAACACTCCTTGCGAGGCTAAGATCTTTGCGCAAAAAGAAAAAAATATGCCACAGTATCAGCTGTCTCGGTGAGAGACCACGAGCTGTTCCGTGCTTATACATTCCACGATGCCCTCAAATACATAAATAGCAACGCATGGCACGCCGATAACTCGAAATCTGAAGACTGTCCATGAGATCAGCAAAACATGCACACACCCGCTGTCGCGCTCTCTGCATCTGTGGTCGCTCATTGTCTCGGGTTTGCGGGCGATATCTCGAGTTTCTTGGACAAGCTAACTGATTTGGAGAAAGAATTGATTCCTCGTTCCGTCAGGCCATAGGCACCTGGGTAAAAATTGGTCTCTATAATATTGAATTTGGAAGAGACGTCTCTGTAACATTGAAGTTCAGTCGCCCGAGGTTGCACTTATTGCCGCTAACGCCATTCGATAGGAGGAGGACGCCCGATGCAGCCTAGTCCCTGGGTGACGCAAAACGGCCGCGGAAGGCTCAGAGCATACTTCATAAGTACCATGTCAGATTGAACGGCCGCTGTCTATTACCGCGGCACAAGCTGAACGTCCACCACCCACATCCTGCTTGGACCATTCAAGGGTTGTTCACGAGATCTTAGCACTACCACCCAACTCTTCAAGATGTCGTCCCAGGTGATTCTCTATGACTTGCCATCCAAGCAAGGCACTTCGTGGTCCCTCAATCCTTGGAAACGTAAGTCGTCCTCCGTGTTCTCACAAGTTATAGGCCGTAATACAGACTAACTCTGCGTAGCGCGAATGATCCTCAATTACAAGTCCATTTCATATACCACTCAATGGGTTGAGTACCCTGACCTCGCACCAACATTATCATCATTGTTCGGAAATCCCCTCTCCTAAAAGTTCATGATCAATCGAAGCATCTGTCAAGTGCTTTGCGTACGAAGATCCCTGCTCTGAAACGTAGTTCGTTGTTGGCCTCGGCTATCTCGTTCCAAAGATCTGCAACACTGACCTGCCATCTCCATTCTTCACTGTATGGTTCACTGACCACATACTAGGGGCATTCCCCCCAACCCACCACACCGCAATCCTGTCCCCTACTCCTCTCCCGCGATAAAGCACCACAACTCCACGCTCGAAATGGACTCCTGGGTTATCGCCCACACACTTGAAAAACTCCATCCGACACCCTCTCTCAACATCGATGATCCAGTCAACACTCAAGTCAGAGACCTGGTAACTGCACTGTCCAATCCCATAAGGCCCTTCGTAATCCCGAAGGTGCCCGCTATACTGAGCCCCCGAAGCGCAAGCTACTTTTTGGAGACTAGGGAGGTCAGGTTTGGTAAGCCTCTCTCACGAGTTCTAGCGGAAGATGCTACGGAGAAATGCTGGGAGGAAGCAGACGAAGCCGCCGCAGAAATCGGTAAATTGTTAAGGAAGGACGCTAGCGGGCCGTTCTTCCTGGGGGCGAGAGTGAGCTATGCTGATTTCATATTCGTTGCTTACCTGAAGTTTTTGGAAACCGTGGATCGCGAAGTGTTTGAGAGAGTTGTGGGGCTCGACGAGGGATTTAAGGGAGTGTATGAGGCGTGCAAGGAGTGGCTGAAGAGGGACAATTGATTATGAGTGAACAGCATGCATACCGGGCTGGATGAATCCACGACACTTTGTTTCTAGTATAACTTTCACTGAAGCCAACTGCCTATACACACTAAAGCGACGCACTTGGGTCCCGAGGGTGACAAGACGTGAACACAGTTGGGTTCCGAAACATCTGGATATGCTTTGTTATTTAAAAAGTTGTAGCGGTGCTAGTCTATTGATTACTATCTGATATTAAAACAATCACCCACGGATGGGTAGTATCTTCCAAGATTTCTGCCTACTGTGAAGATCATGATGTGTACCCCTGTATGCTAATGCGTCTATCACCTAATGATATGCCATTCGAACAAAACGATTCCATCGACACAGCCCTTCCTTGGCTCCTAGCTTCCATGATAGGACCCCCTTAATCAATCACAGGTTCAGCGGAAACCTTTTCCGCAGCTGAGTTCCATACTTGAATATCAATGCGGGGGCAGGAATCATCCCCACAGCCACAAATCCTAAGAGGCTGTTTCCCCATCCCAGTCCTAAACTGCGATACATACTTGGCCCAGCAAGTGGGAGGACTGCCCCAAACAGCATACGAACGCACGTCATAGCTGCCATAGCGGAAGCAGCATACTGCGGATATGAGTCAACCATGTAAGTTTGGATCGGCATGAAGACACCCATCGAGCCAAAGCCGAAGGGGATCAGGCCGATGATGGGGACGATCCAGTGAACTTTGTAGTATGTGCACCATCCATACCTGCATTTCGAGATTAGTCAAGCTTCCTTGAATGCTAATAGATGAATGCAGCTTACCAGAAGAACGAGATGGGGATGAAGAATCCAAAACCAAGACAAGGTGCCAGACGGTACTCCGGCTCGTAGACATTGTTGTTCTTTTTAGTCAACTTTATGATAGTCGCATCTGACGTTCGAGCCACGACCACCAATCCGATGAAGAAACCCACACCGAGACCCAAATAGGCAAGACCACAAATCTGCGGAGACCAGCCGTAAGTCGCGATGTAGACTTCCGTGATTGTCGTGAACAAAAGATAAAGCAGACCGAAAATGAATGCCACATAGATGCTGAGGAAGAAGACGATGGGGGACCTAGTGAGTAGCTTCAGCGGGCGTATAACGCCCTGCTTGAGCACAGTGGCAGCCGAACGTGCCCCAGCATCTTTCTGATGTGTCATGATGTTCTGCAATTCAGGACGGTTCATCTCTTTCCTCAATTTTGCCGTTTTCCAGTCCAGTAAGACGACGTGGTTCGTTTCGCGGTATAAGATGAAGAGGCCGGTAGCAATCAAAAAGCTCGCAATGAATACAACCCAGAAAACCCAGCGCCAGCCAGCTTGTTGCGCGATGAACCCACCTAAGATGGGACCAAGCACAGGGCCGAATAATATGCCGGTGGAATAAAAAGCCATCGCCTTGCCACGCTGTTCGGTAGGGAAGAGATCCGCAATGACACCGGAACCAACCGTGAGACAAGCCGAGCCACCTACGCCACCAAAGAATCGCATCACGATGAGTCCGTTGAGGTTTGGTGCTAACGCACACCCGAGGTCGAATGCACAGAAGACCACGTTCGCCCCGTTCAGGACGACGCGACGACCGTAGATCTCGGACAAGGGACCTAGAATCAAGGGGCCGACCTGCGATAACATAAGTTTCCAATGCAGCAGTCGATGTCACAAATCAGCTTACCGCAAAACCGAGCACGAAGACGCTCACAGCAAATGCGCCCAAAAGCTGTGACGTATTATGGAAATCTGCATTCATGAAGCTGACAGCTGGAGCAAATATTGACGACGTCAACGGACACAAGAACGTGATTGCAGACAGCAGTGCCATGATGAACCACTTCCTATTCTCAGCGAAATTGCGAGGATGTAAGGGGTCGTCTTGAGAGTCCCATCCGACGAGATTGTTTTGCAAGTCCATCAAAGGTAGTATTTCTGGCGCCAGTTGTTGTTTTCGTGTGCTTTTCCGGGACAGGTGTTTCTCAAGTTCACTCCCTATATCGTTATGAGGATCTTCGGTCTTCTAAATGGCTGTCAGTAAGAAGAGGTATTGCTTCAGCAAGCCGGGCATACGGTGGGCTCCTTCTCTACTTCCTCCTCTGGCATCGCGCCATTCTCGATGTCTCTGTCGGCGTCTTTCTGTTCGTACTCGGAACTTTCTCTTGAAGGGGCCGCTGTCTCCCCAGCCAGTGACATGTTGTCCAAGAACCACAAGCGTGCTCGTATGGACGAGGTCTTTGTCGACTGAGGTGATTACGAATATCGTCTTTGGGTGTGTCGGCGTTTCCGGAGGTGAAGAGTCAACTCGATGCAAGGTTCAGTGTGTATCTTGAGATGCTGCGACTTCGAGATGGGTTGTACGTAGGGCGAACAACGGGTAATAACGTGCGCAGAATTCCAGCAACCCAAAAGGGCCTCGAGAGGACGTTGTTGAAACGTTATCGGTCGAAGTAGGCGCGTGACGTGACTGACAGTTGGGGAAGGCACTCCCAAATATACCATAATCAAAGCTGGACTTTAGGATGATTAAATCCGGGTCACCAGCCCCAGGCGACCCAAAGTGGCCCGGTTCCAGCGCGGCCGCACGCGGTCGTAGCGGTAGCGAGGGTGAATGCGGGGTCATAGCGCCCGCGAGAACGCCGCGCTCACCACAGGGGTGCCATCTTTGTGTCTCGTCAAGCTTTCTCGGCCGTACTACGGAGCGCGGAGAGCGACGAATGTGATTGCGTGCCCAGACAAGATGCATCTTGCGGATTTGCGCCCGAGGCTGAGAGGAAAACGGGATCGGATCCATCGACTGCTCCAGTCCTGAGCTCGGCCTCGCGGAGACTGAAAGGGCGACGACCAGGATGAGCGCACGTCAAGCCCTACGCGAGCGCCCGTTCCGTTGAGACAGCCAGTGTACAAAACAAGACGGCCAAGAGAACAAGGAGAGGAAGAAGACGTATGAAAGCATTGAGCGACAAAGGTGCGACAACGTGACTCGCATATCGAAGACTGTGACCTTGATGCAAAGACAAACACATCAGTGACCAGACCTATCTCTTTTCTGCAATGCATCCCACACCCATCTTGGGCGGTCGCGGCCCACAGCCCTATCGAAGGCGATGACTCTCAACTGCCTCGCGCACAGCCCATGCGGGTCTCTTAGGACCGACCACTAACACCGACTCTGAGCCATTCTCAACTAGGTTCCGATAATCCTTGGCGCCTGTTGAGGAGGGATCGGATCTGGACTAGTATGCGGCATACTCTTGCATGGGATTCAAGCGCGTTCGAGAGAAGGATCTGACACCAGGACCCAAGGCATCAGCAGCCCTCCACTGGTGAAACCATGCCACGTGCCGACCATGTGACCTTGGCTCCGGTATGGATATCTTTGAGGTCGGCTACTGTCTATGCGCGGAGCGTTGTCTTTGAAATCATGGTAAGACGCGGGAGGTATGTGAACATCTACCACATGCCAAATATGCTCAGCTCTCCGCACCCGCACCGCAGGCCAGCAATGGAACCACTTGTGTGCTTTGTAGCATAGTATGGCGCGGAAATTTACCATCTAGAAAGGGTTCATAGTTTTCTACACTTTTGGTGCGCTTCTCCGACTCATTAGTGGAGCACCTGCTACATCGAACCGCAACGTACGCGGGTTCCAAACAAAAGAGCGCACGTTAGTTAACAATCGACGGCCTCCGAGGAGCAAATAGTCGCAAAGCAGAAATCCTCCAACGCCTTTCATGGATTCCTCCTCTTACCCAATGTATGTAGGCCAAACATAGCCAGAAACGTGTCCCACATAAAGCTACAGTCGTCTATCCAGTCAGAAGATCTCTCACACTCATACCGCGACCACCGCCTTGGCCACCGTTACTGCCATGCCAACTTCTTCGATCTGTATTCAGCATCAACAGTGCCTCGGTGGCTTCATGGTCTTCGCGATCTGCCTGTGGTCCTAATGCAGGAGAGGTAAGCGCAAAGCCACCGGCAGGGCCAGAGAGCGAGTTTTTGCTTGATGGAGCTGTAGGGAAGGGATTCTGGAATTGCGCTTGCGACGGTGTTTGCCCTCCAAATGCTGGCGATGCCTGAATCAAGGGCGATGTGGCTGTAGAACGTATTGAGGAGGACAATGAGTAGTGGTGCGGATCAGAAGGTTGTAGGGCAGGAGACATGTTTGCGGAGTAGTTCTGCACATCACCTGGGCGGAGTGCAGGCGAGGTCGTAGTGGAGTACACGCTGCGGTCAGAGGGGTAGATGGCAGGCGAGGCATTGGCAAATTGGTAGTTCGCTGTCCGTGGGCCATGTGCAGTGTGCTTTGGGGAGACGGCGTCAGACATCTCCTCATCCTGGTCATCTTCTTCGTCTTCGTCTTCGTCGTCGTCGTCGTCTTCTTCTGCGGCAGCTGTTGCGACGGCAAGTGGGGATCGCTCCTGTTGTGGGGACGCAGGCGTAGGCGAGGCGCGCCTCGGGCGATGGGCAGCCTTCAGGTCGTCGACGCACTGTTGTAGATAGCGCATGTATTCGATGCTGGCCTGCGCATTGTGTCAGCGGGCCTGAGTGCTATTTGTGTACTGGTACCTTGTTTGGGTCGTACCTGCAAGATGGCGAGCTTGTGCATCTCCTGCCCCTCACACGCGGGGATCATATCTTTGAGCACGCCAAACTCCTCGTTCATCTTGGACCGCCGCCTGCGCTCGATCAAGCTGTGCGCCGTCTTACGAGCAATTTTCCGGCCTGCCGCAGTCGTGTTTCCAGACTGCTTTCGCTTCCCGCCAGCAGCACCGGCAGCACCAGCACCACCAGCAGGCGCCGACTTGGCTGCTGAAGCCGGCGAGGCGGCCGTCTTGGGCTGCTCCTGCGACTCCTTCGGCTTCATCTGGATGATCTTGCGCGAGCGCGTCGGCGGCGGGGGCAGCGAGTAGTCATCTTTGGTGACGACGCTCTGGCTGGAGCTGGGGCGTTTGCGCGAAGCTGGCGGCGGCTTGGAGGTGGCCGAAGGGGATGCGGGCGACAAGGGCCGGTACGAGGAATCAGAGGCATTCGAGGCCGTGGACGACGGCTCGGTGGTGCTGCCGCGGGCGCTGCCTATCGCAGCGGGCGGCAGGGCGAAATGGGTCGTGTCCAACGGGCCTGCAAGAGCACTCGTCTTGCCCGTGATGTCGGTGGATGGTGCGGGCGTGGGCGGGAAGCTTGGTCGTGGCATGATGGGTCGTTGGCCTGCTGGGGCGCTCATCGGGGAGGCAGAGGGCCTTGGGGTTGCAGTGCGTGTCGCAGCTCGAGGGCGAGGGCGAGGGCGCAGACAGGAGTGCAGCGTGCCGGGCGGCGAGACAGACACAGAGACATTGGAAACATCGCGGCGGGCAGCGTCGACGGTGTCGTGTGCCTGTGAATGCCATGCGGTTGCATCGACCGCCACGGCCAATCAGGGCCACTCCCCACGCCTCGTGCTCATACGAACAGACACTCCCACGCCCACGCCAGCAAATCAGCCCGGTGCCATTCTGCTCGTGCTCACACGAACCAGAAGTGCCCCTCCTGCTCGCTCAACTCAACACTGGGTTCACCACCCCCGATAGGCGCGCCCTCCCCGAGCACGTGTGCCTGTCCGTCTCCTCGAGCTGCTGGCGGGGCGCCCTCTCTGTGCAACCATGGCCCTCGCATGTGATAGCATAGCAGATGCACCTGGGGCCTGTCGCGCACGGCATGCGTGGGCCTCGCCCCGCTGAACTGGTGGCGAGACCTTCGACATGCCTCGACTCGGTTGCCGTATCCGGGCATATCTTCACTTGGCGTGGTGTTGAACACACATCAACAACGGATCGACATGGATTGCTGCTGTATATTCCTTTTGACAGCGCCACTATGTACACAATCACGCAATGCTGGTATCTAACTCCACAGTCGACACGTCCCGTCAGCCCCTGCGCTAACACACCATGGTTCCCTAGGATGCCAGTCTACATCCATTACTCCCAACCTGCTCTTGACCTTGTGGCCCTTCAGCACCTTGAGCGGCACGATCGTGGCGTTCTCCATCAGGTCGCCAACCACCTTGCCGTGGAATATCTGCAGACTGCCGTCGTCGCTTGCATCTGCGAAAAGCGGTAGGCCCCCTTGATGGAACCGCACCGCGCGAATCGCCTCCTGGTGGAAACGAAGCGTCTTGTAAGGCTTCGTTGACAGATCAAGGTCGTGCCACAGCAACCGCTTGTCGTAAGTTCCAACAATGATGTTGTCTCCGCCTGGGTGCACATCGATGGAGGATATCCACTTCGCGCCCGGCTGCAGAATCTTGACGAGCTCCTGTTTGGCGAGATCGTAGCTTCTGATAGTATTGCGGGTAGCCACAAAGAAGATTGCCTTGGACGGATGGAATTGCGCCGTCTGAGCAATACCTTTGAGCCGCCGGAACGGTAGTTGTGTGAGATGTTTGGACAGAGTGTGAATCGCCACCGCCGAGCTCTGGCCTCGAGGTGATACTGTTGCAAAATAGTCGCCTTTTCTGTGCCAATTGATGATCTTGACCATTGAGCGGACAGTGGCTTGTACCAATACGCCCTTCGACTCGAATTTACTGCCAGGCCGAGCCCACTTGCCCGGAGGCTCCTTCGTTACGCCATTCGTCGTAGTGGTTGGTTTCGATGCTGCATAGCCCCATCCCGCGTCTAATATGTCGCGACTTGCTTGCTCCACATCTGGCGACAAAATTGAGTAAGGCACGATGAGGTATACGCTCTCTCCTGCGGCTGCTGCCAGTATGGACGCATCTTTGGTCGGCCTCCATTTGACTGCATCTACAGCGTCTTCATCCGACAACCTAACATTCCATACTTGACGACCCGTTAGTAATTCCCAGATGCGCACGTAGCCGTCGTCGCCACCACTAGCAACGAAGATGCCATGCGGATCGAACGATACACTGCGGACGCGCCCTTCTTGGCCTCGGAAGATAGCCGCACAAGTGGTCGGGAACGGCTTCAAGTCTTCTGGATTGGGTAGTTTGGGAAGAAGCGATTCTGGGTCGATGTTGAGCTTGTTCCGCCGTACTCGGGGAGCTAAGTACAGGTCGAGACTGCGCTCGAACCTTTCCTTCACGAAACGTTCGTAGCCCGGCACCTTCCTCAAAGCCTCGTAATTCTTAGGGAGATAGTCCTTCTCTCGGTCTTCCTCATCAGCCGCCAGCCAAGCAGCTTCCTCATTCTTATCAGGGAGGTACTCCGGAGGAGGATGGTAGCTTGCATCGTAACCGGGGGGTGGCAATTTGGGTGCAGCGAGATGCATAGAATTCTCGGGACGCGGCTTCTCGTCAGCCCACACATCGTAGTACACCCGCTCTTCCTCCTCCTCCTCTTCAGATGGCGGCTTGTAAGGTTGGATACGACCTTCTCTAATGGCTTTGACGATCTTCATCACACGTTTGGCCTCGTGTTTGGAAGGCACAAAGCGCCGCTTCGGCTCTGGTGCAGCGCTTAGAGGCATGATCTCCTTCTTCCCAGAAAAATAGTGTACCATTTCTGGGTAGGGGTCGTAGCCATCCTCGACTACCTCGTTTCTGGTGAGCCTCTTTAGAACGTCTAGCTCCTCTTCCGACAGGTTGAGCGGCTTGCCGGTGGCGGGGTCTGTCAAGCCAGTCCAACCCTTGGGTATGTCGATTTGATCTAATAGCGCATCTAGTGCCTCGCCCTTTGCCGGGCGCATAATCTTCCTGCCATTGATGTCATAGCCAATGTGCGGATACTCGTCATAGTACGTGAGCGGGATGTCGCCGATCGTATTGGTCGTCTCCGGGGCATCGGAATCGTCTGAGTCGTAGACGGGGTCAATTTCCTTGTACAGATAGCGTGGGTTGCCATTTGCGTCAGTCGTGACGGTGTAGTTGGGCTTCAGGTTCTCGCCTGCCTGCTCATCCAGCTCGGCGTCGGCTTGCGGACGAGAGTCGAGGTCGAGGGCCTGATCCACGCCATTGAGCCGCACGGATGTATCTCTTGTGTTGAGTTTGCGCATCTGTTCGCGGATGCCCTGCTCCCCGTCTTCGGGGTCAGTGTCGGAGAAGGCACCATTTTCATCGTCTTCTTCTTCATCCTCGTCGGACAGTCCCTCTATAACGCTGCTGGCGTCACTCTCTGCGTCGTCTTCTGAGTCTGCATCTGACTCGCCCTCGCTGTGCGACAGGATGCCGTCCAGGAGGCCGTCAGCCAGCTCTTCGTCCGAGTCGCTGGTGGCAGGCACGTCGCGCGTGACGGCCTTTCTCTTGCGGGGATTCGGGGCCATTGTGGCGTGCAGCGTCGCGGTGCAGGGAATGTTGCGCTCGGCAGCTCGCTGGCACAGTGCATTTCTTCGAGAAAAAAAGGCATTATCGATAAGGGAAGGCGCACGGGCCCGGCGCTAGTGGCTCGTTCCTGCCCCGTCGCGTTGGCTTCACTGCTTTTCGCCCTCTGGTACACATCTTTGAGAAGCCACCCGCGCGGCCTCGACAACACCAGCAACATCAAAAGAAAGCCGCCGCGGCCGCGCAACACAGCAGCTTCCTGCACTGAACTCACAGTATTACTCCGAAGGCCGCCATGGCTTCCCGGCACGCTGATCGAACAAGGTACGACGAACGCGCCCCCCGCCGTGATCGTGACGACAGACGCGACACGCGGGACCGTGACGACCGCCGCCACTACGAAGACGAGCGCAGCCGCAACGATCGCCGCCGCGACCGCGATAGGGACCGCGACCGCGATTCCTATCGTCGCAGCCGCTCGCCTCGCCGTGACCGGGACAGAGACCGGTCACGAGACAGGGCGCACGGCTCCAGCTACCGCGGCAGCCGCGACGACAGACGCTCCGGTCACGACGACCGCTGGGAGCGGCATGACCGCCGTGACGACCACCGACGCAGCGATGACCGCGCTCGCCATTCCCTGTCGGCCACCCCGGGCGCGGACCCCAGGTCGAGCTCCAGGGCCAATGACATCAGGCAAGAGAAAAATAAGCGTGCTGACGAGAAGCCGAAGCTAGACGAGGATGCGAAGAAAGCAGAAAGGCTCGCTCGCGTTGAGGCGTGGAAGAAGAAGAAGGCTCAGGCCCAGACTGACAGCCCCGCTGGCGGTTCGTCGCCCGCTCCCGCTACACCCGCCACTCCGACAGCTCCTTCGGCCCCTTCTACAAGCGCTGCAGAGCAAGCTCCCGCGAAAGCTACAGCTCCTTCGAAACTTGGTGCTGAGAAGAAGCCTAAGCAGGTCAAGGCAAAGGAGCCCTTCAAGCTCGCCGAGACCGCTGCCCCGGCGCCTTTCGCCAAGATCAACGCTGCCCCTAGCAATGGTGCTGCAGTCTCCAGTATGTACAGCGTCCCTGCTATCAATCATTTGCTCACCAGAACAGGTCGAGCTGGACTGGCGTCCAAACCAAACGGTAACATCGGCTCCTTCGGGAATAAAGCTAAACTTGAGGAAGAAGCGGCTAAGCCAGCAAAAAAGGCGTTCTTGGATGACGGAGAGAGCACGGGCAAACGTTCACTCCAGGCGCTTCCCGATTTCACCCCGCTTGACCAGGCACCCGATGCACCCGATGCTGAAGAAGACGACGTCATGGACGATATGGACAGCCCTGAAGGTGATAATGCTGCCGAGATCCAAGCTCAACTCGAGAAGCGCCGTGCCGAAATGGCGAACGAAGATGCGCAGATGAAAGAAGTTACTGAAGAAGAGTCCGCGGAAAAAATGGACGTTGACGAAGTCGCAGGCGTTCAAGAAGACGACATCGATCCCCTCGACGCCTTCATGGCAGGCCTGTCAGAGACGCAGCCAAGCAGGGGTCGACCTCAAGGCCAAACCATGTTTGACGAAGACCACGAACCGGACCTGACTGCTGTCGAGGGCGAGGATCTCCTCGCACTCGCTGCTACCAAGAAGAGGAAGAAGGAGGTTCCCATCACCGACCATTCTAAAGTTGAGTACGAACCTTTTCGTAAGAACTTCTATACAGAGCCTACGGAGATCGCCAACATGACTGAGGAAGAAGTACGCAATCTTCGCTTTGAACTTGACGGGATTATCGTCAAAGGTGCTAACGTGCCCCGCCCTGTTACCAAATGGGCTCAAATGGGTCTCTTGCAGCAGACGATGGACGTATTCGGTAAGCTGCGTTTCACAAAGCCTACGCCGATTCAAGCACAAGCTATCCCTATGGCTGAGTCCGGCCTGGATTTCATCGGAGTAGCGAAGACTGGGTCCGGAAAGACTCTTGCTTTCGGAATCCCCATGATCCGCCATATTCTGGATCAGCAACCTCTCAAGCCTTCAGATGGTCCGATCGCTCTGGTCCTGGCCCCCACTCGAGAATTATCCGACCAGATCGGCAAAGAGTTGAGGCCTTTCCTTAAGGCATCGAACCTGCATATTGCTTGCGCCTATGGAGGCTCGCCCATCTCAGAGCAAATCGCGATGATTAAGCGTGGTGGCATACACGTGCTTTGCGCAACTCCCGGTCGCCTTATTGACCTGCTTCAGAGCAACTCGGGCCGTGTTCTCAACCTCAGGCGCGTCACCTATTTGATACTTGATGAGGCTGACCGCATGTTTGACATGGGTTTTGAGCCACAGGTCATGAAGATCATGGCCAACATCCGGCCAGATCGGCAGACTATTCTCTTTTCTGCTACCATGCCCAAGAACATCAACGCTTTGGCAAAGAAGGGGCTTACGAATCCTGCTGAAGTGACAATCGGGGGCCGTAGTGTCGTTACGAAGGACGTGCACCAAGTAGTGGCTATAGTACCTCCAGGCCACGATCCTAAGATCAAAGAGCTCCTCAGACAACTCGGTCTCTTGTTTTCCAAGGATGAGAATGCCCAAATCCTTGTGTTCGTCGAGCGACAGGAGACGGCCGAGGATCTTCTCCACAAGCTTATGAAGGCGAAGTATGTCGGTGTAAACACGATTCACGGCGCTAAGGATCAGACGGATCGTAGTGAGGCAATTAACGACTTCAAGCAGGGCGTTCTGCCTATCCTGATCGCTACATCTGTTGCTGCTCGTGGGTTGGACGTTCCCAATCTGGCCATGGTGTTCAATTACGATTGCCCGACGCACTTAGAGGACTATGTCCATCGCTGCGGACGTACGGGGCGTGCCGGCAACAAAGGAACCGCCATCACACTTGTACAAATCCCAGGTGAAGAACGTTTTGCCATGCACGTCGCTAGGGCTTTGAGGGATAGTGGACAGGACGTCCCTGAAGACCTCGAGAAGATTTCGAAGGACTTCAAGGCTAAGATCAAAGCTGGTGAGGAGAAGTGGTTCGATCCTGGATTTGGCGGCAAAGGTCTTGATAAGCTCGATGCAGCACGCGCCATGGAGAAGAGGCGAGAGAAGCGTGCACATCATATCGAAGGTGAGGATATCAGTGATGACGAACCGGAGTTACCCGCTCTGAAGAATTTGCCCGAAGTGGTATCTGCAACCACAGCGGCGGGCAAAGACCCTGAGCCTGCAGCCGATGAACCAGCATGGAAACGACTCCTCACCAGCAAGATCGTTGTGAACAAGACCGAACGTCCTGCCGCTACTGGCCCAACGAAACCCATGACGGCTAAAGAAAGGGCCTTGGCAGCAGCCAGCAAAGTGGATGGCCGCTTAAGCAAGAAGGGTATGATACATCATGGTCAGCCCATTGACAACAAGGGTCCAGACGCCGGTGCTTTCCACTCAACGATCGAAATCAACGACTTCCCACAGAAAGCGCGATGGGCTGTCACCAACCGCACCAACGTTGTCAAGATCTTGGATACGACCGGCGTTTCGATCACGACCAAGGGCAACTTCTATCCGCCAGGCAAAGAACCTGGAGAGAATGATTTACCTAAGCTGTATATTCTTGTCGAGGGAGACAATGAGAACGTGGTTACTGACGCTATGATGGAGATCACTCGACTTCTCAAGGAGGCAACAATGTCTGCCGATGATGCTCCGCGTGGGGCTACTGGACGCTACAGTGTTGTCTAGATTGCTTATTTTACATGCTTCGGTTCAAGTACGATCTGTCCGTGGTGTTCGCTCTTCTTTCCAGCGGGTTTGCATGGTTGCATGGGTTTGACGGAGTTGGGCTGGAGAGGGCGGCGACTTAATTCGAGGGTTTGGATGGCAATCGTCACACAGTGAAGCTTTTTGGCTTTTAAGTGAGTCGGACGATTTAATCGTCATATGTTAATTGCATATTTCTTTGGTCAAACGCATGCTGCTTCGTACTGCAGGCTAGTTCAAGGAGTTTTCTTTCAGTATTGAGGCAACTACTAATTCAACCTCTGCGATTCAAGGCAGACGATTTGTTGGTGAAGCGTGGTCTACAACTCAATTTGGTCTGTGGGCTTAGGCCCAGTTTGAGATGGTGTACGAATTCAAGATTGAAAAACAAGGGTGCGGCGCAGTCTTGCGTCAACGACGTGGTTGTAAGCTATCCACGGGCCTAGGTAGAGGGTATTGCACATAGTCTGGCGCACGATTTCTAGTGTAGCGGCTCGGTTCCCTATTGCTAAACTAAACTTTGATTTTATCACAGGTGAGTGCTCAGGATCCAATGGTCTCTAGGTGATGCTCCGGGTGGAGGGGTAGGCCGCGGCTGCTAGTTCTGAACTTGCATACGCGAGGCTCAGATAACGGGGTCTAACCAGCTGTGTCGGCTAGCTGATGAGCTAGAGGTCACTTAGCAGCGTGCCCTGGAGGTTGTTGATTCGTATCGATGTGGGGTGCCCAATATCTCGGAACATGCGGGGAGCCTGCGGCTCTTAGACTGTTCACAGAGCCGACTGACATTCGCCCATTGGAACGCAACTTGAGGGAATTCATCGCGCAAGTCTATGTAATGCTCGTATATTCCGCAAGAATAGCCAGATAGACACTCTTACTGCCCCTAGATTGCCTAGACGCGGTACGGACTCGGCACCAAACCTTGGTACGAAAGGCGACCGGAGTATCATCTCGCATATCGAAGCGTCGCGCATCCGCGCAGGAGAGGAATTATTGAAATTGGCCGCCTAGACCCGCATCTTAGCGGCATGTCGTCCAATGCAGTCAATTGACAATATCTTGGGTCTACACAATTGTGGACCTGATTTGACGTCCGGGCAACAGCAGGACATCGTATGCAAATTTCTGATAGACCAGTGCCTTCCATACATCATCGTTCGTCTAGGTCCATCTGCTTACTATCGTGAACGTGGACGTTTACCTGGAGACTTTAAGATCTCGATCAGTGAACGTTAGGAGGTTGATACCAGAGTTGTTTCAGAAGTCAGACTGCAACCTGATAGATCGTAGATCCGTGTTGCAATGTAAGCATATTATTATTATCTGTGCTATCAAATGGTATAGACGGGACAAGCAGATACCGCAAATCAACTACTTCGAACTCAGTCGCGACCGTTCCAGTAGTGTCCACCTTGTTTTCTACAAGCTTTTAATGATGCTGCTGGCGTTACCACCACTGTCTTAGTGAAAGTAGCACGAATCGTCTTGGTGGTCGTTGTCGTCGTATAGACGAAGGAGAGACGCGTCTTTGTCGGCGTTGGCAGCGTTGTGACGGGCGTGTATCTTCCAGAATATACCGTCAGCGGTGGCAGTGTGATCGTGGCAGTGGTTGAAATAGCCGTAGACTCAGTGTTGGTGATTGGACTGCCAGTAATGGTGATCGTGGCATTCACAGGCAACGTGGCGTTGACAGTTGTTGTTGTGACATTGGGGCTTCGTTTGTCGAACTGGGCTGCTTTGGCTTTTTGGTCACGTCGAGCCTTGGCTGCCTCAATGCGAGCACGAGCGTATGCGATGGACGCGGCTCGGTCGGACTTGTGTATGTTTCTGTGTTGGTTCGGAGATGCTGTAGGAGTCTCCAATGCGGCAGGGTGTACAAGCGTGGGCGAATACCAGCAAGGCTTATCCTGCTTGTGCGACCATGGCGCAGGAGTGATGCAAGTTGCAGTACTTGTTTCTGTCTTGATGCTCAGCTGCTTGGTCCATGCCCGTCGCGTACGAGTTATTGTCTTCGTTCTAGTCATGAAAACTGCTGGAGGTGTGATAGACTGTGTCTTCTTCGCCGTCGCAGATGGAAGCGTAACAATGTGAGTATTCTTGACGGTTGAAGTAACACCTAATGTAGACGTTGTTGTCAAGGTGACCACTGGCGTAGATGTAATAATATATGTCACTGTGGGCGTGTACGTGGTTGTGACTTGCGTTCCAACGGTGAGATAGATATCTGTGCCTTCATGAGTACAAAGCTCTCAATGTCCTTGAGATAGCGTACGGACCTCTTTGCCAGGCAAATGGCTCTCCATCGTCATTATTTCCAATCACCAAGATTATGTTGTGGCCAGAGATCATCTCGTTCTTCGTGAAAGGACATGTTGACAACATTGGCGTGTCATCCGGTGTGGTCTTAACTGCTGAGCAAAGGTATTCCTCATTATTAGGGTCGACGAATAAGACCTCTGCAGGATCAGGGCCCTTGTTACAGCCCTGGAAGGTCGAAACGCAGGTGAAAGACTCGCTTGAGTTGCGATTGATAAAGTAGCTTCCCTCGTCAACGTAGTCAACACCGTATGAATAGCAGATACTATCAGGGTCTGCGGCCGACACGATAAGAAGGGCAGCCGCAGTAATCAAGCGGAGTGAGCGTACAGATGCCATGATGGACAATATGATCAATGAGAAGTAAAATGGATACTCTGCATTGTATACATGAACTGGTGAGGCCATTTATACACGGCACTTCCAGGAGCTGAGTACAGGCTTCTCCACTGGCTGTACGCCGTGGTCGCGCCAACATAGCACGACTGTCAATTAGGTTCACTAGATGCATGCCACGATCAGCAGTTCCTGCGCTGGGCGCCGTGTAGCAAGTATGGGCACCAGAGCCAATTCAGCGTCGAGCTCGTCATGGTGTCTCTTAGCTCTTACTGTAATACTGAAAGACCTACTAACTGTATTCCCAGTGCTGTCATCGACAAGGATAATGGGTACGCATAGATATTGACGCTATGCGCTTCAGCAACCAATCACGCCGAGTGGGTTCACCAGCCATCAGCCGCTCGCCTATCTTGGGACGCTGCCATTGTTATTCCCAGACCTCCGGATGTTAAACATACTTCATTCTATCCCTAGTCTCGTATAGTCTTCGACTATGCGTAGGGCAGCATGAGGCAGCATCTTTCTGGACTAGGTCGAGCCGACCATCGGACTTCGGCATTTCCAGTACCCAGTTTCTCGTTTAGCCTCCATTAGTGCGATCAGAACCATACCGCCTGCCTATGGCGCATCAGTGGACTCCTGGGTTCAGCTCAATGAGCTTGAGATGGGACAGATAAGGAACTGTTGTCTGCCTTTTCATTGATGTTTCTCATTGACGCATGGGCGATCCGTGTGCATAACGGTTGACGCACATACCTTCGTTGTACACGACAATACCTAGTCGGCGTATTCTCACTCAAGTTGGCACCTTCTCACCTAAAATCGGTCAAATAATTTTATTTATGCCTAACCTGTGTCAGGTCTCCGCCAGGAAGGGACCGAATATCACCTCGGTCGAATTGGGAAAGCGAGTGCGATGTTGAATCTTAGTATTTCGTCATCCCAGGTTTTCTGAAATCAGTAACCGCGCATGCCACCATGGCTGTTGAAATCCAAGGAGCATTCATCTAGCCAGGGAGTGCCCGTGACATGATACATCCCGTATACGTCTCCCACCAGCATCAGTAATCGTCGCCACGAGAGACGATCTCTTTACAGTTAGGACGCAGCAACACCGTCTACAAAATTAGATCAGCAAGTGATTAATCGTGCATCATTAATATCACTTACATGCTCAAATTGAGCTACATACGAACCAGGGATGTCGACTAGTGGTGCGTATGACTCAACTACACCGTGCTGCACCAACGATCGCATGCCAAGATGATAATTCTTGACACCAATGCGTTCGAGGTAGCGCTTAGCAAAAACTATCGAGCCGAAGTTTGCATCGATAGTCTTTAGCAGCGACTTAGCAGACGCATGATGAAGGCCGGCAGTGCTCACGTTCTGGTTGCGACCGTACCCATATATACCAATATCGTCCATCATTCGAGCTTTGCCTGTTGTACCGAAGGTTTCGATAGCAAAAATATCGCCCTCTTCCATACGTTGGTTTGTCTTCGTCTTGTAGAAAGGAACCTGCTTATCGCCATGGATCTTGTAGCGCAAAATGTTGTGACCGGTGATGTTGCGCACGGCTTTCACGGGGACGGTCTTCCCTTCGATCTCGACTTCATGGCTCTCCATAACTTCTTGCATGACCTCGCTCAGATGGTCCATGCGAGCATCAACACCAGCTTCCTTCAGTCCGGTGTTGGTGGTCGCTCTTACTGCCTCAAGCAGGGGATCATACACGGGGTTGAACGCCAGTGTGAAAGCGCTATCAACGATTCTTCCACCAACATGCACCCCAAAGTCAATCTTGAGGACGTCGTCATTTTTCAAGACCACCTCCTTGTTCCCGAAATTTGGTGTCCAGTGTGCAGCAATGTGGTTCAGGCAAAGCCCTGTGGGAAAACCCATGCCAGCTCTGAGAGCATCGCCCGTCTCGAGACCTGGGTGACCAACAAGAGCTCTTACGCCGTCTTCGATCTCTTGTGCAAGCTCGGTCATAGTTATGCCCGGCTTTGCGATGGTCTGCACATGCTTTCGGACCTGACGATGCACCTCGGCAGCCTTACGGTAGTCGCTCAAGAACTCGTCGTCCATGTCGTCCAGAATGGCTTGGTGGCGAATCTCTTCGGCCGTGGTGCGTTGCAGGTTCTCTTCGACAACACGATTTACGACTTCACCGGCGGGGAATTGCATGTCCGGGAAAAGGTTGGACAAGGCAACTCGGGGAGGAATCGTTTGATGCACGGGCACCTTGCCCTTCTTCTTCTTGTTGCGTTTCCTTTTCTTCTTTTGGCCCTCTTTGGCGTCCGTTACTTCCCCATCAGCTCCGCATTTAGCATCGTCGTCGTCTCCATCTGGCGAAAAACATATTAAACATGAGCGTACTATACTAGGAACAAGGTCACTCACCTTCATCTTCCCCTTCGAGTGTACCTTGAAGAAGCCCGCTTGCTGCAGCTGGCTTGGGAGGGTTGATAGAGGCAATTGTAGAGTGTGCGGCGGACTCTGCTCACAAGTTAACATTTGATTGGGTTGCCGACGTGTGAAGCGATACCATTAGGTCCCTGCTGATGGCCGTCGGGTGTTTTGGCTCCCATTTTCGCAATCGCGACGCAGTCATGTATCGTCAAGATGGAGTGGTCAGGAGTGGTGGACAAGCTATGCGACTGCAATTGCAGTTGACAGGCCTGTTCGAGCGCCGAGGTCCGTTCTTGGCGAGCGGCATTCGAAGACGCGGGGCTGCTTCATTGGCCATCTGAGCGCAAACACTCAACCCTACCTATTGTATATTGTTCTTCGGTTTCCTGTGCACGTGGCTCGGTTGCTCTTCATGTCCAGCTTGTGTTGTTCCGAAATCGTCACGAAAGACTTGACTTGTCTGGAAATTGTATTGCAATGCGATCTTCAAACGTTGCTATGACACGACACGATACCTAGGTACTCATGTTCCGGTATGAAAACTCACTGACTGTAGCGAAATTCTTAGGTTTTCCATCATCAGATTGCGGCGTCCAAAGCGATCGACAACAAGTAGGGTAACGCACGCTGCGATGAAGTATTCAGTACCGAGCCAAGCACGACGCCTGATTTTGTCACCAAAGGCTATGATACCACCGGCGCCGATGAGGCAGCCGATCTCGTAGATAGCCACGACAAGAGCTTGTATTGCGCCTGACTTGTTCTTGGGCTCCATGCCGGGAAAGATATGGAGAAATATCGGTTCAGTGATTGTTCCACTCATAACTCCCTCTTCACGGCAAGTCAATTTTTTTGTATTTCAAGGCTTTGGATTCAGGCTTACGGTCATAGCCTAAGAGGAAGAATCCACTGGAAGCTGCGAAGCACACCATAATTGTGAGGCTTCGGCCTCTTACCCTGCCGTTAAGCAAGCCCTTGGTGTTGAGGGAGAGCATTTTGTCAAAGTCTGGCCTCTGCTTAATGAGTACAATCCTAAATTAGGAAGTCATATGAGAGGTGGTGGGGAAATCGATCCACGCTGTGCATATTGTTCCCCCGTGAGACGGTGGTCAGCGTCGTGTTTGTCAGTGATGCCGTCGAAGGACAACTACACCCTAATTCCATCGGATCGTCTAGACTTCACCGCACTCATAATCTAATTGAATAGTCGAATGCAAGCTGCGATCGGATCATGTCACAAAATCGAGTGTTCAAGCAGGCGGAGCCAAACCCGGCGACGAGACACGCGCATTTGAGTTGTGTCTCGATGATGCACATGGGGCGCTATGAGTTCACATGGTCTTGAGGTTGGCTTAGCCTCAATGAACTGGCTTGGGACACCGACGTCAGCGGTGCGGGGATTCGGCCATGAGGTCGACGGAGGTGCTACCGAAGGCGCTACTCGCCAAGTGAGCAACGCGAAAGCTTCAGAAGACTTGAGTGATCGCCTTTGAGCTAAAGATCGAAGATCGTATCGGAATTGACGACAATGCAATTACTCTCCATCGCGACAGAGTAAAATGCTATAGACAGCGGTGAGACTATTCTCCTAATCTCCGCTCGTCACAAACGCGTCTGGGATCTTGAATGCCGACCTTCTAAGTCAAAAGTTCTTCAACTTTAACAAAGGATGCTTACCCTCCATCACTGCACATACACAGCAACAAACAGTTCTGCGCAATACTCCTGGCGTCATCAACACCGACCAAATTTCAAACCCTGGGCGGCATACGTACAATTCCTGCATCATTACAAACTCAACATCAACCTGAGGTCTGCTGATATAGCCAGCTTAGACGACCACTGATCAAGTTGACATGAATGCCTACAGTAGCTAAGTACATGGCTGTTTATCGTGTCAAGGCACGCGCCCACGTCGTTGAAATTCCAGGAGTTACACTTCAATCCTCACCTTGAAGTAAGTCTCTCACAGAATAAGTTGTGGCCGCTGCTTCGTGATAGATTCGCGAACATTTAATGTCCCTTGATCAATTGCCGAGATGACGTCTTACCCCTCAAACTTTCAGGGATCTTCAAGTATAGAGACAACCGAGCCATGAGGTAGCGCATCTCTCCGCGACTGCATAGAGATATATTAGCCTAAAGCAAGATACTCCTCCCGAGTTACCTAACGTGGATGCTTGTTGCTCAGAGTGCACAAGTAATCGAGGCTGGGGCACGCACATAAAGCTCAAGCTGTCACCTCAAAATACTCCGCGAATCTGGACCACTCTACTCCTCCAAAAGTTAGCTTAAGGATACAACCAACCAAAATGTGGATTATACAGGCATTTATGATCATATTTTGTTTGCAAGGCAGTAGTACCTCTGCACAAACTCTACAACCACTTGGCGTAACGACGCCTGTTGCTCAGCCATGTAGTGACTCCGATGGAGTTGTTTGCGTGCAACGTTATGTACTTTAAGCAGACCTCGACACCAGATCTTGCCAAGTGCTTACTGTGTAGTAGGGCTCAGTCTTACCTTATCACTTCTTCCGAAACTTCTCGTCAAATTCAGGCGTCCTGGATTTCCGGAACACGTCCGTCCCGTATGATCCCTCATTCCAGCTGCTCTCGAATGCAAGCTTTGTTGTCTTTGACCAACAGCGAGGTTTGCATTACCTCGGGTCACCGACCAATGATTTCGTCTTCAAGGTATCTGACGCGGTTCACGAGGCACCTGTCTATGTATCGACACAGAACAAGCTGTACATCTCTCAGCTAGCACCTCCAACTGGCTTTCTACCTCAGCTTGTTGTAGATCTGAACCCCAGTATCCCAACATTGTCAGAGTATCTTCCGAACCCGCCGGTGTACGCACCAAACGGAGGCACGTCCTACGGTAATGGTACGCTCATATTATTCGCAGCTAGCGGTGGCAACAGTAGTATTGGAGATCCGCCAACGGAGCAACGAGTCTCTCTTCGTGTGCTTGATCCTACTACGAATCAGTCTACCGTGCTATTGAACAATTACTTTGGTTCATATTTCAATAATATGGATGATGTTGTTGTCCATCCTTCTACTGGATATATCTATTTTACAGATCCTTACTACAGGTGGGATTCCTCCCCGTCATATCAGTACACGACTAACAGTGGCTGAAGTTGGTATAATGCTCTTACAGACACAGCTCCACAGCTTCCGACAGCGTCATATCGCTTCGATCCCACCACTGGCGCAACCTTCTTGATCGATGATACTCTTCTTCAGCCCAACGGAATAGCAATCAGTCCAAACGCCGACACCTTGTACATATCTGATACCGGCGCGGTTCAGGGCTCTGCCGATCCAAATGCTGCAGCACAGTACCGCGGAACTACCTTCAATGCGACACGTCCAGCAACAATTTACGCCTTCGACCTGGCAAACAACGGCACGAAGGTGTCTAACAAGCGTAGCTTCTACCTAAGCTCAAGCTGGGTACCGGATGGGTTGAAGGTTAGCAGGGAAGGTCTTCTTCTTACAGGGGCTGGCCGCGGTGTGGACGTTATCGATGACGTTGGAAGATTGTTGTTCAGGATTCAAACAAACTACACGGTTCAGAATTTCGCCTTTGTCGGCGAGGACTTGAGAGAATTATGGATCATGGGAAATGGAGGGATTAGCAGAGTCAGAGGACTAAACATTCAGGGGCAAAAGCTCACTTAGTATGGAACAATAGGAAATGAAGATTCCTAGGGAGTATGCACGTGCAAGGGATATTTGATAGTAGCGACGACCTTGGAGCGGACCAAGCCGTTGTGCAACATGAGAACTGCAAGCACTTGAGTAGTAGGAAGGCCTCTTTGTGACCGAGAACGTTGGGGTTGTGCTAATGTAATATTCGTCAAATTGAAGTCCACATTAGAGTACGATATTCTGCTTTCCCTTTGGATTAAGGGCCCAGTGCTCCGATTGAAGACCTCGGTGCGATAGGCATCGCCTTGACGAGGTTGGATGTCACTGCCCGCGATGAGTAGCTGTGCCCCCATTAAGGAAGTGGGGTCGATCGCTCAATTTTTGTTCGCTATTGGCTTTTCAGCAATTGCTGGAGGGTGAGCTACTGTGGCGCAGGAAATGAAAAGCACACCGCGCCTCGCGAAGCTGGTCGGCGCGTTGTCACCTGACTTGGCATGCCCTAGGGTGGAACCAATCAGACAATTCCTGCACCCTCTTCGTTGCCATCTCAACACTACAACACAGAACCCAAAGCGACGCGATGACGACCGCAGCCCCCGTAGGGCTCTTGCCTTCCGCTATTGTCCTGCAATCAATTGTGGCATGTCCGCTAAAGGATCGCGAACCGTTGGCGGCCAAATTGGGCAAATTCGAGAAGAAACTCTTCCCGTCGAGTGAGGCCTTCGACTACGGCGTGGAGCTGAAGAAGAAGAACATTGGAATAATTTTAGCCTTCAAGGAGGGAACTCAAGAGCTCGTCGGTTACCTCGTCTATCAAAGACAGAAAAGCCTGGCCTGGCTACACAAGCTGGCCACCATCGAGCAAGAGAGACGCAAAGGTATCGCCAAAAGTCTCGTGGGATTCCTGTGTCAGCAGATGAAGAAAGGAGGCTGTCGAACAATCGTTTTGTGGGTGGATGAGGCTCGCAGCCCAGCCAGAGCACTGTACGCATCCTGTGGGTTCCAGCAAATTGAGCGGCTCACTGACTACTACGGTCCTGGGAGGACCGCTCTCAAACTGGAGTTGAATGTCGCGGAATGTTGAGCACGTCTCAACGAACGAACGGGTTGACAAAATCGCCGCCTCCAACACGTACGGCCGAGAACTTGAGGGCACTGTCGTGCGAATGCTGACACTGTGGTCTTGCATGCGTTTGATTAGTGCTTCGCATTCGCTTATGGACCTTGTGCGTGGCACGGCCGCCCCAGGATGCATCTTACCGGCAAAAGGATATACCTTTACCGGGACTCGTGCAGTTCTTGCCGATAGCTTACAGTAGAAAACCGGAACGGATGCTTCGTGCCTGTACGCTCATCAACTTGGAAGTCTTTGCAAAAACGCTTTAGATCGCAACGTACCGCACCAACATCTCACAATGCACGAAAGTGGGAGACAAGAGACAGAAGGCATTCCCACAGTGGCTACCTCTCCACTTGAGCTGGCGACGCAACGACCAATATCCAGGATATCACTTACCTTTGATGCATCGCAAACTGTTCAAGAAGATGAGCCATCAACTACTTCGAATCGACCGAATGTTCGTATTCCCAAATGGAAGCTTATATCGCTCTACGTCAGGTACGAGACTACCCAGCCTTATAGTGATACCTCCCAAGTAAAGGTTACTTACTCTGTTGTCTTTCCTCGGTTCATACGATTTACTTGTATCCTTGCCGAGGAACTCTCTTGTGGATGCCATCTAAGTATTGAGTCTACAGTATTTGTGCCGGGCTATTCCTCGCTTTCCTTGACACATCCATTGTCGCAACTGCTCTATACACCATCGGAGAGGAGTTCCATTCGCTCTCCAAGATCAACTGGATAGCATTATCGTATACGTTGGCTTATTTGGGATGCACTGCTATATTTGCTTCTTTGTCAGATGTTGTTGGTCGCCGCAATGCATACATTGCTGCATCAACACTGTTCATTGCCTTCTCCCTAGGCTGCGGTTGGGCTCAGGATCTCAATCAGCTCATCGCGTTCCGTACGTTGCAAGGCATTGGTGGAAGCGGACTTTACAGCATTGGCTTTATCATTCTACCAGAGATCAGCAGCGTGAAGATGGCACAAATGATTGGTGCTTTGGCTGGCGGTGTCATAGCCATGAGCGGCATTCTGGGCCCTATCCTCGGGGGCATTATTACGAATTACACTACCTGGTAAGTCTCCTCGGTGCAACGTGGGTGTATAATATTCTTGCAAGGCGAAAAAAGGTTCGACACTCGTCGCTACTTTTACTACATCAAAGATCTGTGTACACCGTGCTGTCTCAGCATAGGCGAAGCATGCGCCGTTTGTACTCAGGCCTTTGGCTTAGTATTGTAGCCGTGAGACGCGCAAAGCACGTCCTTGTGTGAGAAACACGCTGACCTTGTACCTCTGAGTGCGGCAGGAAATGGATATTTTGGATCAACGGTCCTATCGCTATCGGACCTTCCATCTTGTTTGTTCTTGCGTGGCCGAACGAAAAGCAACTTCCACCAATAGAGCTACGCCCGTTCCGCCAAATGGACTTTCTGGGCTGCTTTTTGCTGATTGCAGCGATTGTCCCGTTCGTATTCGCTTTCCAAGAGGCTGGCATACACATCCTCTTGAACAGACAGGTGTGGAATTCAGCCATCTTCGTAGCGCCACTGGTCGTAGGAATCATGTGCTGGATTGCTCTGTTTGGGTGGGAATACATTGTCTCGATCCACAGGTCCGCATCCATCAACGCACTATTCCCGTTACGTCTTGCCAAAAGCAGAGTCTACCTATCTGCTGTCGCTACAACCATGATGTCAGGCTTTCCTTACTTCGTGGTTATCTATTCGCTACCAACTCACTTCCAGGTCGTCAATGAACGAAGTGCACTCGTATCTGGCATTGCTCTTCTCCCTTTGCTTGGCACCTCCGCAATTGGCACCACACTTGCTGGAGCATTTTCTATGAAGAAGAACAATACATTTCCGACAATGATGACAGGCGCAGCGCTGATGCTGATTGGTACTGCAGCCCTGTCTACCCTTGGCAGTGAAACGGATACAGAAGCGAAGGCTTATGGTTTACAAGTTTTTGTCGGACTTGGTTTCGGCTTGATCATCAGCACATCCAGTATGATAGCCAGCTTGGAGAGCGAAATCAGAGATAACGGTAAGTTTCTTCCGGTGTCGAAGAAAGACATAGCTAAGCATTGAATTACAGCCGTCGCTCAAGGTCTTGTCGCACAGGTCCGCGTACTTGGTGGTAGCATTGGTATTGCAGCTTCCTCTGTTATCCTGAGCATAAAGCAGCGACAAATGCTTCTGGAAAGTGGATTACTCACACCATCTCAGTTGCAGTCCCTACGGAACGCTATGTCAACACTTTCAGCAGGCGAGGTTCGTGTTGTTAAGCAAGCATATACTGATGCGTTTGATGAGACTCTCGTCGTTTGCTCGATCTTTTCGGGGCTCTGTGTGCTCGTTGCACTTGGATCTTGGCGCAGACACCCGCTCAGCATACGAGAAATGCGCGAGGAGCAGTTCAGGAAGGAGGCTATCAGGCAGCGAGCCCTCACGGAGCTGCGAATTCCGGAGAATGCAAAGGGACCAAAAGATGGATCGATGGCATGAGATTTGGGATCCTGGATGTCTTTCTCGTGGTGAGAATCAAACCTTTAATCTTCTCCAAATACAAGTCGTAGCTGTGATCAAATGTCTGTATTTATCAAAATCAGGATACTAAGAGAGATTCACTACGGCAACGGCGGTCCCCTCGTTGAAGTCACGAGCGCTCTTCACCGTGGCTATGATGTTCCGTCCACGCTCTCGCCGTTGATAACGCCCGCAATGAGATGACTCGCTCTGGCACCTAGCTTCCCCCAAAGGGATACTCTTGCTATTGATTTGGGGCAGAATCAGAAAGCAACGTCGCTGGAAGCATGCTGTGGCATATACGGCCTGGCAAAGGTGATACCAATGTCTTTTCTTTCGTTGTACCCTGTAGTCAACTGACTCTGTTCTCTAGAAGGATGGCCGACCCTGGTCTCATGCATGCCCTTCTGGCTGAACGGCTTGGGGTTAATGGCCGTGACAAGTTCTATCAGCTTCAGTGCTTCAGGTATCGCATCCATGACCAAAGCCTCCGTCTTCCCGACGCAATCCTCCGATTTTACGTCAACCACACCCATCGTGTGCCGTAGGCCCTACACCTCATCGGCATCGATGGGGTCAATCTGATACTGTCTCAGTTCGTCGGTGATGACCCACTACTCGCGATGTCGGAGCTCGATACGGACGACATAGAAGGCCTCAAACAATTCTGCAGTAAGCGACACAAGACAAAGCCTATTTTCCAGCTGACATAGTATACAGAACTGTTTTACGTCAGCCCTCCTTGAAGCAGTCCTTTGCGACTACTCTAGCCTCAAGTGAGATCCACCGAACACCTTCAACGTCAGGAACCGGGCAAGGATTCCACTGCCATCAACCCCAACTCATCAATTCAGGGCACCTGCGATTCCGCAAGGTCCAAAGCCAGTCCACACGAACAATTCTGCATCCACTAGTTGCAGACCATCCTCGATCTGGACCATGGCCAGACGCGAGTCTCCGAACACCAGACCTCCGCCCTCGGCCATCTACCGCGGGGGACGTCGTCACGGAGTAATGAATCCTTCAGCATACGGAGCCCACTATAACTTCAACTTGGCACTCTGTTATTACGTCTTTGGTACAAGGAAGAGGTGTCCAGCTGGCAAAGATTGCCCGAATCGCCACCACTGGTTCAACCTCAGTGAGGTGCGTTGGATCCGCTTGATTGCAGCCAAGGTCGCATGGGACCGCATCAGGAACTCTTGGGCGCTGCCAGAACCTCCGGTTCTCAGAACTAGGGTTGTTGAGTAGCGTGCTTGGAGAAATATGGGAAAAGTCTAGTGGCACAGTCTCAGGACCGTTGGCTCTGTGCCACCGATCTATGATGCTGAGGAGAATCTGGGTTCCTAGCACGGTTTTATGCTGCTAGGGTTTATTCCTGATTCCACGAGATTAAATCAGTATTTACCGGATTTATCAAAGCCATCTTCTTGAGCTCACGGACCGCTGGAGTGAGGAGAGTGAATATTGAGGTGTATTTCGAGTCATGTATTGTGCTCATCACCTACATAGCATCCATTATACGAAAAAGCCAGCATGGACTCCGTGCGACAAGTTGCAAAGCCAAATTTGGCACTGCCAGGTCTAAATCGCGTCCCGCCAACCAGTTCGCTAGTCGTTGGTAATCCGTGTCTCACTAAGTCGTCCTCAAAGCTCCCGTTGCGCAATTGATCCGTCTACGAGACCTCCTCAATCTTCTTGCTGCTGCTAGAGGCCTCTGCCTTGTCGTCGCTTTCGAGCGCAGGCATGTCATCGTCGTCCTCATCGTCGCTGCTCTCGCCCTCACCCTCAAGGCCCTCCATGCCAGGAAGACCTCCTGCGGCCTGAGCAGCGCCAAGCTTACTGAAGTCGATGCCGCCGAATCCACCCTCGCCGCCGCCGCCCATGGGGTTCATCTTGGACATGTAGTCCTCATCATCGGGCGCCTCATCCTGCTCGTCCTCATCGACCCACTGTAGAAAGTCAGTGATATTTCCCGAGTCAAGCGACATATGACATTAATGCACACGTCAATAAGGTGGTGCGTACCTTGTCGAAGTTGGTCTTCAAGAAGTGCATCTTCTTGTTGTCCTTGAGCAGCCTAGGCCAGAACTCCTCCTTGAGCTCCTTCTTGCGCAGCACCAGCTCAATATCGCGGCCGGTGTGATGGATCTTGGACTCCTTGGGGTCGATCTCGGCGAAGAACTCGAGCTCGAGGGCATATGTGACTTTCTTAGACGTTGAGGTGCCCTTGAAGATGAGCTTGGTAGGTTGCAGGTCGAGCTGCTTGTCTGACTCGGGCACATCGGTAGCGACGATGGTGAGGAAGATGTAGTTCTTCTCCGGCTCGGAGGTCGATGAGCGCTGTGCCCAGGTGACTGGTACATGTCAGTTGAGCTCAGCTTAGGATCCCCGCAACATAAAAATCCACAAGGGCTGCAGTGGTGCATGCATGTGCGAGACTCGAAGTCGAAAGTTCGCGGCGCTCAAGTCTTGCATGCGCGGTTATCGGTGCGTTTAGACGCCATATCGCAGGCATGCGCAGGCAACCCGGGCGTGTACTGATGCGGAGTGTATTTGGGAAGGCTGCAGCTTACCTTCGGGGGTGATGGTAGACATATTGGAGGCGCGGAGTGTGTGGTTAGGGGAGCGATTGGTCGTTGTACACGTGTAGAAGGTAGCGTCGTCAACGGGTTCGTGAAAGTCGTTTGATGTAGGCGGTTAAGGTTGGGTGGAGGGAGAAGAAATGCGCAGGAGCTGCAAGTAGTAGACTAGCGCGGGCGAGGCTGGTGGAAAGTAATGGAAGCTGTGTAGAAACTCAGCCCCGCAACCAATGGTTGCTTTATCCAGTTGCAAGCTTGTCTGTTTATGCAGCTTGCACGCAAAGTCGCAATCCTGCACCAATTGAAGATGTTTGGCAGCCGCAGGCGGTGAGGGCGACCAATTTTCGCAGAGTCTCTGGTGGCCTGTGGCGGGCGGGCTGCGTCTGCCTGCCCCGCGAACGCCAACGTCACTGCGCTTGGGCCACGACGCTCTCTCGCCGAAGCGTAGTGAGCGATTCCGAGGCTGCCCATGGACACTCCCCTCCCCCGTGAAGCATCGCGCATGCGCCCTCAACCGCCGCTTCAACCTTCGCACGTCCACTGGCAACCTGTCGATCAAGTGCACGCGCCCGTAGAGTTCTGCGTCGCCCTGCCCAGCCCCACGCTCCCAACCATTGTGCTCAGCTATCGACTGCATCCCGCAAGTCGGCGCCCGTGATCGTAACCAAGGAACACCCGCCGCCCGACCGCTAGTCGGTTCCACCTGGGCAAACCGACCATGGAGACCATTCGCGGTCTCCTCTGGAAACCGACGCCGGAAGAGCAGGTCAGTAACGGCGCCTACCGCCCTTCCCCAGCACCTGCCTGATCGCGTCGCAGAAACGCAAATGCAATGCGCTCGTCCGGCAAAACGTGCGCAAGCTCGACCGAGACATCATGCAGCTCAAGCAGACCGAGGCCAAAACGAAGAACTTCATCCTCCAATCGTCGAAGCGCGCTCAAAAGAACCCGTCCATGGCCAAGCAGGCTAACCAAGATGTCCGAACCTTCGCGCGTGAACTTGTGCGCGTACGAAAGCAAAGTAGCCGACTACAGACGAGCAAAGCCCAGCTCAACTCAGTGCAGATGCAGGTCAACGAGGCCTTCTCTGTGCGCAAGATCGAGGGCAGCATACGCGCCTCCACAGGCATCATGAAAGATGTGAATACGCTTGTACGACTGCCGGAGCTGACGGGGACCATGCGGGAGCTCTCTTCTGAGCTTATGAAGGCCGGCATCATCGAGGAGATGGTGGGAGACACGCTCGACGACAGCGCATTGATGGAAGGGGAAGACGAGGAGGCTGAAGGCGAGGTCGATAAGGTCTTATCGGAGATACTGAAGGACAGATTGCCACCAAGCAAGGCAGCCGAAGAGGCGCTTCCTGCCGCGCCAGTCGAGGCAGAGGAGGAGGAAGAAGACAACGAAGAGATGCTGAGACAAATGAGGAACCGTCTGCAAGCTCTACAGAGCTAGCGTTTGCGAGTCACATGCGGCATGGTCTTATAGAAGTCAGGCATGGGTGGTGTTTTACGGACATGGAGCGATTGATGTTTACGGGTTTATGTGTAGCCTATTTGGAGGCATTTTGATTTCTAACATTTGAAGGTCTATGGTGAATCATGTGGATGTAGACGCAAGTCTAAAGAAGGCCCTCCATTATCATGCAGCCGGCGACTTGATACCATAGGAGTCGAATGGAAAGTTCTCTAGTGTGTCATGCAATCTCCCAAAACCATCGTCCACCTCTCCAGGCAGGCCTACTTTCCGTTTGCCCTCCTCCACTTCCACCTCTGTCCGCTCCAGCTGTTGTTCCTCATCCTCCTTGTGTTCTCCAGTCAGACCTGCCAACACCTCTTTCTCCTTGCCCTTGTATTCGTTCAGCAGTCCCGGGTGCGGACACCACACCACCTGACAGCCCGCCCTTCTTCCCGACTCGACACCCGGTACACTGTCTTCGAATACCAAACACTCCTCCGGTTGCAATGGCTTCTCTCCTCGCTCCTCGAGAGTCTTGTTTAAGGTAGACAACGCAAGCAGGTAAATATCCGGCGCTGGCTTTCCTCTTCCCGGTGGTATTCTCTTGTCATCTCCCAGCACTTTGTGCTCGTCCTTGAAGTATGTATCGAAAACCTCCTTCAGGTGTCCCGTCTTCAAATCATAACCAAACCGATGGCTACTCGTTGCAAGCGCCATGTGTACGCCCCGCTCCTGCAGTCCCTCCAATAGCTCCACCACGCCCGGCAGCCAGCTCGTCCTAGGAAAAAGCTCCATTTGCAGCTCCTGCTGCTCCTTCTGGAATTGCTCCACGGGGATGGGGAGCTGGGCCCAGGCGCGGAAGATCTCGTAGGCTTGGGCTCCGGGGCGACCTTGCAGTTGTGCTTTTACGGACCACGGGAGGGAGGGACGATCGTAGCGTGCGAGAAGAGTATTGGTGACCTCGGTATAGAGATCTTCGGAGTTGATAAGGAGGCCGTCCATGTCGAAGAGTGCAGCGCGAATTGGCGGGGGCGAGGTGCTAGAGTAACACATTAATAAGTTTTGCTATGTGTAGAGAGGAAGGCATACTTGCTGGAGCCCATGTTGGCGAACTATGGTAGGGAGTACAAGGAAAACACTTGGTATTGGTATGATTCAGGGTCTCAACTGTACGGGGGAGAAAAGTTGGGGTCATCGGCAAACGCTGTACCCCACCACCGATGGCTAGCTTCCCTCGCGGTTTAGCGGCGGACGTCACCGCGAGGTTGAGGTGCGACAACAGAGGGCCATACAAAGCCAAACAAGCTTCTCGAGCATCATCTGAGCATCTTTCGCGATCGCGACGCTTTTTGCAGGATGGAACCTTCCTCGCCTATGCGTCCTGCAACGCAGAGCGTCCTCGACTCCACCGAGCCCGAAATATTTTCACCCGAAGAAGAGAAGGCGCTGCTCGAAGAATCCAACACGGAAAAGGCAAATGCAAACAAGGGGTTTACTTCCGGTGAATACAACTCGGCAATTCAGGGCTACGAGAAAGCCCTAGCTGTGTGCCCGACCTATCTTGAATACGACATTGCCGTCCTCCGCTCCAACATCGCCGCATGCCACCTGAAGCTCGAGGAGTGGAAGCAGGCCGTGGAATCAGCAACGCAAGCTCTCGAGGCGCTGGACGCCATCGATCCGCCCGCAAGCACGGCTGATAAGGATGGAAATACGGATGACACCGGCGAGGGCAAGGTCGGGGAGGTCGACGACGCGACGGAAGTCCGCATCACGGCGCTCACGCGGACGGGCAAGACAATAAACGACGTTCACAAGCTGCGCACAAAAGCGCTACTCCGGCGCGCGAAGGCAAGGCAGCAAGTGGGAGGCTGGTCGTCACTACAAGGTGCGCTGGAGGACTACCAAGCGCTGTCGAAGCCGCCGCATCAGCTGTCGAGCTTGGACCGGAAAACCGTGCAGACTGCTCTGAAAGAGCTGCCGCCGAGGTTGGATGATGCGAAGAATACGGAGCTGGCGGATATGATGGGCAAGCTGAAGCAGCTGGGGAACGGGATATTGAAGCCTTTTGGGCTGAGCACAGACAACTTTCAGTTCACAAAGGATGAGTCGAGTGGGGGCTATAGCATGAACTTCAACCAGGGCGGGAAGTAAGCAAGAGGGAAAGAGGGACGTGACCATGATAGGAGATTCGGAGGGATCGCCTCTCAAACGATCGAGCGGTAGAGACGGTGACAGTAGACGATGTGCCGTGTTCGTCCTTGCCAATGAAGTCTACATCTGGAAAGCTCCCTTGGAAATGTTCTGACAGCACAAGGGTCAAATCAACTTTCTTGGCACCTCCCGCCGTGGCGGAAACGGCAAGGGTGAGATTGAGCAAACTCAATGGGTGAGGTCTTGGTCGATAGATGTGAAATCATACGACTACTCGTTGGACGATATGATGGTTATACGTCTGCTGCCCAATCCGATCATCCAAAACAGGTATCCACATACACGACTTCAGCACCCCCTGCAAGTCCTTCCACGATCCCACATGGCACTTCTTAGTCCATCTCTTCAGCCCCTCGCCCAGCCAGTCTTCCTCAGAGACATTGAATATCGAAATAGCACCCACCATCAGCAACCATAAAGCGACCTGCGAGGGAGGCCTTTGGGCCGCAGGTCTGACTTCGCAGACTTGGAGGTGGGTCCGGTATGCTTGAGATAAGGGATTCCACGGCAACTTGACCCGTTGGCCTTGCAAAAAGACATGATGCGTGTACACGAGGAGACCTAGCCGCACGGTCTCGTCCCAAGAGCCCATGACGAAGCTCATGTGGAGCAGACGGTACATGGCCGATGTCATGGCTCTGTATATGGTAGAAGGATGGAATTGACTTCGTGTCTGCGCTGCTAGGCTGACCAGGAGGCAGAATTTCCTCACGGCGAGCCATACCTCGGCTAGGTCTGGGCTCAAGACGTAGAGAAATTCGGGATTGGGGATTACGTCGAAACTTGACATCATCTGGTTTGGGAACCTGTGCGTCGTCTCCCCAGCTCCGCAGCAAAAGACGGGATCGGTACCTGTGACTAGTGCAATACTCAAGTCGCACCTGAAGAAGTCAGCACGATCAAATGGACACGTGCACAACTACGTACCTCAAAATCTCCATGAGAAATCCCGGGTTCATTTCCAAGGCTAGTAGCCCACCCCTCAATTCTATCATCTTTCCCAACCCCCGAATATGCTGCTTGGCTGTATCAGCGTCGCCGTGGAACAATGCAGCAGTGGCGAGGTCTAGGACTGCGCCGATCGTTGCATCCGATATCTTTGCCTCACTATCAGTTCCGCGTAGTCTCTCGCGGAGAAGCTCGAGACCCTTCTGAAGATGCAGCATCGAGACTTGGTTGACATTGCTCTCTGGCTGTTGGCGTAAGACTCTGTCAATGAAGCTCTGTGTTGCAAAGGCGCCAATGTAGAGTGCGACGGGATCTCGCGCGCTTGGATGCAGCCACGGGAGTTTGTCATGCTCGAATCCGACTTCGGCCAGCAGAGGGAAGAGGATCTGGAGAGCCACACCCGATACTTTGGCTGAATCAGTGAAATTGAAATCAATAGCAGAGCGATACTGACCCTGGTCCATGTCGCGAAAGAGCCGAGGGTCTACATCGTCAGGAAAGCCAATAAAATATAAGCGTGCATCAATGCGTTCTGGCGATGGAGCTGTATATAGCTTCTGTAAGTCGTTCAGCTCGACTTGCGACCTCCTAAGGCGATTTGCAGGGTTCTGGGCAAGACCCAGAGTCGAGGACGATTTTCCTTTGGCACGCTTTGCATTCCTTCCACGCATGACATGGCTTCGAATGAGTTTTCGGGTTGCATGGTCGACTTTTGTTGTATCGAAAGAGACGATGAAAGGCAGTTCGGTTGGTAAATCGGCGCCTGGCTCTGTGGGTCTGCTCATGTCCACGACTTGGTACGCCTGTATTGCTTGCTTCTGGTAAACATGAAAAGAGAAGGCTGGGCACAATGTGCAGAAGCGATCAGGGCGGGTCTAGGGACGAAAGCACATTGGAAGGCAGACGCGTGAGCTAAAGGGCGCAGCCCTTACTGCCTGACGGGGGTTTGGCACCATATCCTGGATGGATTGTCAAGGCGAACGAGAGCTGAGGGGCGGGACAGTGAAAGAGCATCCCACCCAAGACAGCATCATGTCTCTGGAGCGGAGCCTCGATGCCGGCCCTTGTGCAACGGCGTGCGGGTGCCGTGGCGGCGGTAGTGTGCTGACGCGCTAGCACCGGCCATTGCATCACTCGACTCAGGCGAGTGCGTTTGGCGAGTTCCCCCACCAAAGCGGGCGGTGTGTGAGCTTTGGCAGAATTTCTGCGACGCCAGATCCAATCCACGACCCAGCGCGACTGCAGCCGCGGACCATGGGGAGGCGCCCGAACCAGCTGATCCTCGAGTTTTTCGAGCGCGGCCCCAAGCTCGAGGATGCCAGCAACCGCTACCAGCACACGTGCAAGTCGTGCGGCGAGAAGGTGAGTCCCTCCGGCCGTGCAGCCCCATCGCATTTTCGCTTGCTGACTGACTGCTGCGGCAGTTCCCCAAAGGCCGCATAGACTCGCTCACAAACCACCTCGTCAAGAAATGCCCTGCTCTTCCCCTTCGCGACCGGCAGCGCGCCCTGCTGCAGATCCACGAGCTGCCCGACCTCCCCGCCCTCGCCCCGCCTGCGACGGGCCCCATGCACGCCGCCCAGGCTATGAACCTGCCCTTCTCGCCTTCCAAGCAGGGGCTGTCCGCGCTCGAGACACTGGCTGAGGTCTCGCGACAACACCTGAACCTGTCTGGCAAGCGAGCCGCGCCGAAGCAGCCCCAGGACCCGCCGGCCCAGCAGCAGCAGTCGCCGCAATCACAGCAGCCCCACCACCACCACCACCTGCAACAGCAGCATTCCCAAGCACACGTCGGGACCCTACAGGACCACCACCAGGGGCTGTTTGAGGAATACTTGGTCCACGACGACCGTCCGGAGAGCGATCTCAGCGCACTGTCCCAGGGCCTGGATATGCCGCATGCGCCTGCCTTGCCGTCGATATACCAGTTCAACGGGCCACTGCACCACTCGCCGACGGGCTCGCCGCATATCGGTGGTATGCCAATGCCCAGCTCAGCGCCCATGGCCCAGATGGTCCCGTCTCTCGTCATGGCAGCATCCGCTGCGAACGACTTGCTTCCGCTCAACTCCGGTGGCCTCACGCTGGAGCCAGAGCTCAACATGAACATGAACAACCCTGCCATGTCCGTCTTCCAGAATCGCCCAGGCCAATGGCACAACTCAATCGACCCTCTGCTTCCAGAGCAAGCAAACACCAAACAGCACGTTGCCATCGACGAGAATGCTCCCAAAACCCCCTCGCATCCTCGTCCAATCGCAATCAATCCAAATGGTACCCAGTCGCACTTTGGAACTGACTTCAGCGTCAGCCACAAGTCTGTCAAGCCAAAGGTGCGAGGTCGCTTCACCGACACACGCCGAAAAGAGGTCCAAGAGGTGCGCAAACGGGGTGCTTGCATCCGATGTCGCATGCTCAAGAAGCCCTGCTCGGGAGACAATCCTTGCAACACGTGCCAAAATGTTGAAAGCGCACGCTTGTGGAAGCAGCCATGCATACGTACGCGGATTGCCGACGAATTCAACGTATACTCTGCTGGTCTACACGCGGTACTTTCCTTCCACGCAGTTAGTCAGGCCAAGGGCCAAATACGGCTCAATCAGATACCCGGTCGAATAGAAGCGACTCACTACCCAGACTCCGGCATTGTTGCTACTTTTACGCCGCTGAAGTGTCTCACACCCACCGACATTGATCCGGCTATCCTTGCCGCCGTCACTGCCTCCTCCCTAGAGATCATTGATACCGAGGACGACATCAGCGGCAAACTGGACCTGTACGTCAAGCAGATTGTACCTTCATTTTTTGAATCAGAAGACTCCACCTTCATGAGATCTACGATAAACACAGCTTGTAGTGTCAACTCCACAAATCAAGATGGTCTTCTCACTAAAGCCCTGGAGCTATGGAATCTCACACGAATACTCAACTCGCCCTCTTTGCACTGGCACTTCTTCTCAAATCCCTCACTAGCCCCAACAATGGCTCCGCCTACCATTACTCCATCGGACTTGGAGACGATAAATCGAACACCCATCTCCAAAGCCCACAATCAACTGTCTTACAACCTCATCAAATCACAACTGATGGGTGCCACAGAAAAGCGCGCAGCATGTCTAGCTCGGACTGTCATGAACGATCTCGAACGCCGTCTTCTCCAGCGCCAGCAGGCGAACCCATTTGAGACCTTCCTCGTCGCTGTGGTGCTATTGGCATGTGTGGAGCGCATGTGCTGGCTCTTCCGCACATGGGAAGAACAGCATGAACAATCGTCATCGAGCACGGGGAATACAAACCAAACCTCTGCGGACGAAACCCTCGCGCAGTCTCAGCAGTCTTCCCTAGCAGATGACTTCAGCCACTCCTACCGTAATCCTAGGTGGCCGCTCGACAAGCCTCCCGCGTACTACTCGCAACAAGGCGAGCGCTTCAGTGACATATTGTTCATGCTGTTGAAGATGCGGAGTGTGCCGCCCAGACCTGAGCCAAGGTCTACTGATGGTGTGTTGACTATCTTTGGCGAAGCTGGGCACGAGCAGTCGCGCGAGTGGTACGAGGCCGTTGGTGTCACACATGAGCTACTGGCTGAGAGACGGGACGCGCGCTTCGTGGGCGAGGATCCGAAGGAATGGGAGCTGAAGTATGTTGGGAAGATCATCTCAGGGCTATGACTATATCGTCACGCGGCTCGTCGATGGCAACAGCGCAATGATTTTCATGTTATGGAGTATCGCCACAACGGGCGGCTATATAGGTTTCTGATCATTGGAGGTTCACGGAAGGCACGAAACGACACGACTGGGCGGTGTACTGATCTTACGAGCCATGAGCGGATGATACCCACACCGGAATACATATATACAAATGCAGAATTGAGATACATCCTTATTCAATCTAAGTTTCAAACTTGAGTAGTGACATAATTTTCCAGACTCGCTCTGGGATGAACCGACACAACTGATTCATAAGCCTAGGTGCTGAGTGACACATCCGCTCACGACAATATGGACACCGGCGATAGATTGTTAGCTAGAAAACTTGGAGCCGTATAGTAGTAGCTCAAGTTATCCTAGGCGCTACTACTGTTTCTTCACTACTATGGGTATCGCCTTAGATCCGGACTTTCCCATGTCGCGAGAGAACGTCTTGGGATAATGCAGGCCATGAACAATTTTGACTGCGCAGTGAGCACTTACGAACTACACTACCCTACTCGTCATCCACGCCGAACTCTCCACCTACTCTGTCCACCAACTTTACCAAGCCCGAAAACACCTCTCCATCTCCCCTGCTCACCCCAAGTGCTCGAATAAACAGCGGATACAGCCTGTGCAAATGCTTCCCGAATTTGCTCTTCACACCCTCGGCATCAGGAATACTTGCCGGCTCGCTTTTTAGCTTCCCTAGCTCACGCAGCACGAACAGGAGCTCCTGCCGCTGGCTCTCGGGCTGCGGCATGCGGCCTCGGAGCGGGTGGTCGGCAATGTAGGCGCGCAGGGGCAACGCACAGCGCAAGATAAGGTACGGTGCTGCGGCTTGCGCAAGTTTGACGCGTGCGGGCCTATCTTCCGCGTGGCTATCCTGATGCGCAACAAGAGCGAAGAGCTCGGAAAGAGCGGTGTAGGACATGTCTGGGCGGAATGTGGGCGTGGGAGCATCTGTACGACCAAGACGTACTTTGTAGAGATCTTCGAGCGGGGAGGAGGCGAGGTCGGGGATCTCGTCGTCGAAGGGAGCGTGGAGTAGGGAGGTTTCGAAGAGGTTGCGGGTGTGGGTACGCCGGAGGGCGTCTGGGAGGGAGGGAGAACCGAGAGGAAGGGTGACGAGAGATTTAAGCTGAGTGAATGCTGAGATGTCGAAGGTCTCATCTTTTTGGAGGGTTGAAGGGTAGATGGAGAGTTGTGCGCGGATGACGCCGTTGATTATGGCGGTGATTTGGGTCCAGGTGGGTTGGAGCGCTTCACCTTCCAACTCTTCGATATGTGAAAGGGTGGTCTCAAGAACAGCGACAGCAGTCAAAGTGGCCTTCTGCCAGAGGGTTGGAGGCTTGCCTTCTCGCTGCCACAAGTATTTTTCTCGAACAGGTTTCTCCAGACTCGTGAGAACAGCGAGAAGTGCACCGTCAGTGTAGATCTCGTGATCAGAGACGTGTTTGGTGACGATGGTGTGCAGTAGCGCCATCGACTCTTTGGCGAGTGCAACAAATGTAGGCCCCGGTTGCTCTGGTTTCCTTGAGTAGGGGAGCGTAACGAAGCTACTGAGAGTTCGTAGAAGATACTCAGGAAGTCCCTCGCTTTCAGTGTGCACCAAAGAAAAGCACTCTATTACTTGGGACTGGAGTGCTGTCATGTTGTCAACGTCTGATGAGTATGGTATATCATCTGAGGCGACTACACAGGCTTCAAGATTGCGTAGCATCTGGATCAAATCCTCAGACTTCAGGAACTTATCAGCCAATCGGTAAATAGCCTTGAAAGCTGCAGCATATGCAATGAAGGCTTCTTGATTATCTTCCGAATTGTTGTGCCACATTTCGCGTCGCTCAAAATAGGTCTTCCACACTGTAGCTGTTTTCAGCAAAGGCATGGTACCCACTGCCTGTGCATTGCCTGCCCGAGAGAGGACTTCAGTGATGGTATTGAAGACGGAGGCGCCAAGAGCATGCGAACCGCAATCGAAGTATTTTTGAAGAAGGTCCAAGAGGTCGGCCCAGGCAAGTCCTAAGCTAGTCGCATCTTCCACTTTGTCCATGTACATCGAAATCGACTTGCTTATAGAGTGAAGTACGGTCTTTGTGGTACCGTTCCACGCCGCAACCTCATCGTCCGTGTTCAGAGCATCTGTTCGTATTCGAATTTGGACAGATAGATTGGCATTTACCATACCAAACAGTACGCTGCGAAGGCACAGCATCCATGCGTCAGGAGACAGCTGATCGACATAGTTCTCGAAAATGCGCTGAATGGTATGGATTGCAGAGTTACGGAGCTCTGCGCGCCGGTCTGTTGTTATAGTAGACAAATCTACGAGAACTTGGAGCCACAGTGCCGGAGCTATGCCTTCCTTTGACTTCAACTTGATAGTTTGCTGAACATCATCCCCATTTGCACTGACGTCTGCTATGCTTGGTAATTGCGATAGATCGCTTCTAGCATGTAAGAAGTCCGATACATTCCAGAAGAAGGTAACGGCCTTTGCTATATTAGGAAAAGATATTAGAGTGGCGATAGGAGGTACTCACAGTGAGGGACATATTCAAATCCTCCTGCTGACAAGAGAATTTGAGTAAAAGCTCAAGCAGCGTTGGTAGCGAAGTGTCGGGCACAACAGCCAGGAAGTCAGAACAGATGAGCTGGACCGTTCCAAAAGCTGTCCTCGCTAAGGTTTTTGAGATGACTTCGACAGCGACTGGGATCAACGCAAGCTCGGTAGACGTTGTGTTGTTCCCCTCAGAGGCTGAATTCGCAGAGAAAACACTCAACAAACTATCGAACACGGATACCCATCCAGCTATCAACGATTCGCCGCACTGTTCGATAACACTCTTGAGCGCAGCAAGCGCTATCTGATGAATTCGGATGTCAGCATCAGAGAACGAGCCATCCTCGTTATCATTTTGATGCAATGATGATATTTGCGTCTCTAAAGCGGAAAGAATCCGGACTTGGACCTCTTCGCGTTCTTCATCTGGGATGGATGACTGCGCGATGTCCTTTACCGTGCGGCATAGAATGTCTGCAGCGAGTAGCCTAGTTTGGGTTGCATTGCGATGGTTGGCTGAGTAATGGACAAGTTCAGTCACAAGAACATCCCAGCCGCTATCATCAGGCAGGTAACTGGCAAGTCTTTCTTCATTGAGGCCAGCAAGCTCCCCAATTTTGTTGAGCGCGAAGGCCGAATCTCGCGAATTTGCGTCAGTACTCAACGACATGCCAGAAACGCTCCCTAGTCGTCGCTGGTGAAGGACCTTCGGCCGTACAGCGTTGGATGGTGTCTGCTCGCCGCTCGGTGTGTTGTCGCTACTAGTCTGGATAAGCCCGCATAGCGCTTGTAAAACTTCTACAAAAGACTCATTAGGAAAGTCCGCCGTGCTCTCGAAAAGTCTACGAGCTGCTGATTGTACAGCCGAGGTCTCATTTTCGATCTTCTCAGAAATGTCCGCCTCGGTTCGGGCTCCAGAGACTGGTGTTCTCTGTCCACCCTGGCTTGAGTACGCCATCACTAGGTCTGCTACCTGAAGAGTCTCAAAAACTATTGACCAAGCTGAATGAAGCGTGGGTCCAAGAGCAATAGCAAGGTTGAGCAATGCCCGAAGACAAAGAAGGTTTCGAGCACCTAGCATCGGCAAATGATTCACTTCGTGCGACGGGCGCCGATTTTTATCCAGTGCTGATGCTGCCTGGCTGACCAGACTGTCGACATTCAGCAACCCTTTCGAGCCTGTCTGTTCAGCGGGTGGCAATTTTGGCGACGTGACATTGGCCATAACCATACTCGAAGGAACAGCTGCTTTAGCCAGAGTCGTCAGGAATGCGTCTCGAGGTGTCGGGAGCACGAGCAGACCAGCAACCTGTGTGACCTTCTGTATAGCCCGTACTAGAGCTCGGTAATAATCAGCATCCAGCGCTGCATTGAGAAATGTCGAGCATGTCGCGAGTATTGCAGGCCAACACTCTGTGACTAGTGTGGCTGACGTCTGTATATATGCATAGGCAGGGTGCTCTTCGAGAGACAGTGGGTTGACTGGGATTGTCTTCTTCCGAAAAGATTGGGTTCGCGACAATTTCCGTGAAGATGAAGGTGGCGACGCTGGGTCTCCTCCAGGTGTTACATATTCTTCGGCTTTGGTCTTCCTCTTGCTCTTCGTTTCGTGGTGCACGGTAAGAGGCAGGACAAACTTGGCCAAGCTCTCAGAAACGTTTGTAATGCATGTCAAGACCAAGCTATAGATGTACGTCTCCGGCATAGGTGGTGGCTCCGCCTTGTCGAGATGTTCAATACAGGGTGTCTTGAGATTACTCCATTGGGAGCTGATACCTGCATGATGGTTGTTCCCGCTGTTCTCGTTCGTAGGACCGCCTATCATACCAGCGAGAGCTCCGGCTTCGGCGACAGCTTGATCAGAAGCAATGTCTTTGCCGTCATTGCGATTCGCTGGAAGCGATGACTGCTGTCCAAGCCCGATCACGGCAGGTTTTTCGGTGGCCAAGCGAACGAAAGACGCCAAGTTATCTCCGAATATGTTCTTCTTTCCCTCTTGTTCATCAAAATGTGAATATATCTGTAATAGAAGGCGAGAATCTGAATATATGCCGCGAAATACTTCTAAGCACAATGCTCGTTTCCAAGAGCTTGACGCTTCTGGGTCAAGCATATGGTTTAATAGGCCAAGGGCAATCTCGCATTCTGAAGGCATGATTGTGAGGTGGTTGCGAATGAGTAAATTCAGTATCCGGATGATTCGTAGCGTGATAGGGAAAGACAATCGATCAGAAAGCGAGCGAATAATAGTCGGCATAAGCAAGGAACGAAGAACATGTGTATGTTCCGCATGCGTTGTCATGATCTTGGCGTGATTGGATAGTATCGCTTCAATGACCTCGAGGGTAGTTGTAGATGGCAATGGGGAGAATCGTACAAAGGTTGTCTTTTCGCCTGTAAGAAGAAGGTTCAAGTCGTTAAATACCTGAAAGATATGAGTATGATATTCAGCACAGTATAATGCGTCATACCTTCAGCGCATCGTGAGCCGCTGGTCTGACCGAGACAGTACCGTCGTCTGCAGGCACGTCGCTAACTGCGGGTATCTCGAGTGACTTCTCTACCAGAAAGTTAACAATCGTCGTTGGAAGAGTAGCAGACATCCTACCATCCTCTATTACAACCCTATCGAATACGGCTATAACCAGCTGTTGCAGTGTCGCTGCGGCCGTGTTGCTGACTGCAAAATTCTTGGCATTTTGAAGCGCGGAACAAGTTTGTAAGACAGTGGCCAGAGCATCACTACGGACCTCAGTCGGATAGTTCTGCACAAGTGACGGCAGGATCTGCAAGATTTTTAACTGCACATCATGGCCTTCACGACGTTAGTTATTTTCGTGGCACTATTGGTGGCATTACTTAGTGTAACGGAGTCCTTCAATGCATCGAGGACTTCAGTCAATCGTTCCCTTGGTAGTGCCTTGGAAACACTGAGTCTTTGCAGACAAGAGATGGCCGTGGAGCCGAATTTGGCATTACGAGTGTTGCAGGCAATGAGAAATGGAGAAATGAAATGAGGCCGCCTAGACAGGTCTGTCCCACATTAGCGGAAACCCTGCGACTATACAGTAAAACTTGCCAGCGGAAAGTTGCGCCTCGGATGTCACTGGAAGCGATTTCAGGTCGTGAAGTGCTTTCTCGGCCGCGTTCTTTAGCTCCGCGTTCTTACGTTTGGAGTCTTGAATGAGATTCCCTAGCTCAGCCGCCAGAATCTGTGCTGTCATTCTCGGGGCCGTAGTTATGGCATGAGGGCGCCCGTTGCAAAATCAAGCTCCGCCAAAGAGGAGTGTCAAACGCTCCGGTCGATGTAGTGAGCAGTGAACAGATGTCGCGTTGTCGGAGATAATCCGGTGCTTTAGCGATGTGGCTTGACCCCAGTCGCAGCTGCCTTTAGCTTCCGCCAAGACAGCGAGTGACCGCACCGCGATCGAGACCTAGATAGAGCCAGCCTTTCCACTCAAGCGCTCATGAGCACCTTTCACTTTGTCTCAGGATTTGTGTTTGTCTGCACTCTAGAGCAATCGCCCACACACCGCCCGCACACCGACCGCGACCCAGCTCCCGCTCATAAATAGCTCCATAGCGGGGTACAGCCCACTTTCACTCAGGTGTCAACCGCGTCACCATCATCCCGCCTTACCGCCTTGTAACCGGACCATGGGTGCCAAAGTACCCCGAAATTTCCGGCTGTTGGAGGAGTTGGAGAAGGGAGAGAAGGGTCTTGGTGCCGGTATGTCTAGATGCCATACTTCCATGCTCTCGTATCTAACTTTCCGCAGAGGCATGCTCGTACGGTCTCGATAATGGAGACGACCTGCTGATGTCGGACTGGAATGGTACCATTCTTGGACCCCCTCACGTATGTACCCAATAGTGAGAGACTTGAGATTTGAGTACACATATGGTTGGCCATGCAGAGGCCGATTGTTCTCAAAGCCTTACCCGGCAGCTATTTGTCCCTCGCTTGCACTATATGTCACTGACATCCTTCACAGAGCGTCCACGAGAACCGCATCTACAGCGTAAAGATACACTGTGGTCCCAACTACCCTGATCTTCCTCCCGAGATCTCCTTTACCTCCAAGGTGAACCTACCGTGTGTCGACCAGCGGAACGGAAAGGTATACATGCGGACAACTTGTGGGAGTCTCGGGCTAACAAGGCTCAAGGTTGATCCAACGAAGGTGCCCTGTTTGGCTCAATGGAAGCGCGACTTCACTATGGAGACCATCCTGATTGAGCTTCGGAGGTAAGACCAAGTCGACCTAGCTCAATCCAAGAATGCAAATGCTAAACGATCCAGGTATATGGCTCTGCCGCAACACAAGAAGCTGCCGCAGCCTCCTGAGGGCAGCACATACTGAAGGGGTGTCCTGTTCCCGAAGATACGCATGTATATGGCCCTGCTGGACGCCCGATTGTTGTCGTAGCCTGGCGCTGGGAACACAAATAATGCGGATAGTCTTTTGAAGTCCCTTCTATCTTACGTGGGGCCTGCGAAGACATGGATTACGAGATTTGAGCGTGATTACGAATGCATTGGAATGGAGTTCGGGGCTCTACTATATCGGCTCGGGGACTAGACCGCAGCTGTACGGAATGGTCAGTCTATCGAGTATTGGAACAGTCCTCCATTGGCGCGGCACCTTCACGATATGCAATTTACCTGAGATGGAGATGTCTGAACGTTGAAACCCAAACGCAACACTCTTGCACGAATGCAAACATTAGATATTGCGACGGTTACTATCAGGATACAGGCTTGGACACTCACGAGAAAGCGGTCTGTTACGGGCTGGAGCTTGTAAAAGTTGTTTACTAAAATCCTGGTTGCAAGCAGTGCATAGTCTGCATTTAATTTGACATATAGCCCTATAAGGTCTCTAGGTACATACCACAGTGGCCGAAAATAAGCGTCCCTAAAGAAGAGCAATTCATTTGTTCGCAACTTATTTCAGCCACCGATCGCGAATCGGCTTAGTCTTCCTACCTCTCACGATCTTCTGACCTTCCTGGATCGCTAACTCCGTCTCTTTGTCTATCAATTCGGTCATCCTCGTCGCAGTTTCTGTTGCCTTTTTGATATCCTTCTCGTGGGCCGCCCGATTTGCTTGTTCTGCGATATTCACTTGATATACCCACAGAGGATCGAACGTTCCATATTTCCTAGTATCTTTCTCCACGAAACCGCACTCCCGTTTCAATATCGCGTCCCATTCATCCTCGTGATTCGACAGCGGGATCCAGTAATTCAGAAACAGAATTCTGTCATGAAAATTGTCTATGCGCCGTTGTAGCGCCTGGCGGATTACGCGACTCAGCACCGGCGGCTGTGGCTTCTTGATGCGGAGGAACGGGATGCCGTTCGCGGAAGCAAGTATGGGGACATGGCGAGGGCCATTCGTCTTCGCGTAAGGGCGTACGTTCAACAAGGCTTTCTCGGGCGGAAGCACGGCGCCGTGATCTTTCGCAGAGGGGTCTAATTGTGGCTTTGTGTGTCGCCGTCGCGATGACGAGCGTACGATACGACGGGGAAGAGATGGTATAAGGGTCTTCAAAGCATCTACGCTCTTCGAATTCAGGGTCTGAGACGCATCGAGGTGACTGAGTACCTATAATTGTTAGTCGGAAAGATGGAGGCCAAATGTCCAACCACAAACCTCATATCCAGCTTTGAAAACAAGCCCTAGCTGTCGGGAGCTTTGCAATTTCCGGTTCTGGCGGAACTTGTTACGAATGGCGTTGTGTAACAACGTGCGCTCCTCATTCTGGAGAGCGTTTGCGGATGAGCATCGAGAAAGAAGCGCCCGGTACAGCGCGATCGCTGTAGGAGTTAGATTGGTAATAAGGATAGAACGAGCTAGACTCACCAGCCACGCGATGCTGTATATATAACTTAGGCTGGAGAAACCCGGGCATGCATAAGCGTTATCGTGGGTTGTCAGTCGAGTGTCTACTAACGCGACGCGGTTTGCGATCATCCTGGTCGGAACCTCGAAGTCGCATGGTCACGTGCATTTCGTCATACCTAGGCACAGGAGCCGACATAAAAACTAGGAATGTACTGTAGGCGCGCACCTTATTCCTTAACAACTAACTATATTGTATGCTCGTGGACTCAAAGCATAATAGTCCATCGTAGGTGTTCACAGTAGGATGGATTCCTAGTTTGTGCGAAGCACATGGAACAGTGGCCTATGCAAATTGCATTCGACACGATGGGTATAACTGGTTCTAATAGCTAGCGCTGTTATTCGTAGACATTGCTCCTGCACTATCGGTTTGAGCGCTGCCGCTATGATGCTGCCTCTATCTTTAAATCTTTGATCCCTGCCAGAGCATCTTCACCCTCATCTTCCTCTATCTTGCCCACGAGACCTCTCTCCCATAATTCTCTGCCCGTCAACTTCTTTTCCTCTTTCCTCCCCTTCTTCTTGTCTTCTGCCTCCTGCTCGTCCTTCTTCTTTTGCTCCTCCTCGGCCAGCTCTCTCTGAAACTCCTCCCTCCACTGCAGAAAGCTCTCTCTAGTGACCGCCTCACCTTGGAACTTCTTGTTCTCTTCCTCCTCGGCCTTCTGCGCCTCTATCTCTGCGAGCGCCGCTTTTGCGCCTTGTCTTTCGGTTATGAGCAGCTCGGCGGAGTCTTTAAGTGTTGTGACGAGCGTGAAGACCATTTGCATGCCGAGGTTGTCGGTTATGGGTTCGGTGAGGGAAGAGAGGAGAACGGCTTTGTCGTCTTGGATATCAAGATAGGGATGTTTGGGGGCGTTTGGTGGCTGGGTTATGTCGAGGTCGGGGGCTTCGTCGGGGTAGTTTGGGGTGAAGCGGACGTTGAGAATGATCGTTGCTATATCTATGTCAGATACGGGAACGAGAATAAATGAAGACTTGGAGTACATACGCGGTTCCGAGTCATCTCCTTCATCGTTCGTAACTTCGAGCTGTATGGCTATCCGGAATTCTGTATCTGAGATATCTGCAAAATCGACGTCAGATCAAGGTATTCGAGAGTATTGTTAAGGTTCTCAAACCTGTAATTTCGTCCGGGTATATTGAGTCGAGAATCTCGCGCTCTTCCTTCTGCTCTTCGACTCCCATGTTTGCGCGCTGTGTGCGTCGTATGTCAATGTGAAGATATTTGACAATCTTCCCCGGATTGAAGCTTCTTCAGTCGCTCGAACTATTTGAGGCAGCTTCAATTATGAGAAGTCTGCAATTTGCGACGTACAGTGTATGGTTCAGGTCCACAGACACGCCAGGTTGTGTATTTCGCATGCTCCCATGTTGGCGGGGCGCGACTTCCCCACGTCAGTGCACAGACCAGCACTTTTGTAAATTTTTGGGTTGGGTCGTACCTTTCACCTTGTTTTCACACTTTACAAACACTTCTTCTTTATTCGAAGGTTCGTGAAGCTGTACTTTCTACGGAATCATATCTGTCTGGTACTTCCCGGAGCTGAGCGCAAACACATCAGTGAACGATCGCAAGCCACAGCCCACGATGGCGAAGACGAAACCCCAAGATCGAGCACGAAAAGCGAAAAAAGACGCAAAGAACGGTGCAGCTGATGGAGCGAAAAAACCCAAAACGTCACCCGAAACTCTACTCGTTCAAGCCGCCGCATTACTACAAACATCGCAGCCAGACGAGGCCCTCGTGGCCGCCAAACGAGCGCTGAACCTACTCCAACCCACATCGGAGCCAACCTTGGCTGCACTTCCCGCTCTCAACCTTCTAGGGGAGATAAACGTAGATCTTGGGGATCCAGACTCAGCACGAGAGGCATTTCTGGCTGCGATAGCGCTGGATACAGAAGGTGTGCACGACGGCGCAGAAAAGTTCTTGTGGCTAGCTCAACTCAACGAGGAAGGCGGAGCGGAAAGCGTACGGTGGTTCGAAAAGGGTATAGAGGTGCTGAAGCGGGAGATTAGCGAGCTGGAAGGCAAGATCGTGAAGCAGGCTGAGATCACAGAAGCGCTGGCCGAGAAGAAGCAGAAGATCGCGAATGCGCTCTGCGGCATCGCCGAAGTCTACATGACCGATCTCTCGTGGGAAGCCGAAGCCGAATCCCGATGTGAAGCAGCCGTTACAGAAGCTCTGCTCGTTGCACCTGAAACCCCGGAACCACTTCAAACACTTGCATCAATACGAATATCACAGCTGCGCGTCGAGGATGCAAAAGCAGCCCTGACGCGAAGCATGGCGTTATGGACAGATTTAGAAGCTGACAATCCCTCGATCCCGGACTATTCCACACGAATAAGCCTATCCCGCTTGCTGATGGAGGCTGAAATGGAAGATGAAGCAATCGAAGTGCTTGAAAGGCTTATTGGCGAAAATGACGAAAGTGTAGAGGCTTGGTACTTGGGCGGCTGGTGCTTGAATCTGATAGCTGAAAAGCAAAAAGCAAACAACGACATGGAGCGGATAGTGCCGCTTCTGAAGGCCAGTCGTGACTGGCTAGAAAACTGTCTCAAGCTATATGCGGCGTTTGAGTACGAGGATGAGCGCCTCAAAGCGCACGCAGATGAACTGCTGAAGGAACTCTATGGCGCTGTGGGCCCATCTACTAGCGAGGAAGAAGAGGAAGAAGAGGAAGAAGAAGAAGAAGAAGGGGAGGACTGGGAGGATGCAGATGATGATGCAGAAATGGATGGAACGTGATGGGTGTCCGGGCAGCTTGTTGTCATGGAAAATGCACCAAAATTGCTTCTCCACGTTGGCAGTTGCACAGGATTCAAGAGTCTAATTGCAAGACTCTGGCCCAAAGCTTCTGGCCGCAAGAAATTGCGCCGTAACATTCGCGGAAGGTAGAGTCTGGAGAAGTAAGGTGCCGTGTAGAGTAGATGCTGGAAGCGGAGGGAGTAAGCTCGCCTACCTACAAGCGTGGCCATCTCCAGCATGGTGGTCAGCGAACCAATGCAGTCCCTGCATCTCTGCCGCATATTGTAAGCGCGGGGTGATGGATGTTCATAATTGGAATGAAATGACGACTATTTGAGCCACGGCCAGACGTCATTATATTTGCATTTCGTAGCTGCACGTATGGACTCTCGACATGCATGTCATCGTTGGCGATGGATTCGTTGCTAATCCGGCACAGCTTAGTGTTTCAAGCTCGCCTCCATGGGCGGCTTCAGCCAAGCCCCTCTAAGTGCTTAGAGAAGTGCACCTAACCATCTATGTCTCGCACGCGAAGAAGCAGACAATGCTGTGCCCCCTCTTCCGCTGCCACCACGCAGATATACCCGCTGTTCGCTCGGCCGTAGATTTGCGCTGAAGTCCAGCGCTCGCTCATCGCGCCCCGCACTGGAATCGACCGATGAAGGCACCGTTGCAAGCCCGCTTGTCTGCGCGCGCCCTGGATACTCGCTGCAGCTGAGTACCTCCCCACCTAGCCTGGACATGCCCTGCGACAGGGCCCGCTTCGCCGAATGATCTGGTACCTTCTCTATCCACTGCGTGGGTGAGTACGCGCCGCGTCCCGAGTCTGATGGCATCGCTCAAGTTGTATTAGGACCTCGGAACCAGCCGAACTGTCTCCCACCCACCCAATCCGCCGCGCGTTCAAGGCCTACGGCACCGCAACGGCGCGACACTGGCTTTTGTCGATCATCCTTACTGTAATCGTCTCCGTTCTGCTCTGCTATCCCGCCGTCTTCCAGACCGACAGCCCCGCCGCGGCCGGCCTGCGCAACCTTCCGAAGCATGTGTGGACATCCACCACCGAGGTGGGCAGTGACCGAGCCGCTGATGTCGAAGCGCGCCAGGTCTGGGTACATGGCGATTATATGAAAGCAATTGACCGGCGCGTGTTAAAAGTAGCATTGGACGTGCAAGATGCCCTCATTGGCGACGGCTTCGACGAGGTGCTCGGCACACCGCCAGAGAGTAAATCGGCGCGCGCGCACAGCGAAGAACATTGCGCCGCAACCAAACCTGGCCAGCGATGGGGATTCCATTCACCTTTGATGTACTGGAACTGCTCGCATAAACTCCTGGACGAGGACTCTGACTTACTTGCAACTATCAATTCCCATGCGCAATTGCAATCAGCATTGAATATCACATTGCGCCCGAGCACCGTCTTCGCAGGCAAGTCCTTTGCCAAAACAAAGCTGCGTTCAGCCGATGCCATAGTGATAACGTTGTTTGACCAGACGGCCGCCGGTCTTGGAGATAGCTGGGACAAAAGGTCGGGCTTGCTGGTGCAGAACCTCGCACCGGAATGGTGCATGATTCCGCACGATGGCCAAGTTGCGACAAGCCGCCTATACGAGTTCCGCTTCAAACCAATGACATTGAATGACGATCTGTTTTTGGCAGCATCATACATGGTAACGGCTGCTTATGTGGTCATGAGGATGATGCAGCTTCGGGCTGTGAAGAGCTGGTTTGGTCTGCTCATCACCATAGGCGCCAAAGTAAGTCTCTCGCGAATTGGTGGTTCGGTTTACTGACATGAAAGTAGATGACGGTCTGTGTTATTGGCAGCTTCACCATCTGCTCTTTCCTAGGCATCAATCTTGCCCGCATCCCTAGGCCATGGTTTCCAGGGGTGGTATTCTGTTTCGGTCTGGGAAACATGTACGCTATATTGCTGTCGCATTGTTTGGACGTTCTTTGGCTGACCACGTGTAGCTTCCGCTTAATCAACGTTGTGCTTGAGACTCCTGCTGAAATGCCTTCCCCTCAACGCATCGGCCACGCTCTTGGACAGGTCGGCCATCTCTCTCTTGCTGTAGCCGGACAGAACCTTATTCTCATATATCTTTGTTCTCGAATTGTCACCCCTTGGGTCGCAGACTTCTGCATCTTCGCTGCCGTTACCCTTATTCTCGACCTGGCTTTTCATTTGACCTTCTTCCTTGCCGTCCTGAGCGTCGACGTCCAGCGGATGGAGCTTTCCGACTCGCTCGAACGAATTGACCTGAACCACCGAGCAGCGAAGAGCCGTCGGGCAGAACGTCAAACCTGGCTCTCGGCGCTACGTGAAGGCACACTACCTGTCAGCACACGATTCGCAGGCTCTGTCGCGATGCTATCCTTCTTGTTGGCCATCAATTGGCATTTCTTCGACAGCAACGGGCGAAAGCTCACTGTGCATACTCTTAAGGAGAGAATGTTCCGAAGACAGGAAAAGTTAGACGTCGTTTCTACTTGGACCCTACCGTCTATCAATCAGGCCCGCACCCCTGCTGACTGGTTACGGATACAAGACCATAATACAGCGAAGGAACTTTTTGGGTTCATTAAACCTGGCGCACACAGTTTTGTCGCCAGGATATATGACCCGATTTTAATCGTCTCCAAGAACGCAACGGGCAGAGATGTGGGACAAAAAGCATCATCTTTGACAGAAAGCTTCCGTCACTTCGCTCGCGGGCATGCATACTCTGCTGCGCTGATGGTCGCGTTTTTGATCGCCGGGGTCACGCTGCTCATGAATTACCTGCTCTGGACCGGTCTTCCTGAAGGCTTCGGGGAAGAGGAAGAAGACGAGGACGCTTTTTTCAACGTCGAAACGCTGTCAGCCGTTCAAGCCCTAGATATTGTGCAGCTAACCTCTTCGCCAAAGGGTCATATTGCCAGTGTATCGCTGGATCGAACGACATCAATCTGGTTTCACGATCAGAATACCTTCCGACAGACAACTCTACAGACAAGTGCCATGAAACCAAAGTTATGGCCCATCATAGCAAGCACCATGGACGATGCGGGTGACTTACTTGCGTTGTGCAGCACCGATGGCGTGATAGGTCTTTGGAGCCTCACCGCTGCACGATTCTCGACTGTGCAAACCATAGATCTTCGTGGCCAAGCGCCCATACTGCTCACGTTTGCCAACGTCCCTCGCTCTGGTCAAGACCTTTTTACTCTGCTTCTTGTAACACCGGACGGTCACTTGACCGAGTTTGAGACACGCGGCGGATTTCACCATACAAGAAGAATATGCAAACGCACTATTCTCTGCGCTACGATCTATACTTCCCGCAAAGGCGAGGTTGGTCTCGTTTTCGTCACCATAACTGGGGAGGTACATATCCTAGCTCTCGACGGTAGCCAAGATAAGACATCGGAAGTGGTCGCCGGTCTCGACCCAGGCCCACCGCCTGGAAGCAATCCATTGAAGATACGTTGCATCGAGGCGGTACCTTCACTAGGGATGATCTTTGCGCTGCGGGATGAAGAGGCGGAAATATTCGACTTCAATAGCCGCGGGCTCGTCCATGCTCTTCGAATTGGCCACGCCAAGCCACATTCTTTCCGTGTCATGCATTCAGCGCTGCGGCAGTGCGCATGCGGCGCTCCAGCTGTTCATTCTCTTTCTGTTGCTTACACGGAGGAGGAATCTGATCACTTGATCATGCAGACATTTACTCTTGACGACTGTCCGACTTCTTTAATTTGTCTAGGCAAACCCTCCGACAACGATTCCCATAATTGCCAAAGTCTTGCTTCTGCCAACGACAGTGTACACATTGTCGAACCCGCTGGAGCTTGGGAAGCCATATCATCTCTCGGTTTAGTAGGCATCCGGAGGTGCGACTCCGCGCCAACCCCGTCATTGGTTGCTTCCAATACGGATTACGGGTTTCCGGCGCCTTCGGCGTTAGCATCTGCACTACATGAACGTGCTGTGCGGCATAGCGAACTATTCCAGAGTGCGATTACAGCCACATCGACCTCACCACCGACGCATAATACTGATATCGACGGCTGGCAGGCATGGGCGCTTTCAACGAGTGGCGAGTTCCGCTCGCGCCCACTTGGTTCTGGCTCAGTCAACGATGCTGATGAGCTACTGGGCGACAACCAACTCTTTGTCGCCGCTGCCGGGCCGATTATAAAACTGGGAAAGAGAAGTGTCGCGGTCGGCTTTGGCAACACGATCAAGATTATCACACTGGGGAAGGAGACGTTTGACGGGTCAAGCACTGGTGTGGACCTGGGCGCGGCGTTCCACAAATCGAAGACGAGACGAGGCCCTGGCAGAAAGCTGCGATGACTAGATGGCCGGCAGTGGAGAAATGAACCTGCGGCGTGGGAACGGAAAGGAAATCGGTCTTCCGTTGGCGCATCAAAGGACTGGACTTGGGAATAGGACGCACATACCCCTGGATGAACGGCGTCCTGGTGCATACACGGCGCGTGATGGAGATCACGACGTCGACTTATACCTTGTGGGAGTACTGTGGAATTTTAGAGCGCGGCGTCGCGGCAACATGTTTCGACTTTGGCGCAATAACCCTGTGATTTGAATAGCTTGGCTCTTTCTTGCTGTTACATACTTGTAGAGAGTATTAGTTGTGGTCGCATTCACGACCAAAGTCTAAGCTTGTAGCGCTTTACACCTCGGTGACTTGTTTTTCTGGATTGTCTCCTCGGGCTCAATGTCTGCGTATTCTCCAAGGTCATGATGCTATGTAGGAGTGCAGCAGTACCCACAGTGAGCGAATAGGAGAGGAAACGCTACACCTGTCACACTGGGCTATACCTACCCCAGCGGAGTACATGGAGAAATGGTTCGCTCGCGTTGTCTACACACCAGCTATGCTCCCACTGTTGACAGCTGCAATACATCGAGAAGAAGAAATCCTTGACCTTGTCGTGTAGACGATGCCCTGAGCTGGCGACCTGCCCACCTGAACGTAGTGCAAGGCAACTGCCGGAGCTTGCACTCTCTGTACCCACCTAATCTGACGCGGCAGCAGAAGTGGCGCATGAAGATTCCCCGCTACAGGGACAGCCAAGCGTTGCATGTGGCTTGTGCCGAGTTTGCCGTGCCGCGATTGCCAGAATGGACATGGAGAACAAGGCTTGTCAGATAAGGCAAGGGAAACAGGGACAGGTGAATACAGAATGTCACCCGTGACAGGGCCACATGCGTGTGGCTGTGAGCATTGACGTCAACGTCTGGAGTCCCTGGAGCAAGGTCCCCGCCATCACAAAGCGTGGCGCATCCCTGTCGGTTCGGCTAGGGCAGGGGCTCTGAGCACACGATCTCTCTCCCTCGTGCCTCCACAAACCGCCCTTCCACTGCTGTAATTCGCGACAATCGCCCATTCTTACCGGGTCAGCTTACACAGCAATCGCATTGCCATTATTTGCCCTGATCTGTGAGTTAGTCCACCCTGGGGCCGCTGTGAATGAGGAAGCGCATCTTTCACATGCGACGGAAGTCCGACTTTCGTCATCTTTCGCGCCCAGGTCCACGAGTGCCTCGCGAGTGCTATGCATGCTGATCCGTGGGAAGGCGACCATGGCGAACGAAAATGCACCGTTCGATCCGTACGAATCGATACGATACATCCCGGCGCGCTACAACTACGAAGATTCCGATAATTCGGCCCTGAGCCTCGTCCTCACCCTGCGGCCGGAATGGCGCGAAACAAAAGACTCGGTCGAGTTTGTGCGCTTCACGGACGGCATCACCAACACGGTATGTGTCCCTGGCACTGCTTCCGAGCGCGACCAAGGTAAAAGGGGGCTTTGCTAATGTGGCGCGGCTAGCTCCTCAAGGCAATCAACAAGCAGCCAGGTCTGTCCCAGGCACAAATCGACAACGAAGCGGTCTTGCTACGAGCGTATGGAAAAGACACCGAAGTCTTGATAGACCGCAAGAGTAGGTTGTCTTCATCCCGGCAACTATGCCCATACTGACGTGGAGGCAGAGGAAACCTCGTCGCATTGTCTGCTCGCCCGCCACGGCCTGGCTCCTGCGTTGCTCGCTCGCTTCGACAACGGTCTCCTATATAAGTACCTGCAGGGCAATGTCTGCTCGCCCGCAGACTTGCGCAAGCCGGAAGTATGGCGCGGGGTGGCACAAAGGCTCGGGCAATGGCACGCGGAACTACCAATCAATAGCATCAGCACAACATGTCCCACACCTACACAGATCGCTCCTTCCAAAACCAAACGTGCTTCACTTGTGGCCATGGCAGATCTGACGCCAGGCAAGCCGATCCCGAACGTGTGGACCACGATGCAGCGATGGATCCTCGAGTTGCCCATAAGCACCACTCAACAACTCGAGCGCCGGACCCTCCTCCAGAAGGAACTGCAATGGCTAGTTGCTCGTCTGGGCGACACCCCTGGTGTTGGAGGCACAAACCCCTTCGTCTTCGCCCATTGCGACCTGTTGAGCGGCAATGTCATCATTGAGCCCGCGCCCTCGTCTGCTTCGGCGTCGCGCCGCTCCAGCGCATCCGGTGGCTCTGAAGAGAACGAACCGCCCGCTACCGTATCCTTCATTGACTACGAGTATGCCACGCCGGCGCCTGCCTCCTTTGACATCGCAAACCACTTCGCCGAGTGGGGCGGCTTCGATTGCGACTTCACCGTTCTGCCCACGCGCCACGTGCGCCGAGCGTTTCTGCGCGAATACCTGTACAGCTTCAGCATGCACATGAACCGCGTATTCAAAGAATCTGAGCTAGACGATTTGTTCGACCAGGTCGACGCCTTCCGCGGCGTCCCCGGCTTCTACTGGGGGATATGGGCACTGATTCAAGCCAAGATTTCCTTGATCGATTTCGACTATGCGAGCTATGCTGAAGTAAGATTAGGGGAATACTGGGCGTGGAAGCGCGAGATGAACGGCGAGCGGGCTGCTGCTGGAGAGCAGGTGCCGGTGCGGGAGAGGCGGTGGGCACAGGATGAGTAGGACTGCTCCGGGCCTTTCAACAGCCAGGCCATATACAGTTCCTTATTATCGTGAGACGAGCGAGCAGCACAGCATCGATGTCATTCGATACGGATTGCATCAGAAAAATGACCGACCTCTGGGACTTTTGGCGTTCTAGCGATCTGGCAGGCGCTTTCTGTAACTTTGATTCCATGTAGGTATATATTAATAGGCCGAACATTTCCTTCACTGGGCGAATGCATCACTACTTCAAGGATCCGTCTTAAGCATGAGTGCATAGTGCCGAGCCGGCCTGAGTACCTATTGTAGAGCTGGACCTATTAGGGTGTTATACGTGAAGTTCGCCCTAACCTGCATTCAACATGTGGAATCACCGTGGCTAGCAATCAAGATGAGATCTGTAGCCATGAGAATCCGAAATAGACCTCTAAACTATCATTGTATTATTATAAAAGGGAGCGAGTTGATACAAGATCAGTATGCTCTAGATAGCTAGTTCCTTTGGTCGGCCTCTGCTTCTGAAAGGGCGAGGGAGAGGGAGAGGGTAGCGGGAAACGTCACGAAACAAAGTTATTGCCTGTTACGGTATCATCGTTGCCGTCTATGCCACTCACCTCAACCCACTACCTCCCCCGCACTCCACCACTCGCGAAAGCACAACTCCTCCCGATACCCTGCTGTCCGACCCTTCCCGTCCACCGACCCAATCAACACCATCCGCAACGACGATCACTACTCGGTCTCGCCCCATGGCACGGGAAGCCTTCTGCGTTGAAAATTCAATCAGCGCGATCGAGCGAGCACACTACTGACTCTCTCGCGGAGAATCGCCATCGCCCGTCTCCAACCATCCCCTGCCTCCACTAGCTCTACCTCGATCCAGCCCCGGATTTCAATATCCGGACACGCACCCTCGAGATCTAGGCGCCGTACAACGTTCACTGTAGTGTAGGGTAAACAGAATCGGGGTCCTGGGCTGGATCCTGGGCTGGATCCTGGACCCTTGCCCTCGTAGCGAGTGTTGCGGCTGAGTCGTGTAGACTACGCCGAGCGCTAAGGAGGGGAGGGGGTGGGTGTTGCATTTGTGTGTAGTCGATTCTGGACGAAGAACACACGTGCGGAGTCGTGCGAAGTACAACGTCAGACATTAGAAGTTTAGCAGATCTGGTCATATAAAGATGGCACGGTGTTTCAGTCAAAGAATCGATGTCGCGATACATTTTCCCAATTCGTGAATATAGCTCGTACATGTGCTTTCCAAAGTATCCCGTGTATATGCAGAGAGATCGAAGACAAAAAGGGACGTGGTATCATAGTAATCCTTTGGCCGTAATTCGTAATCTTATCCCAATTCCAAACACAGACCCAAAACTTTTCCAGATGCAACCCAAGATTATTGCATTTGTCAAAACCTACGCCTTTGCTGTTGTTTCCTCGATCTGGCCAGTGGTCGTCTCCATCCAGTCAACTCCCTCGAGCATAGTATCGTCAAAAGTGAAAGTCTCGCCTACAGCGTCCAAGTTAAGCAAGCTGTCGAACTCGCCATCCTCAAAATCGTGCGATATCGGGAGGCTGCTGAAGAGCATCTCGTTGTCTTGATGGTGATTGATGTTGTTGTTGAAGGGATTTGGCGGCAAATCCATCAGACTCCACTTGTTGAACGGAGTTGCCTCAGCCGGCGCGGCCGTGGGCGCTGGGTCTTCCGCAATCGTGATCGCGGGTATTTGATCGTGATCATGATCGGATTCTGGCGGCGTAGACGCGAGGAACGTCTCGAGACGGCGTGCGACTTCTTCGTCAGTAACGTTGTTTTGTGCTGCACTCTTCTCCAGCATAAGTAAATTCGTCGTACCGTTGTCCGGAGGCGGCGTCAGCGTCGAGCGTTGTAACTGCTGCGACGCGGTAATTGCAGGGTTGCTCACAGCCTGCATATCCAACCGTCTCCCTGCGTTTACTAGGTCTTCGACAGATGTCACTGGTGACGTCTTCAAACCAAGAGGTGATGTCGCGTTGTCTACCCCTGGGGTTTGTACTGTAGTAGGCGCTATGTGGATACCGGCTTTGCGAATCGCAGCCTCCAAGAAAGCTGTCGAGTAATCGGCTGCGGCGTATAGATCCCTGAGTTTCCCCATCACGGCCATGCATTGGCAGAACCCGCGTAACGAAGCGTGGCGTGTGTCTTCTTCAGGTGCTTTGATATCCAGCAAGTGGATGATAATGGCAGGAAGCAAAACCGTAACTCCAGTGGTAGGCAAGTACTTCACAAGGTCGGCCTGGTCAAGCCGCTGTGCAATAGAGGTAATGGCCGAAGCTGCGCGGCGAACGTTACGACGAGACACATCTAGGAGATCCGATGCTACGTTCGCTTTAACCGGAACACTCGCGGGCCCACCATGCGACGAGGGAAGAACTTGTGGGCGGTGCAGCGCAGATAGCGTGGTGAAGAAAACCATGTGAAGCAGAGCTCGATTTACATCCAGCGAGTTCTCTCCAGTGAAATCATCTGAATATTTAGCTTCTTCTGCGAGATCTTTGACCCAATTCTGCAATTCTTCGTCACAGGCCTTTACCTCGCTGGTTTCAGGGTCCAGCTTTTTGGGCAAAAGCATCATGGTTGTGCGGTCGTTTTGCAGGCCTTGGTTGTTGTTTAAGACGCAATACTGCTTGGAAAGCACGTGGGAGATGCAAAGGCATAGTCTGGCCTTCTCGATGCACATGATGGCTAATTGGCGCTGCAAGCCAACATCCCGGGCGGCGCGACAGTCTGCTGGTACACAGGTAACAGAATCAGGAATTGCGGAAATTTCGAAATCATCCAAAGTAAGCATAGGTACGTCGAAATCTTCCGACTTTATCCTCGTCGGGCGGCGCATGCCGAGGGCGATAAGGCGGTCTCGCATGTAGGTCGACCACCATATCCGTTTCCACAATTTCGTGCGCTTGCTATCCATATGGGTCTTGTCCGGGTTGCGGTGCAGTCCAATTGTATGCGCGACCGAAGTGGCGACGCCCATCCAGTGCCATGTGTCTTTCTGGTCATCGGGAGTTTCGTAGTAGTAGGTTAGTAAAAGTAAAGCCTGCACTAATGATACACGATCAGATTCGTAATCGAAATCGTAGAGAATCTGGGGGCTCTGTTAGCTGAGGTTCTGATTTCTGAATTCGAATGGAAAATCTTCTGCCACATGCCAGGCCAAATGTAATTTACGGCAAGGCCGACATGCTCGTGCAGGCGCCAGGTGAAGCTCGGGCGCTCGGGCGTTCGGCCGAGCCAAGTAACACAAGCGAATGCATGTGGAATCGTAACTCACCCTAGTCTTCTGAAAGAAATCCTTGCGAGCTTCCTTTCTGGTCGCGTAGCCCGCTGCGCGCAAGTAGTGCATATCGATGAACGCAGAGCCTGCGAACATAACAGCCTGGAACAAGATCAAGCTGACTTTGCCCAAGCTTCCATCAGCTTGATCAATTGTCATCAAAAAGTCGCGTAATTCCAGAAGAGGCATGTAGGGATGCACAAATTCGATATAAGCACGAAGCATCTCACTGCGCAAGGTGCCTGTGGGTATGGTCAAAGCACCCTTCTTCTCAAGGTAGGCCACCTCATCGGGGCCAATCTTCGAAGGCAACGGCTTGATGAATAGAGGGAGGTCGGCCACGCCGAGCTTGGGAGCAGTATAGCCGAACACAGCTCGTTGCGAATCGCCGCCGAAGGCTGAATATGGGAGAATTGGCATTCCGTTGGTCTGAGAGTTCACGGACATGCGGCGGTGGAGGTCTGCCAGGCCAAGGCGGTTTCCATGACTCTGATCTGTGAGGCTGTCAGTTCATGTGATTGGCAAAAGTAACATGCGGCGTCCAAAACGCACAGATGGAGTGAGGCACGTGCTCGTCGTGCCATGCCTCAGCGTCAAGTGACCGCCGCGTTCCAGCTGAGGTTAGGGGTTGGACGCTGTCCAATGTATCGCGCGAAGCGAGTTTGCGGCTGGCAGCGGCTGTCGATACGTTGGTGGATTCCGTTTGGTGCTCATCGTCCTTGCTCCACTTCCTGGAATTCTGTCAGCAATAAGATCTATGGACCAACAATGCCAGATCGGTATCAAAATGATTTGAAAGAGGACGTGTTGCAGTCAAGGCGCCGTTGGTGGCTTGCGGAATAGCTCCGCTGGGCCTGGCCACTTGCATGACGCCATGCTCGTAAACATCATCGTCGACGTTCGGCCAAATGGCATTGGCGAGGAGCCATCGGATGCAGGCTTCTGGGTTTACTGACTTCTTGCGTCTGCTCTCTGACACAATGCATTCGACTTCGTCCAATCTGCAATTTGTGCAGGGTGCGCCGTGTTCGGTGACGTTGCAGCGCACTTTTCGAGCTCGACAACACTGACACGCCTTGGAGGCCCTCCTCTTGACTGAACGGCCAGTCGCGTGTCCATCGATACCTGCCTGGGCGGCTTTGCGCTTGGGTGCCTGGAACTCATGCTGGGACGGTGGTGAATTCGAGCTCTCAGACATGGTGGCTGTTTACTGCTGTTTGTTGGCTGGAGCAGCGGTAAGAAGAATGTGGGGATAGAGGAAAGACGCCAGGACCGGGCAGGTGCGGAGGGGCACTCTGAGTATTATGTATGAAAGCCAATTTCGCCATAGTGGAGTTTCCGCAGCGGCCTGAACAAAGCTAGGGCGTACTCACGCGGCTTGCGATTCAAGGGAGCTGCGTTTATCCCTCATGACACACGCCTCTCACCTTCGGTGGGGATGCTAGCGCGTACCCCAGGCAGGCCCCCAGACGCTTGTGCAGGGTGGACTCGGATGGTCGGCGCTCTGCTACTTGGCGTTAGGCCCATCGATGCCACTCGGTGATTTTCGGGCCCACGAGACACAAAAACGGCCGCGTCCCCGTCAGCCAGCCTCCATCCGAGCGGCTGTGCTGGAAACTTGCCGCGGCTCAGGGCAGCATGCTTTCTGGGGTGCTTTCGTCTCATGCTCAAGACGCTCAGGAAGCCGGACTTCAGTGTTGGAGCGCCTAGCATACCGATCGAGTCATTCATTTCCCACGATCGCCCATTGGCATGGTCGTGCACATCGTTGGACGACTCGAGCACGCTTGAGGATATCCGGATCAAACCCCGGTCGAGACACTTGGTGTCAAACTAACGTCAATGGCTCCAGCATCGTGTCCTCTGCCGAGCTGCTAGCCGGCACAAAGGCGAAAAAAAATTCACCTCTTCCGCAGCAAAGCGCAACACCCAATCGTGGTGCACTATTGTCAGGATGCGGAGTCTCCCGTCTACTGCACGCGGCTGCATCCAGGTTGTCGGGAGCCGGTCACTTCGATTGTGAAAGAACAAGTCTCAGAATCTATATTCTTGGTCGCTAGTAGGCTAAGTGCCGCTCAAATTCGGCATTTGAATGATAAATGAGCCCTCGATCCGCGGCCACTTGAACAACGTGAACGTGTGGGGCACTCGATGATCCTGGAGTTGGGATTCTGCGGGGAGTGCTCGGTGAACGTCCGGAAATATGAGCTCAACCAAACCCGTCAATCCTCCTCCGATCCGACGCGTTGCGTCTCGTTGATGATTGTGCAGATTCTGCTGCTTTGGGGTTCGCGCCATCACTCCGCGGCCGATGCGTCATCTTATTGCGACTCTACCATTCGTGCTGCTCACTCATTAACTGGACACCCACAGTTGCCCTGTGAAATTCTTATGCTACTGGTAGGCTCTGGCTTCAGACGCGGGAATCCCCAAAGCATTGACGCCAGCATCTCGCCCAGCGCGGACTGAGCCGCTTCACCCTTTCTTTACTTCTTTGTAATACAGTTTATTTCAATGTCCGGACATTCCCACGTTTGGCATCTCCATCTGGCATCTCCAGGTCCGGTCTTTTCCACGTGCATGCCTGAAGAGATTCCGGGGGCACTGCTCACGCGAGACCATGGCGGTGTACAGCACAGCTTGGTACCTCGTGATTCCCGTGTTATGTGCTTGTGAAACGGCTTCATCGATCGTGAGCAACTTGGAGCACCCTTGTCACGTCGCTAACCCACACATGACTAACGACTCAGGTCGTGGGGAAAGTCGGAGGAGGAAACGTCTGCGGCGCTAACCCTGTATCTATTCGGTCCTTTCGTCCAGCAACTTGCGACATCCTGAAGATCTTACACGCATGGCTATCGTCGGCTTGCGTGAGGACATGAATGGCCGGCGCTTGAAAGTTACGCAGAGATTTCACCAATATGCACAACTGCAGCAATGGACGCGGGATCAGCATCAATAAAACATGCGCAACGTCGCTGGAGTCCACATACCCACTTTGTGGGCCGCGTGTTGTCAGAAATGTCGGTCTAGATGGCGGGTCTGTACTTTTGACGCGTGAAGTAGATGCACGTGGCCAAACAAGAGTGCAATATCCGCTTGGCTAGTTTAGGTAGGCACTTGCCTTACCTTTGCCGACCATCATTCAAATAAACTTATATCATTGCCTGGTCATCTTCTGAAAGATGGATTGCATCTTCGCCGCAATCGAAGAAAAGTGGGCAACCTTGCACGGCGAGAAGACCGGCACCAACCAATGCGGATACATTTCCGTGGTTTCCATCGGAATGCGCGGAGTTGGCGCTGCGGAATACATCCTCTTCAGACTCAGAGCTGAACACCAGCGATGTAGTGTCAGGTCTAGACTGCGACCTTGTACAGTAGCCTACATTACTTCACGACTGGTGAAGGCCTCGACTTACAATATGTCTTCACGTTACCACGGGAGCTCAGGCTTGTACCTCTCCTGCCAATATTCTGCGGCTATAGTGTTAGCCGTGTATATCGTTGGAAGATAATGTCGCAGTATGTTCCATGATTGATGAGATTCGAGTGGAAGGATCGTACTCGTTTCAACTATGTAAGGTAAACTATAACTTCGAAGAACCCTTGGACCTTTCCATCGCCTTTGTTTTGTTCCTGAAGTTCTTGACCAGCTGTCGCACTCCTAGATCCATCATTACATCCTCGCTCCCACCCGGAATGCGGATGCCTGGCACCTCCCGATAGATTCCTGAACAAACAGTTAGTAAACAAAGCTTTAGGCTAGATTACGGATTGAGCAATACGATCCGCACTCGTGAATAGACGTACTTTCGACCAACTCTCCTTGGCCAGACTTCGTGTAGCCGTTGCCACCGAACAAAAGCTGAGCACATTGTGCACATTCGTTCAATACAATACCAGCCTGCGCCTTTGCCATGGCAGTCAAGCCACCGAGCTCGATGTCAGCCACCTCCTTCGGCAACTGAGTCATCTGATAGGCAAATTGTTCTACCCATGCCCATTGGCTCTCAACCATTGCTCCACATCGCGCCAGGCGTTGTCGGACGACTGGCTGTTCGACGAGCGGCTTCCCAAAAGCCTCGCGCTTGAGTATGTATTCTGTGGCTGCGGCGAGGGCAACACGCGCTTGACGAGTTGCGCCAATAGCGATCGTTAGTCTCTCATGGTTGAAGTTGGTCTATTATTGCTTAGCAAAATCGTTCAGGTATCACGCGATAGTGATTCCCTACCATGATATATCTCATACCAGCACCTTCTGTCCCGATGAGGTTTTCGACCGGCACCTTCACGTCGTCTAGCTCGATGAAGGTTGTTCCGGCTGAGACCTGCCCGCCGACTTTCAGACGGCGCATATTGACACCAGGGTAGCCTTTCAGCGGAACGACAAGCATTGAAAGACCTGTAGGTCCAGGCCCTCCGGTCCGGACAGCCATCGACGAGTACTCGGACCATATCCCATTCGTAATCCACTTCTTCGTACCATTCACGATGTAATGTTTTCCGTCTGGAGTCTTTGTAGCCGTCGTGGTAATGTTCGCGACGTCCGATCCTGCCTCGGGCTCGGTGATGGCAATGCATGTGCGCTTCTTTCCGGTAAGAAGCTCGGGCAGGAATCGATCCTGCAATTGTTTGTTGCCAAACTTAAGGATTGGAGGAACGCCAAAGGAGATGCCGGTCGTGAGGGATCCGGATGGTCCAGCCAGGCCGGAGCGAGCCATCTCGTCGCAGTAGATCATTGTGTGGAGGTAGTCGAACTCCTCAACTTTGACCGCGCCCAGTATGTCATGTATACCGAGCCTTTTGAGCCATTCTACAGGAAGAGGAGCTGGCAGGCTCGGAATCAGCATTCCTGCCTTCGCGAACGTTTCGAAAACATGCTCAGGCACCGTCTCTTCCGAGTCCCACTGGAGCGCATTCTCCAAAAGGTTCTTCGAGATGAACTCTCGGCACGCCTTCTGCCACCTGAGATGTGTCGGCTTGTAGTACGGCGACGGGAGACCGGCAACGTAGGGCGGTTCGGAGAAGGGTACAACGGGCGAGGAGGACATTGTGTGTAGCTTCGATGTAGCAATTCACTTGTCTAAGGAGTACGTTTTAGAGAAGACTAAATCAGTGCAGTGGCGGAATGCGCCTCGTTGGTACAAGTTACATGCTTGCGGCACGGGTAGTTATAAGCAGTAACCTCCGAGTCAAGAAAGGTTGTCATGGGTGGGGATCTGGGGTTCAGCTGCCGAGGTCTAACTTTACCCCAGAATACCGACCTGCGCCGCGGAGCGAGCCTCATCAGCAAATTGTCCCGCAACTTCTGTATATACACGCATCGTCCACAATTCAGTGATTGTTGTTAGCAAGCGTGAAGTTGGAAACAAGCAGCCTTGCAGTCGTCGTTTTGTGCAGTAAAGAGCACCAAGATGTTGACGTGTGTGACCAGCGAGAATATTTGGTCTTGCATATTACCTAGCAGCTTCAAGTCTCGTGGAATTGACGTTACCTGCAAAATCTCATGCACTGATCTGTGGAACTGGTGCAGCCGATCTTATGTAGAACTTGATTTGCATATACAATGATCTCTCACGTTAGCAAAAAGAATGCTGGGATTCGGTATGAGTTTAAACTTCAATTCACTTAGTAACCTGAGTCATTGCTAGGATTTACTACAGGAGTCTAGCCAAGCCTAGTCTCAGATGCAGTGTTCAGGTTGACACAAAAGCTAGCATTGCTTGAAATGATCACAGGGATAGACACACGTATAAAGCACCTACTATGGGACGACAGAAACTGTTCGTACTTATCGCCGTCTATAGTCATATGATTTCAAGCGGTGAGAGCTCTACCCAAGGTTAAACTTGCCGTTACATGGAACATCCTCCGTGATCTGGTCCTCGACATGCAGCGATGCACTGTGGAGAAGAAAGCCATATTATGGGTGAGCGCTTCACCTCTCCATGGGATTGTATTTTCGTCATTGATATCGTAATAGTCATGGACGTGGTTGCAAATCTAACCACACAGATACTTATGTCTGTTAAGGCAATCGGCTAGACGAAACAACTCTGATTCTGAGGCACTTCGACATAACCCGGATTTTGCCCTTTCTACCGTCTCTTAGGAGTGTCACTCTTGAATGGCAAAGTAACATGAGTCTGCGGGCGAGAAGGAGTATGCGCGGAAGAGTGAAAGCGTGGGGTATGGTCGAGCGGTGCGCGCGGCGATTGGCTGCGCAGTGAAGAGGCCGCCGCGCGCCGACCTCCGACAGCCTGCGTGTTCGGCCTGCCTTCACCTCGCCTTTGTGTCAACGCGTACAGGTCAACCTCACTACAAAGCCACGATGGCCGACAACACGCAGCCCCCTCCCAACGCAGACACTGAGGTTATGGATGACTTGGACGCCGGCGTCGACGCGGAGATCCACCCCGAGAACAGTCAACTACCAGACGCCATGAATCTCGACGGCGCAAACGACACAGAAGCACCCCAGAGAAACGGCGTCGCCGCAGAAAACCCTATAGAAGCGCGCATCCCCGCGAAGAAGGATGCGACGCTGCGCGAATTCCTCTCTAAGATGGATGAGTTCGCGCCTATCGTATGTCTCGCCCCGCCCTGGATGGAGACGACGGCTGACCTATGCTCTAGCTCCCAGATGCAGTCACCAACTACTATCTCACACGCGCTGGTCTGCCGCCGCCTCCACAGACTTCGCCTCATCTTGCGCGCCTCCTTGCGCTCGCGACCCAGAAATTCATTGCCGATATCGCTGCCGACGCATACCAGTTCTCGCGCATACGAGCGTCCAATACTACCAGTAACAATCCGATGGGCGGACTAGCTGGTGGGGCAGGGCCTCAAGGTGCAGCAGCACCCGGCGGAGCGCAGAGCGGCAAGGACAGCAGTGCGAAAGCCAAAGATCTCGCCTTAGGCGCGCCGCGTGCAGGATTTGGTGGAGGCGGACAGGGTGGTGGACAAGGCCGAACCGTGCTCACTATGGAGGATTTGGGCATGGCCGTGGGCGAGTACGGCGTCAACATCAAACGTGGCGAGTTCTACCGGTAAGGACCCACCTCAATGTTTGCATCACGCAACACGATCTGGACGGAGGCCACTATTACAACGGCCTCGACGCACTTATGGAATGATGGCTGTGCTCTTTCTACAGCATTAGCAGGCGGACTTCCGTGCTGAGGCCTAAGGCGCCAGCAGCGGAGATTCACTTGTAGACGCTTTCACAACATGGGAGGCGTTGGCTTTGGCGTTGAGGCAACTTTTTGCATTGGAACCCACAAAGTTTGGGTTTGTGCTGTTTTGTACAAGTAGCGATACAAAGGGGTTTTAGCATATGCCCCAAATTGATACCCAGAACTCCAAGATATGCACGCGCGATCGACTCTCTACTTGTTCTTCGTCTGTTTATACGTGAATTGCTTTCTCGTCCTATTGCCACTATCAGTCCTTGTCCAGCGACCGTCGATCTTTGTGCTTGTTGGAGACGACCGAGTATGTGATGGGCGGTAACGTACGGTGCAAATTCGCCCAGCTTGTGTCCGACCATGTCTTCGGTTATCGTGATATCCACGTAATTTTTGCCGTTATGTATTTGGAACTTCTGGTTTACGAAATTTGGCAGGATGGTCGCGGATCGTGCCTGTGTCTTGATCGGAACGACCTTCTGGCCGGGCGCCGCGCGAACGATGGGCAGTCTACGGATTTCTCAGCCAAGCGTCGAGGACACCGTCGATCGACTTACGGTACGATGTTGGGGCCTGGAGTCAAAGGTCAGTACACACAGCAATGCGGCGCTCGCTGTGACATACCTTTCCAGACCGACCGCGAGAGTAGCGTCCGTGTGGGATGCATTGCTATTGCTGATGCTGAGGAGGTCGCGACGTCCGCCTGACGATTTCGGTGCACTTGCACCTGCAGGGATCACGACACGTGACAGCGGGACCTCTTGGCGAACCAGGCAGAACGCGACGCGACTTTGTGAATGACCGGGGATCTCATATCTTTGCGGCGAAGGTGGTCTGTTCGTGTACTTCAGAGCGCAGTCAACATATCGACGCCGTGCAGCTCTCATTGCCCACCTTCATCGACCCCGTGCGGCACACAACTCCGCCATGCCTACCCAGGCCTCGCCACAAGGTAGTCCGCCTTCCGGGTATGAGGGGGTTTCCGCTGACAAGTGTCTCTCAGGCCCCAACATTATTCGTATCCTCGTAGCCACCGACAGCCATGTTGGCTACAATGAGCGCGATCCCGTTCGAAAAGACGATAGCTGGAAGTCATTTCACGAAGTCATGTGCCTTGCCAAAGAGCACGATGTCGACATGGTCCTTCACGGCGGTGACCTCTTCCACGAGAATAAACCTTCCCGAATGTCCATGTATCATGTTACTCAATCTCTGCGCATGAACTGCTTGGGCGACAAGCCTTGCGAGCTAGAGATGCTCAGCGATGCGAGCGAGATCTTCGGTTCAGTGTTTGACCACGTTAACTACGAGGATCCAAACATTAACGTAGCAATACCGGTGTTTGCTATTCACGGTAACCACGATGACCCATCCGGCGAGGGACAGTATTCCGCATTAGATCTTCTTCAAGCATCTGGTCTCGTCAACTACTATGGTCGAACCACGGAAGTTGATCGTATAGAAGTCAAGCCGGTGCTGCTTCAGAAAGGCGAAACAAAACTAGCACTTTATGGACTCAGTAACGTTCGAGATGAGCGTCTGTTCCATACGTGGCGGAATGGGGAGGTCAAGTTCTATCAGCCAGGTGCTCAGACTGGGGATTGGTTCAACCTGATGACCGTCCACCAGAATCACGTCGCGCACACACCCACTAGCTATCTTCCTGAGAATTTCCTTCCAGAATTCATCGATCTGGTCATTTGGGGCCACGAGCATGAATGCCTCATTGAGCCCAGACTGAATCCTGAAATGGGCTTTCAGGTCATCCAGCCAGGTTCGTCCGTCGCTACTTCTTTGATGCCAGGAGAAGCTGTACCGAAGCACGTCACCATCATTAGCATTGATACTACCCAAGACAAGCGCAAGTTTTGGAGTGAACCTATTAGACTGAAATCTGTACGGCCTTTCATTATGAAGGATATTGTACTACAGGAGCAGCAAGAAGTCATCGATCAAAAGCTATGGCGTGTCTCAGAGAACAAGAACAAGATATCGGAGATCATTGCGACCGTTGTCGAAGAAATGATTGATCAAGCACAGCGGGAGTGGGTTGAGCTACAAGACGATCGAGATGAAGACGAGGACATAGAGATTCCTCTTCCACTTGTTCGGTTACGTGTGGAGTACACCGCTCCCGACCGTGGCGAATTTCAGATTGAAAACCCCCAGCGGCTCTCGAACAGATTTCAAGGCAGGGTCGCGAACGTGAACGACGTTGTGATGTTCCATCGAAAGAAGAAGACAGCTACTCGTATAGCCAAGGCAATCGCGGAGCTACCCGACGAGTCAGCTATGGCGGAGCTATCGATAGATACGGTAAAGGTCGAACAGCTTGTCAAAGAGTTCTTGACCGCACAATCGCTTTCAATCCTACCACAGAACTCTTTCGGGGACGCTGTGTCTCAGTTTGTAGACAAGGACGATAAGCATGCCCTCGAGAACTTCGTTAAGGAGAGCCTCGAGTCCCAGCAGAAGTACTTGCTAGAAGACCTCAATGCTGATCTGGATGACCTCGAGGACGTAATAGGGAACTACAAGAGCCAGATGGAAGGGGAGTTCGCAGCAGGCGACACAAGGCGCAAGGTAAGATCACTCACATCTACACTAAGCGAATGCACACACTAACGAAAGTTACAGCGCAAGACTCAGACCAAACCTAGACCAAGCGGACACGACAGTGATGTTGACGAACATTGGGCAGATTTGCCAGATGCTGGTGTTCATGCGGATGACGGTCAAGACGAGGAAGAGGCTCCGGCGGTTAACAGAAAACTAGCGGGTAGGGGTAGGGGTAAGGTTGGTACAACACGCCAGACTGCGGCTGCTGCTAAGAAGAACTCCGCCGCCGCCACTAAGAAAGGCCCAGCGCCGAGAACAACTAGGGGAAAGAAGACCTTTATTGCAGTGGAAGAGAGTGAGGAGGACGACGATGACGATGTGATTATGGTCGACGAGGTCTATCACGAGCTGCCAGAACACCCGGACTCTGGATCAGAGGAAGATCTCTTTGTGGGGCAAAAGAAGCGTGCAACGAATAAAACCACCAGCAGTGCTACCCGCCCTAAGTCACCAGTAAAGAAGACAACTGCATCTGCAACCCGGACTAAGAAAACCCCTGCAACCAAGCAGTCTACTCTCAACTTTTCTCAAACTTCTACACAGCGGGCGGCCGCGTCGCGGGCAAGTAGGGCGATAGAGGAAGAAAGTTGCCCACCATAACTATTCATTGGTTTGATGCTAACGATTGGTAGGACGAAGAGGAGATATCGGACGATGAAGCCTTCGAGCCGATGCCGAGCTCTAGGGCCACTCGGAAGCGATATTAGAAAGGCTCCACAAGTATGATCAGGACATGGCTGTAGGGTACTTTGCGCATAGCGAGCGGCGTTTCCGTCAATGGTGCATGAAAACCTCATGACTGGAGGTTCAAGGACTCCTTAACCGAGTACCATTTAAGTTGTCGTGGACGGATGAGGGTTGTGCAATATTTTGATACTCATGGTAACACTGGACAAAGCATCATCCGTATACGTCGTATATGGCCACATTCTTTTTCCACCTCGCCCTCTTCAACTTATGTTTTATTTATTCTGCTCTCTTCTGTTGCATGTTGTAAGAGCACTGCAGAGTCGTTTTAACCTATTCGTCCTCTCAGTCGTTACTGCCTCTTCCCACATTTCTATTTCTGTTGGACAGGGCAACTACCAACTTCTAGCCCAGCACCGCTGCCTCGGCTCCTTGGGACTTGGTCTGCCCTTCTCGCTCATGCCCCTTCCCTTTCCTATCGCGCCACGTACATACAGCAGTCGCGTCAGCATGCTTGTTGTATCGTTCTCATGAAGCGCATCCTCCTTTCATCAACCCTCAACACACACTCATTCGTCTCCGCGTTCTTGTTCCGCTCTTCTTTTGTCATTGCTGCTCTTCAGCTTTTGGATAGCTGCACGCTCGTTCGCATAGTACCTCACCACCCGCTTTGAGGTACGTGGGACCCCATCTTCCTCAATTGTCGCTCATCCACCTCATCGATAGCTCGCTCTGACGTTGACAGGATATTCACATCACACGCATCTCACATCTCGGCCGTCTCCGATTGCCTATACCTTGTCTCCGGCCACTCGGGGCTACCCTACAACCCCCTGTCGTCCCGAGTTGGACCGGGTTAGGTGTCGCCCAACATGTCATACAAGGTTGAGGAGCTGCTCGCTCTCAGGGACTCCGTTTCCGAGTCTGCCGTATCGATCGAGAAGTTCGCCGATGAGGATGTCATCAAAGGTCGGTGATAGGTCCTCTAGTGCGCTTCAACATGTGTTACCCTTCACTTTCACTTTGCTCTTGCTGCGCCTGCCTCCGAAGCGTGTTACCTAGGGAACGACACGGCAATGCTCAGCAAAAATCAACTGGCTCACCAAAGACACCCTCATTTTGCCTCTTTCCTTCGTTTAGCGACCTTGCTGCTGACCAAATTTCGTGCAGAACACGTTTTGCGACCTTCCGCATCAGCTACTTTGGCCGTTAAGTCTTCGACCAAAAGCCTTCTTTCCTCCGCTACGCCTGCTCTCGCTCCAGCGGCTCCTGTCAAGAAGCCTTCGCCATCCCCTTCGATCAAGCGTGGAAAAGCCGAGAGGCTTCTCAAGGAACACGGCAGCCCTCCGGGTATGCGCGTCACTGCCGGTGGACGTATCGTGCCGAGCGATCAACCGCCTGTGCTGAATCATCGCTTCATCAACAACGGGTTCAAGCCCCCGGCAGCTCGGGGGGTCCCTCTCACCGATGTAATGTCCGCGCAGTCGCGCCTAGAAAACAACAACGGTCCGCGGCTGGAAGTCGTTGGAAGCCAGCCTGTACTCTATGTCGGCGACCGAGTATATGCACTTCCAGCTCTCGATGCGACAAAGTCGGGTGCTTCATTCTTGGTCTCCACGAGCTTGGAGTCGGCACCAAAGCCAACGGAGCCCGTCCCAGGAGTTTCCGCTCGAAGTAGCCTCACTGGCCTGCCTCCAGGCCCTCAGAGAGTGAACACACCGTCGCCGTTATCTGGACTAGATCTTTCAGCTCTCAAAATCCAGCAAACACTCAAGAAGCAAGAACTTCGTACTGTCGAACAGACAGAGGTGTTGCAGGCAAGCCACCAGACTGAAGTGTGGCGCGCCAGTGTGATCGAGAAAAAGCGAAATTTGATCATCGAGCTCGATGCACTACGCAAGCAGATTACTGCGCTCGAGGTCACCGAGAACAACACTGCTCCACCTGTCAAGTCCACTGGCTTTGCCAGTGCTCTGGGACTAGATTCTGAATCTATACCACCGCCTCCGTTTGTTCCTCAATTCCAGCAACCCATGCCGTCTCCGCTGTACGGATTCCCTGGTACGCCTTCATATCCTCCAATGATGATGTTCCCATCATCATTCGGGGGCTACGCCAGCATCCCAGCCACCGAGCCTGCGCCCTTTGTGCAGAATTCCTTACAGCCGCCGCAGTCTCCTAGCTCTGCGAGTCGGCGGTCCCACGCGATTCAGATCAAACCACCCCCGGAGGAAAACAAGAAGCTGGTCAGCTCAGCGCTCGATCCGAAGAGCCCAACTTGCGAGCCTACAACCAAGGCAGCAACCACTGGGAAGGGAGCTGTTCCTCCAATGCCGTCACCAGCGAAGCGGTCTCCGGGGCGAATCAATGGTGGTCACGAGTCAGACCTACCAGGCAATCGAAGTCTTTCTCAGAAGCCCAGTCTGTCCAGCATCGATACAACAGATTTCTTCCCTACCAACACACATGAGCACTCTTCTACCCGAGTTGCGCCGCAAGTCAACGATTCGAGGTCGACCACCAATGAGACCTCTGTGGTTCCCTCGACACCTGAGAAAAACTGGCCAGCTAGCCCTTGGAACGAAGGGAATTCCAGTCGCTCTGGCCACAAACCGGTCGCCAAACTAACGTCGTGGCCGGAGGCGTTTGGCAAGAAGCCCTCTAGCGGATCACTACAACAGCTTGCAGCCGCTCCAACTTCCGCGGCCGTGCAAGAGCGCATGCCGCCCTCTTCCGCGGAGCCTCTGAAGCCAGTCTGCTCGGGCATCACCTCAGGACGCAAGACTACCGACCAGCGATTTAGTACGGACGACACCTGGCCATTGCTCAGTTCCAAGCCAGCCAGCCACCTACCTTCCACCTATCAAGAAGGTTTTCAAGCTGGCTATGATCATGTAGGAATACCAGACAGTCCCGACGTTCTGAAAGGTTACATCCAAGGACTTGTTCAATTTCTGCACGACGAAAATAAACGTGGTCGAAACAACTCTCTTCGTGGTCTAGTCGCCAGCTCTCAACCTCATGACTCTGCCATTAGTATGACCTTCAACCGTCCTGATGCACTCGTCAGTGGCCAGGAGAATAATCGGTCCACGAGGGTCGATGGTACCATGGATATGCGCAAGGAGTCAGCATACCACACACCTGAATCTCCTTTCATGTACACAATTTCCAACAACGCCGCTCAAGATCAACGAACACGCAACCTGACACCCAAAATCTATACAAATTCTACCAGTACCTTTGATCGAGTCTCGCCTGCGTACCAACAGCACGCTTTTCTGTCGACGGAGAATGGCATGATAATAAAGGAATCAGACAGAGGTAGTATGTCCCGGGCTGAGGCCATGAAGCTTGGTCATACACACAGGCAGTTCGCTGGCATTCAACTCACCAATCGGACTCATGGACCGCCTATGCCCCTCCAGTGGAATAACCTGACTCCAAAAGATTTTGGCATAGCAGCTTCCGGTGGAGGTGATTCTTCTTTCGCGCGGCCTATGGCTAACCGGCGCGTATCAGGCTTTGACGGTGCGATGGATGATCTGGCAGAGATGGTTGTTGATACCCACATCACTGAGCAACAGCAGCATCAGACACCACCACCGAACCTGTCTTTTGCAGCGGGAAGTCATCGCCAGGTCGCCGCTCCTAGTTCTTCGGCATCCGTGGAAGAGGAGGCTTCCTGTTTCCGGCCTTCGTCTGGCAAGGGGAAGCAGAAGATGACTTCGTCTCCTGCCAAACCGGGATCAGACAAGCGAAGCGACGCTCTTGGGCTATCACCGACGACTACGCCTGATTCGCCCAATAAGTTAGGGGAGCACTCACCAGCCAAGGCAAAGCTGGAACAGGTCACCAATAAATTCAGGCGCAAGAAGAAAGATACACGCAACCTTTCACCAGAGCAGAAGAAGGAGCGTGCAAACAAGTGGCGTGAACGCTTCGGACAGCTCAGGGAAGAGGACGCGAAGACAATTCATGACTACAAACAGAGCCATCCCTCAATTGCGGAGCGGCGTTGAGCGGGAGATTGATCGTCTCCAGTCCTCGACATGTCGACCAAGCCGATGAGGCACACTCTTCTTATTCACTTTCTTGCTCTGGCTTTTATGAGGCTTTTGCCGAACATCACTACGACTGGACGCGAAGTGTGGCCTTATCTAAGTTTCCACACTTGCCTTGGTCTTGTTCTGCATGCTCCACTTCTACCTAATACTGCGGCGTCGCCGAGCGTTCCGCGCAGCGTTACACTGGTTATGGACAGATTTGGACATAACTCTACAGCGTGGTGACGAATATGCAGCGGCACTTTTTTGTGGATTACAGTTTGCTGCTTTTACCATCAACATTAATCTAATTCAGCGCTGTACCAATGGGCGAAGCACTTGGGCGCTTCGGATGGTGGAAGCTGGGGTCGCATCCCGAGGCTCTGCTCTTTTGGTCTGCTGCGTCACTACAGGCTATACCAATATGGCTATCTGTTTGATATGCATCACCCATTGTATAACAGTTTACAAATATAACATGAAATACGGAATGCTGTATGGCCCTGGGTGCAGTGACGGATGTTGTGGGAGCCAATGTGCAACAAACATGTACCAATTGCTGGTAACGTGAACGTGTATCCCACTTGGGTGCGACCTGAACATCAAGAAGATCAGCAACGAGCGAACAAGGTGGCGGCAAGAGGGGCGTGGGCGTAGATGGTGCGTTCGGGCATAGTTCCAGCATGAGGTGGCTCGGCGAATGGCATACTAGGCTCGGGGCAGGGTGGCGCTCCGCCGTCTAGACCTCAGCGGGAGGGCTTGGGTCAGTCGTAGGAACAGAGTGGAAGCTCAGCCATCTGGCAGCGATTGTGCGATGAGGACGAAGGTGACGGGGCGCTGAGAAGAAGTGGGACTCTCGGCAGAGAAGCAGAGACATGGTCCGTTGCTGATAAATCCATCAGAAGCACTTGGACTCCGTGGGGGACAGGACGAGGGGCGCAGGGGCAGAGCCACGGACAAGTGCTCGAGGGGCCGCAGCGGACAAGTTGGGGCAATTTGGGCAGCGTGCGCGCTGGGCTGACTGTTGCGGTGCTTGCAAATGCAGCAATTCGCAGAGCACAGTCGCTCGGGCATGTAGATGGGTTCGAGACGACGCCGATGATGCTGCACACGGGCCAGGTTTAAAGGAGCGTTTGCGCGTCGGCTCCTTCCCCACTCTGGCTTTGCCGCGCTGCGACGCCTGGCCTGCCTGGGCTGCGCTTGCCTGCTCCCCAAGAACGTCGTCTCCAGCCGTCTCTCGTCGTCCCTCCTACATCGCCGCCCAATGCTGGCCGGCCTCGCTCGCCCTCGCACCCTCGTCCTCACCCGCCGCCCGCCCGCGCTGCGCTGCCCTGCGCCGCTGCATTCCGTGACAGGCGCGCCCACGCACGCCAGCACCCGCACCAGCCACAGCAGCTCCCCGACCGCCCGGGACCCTGGACAGCATCGACATCACTGGGTAGACATGGCCCACTAGATCCACACTCAACGACACCACACGCCATCCGGACCGCTTCTCCTCTCCACGGCGCGAGTACGCCCTCGACACCCTCACCGCGCCGCCCGCGCCGCCATGACGCAGCTGTTCCACTCATCAACGAACAACGCCTCAGCCGCCATGTCAGAAAAGCGCACCTTTTCCGGCATCCCGCTGTCGTCCAATAAGCAGGTCAACGGCAGCAACAGCCAGGTCTCCCAGAAGATCAAGGCCTTCTTCCGCATCAACAGCAGCAGCAGCGAAAAGGACCGCAAGCCCTCGGATGAGGGCAGCAGCCTCTCCATCCCCAAGAACGACTCCAAGTCGTCCTTCCGCCAGTCGCGCTTCATCCCTCACATCTCTCGCAACCGCTCCACCACGGTTGCCAGCGAAGGCAACCCGCTCGACGATGGCGTCTCGCCGACGGCACATGCCAACCCCTACTTCGTCCACCAGGGCCCGCCGGCCTTGCGCCACCACAACGAGGGCAGCGTGCCTCCCTCGCCGCCCGACACACCACCCATGCCAAAGATCAATGCTGCCAATGGAGGCGACGACCAAGCTACAACAGCCGGCAAAGAGGAACTGGCCAGGAAACTGCGGAGGGTAGCGTCTGCTCCAAATGCCCAGGGTCTGTTCTCAAAGGGCAACTCGTCTGAGCGCCCGCAGACTGCAGAACTTGGAAAGCAGCCTCTGGTCCACCACCCAAACACGTCTACACTTAGCATGGTAGAGACTGCAGTTGAGGACCCAACCCATCTCATACCTGCCGATCCTACCAAAGGCATACCGTCTCCGGGCCAGATTCGTAACTCGGTTGCCTTTCGGAGAACCTACAGCTCCAACTCCATCAAGGTTCGAAATGTCGAGGTTGGGCCCGGCAGCTTTGACAAGATCAAGCTGATCGGGAAGGGCGATGTGGGCAAAGTCTATTTGGTGCGGGAGAAGAAATCAAGCAGGCTCTACGCCATGAAAGGTACATTCCCTACATGCGTACATTGAATTTGATGCTAACAGAACCAGTCTTGAGCAAAAAGGAGATGATTAAGCGCAACAAGATCAAGCGTGCGCTGGCTGAGCAGGAAATTTTGGCGACCAGCAACCATCCATTCATCGTTACGCTTTATCACTCGTTCCAGTCAGAGGACCACCTCTATCTCTGCATGGAATATTGCAGCGGTGGAGAGTTCTTCAGGGCTCTGCAAACCCGACCAAACAAGTGTGTCGATGAGGACGCAGCTCGGTTCTATGCAGCTGAAGTAACAGCTGCTCTCGAGTATCTGCATCTGATGGGCTTCATATACCGCGACCTGAAGCCAGAAAGTACGTTTTCTACCTCATTCTAAGCATTTCTGTTCTGACTGTTATAGACATTCTCCTGCATCAGTCTGGTCACATCATGCTGTCAGATTTTGACTTGTCAAAGCAATCGGATCCTGGAGGCCGTCCAACTATGATCGTAGGCCGAAACGGCACATCCTCCAGCAACCTTCCCACAATCGACACGAAGTCATGCATAGCAAATTTCAGGACAAATTCGTTCGTGGGTACCGAGGAATACATCGCCCCAGAGGTCATCAAGGGTTGCGGTCATACGTCTGCAGTTGATTGGTGGACCCTTGGCATCTTGATCTACGAGATGCTTTACGGGACAACTCCGTTCAAGGGCAAGAATCGTAACGCGACTTTTGCAAACATTCTGCGGGATGATGTTCCCTTCGCCGAAGGCTCTGGTGCTCCGACCGTCTCAGGGTATGCAGTCTACCGTGTGCTCACGATCATCACTAACAAACTTAGGAATTGCAAATCCTTGATTCGAAAACTACTCATTAAAGACGAATTGCGCCGACTTGGGTCTCGAGCCGGTGCTTCCGATGTCAAGACGCATCCCTTCTTCCGTGCTACCTCTTGGGCGTTGTTGCGACACATGAAGCCTCCGATCGTCCCAAATCAAGGTCGCGGGATCGAGACGCCCAACTTCCGGAATGTGAAGGAAAGCCAAAGCGTTGACATCGGCGCTGCGAGAACCAAGGGCGTCCCGTTGGATTCTGGACTTGCTACACCTGGGGGCGAAATCGCAGATCCCTTCGAGGAGTTCAACAGTGTCACTCTTCACCACGACGGCGACGATGGACATGATCATTTCGACGGGGACCATCTCGAACTGCAACAGTCAAACTCACATCGATAGTATGGGCTGGAAAACTTGTTACATTTCCTCTGCCGGATTCGTTTTTGTGTCACAAAAGAGCGCATTGATTTGCATTTTCAAATTTTTAGGACAGGCGTTCTTACGGATTGCTTTCCACACACTCCTTCTAGCGTGGGGTCGTTCCAGGTTCCCCAACGGCATTGGCGTTCTCGAGAGATATCGGAGCATCGACAGTTCCTTGCACCTATGTTTCAGTGTCTTTTCCTGTCTTGCGTGTCTAGTTGGGGTTGCTCCAAGCCGGTTGCAGGCTTGCGGGTCAATGGTCAGAGTCAAGGAACCGGTAGCGCGTCATGGAGAGCAGATGTAGAACGGTTGTTCTGTACTAGGACAGGCATTGCGTGGAACACTGCACGAGTGCCATCGAAGCAATGTGAACATACAGTATTTCAGGATAAGGAGCTTTCGTGTTCACGAGAAATGAGGGTGAAGTCAATGCCAAGACGATGCGTGAAAGCGCGCCAACCATTTCGCGTCTTCGCCGCGGTGTTGTCCGCACCGAACATTAAGCATCCCCGCCGCACCAACACTGCTACGCATTCTGACCCTTGCAAGCCGACCCGTGCTATTCTCACAGTCTGCCCTTACATACGAAACTCAAACCTACGTCTCCTTCTCCATCTCATCCACCGCTGCCGTCAAGTAAACACGACACGAATCTCTACACACGAAGCGGGCCACACAAGTCCAGTTCACCCGAAGCAAGCCCGACTCGACCATGGCCACCGACGGCCCCGACCAAGCCCTCTCCGCGTCGCAAGCGTCGTACCTGCCGGACGCGGAATCGCTCACGCCGCTGGAGCAGGAAGTGCTCGACGAGTACGCGCGGCTGCTGGGCAACATGAACAACGTGGGTGCGCGCCGTCTTTCTCGGGACCTGGTGGGCTAACCATGTGTAGATGTCTGCGCTCCTCGCCGAGCTGGCTGCGAACCCGTCGGCGGAGATTCTAGATGCGCTGAGGGGGCTGGAGAGGAAGACGAGTCTGGTGTTTACGCTGTTGAAGGCGAGTGTGTACAGCATTGTGTTGAATACGCAGATCAGGGAGGAGGATGGGGGCGCGGAGGGGCAGAGTATGATGTGAGGAACCAAGGGGGGCACAGTGGAGGTGCGGCTGGATGCTTGCGAGGCCCTGGGAGGAGAGGCTACGATATGATACCCCCGGAGAAGGATAGGACGTTACGAGAAGTGGATGGAACCACAAGGCTTGCAACGCACAAGGTTTCTATCCATGTTACGAGTTTTGGTATGCGTAGATTTACAAGCGTTGCTACAAAAGCTAGATCTGTGCGCCCGCCCAATGCGAATGCATCTTTACACTGTACATCTCCCACGTCTACCCGCTCTTCGCTTCAAACTATCATACAACAGGCTTGCAATATGTCGCGGTCCGGTTTCTCAATGTACACTTCCTCCGTAGTACACCTTCCGCACGTCGACCAACTTCTTTCCTCTTGCTCGCGCAATCTCGTCTGGCAGCTTCTGGTTGCAGAGGGCTTCCCATGTGGCCTTGATGACGTTCATCTTGTTCCGTGAGCGGGGCGTTCGGGCGGCAAGATCCTGGAGGCCGGCGGCACGAGCGATTTCGAAGATGAGGTGCTGGACGCGGAGACCGAAGCCTTGACGATTGTTAGTGTGATATATCTTGTAAAGGGGATTGAGTCTTACCAGGCGGTCGAGAAAACAGCTGCACCTTCGTGGCTCCCACCTTGCACTCCAAGTCTCCGAAAGTGGTCCTATTCTCGTATCGCGGGATAGGCCTCATGTTCCTGATGGCGGCCATCACACTCTGCTTCCTTCCTTCATCCGGCTCCACGGACTTGCCCTCTCCCACACCGAGCAGACCGGCTTGATTACCCGCAATGGTCAGGTAGTACATAGATCGGATCTTGCCCATACGCGTCTGGTTGGTCACGCCGTGCACGACCAGCGTCTTCACCTTGATACTTCGCAGCTTTTGTTTGTCCCAATTAAGGTACTGTAGTAGACGTTTCTGGCGCGGATCCTCGGCCTCCTCTGAAGACAGACGGCGGGTCTGGCGCACCATGCGGTTCTCGATTCTCGGTAGGTCGGGCATGACGATCGAGTGCCGCGGGTCAGCGAGCGCAGCAGCCGCGTGCCTGTTCTTGACGCGGAAACTCGCGCGAGGATCCAACAATGCCTGCGTGACAGCTGTTCCCATGGCCTCCTGCAACTGCCGCTGCGTCTCCTCGCTTAGCTCGCCCTCCGGAAGGCCGTCAGGGAACATCTTGGCAAGATTTTCGTTGGCAATGAAGGTGATGGCTTCGTCGCGCTCCTCCTCGTTGACATCCTGGAAGTCGTGTGATCCAGGGATGTCGGACGGGTCCAGCTTCTCGGCGTGATCCGTCACGGGGTCGACCTCGGCCAGGTCATCTTCGTACGGCAGAAGCCACGGGTCTGTTCGGTGGCTGGACTGGGTGAGGAGGTCGCGGCTGTCGATTGCGGTCTCGGCGGCCTTGATGGCGGCGATTTGCGCGGGCGTGTACCGCTTCTCTAGCAGGGCCGTCTCCGAGGTGTCGTACTTGGGATAGTGGGTTTCGGCCGCCTGGTTCAGCAGCTTCAGGTCCTCTGCTTTGATGGACGGGTAGTGCGGTCTCCGCTTGCGGGCTGCACGAGGGGCGGATGCGTGGAAGGAGCGTTGTGGTGCGGCCGAGGGCTTAGGGAGCGCGGCAGATGCGAAGAGACATCTTACGGGGCGGCAGACGCTCATTGCGTCTCGTGGGCCGCCGGGAAAAGGCCAATTGCACGCCGAAAAGAAGGGGGACGATGCGCGTGCTGCGTGGATGCTTGTCGCAGGTCAGCGAGCGAGCTTCGATAATTTTGGCGCTAGCAGCTAAGGCGACGCGCTACCCAATCACCTCCCTTCCTTTTCCGTGACTCCAGCTTTTTCACCTTCTACATGTTTTCGTTCCTCGGTCGATCAACGCTCCGCACACTTTCGTACGCTAGCAGACGGGTTCCGTTAAGCAGATACGGCATGGCTTCTTCAGCTGCAAATGTTGCGCCCATCGAGAGCTTCGGTGAGAAGAGACCTGCGGAAGAGACGCCGTTGAGAAGCGAGGAAGGATCACGGGGCAGTTACAGGTTCAAGAATAAGAGAATGAGAAAGGGCCATGCCGAGACCAGCAACATCCTCAAGACGAACGGGAGCAACGAGGAGATTCTGTTGGAAGATGTCAAAGCTCTCTTGAAGAGCCTCAATCTGGAAAAGGATGTCTCAGCAGAGCTGCCGGAGCTCAGGTCCGAAGTGGAAGTCACCATCAAAGAGCTCTCTTCCACTGGCGACGGCCTAGGGTTTCAAGAAGGGTCGGCGTCAGACCAAGTCTATGTGGTTCCGTTCACAGCACCCGGCGATACCGTCACCGCCAAGATCTTCAAGCACGATCAGAAGGATAAGATCTCTATGGCCGATTTCGTCAAAGTCACGAAACCTTCGCCACACCGTGACCCATCATTGGTCAAATGCCCATACTTTGCTAGCTGCTCAGGATGCCAATTTCAGATGCTACCGTACGACTACCAGCTTGCCCACAAGAAAACTATCGTGGAGAAGGCATACAAGAACTTTTCTCAACTGCCGCCAGAGCTTATTCCTACCATTGGCGATACTATCGGCTCGCCTTTACAGTACGGCTACCGGACAAAACTCACACCGCACTTTGACGGTCCGCCGGATTCTCGTCGGAGCGACGGCAGGAACGGTATCAGACGAAAGTTCCAAGAAGTTCCTCCTATCGGATTCATGAAGAAGGGCACACGGATCACCATCGATATCGAGGATTGCCCTATTGGTACAGAAGCAATCCGCAATGGCAACAAGCGCGAGAGAAAACGCGTCGCAAACGAGCTTGATAAGTACCACAAGGGTGCCACGCTACTCCTCCGCGAAACTACGGAGCGTATCTCAAAGGAAAACTATGATTACTCGGAAGAGCACGACCCAGACGCCGTCATCGAAGATCGTGGCGAGCACCTGCACCGCAAAACATGTGTCACGGACCCGAACGCCAAAAGCACCGAGTACATCGATGACTTCCAGTTCGTCAATCCCGCGGGTTCCTTTTTCCAGAACAACAACTCCATCCTACCCATATTCACACAATACATTCGGGACCATATTCTACCTCCCACCTCCGACCACAAAGTCAAGCATTTGATAGATGCATACTCCGGCTCTGGCCTCTTCACCATCACCCTGTCATCGCTGTTCAAGTCGTCGCTAGGCATCGACATCTCCTCATCCTCGATCTACTCTGCGACACACAATGCCGAAATCAACAACCTCCCTGCCTCGACCGCGAAGTTCATTGCGGCAGATGCTTCCGCGCTATTCGCCAGCATCGATACAGACGCCGCCGAAACCGTTGTCATGATCGATCCGCCGCGGAAAGGCTGCGATGAGAGTTTTCTGCGCCAGTTGGTGCGGTACGGACCTGCCCGTATCGTGTACGTGAGTTGCAACGTACACACGCAGGCTCGGGATGTTGGTGTCTTAGTTGGAGGGATGAAGGGGGTTGATGGTGGCTTTGGAAATGGAGAGGGGTGCTACGACATCGAGAGCATCTGTGGGTTTGACTTCTTCCCTCAGACTGGACACGTTGAGGGTGTCGCTGTGTTGAGGCGGAAAGAAGCGAAGCATTGAGCGAGGGAGAGACTCCAAGAGAAGTGTGTAAACGTCAGGTTTTCGATCCTGTGCGCGAACAGTGACGAGGGACACTTTGTCCACATGGCTGTCTGAAATTTGGATACCCCGTGCGATCCCAGCATGGCCATAATCTTGGCTTGCATTATACTATTCCATACCAGGTTTCCAGTTTGCTCACATTCTGTTTTAATCGTAACTGTCCATTGTGACTATATCTTCAAGTGGAGCACACCCAGGTTCAAGGTCAACGACTCACTCGAAACCAGAACGTCTAATCATACCGTTGGTCACACAGGTAACGTAAGTTGCTGATGTGGTGCGTAAGATGGTCTTTTCGATAAGTTTCTCTGCATGCCCCTACACCCACGCTATCAGCCGCTCGCGCGTCCCCCTCAACTGCTTTGAACAATCCGAATGCATACTTTCCTTCTTTACGTGCTCCCTGGGCCGCCCAAGAGAGCAAACCTCCGCACAATGCTTGGGCCAATCTCATCGTACTCTGCCTTGGTATGGCAATAACTCTTGAACTCAGGAGTCTGACCAAGCAGACTGCCTCCGAACCATGGACCGTGTCTTTGCCTCTTGTGCGTGATGACTTGCACGTCCAAACCACCACTCTTCGCGCCTCCGCTCCGAGCCTCTGAAGCCTTAATTCTAGCGTCGACAAGGTGTCTAATGTCACGCTGGAGACGTCTTCCAAAGTCCTTGTATAGTGTGGACCCTCCAGAGAGAACAATGTTCTTGTACAGTCCCCTTCGTACATCAATGGGCGAACTCTGAATGACTGTGTCGACGATGTTCGGCAGTGGCGTGAGGAAGTCCGAGGAGTAAATTTCAGGATTGAAGAAGATCTCGGGAGCCAAGAATCGCTCATACCCCACGTCCACCTGCACCGACTTGCCGTTGGGGTGGTTAACTGTGTGCTTCTTGAAGTAGTCGGGCTCGCGATCATAGCGGGAGAACTCTTTAACGATATCAGGAGAGACGTAGCAGAATTCCTCCTTGATGCGCTCAGCAGTCTGGAGGGAGGAGTCTGGTTCGCCTCGGTCGCGCAGAAGCGACTGAACGAAGTTGGTAATGTCGCGACCGGCAATGGGGACACTCTTTATAGAGGAGCCAATGACGTATCCCTCCGCGACAGGGATGACGTGAGTGACACCGGCACCAGAGTCAATGACAGTGCCGGTCAGGGATCGATCGTGAACCTTGGAGCTCGTCCACGAAGCAGCCAGGGCGAGCACAGCCTGTACAGCGATGTAAAGACCGGCGCAATTGAACGATTCGAACATGATCTCGGCGGTATTCTCACGGTTCTCAGGAGGGTTCATGGGCTGGATGAGAGTCAGAAGCAATCGTGCGAAATCGGTATAGCTGTTCGCTTACGGGTTCGGTGAGAAGGAAATGGTGGTCTTCTGGCTCCACGCGCAGGTACTTGAATATCGAGTTGGACCAGAAGCGCTCCATGAGATCCTACTACTTGTTAATCGCATTGCCTACAGGTCGCGCCAGCTCGCGTACCCAGTTGTCTATCTGACCGTGTCTGATCGGATAATGGATACCATATCCAGGCCCCGCGGCAGCCGATAGCGCTTCATCTCCAATGAAGAAATCGAGGTCCTCAGTTCCCCGCTTCGCATGCAGATGACCGCCGGGACCGGCACCTCCGGTCAGGAAGGAGGGCTTGTTTGCGACGGCAGGCCGACCCGATCCAGAGCCGCCAGCACCGCCTGCCGGGGCCTTGGAAGCTATCGCAGTGGGGAACACGAAGGAGGGCGAGTCGTTGCCGGCGAATCCTTGATAATGTTAGCTTTATGAAGTCCCGGGTGGCAGCGGTGGAGGCGCATCGTACCAAGTTTCGAGTAACCCGTACCGCTAGAGTAGGCGGTCAGTATGCGACTATGCTTGAGGGGCCCGCAGGCTGCAAGGGAGCTTACTTGTCCATGACAACGGCGGGCGTTTGGGACGCCATGTTTGCTGCTGCTCGCCGAGCCTTGTAGAAGCACGAAGCAGCTCAGGAGTGCGTGGAGAGACGAGCGGGCGTGAATTGGCGGTCGAGGACGGTGGTGGATTCGTCAGAGTGGGATGGCGGAGGCTGGTCGATGTGGGCTGTTGGAGCTGGGCGCAGCAATTCCCCGCTCCGCCCGCGTCTACTTGGCGGCCACGGCGGAAACGCGGAGGGCGGGGTCACTCAGTCCCTGTCCTGGCAGCACGTATTTGTGTACTATAGTCAGCGATATGCCATCACATAACCGAGTAAAGTGCCTTCACCTGCTCTTGCCATGGGCGCTATAGCGTGGCCGTGAGTCCCACCCATATTTCTCGCACGGTTGATGCTGTGAGGAAGGCGCAACCAGCCGATGACTCTCCACCTGCTGTGTCTTCTCTCTTCATCCTCGTATTTCAATCCAACCCTACATCTCACCCGCAACTGTCCCCACTCTCATTGCATATCAGCACCCCAGAAACAGGGTCACACGTCCGCTCGAGGCGACTCCATTCATTCACCATTCTTCACCTAGTTCGCTTCTTCCCGCTGCACTTACCTTAAAGACCACACCCGCCGCCGGCGGTCCACTCACCTATGAACTCTTGAAAATCACCAACACACTTTCCCGTCACTTGTGTCTCGCCGTGCATCGACCGCGCTTCAAGCAGTTCGTCGACTAATCACCCATTTCTCCAGACCTGCTCGTTTCAAACAACCCTAGGTCACGACCCCGGTCCCGCCAATACATACCGCTCCTGTACTTCTAAGCTGGATAGGCTTGGACCACGTTTCCGCCGCCTCCGTCGACGCTTCTCTGGAACAAAAGCCAGGGGCATGTCGGTATCAGCTGGGCAACCTGGAGCCGTTGACGGCGCAGTCCAGCTCGATACTCTCACCCGGAAAGCCACGCAGAGCCCGCATCGATCCGACATATGCTGCATATTCCTCCATGCCGGGGCTGGCTATCACAGTCATGCAAACGAGCAGATTCACCTTGAGGCGTGCAATGAGTATGGGTCCAAAATAACTCTCAGACCAAATGCTGATACTACATTAGTGCAGCGCAGGTTGCAATGTTGATCCTGCGGAACGGTGGATCGGCATTGGATGCCGTCGAGATGGCTGTGAAGATCCTTGAGGATCGAGAGATCACCAATGCCGGATATGGGAGCAATCTGGCCATGGACGGTGTCGTGGAGTGTGATGCCTCTATTGTAGATCATTACGGTCGTAGCGGGGCTGTTGGGGCAGTATATCGTGCGTATTGCTCTGCATACATCAATAAGTCCTAACACGGACAACAGAGATCAAGAACCCCATATCGCTCGCCCGACTCGTACTGAATCATACAACCCAATCACTCACCCTCCGCCGTGTACCGCCCAACCTCTTGGTCTCTCAAGGTGCGCTTCAATTTGCGCGAGAGATGGGTGTTCCAGAGGTCCCATACGACGCACTTGTTTCACCTGCCGCGAAAGAGAGATGGATCAAATGGCACCAAGACCTCAAAGTAGCAGAGCGCAAAGCCAGGAAGAATGGTCTGCATCCTTCCTGTTGGAGAGTCAGGGAGGCAACAACAGCTGAGGATGAGGCAGAACAGGAACGCTTGCGCCGAGAGCATACCAGGAGCATGCATGGATATCCACGATCCGGACCTGAGTCCCCGATTACTTTCGAGCAGTCCCTTTACTATGCCATGGATGATAACTCGTCCACAAGCCCATCTGATCCATCTGGGCCCAACTCCGATATTTCTATCGCTAGCTTGAGTGGCGCTCGCATAGCTACACCAGAATCAGTTCATTCTGACCCATCGCCCGACCTCATGCCAGCTCGGCCAGCATCCATAGAAGAGTCTTCTAGAAGTGCTTTTATTAATAGCACGCAAAAGGTTCCCACGTTGCAACGATTCCGAGGTCCGCGTGCTTCCGGACACTCCCCTATGGGTTTAATCGCTGAGGATGGAGTGACAATGGATGCCAGCCGGGCTGGCTTCCATGCGCGAAGGTCATGGGGGGATGGATCTGGCGAGGAATCAGAGTCGGCTTCCAGTGCCGCGACGATGAGGCTGTCAAAAGAAGAAGACATCGCACTGTTACCTGATGTGCTCAAAGATTCGGAGGTTACACGCCCTTCAAGACGCGGCACACCTATATCAGGGACGGCTCAAAGCACCAACTTGATGCCAACCGCGAGTGTGCCTCTGGCTGACCGCTTGGACCAAGAGGAGGATCACATCACCGATACTGTAGGTGCCGTCGCTGTCGATGGCTGGGGCAATATTGCGTGTGCTGCATCTTCCGGTGGGATTGGCATGAAGTATCGGGGGCGTGTTGGTCCAGCTGCACTCGTTGGGGTAGGCACTGCCGTCATATCTAAGGACCCCAATGACCCGGACGAGACATGCGTCGCGACTGTCACGAGCGGCACTGGAGAGCACATGGCCACGACTATGGCTGCCACTGTCTGTGCCGAGAGACTGTACCAGAGCGTAAAGAAACAGAAGGGCGGGGAGTATGCCGAAGCTACAGAGGATGAAGCTCTCAGATCGATGATCGAAAATGAGTTCATGGGTAGGTCGAACATTGACAAGGATTTCCACCAGCTGCTGATACTACTCAAGGGCATCCAAGTGTGAAAAACAGCAACTCAGCGGGCGCTATCGGAATACTCGGAGTCAAGAAAACCCGGCAGGGAGTCATGCTATACTATGGCCACAATACCGATTCCTTTGCAATGGCCTCGATGCACTCAGATGAGGATGCCCCTTGGTGTACAATGTCACGCAACAATGGCAACGGACAGATCGCCCAAGGTGGCCGGATGATGCGATATCAGCGAAAGAAAAAGTCCAAAACGACGTCCATTCGCCCTCAGTTTGCTTGAAGCGACACTAAAGTATGGTGTACAACACGGCAGCACGGCACCTTCTCGAGGATCGATCACTAAACCTATACCCTGCGCCCTAAGTGATCGTCCTTTCATCTCCTATTGAGCGAGGTCTTTCATCCCTTCTTTAGCCTGTCTTCCTCGGAGGCCCCTTGATCATACCTCCCCCCAACCCGGTTTCTGAGTTTTATGTCCAAGGATGAGAAGGTTTTGGTCTTCTTTCAGTAGTATCTTGTTTGCATCCAGGCGTCCGAAGACATTTGATACCCCTGATTTCTGAAATTGGCATTATCTTCGAGGGAGCAGCTGGTGTCTGCATAGTGTGTTAATGAACGACTACGGTATGCCTGTCAGGTTCAGCGAGGCTTTACCGGCGCCTGCGACTTGAAGGGAAAAGGCTTGAAGTAGCAGACGGAATAGACTCTTGCTTTATTAAATCCAACGCGTTCGAGGGTATACACTACCAATGCCAAGCAATCATTGCATACTCTGTAACAATGAATCTAAATCCATCTTCACTGTTTAAATGATGTTGTCAAATTGTGCCAGTGCTTTTCTCATCTTAAGGTCCCGAGGTCCAAAGTTTGATGCGTAGTCACGTGAGAGCGTAACATGCGCACGGGCCGATGCTTGTTTGTGGAGGTTTCACGCAACTGTGACGCCGCTGCCTCGCTTCCCGCTCCTCTCACTTATGCCTGTCTTTAGCGGACTAAGCCCCATGAAGGATATCAGGTAGTCAGAGAATACGAAAGTGCGCGAGATTCTCTTTCTTAGTATGCTCCATCAACTATCGCGCATTCGAGTCGCGTAGACTCCAATAATCGTTCCGACTCCGATAGATATTCACCATGAATGCTATCGACGCCTCAGACCATCACGAGCGCAAGGATGAGAGTATGTTTTGAAGATTCCCGTTGCTACCACAAAGGCTCAGGCTGATTTATTGCGTAGCTGTGCCACCGTCTCTTTTAGCGATTGTCCTAGACAGCAACCCACACGCTTGGGCGCATCTCTCCTCGACGCTCCCGCTTGCGACGGCTCTAGCTAATATCCTCGTGTTCATAAATGCGCACCTTGCTTCTGGAAACGGGAATAGTGTAGCTGTCATTGCTTCACATTCCAATAAAGCATGCTTTTTGTACCCTACGCCCACGCCCGCGTCCCCACAATCCCGCCACACCGCTACGAATGGCGATGTCGATATGAACGGTACCGCAGACAACACTTCATATTCGGTTCAAGACAATCCGAACAAGTATCGTCCATTTGCGAACGTAGAGACGGCGATTCTGAACAACTTCGCAAAGCTCATGGAGGGCACGAAGGAAAGTCACCTGGCGGCAACTCCGACCACCTTGATCGGCGGTGCTCTGTCCCTCGCGCTCTCGTATATCGCAAAGGTCGCCTTAGCAAACTCTCCTCTTACTACAGAGTCAGAAGAACACATGCTCGCAATTGCAGACCCAGAAGCGGCCCGGACTTCGTATGTGTCGCTTGCAAGCCGTATCCTTATCGTGTCTGTATCGGGCGATCTTGCGAATCAGTACATTCCCGTCATGAACAGTATTTTCGCTGCGCAGAGGACAAGGATACCAATCGACATATTGAAGTTGGCAGGGGACACGGTGCTGCTGCAGCAGGCTAGTGATGCAACAGGAGGCATATATATGAAGCCTGAGCAGCCGGAGGGCTTGCTGCAGTATCTTATGATGGCATTCCTGCCAGATCCTACTGCAAGAAGGAGTCTGGTGATGCCGAGCGCGGGAGGTGTCGATTTCAGGGCAGCGTGCTTTTGTCACCGTAAGGTCGTGGACATTGGTTACGTGTGCAGTGTTTGCTTGAGCAGTAAGTGCATGTTTTGTCCCGTTACTACCTGCCCCAGAGGTAAATCCGTAATTGACTTTACCTAGTTTTCTGTACTGCTGACCTGCCCGATAACCTGTGCTTGACCTGCGGGTCCTATCTGTCGCTCCGAGCCGCGCAGTCGAATCCGCCTGCTTTGATACCCAAGAAGAAGAAAAAGAAGAAGAGGGTAGGTGGCACCGACTCAGCGACACCAGGGGGTAGCACACCTGCGGGTTCGAATACGCCAATGCATGCGTGAGCAACGTGTGGGCCATTGAAGCGAATACGTTTTGTATCAGGCGTCTGCGGAGGATTCTGTAGCATTTCATGGCGCTTGAATAGGGAGGACACGGTCGTCCAAGCAGCGATGAATGAATTAGTTATCAGTATATACCAGATCTCAAAACTGGCTCTCATGCCCAAGTTCACAAAGGCTTCGCGAGGGATGCAGAGCGTGTGGGTACATGCTTCCTTGTCCCGCAATCCGCGCTGACCGAGAGTGGACCCTGGCGTTGTTCTGCTGCTGTTGACCTTCCATGGGAATTGTTACATGTCATGACTGGGTACCTGCGTGTTCACAAATAAAGCAGACACCGTGTCAAAGCAGGCGCGTCGTCTCGCGCAGATGGTGACTTTCTACCAAATGCACGGAGTCAGGTCGCTTAGATGTGACGTGCATCGTAAAGATGTACCCGTGCCTCGGCACGACGAGGACCCACATAGATCGACGTCGCGAAGCTCATCAACCCTTCTTTGAGCCGGCTGCTCTTTAAGGCCTGCCGAGGAACAACGTAAACGAGAACTAGGCGGCGTCGAATGAGGTGGCAAGGATTCTGGCTTGTCAGGGCGTGCTTCCCCGCATAGTACAAACACTGGCGGCTCGCGAGTGTAACGCCAGATGGGGCCCCTTTCCCCATAATACATCTCCCATATCATTCTTTCCTCTCCTGCAACCTTTGAGACAACATTACCTTGTTTTCGTCTTATAGGGTTCGCGTGAACAAGTCAGCATCATGAGCGAGACTATTCGACGGGTTCATGGCTACGACCGTGATGCGTACACGTACTATCCGGTCATCATCGTGGGAGCGGGAGCGTCCGGCATCGCAATGGCCTGTCAGTTGAAGGAGCAACTTGGCTTCGATCAGTTCAGAATATTCGAACGGCAGGCAGGCATTGGCGGGACTTGGTGGATCAACCGATATCCTGGAGTGGCGTGGTGAGTGCGATATTCATGTGCGGGAGGTCCAACTACTGTTTTCACGTACGGAACGTCAAATCTAAAGGCCTGCGAGTTCTACCAAAAGGCATTTGCGCAAGAGTCGGGACGCGTATGTTGACCGTTAGAGATATGGTCATAAGACGCGCGACGTCGCTGTTCATGCTTCGGAAGGGTGCGCCATAACGCAATGGCCGCGTTCGACGACTGGTGCTGATGCTGACCCTGCATAGTGATGTCCCCGCTGCCTTCTACAGCTTCAGCTTCAAGCAGAACCCCAACTGGACCACGTTTTACCCGCCAGGTCGCGAAATCGTACGCTACTACCACGAAGTCTGCGAGTCGTACAAAATCACAGATAAATTTGAGCTGAACACGGACGTTGAACAATGCACCTGGCTTGAAGATGAGAAAGTATGGGAGGTCCGGCTTAGGCGATTGATGGCGGGCATGGGAGATCTGAGTAATAAAGACCGCGCGAAGATCGTGAAAGAGAAGGGAGAGGCAGCTGTCTATACTGAGACGGAGATTGTGAGAGCAAAGATCGTGGTTTCTTGTGTCGGTGGACTGGTCGAGCCCAAAGGCTTCCCAGATGAGATCCCTGGCATCGAAAAATTTAAGGGTCCGGTTTTCCACTCTGCACGATGGGACGAAAGCGTCGATTTCAACGACAAAAATGTTGTGGTCGTGGGCACGGGGTGTAGCTCGGCGCAATTGGTCCCCCGGTTACCCAATGCACCATTCAACGCCAGATCAGTGACCCAGCTCATGCGGACGCCTCCATGGGTCGTTCCATCTTCAATCCCTCCGGGTGGCGATGAGTGGTGGGAAAAGAACTCAACAAAGCTGCTCAAGTCTGTCCCCGGTCTCCTGGGCGCCCTCCGGTTGTTTGTTGCTGGTGCTGCGGAAGTCCAATTCCAGCAGCTGTTCCTCAACACCAAATCCTCGCAGAAGTATCGGAAAGACTACGAAGAGAAGATGTTGAAGCGCATGAAGAAAATCGTTCCGGAGAAGTACCATGAGATCTTAACCCCAGATTATGGCGTTGGATGCAAGCGAAGGATCTTCGACAAGAGATGGTACCAAGGCCTGAACGACCCCAAGATTGAGCTCACGACTCAGCCTCTCTCGCGCGTCAACGAAAGCAGCGTCGTCATTGGGCCTGGCGTTGCTTACCCCAAGGACGCAAAGAGCGATCTTCCCGAGAGAGAGGTTCCTGCGGATATCATTGTTCTAGCTAACGGATTCGATGTCGGGAAATGGCTCCATCCACTGCGCGTAGCCGGAAAAGGCGGCAAGGACCTCGTCGAGACCATGGAGGAGCGTGGTGGGCCGCAAGCCTATCTCGGCACTGCTATGGACGGTTTCCCGAATTTTTTCATGATCTTTGGACCAAACACCGCGACGGGACATTCATCGGTGGTTATGGCGTCAGAAAACATGGTGATGCATTCACTCAACTTCATCAAGCCGATACTTCGAGGCGATGTGGCTGCAGTCGAGGTGAAGCGCGAGGCCGAGGCTGCCTTTACAAAAGAGATCCAGGCTGCACTGAAGAACACTGTATTCATGTCCGGCGGCTGCGTGTCTTGGTATTTCACAGAGAATGGCTGGAATTCGACTGTGTATCCGTATGTATATCTTTCATCTGCCCAAAGACATGGCTAATCTTGAATTAGATACTCTCAGATCGACTTCTGGCGGCGATGCCGCTTCCCGAAGTGGAACGACTGGAGCCTCACGTACACCAAGCAAGGCATCAACCGCAAACGCAGGGAGCAGTTGGTGCGCGTTCTGGCTTTGGCAGCTATTGTGGTGGGCGCATATCGCGCGCGCGAAAATGGGGTTGACCTGACGGATGTGAAGCACCTGATCCTGCAAGTGCTACAGGGTTCGTTTGCAAGGCTGTCACATGTGTGGGAGATTCTGAGAGGCCAGGTGCAAGCTGTGTTGAAGAAGTAGTGTGTTGTCTAGGGGCATGATAATGCATACCACTCGGCGGCGTATTGGACCGCGATGTCACCCCAGCACCAGTCATCGGACTGTGATCTTGAAGGTGTAATTCTGTGTAGCATGCCTGAGTCTCGGGCTTGAGTTACGATTGCGCCACAACCGATGTCCGTTCGATTCCTCCATGCTGTTTGCAGAGCATGCGTTGTTCGCCGCACGTTTGTATACATGCTTTCATATTGCAGATGTCATTGCGAGCGTTCTGAGTGGCTAGCGGAGCAGGGCATACCAAGCCTTGCGCTGTGCTTTCTGGGTGGACATTCCCCGACCGACCCCGCGCGGAGCTGCAGCCGCGCGAGCTCGGACCAGGATTCACAAACAGGCGGCTCGAAGCGGGCGGCCGTAACCTCCTTCGCTGCATCACTCGGCGAGCCTTGAGGAGCAGTGAAGGTGCGCTCGACGCCTGCGCATGACGTCCTCGTACACGATGAGCGCCAGTCCAACTGAGGAGAGTGGCGGAGGCGCGCAGAAGCGGAAGGGCGACGAGGGAGCTCCGCAGCCGAGAGCTAAGCGCAACCGTTATATCTCGATAGCTTGGTAGGATGCTCTGCATGCGACAGCTGTGAATGTGGGCTGACAGAACGGCTAGCAACGAGTGCAAGCGTAGGAAGATCAAGTGCAACGGGTATGTGCGCTCCTCGTCACTCCATGGGGCTCACACTCACTCGTCGCAGACAGACACCATGCCAGAGATGCGGAAACCTCTCGCTCGAGTGCCTCTATGCACCGAACTGTTGCAACAACTTCAAAGATTCCGATGAGTTCAAGCAAATGTCAGGGCAGATATTGCTCCTCCAAGAACAGGTCGACCAGCTCTTCGCAAACTTGAGCGCATTGAAATCCCACGTCGACATCCAAGGCGCGGGCTCCATCGGAACACCTTTCCACCCTCCAGACTTCACACAACCCATGTCTATTGGCCAGATGTCCGCCCTGCCTTCTTCACCCGCGCGCCAGCGATCAAAGTCGAATGCGAAGCGTCCCCGGTTCCAGGGCCCAGCATCCAATGCATTCAATCTGGGTGTCGCAAAGACGAGCTTGAAAACAATGGGCATAACGGGCCCCGGCGATGGAGACGAGGGAATCATAACAATGGACGCTACGCCCATGGGCAGTCCGCCTCTTGATAATGCTATGCTACCCCAGGAACTCCATGCGGACAAGGATCCCATCTGGTCCGTCTCCAAGCAAGAAGCAATGAGGCTGATCAACTTTTGGCAGGAAGAGAACGGAGCTCTGTATCCGTTCCTCGATATCAACGAAATGACTCGTTATGCCGACATGTTGTTCTGTTTCATCGAAGCCGCTGTCCGACAAGGACTGATGCAAGGGGCACTTCCAGGAGCTGACGCTATTGAGGACGAGAAGACCAGCATACTCAAGATGATACTCGCCACGGCATTGATTCTCAGAGGTAACGGCAAGGATCCGCTCGGTGACAGGTTTTTCAACAACGTTCAAAAGGTCGTTGAGAGAACCCTTTCGGAGCCAGTCGACGTAAAGAGCATCAATTTGCTGACACTCACCGTGAGTTCCTTGTTCGACGTATTGAACTTGCTGATCAAGATAGGCCATGTTCCACTTCCACAAGGACGATGAAGTTCTTGCCTGGCGTACTATTGGCCTAGCTGCGCGTCAATGTTTCGAGCTGGGCTTGCATAGGCGCGAGGCGTATGATTCAATTACCGATTCGGGCGAACGCAACTCAGCTATCAGGACGTTCTGGTCCGTGTATGTGCTGGACAGGCGTTGGAGCTTTGGAACAGGCATGCCATTCGCTCTACAAGATGCTGATATTGACTTGAATCTACCTAGGCCGGTACGTTCGTTGTTAGCCTCCAACCTACAATGTTTGCTGACCTACAGCATAGGACGACTCGACCCCCTACCTAAATGCAATGATAACTTATAGCGTCATCGGATCGAAAGTGTGGAAGTCTGTTGGGAACACAGACTCATCCCAGACTCCAATCAAAAACGAAGACATTAGCTTTCTCGACTTCCAAGTGCTTAATTGGCACAGATCAATACCTGAATCACTAAAATTCGCACACCCAGACAGCGGTCGGCAAGTGTCCAATCTCCCACGTGCAGTCTTACGGCACCAAGTTGTGCTGTACCTTCGGGCGAATCAGATGCGCATCCTGATATATCGACCTGTGTTGCATACAGCTACTTCGATAGCGGAGAACATGGAGTTTGCCCAAACCGTGGTCACGGTGGCGAAAGACACTATCCGCACACTGACATACATTAATCAAACTTCGGACATCTATAAAGCCCAGCAGATCCTGTTCAACTATTTCCTCATATCAGCCCTTGCCGTACTCTTTTTGGCAGTTGCTCACGCGCCTGCCGACTTCAGTGCCGAATGTCGAGACGAATTCTACCAAGCACTTGACCTCGTCCGCTGTCTCTCGTCAGACTCGTACGTTTCAAAGCGGCTGTGGAAAACGATCAAGGTGCTCAAAGAGGTTGGACCCCGGTTGGGACTAAACATCCGAAACGATGCATCAGACGCACACTCTTCTGCGGCCGTCGCTATGGCTGGCCTTGCAGGGCACCAGGTCGACGAAATGGCCATCTATTCGAATGGACAGAATGGAAATATTGACACGCCTCACGGAATGGCGTCGGATCTGACGAACTTGTTTGAGGCAGCAGGCAACTACCCGATGTTGCAGAATGGATTTGGCTTGTCTTCGGCAGAATTGTCACATGGCGAATTTGCGTCTGCTTTTGGAAATGAGAATGACGAGCTTGCACGGATCTTGCGCGATCTGTTTTGACGAACAGAGTCTGACATTTGTCGGCGAACAAAGCCTGCGATTATACCCGGTTATGACGACTGTAATGAGGGCCCGACATCAACATGTCTTTTTGAAGCCCAGCTACCACCAGCAGCTGTGCAGCCAACGTCGATGTATGTTGGACGTCCAGCCGATGTTTTCACATGTGCAATATCAAATGCAAAGATCTGCGAGTTCTCCCTAGGTGCACTAACAATCGCGTGTTCAATCTATTAAACTCGCAGGAGTCCAGCCAGGACTCAGACTACTGCACAGCTTGCGCATGTGATGGGACTGCGGCGGAATTAAAGTCACGTGCCAATCGTGGGGCTGGGTTTGGCCAAGACTTACGACGACTTCGACACCAGAAATACCCGACGCTGCGAAACATGCGACTACCTTCGCCAAAGACTTATAATCTGGGTTTGGGCCACTACTGAATACATAGCATAGCCGCGTTGCGCTTATCGCTATCCCGAACGCGCCATCTCCCACTTCCCTCGGCCGCGCTTGCACCTTCACACAACGGCTGCTCTGCGCCTCGCCTGCCAGCTCACTGCTCACGCACCACAGCCTGCAGTCGCGACTCAATGACCGAACAGTAAACGCACGCGCACCTTCTCCTCCGACTCTCTCCCTCGACGCGTGCGGCCTCGATCGCGAGTCCACCCCACATTCCCTATTTTCGACCCCTCCAACGCCCAGGCCTCCCTTAGTTCGAACCTGTTACGCTGAGGCCGCACCTCCCGGTCCTCGCAGTCTCCCGACCCTCTCAACGACCGCTCCCCGCGCGAGGAAGCGGAAAGCGCGCCTCGGCGTGCCCTACACATAAAGCAGGTACCATGTCGTCGTCGTCGCAGGTCACCGAGTCATGGATATCGTCCTTCTGCGGGCTGCTGGGCCATGAATACTTCGCCGAGGTATCCGAAGACTTCATCGAGGATGACTTCAACCTTACCGGGCTGCAGTCGCAGGTGCCCATGTACAAGGAAGCGCTGGAGATGATCCTGGACGTGGAGCCGGAAGACGATGATGACGAGGAAGAGGAAGAGGAGGAGGATGAAGAAGACGATGAGATTCTTGGCGACGAGAGGCCAACGGCGTACAGGCGGGCCAGTGACCGAAGACACCTCCGGATAGCTTCCGATCTTAGTGTGATAGAAAGCTCCGCCGAGCTGCTGTACGGTCTGATACACCAGCGCTACATAACTTCGCGACCGGGAATCCAACAGATGGCGGAGAAATACGAGCTACAGCACTTTGGCACATGCCCGCGCGTGCACTGTAACTCCACCAAAGTCCTGCCCGTTGGCCTGAACGACAGCCCCGGTCATGAAACCGTCAAGCTGTTCTGCCCATCTTGTCTTGACGTCTATACCCCGCCCAACTCGCGCTTCCAGACCGTGGACGGCGCTTTCTTCGGCACCACATTTCCATCGCTCTTCTTTATGACATTCACGGATCTCGATATTGGAAGTGGGATCCGGAACAACCCTTCAAGCGCCGCACAGGCTCTCCTACAAATACAGACCGAGACTGCGAAAGGCACCAATACTACTCCTGCGAACGTTACATCTATAAACGGAGTCGCGCCACACAACCTGGCACCCGGGATCGGCGCCGGTAACATCTACGAACCCCGCATTTACGGGTTCAGGGTGAGCGAGAGGGCGAAGTCAGGACCGAGGATGAAATGGTTGAGAATGAAACCAGCAGACGTGACAGAACTAGACGAAACGAGGAGGTACTGGGAGAACCCTCCCGATGATGCGGATCGACCACACGATGATGATCTCAATATGGTGGACGTGGCAGAAGGCAAGTCGGTGGACAGCAGGAAGAAGATATCGGCGAGGAGGAAACGTACCAACGGCTCAGGCAATGGAGGTGGGAGTCCTATGGATATGAACGGTGTCGGCGCTGCAGGCTAGGCGATTGCAGAGCCGTATATCGGGCAATGGGGCAGAGATGCATCCCAGTACTGAGTGTCGGTGCGTGGCAGACGGCTGACGGTAGGATGAGCAATTAAATGGGCTTACATCAAGGGGCTTTGTCTAGATGTACTTTTCCTGCTTCTACTTATTCTACGACTTCTTTCTGCCTCCACATAACGCCACGGCTGATTGTCGTCTGTTAGGAGCTTAGGCTTTATGAATGGATTTCGGATTGAGCAAAAGAGTCTCCATTTCTCATGCAATTTCCTAAATAACGTGGACTCGTGAGGAACTCGCGTCTAGTGACAAGTCAACATGTAACACTTTCCAGACGTAAGCACCGATGTGAGCGCCACTAAGGCAAATGGTGCAAGTACGATGTCGGCAATAAGCCAGCGTGTATATTCACAGTAGGGTCCCTCCCATCCCATTTTTATTATCGGACCAAACCAATCCCCTTTTTCCAACTACTTCTTCAAGTACCACGCCAAATCAGCACCCTCCTCCCTCTCGACCCTCGTCCTTCCATCGCCCATCCACCTCCACCGATTCGCCGTCCTCCACACAATCCTAAAGTCCTCCGGCCTCAACTGCCCAACCACCTCTTTAAACCCAATAGCGCTCCCCTGCCACACCGCCGTAATGCGCCCGTCCACCCTTCCATTCTTATACCAACTCCTACACCCACCGCTCCACACAAAACGCTCCATAATCTCGTCGCCGTACGTATTGAACTCCTCAGTCGCTTCGGGCGTGGGGACTACGAAAAGAATGTCCTCGGATGCGATCTTGCGCAGCCAAAGCGAAATGTAACGCGTGGTCCAGGAGAGGGCAGCCATGAGCGAGCCATGGCCGACGGGGGCGTTGGGCCCGGAGTAGAAGAAGAGGTTGGGGAAGTACGGGCAGGCGACGCTGAGGTAGCCGAGAGGCTCGTCGTTCCAGTAGTCTCTGAGGTCGGTGTTGTCGAGGCCGAGGAAGGGGAACGGCGGGCGGTGCGAGACGTCGAAGCCGGTGGCGCAGATGATGGCGTCGACGGCGTGGTGGGTGCCGTCGGAGGTGAGGATGCCGGAAGGGGTGATCCGGGTGATGGGGGAGGTGGTGAGTGAGACGTGGGGCGAGGTGAAGGCTTCGAGGTAGCCGGGGCCTGGGGTTGCGCGGCGGCATCCGACTTCCCAGGTTGGGGTGAGCTTGGAGGCGAGCGAGGTGTTGCCGCCCAGGCGCGAGAGCATGGTTTGAGAGGTGGATTCAAAGGCGGCTTTCTGGGCTGAGGAGTCTTTGACGAACTACAACACTTTTAGCGACAGTCTTTTGAAGAGATAGTGCACGCATGGTCCTGATGGCCATGGAAAATCACCGGGGCAAACTCACCAAATCGAACGCCTTGTTGCTCCCATGCTGGATCTCCTTCCGATGCCTATTCAGCTCCCCCGGCTCCTCCCTAAACCTCCTCTTCTCCTCCTCACTATACACCCTATTCACCTCCCCACCAATCAACGCACTCCCCAGGCCCGGCGTAATCCACGTCGGACTCCTAATGAAATTCACAACCCGCGCCGCGCTTCTCGCCACCTCGGGCATGATCTGGATCGCGGAGCTCCCATTCCCTACCACTGCGACCTTCTTCCCGCTGTAATCCCACTCCTCATCCCAAGCCGCAGAATGCACCTTTACGCCCGCAAAGTCGTGCAAGCCAGGAATGTCGGGCCACTTCCAGTGTGAGAGGAAGCCAGTCGCAGAGACGAGGACGTTGCACCAGTCGTCGAAGACGCGGCCTTTGTGCGAGACTTTGAGATTCCAGATGCCCTGGTGGGTGTCGAACTGTGCGTGGACGATTTCGTGCGAGAGTTTGACGTCGCGGGCGAGGTTGTATTTTGCTACTGTGCGCGTGAAGTAGGCTTGGATCTCGGGGCCGCTGGCGTAGAAGGCGGTCCAGTTGGGGTTGGGCTCGAAGGGAACTTCTTAGGTGGGTCAGTGGGTGACTTGAATGGGGTAGACAGTGTCCTGATAAGATGATGATAGGAGGTTTGCGAGGATCCAACGTGTTTTTCAGGAGTACCGGGTTGGGGAACATGCACCTTGAAAAAAAAAAAAAAAGACGTACGACAATGTAGGTAGTACCCTAGATCAAGAAAGCCTGGACCACTCACAAGTATATATATGCGCCGGCACATCGCACGCGACCCCAGGATACCGATTCACAACCCACGTCCCGCCCAGCTCCTCGCCCTTCTCGTACACGCAGTGCTCCACTATATCCTCCAAGTTTCCTGCCTCTTCATCGTACCCATGCATCACCTCGTAAGCCAGATTCATAGCGCTGATCCCGCCGCCTATTGTCACCACCCGCAGCTTTCTGGGGTGCCGCAAGGGTTGGTGCTGCATCGGGACCCAGCATGCCGGTACTGGCCGACCGTAGCGGGTTGTGGGAGGTTGGATGGTAGATAGGAGAGCGGAGAGGCGGGACTGTGCTGTGCGGGAGGGGGGATCGATGGGTGGGATTGACGGAGGAGAAGGGGCTGTGGACTTGGAGTTGCTCTTGGGGTCATGGGGTGATGGCATCGTTCAAGTGCTCAGTAGGTGAATTGATTTGATATAAGGAGTGCGACGTTGCTGGCTTGAGTACTGCGAGGTGTCGGCGTGGCAGCGTGGGTATTCTTCATGTACAAAGCAGAGGCGAAGGTGCTATTAGATAATGTAGTGGGACTGGACTTCGTGGAGATACCTAGTTAAAAAAAAATGGCGGTACCAACGTGGATTATTTGGAGATTCAAAGTTCGGTTGTAAGGGGTGTGTTGGCGGGGATAGCAACCCCGCAGAGCACTTCCCGAGGTTTTTCTCACAGAAACGCTTGGTGACGTACTGGAGTCGGAGAGAACTCCTCGTTGAGTAGACCATGATGGGCACGTTGTGGCGCACATTATCGGATTCCTTATTTTAGACTCCAGTAGCATTAATGGTAGATTTGCTCGGAAGCTACATACGTCAACCATCGTCGATGGATCATCAATTAGCAAGCACCTTTGTCCAGTCAAACTTGCTCCACCGTTTCCTGAACCCATCGACCCGTCTGTCTCCCTTCACCCATCTCCCCTGTCTCTTTACGACTTCGATATCCGCATCAAGCATGCCGCCCAATGTCTCCCTAGCAAATAGATCGCTACGCGGCCATCTCCGCTCATCCTCCACTATGTGTCCCATTCCGCCGTCAAGCTCAAACCATACATGGAAATACGGCATCTCCTTCGCCAGGTTTCTTCTGAATGCCGACTTCCCTTGACCAGAGCGCGAGGCCTTCAACGTATCAATGATAGGCTTGTGCTGCGACCACTCGTCGTCATTAGTCAGGATAGCTTCGCGAAAGAAGGCCGGCGCTGTCTCGCCAAGTTCGAACGGAATCGGTACAGCATTCATAGCAGCGTGAAGCTTGCGTCCTGGATTGGCTGCATTCTCGTAGAAGATGACGTCGCGTCCTTGGTCGTGGTACATGCGTGTAAGACACTTCATGAAATTGCGAATTTCTTCCCATTCGTCGTCATCGCATTCGAGAAGGTTTGTGCGGTGCTGGATGGGGACAATGACAGCTCCACCATCGCTGACTTCAGGCTCAGTGGGCAAGGTGAGGAAGACACGGGTGGCAAGAGAGAGAATCGGTGCGGTGGGCGGTTGCGGAGGAGACTTGTCTTCGTGATGACAGAGGGGACAGGAGTCGAGAATGCGGTTTGTGCGTTGGTACTCGGAAATTGCTTGGTTGCGAAGGTTGATCGTGGACTTCGGAGCGCGAGTGGCGAGTTTCTCGGCGTTCTCATCGATATAGTCAAGGTCGTTCTGCTTTCGTAAGCACAATCGCATGCTCAAAGGTGGAAGCACTTACATCGAATTTGGAGTCTTTTGCAATCTTCTCTGCTAGCAACATACCCTCACCACCCGCCTGACCTTTGGTGCGTCGTTCTTGCCTGAGCATATCCTCAACGGACATGTCGTCATTCTCAACAACAAGGCCGCGCTCCCGTCCCCTCTTGTTTGTCAACTCCTTGACTTCGCCTTGCCGGCCGCCTGCCAGCATGCGGTTGTCCATGGAATTGAGTATCACGACATCCGGTTCTACGCGGTTGGCAGCACCAGACGCTGCAGCGTTATATTGTGCTTCCAGCTCGGCCGCATTGGCAGCACCCTTCATTTTTGCTTTCATCATCTGTGCCTTGAGCTTGTTGAGCTCTGTCTGGCTGAGGACGACCGTGTTCGCTGTCGGGCGTGGATCGGAAACCACTTGGCCTTGTGGTAAGTCGTCTTGCGGGTGCGGATGCTCTCGGGGAGGCCTGTGAATGCCTGCTTTCAGTCGTCGTTCCTCGAAAAGCTCTCCTGAAGGCTTCTCTTTCCCGACGTAGTCTCGCCCGTACGTTTTCCGTCGGTCGACTTCGATCTCTTCCTCCCTAGCATCATCAAAGTCGCGCAGGTCACCGTACTTCTCAAGCGCAACCTCTTCCACCGGCCGACGCTCCTCTTCTGCGATCCGATATACGCCTTTCAACTTGGTCATTCGCCATTGCGAGCCAGAATCGCCAAATGTGTACGACACTTCTCGGTGTATTGGCTCCTCTTCGACGGCAGGGCCTTCTCCCTGAACATCACTCAGGTGGCGGTTGAGCTCGGCCTGGTGGATCTTGAGCGCATGCTTCTGCTCGGCGGACGCGCCGACAAAGGTGCTCTTGTCCTCGCGCTTCTTTGGCTGTACGTAGTCGACATCCATGGACGAAGGCGCACGCATCCAGTCGTCGCGCTGCAGGTTTGCGTCGGCAGCTTCCTCGAGCTGGTGGTCCAGGAAGTCGTCGTTGGGGGGAGGATAGTCCTTGTCCATGGGTTCGTCATCGGAAGGAGAGTCCTCTTCGTACATGTGGTTGCGTGACTTGCGCTTGCTCGTGAGGCGGTCGTCGTGGTCCGAGGGCGACGGGCTTCTGCGGCCCTTTTGCTTGCGCCGTGAGCGGGCGTCCTTGTCTTCGTCACGTTCGCGCTCGCGTCGCTTTCGGCCTGCGCGCTCTTCGGAGGTTTCGCGATGGTGCTTGGAGCGCTTGTGTCGGTGTCGTTCTTCGCCGTCGTCGTCGCGACGCGACGCATGGTGGTGCCTGTGCCGGTGCCTGTCGCGGCTCCGGCTGCGGTCCCGCTTCCGGTGCGCTTCTTTGCGCGAGTCCTTCGCCTTGCTCGCGGCAAGCTCGCGCTCAAAGTCGTCGAGGCCCATTGTCGCGTCGGGGTGGTGGTCGCGGAGAGGCAGGATCCGCCAGGGTTCCATGGGCAGCTGGTGCAGCTATGACGCCCGTCCCGCCCGCTAAAGAAATTCATCGACAGTCGTGCCCCACTCACTGCTCGCAACTCCAGCTACCTGCAACCCCGCGCTCTCGCAAATACGACCACCGATACATTCGCCTTCGCTACTCGGACTGCACACCATGAGCGGCGCCGCTCCCTCCTCCGAGGCCCCCGTGGCTATTGTCTGCGTGGGCATGGCGGGCTCCGGCAAGACGACCTTCATGCAACGCCTCGTCTCGCACCTCTACACGCATGCCGACCCCACCCAGAGCGAGCCCGCGACATCCAAGACACCAGCTGCGCCGCCCTACATTCTGAACCTCGACCCCGCCGTGCACTACGTCCCCTTCACCCCCAACATCGACATACGCGATTCGGTCAACTACAAAGAGGTCATGAAGCAGTTCAACCTGGGGCCTAACGGTGGCATCCTGACAAGTCTGAACCTGTTCAGCACCAAGATCGACCAGGTCATAAGTCTGCTGGAAAAGCGAACTGCCCCGCCCGAGCCTGCCGAGCAACCTGAGCAAACCACGGTCGAGTTCATGACAAACTCCGGCAAGACCACCCCGCCCGCGCAGAAGCCACCGCACGTGAAGCACATATTGGTGGATACGCCAGGGCAGATCGAGGTGTTCGTGTGGTCAGCTAGTGGAGAGATACTGCTGAGCAGCCTGGCGAGCACATTCCCGACTGTCATTGCCTATGTCATAGACACGCCGCGCACTACAAGCACGTCGACCTTCATGTCCAATATGCTTTACGCTTGCTCCATATTATACAAAACAAAGTTGCCTATGATTCTAGTCTTCAACAAGACCGACGCGCAGGATGCCCAGTTCGCCAAGGACTGGATGACGGATTTTGAGGCATTCCAGAGTGCACTACGCAACGAGGAAGAGGGAGGAAGCTTTGGTGGCGAGGGCAGTGCCATCGGTGGAGGAAGCGGCTACATGGGCAGTCTGTTGAACAGCATGTCGCTGGTTTTCGAGGAGTTCTACAAGCATTTGAGCGTGGTTGGGGTCAGTTCAATGACTGGAGATGGCATGGATGAGTTTTTTAGGAGTGTTCAGGTCAAGAAGGACGAGTTTGAGCGTGACTACAAGCCGGAACTCGAGCGAAGGCGGGCTGAGCGGGAACAGGAGAAGGCGACCACTCGACAGAAAGAGCTGGACAAGTTGATGAAAGACATGAATGTCGGTGGCGCAAGCAAAGGCAAGAAGAAGATGGACGAGCCCGAGACCGTCAGCGATGTGGAAGACAACAGTGACGAGGGCATGCAGGTTGACGATGATGATTCCGAAGACGAAGAGTACGATTCGGACAATCCAGAGCATGGACTGAAGGCACGGTATCAGCAGGCGCTCAGAGACGATGCGGGGCCGTCTGCAGAAGACTTCAGCTTTGCACGGTACGTGCACAAGGCCAATCTCGGCTGAGTATGCAACGGACATCTCGTCGGCGGCAATGTCACACAGCGTCCTGTTCCGTCTCGATCCGCAAAGCCATTCACTGGCTCTTGTTGAGTGCAGCTCAAGCATATGCGGAGGCACTCGCAGCAACAGCGCATCAGTGATATGAGGGCTTACCACCCGTCCATGAACGAAATGGAGTGCAGAGACAGGGACACTGAAACAATGGAGCGCCAGCTATGCAGAAAGAGCTGGGAAGGGTACATTAGAGAGACCGATAGTATGCACGTACATCCAGGTCAATGTCTCAAGCACGGCACCAGCAGCACTTCTCCAGGTTGGGCATCATATCTTGTTTTTCCGTTTGTTTTGGCTGCGAGTCAGCTGTACTTGAAGAGTCTGTCGGTCTGATCGTGAAAGCGTCCCGATGCAGTATTCCCCCACCATTTGTACGACTTCCCTGCGCACGATCGTCAGAATCAGCCAGTGACAGCCGTTGAGCTACGTTTCGCGCATATATGCAGTGAGCCGTCCCCTGCCCTTCGTTGTCGCTCGCTACCAGTGTTTCCACGATGGCCTGAGGTCGTACACGCAAGATGTCACTACAAGACGCTTGATTGGGCTTGGACAGGCGCCAGAGTGCTTCTAGAGCATGCAGCAAGCCTTTCTCGTCGCATTGAGGACGACATTTGCCCCTTGCAAGCGGTCCAGGGCATCCTGCAGCGGATGGGCCTAGTGCCAAGGCCTCCACAGCTCGATGTGGAAGATCATAATCCCGAAACCAGGATGACTGAGGCACCCGTGGCAGGGTGAGACGGTGTTACGCAGCACAAGACAGAAGCGGGTATCGTTGCACCGTACACATGGCTTTGTGTATCACGCGTGAAGCGAAAACGACAATGTGGGGACTTAGCGATGTCAGACAAGAAGAAAAACAAACGATAAGAAAGGAAAGAAGAAGGCAGTCGGGTCCTGAGTCTCTTCCCCCCTGGTCCACGTCGCTCCAACCTCGCATTCGCAAATGGAAAAACAAGGTTCATCGGTCACAGTGCCCGACCATGCGCATTTGCGTGCTGTCAGTCCTCGCCCGCACATCGCGTAAAGACCTGGTCCGGGGAAGACGGATCATATGCAGAGCGGCAGCCATGTTTCATTATTGCAGGGGCAACTCCATCTGCTGGGTGAGATATTTTCAGATCTGCAGGCAGATTGACGAACGTCGCACGGCAGTAGTACCCTCAGGGAAGGGCCCGCGAGCGAATCAGCCAAGAAGAAGCAAGGTACCAACGCGAGTAGCTCCTCAGGGATCGTGGCGGTTGAACTGCAAGCCCAACCTCTTATACCCGAGGATGCTTTCACCGCAGGCCGACAGCGTGGCCGTTGGGCACAAGGGGTAGGGTGGTGCAGATGCTCCGTTTTAACTTTACGAAGGCAATACATCAACGCATTAGACAAGACAAGGTTCACAGTGTACAAGGCGTGGCAAGAGTCTGTTAGTCCCTCCTGATCAGTCAGAGTGAAGTGGACGCAGAAAACAGATCTTGCCCACTTGAGCTGGACTTGTGTCTCGACGTCGCGTGGCTTTGCACAGCGGTTACGCGAGGAAGCAGAGTCATCCTGTCAGAGAGCATGGCGTTGCCGCAGGGAGCGTCGAGACGAAACTCCCGTGGCGGTCCCCCCGTGGCGTTTGTACGCTCATGTTGTGTTCAAGCCAAAGTTTCTTCAACGACGTCCTATGGATTCAACATGCGCACTGCCAGCACCCCAGCCTGGCCGGAACTCCTCTAGGCCTCCAGCAGAGTTTAATTGCTGCTGCAAATCTTGGAATCTGCATGTTACATCAAGGGCCCAGCGATAGTTTCTAGGACATCGTCGAAGCGCGCCGTCAGAGCAAGGGCGGCGGGGCGACGCAGCTCTGGGCTGATGCGGGGATGTGCAAACTCAAAGGAGCGGGCGCTGCTCAGCACGGCCATCACAAGTCAACAATAATCAATTGTCGCCGCGCAATGAGCGTCGTCACGACAGAACACACGATATGGCTCTCTCCGGGGCAGCGCCGGACTGAGCGGTGGTCGGCCGGCGCCAATCAGCCGCAACGGCGTGTCTTCCTCCCGGTAGAGTGTTCTTACCTGCAGATCGCTGGCGGGTCCATCGCTCATGCAGGGTCTCAACGCCGCGCCGCGATTGGTTGGCATTTCGATCCTTCTCTCCCCCGCAACCTCTTTTCCAAGGTAGAGTTTGGTCGTCCGTTGAGTGTCTGTATGCAGGCGAGCAACGAACGACTGTCAGAAGGCGTAAAACCGCCGCTATCAGGCTAGCTAGGTTCGCGGCGCGCCGGGCCCTGACGCACGCCTGGTCGTGGTATCGGCTTGCCCTTCCACACGCCGCTCTCGCTGCTTGCGACGGCTGCTGGCGCACGCGTAGTGCAACTCCATTTGCGGGGACATATGGGGGCTAGACCGACGGCGGAGCGCGAGCCCGGTGGCTGCCCTGCGGGGCATGTTGCAGCGGCTTCCCTGGCGTGTCCATTTCCTTTGTCTGCCTTGACGAGCAACGAGTGCACTGTCGGGTACGGCATGCGCGGGGCGCCGGCCGGCGACGCTGGGAGACGGGGAACAGCATCTCTAGCCCGCCGCATGCACAGAGGTCATCTGCACCAGGCGGTTACGGGCGTTGAAACTGTTGGGAAGGAGCTGTCATTTCCTCGACGAGCAACGGTCGAGCAGTGCGTAGCGGCACCGCTAATGCTTGCGCGCGAACGACCATGTGGAGGCGAAGGGCACCTAGACAGACGTCGTGTCACGCGAGCATTATTATTGTGATGGCAATTGCAGGTAATCACGGCAGACGAACGCGACGAATACAATGGCTGCTGGTTCCAAACTCAATTGATTCCTTGACTTGTACTGTTGAGCAGCCTAGCTGATCCCGACCCTTCCCTGTCGCTCCTGATGAGCGACCTCGCCCCCCCGCATTGCTGCTAACTGTAGCGGACCAGAAAAGATGTTGCACCTTCGACGAGGGCGGGGTATCCATGTTTGCCCTGATATCCTGATGTCCGTTGACCATTACCCCATGATCAATGAAGCCAGCCAACCCCGTAGAAAACTAACGCCCAGCTAAATGTGGCCATTGATACCGATGTAAAAATGATGAAACAAGAACAGATGAGTTGAAAAAGGCCGACGCGCACGGCATGCCGAGGCAAGGCCCGCGTGGCGGTGATACAAAAAATACAACACGAGAAGGGTAACCCTACGTGTGCGGCAGCTGCCGTCACATACCCGAAGAACGCCTCGTAGATTCGTAGCCCTGACGGCTAATGCGTCTTTTCACGTGAACCCCAGTAGTTTTGGTGTAAAAAATGATTATATCGGGAACCTTGGGTGGCCAAGAAAGGGACTAGGCCTCGTACTTGCGCTTTTCTCCGGATGCAGCGATGGCCAGGGCGTCCAGACCATACGATGAGCCGGGATTGAAGCCGTGAGTCAAGGCGTACTGGGAGGGGTCGGGGTAGGGTGATCGTTGGGTGTAGTCGGCGAATGAGTCAGCAGGTTGGACAGCGGGTGCCATGAAGCTTTGGGATGGGCTGATGGGCAGTGCGGGGTCCATCATGGACAGACCGGAGAGCGATGGCAGATTCGATTGCAGTGGCGCGGGTTTTGGCCGCTTCACCTGGGCCTTGGCCTTCTTGATGCTGTTGTCGGTGCCCTTGCCTGCGACGTTGCGGCCGCTCTGGTGTGTCCGGCGGTGCTGCTCCATGTTGTCTTTGCGGGTGAAGGCCTTGTTGCACTCGGGGCAGAAGGCGTCCTTCTTGCCCGTGTGCTTCTTCGCGTGCCGTGCGGCGTGGCCAGAGGTTGTGAAGTGGTCGCCGCAGTTGTACTGCTTGGCAACCGGACAAGGATAGCTGTTCTTCTTAGAGCGGGGGTTCGCAGAGGCGGCGCCATTGTGGCTCTCCTGTGGCGGTTGAGGTCTGAAGTAGTTCTGCTGCAGGTTGTTGTTGTTGGGGTAGGGCAGCGGGCCTGTGTTCTGGGAGAGGGGAGGGTAGGCGGAAACCAGGTCCTTTTGCGTTGGGAAGAAGCTGTTCTGGGTGAAGACGGGCGAGTTGAGGCTCTGGGGTGGGAGGCCGTCGAAGTTGAACTCAGGCGTGATGGGGGATGGTGTTTGCATGGTGCCTGCCGAGTCGGTCGAGTTGCTGCGCACTAGCTGGGGCGTAGCGGGGGAACCGATGGGAGAGGAGGTGTAGCTGGAGGTCCTTGAGCGCAGGGAGGGCGGGATGGAGGGGATGCGGATGGGGAGCTGAGGTTCTGCTGCGCTGTCGTTCAAGAGAGAAATTCGGCGGCCGGAGGAGTTCTTGCCGTCCATGATTTCCTAGTGGTCTCGGCCCAAACACGCGCCAGTGAGAGGAATGCAGCCAGGCTCGATGTGGTTCACGTGAATGCGCTGGTGAGATGGGAAGCTGCGCAGGTGCAGGGTATTTGTAGGCGTGTGGGCGGAGTGCGGTCACTTGGGACACTTGAGGACTGCTGGGCGTTTGGAGCGTAGGGTGACGCCAGACACTCGGGATGGTGAGGAGGGGGTCGGAGAGAGGCTTTGTAGTGAAATCACGGTGCGCGCAGGAGCCGTACGGCGGGACACGATGGGCGCTTTATGGGTAGCGCAGGAACTTTGTGCCAGGTCCCTTGGAACAACGGCGCAGGGATGTTTTCAGGGCAATTGAGGTGCAGGCCGGCGCACATCAGATTCAGACGAGCCAGACGAGACATGGAATTGTTAACTCGCATGCCCGGCTAGCGTGCATGGCGCGCCGGGGGCCCTTGCCCTCGCCCGGATGCGGGCCCACGCGTCAAGCCACCGCCTCGCCTGCCCGCTCTGCTGCTGCGCGGAGGCACGTCGCGAACGGCTGGACCTGGACTCCACGCAGAGGCGCCCGCCGTGAGACAACAAGCGGGTGCGTGTAATATTGACGTGCGGCGCGTTCTCCGTTCTTCTTCGTGTTCGTCTCCTTCGTCTTCTGCCGGCCAGAGAGCGCGCCTCTCTGGCACCCAACACGGCGCCGAAGCCGCAGCCAATGCGCAGGCGCCGGTCTGCTGAGGTTGGCGATGATCGATCGAGATCGAAGCGCGCGCACCGTCAGGCTGCTGCTTAGCTCCGAACATTCCGCCTGGAGCGGAGTGGAGCAGGCCGCTGCGAAGGCTCAACGCTGGAGCGGCGGCATGGCCACCCAGCTGGCGCACCAGCATGGCAGCAGGACAGAGCAGAGTGCGGTGCCACCGCCGGGCGTGGGGCGTGCGAGCGCATCGCATATGGCCACCACCAGCAGCAGGCCGGCACACTCAGCGCACTCTCCCGCCCTGCCAACCGTCGCCTAGCGGCCCTGCATCGTCCCCTGTCCGAGACCATCCATCACATAGCTTAGTGCCATCGGCTTTTTGGCAGCCCATCGACAGTGCCCCATCCCCAGCGACGTCACTCTTCGCCAGCTCCCACTGTGCTGCACCGCACAACGCCCCTGCGCACGCTCACTTGGCCATTCTCCACACGCGCAGTCCAACAGATCGGCCTGATCTCGCGATGAACCTGTACAATTCTCGATCCGTGGCCCCCAGCAACACACTGCCCTCAGCACGTTGCCTGCGGGCCCTCTCTCGGGCTGTTGCGTCCAAGGCAGGACCCGTTCGTCGCCCTGTTGTTGTTGTTGTTGCTGTTCATGTCCGACCCGCTCTCCTCCATGCAGGGCATCGTGACCCTGCGCCTTCGATCCGTTTTTGGCTCAAGTCTTGACAGCGGGTGATGTCAGTGTGGATCCGCAAATCACGGTCCCTGGCGAGACCCCGAAACCGCGGGCCTGCTATGCCGCTTGCAGAAGTCTGAGAGAGTCCAGGCCCCCGCGTGGTGGTCTGAGAAAAATCAGCGCCACCACACCGCAATCGCGACTAACTTCGCCGGAGCCACGCGGATATTGAGATCCACGACGCGCCTTAGATCGCGATGCCCTTCCCGATCGAGCGCCTCACGCCCATGATCAATCTCAATGCGCCGAGTCCCCTCTCCAAGTCCTGAATTGGCGCACCGCGGCAACTGTGTCTGTTTCACAACGACACACCCAGGGCTTACGACGAACGGCACGCTCAAAGGGGTCTCAGGGTCAACAGCCGCAGAACCCAGATGGGGTGCAAATCTCGAAATTGAACACCAATGGCATCGCGCCTCCCGCAGGCTTACCAGCTGGGTGGGAGAGATCTGGTACGAGAAGGCGTATCCAGAGATGCGCTTGCTGGAGGTCGTGCGGAGTAGATCTGCCCAGTCAACGCTCCACCTCGCTGGGCTGCATACTCGAGGACGCATGCTCGCCTGGTACTGCACCTTCTGCGTGCTAAGGTATCTGAAAGAGAATGGGCTTAGACGTCGTATAGTGTACAGTATGTGGTGATGCTATCGTTGGCCTTGACATCTCTTTGTTGGCTTGACTGGATGTGACCTGATTTCTGCACCCCGCCGCACGCATGCTGGGTCCCGTCTAGCCTCTAGCTCTGTGTCGCAGGCAGCGAAATCGTGTTCTGATCAGCATCAGATGCTGTAAATGGGGAGCTTGAGTAGCTCGAGAAGAAGTCGCAAGGAGTAGCCAGCCAGTGACTCTCATTTCATTTCCTCATTCAACAAAGAGGCCGTTGCATTTGAGTGGATCAGACCTCCATTTATTCTCCAAATGCGGAAATTCGTACGATGAGCTGATTCCACGCCCTGGTTAGCAACCGCCTCGATTCGTCTTCTCCTCTTCACCTTCGTCTCCAATCTGGCGTTCGTCCACCTTTCGGTCTCTACTCCGACAATCTGGATACCTTATCCCCAGATCTTGGCAACGCTCCAAGCGCTCACGCTAGGTCTCCCGCTTCCCCTGCTGTTAATCGGTCGCCTAGGCAATCGACGGCGTGCGTAGAGCCGCATGTCTGGCATCGAATGGGAGCACTGCGGGCATGTTCCGCCGCTTAATAACGTTGACGCGGTCTTTGCATCCGACAGTTCCCCGTCTCCTCCGATAGCTTCACCCTTGTGTAGACGTTCTGATGATGAAAAGGGCCGGCTCTTCGTCCGACGTCTTATCGTTGAAAGTAGCCAAGGCTCACGAGGCAAAAACCGGGCAGTTCGGGTGCTCTCGTTTCCAATGATTCGTTAACGGGTTGGATGCCCTTTTCTCCTTCCAAGTCAGCGTTAGTGGGCGATCATACGATGCAGTTTCACTATTGTTGTGAGCTTACAACACAGTGATGTCATGGATCGTGAGATCGGGATGCCGAGACTTTGTTGGTTTGAAGCGAACGCGCCCGCACTTGCCTAGCGGGATGCCCGAAAACTCTGCGCCACAGGCCCTGCTTCTGATTTTTCGATGCCCCACGGCGGGAAGACTATTTCTGTGCAGATTACTTTATCCTCCAGCTTGTGGAATTTACGCCCGCTGACCAACACCCAATCAACTTTCTTTGCGCCTCGTTCAAACTTTGAGCTTGTAGGTCCACACCAGAGGTACCCACAATGTCGGCCCAACGCACGATTGGGTCATGCTTACTGTGTGCAACGGCTCGTACTTCGGCTTATGGTCCAGGTGCCGAGTGGGAGAGATCAGAAAGGGTTCAACCTCGAGACACGCAAAACAAACTCGAAGTTTGCTTTTTAGGGCATCACATCACACGCACCGAATCAACCTCGCATCGGGCCATGGCATTCGCGAATGCGATACCCTGAAACTGAAAACCCATGACCCCTCAATACCAGGATTAAATCAGGGAACCGTGATGTGGGGCGCTCGTGTGGTTGACCGCCGCGTCTGGACCTTTGGAGCTCCGCGGCCCAAGATCACCGAAATCGTTCGGAGAGACTCGTCACGATCTTTAATCTTGCTGCAAGCGTTGAGATTGGGCCTCAATGATGTTAACCCATACGTACAGCTCTCCAACGTGGCTCGTATCGAGGCGTTATTATGAGCTATCTGCACACTAGTGTTCACGTGTGTCGGGTTCCGTACAGGCTTGTCCTCGCGCAGGCTTATTCCCATATTTCGAGCAGCTGATTACGAATCCTCTTATCGCAGGGTTCACGACGATCCTAAAGAGCGGGTGAGATATCTTTAGCCGTTGAACATCAGTGACAACGGAAAAAGATGCCGGTGGAAAAGAGGGGTTCCCAATCTCACTATCTGCAAACCTTTATCCAATCAAACCTGATAAGTAGACTGTAGAATTTTAGGGGTCTGCATGCACCGTTAACTCCCATCAGGACATCGTCCGCTAGACTAGACTGCTCGGTATGCCCTGCGCTGTACGCTATACTCTACTCGTAGCGCATGTATATGCAGGGCACGATTGCTCCAACTTTACATCCCGACATTTACGCCCCCAGAACCCTGCATACGTACTGACTCTCAGTCTCGGCCTCAATGCACGTGCCGGAGACTTCGTGTCCTTGAAGCGGCAGAGAAATTGGAGTTCGGTTGGCCGCTCGCGAACCGCTTCCTAGAGTCTAGCGGGACCACGCAAGAGCTGCTTATGCTGCGCCCTGGTCGCTAAGTATCAACAGCCGCGACCGCACTTCGAAAAGTCGTGGCTTGGAAAGCCGGGCATGGATGAGGAATTGGTTGCATATTTATGACTTCAGGTGGCGTCTCGTCTGGAGTTGAGCACCCTTTCAGGACTGGATCAGGCTGAGAACTCAGCTCGCGGTTTTAATTGACCATGGTTATCTTGACTTCTTCGAACTTACTTACTCGATCTAACTGACCGCTAACAGTAGAACCCTTAACACTCTCTTATTATGCAAGAGTATCTAAGCGAGCAATGCGAATAACCTGATCCATTTGAGTTTCGGCTTCTTCTGCGTACGGCATCTGATGTAAAGCTTTTCAAACCACTCTCGCACCTTTCACATGTCTTGAAGTCGAATTTTCTGTCGCCAATTGCTCCCAGTAATCGTAAGAGAGGTTCGAGTGAAGGAAGCCTCTCAACCCAGGCACTTGCTCTCGCAGTAAATTCTTTTTATAAACGTTATACTTGCACATTCTGCATTCTGCAGTTGAAGGGCCATTATGCTCTACAAAAGCTCCTTGCACCCCCTCGCATTGGCTTGAGTCCTCAACCCTGACTTTCAATGTCTGGAATCTATGAAACCTTCCTTTGTTGGAAGTTTTACTGTAGTTGCTTGGTCTGAAGCTTCAATGCTCGGTTTCACAGTCATGATTGAGCATATTGGGAAGGTTTGATTAACGCTCCTTTTCCTATAGCTGAAGGACTTGACTAGCTTTGATTTACCTTAATTGTTCTCTACTGTCTCACGACTTGGTTTCATGTATTGATCTCTCTGTTTCTGAGTTAGGTGAGCCTTTGGGAGTTGGCACGGATGCTCTTGCTTAGCACGGATAACTCTAGCTTTTCAATTAACCTTGGCAAGTACTTCTTTCTCGTTTGTTCACTGACTTGAAGTACACACGTCCAAGGGTGGTCATTGAAATTGAGACGTGCTAGGTGTGGAGAGGTTGAGCGGCCACACCTTCCTATTTTGATCTAGGCTCGCTTCGGATACGAGCTTTCCTCATCCAAGGTCACGACAACCCGTCAGCGCAACCACTTCTCGCATCGCCGATATGAACGTGTTGATAGCTGCATCCACATAAACGACACCATGCGATGCGGAGACCCTTAACAAAGCTGAAATGGCAATGGTTCGTAAAGCCAACCAGATATAACCACCGTAGACCGCTCTTATCGGTCTTCAAGGCGCGCCTGGCTGGACAGAGGGACAAACATGAACCAACCTTCGAAGACCCTCATGACCCTCAAAGCAAGCCTAATTGTTCTGCAAGACGGGAAGATCCTTTAACGTCGCCATTCCGATATGATCGATTGAACTGGGCTAGTAACGAGATCCGGTTGATCAAGATTCTGCCGGGGAACTCCTCTGTATCAGTGAATGACGACGGTCCGATTGCATGTGAGATTATCAGTGTCTCTCTTAAAGACAAACCACAATACATCGCACTGTCTTATGCCTGGGGCGACACGGCGCTTACGCGCCCCTTGATACTCAATGGCAGACTACTCCACGCAACTGCGAGCCTCGACACAGCCCTCCGACAAATTCGCAAGATGCAATTGCAGGGTACCACATACCAAGACCAATTATTTTGGATTGACGCCCTCTCGATCAACCAAGAAGACGAGATTGAGAAGAGCTGGCAAGTGCAGAGGATGAACGCCATCTTCTCAGCAGCTCGTTACGCCCTAGTATGGCTGGGACCGTCTGTCGATGATAGCGATAAGGCTATGGAGGCCCTCGAGCATGTGGGCTTGCAAGTCGCATCAGGGTCAGACCCGCTGGACAACGCCACCTTGAACACTTTCCATCTGCTATCAACCATGTACAACGAGTTCTCACACTCTGTACGAAAGCTCTTAATGCGATCGTGGTGGCGCCGCATTTGGGTGGTCCAAGAGTTTGCATCTGCCAGAGACGTGGTGTTTCAGTGTGGAGATGTGCAGATTGCCTGGCGTCCTTGTATGAACGCACTAGAAGTTCTGGAAAGATTTCAAAAAACCTTGGCTGAAAAGGGTTGGAGAGGCAATATTGGCGGACAGAATTACCAGCAGCTGATGTCCGAGATCAGTAGCATAAGCGGAATACTAAGACTCTTTCGCATACGGCAGGTGCTTAAGCAGAATCAAAAGCGCCTTCTGCTGTGGGAGCTTCTCACGCTCAAGCGCTTTGGTATGCTGTCCTCGGACGACAGAGACTTTATCTATGCTCTTACCGGAATCGCTGAGGATGCGGGAGCGAAGCATCTGTACCCAGACTATACAAAACACGTCGCCAAGATCTATACTGAAGTCGCAAAATGCTTCCTAGCGGAAGGCAGACTACGCACTTTATGGCTATGCTCTCATCCACGTCGAATTGTAGGGCTTCCTTCTTGGGTGCCAGACTGGTCCTCTACCTGGCAGTCAAATCGCCGCTACTTTTCTGGAGACTCTGGCTACGGCTCCGGCAGTACGATCTGTATGTATGCAGCCTTCTCCCCATATCATCGCTAACTCAGACGCAATTCAGTTTCAGCCTCAGGAGACTCTCCCCCAGACGTCAGTTTTAGCTCCAGGAACGACCGCATGGTCCTCCACCTAGAAGGCTATCGGCTTGACACAGTCACTGCGACAAAATCCGCTTTCGATATGGACCATACACTTCAGCGCGGTGGCTTCTTCCGGGCCCAACTCGCGCTTCAGGGACGCTACCGCGCCTTTTGGGAACTCCAACGCTCCAGCTGGAAAAACCTTTTCAGGGCCTGTGTGACGGACATAGAGCCTGTTTGGGGCGCAGATCTCCACTTCAACTACCGCCGCTCGACGCCTCAGATGCGGCAAGAGTTGTACGGCGAGCTTGCCCATGCTACAGATGAGAGCGGTGGGTTCGAAGCCTCTTGGAGGTTGCCTGCTTCCCGTCTAGACATATTGTATCGCCATAATGGCAGGCGGCCGTTCATCACGAGTAAAGGCCTTTTAGGTCTAGGTCCAGAGGATATGCGCAGTGGTGACGTTGTGGTCGTTGTCTCCGGAGCGGAGGTTCCATTTATTTTAAGGGAAGCACCCGAAGGCGGGTACGTGTTAGTAGGTGAGGCATATGTTGACGGGGTTATGGACGGAGAGGTATTAAGCATGGGACTGGAGAAAGTCACGTTGGATATCCTCTAGCTTCCGCAAAGGTTGTCGATCATTTGTTCACAATCTCAATGGAAAACTTGAGGGGGGTTCACAAAGCGTCTCTGAAGGGATGCGGATTGCCCCGTATGCACGTGAACCCCAGAAACCGCGTGGACAAGTCATTAGAGTAATGGTTGGATTGTTAGCACTCGGGCTGATGTTTACAATGTCGCTTCCTCTGGGAGCAACCCATTCCTCCAACTCATGCCCGCATTCTCATTCGCCCAGTCCAACAGGGCATCGTAGTCCACACACTCATGCTCACTCCCCTCTCCTGGCCCCGCATCCGTCTGTCCCTCGAGCGTCGTATCTGCATTACACATGATCCCCTGCCGCAGATAATTGAAACAATGCACGGAATGGTGGGCAATCTCGTCTTCTAGTTTAACGCCATCGTAACCCTCCTGGAAGTGAACCGCGAGGTACGAGAGACAGTGTAATTGGTGGAAAGCCGATATCATGTAGCCGGGGCCGTCGTTATGCCGGTCGATGGCAATAGTGTACGGCCTAGGGAGGTCGTAATGACCAGAAGAAGGAGCGCGGACGTAGCCTCGCCCGGCGCTCGACAGCTCGATCCAGTTGTGCAGCGCATGGAGCGTGGCGGATTTGTTGGTGAACATGTCTTCTGGGTTGTACCGTGAGTTGCTCTGGAAGGTGTAGAGTTTCCGTGGCAGCTGCGGCATTGGCGTCCTGCGGATTGGGGAGCAGCCAGATGGGCTCGTGGACTGGCGCACGAGCAGGGCTGCTATCGCACACGCCATCGCGAGCTCGAAGAACAGTCGGATATAGTCCCTCGTCCGCCATCGCGTGCCGCGCGGTTCCGGTATGGGGGTTTGGCCATGCTGTAGGAAGGCTTCCTCCTCCTCATCCAGCGCTTCTTTGATTTGCTTCATGATTGAGTGATGATGGTATTAAACATGGCGGCTCCGAGGATGGAGTTGGTAAGAGGCAACTTTATTAGGCTGAAGACTTGCGTAAAGTGAGGGTTTGCTGTACGTGGTTAGCGCGTTAATATACTTGTGGTCAGCGGTATTTCGAAACGGCTAAAGTGGGTTAGAGTGGAGAGATGTGCGCCCCTTCGTCGTTTCGTACCTATTGAATTGAGGAATATAGAAAGGAGGCTTCGGTTGCTGCATCTCATCCCCTTCGCCGTTGTAATCGTGGGCTAAGATGTCGCTGGCTACAAGGTCATCTTAAACAAAATCAGCTTGATACTTCCACCCTCGGGATTACGTTGATACGATACGAGCTTGCCAAATTGCTCGAGAGCGCCCATGAACTAGCGGCGAGACTCGAAAATGTATAGTAAAGTATGTGTGTACACAGTACGAATACTCCTTGTCTTCTTCGAACCTCGGAGCTCGAAGCATACCTTAAGCTAAGAGACGTGCTTTGCTAGTGGTTGCAGTATCGTTGGGAGAGACCAGCTCAATGTCTAAATCGATTGAGTGGAGTTCGAAATCCCTTCGGATGGTCCTTTGTCCTACGCAGCAAGCCATTAATTCACAGAAGATTACGTTCCGCTGAAGAATAACACCGTCTTCTTCCTCTGTTCGTTGCCAGACTGCTGAGTTGCATTGACGTTGCCGCCGGGTACATCGAAGTGTCCTAAGACGCCTTGGGCAGGGCTGGCACTTTTCATATGCAAACCTCATAGAGAATCGGTCGGCCATTTCCCGTTCAGACACCTGCTTGACATCTTTGTTTTGAGGCGCGAGAAACGTTGTAGGATATAGAATGAAATCTAAACATGTAATTTCACATACGACCATAGGACACTGAAAACTAGGCTTCCCGTCCGCTCAGCCATATATAAGCAGTGTACCGGCGGATCAGTAGTTGCGTGGGTGACCAGCAGCGAATCCCCGCTGTTGTATGTTTTTTTCCTTACATTTTGGGTGTGTGCTGGAGCGAAGTGCGGAGCGGAGATTGCCCCTAGGCCAAAAGTGGCCTTAATCGTTGCGCTACCACTCGCTTTTTTCCTCTTAGTCGAAATTGACCTAACTGACAGACTGCTGCCGCTGTATGACCTCGTTTTTGCATCTGTGCACGTCAAAGTGGGTCAGTGTCGATTTTGTGGATCTTTCGTTATACTGCAGTGGCCTGAACGCAACACCAGAGTCCCAGACAATCGAAGCTAATCTGCAAAGACTCTTATGTTATCGTAGATAAGCAGCTGGGAATAATACTCAGTGAAATGTCTTGTCCATGCATCTAGATGCACACAATATCTCCGAACGAATTAGCCCTACGTGTGCTACTAACCGTGTGATCCCCCAGACTTCGGCATCGGTTTTCATTAAACATCGGCACATGTCGCCCAGTACCGGGAGAAACCAAATACTCAATATCTACTTCCCCGGATCTTGGCGCATCGAAACGACAGGCCTGCTCCATAACCACCGGTAGCTTGGCCACGGCTTGGCGACCAACTGCGTTATTGCAATTATCGTTCGTATGACCCAGTGAGACGAATAAGGGACATGCTTTTCGAGATTCTCTCTCTGCGAAACTCAGCCAAGTCTATGCAAATGAGACATAATGATACAGTATTTCCTCCAGTAGAAGCTGACACAAGAACCAACATGAGCAACATGAATGTCAAGAAAAGGAATATAAATACGCTAGCATCGTATCGCTACAAATGATAGCTTGCCCCATTCTTCAGACTAAGATCACCTAGCAGCCTGCACAATACCATCGCCGCTATGAAGGTCGCGGTATTTGCACTCCTCGCCGCTTCTGCGCCGCTTGCTCAGGCACATTACATCTTCAATCGATTGATCGTAAATGGAGCCTCCATTGGTGGAGAGTACGCGTACACGCGAAAGAACTCTAACTCCTACAACCCGGCCTTCACCGACGAGCTCATGAACTCCAATGACCTCCGCTGCAACAAGGGCGCGACGGCTGGAAACACCGCCACGTACACTGTCAAAGCCGGTGACAAGATCGGGTTCAAGCTGTTTAACAACGAGTTCATCGAGCATCCCGGCCCCGGCTTCGTCTACATCAGCAAGGCACCTGCTTCCGGTGTCAAGGGCTACGATGGTAGTGGTGATTGGATCAAAGTGTACGAGACCGCTCTATGCGGCAGCAACCCCGGCACGGACAACAACTGGTGCTCCTGGCAGAAGGACCGGTTGGAATGGACGATCCAGAGCAAGATCCCGCCGGGCGAGTACCTTGTACGCGTGGAGCACATTGGTCTCCATGAGGCCCACGTGGGCAAGGCCCAGTTCTACATCGAGTGCTTCCAGCTCAAGATCGAAGGTTCAGGAGGAGGCACGCTTGGGCCAGTGGCCAAGATCCCTGGAATCTACACCAAGAACGACCCTGGAATCGCATTCAACAAATGTAAGTAATGTATATGCTCGCTTACCCGAACTCCCCTAACCCGCTTGTAGGGAACAACCCCAAGTCCTATGTCGTTCCAGGACCCAAGGTGTGGAATGGAAATTGATATTAGAGTAAGCATACCAGCGCTGTCGTTCGAGGATACTCAGCAGCGAAAGTAGGGCCAGGTGTGGCTTGAGGATGTTTGAATCGATGATATGGCAGATAGCACGAGTATTAAGCAACTGACTTCGTCTTCCCGAGGTGCCGTTGTCAAGAATTGTGATAAATTGAACGGAATGCTATAGAAGATGACCCCAACTCCAACTCATGATGGAGCCGAGACGACGCTCTGATATGCAATGATGGATGTGACCCTCAATAAATGAAACACAAAATTAGAACGCTGTGATAGCCCATGTTAACTCTACCCAAAGATCAAAGATCTTATAGGCGAGACTTCAATGGTGTCTGGATGACAGCCTCGAGAGGCGGCCTATCGTCGAGGAGACGACTGCCTTCAGGATCGTATAGTGGCTCCCGAACGACGGTAGCTGCAATGCGGCGGCCAAAGTATTCGGCCTCGATAGTCTCTCCCACGCTTACACTGCTAGGAAGCCATGCGTACGCTATAGGCCTACCGACCGTGAAACCGAAGGCGGCAGTAGTGATGTATCCTGCGGCCTCGCCTTTGTAAAACACAGGCTCCTTGCCTAGCAACATCGACTGGGCGTCGTTGACAGCAAGGCATCGAAGTCGTCGAGTAGGTGTCTTGGGTCGGCGCGAGAGACCTGCCTTGCCCACGAAATCTCCCTGCTTCTTCAAATCGACAGCTGAAATAACACCGGCCTCCAACGGATCATGCTCGGTGCCCATGTCGGCTCCGTATGTTCGGTAACCCTTCTCCAAGCGCAAGGAATTGAGTGCAGCGCGACCAGCCGCAATGATCCCATGCAGCTTTCCAGCTTGGGCAATAGCATCCCATAGCCGCAGCCCAAGTTCTGCACTTGTTTGAAGCTCCCACCCGAGCTCACCAACATACGATTTCCGGAAGGCGAGTACTGGAATTCCGGCGACATGGACCTTCTTGACACCGAAGTACGGGAGTCCCTTGTTCGAGAAGTCATCTGTGCTTACACCAGCAATGACGTCTCGGGCACGTGGACCCCAAAGACCAATAGAGCATGTGCTTCCGGTGATCTCACGTATCTGCACCCACTGGTTGGGGCTCTGTTGCCTCTGAAACCGCGCTTCACGGGAGAGATAGTGAAATTCGGTCGCAGAGTTAGCACCAATCTGGAACACATCGTCTTCAATTTTGGAAACAAAGATGTCGCCGCGTATACCGGCCTCATCGTCGAGCAAAAGGGTGTAAGTGATCGAGCCTGGATCTTTCTTCAGGTCGCTTGTAGTCAGGCGTTGAAGTAAGTGCAAGGCGCCAGGTCCGGAAGCCTCAAACCGATGGAAGGCGGTCATGTCGTACATTGCGACTGCATTGCGAGTTTTCCAGGCCTCTGCTGCTGCTATTGGGGAGTAGTGTTGTGCAGACCACGCGTCTCGCTCGACTGGCTGCCACTTTGCGGGGAGATACTTCAGCAGCTCTGCGTTGGCCTCGTACCAAAATGGTCGCTCCCAGCCACCGACTTCAAGGAAGTATGCGCCCAATTCCCGCTGCCGAACGTTGAAAGGACTTATACGCAGGTTACGTGGGGATAACTTGGGAGCGAGAGGATGAATGATGTCGTAAATTTCCACGAAGTTTTGCTGTGACGTTTCCGAGACATATTCGTGGCTGAGCTGAATTTCTTCGAATCTTGAGATGTCGCACTCCCCAACATCGATTTCCGACCGGCCTGTAGTGAGTATTTGTGCGACCGCCCGTGCAATACCGGCTGAATGTGTGACCCAGACGGCTTCTGCAACATAGAAGCCTTCTAGGTTCGGCGCTCGCCCGATAATGGGTCCGCCATCCGGGGTAAACGAAAAGATCCCGTTGAACCCGTCAGCGAGATGAGTGTTCTTGAGGGCGGGCAAAAGTTTCTGAGATTCGTTCCATGCAACCTCGAAGTCTCTGGAGGTGAAGGCAAGACGGGACGGCATATGCTTTTCGTCTACATGCTCGGGCGTCGGGCCGAGCGATCCAGCTACTACGGGCATGGGACGATGGCCGTAGAATCCTATACCAAACTGGTCACCATGTTCCCGGTAATAAAGGTCCTGATCCTGATGTCGTAATATGGGTAGTGTGGCGTTCATTCCGTTTATTCTAGAGTTCACTTCGCGACCCCGGAGGTCTGGCAGGGCGGTCGTCTTCGCGTATTGATGTGCCAATGGCAAGAGCGGCACCTGCAGTCCTACCATAGCCCCAATTTCGACTCCCCAGAATCCGGCGCAGGAAACAACAATGTCCGCCTGGACAGATCCACTTGGGGTTGTAACGCCAGTAACCCGTCCATTTGATCTTTCTATACCCGTTACGGGTGTGTTCCCGAGATACTGAACGCCAGCCTCGCTAGTTCGTTCAATGAGTAGTTGTGTGGCTCGTGCCGCCAGAGCCAAACCGTCGGTGGGAATGTGTAGACCTCCGAGGACAGTCTTTTGGTTGAGTAGAGGGTACATCTGTATGCATTCTTCTCCACTTATCAGTCGCGCCTCAATTCCCCAAGAAGAAGCATAGCCGTGTCTGCGTTTGAGCTCCTCTAATCGTTCTGGGGTTGTTGCAACTTCAAGACCGCCGACCTGGTTGAAGCATCCCTGTCCATCCTTCTTTATGGAGAGCAATTTCTCCATTGTGTACTTCGCAAGTCTTGTCATTGTCTTCGAAGGGTTCGTCTGGAATACGAGGCCGGGCGCATGCGAAGTCGAACCACCAGGCATATTGAGCGGTCCTTGCTCAACAACCGTGATGTTCTTCCATCCCAGAGATACTAGCTCATCGGCAAGATTTACGCCCACGATTCCGGCTCCAATAATAACAACGCGCTGAGAGGTCGCCATGGTCCGGATGTGATCGAATTACTGAATGAGGTACGGGCAGCAAGCCTACTTGAAGGCACTCCTTCGCGCCGATATACGGCAATGACAGCATCTTGAAAGTAAAGCTTTGCCTTCTACAGTTCACCAGAAGCAGAGCCGAAAGAAACCGCGTCGGGCCCCGCATCAGGTGTGTGGGAACGTTCGATGCGAAGGAAGTGCGGGAGTCCCGCGATGGATATTTTGGACAAAAGAGGAATGGCGCCAAATGTCAAAGTGGCGCCGCAACGGGCTTCCTCGTCTTTTCGTCGCGCAACACCATGAAAGAGGTACCATGGCCTACAAACTTAACTATGCATGGCCATGCTAGATTCTACTGCATCTATTTGTATCTCATCCCAGTTCGCTGCGTCATTCGTTCATTGGCTCCCATGCATCTTGTTCGAGGACCCTTGTGCGCTGTAGTTCTCACAAATATGTCCTGATTGTCAATATCGGCAAAGTTCATGATGTTAACACAAGGGTAAGATGTTCTTCGACGGCTCGGAATTTGAATCAAATTCTGGGATATTATTGATGCGCCAAAACATAGGTAAGCCCCTGCTTGTGGGCCTTGACAGTGTGCGTGGTCGCCCAGCCCCTGATGCTCTCTAACCTCGACGACAAGTTTATTGTCATTGTGCAAGTGATCATTTTGCATAGCGAGGAGATGGCGCGATGACTCCATAACGATAATACCATTGTTCTTATAATCTGAAGTTACACCAGCATGAACAAGCATCCTACCTTCGACTAGCCTCCCTAGGACGACTCGCGCATGGGTGCATGGGAACACATGACACGGTACAAATGAGGGGGTTGTTTAGAATAGCGAGCACGCAGTACTGCAATCGCGGGTGGTTTCCATCGGCTAGACGTATGTTTCAGAAATATACCCCACTGTCATGTCCACCACTCCACCAAAAGTTTGCCGGTATGATCGAAACGCGCCACTGCCTGTTCGATACTGTCTGTGAAGCATCGCTATATGCATCAAGGTATCCGATAGCTTACCAAAAGACTGTTACGCCCGGCCTCGAACGTTATCATGTCTCCAGATCTCAGGACCATCTGTGCGATTTGCTCGCTCGCAGAACGCAGCACGATAAATTCAGTTGTGACTATTCAAACTACCTGGTTCAAAGGTATGCGATATCACTGTTGGTGGCGGCTCCTCGAATATTCTTGTGGTTGCAGATAGTGATTCAGGGTCCAGAAGATGGATCATATGTCCGTTTTGGGTTTGAACTAACTCACCCTCCCGGTGGCGTTGAACTATTTTGGGTCTTAAACCCTACAAGTACCCCAAAACTAGGACAAACTAATGGAACGGTTTCCCCGTTAGGGCGCGACGATAACGATGTTGGGCTGGACACGCGGACGTGAATAGGGAGGCACACGAGGCAGGTGAGGAGGCATCACGATGTTCTCTCACGGTGACATAACAGCATGGTAGCCTTGAGCTGAAGCCACTTCGACATTCTTTCTTTATGAGAACCTCTTGAAACTACTCTAAATTCTTCATCTTCCAGAACGTTTCTCCCTAGTCGCCCTACTTTTAGTGTCTCTAACCCCTGCGTTACCTCAGCTATGGCAGCTATACTCGACAGACTCGGCCTGGGTAGCGGTAAGGAACCTGCTATTTCTTCCGCCTCAGAACCTGTTCGTGCGCTGCCAGCCAATTGGTACACGTCTCCTGAGATGTACGAGCTTGAACGCCGTGCCATCTTTTCCCGCAAGTGGCTTATGGTGACCCATTCCCTCCGCCTCAAGAATACGGGCGACTTTCTCCGCTACCAGATCGCTGGGTTCGACGTTGTTCTCTCACGAGATCGTCAGGGCGATATCTCTGCCTTTCACAACGTCTGCAGGCACCGTGCCTATCCCGTCATCGAGCAGGACCAGGGAACTGCCAAGATCTTTTCGTGTCGATACCATGGATGGTCGTATGGCCTCAACGGGAAACTGGCCAAGGCTCCGGGCTACCAAGATCTTCCTGATTTTGATAAGCAACAGAATGGTCTGTTCAAGATTCATGTTCGAACTGACGCCAACGGCTTTGTCTGGATAAACCTCGATGCTTCAGCAGAGCCAGAGGTCGCATGGGAATCAGATTTTCAAGGCGTCGATACGCAAGAACGCTTCAAGAGCTTCGATTTCGGCAACTACGAATTTGATCATACGTGGAAACTCGATGCGGAGTACAACTGGAAGATTGCCGCTGACAATTACAACGAGTGCTATCACTGCGCAACCACTCACCCTGATGTCCCGGAGGTGGCCAACCTTGAGACCTACGATGTGCATCCGAAGGATAAGCACATTGACCACGATGCATCGCCTTCAGAAGAGCAGATCAAGCAGGGCATGCACATTGCTAGTACATACTATTGGCCGATCGCTTCTATGACCGTCTCGTAAGTTTGCTCGCTCTCAACCCACAGCTGTTCTAACGGCTCACAGACCACACTTCTTCTTCATGCAGAAGTTCTTACCCACTAGCGCAACGACCACGCAAGTCTACTACGAAGTTTTTCGAAACCGTTACTCGTCCGAAGAGGACTTTCAGCAAATTAACAACATGTTCAAACGTATCATGAACGAGGACAAGGTCCTCTGTAACCAGGCGCAGAAGAACCTCAACGCTGGGGTTTTTGTCAACGGTGAGCTCCACCCACGTATGGAAAAGGGCCCACTGTACTTCCAGAAGATGTGCAGAGAGGAGGTCGTTGGATGGCACAGACGAGAACAGGCAGCGAAGCAGGAGATCTGGCCTGCACGCCAGAAGTTGCCCAGCAGCGCTGATGAAGCCAATGACGATGTAGACTTCTGCAATGGGCTCTCATGTTCAACGAGTAACGAAGCATTGGTTTGGTAAGCCTATGGGCTATGCACTATGGGATTTATGACTTTTCATGCTCTGTTGTCGCTTTGGTGACCATATTGATTCATAGCGAGGCGTTGGCGTTGGAATATGCATGGATGCATCTCTAAGATTGTGCGGATTATTTTCTGCCCCTTCCTCAATAAATTATTTCCAATCAAGCGGTTGAGCGACGAATGGAAATAATCATCTTATCAAAACCTATATAGTATATATGTTGTCATTTCAGCTCAGATAAGACACCCTGCAATGCTCATCAAGAATTCAAGCGGATGCAGAGATCCCCAGTACATAAGCATGAGCTTGCCGACCAAAACGCCAGTGCAACCCTTGACCATCACCCGCCACCGAGCCTGGCTAAAACCGATCGAATTTTCGCAAGTAATTCTGGAACCCTGAAAGGTTTTGCAACGACGTCGTCCATCCCACCTTCGATCGCTGCCCGAGTCTGTTCATCTCGCACATTCGCTGTTACGGCAATGACAGGCACATGTCCTGTCACAACGCCCTTAACCTCCATATCTCGTATATGCCCGACAGCCGTTAACCCATCCATCTCCGGCATCTCTAAATCCATGAGAATCAGCGACAGTGGCCGGCCAGCTGGATCGTGAAAAGAGGTCGTTGCTAGAACTTGCAGTGCTAGAAGACCGTTATCAGCCGTGTAGACGGTGCATCCAGCTTTCTTAAGCTGTTTGGACAAAACGCGTTGGTTCACCAGGTTGTCCTCTACTATGAGGATAGATAGGTCCGAGTGGTCCGTTAGGGATCCGCTTTGTGTTGTAGAGGGGATCGATGCAGGACTCGAGTTTGACCTTACTGAAGCGTGAGCCGCAGCTGTCTCCTGTGGTCCTATGAGTGGCGCCGGTCCCAGGATACCTGGTCGCTTTGGAGCCGGAGCTCTCCTCCCTTGGATGAAGAAACCGAATGTGCTTCCAGCCCCGGCTTCGGAAGACACCCCAACCTGACCTCCATGAAGCTCAGCGAGCTGGCGAGAAATAAACAGACCCAGGCCGCTGCCCCCGTATGTAGCATGAGTACGTGGCGAAGCCTGTGCAAATCGTTGAAACAAGAGACGCTTTTCGTCGGCTGTTAGACCGACGCCAGTGTCTTCCACCTTGACACGGATGTACAGCCGCTCGCCGTCGCCCCAATCTTGGCCAGCGGCGATATCTACGATCGAGCTACGAGTCGGTATGTATTCAAAGCCCTGGAAAGAAGGTTGAGGTTGCTCCACAGAGGCGCCGAGGTGAACTGAGATAGATCTCTTCTCTTGATTAGCCGTGAATTTTATGGCGTTGCCGATGAGATTGACGATTATTTGAAGCAATCTAGAAGGATCTAGAAAGACCCAGTCAACTTGTAGTCGGCCCAAAGATTCATGTGGCAAGAAATTAAACTCGATATCCTTCGATTGGACTTCTGGCTTGAACATGTTCATCGCGCGATGTATGATGGCGGATGGCTGTACAGCGATGGGTGTGATAAGCAACAGATTCGAGTCAAGCTTCGAAACAGTGAGAATATCATCCACAATAGACTTTTGGTGTTGGACACAGAGCGCGATGTTGTTTGCGGCATCGATGCATTCCTCGACTACTTTTGCGTCGGAGTTTCCGAACAGATGCTGCGATAGCGACTCTCGGATATCGTCAGCACAGATTAGGATAGCCGACAGTGGATTTCTCATTTCGTGGCTCGTTATATCGATGAACTCGTTCTGCTGGCGTTTGGTTTCCTCTGCCTCCTTCAGTCGTTGCTCCTGGAGTCCTTGGACCCATTTCAGATGAGATATGTCCGCAATTGAACCCATGATAGATTTAACTTTTCCGTGGGCGTCCACTTCCGGTTGGGAAGTAGCAAGCACCCAGTACTCGATTGGCTCGCCAGCGAGATCTCGAGGTACGAAGTCCGTGCCAGTGAGAAGAAACTCCTCTTGCCTGGGCTTGCTATCCTCCATCATCTGCCTCCACATAATCTCCCCCCTACGGCGACTCTCTTCGGACATTGGCTTTAGAAAGGCGAAGGGGCTGTCGTCATCCCTTCCGTGGTTCGTCATTTCGTAGTAGCGTTCGTTCGCTTCCAGTAGAATGCCATCGCAGCCGAACAGGTACATGCCTAATGGCGAGAGTTCAGTCATACGTCGCATCCTACTCGCTTGTACCTCGAGCTGTTGGCTTAGCTGTTCCCGCTGCAACGTTGCGACCTCTGCTGCGTTTCTGTTTCTTCGAACCTCCTCTTCAAAAAGCAAGAACGATGCTAACGAGTTTGCTAGCTGCCGGTTGAGCATGTTGACGAAGGCTCTGTATTCCTCATCATACGCTCTCCTGGGATTAACGCCTAGTAGTAGGAAGGCGAATATGTTCTCGCCGTTGGTTGGGCGGACAGGTATGATTATTGCTGACCTACATGGGTCTCCGTAGCCGCGCCATTCTATGCCTTCGGTGAGCTCATCAGGTAGACTACCATTTCGCCTGTGAAGAATAGTAGGTTCACGGGTTCGCATAGCTTCACGGAATGCAGGGATGAATCCTTCTTTTGAACGCTTCAGATCAAGCTTTGGCGGTGAAGCTGGATGACCTTCAGGGATACCAATTGCGCCTTCTAATAGGCAGCTTTTCATGGAGATAGTGCTGTCGGATGAGTGTGAGACTGTATCAGCGTCATCCGAATCAGTGATTGAGTAAACTGTTTGAAATCAGCAAATGAACCCACACAGTCACACGAAGGCAGCACCACCAAGTTGATGCGGAATAGTACTGGAAGGAAGTCCAACTTACGAATAGCGAAAGGCACCTCCCATGGATTACCTCGGAGTCCGTCCAAAACGCATTGCCAAAAGTGCTTTGTGGATCGTGTTTCCGCCAGTTTCTCGCTTATCTCTCTCAGCGTTTGCATCCTTCTATGGCTCACTGTTTGGTAGGTTGTTTCGAAAGGTGCATTGTAGAAGCCCAGGACTAGTTTTACAAGACAAAGTTAGCGAGAAGGAACAAGGGTACTTAAACAGTCGCGCGGGCGGTCACATAAGCTTTGGAAAGCCGTCTGACCAGTCTTTCCTGTCGGCTTTCATCTGGTGCTTACATACTGCGCTTCGTCCCACCATATACTGGCGTGAATGACCAAGAGAAGAACGTCTCCTCAAGGTAGCCGTACCTCTCGATCGGTAGGTAGTCATTCTCTTTCCGAACACTTTTGCCCGTTCGAGCACATTCCCGGAAGATCGGTCCCACCCCATCCCATAGTTCGCTAAATGGACCAGAAAAGCCGGTACCCATAAGATCTGGGTGTTTGTTCCCGGCGACCTCGTTCTTGTATGCTTCGTTATAGAGCATAGTCAGCTCTTCACCCCAGAATAGAGCAGCCGGGTGAGGATTCCTCATAACAAGGTTTGCAACTTCCCGAAATTCAACGGACCAGGTCTTCATGGACCCTAGGGGTGTGGCACTCCAATTAACGTTTCGCGCAAAGACCATGTGTTCGGTCAAGCTCCCTCGTGGTTTTGTGGCCGTCCAATCGGGTACGCCACTCTCTGGTGATGCTAATGTTACAGATGCTCCACTTCCCGATGTATCGTTGGATGCTTCCCCGGAGGTGGGTGGGTTAGATGAGCGTCCCTTGCTATCATTTGGAAACGTAGGAGTTGATGATATCAGGGAGCTATTTCTGAGGGGAAGCTCCGTTTGAGGTGTTGGAACACCGAGAGGTGGGTCGCTCGTGGACGCGGCGGCCGCGGCAGTCGTCGGTGCCATTGTGTCTTCCGACGATCTAAATTTCTTCCTGGCCAGAGCCTCCCTCGGCTCTGCCTTCCCCTTAACACCTTCGCCCTCCTCATGTATGACTGAGATATCCGCCACGTGATTTGTCGTATCGCTCCACTGTATGCCCGACACGAAACGCCATCGTTGCTTAGACGTGAAGCCGGTCCAGAGCATACCTTCGTGGAGAAAAGTCTGTGGGTAGACATCGCGCGAGTCGTCAAATTCGCTTACACTCGTGACCCAAGATTTGAAACGTAGATACGGCGTTTGAGCGGGTTGCGGGTGGTCGCTCTTTGGACCCGAGCCCGTTATTTTATCCAGCAACTGGTCGTGTAGTCGTAGGGCCGCATTGCAGAATATCGGCCGAATGGCTGTTTTAGTCTCGCTGTAGTCGAGATGATCAGAGTCTAAATCGAGTACGAAGGTGGGTCGAGGATCCTGGTCGAGGACTTCGTGAAAAGCTGTGCCATCCAGCTCCTGCAACGCCTTGCGATCGAAAGCACGCTTTTCATCGTTTGCCGATTCTTCGAGAGGAGCGGACTGCGATCGCGATAGCAGGTGCGTCGGCGCCGGCTCCACCATCTGGACGTTGGTGTATGTCACTCAGATGGGGTGCAGGGTGGGTGGTCCGTGTCGGGAGGATTTCCGCGCGACGTCATTCGTCGTTAATTTCCTTCCACAGGAGCTCGAGGGAGCACCGTTTCGGCCTGTCGAGGTTCGAGGTCACGATACCTTTCTCGCGGACTTCCAATAGGAAATACTAGAAGGGGCTTTGCAACCACTGGCCGTTTCGTAGCAATGCATTATGTGTAGGACGTAGGCTCCGCGAAGCCCAATGCGGTCTCGCTGCGTACTTTGAGTGACTCAGCAGCAGCGAGCCCTCACCTTAAATCGGCGAGAGGTAAATGGCATCCAACAGACCCGTTTCCCCATAAATACATTCATGACAAGCCAGGTTCCTCGGTCAAATGATTATATGGAGACAGCACCATCTTCAAGATATCTTTGTAGTGCGCTTGCGACCATTGATGAAGGGTTATCGAGCCTGCGCGAAAAATTCGAGTCGCGAAGCAAGCTTAATCGCAGCGACCGTGAAAACGACATGGCCCCAAGCACTGCTAGATATGCAGCACGGATTGATTGAATGTGTGAAGTTGTTAGGAAAGTTATTGCCAACACGCTGGTCCCAGCATGTTGAGATCGCGTTCAGCGCGTCCCTTCCAATGGTTCCTAATGGCTGCACCTGTCTTTTCAACGTCCATCCATAACCTTCAAGGGTTGTTTGGTATCGTTGAATTGATGTTGTACGATTGGGAGAATGCGTCGTCTATTTTCTTAGCAGTGTCCGTGATTGGTGTCCCTCGGCTTGGCATGGGCATGTGGATCTCGAAGTAGATTTTCCTACGCTTACTGGTGGCCTCGGCCGATAGCTGGAGCGCCAGTGCCTGTCGAATGTATTCTTGCAGTGCGAGTGGGATTGATATACATTCGACAATTGATGCTATATAGATGTGAATTTGACACTTTCTAACATCAAATAAGATCTGGTCTTATGGTCTAGTGGTATGATTCTCGCTTAGGGATCACGTGATCAACACCTGAGCACATTTGCGAGAGGCCCCGCGTTCGAATCGCGGTAAGACCCATCTTCTTTTTTCTATTGGCGTAGGCTCCGCAAGGTTTTCGCAACTGACTTTTTTGTCAATCCAAAGCCCCTTACGTCTTATCACGATACTGGTACGAGATAGCCTACTTAATTTGGCGGAGTTGCTGCATGTGGTGGTACGAGGTGCTCGTTTCTGGGGAGGAATAACCAGATTAGCTCGAACTTCACATTGCGCCACCACAAACAACCACAATTGACAATAAGATCTCTTGTCTACGCGCGTTAATAGTAAAAAAGTCCCCCTTTGATCAACTGAATAACAAAGTTTTGATATTGTAAATCAGAGCTATTGCGTGAGACTGTTAAAGTGAGCTTAAAACGCGATTTCCTTACGGAGAAGATCCTCGTAATTCACAGCTTCCACGGTACTGTGACAGACTTCATGTGCGCTGGCCTAAAGTAATGAGTATTTACAGCACTCTGAGAATTCGAAGAGATTACGTCTCGCATTCCCGCAAAGCTTTGGGTATCTTTATATCCATCCGTGCTCGTAGGCTTGACAAGCTGTTAACATGCAAGCAGGATTACCATGTTCTTTGCTGCTGTTTGCGCGGCCTAAGCAGGCTTGCGGCCTCTAGCTTCGCCGCTGTTTGGGCTTAGACCGACTGCAGGGCCACCAATGAACTCTTCTCAGCCGCCCGTGGCACCCGTCCACCGCAAAACACTCAACAGCGCTACGTACCTTTTCTATAAACCATCGCGCGTGGCCCGAGTTCCATCATCCCGTAATTTGACGATTGCAATGCGTTGGGACTATGCAGAGGGCCCTGGGCACGGCGCCTGGGGCACGCCGAGCTCGAATTTTAAGTAAGCCTTAAGTTCGCGCACTCACACGTTTCCTTGGCTACATGTACTAACACCTACAAGCTTTTGTGAAGAGGTATTATACGGCTGGTTATCCGACGCAGTTTTTGCACTAATTTTGGCCGAAGGACTACGTGATTACACACTACATCGCTGAGTTTGTGAACACGCTCACAAACTTGACCTACGGTACCTGCGCGTGGTGGTGTCTCTAGCAAATCATATGACTGACTGTTCATAGTGATCTACGGTATACATGGCCTTCGAAGGGTCAGCCCTCGCAAAGATGGCGGACTGTTCTCGACATTGGCATTTCCGTACTGGGGATTAATTGGTGTGGGTGTACTTTCAGCCTGGTTCCATGCCACTTTGAACTACCACAGCCAGATGGGTAAGCCCGAGTCGTGCTCCAGTTCTGGAATCACTGGTTCATCAGCCAAAAACTAACATCCGAAAGGCGACGATCTCTCTATGTTCCTCGCCGTCGGCGCTCTCCTCAACCAACTCCAGACCTTCAATCAACCCCTGCCCACTCGTCGATTCAGAACCCTTCTCATCGTTGGCATCCTGATCCCTGTCTCGGTCTACCACTGCTGGGCAGACGAGCTCTACGTGCACCAGATCACTTTCGCTACCATGGTGCTCTTATGTGGTAGGGAAATTCGCAAGCTCGTTCGTGAGCGCGTTCCCAATGCAGAGCAGAGAAGCAAAATACTTAGCTTGGCAAATGGAGGGCTAGGTAAGTTGACGATTCCATTTTCGATCCAAGACGGCTCAATACTAACGTGTAGCAGCTACTGGACTCTTCGGCTACTTCTTGTGGAATATCGACGAGCACTTCTGCGAGCGTGTGACGGCTGTGAAGCACGCCATTGGTCTGCCGTGGGCTTTCATCTTCGAGCTGCATGGGTAAGTCATCTTGCAACGCCTTACAAACCTCATGCTGACACTCTTTCAAGCTGGTGGCATATCTTGACAGGCATTGGGGCATACGTTGGCATGGCGGTCGTCGAATACCTTGTCACAATCGAAGACGGAAGGACGGACAAGGTCGAAGACGGATTCGTCTGGCCCGTGAGCGCTGTCCTGCGAAACCTCGATGCCGCTTCGTCAGGCAAGAAGACTCTGTAAGCCATTTACAAGGCTCTCATTAGCCACCGGATGTTCGATCATTATTCACGGATGATCCTTTAGTTTTGGAGCGCACCGTGGAAGTCGCATCTCAAGTTGCGCACATGGCAAAGAATTAGTGTAGACAGCGACCTAGATGTATATCGCAAAAATGCTTGGATTTCGCCGCCTCATCGGTCCTTCTACTTCCATGATTGGTCGAAATGTCCTAACTTTCCGTTGTGGGCGATCGTGTTGCTTATCTCCGCAAAGCTGCCAGAAATCCGGGACGTCATATTGCCTCTCCTCCGGCCCAGTGCACGCGCCCTCCCGGATCAAAGCCTCGCATTTCTGCACCTCTCACCCGCTGGATGCCAATCGCTGTATTCCTTACCGGATCTATACTTACAGCCGCCTTACAACTCCTCTTACCAACGGTTACAGACAACATTAGTGCACCGGTCTTTGCAGGCAGGCTTCGCGCCGAAGCGGGGCTGGACGAGCTCCCCACGTTTACGTAGTGCATAGTCGGAGTTTACACAGAACATTTTCAATTACATATATAAAGCGCGCAGACATCCACAATAGTGTATCCATTCCATCACAAGTCTACAAACCTACCTCACATCCGCCCATAATCTGCACCTAGCAAGCTACACCAGCTCCACCACCCAACCGCCAAACCGCCAACCACACAACCATGGTCAAGCTCAACAACAAAGAAGTCGGCCAAGTTGGCTTCGGCCTCATGGGTACATCCACAGCCTCCTTCAGCCCAGACATTTCTAACACCTCCCAGGCCTCACATGGCGCGCCGACCCGCCCTCGCAAGAGCAAGCCTTCGCCGCAATGCGCGCCGCCGTCGACAGCGGCATGGTCGCATTCAACGGCGGTGAAATCTACGGTTCTCCCGAGCGTAACTCCCTCCAGCTCCTCTCCGAATACTTCACCAAATACCCCGAAGACGCCGACAAAGTTGTGCTCTCCATCAAAGGCGGCTGCATCCCGGGCACGCACCCGATCCCCGACGGCAGCCGCAAGAACGTGCACCGCAGCATCGACGAGTGCCTCAGGTGGCTGGAGGGTAAGAAGTTTTTAGACCTGTTCGAGGTCGCGAGATTGGATCCGAATGTGCCCGTCGAAGAGACCATTGGTGCGATCGCAGAATATGTCAAGGCGGGCAAGGTGGGAGGCATCAGTCTGAGCGAGGTGAATGCGAATACGATTAGGAAAGTGCATGCGATCCACCCGGTATCGGCGGTGGAGGTCGAGTTTTCGCTCTGGAGCACCGATATCCTTGAGAATGGCGTCGCGAAGACTTGCGGAGAGCTGGGCATTCCGATTGTCGCCTACTCGCCTCTTGGACGAGGGTTCTTGGTATGCTTCTCTCGAGTGTGAATCGGCACGTACAACGCTAACATGCAATAGACCGGACAGTTCCAGAAGTACGAGGATATCCCCGAGAATTCAATGTTGAAGATGATGCCGCGCTTCCAGCCCGACGTGTTCAACGAGAACATCAAGCTGCTGCGCGAGGTCGAGAAGATCGCTGAGCAGAAGAATGCGTCACCCGGCCAGGTCGCCCTCGGCTGGGTCATCGCTCACAACGGGAAGGACGGTCTTGGTGAGATTCTACCCATCCCGGGAGCAACCCGAGAGTCTAGAGTCAAGGAGAACGCGGCGCCGGTCAAGCTCAGTGATGAGGATATGAAAGTGATCTCGGACATACTGAAGAAGTTCCCCATTCAAGGCCACCGATACCCTGAGCAACTACAGGGACATCTCGAGCAATAGTGGAGGCAAAATAGAGGTGGAAACCACGAAAAGTAATGTTATGATTGTGTAGCCGTACAGGGTATCCTTTCCGTCATCCGCAACTCCTAGAAGCAGTGCATAGATTTGCAATTCAGACAGTTCATAATGTGGGCAGCGGCTCTTCCGCCGCCTGTTCTGCCTTGTTTTCACCTCCCTCCTGACGATGCAGCCAGCCCTCCTCTCGCCACCAAGGAAGCTTCCCATCTTTGGGTTGAATGCGGAGTTTCTTCGACGGGACGACGTCTGCCTCGAGCTGTGCGTAGTGGTCGGGTTCATCCTGTCCAGACTCTGCCAGTCGGCGCTTGGCACACTCAAGCTCACCCTCCATGACGTTCTCCACGAGCAGCTCCTTGGCAGCCCATTCGTCCTTGCGCTGCTTCTCGAGCGCCTCCGCCTCAGCACGGAGCGCCTCCCCATCTTGGGTCGCCCAGAGTAGCTGCCGCCGCAGGCGGCGGAACAGCTTGTCCGCGGACAGGGAGAGCTCCGCTGGCGTGAAGGTCACGTCTGGGGGAAACTGCACCATGGTTGCGTTGGTGACAGGATCCTGTATGTATGTGATGTTGTCGTTGGAGTGGTCGTTCTCGACGGCGGGAGGAAGGGTTGCGCTGTTCGGCGGATGCGATGAGGGTGAACCAGGCGTGGAACCTTTCTCGGCGGACCTCTTCTCCTCGCTGAGAACGAGCTTAATGCGCTGAAACTTATTAGACGGGTTCGACGAGTGGTGCTTGGGGACTGGATCCGACGGGCGCAATGCCTCAGTCTCGTGGACCGTTCGCATGTGCTTAGCGAGCGCATCGGAGCGCGTGAAGGAGCGGTCGCATTCTGTGGAGGTTAGCTGTGCTAATTGGCAAGGCAAGGGCAGGATGACGGCATACCCGGGAGTGTGCAGTAGAAGGGCTTCTCGCGCGTGTGGCTGCGCATGTGCGCCCTCAGCGCATAGCCACTGGCATGCGGTATGCCTTTGCGGGTGCAGTCGCTCCACTCGCAGCTGTACTTTTTCTGGCGCGTGCCGATGTGGTCCTCGTGCAGATGTTCGACCAGCCTGTCCATGTTGTCGAGGTCGCCCGCCTCGCAGCCTTCCCACTTGCACACGGTGACCTGGTCCTGGCCGAAGTCGTCTTCGGCCGACATGCCTGGATGGTGCGGCGAGGCCGGCACAGAGCCGTCTGTGTCTTCGGAGAGCTCGCCCAGGTCGTCGATGGGCAGCATATTGGTGGGTGGGTCCGATGGAGCGCGGTTCTGTAGGCGCGGCCGCTTGCTTGGACGAGCAGCGGGCTCGTGGTCGGGCGTATGTTCGATGCTGATGCGGCGGCCTTTGACTTCATCAGGGAAGTCGTCGCTGGCGTAGTCAGAGAGGTCTGAAGCTGGCGAATCCATTGTGGGGGCGGCGACGGGCATGCGAGCGGCCGAGAAGTGATTGTTGAGAAAGGGAGGAGACATTGCTCGACGCGTTCCGTCGACGGGTGCTGCTCGCGCGCACAGGCCAGGCGGAGGAGCTCGCAGCGATGCAGCACTTGAGCTCCACCCGCGAAACTTTTGACGGTCCGTCCTACACGCCGCAGGTGCAGACGCAACGCACTCCCATTGTCGGCCCATACTGCCGCAATTGAGCGTCTTGCCCCTCGTGAAGCGTGTTCACCAAACGTAAGTGCCTCTCCCTGTTCCTCACCCTCCCTGATGAATATTTGAGTTCTGCAATTCCAACGGCTCGCTTCACGGCAAGTCGCATGCGGAGTAACTCTTTCACTACACTTGATCTGATTACAATCCCCCAACTCTTATGGCTGTTGCCTACTGCTCTTCGCATTGCTGACGGTTCATCAGGTCGTGTTGCCTGCGGATGAAACCCGGCTCTCAACGCCCTCGTGCATCGCCAGCCGTTCGCTACGACCGTCGCAGGCATATTGCACACGGATACCGAACCTGCTGAGAATTTGGAGAGTCAGCACGCCAGTACACAGATACATAGATCTGGTCTCTCTACACAACACAGGGTGTGCAGTCACCACAAAGTCTTGTGCAAGATCACGCATCATGGATAGTTTTAAATTTGAAAAGGAAGCCGTTACATTGCAACAGCCCAATGTGCTCAATGCCGCTTTTTCCGAAGTGCTGGCCGTCGTTACTTTATCGAGCCCGTGCTCACTTCCGTCGCATGGCGCTAGCCCGCCAAATGGCAGCTCTGTGGTTCAGTACCATTGCGGCCATTCAACCCTGATGTCTCAATCCTACGCCATAAAGAACAACCCTTGGCCTGGGACCTTGTGGTCCTACTAGTCGCCCTGACAGTATACCTGATTGAGAGCGGCCGAGCGCTTTACCTGCCCTTCTTCAACTCAGAGTGTGCCTGGTTGTTCTTGAAGGGGAATCCACTCGTCCTGTCAGGTCTTAGTACTGGGTCGTAAAACAATTTGTTAGGAGACTCTACCTCTTGTCCGCGCCTGTCTTGCGGCTGATGCGGCCATCGCTGCTTGCAAACAGGATGCACCACATGGCGATAGCGCAGAAGAAGCCGCTGCCAATTGTGCCCAGTCCGAAGCTAAACACGCCAGTCTCGGTCCACATGGTGTAGCCATAGAAGGCGAGGGCCGCATGGAAAAACGCCGTTATTGTGAGCGTGGGGAGGGCGTAGGGTGCTTTAGGGTCGGTTGCTGACGTAGTTGCTCCTGCGGCGCGTCAGCTGTGCAACGTTGCGATTGGGGGTTCCTCATTACCTTCAGAGAGCCTACTCGACAGCGGCACCGAGCCCGTGAGCAGTATATTCAGTGCGCCTATCGCAAGCAGCGCAAAACCCAATTGACGGGAAAAGTAAATTTCGAGAGCTGGTCCACCGATTAGTGGGAGCCGCGAGGAAATCGTGGTGGAGCTCATGCGTACTCGATGGCTCTCGGACTTCTGGTGAGAGAAGCGCCATGATCATCGTCGGAGAAGCAATCATGGGAGCGGCTTGCAAGGCCATCCAGGCAGCGGTTCCATACGAGTAGAAGTAGTAGACCTGGCACAAGACTGTCAGTAATTTCGTCATCTCCATCGGCCATTGTCATATCTTACATCCATGATTGAGTTGGTGGTTAGTTACAAGAGGTAAAGAGTCGTGGATGCTAGGTTTGGGAGGAAATCCTGGCGGTATGAAGCGTCTTAAGGGCGGGCAGCGCGAACAAGGTGGATTTAAAGGCGGGACGCGAGCTGTGAAAGCTACCCGCGCTGTTTGAGCAAACATCTACGTCATGCGGCCCATTTCGGCACCAACCTTGGAATGCGCTTACCCTTTTGAGATGCGCTCGGAATCAAGGCGGGAGATCGGCTGTCAAGCTGAGCCTCGAAGGACACGAGCAGTTATATTTGGATATTCCCTTGTGGCTGGAGAACTACTCTGAGGTCTCGTGGCTGTACTCGAGCTGTAGTGCTGTTGCGCTTCATCAAATTACACCAGCATTACGACTTGACCCTCTACACTAGTGACATCACGCCGCATTTTCGAATGCACAGCTTGCAACATCATCCGAGCATAATACACTCATCAGCATTGAGATTTCATTATTCCTCAGTCTGGTGCATCTCAAATTGATACGCGGTGGTCTTTTCCCGATCAATGAACTTGGCCTCGTCCTCTCCCACTTCTTTGGAGCCTTCTCCCGCCATCAACGGTGCCACCCAAAACTTCTCGAAATCTTCTTTGCTAGAGAACTGAAGCTCCGTCACGCAGTCGAAACCCACATTGACACCGCTAGCAGAGACGATCGGGGTCTTCGAATCGATAAACCGGCGCGTGTACACGAGGGGTAAAGGCACAACTGCGGCGCTGAGATGACGCTTAATAAGCGGGATGTGCTTGTTTTCATAGTAGTCGCGGAATTCGTCGAGGGTGATTGAAGGTATCTTGGCGAGAAAAGCTATGATGCAGTATCGCTGGGCCCCCGAGGGCTGAGTGGGGGCAGATGGAGCCATTGGTGACGATGAAATGTGTAGATATGTCTTCAGTGTGTTGAAGCTCAAGTCTTAGCCGAGAGGCCAGCACCTACATTTATACCACATGTGTACTCGCTAACCTCGCAGATCGGTACAGGGTTGATCATTGGATAGATCGTGCTGGACTCATCCTGGACCGCTGCCTAACATAACGTGTGCGTTGAGCCTATGGATGTCCTAGCTCGGGCGGGATAGGTCAGCTTACCCTGAATTTATCATTTGCATAACATTATCATGGACACTTGTGACACTTGTGACACGCAAACTTACGTCCGATAATTCCAGGACAGATGTGCAGCCAGCGAAAGAATCACCTGGTCGAAATGGGACCGGGCGGGATCATAGCGACGCTGCCTTCGAACTCAGTATATGTGAAAGACGAAAAAGACTTCATGCGTTGACAAACGTTTGAGCACCAAGAGCAATGCAGTAAACGTTATGATCTAAGCAAATACAGTAACTTAAGTATCTATAGGGCTAGTCTATATCGACCCATGATTCCAATGCGCCAGAACATTTCACAAAGAAGCTCTCAGAGAGTAATTGGAAGACGCGTCAATGTTTTCAGCGACCTTCGAAACGAACGTCAGCCCTTGGCCTGAATCCCTACATTCCCGACACCATCTCTTGTACTCTTGAACACTCCCAGTGTACCTTGCGACACTTCTTATGTTCTTTCCTTCAACCCTTTTGTTGACTCCATTCATCCAATTGTCGACCCCGCTGATCATCGACCCTTGACTACATGCGACAACATGCTCAGTCTACTTCTCCACGGCCGTGCCTGCTGTCATAACGCGCGTGCTCGACCTCAACCGCGAATATCTGGCGCAGGTTAAGGATGCTATAGTCGCAGCAACCGCACAAGACAATCGCATTCGACATCATCGCTACGAATCGAAAATGTCATCAATGATTCGAACGAGCAAGAAGTTACACGAGCTGTCAACCAAGCGGCGCAAACATTCGGCCATCTCGATCACGCTGTGAACGCCGTGGAGATTGTAATAAAACATCAAGAAGGCGCTGCAATCTCAGAGACGCAAAGACTGGCAAAAGGTGCTCGACATCAACCTCAGCGGCACATTCTTCGTGCTTCGCGCCGCATCCCAGATCATGCTAAAGGCCCTACTCTCTCTCGTCTATCGATGGCAGATCCCTTTAGCGCAGCTCGATCGAGAACCTCAATTCCATTCAGGGTGTTGTCAGCATCACGCTCTCTGCCGCTTATACCGTGTCGAAGCACGCTGTTATCAGTCTTGCGCGCACGGCATCAGAGGATTGCGCCGCTCCGGGACTGAGAATCAACGCGATTTGTCCGGGGTGCAAAGACGCCCATGACGACGAAGAACCCGGCCGTGAAGAAGCCGATCGACGAGCGTATATAAACAGCAGTACCGATGCAGATGATGGGATTCCCGAATGAGGTTGCGGATGGTGTACTGTATCTTGCTGGTGGAAGGAGCAGCTTTGTTACTGCGGGCGCGTTGATGGTGGAAGGGGGCTACACTTCCACAGTAGACGTCATAAGCACGTTCCCGTTTACGACAGGCGAGGTTAAACCTGGGAAGTGTATTGCGAGACGCAATCTATTGGCTGAAATAAGAGCTCGTGTACTCACGCCCTTAGCTCGCCCTTGCCGCCCTTCTCGATATACTTGCAACACAATACGAAATATTCTCCCGAATGCAGATACTCTTGAACCACACTTATTTCTATTTACTCGTGGCCTCGCTGTGCTCAGAATGAGTAGCAGCTGCAACACCAGCTACAAAAGCGTGTCGGGACGCTACAGAACGCAAAGCCTTGTCTGGCATCATCCTTCTGATTCTCAAGCTGGTCAAGAATTGTCTCAGTCATGAACGACTTCCACTTGTCGCATTTGGATCAGACCATGCTCCGCATGTACGCCCGCCATCTTCTCTTCTTCGAATTCCCAGATCCTGGCTATCTCGAGGACGCCGTTGACGCCTTACGAGCTGGTTTCGCTGCGACGATCCACCAGCTTCCATTCCTTGCTGGTACCATCAGACTGTCAAATCCGGACACAGGCCGTCTCTCTCTGCAACACCCCGAGTCGCTCTCCGACGAGCTCATCGATCAGATCTTCACATTCAGCTATGATCAAGCTGGAAACGCAGTCTTAGAGTACACAAAGATGGAGAAGAATGGGTTTCCACCACTGGCTATATGGCGCGATGTCTTCTGTCCGGTCCTGTTGAGGAACCATCCGGGATTGGATGATGAATTCGCCGCAGGCCTGATAAGCTTCAAGAAAGAAATGCCAGTCCCGGTTTTTGCGGCGCAGGCGACTTTTCTCCGCGGCGGACTGGTGCTGAGTATTTACGCACATCACAGTGTGATTGATGGAGCAGGACTCACAAGACTCTACAAGCTGCTGAGCGAGAACACACGGTCAAAAGGCTCGAAGTTCATGTTAAAGTCTGATGGAAATAGTGTTGCCGAGCTGAACTCGCAAAGACACTTGTTCGACACTTTCGCAGAATCTTCCCAACCCATTGAGTGCCCTGAGGTCCGCTTTCCCGGTACTCCGCGAACGTCTCCTCTCCTACGGAAGGAGCCATACAAAGTCACAGCCAAGATATTCGTGTTTCCAGCCGCGACCATATCCGAGCTCGCAAAGACCCTGACATCCACGACGAATCGCCAAATATCAAGCTTTGTCGCACTCGTCTCTCTAATATGGACAAACATCACACTTTCCCGATCCACAGCTCTCGCAGCAAACAACGTCGAAACCGTAAAATTAGGAATAGCCTTCGACCACCGGCGGAATCTCCCCCAGCCCCTCAAAGACACCTACTGGGGAAATTGCGTGACCGAAATCACCGCCTCGGCCACCGTCTCCACCATGCTCTTCAAGACGTCCGACGATTCTGTATACGGCGAGCAACTTGGCCCCATCGCCGCCATCCTCTCAGAGACCTTCTCTTCGGTGACGCTCGACTGGCTGAAACCCCGACTCAACCTCTTCTCCCGCACGCCTAATCCCTGGCAGCTGCGCAGCGACTCGGACGCCATCAACGGACCGGATTTGTTTGTCACAAGCTGGATGCACATCGGTACGGAGTGTGCGTGGAACATACCAGGGACGACGAGCGCGGGCCCTGTCGCGATGCGCAAGCCGCAGGCTCATGTTGAGGGGCTCATCCACGTGCTTCCAAAGGTGCGGCTCGAAAATGGGTTTCCGGCGGTGGAGGTGCTGGTTTGTCTGGAGGAGTGGGAGATGGAGAGGGTGGTGCGGAGGTTGGAGGGGGAAAGGTGGGCTGTGAGGGTTATTGATGCGTAACCGAGTGTGCTTTGCACGGGAGAGAGCGCCAGATGTCGATTTGAGATGGCGGACTTAGTGAAGTCAAATGTGGGCATGTGGATTTACTGGGGCTTCTTCATCCTCATCAAAAGCCACTCCTTCCCGGATACCAGGACGCTCTGTTGTCCATCTTGACCCCACTCACGTTCTTACTGTCCTGCTGATTCTTCCCCGTTACCGCTGAACGCACGGGACTGTGCTTGCCCGAACCACCCAGACAATAATCGGGCTCAGGGACAGATCGCGCGCCAGTAGCAGCGTTGGTGGACCACTCTAACACAGGAGCCTGTGTCGCTTGCTGATTCGTCTTCGATCTCTGCGAAGGGTTCATCGTAGTGTCGCTGATTTTCTGATTGGCAAGATCCTTTGGTTGGTACGTTGTGCTGTGCTGTGTTGCTCTGTGCTGCTGGTGTGTTGTACGTTGTAGTTGGCGAGAGGTTTTGGGAAGGGATATATACCCAGCATAGCAGGGCAGGTGATTGTTGAGGACTGTTGTATATGTGAAGCGCCATGGAATGACGGCGTGCTCAATGCTAGTTGATGACGCAAGGTTGGGAAGCTGACGTGTGAGGTGTTCAGAGATGGACCTGATACAATACAAGGTCAAGAGTGTGGGCATTGAATCGTTCGCTCAGAGGGAACACACAGCGGGGCTGACGCAAAGGCTTCTAGAGCTGTAAGAACTCATTTTATGATAGGTTCAAGAGACTTTACTTTGATTTTCTGTCTTGGAAGTTCATAGGCATGTCACGTTTTACTATCGGCCACTGTGACAGTATAATTCACTTCGTGGTCAGCAACAGTATGGAATCGGTAAGTGTGGTGATGACAAGTTCCGTGTCACCAACGCCGCACGCCAAATCGTTGGTAACAACATGTGACAGATCATGTGGACTGACGGTATTATTTTTGTGACTATAGACAGAGCTCCAACGCTGAATTACAAATGAACTAGAACAATCAGTACGGTGATCGCTATCCGGCGTGATCCGACGCCAATGCACAACTGTGGTATCATATACAAGAAGATAAAGCCCTTCACCATCTCAACCTCGAGAAACATGCACCCGCACTTCCCTTTGCTCCTGCCAGAAGTGCTGCATTTTCACCCATAACAATTTCCGCATCGTTTCTATTCACGCCTAGGCATTGTTCTTTGTATTATGCTTGACAAAGCTAGTCTTGCGCTGGCTTGAACGTGGGTGCGTAAGCACTCTTTTCTCGGATCTTCGCACCTCGCAGGTAGAACCATATCGGTACGGGAACAAGGACAGCGGCAACGCAACCTAGAAGTGTGGCGGCGTATTGGATGCCCATGCCGTTGAACATTTGCTGCGCGAAGAGTGGGAACACAGCCCCGAAGATACTACGGAGGAAGGTGTTCGCGGCGATGGCGGAGGCGGCGAACTACAATCAGTTAGCGAGAGCGCAGTGCAGGAAGGCACGGGGAAGAAGTGGGCTTACCATAAGATAGGCATCGACAAGGTAGTTCAACGCCTGCAGGAAGATGCTCAGAAGTCCAAAGCCAATCAGTACACCAGACAATGTCGGTACGATCCAATGGATTGACTCCTTGTAGCCAGTCCATCCGAACCAGAAGATCCCGATAGCGAAACATACACCTCCGGCAATGACCTCGGGCAGGCGCCATTCGGGAATTGGCATGTTGTTGTTCGCAGCGAGCTTCTTCTGGTATCCCGGTTGGCGGATGAAAATCAAGGTACCGGCCAGCAACTGTCCAGTGATCATTCCGAAGAAAGGCAGACCTCCCACTCCCAAATTCATATGGTGGACTCCCTGAAAGACAAGGGGGTACGCGGTCAAGAACAGATACAGCAGCCCGTAGATGAAAGCCATGTAAATAGATAAGAGCAGGACGATGGGCTCGCTGACAAGCATTCTTATCGGACGACTGAAGTTCTTTTGCATGAGCTCCTTGAAGTCAATTTCAATTTCCTCCTGTTTGGCGTGTATACCCCAGTTCTTAGTTCTACGACGCAGCTCGGACGCTTTCTTAACAAGGATCTCCGGCGGGTACGACTCCTCGAGGAACAAGATGTTCAAGGTGAAAGCCGTGAATCCCATGATAGCGACGATGTACTCAGTCCACCGCCAGCCAAGATGGGACATGACGATGAAGCCACCAACAAAAGGTGCTAGTAAGGGACCAGTAAAGACCGTCATTGAGAATATGGTAATAGCCATGCCACGGGTGCGGTTATCGAACATATCAGAGAAGACAGCGGCGACACACTGTTATATGTCAGTATATGACACATGCATGGATGCAAGTACTCACCGTCAGAGGACAAGCACCGAAGAAGCCAGCAAAGAAACGACAAATGAGAATAGTTTGCAGGTCTTTTCCTGTCGCAACACCGATGTTGAAGATGGAAAATCCCAAAGAGGCAATTACGAGCGGAAGGCGTCTCCCTTTCAATTCAGAAAGAGGCGCCCATAGAATTGGACCAGTGGCGAAACCCAGGACGTAGAAGGATGTTCCCAACACACCGACGGTAACGCCAACACCATACTGCCGAGCTACCACACGAGTCGCAGCGCTGAAAATGGAGCTGCCGAACGCCGCGGTAAGAGTGGTAAATCCAAGCATCGCGCCAGTCAAGAGCTTCTTCTTCATAGGCCAATTCTGCGCGTGCAGAGGATCATCGGGCCCCTCGAATTCAACGACATACTCCTCTCTTTCTGGCAGCGGCGGTGGATAAGGTTTCCCAGCACCGAATGCGGGTAACGGCTTCCTAGACTGCCTGCTCTTAAGACTGGCACCCACTGTAGCGCTGTGCTGGCTGCGTTGTGTCTGGATGCGGCTCAATGCGGTCGGATGGCGCTCGAGGTCGACGTCTTCTCGCTGGGTAGGCGCTCGCGACATGGTGGCATCGCGCTCGATGTCAGAGGCGCCGGAGGATGACGAAGAGGAAGTCGACGATGTGTATGTTCGCGCAATCGGCTCATGTGCTTCCGTCTTTTCGATATGCGCTTCCTTCTCGTCGTGGCGGGGGAAGCGCTCGGGGCTGGCGTCCTCCTCGGCCCTGGAGATGATCTTGTCGGCGGCGTCCATGGTGCGCTATGTGAATGAGTGGCGCGGTCACTGGCGAACCAGGGAAAGTGCGAGACAGCGACCAAAGGCCTTGAGAAGGGGCGTCCAAAAAATATATGGAGCAAACAATTGTAAGCCGAGGGGCGTGGAGACGCGCTTGGACTCGGCAGGGGATGGCAGGTGGAGCGGCACTGCGCTATGGAGATTGGCCGAGTGGCACCTTTGCAGCCGTTGCGGAGGCGATTCTGACGGTAATGGCGTAGCGAGAGGGCCTTGGAGGCAACGGCGACTGCAAAGGCCAGGAGGAATAAATAGTGATGCGCGGCGAGTGCACTGGAGAGGATTTTCGCGCCTATGACGCAGGTTTACTGGGGATGCGACTTAAGCTTCGCGGGAAGGTTCCGAGGCCTCGGCAGCCCTACGGCTTGACAGTGCCGCGGGCGATAATTTCTGGCAATCCTAGCTGGTGAAGGCCCACAAGTCGAGCAATCGAACAATCGAGAAGATGGTAATGAGAAATATTGGTGCGCTTGCGGGACTGCCCTTCGCACCGTCTGTCCCCAATGCCAGGCACCCTGCGCTGTCTTTAAGCCACCCCTGGATGCATCTCCATCAACCGTAAACAGTGACGGACTGGGCTTGGTGTGATCCTCTCGAATACGGTCCTGGCGACTATGCCAATGAGATGTGCGACTGAGGGAGGCACAGTGCTTGGTAAGCCGCGCAGGCGCTGACTGGCATCATCTCGCGCGTAGAACGACGACTTCCGGGCCACCATGAGCCGTTCATGTACACAAACGCACCCATTAGTGCGGAGCAGCTAAACCCCGAGCTCCGAGTCCGACCGTATGCTGGACCTGCTGTGGCTCAAGTAAAGATCATGGCCCAAGAGCAGCTGGACCTTGTGGGAAGTTGTGGCATGTCGAACTTGCCCGAGGACAGCGAACATGTATCCAGGACAATGATGCGAATGAGATGCAACTGTCATCATTGGCCATATTTTTCTGTATGCAGGGCGTCTACGCCATTGCGAGTGGGTCCTGCCGCAGTGGGTCAACCGCGTGGCAGGTACAGCCCAAGTACAGACACAACCGTAAAACAACCTCACACCGACGACATGGCGTTGATGTCACAAAGAACCCTCATGTGATGCGAGCGGTCGCCCTTAGTTGCACAAACAGAATGGCCAGCGCAATGGCAGAATTAGCTATTAAGGTTATTCAGCAAACCACCCCTCCCCTCATTTTCATCCCCGCATTGCCCTTCGTCCTTCGCATGCGGTCTCCGCTAAAACAAACAAACAGCAAAGGTATCTCGCCCAGGTTCTGTCCCCCAAAAGAATGACAACGTTACATCGTAAGGAACGTCGAAGCCGAATGCGCCGTCCGGTGAAACTCCACACTATCCGATCCTCTCACTGATCAGCTTACAAGGCGAGCATGCCGAGGAAAGCCAGGGCACCGGCAATGCCAGCGCCAATGGCCGCCGACGGGACGGATGCTGCGCCAGGAGCCTCGGTGGGCTGGGGGCTGCCCGTGCCGGAGAGCGTCGGCGTGTTCACGCTGGTGACGCCGGTGGAGTTGGTGCCGATCGAGGACGCGCCGGTGCCAGAGGGCACGACGACCGGGGTAGAAGTGACGGCGGCGGTGGTCTCAGCGACCGAAGACGCCTCGTACGACGACGAAGACGGGGCGGCGGTCTCGGACGGCGTAGCCTCGGCAGAGGTAGAGACGGGGTAGATGGAGGCGAGCGCAGACTTGACGTCGGTGGGAAGAGCCTGGTACCACTCGGGCGTGTTGCCGGCCGCGATGGACGACGCGACCTCAGAAGCGAAGCCGGCCTGGTTGGTAGCCGCGGCGGCCAGGACAGACGGCGGAAGCGCTGTCGCGAGGGCGAGCAGAGCGGATTGCTGCCTGCGGAATGTTAGACACGCGTTCACAGCGCACAGCACGCGGCAGTGGCGTGCGATTTTCAGTGGAGACGTACGCAGGGTCGATGTTGGTAGGGAACTGGGCGGACACAGCCGCGGCCATAGCGGCCAAGACGACAGCGTAGAACTGCATTTTGGCTGATCAACACGTGGGGGCCTCTAGAGAGAAGAGAATTGAACGAGTGTGGAGCAGAGAGCTGCGCGGAGTTGAGGCCGGACGAACAACGAGTGTGCACGAGAGATGAAGAGGAGGGATCGCTCCTTTTGCGGGCGCGGGATCCTGGGGGCTTTTGAAACGACGAGGCGGCCGGGCCAGAGGTTGCGATGGGGGCTTTCCAAACTCACTTGTCGCCAACACGGGTCTGGCGCTCTTGGTCGCTGGGCGGCTAACTTGACGAATTCCTATCGCGGCAAATTGCAGTCGATGGTGAAATGAGCTCGGCTGGGGGCGAGCGCTCGGCACTCTTTATGCGCGCTGTCGAAACGCGGACGAGCTGAGCGCTGCTGTTTTCGGTGCCTGCAGGCTGCGATTGCTCAGCCGCCACCAGACACGCGTTCCGTCATTCGTGTCCTGCAAGCAACAAAGCGGACCGTGAATGCCTGACGTACATGTCGCAGCTCTGCGCCGCGGTGGGAGTTGTCCACCACTTCGCACCGTCGTGCGACGGATCGGTAATTAAACTCGTGCGGAAGAAGCTTGTTTAGCCCTGCCAATCACCGCCTCGCATTCTGGCTCTCATTTCCACTTTTTAAGCACGCAGCAGATCAGCGCTGCCCCTAGCAACGACGTGCCGGTGCGGAGATGCAGCCTTGCCCTCGTCTTTGGCTGCCCAGAAGCCGTATACGCAAGGTGAACATGCAGCATGCAGCGCGAGAATGGAACAACTGGTGCGAGACCTCGACGTGCGGTAGCGAATACGTGCGTGGCGAGGGTTGCCTTCCGTTTTCGTCTCCGTGGACGCACGAAGCGATTCACAGCCGCCAAAGGTGACATCGCCCATCGCAATTTCGCCATTCAGAGCGAGGCGGCTGTCAAGACGGACGTCGGCATTGGTTGATGCTTAGGGGCTTACTCACTACTCTTGGTGCTGGCTCTACACAGGGTAGCTGGGCCAGAAGCCATCAGACTCAGACTTCGTTCCCTGCACGTAGACTACTTGCCTAGTCAATCGCATCACGCCACACCGTCCAGTGCGGAATCTCGCGGCTACGATGCGTTTGCATCCGCGATCGCTTTTCAGTGCGGTTCTTTCTACGTGCCAGAGCCAGAAGGGAAAGGCAATTGAAGGACGAATGATTGATAGTCCAGTGCATCAGCGGCTGCTTTCACGCATCAAGGCTTTACCAGACTGCTGTCGCGCCACTGTGTCGTCCATCTTTTGGCGGCTTTGGATGTACGAAAAAGTATGCGATTGAAAGATGGACGAAGGGGTTCTTTCCCAGTCTTAGGTCCTCCTCGGGCTGATTACAAGCTGTTCAGATCGGCCCTCAGCAATCCACTGTGGAGTGTTACTGTCCACTTCAGCACAAAATCCCCTGCACACAAGACACCAATAGCTTGACACGACACACGTTGTGGACAATTGAATAGCTTACGTACAGGCTTCGGTTCTAACAAGATGCACGATGACAGTACGACGCTGTAGGAGCTCCACTTCTTCGTTAATGCATGCATCCACCATACCGTCGAGCCTCGTAGTCTTGCATCGCGATCTCTCGCTTGGTCAAGTTGCTAGTGTTGGTCTCCAAAGGGTAGCTTGACGGGAAAGTGCCGTTGCGAATGGGCACTAGCGTACCATTGAGGATACCCTGCACGAACTCCTTGTAATGACCAACCTGCCCGATGGTCAGTAATCTGCTCAGACTCACAGCTTGGGAAACGCACCATGTCAATCATCTCTTGCTTCGACACAACTTCATGACTATGCAAGAAGGCTGGTCAGCATCCATTAGCACTAAGCATGCTGTCAGACTTACGCAGAGTGCGCGGTAGCGATTGAGCCAACGCCTAGCAACAACTTGGTGTTGTTGACGGTCCACGCCCCAAGATCTGTCCCATACGGCATTATCTTCTTGGGCAGCCAGCCTTCGATGACATCCATAGCCAGAGGATTAGAAGACGCGGAGACTCGGGACAGAATGATGTTCGACACATTACCCACTTGCTCCGTTATAATGTCCCAAATCTCCTTTGCGGGAACGCTGACGCGGGAGTTGACTATGGCTTCGGCGCGGTCTGCGACTTGGTTGGAGATGGTGCCGCCCTTGATGGAAGATAGAGAGAGGGTTGTGTTTCCGCTGCGTAAGGTGGATTAGCTGGCCTATCCTGAGGGTTTGATTGCTAACTTACTGGAAGTCGTCGTATGGGAATATGCTGGTCAAATTCAACAGGCTCGGGATAAAATTCATCAGCTCCAAAATCGCGTTGCGGCCATACTGCGGCACTGACGAATGAGCCGTATCTCCGATCGCTGTCACATTGATGTTTATCGATCCCTTGTGGCCCGTCGCCTGGAACGACTCGGTGGGCTCTCCTGTGAGGATCCATTCAGGCGTGTACGTGAGCGAATCGACAAAGGTCCGCATCCCATCGCCATACTGTTCCTCGCCTACGTCGTACATCAAGCAAACGTCACCCTCTTTGATCACGCCTGCGTCCTTCAATTCGAGAAATGCGGTCACCTGACAGGCTATGGAGCCTTTCGCGTCGTTGGCTCCACGGCCAAAGACGTCGGTGTCGTTGTCGTGGGGAGGGAAGTACGGTGGAACTACGTCAGTGTGGGAGTTGAGGATCAACCGGCATGTTCTGTTAGATCCGATGTACCTATACGGAAGTTATCAGATTTCGAGCTCGACAGAGACCTGCAGACTCACGCGAGAATATTCTGCCTGCGGACGTTGTACCTATGGATATATCAGTTTCTCACTGCATCGTCCCAGGTATCGTCTCATACGCAAGAATTGGATTCTGCACAGGCTGCAATTCTACAGTAAGGCCTTTATCTTCCAGATACCCCGACAAAAAGTCTACCATCGGCGTCTCGAAGCCCGAGGTGGAATTCTGCTCTAGCATTCGCCAATGCAGCGAGAAGAGTTCCGGATGCTGCAAGGACAAATTTTGTGCCGCAACCCATGCAGGCAAGAGCACACCGAGAAGGCTTGAACTGCGCATATTGGATGATGAAACGTGTATTCCAGTCCACAATGTGGTTACAACAATCACTTTATACGGATGATGCCTTCCCCACTGTTGCACTTGGCGAGCAACTGCTTTATCAGCGTCTCCTCCCATGTCCGCTCATCCGCACAATGACGCAGAAATTGCACGTTAGAACGTGGAGATGCGCGATAGCAGCTGTTCTTTTCCGGACGCTTGTACGTGGGGGCATGGTAGATACTGGGTGTTACCCCTCCTCGTGCCGTTCGTAGTCTCCACCGCCCAAGGAACTTGACCAGAAAAAGGACACTAGCGGACGGGAATACACTCAACAGTCGCGTGCATCGCGTAGGGAGTATATTACGGGGATGGTTCCTGGGCACGGTAGTGGTGATAGGCCGTGACATGTACCCGGGGTGCTAAACGACCTGGAGACGAGGTAGGTGTGATGCGCCACGGATATGACGCAAGAGATCGTCGGCTTGGCCTTCGCAATCTGGGTACAGAGCTTAGGAATGATAACGGAAACGATATGTTGTTGAAAGACAATGCAATCCTGCAAAAGGGAGCAAGAAGAGAAGTGCTGGAAACGAAGTAAAGTAAGATGAATGATCATGTGATATAGGAGCACGTGACAGCGCTAAGCTTAAGATCATCTTCTTTCAAGGTTGTCAGTGCAAGGTATCATTGACCACGTATACCGTATACTGGTTTGTAATCTTTCAGGCCCATGAGGACTAGTCCGTCCCCATCTCTTGCGTAATTGCGTGAGGCGCTTGCGATCCTGCAATTGAGGCCGATTGCACAGTTATTCCTTTGGTGATAGTTTGAGAGGTGCCTTAGGATCGCTGAGTGACTTTGAATGCTGTTAGAGAGCTCTTTAAGAGGTCCATCGAATCGTTGAAGTCCTCCTCCTCTGATTCCAACATTCCACGCACGATGCGATCGACCTCTTATGAGACTCTTGATCGTAAACAACCTTTTGTAATTTGAAATAAAGACTAGCAGATTTATTAGCTAAAGCCCATACCTGTGATACTCATCGAAAACGGTGCAGCTATGTCTTACGTGCTTCCCTTACCCCAAGCCTAAGAGCTGCATAGCGACGATCATGTTATCGAAGTCGTAATCAGACCCAATTTCTGAATCACCCTCGATTGTATCATCGTAAGTGCGAGCGTAGACCTTTGCCATCTGGAAATGTGTTTTCCCGGCATCTATGAAGCCAGGCATTTGGATGATGAAGTGGTCTTTCACCGTCTGATGGCACGACTTCACGCGCTACAATAGCCGCTGGTCACCTGTACTGCTGCTGAAACTCTCCACTGAAGCTTCGACGTGAATCAGGGGTCCAAACAGTCTGACCAGGTCACCCTCCACGTCCATATGAACGTAGTATCCCAGGGAAGTAGTCTCATCAAGGGGATTATATTCCGGCCAGGAAAGTGTTCTTTTGTAGATGTCTTGCTTGATTTCAGTGAAATCAAATTTTGCAAGCCACAGGCCAAGTTCGTTACGGTCATGCGACTCGAAGTGTTCTGTTATCTTTCGCAGTAAAACAGAGCTCTCTGGAACCTGATCTTTCACGGCAACAGAGCTGGGTCATAACTTGGTATCTTCTTTACATGCTCGTCTCAAATGTGGTCGCTGACTCGTTACGGAGGCGTACTGAGTGTAATGGCTTGCAGCGTTTCGATCTAGATGATATATTACCTTTCCAAATCTGCTGAAGTCATCTTGGTTGCCAGAGAATCTGCATACGTCGTTGTAATCTGCATTCAATTCAAATACGATCTCCACTGGACTATCAAACTTAGCCGACTGCTGATAAACAATGATTTTTTCTCGTAAGTGAATGCATTATGGGAGCAGTGTAGGGCTCGGAACATACCGTGCTCATGACCTGTAGTATTTTTGAGAGTCTCCTCACTTTCCATGTCGATTCTCTCTCCTAATGAAAGCTTAGTACCTTGAAGGCTCCTATTTGAGGGTTGAAGTCATCCGTTGTTGCTTCGTTATCATGCCTGATACCTGTCGCGTTGCTCCACTCCACTGACTTCCCCCAGCACTTCTTCTTAAAGACTATACCAACAGAGTTTGCAGTCTGCTGTGCTTTCGAAAGAGTTTGCAGCGTGATGGGCCTCCTGTGCGCGTATTTGCCTGCTGAAGACAAAGTCCAGAAAGTGCGTAGGTTACATTAACATAACACATATATGTCTCTTGGGTACATTCGTATGTAGCCAATGCGCACACACTGACGGTAGCCAAGGATATGCTCTTGGAAATACATGCGTGTTTCTTGGCCATGCCCGCTAATGAATGTTGAAACCAATGCGTCTTGAATCCAGTGTATCTTCTAACGCTTACCCTGAAAGGATCGAAACGCCATGACCAGTAGAAAAAGACGAAGAAGAACGCTGCGCAAAAGAACAGTATCCAGCACAATAGCCAGAAAACGCGTAAAATTCCGCCATATCAAGTCGCCCCTAGACAGCTCACCACCTAAGAGAGCAGTCGCTCCTCTTCTTCGCGCCATCCCTTTTCGTTACAATCTCCGTAACGTTTTTACTCAGTCCAACAACAGGCGCTGCACCCCGGCGCTCGCGCATGCTGCGCTTCTTCGACCCTCCAACAGGCACCGGATCCGTAGGCGCCATGCGGTGAGTGCACTGCGCGCTCTGTCCAGGCTTGAAAAGATTGTTCCCCTGGCCCGCATCAATCGCCTCACTGATAAGCGTGTAATACTGGTGCGAGATCTTCTCATAATCCGGTTCAATGGCGCCAAATCCCCCAGGATAGTTCTCATTGAACACAGCAACCACGGTATTCTGCGCGACGTCTTCGATCGCGTTGGTCGACGCATACGTATCCGGGACGTTGGAGTCCTGGTTGTAGTTGTCCCACCAGCGGTCGGACGACGACATGGGCTTGTCGGCGTACGCGCCGGACAGATCGAGCGAGTGGCCCGTCTCGTGAACTATCACGGGCATCATGTCATCTTTGGGGTCCAGGAAGGTAACGGTGCCGTCGAATTCGAAGGCCCAGCCACCGTCAGAGGGAACGTCAACGACGTGCCGGATCCACTGGCGCATCTGGACGGGGAGCTTGCCAAATTGGCGCGCCATCGAGTCGATGGTGATGGGGGATTGCTTGTGGTGGCAGAAAACCCAGGGGTCGCCGCACTGTGTGAGGATTAGTGTGCTATTATTCTGAGTAATCCTCCAGATGAGCCACTCACATCGTCGTAGTGGACATTGAAGATGTCAAAGTCGGCAGGGTTGTAGTTGACGGTGTTGTAGACCTGACCGGTGGCGACCTTGTTGCAGTCGTCCGGGATCGTGCCCGCGGCTTGGAGCTCGTAGTTGAAGTTCGTCTCGGGCAAATTGTCAATGATACCCTGCTTGAGGTAGTCGAGATTATCATGGAGCGTCGGCTTATCGAGCTTCGCGCCAGCATCGTGCTGAGCAGAAACGAATGCTGCGGCTGCGAGCGTAGAAGCGAATGTGTTCAGAAAGCCCATTTTGAGATCGTAGTGAGTGACTAAAGGAGAAGAGCAGAAAAAGGACAATGAGAAATCGAACTATGTATGGATGGAGAAGCTGACGAAGTGTGATGTACTGGAAACAGTATCGCATCCTCCTCCTTCTATACTCCCATATTCACGGCGTCCAGAGAGTGAGATGCCTACAATGCGGCCATGGTGTGGCCCAAGCACTCGCAGGCTGTAATTGTGATTGGCGAGAAATGGGACCAAATCAGGCACCTACGCTGTCCTGGTATGTCATTATTCGCACAGCAAAGGCTCGTTTGTCGGAGCTAGGATGTCGAGCGTCGGACTCTGAAGCGCTTGAAACGTCTGAAACGAAACGTCCGTGCAAGTCGAACCAACGACATTCAGTCTCAATTGAGCGATGCATTGTGCTGGATGGTAATGGTTCTTTTCCCAAGTTGTGGTAGGAATCATTCTTTATCTGCATGCAATCAAGAAGTAGGTAGTGCAGAAGATGTCCTACAATGAAGTGAAGTACTTCCATGCCCGAGTGTCATCAAGTTTCCGCTCAAATGACTAAAGCTAACCCAAATGGAGTCTTCAAAAAGCTATACGAGGTCCGGGCCAGAAAATTTCGCATGTCTAGTTTAAGGCTGTCATATTTATAGTTGTATCGCAGGTCGGCGATTTCATGGCCCCGAGTGAAGCTGGCAAGTGCGTTGCGGAGACATCCTACGGAGGGCGCCCCTGAAGTCCTAGTCCACAAATTAAGCCTCTTCTCTGATTCTTATTTGCGAAACCACCAATACATGCTTTTCCGCGATGCTACTGTGCTTAGCTCCTCACGGGGGCGCCTGACGCTCAGCCCGGCATTGTGGGGTCCTTAACGTTGACACAGCCACTCATATGCGCTTCTGAATGAGGAACGAGCGGCCTGCCTTGCGCCTCAAAAAGTGCGCCACAACAATGCTTAGAAAGCAATTGAAGAGAGTGCCTTGGACTAGGACGAATTTCAAGGCCAAAGCCCGATGGGTAGAGTCTAGGGGGTGTTTCCGAATGCTATATCGTGTAAATGATGCTGGAGCCATGTATTTGTTACCGTTCACCAGCCTCTAATCAGTCCTACCAACATGCAGTTCCGAATAACATGTCCCATCACCGCCCGTGACCCACCACCTCTCCCAGTGCAACCGCTGGATTCTACAATTACACACCGCCGCAAAATCCTCCACACTCGCATAACGGTGCCGCATTCAATGCATCGCACGCATCACTACAATATACGATCTAGTAATACAACCCAGCTAACCAAATGCGCACCACATTAACGCCAAGCCATTCTGAAATAACGCCATTTCATACTTCGCCGAATCAATAAATGTAGTATGCTACTACACATCTCCCATCTGCTGATCGGCGCTTTCCGCAGCGGGGCCCACGATGCCGACCAGTTTCGCATATGGTACTGTGATACCTTGAAGTTCACGGTATTTCCCTGTTAAGTATTAGCAATGTCATCCGCAGGGGATTGAGATAGATCGACTTGCCAAGTATGATCACCGCTTGTTTGAGCAGCTCCTCCCTCTTCCAACCGGCAATGTCTTCATCGGAGGGGCTGTCGTCCTCGTCTTCTTCGATCAAGCCTCTTGACAGCTCACGTAGCAGCTCTTCGATCTTGCCTCGCATTCCTTCGGCTCCGATGCGCTTGACGTACATCGACAGGTATATCTTGAACTCCGACCTCGCGCCAAGTGCCCTGGCGGCGGCAACGCGGTTCTCGAGATGCGCAACAGAGGCACATGACTCGAAGCTTTCGTAGCCCTCCGCCGAGATAAGGACCTTGATAAGTCTCTGCAGATAGAATGCGCGACCGGTCAGAAGAAACTGGTTCGTGGTGTTGCGCTCGAGCATAGGGATAATGCCAGCTGATATGTTCTCAATAGAGACTTGGTCATCCTTTTCTTTGCCAGCTGCGCCGCTGTCGGACTTCGAAGTGACGTTACCCACAGAGGAGTCGGTTGTGTTCCAGTACTGACTGCCAACTGCCCACCACGGCTCGGAGAGGCGTTGCCAGACGTACATTGCTGGTGAATAGGCGTACCCTTCGCCATTAGACAACGCGACGATGATCCGACCTTCTGAGTTGAGACGTGCAAACACGATCCCAGGTGATCTCGTCAAATGTGGTCCCTGGGCATGCGCAGCGATATCGAGGATAGGCGCCAGAGAGATTGGTGGGTGAGGTGCGGACATGTTTCTTAAATTCCAGACATAGCACATACCGACTGCACTTATTGCAAGCAACCACCATCCGCGGCAGTCCATGATGACTGGCTGTGCTTCAAGTATTAGTGCATTCAACGTTCTTCGTCCTGCTGGGGACCAGGCATAAACAGATCCATCTTCACAGGCCGCCGCGAAGAAGTTGGTGTTGCCAGTCACGAGGAGAACGGACTTGGGAAGGAAATCTTGCCAGAGCGTCTTCCCTTCCCTCGAGCAGGTAATCCTGGCTGGGTCGTGGTCTTGCGCACGCCCTGTCCTAGAAGGCGCCGTAGCATTCCTGGCCTCCAGAATCACTGTATCGGCATCAGCTTTAGCACCTTGCGGCGGCTCCTTGCCGTCTGCGGTTCGGACGATGATGCTTCTTAGTTTAGGGACAGCCATGCGTACTTGGCTGACGGTAAGCGCTGGATTGACTATTGCAGGTCGCAGGACCTGTGGGGGACCTGCGTCATTTGGTTTTCCAGCATTGCTTGCTCCGGGTGGTACGAGCCCGTTCTCACTATTCAAGACGATCGCCGCTCCACCAGGTTTGACCGAATTTGCGAGGCGCTTTTCTACTTGGCGATCCTCGTCGCCCTCGATCTCGGCAAATTTCCTCTTGTTTCCGGTGAGCATGGCTGTCAAACCGCCTTTTCCATAGCCGTCGTATGGTTTCGATAGATCGAGGATGTTGTGCGGGTTGCTGTTACTACCACCGGCTGTGGTGTTTGCAGAGATAAGCTGCGTTTGTGGCAGAGAAGATGGCCCGACTGCAGATGAAGATGACACTAGCATGGGCGCAATGCGCTTCTTGCCATTCTTTATCGTGACGCGCTGTTTGAGTTTCTCCACACGTTCGTCAGCAGGTGGTTCCGCGGGTGGTGCGGGTTGCGTTGTTGACGCGCCGTTGGTAAGTGAAGGTGCGCTCGGGAGTGCACCGTTACCGTTGGTGATGGAAGGTTGAACTGCGCCGCCGTCACCCATAAGAGCGCCCATTCTACCCTGCACACCCTGCAGCTCGCTGTTCTTGCTGCTTTCTTCTAGGAGCAATGCGTCTGTGTTTTCAATGATTCCCGCTCGCCTACCGGAGCCATATTTCGACAGCGATTTCTCGTTCTCGGACAAAGACGCGGGATAGCCAAGCTCCCCAGGCTCAAATACTAGCGTTAGAATACTGCCATCCAAACTTGTCACAAACAGCGTCTCCCCATTTGGCGCCCAGGCAAGGTCTGTCATCGACTTCATGGCCAACTCCTGCGTGAGAATGAATGGCCGTGCATAACTTGTATTCCAGATGCTGAGGCATTTGTCCTGGCCCGCGCACGCAACCACCGTGACGCTGTGAGGCTGAAAGCCGTTCGGGTCCGGATTGGGTGGTTCCTTATGGAACATCCTGGGAGAAAATGCGCACACCTCCACTGGTCCTTCGTGGCCGACTAAACTGATATCGCCGTCCCATGAACCACGCGCTATGATCGCCACGGTACTAACTGGGCCATTGGTCGCGTTTGCGGCTGCTATGTGGGCACCATCGGGGGACCATGAGCAGCGGCGGAAGTATGTGGTCAGCGGCGAAGTTTGGAAAGGTGAGGTTATGGTCTTTTCGAGGGTGAAGTTGTTGACCTGGTCCTGAGCGGTGGCGTTGGGCCCTGGGGAGTTGAATCTGAAGACCCTGATAGTGCGGTCGTCGCTGGCGGTCGCAAAGTATTTGTTCGCAGGATCGAAGGTGATGCCCTTGACATGACTGCTGTGCACGTTGGATAGCGTTTTCAGCTTCTCAAAGGTGTGGCCAGACCACACCACGACCTTGGAATCCAATCCCACTGACACCAAGATGGACGAGTCCTGCGCCCAGCCGAGATCCTGCACGTCGTTGTCGTGGCCTACGAGACGGCGGAAGACTCTCCAGTTTTCGACGGGCGGCACTTCATTGGAACCTAGACGTGCTCGTCAGCTGCCGCCCAATGTCCAGCCTGTAGCACCCAACCCACCAAAAGCCACATGCGCCGGCGCGTTGGGGTCGAGTGCATATACGCAGACAATCTTGTCGTCTGCGCCGGACGCGAGGTATTTCCCGTTTGGCGAGAAGCGCACAGTGTGAATGGTGCCCGAGTGGTGGTTGACGGCGGCCAATTGCTTGGGCTTGGTGTAGTTGGGATCGGCCGAGTTTAGGATTGCTTCGGTGGACCATATGCGCACGTAGCCGTCTGCAGGCACCTTGTCAGTCACGGTTTGCGCGGCGGCGCACGGCGGGCGAGCTTCGCATGCGCGAGTGCCTGGCGGGAGAGAGAGAACAGACCTCCGGCAGCCGTGACCAGGCGCGATCCATCTGGCGATACGTGGCAGCTATATACTTCGAAGTCTTTAAGATCGCCTGCATGGGAAGTAACGTCAGCGCTGCGTGTCCTGCGTGGCTCGCGATGTCGAACGTGGACGCACCTGGGTGGGTTAACCACTGCGGCTTCACGAGATGCATGGTCGCGTCGTCGAGGTAGGAGACGAGTGCATGCTACGAGGCGACCATGTGCAAAGGCGATTTATATCGAGAGCGAAGGAGGAGTATGCCAGGATCGTGTCATTCGTTAAGTCGCGGAGAGCGTTGGACGCGACGGGAGCTGCTTGGCGAAGCAACTGCAAGGTTGGACCAGGGTGTCGAGACGTTGGCCGCCGATCCACACGCTAGGGCTGTTGGGGGCCTGTCGCACAGCATCAGGCACAAAGACAAAGGCACATGCATGGTTGACTGTATACACGATGTGATATTTAGACGGGCGATATCTGCTTATGCCACTATTGATTGCCTCCTTTGTGTGGGACATAATCCTGTCAAAGTGCTTGAGGGATGCCGCGCTCCTTCTATGTGAAGCCTGCCCGATGTTCAGGTTCTGGTACGGGAGCTGGTGATCTACCTCAACCAAAGCCGCGCGTTGAGCTCTCTTGAACTCAAAAGATGACCGTGGCTCTTTCGAGTTCGAGTAGTACGTAGACTCGTGTTTTGTGGGTGGTAGATGGGACTATGCTGTGCTAGTACCCGTTACGCTTTCACTTAGCCATCTTCTTGCGCTTTTTGAATACCACGGCAGGCGTTGATCCGGATGACTCTTCCTCTTTCACCAAAGCCGCTGTGGAATCAGTCTTCCTCTCCGCTTCCCGTTTTGCAGCGGCCTCCTCCTCAGTCGGGATATCCGCAAGTGGTTGCGACTCTGCTTCCCCCTTTACCGTATCTTCCTCCTTGACCTCCGTCTTCAACGCGGGCTCTTCGTCCTTGACGTCCGCTTTCCGCTTCTTGAACAGTGCCTCGATGTCGTCGTCGTCCCCAGCCTTTCCAGGCAAGCTCTTGAACGTCTGTCCCCATCCTTTCTTGCGTGTGATAGTCTCGCCGGCCAATTCTCTCTCCTCCTCCGCCTCATCCACTTTTCTTTTCCTCACGCCCTTGTTCAGCGCCTTGAACTCCCCGTCCTGGTCAACTGAGCCTACAACCTCCTCTTTGACCACCGTCCACTCGCCCTTGAGCGCCATCCCGCCGCGCGCTTCGTCTGGCACCGCAATCCCCATCGCAGCCAGCTGTTCCCATTGTTTCTTCCGATCCTGCAGCGTCGCCTTTTTCTCCTCTGTTTTTGCGAACGTCGGCTTGGCTGGCGCGTTGCTGGCGGCAGACGAAGAGGTAGACGGAACCAGTCCGTTTAGCCGCGCGACCTCATCTTTGGCGCGCTGCTTCTGGCGCTCTTCGGCGGCTTGTTCGCGGTGGAGGCCCTTGAGGGAGCGCTGGATGTTGGACTGGTGGCGGCCGGTTGCTTCGTGTTGCTGGCGCTCGAATTTGGTGTCCTTGACGTAGTCTTTGCAGAACTTGCACCAGTATTTTGGCTGCGCACGGTCAGTATATTTCACACGGGAAGAGAGCAGAACTTACTGTCGACTTCCAGTATTCAGACATGGCTGCAGGTGTGTTGAAGAGTCGCGCGGTTTGCGATGCTTGTGAAACAGGGATTATGTAAACGTCGCAGACGGACTGCGCGCGTGCACGTGCCGTTCTTTCCCACATCCTGGGGTAGATCTTGGGGTGATGTGAACTAAGTCTGATCTCACATAAATTCTAAAACTAAAAATACTCATGGCCATCTTTATAGTGAATTACGGTGGATAACATACTGGAACGACCATTGCACCTACCTACGGTATGAGGGAGCACTCTTCTATGTACATCGTCTTCAGACGTCACTTCATGGCCACGATCTAATCTAAGAAGCCCAGTTGTATATCTCAAGATGTTTTTGGTATTCGAAACATGCTTGATTGAAGAATAAAACGAAGTGCGTTCGTTGCAATTGCGTGCAAATTCAAATCCACGTGCGGCCACTTCTTCCTCTCTAAACCCAGAAACTAATAAGGACGATACAAGCTCTTCGAGAACTGAGAGCAAATCCAAACAACGCTATAGAGCACGCCCAGCTTCTACCCTTTCATCTATGTTCTCTGCCATTGCGCTTTGTCCATTCGTCGCTGTGGTCTCGCTCTTCCCGTAATGACTCCAGCCCTCGGTTCCCACGTACGACCCCACGCCGACACCAATCCCCCAGGACCTCTTATAGCTTCTCGGTCCCCAAGACCACCCAGCGCCACGGGTAATGGGAAGATGATACCAGCGGAAGCTGAACCAGGCCGTGGTGATACCAATGAAACTGCCGAAGAGGAGATCGAAGCCGAAATGGCGGTAGTCGGTGAAGCGGGTGCTGCACACATAGATTGCAGTACCGATGGGTACGAGGACGAGGATAAGCGAGTAGACTGGAGGTGCTGCGGCTTGATAGCGATCGGGGACTACGCGGTCGTCGCTGTAGCTAGAGACGTTTGAGTCTTTCGCATTGAGTGGGAGTATCGAACGGTTCTTAAGGTTCGATTGCGCAGTGGCTGAGACGTGATCCGGGTTTGTAGTGAAAGGCCGTGACGGCAGGAAAGGTATAGCGACGGAGAACTTGGAGGCGAGGAACAAGGTGAGGTAAAGTAGGCCTGCCCAAGAGAAGCTCGCATGGCCGCTAGGAAAGGACTTGAAGCCGTCTTGAAGGATGTCCTGGTCGGTGTTTTGGCAAATGGCCGATGTCACCAACCTCCAGTACGGGCTGAGGTCATCCGTAACGGCATCGACGGCGGGATTGACGGCAAACTCAGAGATCCGGCTCATATCAGGCCGGCACCTCGAGAGCAGATCCGGCCGGGGCTTCCCAAACAACAGCTTCATGCCCTGCGTAATCATAAATGCCGTCGCAAGGGACAGTGCCAGGCCCATCCAAGCCGTGTTCCATTCCCAAAACTTCCGCCTCCAGATCAGGCTTTGTGGAGTGCCTCTCGCCGCAGTCGGTCCAGGAACAAAGATCAGGCATACCAAGAAGGTGACCAGCGCCGGAATGACAAGGCCAATGACCATCAGTAACCACGTCGGGATGGTCTCATGGTGTTCAAACGGGAACGATATGGTCGTCAGATCCACGGGAGAGAATGGCCGATTAAAAGGATGTATGGAGTTCCAACCTCCGCCCACAGCCGCAATACCACTGCCGGGAGTCAGTCGACGTCGATTTCGTGTTGGCTGTGACACGGCGCACATCCGTCGGTCGCGTCAAAACTCACATTATGATTATCCAGTCAAATATGTACGATAGAATGAGCCGTTTCGACGGCATGTGCAGCGACTTTAAATTCATGATGGGGTAAATCGTGAACGGCTGCGCCGAATCGACGCGAACGAAGAAAGGTGATGAAGAACAGCGAACGTATTGCCGCCGGGGGATGCGCAGCAGCGGTCGGTGTTTGATGAGACGCCCAGAACTCTTGGTAGTGTGTGGTATGCGCCGGTCGTAGAGCCCGTCTGATTGATACCTAGGGTGTGCGCGAAGTCATGGGGAAAAAGGAGGTGCGTCGGGCGGTTTTAGACGCCGATTACTATGGTCAAAGAAAGAGGCAAGACGTGACGAAAACAGCGGACAGCGAAGAGCAGGTCAGCAAAGGAGACGCACTAACTAGGACCTAGACACGCGACAGCGCTCTGACGTTCAGTTCGAGGCTGAGCTTGCGGATCGCCACTTAGCTTGCGAATCAGCTCGCTAGCGCTGCCCAGTGACGCTGATGGCGGAGCGCATCCCGCTGCACTCGCCCGGCATCTTGGTCTCCGCACGGCGATGTCAAAGTTCCGCCGAAGCTGCGCCGGGAGATGGACGCTGTTTCGCTCACAATGGAAGAGAGCTACGTTGATGCGCGCGCAGGGATCGAAAATCCGGTGGATCTCAGAGAAGGGGCCGAGAGATGGTCCCCCGCGGAGCGAGCAGCGCGGCGGCATTGCGGAGTTACCACACTGTGGCGGTTGACGTAGCCAACACCAAAAATCGAACTTTTGTTTGCCCGCGAATACGCCGCATACGCTTGCCAGCAGCACCAAAGCCACCCGCAAACGCGTGTCGCAAACTGGACGGAGATCTTGACCTTGTCCGCCATGGCCTCGCCACAGCAGACGCTGCCCGCGCCCACCATCGACCTGCTGCTGAACCTGATCGATACGCGGCCCAATTCTATTCTCGCCTCGCTTGTCCAGCACCCGCAGCTCGCCTCAGCCTCCGATGCGCACGGCTACTCGCTCGTCCACGCCGCCGCCTCCTACAACCAGCTCGAGGTGCTGCGCGAACTCATCCAGAAATACAACGTCGACGTTAACAAGCTTGACGAGGATGGCGAGTCGGCGCTGTTCGCTGCGGAACAGGCCGACGTTGCGCGCTGTCTCGTAGAAGAGCTAGGCGCGGACCGGGGCATTCGCAATGCCGATGGCAAGACTGCAGAGGAAAAGATTGCAGAAGAGGAGGGCGAGGCGCACGAAGTCTGTCAGTACTTGCGAGGTTTGCGCGGTGCCGGACAAGCACAACCCGTGAGCGCTGGAGTGGCAGAGACTGAAGGCGTGCACCCGCCGCCACCGCTGCCCAACGGCGTGCAGATCAACGTTGGCACCATGGCAGAAGACGCCGCGGGCGAAGCGCCAGACCCTGAGATCCGGAGGCGCATAGAGGAGCTTGCATCGCGAGAGGACTTCCAGACAGACGAAGTCCAGCAGCAGCTTCGAGAGCTGATCTCCGAGGTGGTCACTGGAATGGGTTCCGAAGACTCGGGCCGCGGCGTACGGAGGAGGGTTGAGTGAGATTTGCCAGCTTGGCGCGTTGAAGAGACGCGTAGTCGTTGCGAAGGCTATTGTGGACAGCTTGCCTATATTGACCGGGTACGCCACGGCTGATAAGGGACATGCGCCGTAGACTGCGGGTAATAGTCTTGCCCTCGGAAAGGCGGTCAAATCGGTGTTGCTCTGAGTTTCTGTGCTCACTGTAGCCTTAGTGCCCCATATCGGAGCCAGAAGACGGAATGAGAAGCAAAGTCGGAAGTATGGTGTTAACATGAGTGGACATTAACATACGCCAACAATCAATGCTTCTCCATCAAATTCTATTCGTCGAACGCAATATAACCCAAGATCACCGTGGTATCTACAGCTTCTCCAGCAATATCCTCGCCCCGGCGTTGCCCCGGCTTTGTGGTGCAGCCCCCTTCTTTGGCTTCGGCGTCTTTGCATCCCTAGCAGGACCTGCGGCCTCCTGCAATTGCTTGCGACCCTTCTTCAGCGCCTGTATGACTTCGTCCTTGTGTCCGAAATTCTCAGACTCAACCAAGCCAACAATGACGAAGGCACCCTCGCCGGTCGCCCATGTCATCAAGTCGCCCTTGATTTGGCTCCAAAACAGGTCTGCAAAGCCCAGCGGCGGGTCTACAGGCACGACCTTCTTGGTCTTGGGATCGAATTTACCGCCCTGGACCAGTGTTTTGAGCATGTTCTTACCGTGACTAGTAATGAATCCACCCCCGTCGATGATTTGCCGTGAAAGACCCGCCACCTTCTTCAGGGCCTCTTGTCGCACCTTCGGCTCAACTTCTGGTGCTCCGACGAGCACTTCGCCAATGAGTTGCAGTCCCTGGTAGGACTGGGCCAAATACTCCGCATTTTGACTGACAGCTGCCAGAAGCTGGGGCTCAATGGCCTTCGCAAGTTCCTGATTTCGGATATTTGCATCCTTCTTTGAGGTGATCTCGCGGACCTTGTACACTTCCGCGAGCCTTCCACGAGTTTCCTCATCTAGAAGCCACTTTGAGTCCGATGCAAAAGGGTACAGGAGGACACAGCGTGCGCGGGCGTCGTTGGACAGGTTTTGTATCTTCTCTGCAAGTTGGTCGCTCCCAACAGCGGGCAGCAGCTCGCCAAAGATTGACTTCGAGGTCAGCTTCGTGTCATCCGTGACCGCCAATGCCGCCAACAAGACATTGTGAGCGTTAGCGTCGTACGCCATAGTCTCAATGGTATCCTTGTATGGCCGCAACAGGATCTTGCGGTCTTTCGCAGCTCCATAGGCGAAAGCAAGTGACACAAGGCGCGAACCGGGCTTTGTGAAAGCCAGGTTCTTGAGCAGATCAATGTTGTCTGCCTCCTCTCCTTCTTTTAGGGTAGGATCCGGCTTGAGGTGATCCAAGAAATCGCTTGCTTCGGTTGTGTTCGGTTTGCAGGTTAGGAAATATTGTAGCATGGCGTCGTGAAGCATGGTGAAACCGGTTTGTTTCTTCTGGATGAGCTGGTTGATCTGCTGCTCCAGGTAGTCCATGATTGGCTTACGCTTCTCGGGGGACTTTTCCAAGATCGCATTCAGATCACTGTTGTCGACATCCTTATCGTCTCCAAGCCCCTTGATGGAGAACTCGGGACCATACCACTCTCGCAGGAGTCGTGCCTTTTGTGCGGGTGTAGCAACTTGGCGATACGTATCGTCGAGAATCCACGAAGCTTCGGGGTGGTTGATCAAACGGCGGACGTTCCCGTAGAACTCTTGAATAATCAGCCCGCGGATCTCTGCGTCTCTGTGCACGCGTTAGTGTACTGATTTCTTGCGGCGCGTTGCGGACATACCCCTTCTCCAGGAGCTTTGCGATCAGAAACTTGGCGTATTTTCCCTCAGCCAAGCCTTTGAACTCGCCCTTGAGCTCTTGGGCAATAATGCGCCTTTGATCCATTGAGTGTGTGTATTTGAGCGCAGACTGGATGACGCGAACGGTGTCGTGCTTGAAGACGAACTCCTTGATGCGGCCAGTTACAAGCTCGAAGGTCCTGTCGATGAGATCTTTCCTTTCTTCTGCGGAGACGTTGGCCTTCAGTCTCAACTTCTCCCACAGCTCCTTCAGTTGTTCCATGACCTCAGCGTTAGGTCTGGCAGCTTTGCGCTCTTTTGCAAGCGCCTTCTGCTTGGCGTGAGCCTCGCGCGAAGAATTGGCTGAGCATTGTGTCAGCGCGAAGGCATTTCAGTGGACGGCATCGCTTACCGTTCAGGCCTGCCAGCGCAGAGGATTTCTCTTCTGCTGCTCCGCTCTCTTTCGAAGCCTTCTTCTCCTTCTTGTTTTCGCTCTTGCCATCCTTGTCCTTTTTGCTCTTCTTCTTCTCTTTGACTGTGTCATTGTCTAGCGCGGCCTCGAGCTCTTCTCCAACAAATCCGTCGTCGGCCTCATCGGCCATGGGCGCGTCTTCGTCTTTGCTTGCCGAGAATCCGTAGAAGCCATTCTCCACCTCGCTTGTGTCTGACTCCATAAGATCGTCGGAATCATCTTTGCGCTTCGACTTCTTGGAGCTCTTCGAGAGCTTGACCGCGTCCTTGTCGCTTGATCGCTTCGCCGGCTTTTCGGTCTTGACTTTCTTGCTCTTGCTCTTGACTTCGGGCTGCGCGGCAGCTGCGGATTTTCGCTTAATACCAGCCATCTTGGAGGTTTTTGTCGATTATTGACTGGGTGAGCACTGGAGCGCTTGAAATCTGATCTCGAACTTTTTGCGCCAGATTCTCGCCGTGCAGCACACTATATCGTATCCGGCTAGACCCAACCCCGATGAGGCAGCTCCCGCCTTTCTCTCCCGGACCACTGAATTGCAGCATTTCCTCCGTCACTACTGCTTAACGACATTCTAGATGTTCCGATTACGCATTCGCGGGAAGAATCTATGTCGCCATATCCGTCCGTCCTCGATGCGATAGGCAGCGCAACTGCTCAGGTACTAGCACGTCATTGTGCAATTCTGCTCGAAACGAATCGGTGCTATTCCGGATAGCTACATATTGATCCTGCAGTATATGCAAATTGCCTCCGCACACCAACAGCTCAAGTCCCATGTTGCTCCACCAGGACCACAACTCCTCTTTGTTGTTACGACTGACCCTGTCAAGCCTCGCCTCATTGGCTCACCCCATTCCAACTCGACTGGGGCTCCATGACGGTGCATCGTGCTAGCTCTGGTCCCAAGTGCAGGTTGAACCGCACGAGTATGGGTCGAAGGCGCATCACATCGCCCTATGACTAGTGCTCCTCCACTGGAATCACCCTCCTGTGATCCGGTCTGCGTTCAGCGCAAGCCCACTACAATAGTTGTAAGTATTCGGGCATCTCTGATCCGTGCAACGAGCATCAGAATGACTAGCCATCACAGGTCGGTAGATCTAAGACCGTGACTCGGAAGGCTCCTTCAAACACATCTTAATCAAAGCGATCATCGATGAATACGAGTTTCCCGTGCCTTAATATCGGGAGATTTCCTGCAGGGTACCCAGCATCTCACCAGAGACAGATTTACCCCACCGGGAGTATATTATCAGAATAACCGTGCATACATCTCTATGAGGCTTCGCGGTCAATCGGGTAATGGCTTGAGTAGATGCTTAATTCTACGTACGCCATCGCCCTCGATGGCATCATCAACATACTCATCACAATTCGTTCCGGGTTTCCGTCCTAGAACGTCTAGTATGCCCAAGCTGACGACCGTACCACTGGACTCAGCGCAGTGGTGCCATTGGCCTACGGACTTTCGCAATTCCACGACAACTTCGCGCCACGCGTATCCAACCCAACGATATAGTGCTAGTTCTACACCTACCACACGTATGTCGTCAACCCTGTCACAACAGTGCATTGCACCGCAGTGTGCATCTCACAGTCTGGCTTGCTTGCGGCCCGTGCAACATACACAGTGCATCGCAACTAGGTCTACATACCCACCACTGCAACTTTCAAGAAGTTGCTACAATCTTCTTCTGCTATCAGTCTGTACATGCTCGCTGTAAACTACGGCTCTGTGATTTCCAGTTATTGGTCAAAATCAAACAACAGTAATAGTTTCATAGCCACCGTAGAAGATTTATCAACCGCGGAGCCAGTCTTAGATCTCCGGGTTTCAGACAATCGGGCAGCTTCCCCAATTGCATAGGACCTTTCTTTCCGGTGGGCTCTGCTACCTGCATGAAAGAAGACGCTCATACAAGACTTCATATCACGAAATTGGCGTCGAACACGCTAATTCACCATCATTCCACTGTCCCACGCTTGGCCTTTGGTGCGAACCTTTTCCTGGCTCTCAACCCTGGTCAGACGCTGGCTAAAGATCTGGACATGGAGCGAAGCGTGCTTTTGCTTCTTGCTGAGCCAAAGCGCAAGGCTGCGGATAGGCGGTCTTATGAGCCGTCTTTAATACTTTGTCTTGGCCATGCTCTGCTCTATTTCTTGATTTTAAATGAGCAAGAAACTTATATAAAGATGTTCTGACTACGTTGTATGAACAGTACCAGCAACTCATACGGAAAAGTGTTCACTCTGACGCAGCATAATCATCATGAAGCTCTCCACAGCTCTCTACATTTTGGGCATGACCAGGCAAGCGAATACCATCTCCCTTACTACCGCGTATAGCAAGGACTGATCCTCGCCAGCAGCATTGCCGCTGGCAATCCTCTGCCTGAAGACGAGAAACCAAAGCCCACCGCAAGCATCTCGAAGCCTTCGCTGCCTCCGATCCCGACTGTATCCAAGCCCTCGCTTCCTCCAATCCCGACCGTCTCCAAGCCTTCTCTGCCTCCGGTTCCGACAGTCTCTCCCCCGGCACATCCAAGCTCAAAGCCATCTGCCCCTCCCGCACCCAGCTCCAAGCCTTCCGCCCCCCCAGCGCCTAGCTCCAAGCCCTCAGGCCCCAAGCCCACTCCCAGCACCTTTAGCCGCTCCGTCAAGTACGTCGAAAAACCCAAACTTCATGTCCGTAGCAGCACAGCTAACCAACTCCAGGCCTACTCCGTCCGGCCCTCCCGCCCCGCCCACCGGCCTTCCTCCCGTCAAGCCGACTAAGTCTGCTAAGCCTACGTGGACCAAGCCCGCGGCTCCGACGCCGACTGACGACGGTGACGGTGACGACGACGATGATGATGAGGAGTAGAGTAGAGTTGATTCGTGTCCAGGTATACTTTCTGAACCTGGCGTGGATATGGACTTGCGCATCAACTGGTATGATGTCGCGGCAGATCTCTCTTCTATATTTCTCAAGTTTGGCCATTTGTGTTGAGCAGGTGCCCCGCTGATCCTAGGGCGGGATCGCGTCTGTGGCTTCTGTCACCCTGCTGGCTTGGTGTATTTATTCCGACTATCAAATTATCTGTCGTTTCCGAGCTGTTGTGATCTGCGGTGAGAAACAAGTGCTATAATGCATAAAAAAAAGGCCATGTGATTTTGGTATTGAGTACTAATTCTTGTTTCGTCGTTTGTTCTTAACGGCATGTCCACTTCGCACCTCCCCTCTTCATTAGTGCCTTTTTTTATCTGTGAACATTATCGACAAGGGATTCGAAAATTTTGGGCTTAGGTAGTGGACAGTTGCACTATCAAAGCGCTCTTTAAATGTACCGGTGGTAAATTATATTCGTTGCGAGAAATTGACGCCCCTTCCGTTTCCACATCACTCTTCCTTGTTTTCCCAATTCTGTCTCCCTACTTCCTCGTTCTCAAGGGAAATCTCCTTCATCCCAAGTGACACAAGCGCCCCAACGACGGCGAATCCTGCTAATATCCACCAAATCACTCTCAATGAGCCTGCATATGCATCGACGATCCTATCCAGCAAGGACCCTGGCACCGAAACGTTCCTCAAGTGCGGTATGAATCCAATCGCCATTGCAGGATCTGCCAAAGCAGCAACATCCCGCGGCAGCGCCCCTACCTGGTAGATCACACTCCCAAATACGCTATTAAAGGCTGTTGCACCACAGGCCATACCAACCAAGCCTCCAAATAGGCGGAAGGACACGAGTGTCCCGGCAGCGAGACCCTGATCGTCGACCGTAGGAGCGCTGGCTTGCATTGCGATGGTTGGCACTGTGAAGAGTGACCCGAGTCCAAAGCCAGTAATTATCTGAAAGCTGACTGATGCAGCAAGAGACGTGTCACGCTTCCACAGCGATATGAGACCCATTCCAACAGCGAGCAGGATCCATCCCATCCATATCGACCAACGATACCTGCGCGTCTGTTCGACTGCCAGTGCTGCGATGCCACTGACAATTACGACAGTAACGCACATTGGTAGGACAGAAACGGCTGCTTGGAGAGGTGTCTCGCGGAAAACTGCTTGGAAGTACAGCGGCAGGTACAGCAGGACGCCGTAAATAATTGCGCCATGGATGAATCCGCCAACCAGTGTCACTTGCGCGGTGGTGTTTCCCATGACTAAAGTTAGGGTTACAAGTTAGTGATAGGTACATTGTATCAAAGGATAGAAGATTAGGGAAGGGAGGTATGAGGGTTCAGCTCAGCTAAAGCGTAGATAATATCTGGAAGATTCAGATATTGCTTGCACCTAGCATTTAGAACTTGTACCCCGGGCTTACGTACTCCGGTGTGGGATACACGGCTGCGCGGGATATTTCTCCCAAACAGCAAAGCCAACAAGTAACGCAATGCCTAATACGAAAGGAACCAATGTCCTCCAGGAAGACCATGGGTAGATAGCAGGAGCCCAGCTTAATGGCAGCGCAAAGAGGACCGCCCCGGCAGCAAACAACGCCATACCAGTCCAGTCCAACTTCTTCAGTTTGGTTCTCAGTGAGTCCTCGACAGGCTTCAACTTCAAGAACAAGAATGCGCATGGCGCTGCAACTGCGACGAAAGGCAAGTTATACCATCCGAGCCATCGCCAGCTGGCATACTCGCTGAAGAGCGCTCCGATAACGGGTCCAAGGATACTTCCAATCGCCATTGGAACGGTGAGAAGACCTATCCATAGCGGCCGCTCTTTGAGGGTTGTCATATCCGTGACGATGACTTCGCTAAGTACATCCAGACCGCCACCGCCGAGGCCTTGCAGAACTCTCCCTGCAATGGCTGTCCTCATGTTCTGCGCCAAAGCAAAGACGACAGCACCGGTAGAGAAGAGAGCTAAACCTGCGAAAAGTGGTATACGTCGTCCGAGGACATCTGAAACGGTGACATAGATGGGTTGAACGACGGCTACGGCGAGCATGAAGGCGATGCTCGCCCAGAAGGCTTCTATGGTCGTACCGTTGAGCTGGACTGTCATACTCTGTGTTCAAGGTCAGCCCATAGGTTTGAGATCTTTGTGACAACACGAGAGTAGGCCTACCGGGATCGCAACCGCCAATGCCGTCGCATCGAGCGTCACAAGCAGCACTATCAACCATAGCGACAGTGAAGCCAGCCAGAACTGATAAGGCTTCCTCCAGTTGGATGGGGTTTTTGTTACTGCGGTCACTGCAATTGTACTTGACGCTCTTTCGATGTCCTCATCTTCAATGACCGCAGTTACGCCTACTGCATAAGTCTTGATCTCTACGCTTTCGGCAGAGTCCATCTTTCAAAGCGGAAATCAGTAAGGATGTCGTCAGGTCATCTGTCTAAGTTAGCTGCGTGTTCAAAAGCTCTCGCCGGCCGTGGAGGGCTCAGGCAATCTACTTTGAGAGTGTTCATGTTCATGATCAGGTTTTTCGCAGTTTCTGCGCGCTCAACAATACCGGCAACCAAACTATCACATCCAACCAAATTATGCGGACTTCTTGAGCGCAGTACTTACATCAATCAAAATGCGTCTTCTTCGCACAAGTTCCACCGGACGATCAACAAAACTCTCGCGGGGACGTCCACCTTTTCAGCAACCATCTCGCCCCCGCACCGAGTGAAACATCACCTCTGGCTGGCTAACCTCAGACTGGCGCACGCATCGCTGTTCTAGGCCTTCCCATGCACCTTTTCTCGCTTGGCTTGCGTTGCAGGACTGCTGATAGGTTAGCCTAGCATATGGGAACCCCAATTGACGACGTGCCACGCATCAGTCAGCCAGCCGTGCGCAAATGTTGAGGCTACGACGCCTGTGCTTTTAAGTAGTGTCTGGGTTTTATGGTCGCAGATCTAGGGCTAGATTTCCTCTGGAGAGTAGCGAGGGAGGCTGCGTGAGACGGACGAGGCTCCGCGGCACTAGTGGCTGCACTGCAGTGTGTCGGCGCTTTGGATTCAGCACTCTATCGACGGAAGATTTTGGTGTACAAAAGCTGAAGTAAAACATATAGCCCGCATGGCATTCTGTGAAGCTAACGTAATTGTACGAAGGAATGAATTTTTGGGGAAGCTATTGTGAAAAAGTCGATACCCTGGCAGAGAAGGAGACCAGCATGGATGGATCCATCTACAATGCTATTAACACCATCTCTTTGTTGAGACCGTCCGAGTTTTAGACTCACGAGAATGAGCATCTGTGTTGCAGGATCTGTCGAAGCTCTGGTGAGGTGCCTCGGTGTAATGTTGTGAAGAGTGAAGCAAATTGGTGCGGACATTGGCGACGTGGCATCCAGTATTCTTCGCAGACCATGTTTAAGTCCTGCATGATCTATCCCGGTGCAATTCAGCGAACGCAGATTTCCGACGCAGTGAAGCCACAGACCTCCATCATGTATGGCCTGCCACTGCCACCAACATCCAGCACAACCTTCGATGGAAATACGCTTTCTTCCTCCACTGTCCGAGCCCTAGCTGCAATACAAGGAGAGCTACACTTGGCGCGTGATGAACTGGACCCCCTCCATTCTCGCGATATGCGATGGTTGACAATCCCCACCCTCAAGAGCGCATGCACTTCATTCGCGCAATGTTGCAAGGCTTCCTCTAGCGCTTCGCTATGCAATAGCGGCTGTTTGTCGTCTGGAATGCGTCGGAGAAAGCGGGCCTCAGCGGCGGTCATGCAGTTTTTCAATTTTCTTTCTCTTCGTCTCGACAGGACGGCTGGGGACGTGGGGGTTTTAGTGGAGGTGGTGTCCCGGTTTTATACTCTTTCTGGGGCAATTCCAGCACCTGATAAGCAACAGCGCGGTGTTGTGATGATGTGTCTTGACGAGTGGTGGAGACGTTGAGTAGGCGGACCTGGGAGGGGACCACGCCACCGAAAATTGCTGCACAAAGGCAGTTCCGGTTTGAGTGCGCGTTTAAGTTCGAATGGTGATGTTTTTACCGTATGGAGAAAACCTTACAATGTGGCGGGACGAACTGTCCTGCAGTATGAGAAGTTGACAAAAGTTTTGGGGAAAGTGATTGGGAATACTTCCTGGCCGTTGTACGCGCTGTTCACTCGCATGATTAAGGAGTTAGCGGAGAACGATGTTCAGGCGGTGCTGTATACAAGATCAAGGGGGAGGGGATGCGCCGGGATCAAAGAGGATGCATACTCTACAATCTGATGGAACAGTCATTGCAAGAGGCCTCCTAATCATCTTAAAAGCCGGTGCTGCAGCATTTTGTCGATATCTTGTGTATTCACAGTGCCCGAACCACTTCAGCATCATTCAAGTCTCCGACTGGAAAAGATTAAGGTGATTTCTAGACGGCAGTCGTTACAACAGTGTTTACCCCAAGATACAAACGAAAGTGAGTGTCGGAAAATCAAGATGTAGTCGAAGCGCGACTCGGACGTTACTTCTGCGTTGGTAGGAGAGTATATGGTCAGACCTAGGGTCAACGTTACCTGCTGTGTCTGTTTGTGGCGAATAGAGAATCTAGCACTTGTGGCGGCGCGTTGTGGGACCGCAGAGATGCTGCGTTGTGAGTGTAGCTCTGCATGCGAGCAACTATACAGTGACGTCTACAGAGCGTCTGACTATTTCCAAGTCATCCATCATGCCTCCGGATCGCGTGCGGACTTCCAATGCGCAGGGTCGTCAGAAGTCCTTCTATCCGCACGAATGAATTTTCGCGATAGTAGACGAGATTCGGTTTGACAAGACAACACTGCAATCAACCTAACGGCCGTATCAGGGATGCGCAATGAATCTCGCAGACAACAACTGATAGAGACGACTATACGCAAAGAGACGACCCATTCACAGGTCACTAATTATGACTCTGACTCGCGTATCGGCGCGGTTGCCTGCAAGGTCTAATTTGCACGCGTACTTCTTGTTTCGTTTGCCACGCGATCACGAGTGCTACTCGAACGGTTGCCTTCATTTTGGAGCATGTCGTCAGCCATCTTAATTTCCCCTAGGCAACAGCAACGCGAGAGGCCGCCGCAAAGGCGTGCTATGGTACGTGCCGTGGCCCATGCGCTGATAAGACAGTATGTGCGGTGAAAGCCAATCGGCAGTGGAAGGATGCTATGGTGTGCGAGCGATAGAGGATGTCCTCTCCCACCAAATGACCCTGGAGTGATCGTTGCAGTCCCAGTGGACGTGGGAACAAAGCTGAGAGTGGATGCGGGCAGTGGGAACGTCCACTCAGCGCGCACGAGGTATTCGACTGGTAAGGAGCAGGGATGATTATACTTCGTTTCCGCACGGTGCTCGACCCAGAAAAAGAAAACGCACGGAACGTGGTAATGAATCAGAATGACTGTAATGTTGGTAGCGGCGGATAGAATCCTGGTGCGGACCTTGCAATAGTAGGCGCCTGTGGACAGCGACGTGGTCGTGGAGCCACGATGAGGCTACACTGGTGGGCGGCTATTTTTTATGGTTTGCTCCCACAGCATTGGGGGAACACGCATGGTGACGCACACGCTCCGCCCGCTTGCATGCTACTTGTTTGCTGCTCCAGCGCGTTTGCCGGGAAAAGCCTGTTGTTGCTCGCTAGCAGACACGAGACTGGTCTCCTGAACGATGAGTCACCCATCGAATTTTGACTACTCTTGAAACTCGCTTTTCGCCGCGCCTACGCCACACTTACCTTTGCCTCCTTCATGGATAATGGCAGGAAAGTAAAGCAGCTGGCGATTGGTACTGTCACCAGATATGTCTTGCGTGGCGGCAGGTAGAGAGTGGAGTCATAGCTGAAGCTGGAGGGGCAAGTCCAGGATCTGGGTCTCTGCGCTGGCGACGTCTCGTCTCGCGTCCATCTCCGGGGCCAAGGGAAAGTGCATTAGAGTCGCTTTGATCACATGTTGCGTTCGGAGCGCCAATGAAATATCTGACAGTGCGGACGAAGACAAGAAATCGCCATTCGGACGAGGCGGGTCTATCGGAGTTCGGCCAGGCAGTTGTTGAGGTGACATGTCAGGAAACGGATGGGAGCAGTTCAACAGCCAAGCTCTTGCTTCAGCTCCGGGACGTCCGATGCCTACACTTGCCACAAGAGATGCTTCAAAAGTTCGCCACCACGGTGTATGTCCTGAATGGGCAAACTATGTGGTATCATGTGATCGAAACCTTTTGCACCGCCACAGGACCCTGACACAGTGCTTGGTGACAGGGGTCATTGCGAAACGGGATTGGAGGAAGCGAGACGACTGGGGAAATATTTTGGGATTACACTGACAGGTGGATGCACGCTAGAGCGGACGTGCATGTGCATTGCTCAGCCAGCACATCAAACGTGGCCTCCTGGTCAGTCTGCGAGCGCTGCAAACCCACGATACGATGGCAGGGCTGCAAAGGCGATGCTGCGTAAACCCGAGTAGGGCTGCGTCATGGCTTGGCCAGACGATAGTTGGTGTGCGCAGTACATCCCGGAGTAGTACAAATCGGTGCCGCCGGGGCAACGTTCCGCCCGGTGACTTTCGGTGTAAATGATACAGGACATCTACGCGGCCATAGCGCATTCGTGGAGAGGCATCGCGACAGTGTGCGTGCTCTCGAGATAAGGCGTCGCGATATCGCGGTGAGACAGAACCAATCGCGCTGTTACGGGTAGTGGAGCAAACACCGGACGAAGAGTCAGAGCATCCATACGCAAGATGAGTTGTCGAGGCAGCGTAGGGGAATTTTGACGTTGGAAGTGTGTTGTGGGCTCGGTAGGCATGCAGCCGTCGAGCGCCACAGGGATCAAAGATGCAACGAAGGCCAATAGGGGCATCGGGTAAGGTTCCAAAATTCGACTTGATTGTGTGCCAAGATTTCGAGGAGAGATTGCAAGGGTAGGAATGGCGGCAGAAACAAAGTCAAGCAGGAAGGCTTCATGCAGAAAGCGGGTCAAGGCGTTCCGTTTTAACCACTGAGCGGCTGCGCACAGTCGACTGCGGTCGAGGAAACCTGCTTCAAGACAAGCCCAGCTGCACGCACTGGAGATCGCAGCATGTCCGCTGTGTTGTTCTCGGCGTGCCGTCGAATCATGGGCGCGGTGGCTGCGCGAAGGTGCAGCAGCGGGGCCGCCGTCATCCATACACAAAGCGAAGAGAGATGAAAGCTCACGATGTCCAGAGTAGCGGTAAGTAAACATGGGCGCCAGCAGCAGCATGATCCAAGTAACAATTTGTGAGACATTATCGAGAAAATTTTTCTCCTAGGCGGAGATTGCTGAGCGGTCCTACCGCAACACTCGAGGGGCTCGCGGTGAGCCCCAAGCGTGCTCTTGCGGTGCGGCTCAACTCGAGTTGCGACGTTTGGGCAGGGCATCCCAGCGCCACCAGACGAGCCGTTGGGCAGCCAAATTTTGGTACGCTTGCGTCCCGTCTGGGACGGGAGCACTCCAGACTCGTCCGCCTTCCGCGACGCCGGCGCGGTGTAGCTGCGGAGCTAGAGACGTCGCGAGCGAGCAAGCGCTGAGGGGAATGTTGGCCGACAAGTCGTCGCAGCGCATGCACAGGCGCGTCCTTTGGGCTCTCGTCCTCGGCGGCCGAGCGAGCCTGCCTCCGCCGTCCCGCGTCGTCGAAGGATGGAGGCCGCTGGGGCCACGGACAGCCCTCAGGACACGGCCGGCCGGTTGCATTCAGCGCGCATTGACGAGCGCCCACGCTGCCTGACGTTGGATCTTCATGAGCAGTGGAGCGCGAGGTCCTGTCCCTTGGGAGGCCGTCGCAGAGCTGGGCCGAGGAGCGCACACACGCTACACGAAACGATAGCACGAATCGATGGGTGCTGAACACTGCGCAGCTGGGCAGGGTGCGCGCAGAAGAGCGCTGCGATGCGTTGCCCAAGCGTGGCACAGCAAAGGGCACAGCGGGCTCGCCAGGGTCGGATATTTGGATGGGAGCAGGCAGCGTCTTGGACGCCAATATTACCGCTGACAATAACAAAACACGGCGTTTGGATACGCACGGCGAGTGGCGAGGCTGCCCTCCTGTTCGCATGTGCCAGTGCCAGCCAGCGCCAGCGCCTGTGCCTGTGCCTGTGCCTGTGAATCGTGCGCAGCGAGCACCCTCGCAGCACACTCAGCGCCGCGTGGAGGCTGAGGCGCCAGTCGCTCGCTCCCGGGCAGCAATATAGCGGGTGTCGTAGTCAGACCCATAGATTAGGGATCGCATCGGGGGTGTCAGGGGGCGGACGTCTAGCGGACAAGGGGTGGGTGCACGGCAGGGTCCCCCCGTCAGGCTGCGGTCGCTTTTGGCCCGCGGGTGAGAATCCCAATGCAGTACATAACCAGCCGGGCCCTCCGCTTCGCGCACACTTGAGGCTCGTCCTGACTACATCCATATTACCAAGCACTTCACCACACCGCGACCCAGGATCCCCATACTGGATCCTTCTGGCATTTTCGACCAACAGACCACCGCAAAGCTCAATGTGCTGTCGACAGATTCACCTTTCCTTCTCTGCCGCTGAGCTCTCCTCTCCCTACACTCACACTCGACAACGACACACAAACGGAATCTGCGACCGGTGAGGTGGTGATTCACAGTTGCGCGCGCGCCCGCCCCTCGTCCGCCGCCTCTTTTCCGCTCCCCCCAAAAAGGCGCATCCGGTGCCGCCATCACCGCGACCATGAACTTCGCTCCCCAGTACCCCACGCCTCCCCCGGGCTACATGCCCTACGACGGCTACCCGCACCGCCAGACGCCGCCAATGTCGCCCGGCCCTGGCTATTACTCTCCCCGCTACGGCGCCCAAGGAGCCTCGCCGTCGCCGCACGCCTCGCCCAAGGTCCAGGGCCACTCGCGCCGCGCGTCGCACGCTGTCCCGCCGCAGTACAACACCTACGCCTCGCCGCGCGGGGCCAACACGCCGCAGTACATGTCGCCGCGCTACTACCAGACGCCACAGCGCACGCCCGAATATGTAAGTGGTTATTTTGGTTACGCTCCAACGAGCCGGCAACGCCGCGACACGGACGCGACGCCTCTCAAACGTTCCAATCGTGAGAAGGCTCGTCGTCCGTCGCTATCAGCGCGCTACGTGCAACCCAAGGACGTCTATGGCGACTTCGACCACGTCTACGAGCGAGAGCCACCGCCGCCGTACACTCGACACGCCTCGTACGGTTATGCTGATTACAACGTCCGCCACCAGGTCCCAATCTATGAATCAGAGCCAAAGGCGAGCCGTCCACGACGTGCGTCTCACACCAGCCGTCCGCAGCCGCAGCCCACCGCCAACACCGCGGCGAAGCGGCCTGCACCGCCAACCAAGACGGCAGCAAAAGCAACCGAGGAAGACGCGCGCCGCGCCGGTATCCCTGCTGGCTACTCGTACAAGAATTGGGACCCTACCGAAGAGCCCATCATGTTGCTGGGCAGCGTCTTCGACGCAAACTCCCTCGGCAAGTGGATCTACGACTGGACCGTCTTCCACTATGGTCCAGCCACCCCTCTCGCCGAGATGGCCGGCGAGCTCTGGCTTCTCCTCATCCAGCTTGCTGGCAAAGTCAAGCGCGCCGAAGAGACCATGCCCAAGATTCGCAAGAAGGAGAACCATGAGATGGTCGAGGACTTCCTCGAGAGCGGCGAGCGTCTCTGGATTCGCTTTGCCAAACTCCTCAAAGTGTGTGAGGACTACATGTGGAAGGCCGCTAAGAAAGAGACGGGAGACAAGAAGCCTCTTGCTATGGGCAAAAACAGCGGCTGCGAGTTCGTCGACTCCATTTTTGGTCGCGATCGTGAGCTCGAGAAGACCGAGAAGCTTATGACTGGCATGCGTCTTTGGTCCATGCGTTTTGATGCGAACTGCGAAGAGATTCTTCGCCACCCCACGGCCTAGGCGCTTTTCGCTGGCCCTTGCTCTGCTTGAGACCATGGTATGGCCTCTTATTGTTACTGCTTTTCCTTGCCTTTTGGTTTGTCTGCACTCAGTCTTTGCTCTTACTGCGAGATACCCGTGCGTCATTTTCTGGTTTAATTGTAATTCTGCACTGCATTTTCTGGACGATCCAAATGTACTACTAGGAGGAAACTGCATTGGGCGGGACCTGGGTCACCGGAAAAGTTTCTCTTTACGATTCCCCCTTTCCAATCGTTATGGTCTTCACTGGTTTCCTTTCCGTCTGGCTGGCATCAGAGTGGTTGACATCACCACTGGGCATGGTGTCTTTAGATATGGACTTAGAAGCGCGTTGGCGACCGCGAGGTCAAAAACGATACCACACATTTTTACCAATATATTACCTATTCACCCTACCTCCATGATCCTGAACCTCACTGCCGTGACTACCAGTCATGCACAACGACAGCCACCAACCAAACCTGCCCGTCTTTCCACATGGCATGTGAGACGTCGGCAGGAACGGTACCTCGCATTGGTCTCAGGCCATGGTCTTTTCACTACCTTGCTTCTTCTGTGCCACCACACCCCACAATTGTTACCCTCTTCCCGAAATAACAAAGCCCGAATTCCGAGTAATTCGCAACTGGGCTACGCCTCCTGCTGGAAATATCGCGACCTAATAGGCCTCTGCGCAACGTCATCACAGTCACTAGAATACCGTCCTAGCCAACGGGCGCTTGCATATCCGCGTTCGCTTCGCTATTGGCGACTGCTGCGCCTTCTGCCTTGCTTTCAGCGCCAGCGAACAAGGACTGCTCTTCGCATCAGCCTTACGCGCTGCATGGAAGGCTGCGCCGAAGAAAAACGTGGGCGTCCTTCGAGATTGGCTTTCTTAGTTTCTCCTCTTGCTTCTTCACCTGGGCGGCTGACGAGAGCGCCCTACGGAATGTGATGCGGGCCGCAGGAAGCCAATAGCCTCCCGCCGCCGAAGGCCGTTTCGTGCTGAGGGTGTGCGGGCGGACAGCGGCCTCTTTCCATTGCTCGATGCCTTCTTGCGTCTGCTGATACGATATCTCGATGGCTGGACATGCATCTGTCGCATTCTCTGATGCGACAGAATCAGGCGCGATTACTGCGAGCGCACCATGCGGCGCATCGTGTGCTGCACAGGTGCGACGATTGGAGGGCGAGATATCATCCCGCGCCATTGGTAACCCGAGACGGGCATCAACGAACGTGTTGTATGGGTCGTCTTACGCTTGCCTTGGTCTCAGCCTCGCGTACGATATCATCTGGAACTCCAATCTACAGCTTTTGCCCCCCAAGACGGAGCACACGCGCAACTAGGCGACGGGATGCATGGAGGCTCTTTAGGGCGTCCAAGGCACCCATGGCGATGACTGTGTATGATTCCCGAACGGCGCTTGATATGATACGGCAAATGATCCTTCCACCCAGTTACTGTGTTGGACACGGATAGCCCCTTGCGCATTGCCAGGCAGCAGCGTTTGGGAAGCTGCATGTGAATCTGTTCCTGCTTCCAAAGATGGCCCCCAAGCCGCAAAAAGCAGAAGGCTGGGACGGACGAACGGGATGGCGGTCACACAGCGACCGCCAACACCGACCCGTTCGCAGGGTACACGACTCCGTTTGTGGTGAAGGGATAGATTGAGGGTGCACCAGCTGATCTCCTCTACGCCTCCCTCCCCAGCCACATTGCCATTGCCAGGCGATTGGCAGCTTACGATTTCAGATACATCTCCGCGATTGACACTCGTGAACGGGAAATGCTGTCCAAGCATTATTGTGCGACGGTCTCTTGCGCGACGCATATGACCTTGGGCGCGCTTCTCCATTCCTCGTTCGCTACCGTCCGGAAGAGGCGCGATGTTGGGTCCATTCCGTGCAACACTCCTTCCCCAGACTCCGCGACACGGAACAGCGAAAGGAAAGTGATTTCCTTCATATGCTTGAGAATGTTGCACTCTAAGCACTTGTCCCCATAAGCTCGCAGGGATGGCGCTAACCCACGCGACATGCGGGCGGTTCGCATCTGGAGTTGGAGCGGTTCATGCACGGACAAGCCAATCCAGACGGGCCGATGGCCAGCGTTTCGAAACTTTCATGCCCAGCGCCATCCGTGCGCTCGCATGCCTGCTCCTGCGCTGCAACGGCCGAACCATGACGAAAGCCAATCGCAGATGCCCACTTTTACCCCGCAGACGCTGGATTCTTGTTCCCTCGCGCCGCCGTGATGCTCAGACCTGGGTTTGGAACACTGTTGGAAGGTTACATGCGTGCCATGCTCTCCGCATTCCCAATCCCCTAGCACAACACGTATCGACGCATGCTTCCATTCCTCGGTGACGGCCGACAGATCTTGACAGCGGAGGAATGCCAGCCAATGCGGGCGAGCTCGAGGGGTTGCAGAATCGGTCAGCAGGCCATGCAGGGCATCATCTCGGCGTGAGGTGCGCCTCTTCTTGCCTTCCGCGATGACGGAGGACGCCGTAAGCGCCCTGCCTTGCTCCACGCTCGCGGCCATAGGCTTGACAACTCGCGTAGACAAACGTCGAACGGTGACGATGTGATGTGGGGAGCTTTCATGCATTGTGCGGCTGGAATCCCTACATCGAAGTCATCTGCCTCGATGACGAAACGCCGTGGGTCGCATCTTCATGGATTTGGCCGTCAAGCCCACCAGGGAAACTGGATACCGTCCAGTGACTAACGACACCATCAACGTACGGTATTGAGAGATGAGCGTAACAGGCGCTATGGCTGATACAAGACGCGCATATCTTGCTACACGTCCGTAGCAGATCCCTCTCCGTTATGTCCGAAAAGGTAGTGAACGTCCCCCGTAGAGCGGGGTCCTGGTTACCTCACCACGTGCCGCACGGGACGATCATGTCCGCTGCCAGGACGGCGCCGGCGGCTGAATAGCCCCTCTTCGAGTACCTCCATCAAGGAACAAACAATATCTCGATCAATTCAAATGCAATATTCGGGAATGTAAACATGGAAGACAGCTATACATGGCCTGAGCTGTGCCATGCAGACGCACACTGCACAAAGACCACCGCAATCTTTATTTAGCGACCTTTGTCGCGCAAAATAGTCGCACAAGCCTGGCTGCAGCTTACATGGGCGGAGCCACGACGGTTCTAGTCGCACATGGTAGTCGTGCGGTTGCACGGCAGCTACGCGTGCTGAGCTCAGCGCAGCGATTTAGAACAGCGTACAGTATGCGTCTTTTCGTCTTACCCGACGCCGGGCCGAGGTGGAGACTGCGCGCTGCGGATCGGACGGGTGCAACGTCGCTTCTTCCCTATTCTAGTAGTTGTCAGGTGGTGATCCTAACGTGACCGCCAACGTGCAGATCACGGGATCAGCGCCAGAGCTGCGTCCCCGAGGGAGCCATGCGTCGCGAGTACAGTAGTGCACATAGCCGACGAGGTGATCGCGGTCTTTGTACCACTCGCGCGCTGACAAGTTACACGGCGACCGCTGGAGCGCTGGTCTTCGCTCTATGGAGTAGGTCGGCTACAATAGTACTTGACGTCCTCCTGCGCAGGCGAGAAGCGATTCCGGATCCGAGCCTAAGTGCGCAGGCGATTCTCAGAGCCGAGATCAAATAGCCTGCCGAGATGCCGTCGTTGTACCGTACCAGAACGGCTGACCCCGCAGAAGGGTGGTCTTGTGCTGCTGCAGAGGTGTTTGGGAAGGATGCAATGTGGCTTGTCCCGCGAACCAATTTCGTGTATATTGCGCGGCGGTTAGGACGGCGTTTTGGGGAGGTGGGCGTGCAGGGCTAAAAGTGGATTTTCCGTCCAATGGGGATAAAGTGCGCGGGAAGTATTTTGGGTAGAGGATACGAAATGAGCGTTACGGGATAGGAATAGATGGAATTGGGGTTGCAGTGTCAAGCAGGCATGTATCGAGCGTGAGTAGATAGAAAGGGAATGGGTAGAGCCAAGTTGTCAAGGTATGGAAAGTGGGAATCTATCATAGATATATTGTATCACATGACATGTGAAGGCTTACAGTGCTGGAGTACAGAGGCAGACCGGAAGCGACGAAACAGGACTTATCTGTGGGAGCCTGAGGAACTATCTGCGAGGTGGCAGCGTATGGGAACGATCGTTTGAGAACATCTTATAACGTAGAATGTGTGCGAACTCTTCTTGCTCTGAGGTTGAGGGAGCGATAATTGTGACTTCGGGGTTTCGAATGAACCTTGGCATCGGTGCCTTTCAAAAGTTACGTTCTCCTTTACTACGGTTTATTTTGATTCCTGGCCACATATAGTTTGTAAGCGCAACGACATGCTGGCTGCTTGAACAAAGGTGTAATTATGGCATGGAAGGTTGCTCTAAAAAATCAAAGCGGTATAGCACTGATCGGCCAAAGTAGCCACGCTTTAGTGTCGATACAATGTGAGGCAGCTGGCGGGGGGCGGTGAAGTGGCAGGCCAGTGAGCGATAATTGAACTCTTGATCGTGACACTGCCAGCTTTGGCTGGCTCAAGTGCGATGTTGTTGAAGTAACTAATCGAATGCGACCAACATTCGACTAGTGCACAGGCCTGAGTACTTTGGAGGGTATCTTGTAGCAAGTTCTAACCTCGCTGCATTACTCCATTCACAAATTGCGTCGGGGAGAGCTGTTATACTATGCCAGTCGTATCTCAGAAGAAAACTGTATTGTGTTCATCCGTTTGATTCGATTTCTTGAGACCTGAAGCTTTGTAAGTAGAGTATGATCTAGTGTGATCTATGTACATACACTTTCTTGAAGTTGTATCCAGTGCAAAACTTTTGATCTATGGCGCTTTGTTTGAACCAATCAGATAATTTTTCTGTGAATGCTTTACTTTGACGCGGGCTGTGCTGATTGGTGATCTCCCGTCGACTTCTTATTCGCGGTGAGATCGTATCCGCATTGCACAGCCACTTGCTATCACCGCCTCGTTCTTCTAATCACCTCAGTTGCAACATCAAACGTTTTCCGCAACCTCTCTTCGTTCAAAATTAGTGCGAATATCCCATCAATATACAATTGGCGATGATGAAGGAAAGTCAGCGGCAAGAGGAGGTTTACCTATGTGAGCGATGCGCAGCTCTTCCTTTGGGTGCAATGGACCTCCGTTCCATCGTCAATCCACACAGCCGTATGGCTACATTGTTCAGCTCTCATCAACTCTCGAAGCATTGCGAGTTGTGCGCATTGCTGTGCAAAACGTGAGTTGATCGAGCCTAGGCTGTTTGCTGTGATTACAATACGATGCTAATCGAGCCCTTTCTAGGATGATGGCACGGAGAATTCCAAACTCAGCTTCCACCATACTAAGGGCTCAGGGTATAGAAGGCTTTTCCGGTATCTCTCTAGCTGTTGGTCGTGATGACGCCTCAAGCCCGTTAGTCTGGATGCTCTTTGAGGCAACGCAGAACAATTTGGCTGGCGAAGATTTGAGTGCACGAAGTATACGACCGGATAAGATTGACTGGGAAATTGTGGAAAGGTGGCTAAATCATTGTGACGCCAAACACATGTCTAGCTGCGCCAGTATCAGCTCGGTGTCCTTGCCGGGATTCCACGTCATCGACTGCGATACCCGCACCATTGTGAGAGCACCACAAGACTGCAGATTTGCTGCTTTGAGTTATGTCTGGGGCACTCCGGCTGCAAAATCCGTGGACGATCTTTCTCTCAGGTTACCCACTCCTGCACCGATGCTCATTGAAGATGCAATAAAGTGTACACAATCGCTCAGATTAAGGTACCTGTGGATCGATCGCTACTGCATTGACCAAACGGCCACTAAAACTAAACATCTTCTTATTCAGAACATGGACAAAATTTACCAAGGCGCAACAGTGACGATCGTCAATGCTGCAAACGAGGGTGCAGATCATGGTCTACCGGGGATTTCTTGTTTGGCACGCACCCCTCAAGACTTCCTGTACATCAAAGGAAGGAAGCTTATCCGAGTACCAGCTAGCAGGGACGCCATCAGAAATAGCAAGTGGTCAATGCGAGGATGGACATATCAAGAAGGACTGCTTTCACGTCGTCGACTGGTCTTCACTAATCAACAGATCTACTTTCAGTGCCTGGAGATGCATACCTGCGAATCAATCACAACTCTATTCTCGTCCCGTCCCAGACCAGTATGGGTGGATAATCCTCTCTCCGACGATCTGCAAGCCTTTCCATGGGGAGTCGCCACACAACCGGGTGATATCACCGAACGCATAAGCACCTACGTGCAGCGGGAATTATCGTATGAGTCTGATTCCTTGAACGCTTTTATGGGTATACTCAATCAGTTCTGGAAGTCAGATGAGCCACTGTATCATCTGTGGGGGCTTCCATTCCATACAAAGACTCCAAAGACAGTACCGTTGGAGACACAACTTTCCAACGCATTGTTATGGACTCCAACGCATGACAATGACAACAATTTGCTCAGAAAGCGACAGAGTTTTCCTTCTTGGAGCTGGGTCGCATGGGAAAATCTCACGGGAATATACGAAGATGACGTAAATCTCGGTTTGCATGGTGGCAACAATGTCAGTGTCTGCATCTTAGGTCTCCATTCGAATCCGATCAAAGTGGACGATTATGTCAGAGATATGGAACTCCATCGGAATGTTCACCAATTTTCTCCACGGTTGACTCTCACGGGCTGGCTGACCCAGGTATGGTTTTCATTGCCGGATCATGATCGTCCCAGAGGTCAATATCCCGCAGCCGGGCCATATATGCAATTCCGTACCTTGGATGAATCAAAAAGACATACCATTTGCAATTCTTCCATATTCACTGGGCTTCTCAAGCCAGAATTCGATGACATCAAACCAATAGTGACTTATCCCTGGCCGGTCCTCGTCTTTGAGAAAGGGGCGGGTCAATGCACCGGCATCGTTCTGAAAGACACTGGGAACGGCACTTTTCACCGATTTGGTGTTCTCCAAATGGGGCATTGGGGCACCATTTCAGCAATCCCCAGGGATCGGGCTTTCTATTTCACGTGGTCGCACAGGAAGCAAACAAACAATGTCTTGACACTCAAAACGCGTGAGGAACGGAGAATACATTGTGAGTGGGGGACGATCGTTCTGGAGTAGATAGCTGTAGCGTCAACTCCCAAATTCCGAAAAATTGCAAGTAGTGAAGAATGATGCAAAGACGGTTATCGTCCCTGCACTCTAAGCGCGTGTTCGACTTGTTGGTGTGATTCTCTATATGCCGTCTCCTCGAGTAGGAACATCGCTGTGGGCGAATAGGCAGTAAATTATACGAAGGCAAGACTCTGATTACAATCAATCTATGCATTGTTCACCTTGTGGTAAGGCACTCTGCTCAGGCTTCTTTCGTATTACCGTAGTAGCGCTTCCTACACCGTCGAGCTCCTGTTTTGAGCTTCGGGCTAATGACCGGTCGTTCTGATCGGCGTCGCACAACGAACTGCAATGATCCATGTTTCAGCTTTTCAAGTTGCATTCATCACCCCGCTACTGCCTAGTTCCCCATTGACACGTGACAGAACGAACATAGCAACAGCATCGCAGTATTTCGAGAGGGATCCGCGGTGAACCACGTGGGTTGAGTCTCTAATTCGTTACATTGGACTGGAGTTGTCTTTACTGGATAGGGTCTAACTCGTCAAAATCTCCCAGCAACACGTGAGGCGCCGTGACTCTGATAGCCCATCATGTCGATACCAAACAAATCTGCTCCTATTTACCATGATTATGCCTTTCTATAGACTTCAATGCAATGGAGATCACGGGAATGCCGATGATGGCAACCTTCGACCATTGTGGCAAGTTGTCAAACATATTCCTTAACATTACTGAGTGCATCTAAATTTGACGTCGACCTCATTGAACAGGCGCCTCAGTACCCCTCAGACAGCGTGTTATTCCACAAGCTCCTCACAGTCACCGCATTCTTCCACTTCCCTCCCGTAGTATCACTCTTCACTTTGTACCCCATTTCTTTCTCCTCTCCCTTCGCGAGCCAGAACCCATTGTCTTCAAAGCTTAGGACCGTGCCACCAGGATAATCTAGCCATACGAATGCCGCGACTCCACTCGTCGCCTTGACCTTGAAAGCATCATTGTCCTGACTCAGCTCGAGCCCAGGATCAGTAATGTTAGACTGAGAGAGCGGTGCAGGATGGAACCAATTTGAGTGCGTGAAAATCTGCGTCGTATTCGAGTTCGGCAGCGGGCCTTGCGCTGATACGTCCATGCGAAGAATTGCATTCGTGGCATCCTGACCTTGGAGAATCGTATCAAGATTTGACCCGAGGATCTTCGTCCCGTTTATTGCACCGATGGACACGTTTGCTGCTGCATCCATGCTGATGTTGAGTTTGTTCCCAGACCAATCGTACCACGTTAGGTTGACTGACGCTGAGATAGGAGACCACAGATCTGAGATGGCCCAGATTTCGAAGTCGTTGTTGGTCACGTTGCGATATGCGGAAATGACGACAGGCTTGTAGATGTCTTTCGCAACGTAGTGTAGCACTTTCCACCTGCCGTCATATTCTATACCCGCCCATGTAGGTGCTTGCCACTGGTCCTCGAGCTGCCAGTACAGCGAACCGAGCTGGCGCTCTGGAAGCGCACTTCCTCGGCGGTAAAATTCGATTTGGAACTTGTAAAATTCGGCTTGGAAGATTTGGGTAGAGTGACACCAGGCTGAGAAGTTTGCCAGAGAGTCGGTCTTTTGCGGGACTGGATACCACTCCTGAACGGCCATTGTCATCTGTCCTTGACCGATGGATGCGTTGTAGAAGTTGGACGTGTTTACGCCTCCTGCCGGTGGGTGATGGTCGCGCAACATGACGACGGACGAGTTGAAGGAGAGGTCTTCAGGCGCGACGGCTTGTTGCCAGCTCTGTAGAGAAGGCATGCTGTGGTAGCCGAATTCGTTCGCGAAGCGGCCGACTGGATATCTTGAGATGTTTCCCAGCTGGCTGAAGTTGTAATTGTAGAAATCTGTGTCGCCATAAATGGAGCCCTCGGTGAGGTTCTCATAACGTTGTGTGATCGGCTGAGATTTGGAAAAGTCGAGACTCTGCCAGCCATTGGTCGTGCTCGACGGTGAGTACGAAATACTTCTCGTATTGCCAAGGACGATCGGCACAATGGTGTCAAGGAAGAGCGTCTCGTACTCCGCTAGATACCGTGGATACTCCTTAGGCGCCGTCTTGTTGACCGTTGGAAGTTCCAAGTTTTCAAGCTCGTTGCCTCCTGCCCAGTACGCAAGTGAGGGGTGATGGTTCACTCGGCGGACTTGATACTCCACTTCGTGTGCCACATTCTCTAAGAACTCCTCGTTGACTGGGTACAACGCACAGCCGAACTCGAACTCACTCCATAACAGGATGCCCATCTCGTCCGCAAGATCGTACATAAAATCGGGCGAGTACGCTCCTGATGACCAGACACGCAGCATGTTCTGGTTCCCATCGACCACACTATCAAACAACTGACGCAACCGGTCTTCCGTGACGGTAGGCCAGAATACATCAGGCGGAATAAAATTAGAACCTTTCGCGTAGAACTCGTGTCCTATCACATCCGTTAGCATCTATCTCCATTATAATCGACTCTTCCGAGGACTGTGTACCATTGATCTCAAAGTGCCAGTTGCCACCCGGAGCGACTCCGAGATCTAATTGCTCCTGAGATATCGGCGTCTGATTGTTGAAGATCGTACGGAATCCAATCCGCTTAGTTACAGTTACCACCGTCGTGTTGCTGCTATCCACCACGTTCAAGGTCAGATTGTATAGCTGTTGTCGGCCCATGCCTACTGGCCACCAAAGCTCTACCGCACCGTCTGGCACTGATGTGCTACCTGTAAGTCTTCCAGCCTCGGACGTAACGTTGGAAAGAGATCCGGCCAGCAAGTCCCCGCTCGCGCCCGATATGGTATACTGTACGTTGGCTCCGGAAGGTAGCGATCCAAGGTAGTCGACGCTAGCATTCAAAACCCAGTCCTTGCTTTGATCTGGGGCATAGAAGTTGTGCTGTCCCTCGCGATAGATATCCACAAGCGTGTTGCGTACGTACACATTCTGTCGCGGTAACTGTACCACATAAGCTGGCAACCATATGCCGGCGGGGGCAAATGCAGGACCCCAATCCCACCCAAAGTCACTCTGCTCCTTGCGGATGTATTCTCTGTTGGGGAACTCGTATAGTTGTTGTACGCCGAATGGCCAGGCTAGCTTCAACGTCAGCGATGATCATCCAGTGTCTGGATTGACATACTCTCTTGGCCTGGGATTGCTCGTGTGGCATTCGCAATGATCGGAGCACTTCCGAAGTTGATGCTCAAGATTGGGCTGTCGCAGGATTGTAAGAAAGCTGAGACGTCGAAGTAGTATTGCCTGAACTGATTGTTGGTTGCTGCAACATGTTGGCCACAGAATTCGATGCTAGTGAACGTGTCGAGGCCGTTGAACACAAGCCAGGTAGAACTTGCGTTCTTTTGCCTTCACGGTGTGTCAGCTCCGGGGACTGCCGCGTAGCTTTACAATGCACTTACAGGTCTAAAGGTGCTGATGTGTAAGTCCAATTTGAATACGCTATCCACCGCAGATTGAATTCATTCAAAGCGTACAGCGGATCACCAATGACCTGAGCGGTTCAGCCTAGTCCGAAGTTCTCGAAATCATGCTCACTTACCTGCGCCTCCCGTAGGTCCAGATGCACTTGTGATGGTACCTTTCCAGGCACTGAAATGTACGAAAAGTTAGGACTGGTAAGTGTCCACTCGACAGTACTTAGATTTAACACTTGCTGACTGACTGCCACCGAGACCATGGAGGCTGCTGCCAACACGGCCTGAGTACTTCTACGAAGCATGGCTGTGGGTTCGTCGAGATACGAATCCTGAAAAACGCAAAGCCAATTATGCAGCAACGATACCATCATCATTGTCGCCGCCACGATATATATTGCTCGATGCATCCTCAATCACACCGTTTGTCCAGCGTGTTCCTCCTATGATGTCAACGACCCGATTGTGCATAGCAGCGCTACAGTAACATGGCTAAGGGAAACCGCTGTAGACTTACGGCGGCACTTGCAGAAAATGAGGGGAAATGCGACTGATCATCAGATAAGAACTAGGGATGCTGGCTTGAACGAGTGTGGGCTGTTGTGACATTGTTCTGCTTCGGGTTCCTTCCTGCCGAGGCTAGCACGGAGTCGATCACAGCAGGTTAGAGTACCTGCTAGGCAGCTGTGGGCTTAGATATCGTTTCCCCACAATACGTCAACCGGATTCCCAACCTCAGCATAGTGCCTGAGGACAGGACAACCAGTGAAAGCAATCCCATGCCAGCCACATTGGGTGAGGTTGTGTTTGCGTTTGCGTTTCACACCAGCTGTCCGGTCCCGTGCTGTCGCGTCGACACACGCTAGACGCGCGCACTATGCAACGCGTCAAAAGTTGCACCGACCTTACCTTGTACATTGGACGCGAACCTAGCACGTAGTACGAACGGCGCAATTGTCAATTGATTTGCAGCTAGTAGCACATGCACCCTTTGCTTCTTAACCTAGACTGACTCTCCTCGAACGCTGTTCAGATCGGATTGAATCCTGCAGCCATTTGAGCGTGTTGCAGCCTAGTTGCTATCTTGGCATACGGTGAACACTTAAAGGAGCTGGTCCACCTTCAGCTTGCCCTACGATCGATCGCGACGCGGCCTAACCTCGAACCGTGTATACTTTCGCTCCAACAGAATCAAAGCGTCGCATATCAACTTACTGCAGTAATGACTGAGAGCACGAGGCTCGACAATATTGGTCCGGATTATACAGATAATCCAGCGAGTGAATCTGAAGAGACTTGCATGGCGAGGTTGCACTCGCTGCTCACCAAAAGCAGAAGCTCCACCTCCGACCCATCACCGCCACCAAGGAAGAAAAACCTACGACGCACTCAAATGGTGCAGAAGGATTCACAGAACATCTCAGACGGTCAGATGCACACTCTTGATGTGCTGGATCCCACTCCACCGCACACACCGTCGCGTACTGATTACGATCGCGCCGTCAGTAAGTATACTGCTTGTACACCGTTCGAGTTATCGCTGGTGTTGAGAGATTCCAGAGCCATCGCCGCGTCTGACCCGGTCAAAGTGGCGCGCAGCCGCCATGATCCAGTACCACCAGAAGGGGCTGGATATCAGGAGCCGACAACAACATAACGACCCCAACATATTCCCTTTCCAGGCCCTGCCACCCGAACTTCGCATGGCCGTATACTTCGAGCTGCTTGTCACAGATGACCGCATCCTCCCCACATGGCGCGGCGCCCGTAAAGCAACCAAACAGCAAAAGCGGATGCACATCAACATCCTCCTCACCTGCAAGATGTGTCACGATGAGGGTTTGCAAGTACTCTATGGTGAAAACATCTTCGACTTCGGCGAGATCTGCAACCGGCCCAACAACTTCTCCAAGCCGTTTGTCGCCCGCATCGGCCTGCACACCGCGTCGCTTATCCGCATTGTATTCGCCGAGTACTCTGCTGCATCAGAAGAGCTCTCGCAGTCCGACACAACGCCCGACGCCCGACGTCTCCATGACTCCAAGCCGACGCAGCTATCGGTAGCACACCTCCGCACCTTCTTCTCTACATTCGGCATCTCGCTGCCCAGCCTGCGCCTCCTCGCCATCAGCATCATGCCCTACGGAAACGATCAGGCCACCGACGACCTACTGAAACTTGCGGATCCTGAGGTGCGGAGCGACATGGATCTGAGGATGAAGTGGCTGGATGCGAAGAACGGGAAGGAGAGACTGGCACAGCTGGTGGACGGAATTTGTAAGAGGGAGAAGGGTTTGGTGAAAGCGAATTACTGGACGGATGTCGATGGTTGGATCGGGATTAGTTTTGCGCCGCCGAGCTCGGGGAGGGAGTGGATTGTTTATCAGGGCGTGAGGGGGAAGGAGGGCAATGTGGTGGACGGGAAGGAAGAAGACGACACTGAAGAGGGAGGTCCCGTTGAGGGATCGGCTGCTCCAAAGGCTGCCCTTGTCTTGCACAGAGTGTAGTGAGTGGATAGAATGTGGGTATTTGACGCGTAGGAACTACCGCGTGTCGACAGATTTGCCATGCCCTTTTTGACCACTGCATTATCTCGAATTGGCTGTAGATACATGACAAATTGATGGTAGCACATTGCAAAGAATAATGCTTCGCATTCACCACGCATACCGCCATCCCACTGCTCGCAACTTCAGAAGAAGCGATCAAATAAGTCACAATTAGAACAAGACATCAACCGCACTACCCAACCTCACAAGGCGAAGATCTAGCCGCGCTCGATCCCGGCACATGCACCTTCCGCTTCTATTTCTCGCATCAGTTCTACATCTACATCAATAGCGCCCGATAATAGCCCCACGGGAATAGCCAGACAAACACCCACTTGTAGCGCGAAGATGCTCTCTATCAGAAACCGAATAGAAGCGGCGATGGTTATAGACGGTGTTAGCGCCCTGGGCCGGGAAGCCAACGTTCCGAACAGGTGCAGCGCTTGGCGGCGGCTATCTGTCGTCCGCGAACCTGGTTATTGGAGGAGTGTCAAAGAGTCGCGGTGAGCGGGCTAGAAACACATCGGCATGTATGATAGCTTTGTTTTCATTGTTGAGGGTGGGGATCTGGTGGGCAAATGTGTGCCTGCGATGTCGACAAGCCTGTGGGACGCAAACAACACAACTACTGTGGCGACCGTGCACATATATCATACTTTGCTATCAGAACTTCGCTGGAGGACGTATGCCATCTTCTACGCTGAACTTTGGTGGCGTGGGAGGGTGCCGCGCTCCCCGCAGCCATTCGTGGGACTTTCGGCAGCGTCGTCGGCTGCGGAGGTACTTCTGAACACAGACTGACGTTGAGGATAGGTCTCAGTGCGCTGTTCCTTGGCGAGACATTTGCACGTGTGGGGCGGCGGGGTATAGGACCGCCTCGTTGTTTTGGGGGCCGTAGCCTGCTGACGGTTGTCTATGGTGTTTCAGGATGAATAGGCGGGGGTTCCGGATCCGATGTACTTTGCTGGTCAAAATCTGCTCCACGATTGCAGAAAGAGCATTATTAGAAGATTCTCGTCGTTGCCTTGTGGCCGTTTGTTATTACGGGGCATGGAGTCCTGCTACGAGGTCGTGCCGTGTGCATGTTGGATACCTCGACTTGAGGAGAGCTTCGTATCCTCGTCTGACGAAGTTCGAAACGTGCAATCGATGTAGGAGCTGCCTTAGGGCTGAGTAGTAATGTCAACATGTCACCGCGCTTATCGATACTTCGGGCCGTATCTGCAAGGCCTCGAGGCTGTGGGCTGGGGTCCGTCTTCTTCTTCGAATGGTATAGTGAACGTCGGCGGACAGTGTTCTTGAATTGGCTAAGTGGACTCTGGAATGGGATTTCCGCCTTGGTAGGTGGTCTGCAGACACGCGTAGTGTTTCCACATCCCCAAAAGGATGTCCATCATTGTGAGCCTCACGGCAGATTGGCTTAAGTAAAACGCTCGATGGAGGCCTTGTCGTCACTCGATGGCTCAAACGGAGCATGTCGGAGATCGCACGGAACGTGCCGCAACAGGGGCGGTTGACCAGAGCGGGGCAGTGAGGGGCATCGCTAGCTGAGAAGATGTCACTGATACACGGGCAAGGTCCGAAGTGTAGTGTCGAGGGTATTGTGGGAGGGCTTGCGCGTACCGATGACAGTTGGCCGAGGGTTCGTAATGCGGGTAAATCGAATAATTGGAGAGTGGCGTCAAAGCATGATGCACTGCGATGGAGAGGGTGAACGCCAGTTCGGCTGAAATAGACAGCAGTGACAGGCGCAGCTGAAAGAAGAACGAGCATTCTAGCCATGGCCTAGCCGCACACGTTCGCCTGCTGGCTGGCTGCTCGCTTAGGTGACAGGGGGTCGGCTGGGCTGGAACGCATGAACAGGAACAAAGGACCACAAACGCAAATCATACTGCGCACCTCTCAGGTCCCAGGCACTGCGGCCTGCACAGCGACAACCAGCATGCCGTGTCCAAACAGGATGATTCACCGCCGTGTCTTCCAAATACCAAGTACGTGACGATCAATATTGCTCCAAGTAAAGTTTTGTTGCGCTATGATACGCAACGCAGGAGAGGTGACCAGAGCATCAGTGGCATCAAGCGTGTCCTTGAGCTCTGTATCAGCCTCATAACCTCGTTGGACGACACTCTGAAGTGACATCGGAGCCTGCGGATGGAGCGACATGGCCATCAGCTATGCAAGCACGGAGAGAGCCCCGGATCGGCACTGGCGGGCGGCTTCGGCTCGTTGCGAGCTAGCGTCCTCGTGTTTCTGGCCTGCTTCTAGCGACTTGGGGTTAGGTGTTGAGCTCTTGAACTCCGGAGGGTGGCTAGCACGGTTATCAAGACGGGTGTGCATCCACAAGATGCTCAAGATGGGCGTGCGTAGCTTTGCCACGCAAGGTGTCCGTTGCGGAGATCAACGAGCAAGCACAAAGAAACCGCAGCTCGATGAGAGGGCGCTCCATGGCGACTGATGGCGAGTGTTGTCGATTGCGCGTTGCACCATCGAGCATCCCTGCAAGGTCCCGTTGAGCTTGCGCAAGGGTTCTTGCTCGCATGAGACTTGGGATCTGTGGGGATTCTTCCAGCCACTGATGGACGGAGAGCATCTGCCGTGGTCCGCACGCGCACAGCTTCGCAGCTGCAGGCCAGAGATGGATTTGGAGTCGCAGCTGCAAGGCGCGTGGATGCAAGATGCCTTGCACACAACAACAAGCCGCAACCGAGCCCGCGGCACTGCACGCAAGCGCTGGCCAGCACAACTAGACGACTCGCGCAGCCGGCGGAACACACTGCTGCCGCTTCCGCGAGCCTGTGCGAGGAGAGGCCGTGAAGGTCGCTGCGGTGCTTCGGCGGACCACGACGGCTACATGCGTCCGCCTCCGTGTCGCCAGCAGCGGTGATCCATCAGAGCCGTACGCAACGATGAAGCAGCGAGGGCTCCCAGGCAGGCCTGAAACGTCCCGAGTCGTTGTAGCGTCGAGGCGACTATCGTCGATAATTTTAGGCCGGCGTCCTCATTTCCCAAGAGCACGAGCGGCCAATCACGCCCCCGGTGGCAGCCCGAGCCCTGGCCCCGGCTGCGCTATGCCTTCCTCCTTCGCGGAGGGCCTCTTTTGCGCGAGCGCCCCCATGCTCCTTCTCTCCTCCACGGCCAGCGTTGCAGCTTCTTACCCCGGAGTCGCTCATTCTCTTGCGACCTGCGCCGCCAATTGTCGCCCGAAGCCCGCACCGACAAGCTGCCCAGGGCCTCCCTCTGCCACGCCAATATATACCACACCGGCTCCCCGAACAGCTTCGCTGCCACGCATGGAATCGTGAACCCGCGCGTCTGCTGCTGGCCGCCAACCCTCCGCCAGACGTGCCCATTGCGCCCTCGCCCTCGCCCATCCCCTCCTGCCCAGAGTGCCGACCACCATGGACATCTGCGCGCCCTCCGACGACCGTTGCAACAGGGCTCAGCGACCGCGACCCGCGAGTACACATCAACACCAACCGCGCGTCTCGAGGACATCGCTCGCCGTCGCCCTTCTCGCTGCCACGCTGCCTGCTGCCACCGCGCAGTCCTGTGTGTCGCTGCAAGGCTCGACCGAATGCCCGGCCTTCAGCAATGCTTCAATCAGTAATAGCATTGGCGATTTGTACGTATAACCTCACGTCAGATTCGTTTCGTATCCACGCTAACCGACCCTTTCAGCCCTTTCCTCTCATTCGTATCAGATGTAGAGTCTTTTGATAGCCGATTACGAGACTACATTGGAACCGCATATGTGCAAGACAAGTAAGTGGGCTCGATTGCCGCAGGCCCACGCGTGCTGACCAGTAGCACAGATACGTCGAGATCCTCGGCTGTTCCAATGTCAGTCTGACAAACACAACTAATCTCTATGCTCGATACACCACCTCTTTCCTCTGCAATGCCATTGTCCAGGCTTCGCTATCGAATTGCAACGAGGATTCCAACTCTGTCGCAACCCTGTGTGCCGATTCTTGCGTAAGCAGCCACTCCATACAGTCTCCCTACCCTCGTGCTGATATCCGATAGGCCCAATTCGCCATCAGCGAACAAGACATAATCTCTACTCCGGCTTTCTGCGGCACTCCAGGAACCAACGCGAACGACCAAATCCGAAGTGACTCCGATCGCTGTCAGCATGCAGCCAAAGCACTGAGTGGGAAATGTACCCCAGCTGTCGAAAACGAGCCGGACGAATGCGGCTTCTCGTCGAACCTGCCCGGTCTTTGCGCTTTTTGTGCGTCTAGCTCCCAGAATTCGACCGATTCATGCTGTGTCAATGCCAACGTGGAGAGTCGCTGTGTAGGCGTCCAGCTGCCTACCACCACGACCATGCCGCCACTGTTCACCACCACGTCCACCGCCGCTCCTACCGGATCCTCAAGCGCTGCTGCGGCCGGAGCTTCAGGTCTGTCCGGAGGAGCCATCGCAGGCATTGTGATCGGGTCTATTGTCGGAGCGGCTGCTCTGCTTGGACTGATTATTGCTGGATGCATCTTCGCTCGGAAGCGCAAACAGCACCAGCAGAACAGCGTCCTTAACACCCCATCTCCTACGCGCCATGTTGCTGTAGGTCCACCGATGACCTACGGAGGAGACGGGCATTCGCCTCCGCCTACCATTGTCCCTGGTGCCAGAGTTGCTCGAATGTCGGCTTTAGAGGGTTCAAGTTCCTCGAATGGGTACAGCTCTCCCCGCACGGGTCCATACCATGAGAGACTAGATCCCTACGACTCCCCGGAATCACATCGCGCTTACATTGGAGCAAATTTGCCCAAGCGTGAGGGGTCTCTGTCCAGCCACTCTGCGCTCGGCATGGTCAGTGGCCACACGTCACCTCGCTCGGTGTCCGATCCCGATCGTAACTTCTCCAGTCCTGAGGGTGTTGCGTCAGGCCAATCGGAACAACTCCAATTCTTCAAGGACTACTACTCTCACGACGACATCCACCCGAACGACACAGTTGCCGTTCTTTGGGCATACCAGCCGCGTGCCAACGATGAGTTCGAACTTGAGCGCGGAGATATGCTCAAGGTTGTTGGCATATGGGACGATGGATGGGCGACTGGTGTGAGACTCACCGAGACAGCGGATGAATGGGAGGCGCGTAGAGCGCTTCAACGTGACTCGGGTGTAAGCAACGGCAGCCGACAATCTCGCATAGAAAGCGACAGCGAGATCAAGGCTTTCCCGCTGGTGTGTGTGTGCCTTCCACAGCATTGGCGCAAGACGATAGAAGGAGACAGCACAGATACAGGTGGAGGTAGTGGAGGTGACCGGCACCCTCCCAGCCCTTAAAACCTGTTCTGTAGCCTGTTGACATCTATAGCTGTCTCGTCTACTTCCCCGTCACCAGCTCCTCTGCTCGAGCTCATCTCGGTGGAACCTCTTTCGTCCCTACCAACCAGAATCCCGAAACCACGACCACCCACATCCTCATCGCGACCAAAAACTCCACTGTCGCATCTCCTCTCCTCCGGCTCAAGCACGCTGGTCAACTCACCACCTCGAATATAATGCGACACGATCATGGCTACTGATTTGAACCGATTTCCGACTTGACATCTGAGGCTTCTTGATACCCGTTCACGTCATGGACCGCATACCCATTGGGACTTCGCATTGCATCGCCTAGAACACCTTCGCAGCATCGCATTAGTCGTCGCATTCACCGAACGTTACGTAATCGTAATTCCTCAAAGAACACATCTCCGACGTAACGATTTTCTCTTCTTACTCTCCTTACACAAATGATAGATTGGCGGGCGGATACTGCTTATTACACTCTCTTGCAAGCAACCCATAGCGTAATATCGCGCACCACTTTCCTTATACCGACCTACGAACGAACCCTACCTCTGCGTCTTCACACACTCCGCCTTAATTGCCGACTATCGCTCCCACTCGTTCTACCATAATGCCGCCGACAACACAACTCCACGGTCGAGACTATTGATTCTTTACCATTTCACACACGATGGCTTTCGTTCTATACCCGAGCCCGGCACTTTGCTGGGCATTTCCTTTCGCTTCGTTGCTCTCGCCTCCGCTGGGCCGATTGAGCTTTTATATAATACAAGGGGGAAATGACCCAAGCATACATAGTTGGAGTACGACTAGCGACACACCTTGTACATACCCCGTGTTGCTTGCCAGGCTGGATCATCATCTTATGCATTTTGCATTTCTACATATTCACTGGTTGGTTGAGGGATGGGCGGGAATGCGTTGAGATTTGGGCGACGGAAGGTTGGATGAATGCGTGCAGCTACTTGGTAGTTGCTGGGTTGTTTATTGATGAGGTTCTTGGGATGAGGCTGCGTTTGGTAGCACTGGATAGAATAATCAATGGAACTGCGGATTGTACAATTGACGTGTACCAAAGGCGTTGACAGTGCTGTGGCTCGAGCGACTGGACCGAGCGTAGTCGACTCGCGAAGCGCGCTCATGTCTGCCGGCTCCACGAGGCGAGCACTTGCGTCTGTGTTCTCGCTGTGGCCAGTGCCCTGTTTTGGATACGACGCCTCTTCTTGTTTTTTCGGGTATAGGGAGGTTGTAGCAACCTGCTGAAATGGGAGGGCTGTCAAGGCGTACAATCTCAGAATTGCGAGACACATTTGTTCATGCGGCGCAGCGAGTGGGAGCCGGCCGAGGTGAAATGCATCTATCGAGCAGGCAGAACGATGGACGAAGACGTTCGTCTTTGCAGTTGCTCTTTGACTTGCTGTAGGTGCTGCAGTTGTTCGCGGAGTGGGTTTCAAGATCGGAATAAAATTTGGCGTTATCGTTCGATGTGGCTGTTGCGGTCGGGGGATTTGTAAAGACTCGGTCCGTGCGTCGACTTGCTTGGTCTTATCGTATAGCTCTAATGGTATGGTTGCTATGCTATAGTGGTATTTGTATACACAAGGAGGGCATGAAAGGGGCGCTCCCGAAACCCGGTCGTCCGTGTGTAATAATGGACTTGTGCTAAGGTCGGTGGTGCTTGTGTCATCGTTATTCATCATCCATCAATCATCGGGGTATCTCTACATCCAACATCCGGCCATGCGCGCAAGTTATCAAGGAAAGGTTGTGGAAAGAGTCCAAGGACTAACACGTCGTCGCGCTGTGCTTCACCCGCTTCCGACGCTTATCCGCAATGTCGTCGTGTCTGCTCAAAGTAGAAAGGAAAGATTATGTGCCTTTTCCCTTGCGTCGCCCCATCTTGACTATCTCGCCCTCCCCAGCACGCTTGTTCCACTCCTCCGTCTCCCGCTTCACGTTCTCGCGGTACGTCTTCGCCTCGTCACTACCTTCAACTAGCAGCTGGGGGTAGTGGCCCGAGCGGCGGAGGTGCCGCTTGAGGTTCTCCCAGCGACAGTCGGGCTTGAAGGTGCAACCCGGCTGGGGGCAACGGTAGGGACGTAGGTTCTATGGGGTTTGTGAATTTGTGAACGTATGTGCATTGTTGGGATGGAAAGGTACCTGATGCGTGCGCTCGTGCTTGCTCAAGTTGGAGCTGTCCGCGCAGGAGAAGTCGCAGAAGCGACACTTGTGCGGCTTCTTCCCCTCGTGCAGTGCCGAGATGTGCGTCTGCAATTGCGTATGCGTGGTCGTAGTGTATCCGCATCTATCGCATACGTACGGGCGCTCGCCGGTGTGCGTGCGCTCGTGGTTGTCCTTCGCTTGATTCGTGGCGAAGGTCTTGTTGCAGCCTTTGAAGCTGCATGCATAGGGGCGGTGGCCGGCGTGCGCGAGGAGGTGCCGCGAGAGCTTGGAGCGCTGCTTGAAGTCTTTGGATGTGGCTTCGCAATTTTCCCACAGGCAGACGCACTGCGCGCAGTTGTCGACGTGCGAGGCTTTGATGTGGGCGTGTAGGGCGGAAGGGTCTGGAAAGGCGGCAAGGCAAAGGAGGCCGGGTGCATGTTGCCAACGACAGACGCAGGATTGGGAGGCATCTGTGGTGCCGCCTGTTGGTGACAGATCAAGTCCTGTGTTGCTAGCGGGCTGTATCTCAGACTTGGGTTCGAGCCGCGCGGCTGACGTGTTGAAGGCGACCTTTAGGTTTTGGGGTCCCGTGTTCTGGAATGCATCCGAATAGTGGGACTGCGGAAGGAGCCACGTGGTGTCATTGAACCCGTACATTGGGTTGTTCAGGCTATTGTCAAAGATGTTCATACCCATAGTTGAGGGTGCGAGGGAGTATGGGGCACCCGATTGACTTGACTGGAGCCCAAAGTTCGCGAAGTTGTTTGCCAGACCGTTGCCTTCTGCTAAAGAGGCATTCCAAAGATCGAGATGCTCTTGGGAAGCCGTGGTAAAATCACCACATGCCCTGGACTCTCCATGGCAGCATGAGTTGTCAATATGACAGTGCTCGCCAGGGATGTTTAGGTAGCATGATGTCTCGACGAGATGGTTTGGCGTCGGAGACGGATGGCTACTGAATGCGCTTTCGATGGAAGTGAGAGCGCCAGGAGATAATACAGGTGTGGTCACAGTAGAGGTGGTTGGTACTGCCCCGTAAGAGTGGTTGAGTGTGTCGTGAACCTGGGAGTAACATGGATACGTCTCGAATCCAGACAATTGGGGGTCGTAACCATGATGACCCTCTTGAAAGTGACACCGCGTGTTATCGTAGCAGTAGATGGTGCCTGCCGGGGTGGGAGCTGTGTGAACTAAGTGACACTCACTCCGTGGGTCACCAAGCGGACACGGCTGAGCATCGCACTTCTGACAGAAGCAAGGCTCGTCGATACCGGCGATCTTGGTGCATTCGGGGTCAGCACAGTGATCGCTACATGCCCCTTCCTCACAATGAGGGTCAAAGCATGCGTCCTCTTCGGAGCATTGTTCGTCACCGGGGCATGGTAGTGCGCAGGGAGACGCGCAGGGAGACGCGCAGGGAGACGCGCAGGGAGAGTTGCACGAGGCGGTGTCGAGATCGCAACCTTGGCAGAATTCTTCAAAGCAGAGGTCGGGGAACTGTTGGTCCGAGTTCGAGACAGATTGGGAAGTGGCAACGTTGTGGTACTCGCCTACTCTGACGGCCGAAGCCTTCCGCTTTGATGGGCGCCCGTCTTCACAGGATGGACAGGAGGGCCTAGGGTTGCGAGTTCTTTGGGCACTTGGGTCACCATGCTCAGGCCAGTTGCCCGTCTCGGCGGCCAATCCCAGGCCCGTACGTTTGGGGTCGCTCAGTATGACATTGTCCACGTCGCGCTTTGAACCAGCCAGCGGCCCAGGCAATGCGAACATGGGATCCGGGAAAAAGAGGGTTTCGTCGTCGCCGTATGCCGAGTCGCAGTCGTTTCCTTGATATGCGTGAGCCATGCCGGCGCTGTGGGAAGGCTTGAGGCCGGCTGAGGGGAAGAAAAGGAAGAGGTCATACAAGCTGCGTGCCGGGACATCAAGGTGCTCGTGCGCACAAAGCGATACTGTGCAACGCGGTTTCCCCGCCAAATATAGAAAGTATAATAGGCTGATTTTACGGTGGCAGACGGGTACTCCGCCAGCTCTTCACTGCGTTGCGCAAAAAAAGTTGCTTTCTGGGGTTGTAATGGTTGTCTGTTGCATGGTAGTGAATGCAGCGCAGAGAGATGATTTCGGTCGTCAGGTGCACTGACTAATCGGTGTACCTGCCTGTTCTATTGGACGCTTGTTTCGTTGCCCCATCACGCGCGACAACTACATCATTTACGTTTACAACAATTGAATCTTCGTCTTCTGGATGTAGTCCACATGGCAGAGCGTTCGGCGACGTGTGCGCGACACCTCAGAGGGACGTGGATCAATCACGACGAAGGCGCCCAGCATTACAATCGCACTCGACCTCAGTGGCTTCCGTGCGCGGTGAAGCTGCAAGACATAAGACCCCGCGCCCAGCCCGGGCGTCCGTCACCTCCGCTCAGCGCCCATTCGCCAACCCAACACCCTTCTCTACAACAATGGGCAACCTTTGCGGCAAATCATCCAAGGACGACAACTTTCAGGGTGCAGGTCGCACTCTGAATGCGGCACCTGCACCTGCGACCAAGGCCTCCATTCCCGCCAGCGCGAAGCCGAAGGTCACGGGTCCGGGACGCACCGTAGGCGGCCCTGGGGGCAGCGATGGCGCAAACGATCCCAGAGCAGCGGCCGCGGCGGCAGCAGAGGTGCGTAGTGCAAAGTCAAAGAGCGCCGTAAAGCCCATGACGGTTACCGCTTGGCTGTGAGTAAGAGCTGTGGCTGACGGACAACCATCTTCACCAGGCCCGGGCGAACAAGCCCGTGACAGGAGATCTGGCGAAGAAGCTCGAGGAGCAGAAGAAGCAGACACGCAACCAGACTCTGCAGCAGGCGGCTGATGAGAACCGACTCCAGCGCGAAGCTGATGCCGCGACTGAAACACGCAACTACAACTGAGCAGCCAGTCCGTACATCGTCGACAAGAGAACGCCATATTCCCTTCGTCCTGGTCTGGCTATCCAAAATCGCTTCAGGGCACCTCACGTTGGGGAGAGGTCGGATCTTTCGGCTCGGGCGGCCTTGTTAGTCCTTGGCGAATGCCAGGCCAAAGACCAACTGCCTTAGTACGAGTTCCACTGCAAAGGTGATGGCTGTTGTTTCGCGGCAAGTACGGGAGCTTGATGTTGCATGTATCAATCGTGTTGGATTTGAACATATTGCAGGGTTTTGTGTTTTGCATACCACCGGAGTCGAGAGCCTTTCCGTCCCATTCTGATCTTATTGGTCAGGTTTAGATCATCAATTCTTCATTTCTAGGCTTTTTTTGCCTTATTTATTATATCGTTCAATCGCCAAGAACCTTCATTTCCAGTACAGTGAGCCGGTGTATTCTTGCTCAACGGCTCCACGCCAGGAACAGACAACACCTTCGTATTAACCACCGGACGATATCCCCACTCACGAATGAAGCTAATCGTAACAATGCAAGGACACATATGTGGCTTTTGTAGAATACTCGTTGTCTGCCCAAGCTTGTTGGTCGGTCGCCGAGCAAACACAGCCTGACCGAGAATGACTTGCGTGATCGAAACAAGAAGAGAATCGACTGCCAGATTGTAATTCAGGGACGACTTTCAACATCTCCGCCCCGATCGCCGCAACCCAAATTACGCCCACATGCCTACCGCGAACACATCTTGCAATCGTACTATCTTACCGCGCGAATATCTCTAAAGAGAAGCCTTACCCAGGAAAGGAGAAAAGAGATCTCTACTCAGATTCCTGCCGCCCACTCGTACATACCTTCCTCGTCGACACACATACACAGTCTACCTCACTTCATCACGATCATCATCATCATCATTATCCAATTCTACTCCAACGAAAAACCCCTTACATCCCCACCAAAAATGGGATCTCGCCTCTCCAATCCGTTCCAAGAGCTCCCTCGCCCCTTTAACATGCTCAACTTTAGGGGAGGTAAGACAAATATGAGGCGCTGGAATTGGAGTGGTCGGGAGGGATATAGCGTGAGACTGAGCAAGATCTGAATAGACGCTGGGATGAGACGCGCTATAGAGATGACCTTGGCTTCTGAGATCCGAGCTGGGCGAGGATGGTCTATGTGGTATAATTACTTGGAACCAGTCTATCATGTTTCTAAATCATACAAAGGAAATGTCCATGCCAGACGCGCGCTTTGTTATGCTTCCCTTTCCCCGCGACTAACGTGCACGGCCTGTGCTGGGTTGAACCCAGCAGCTGTCTCAGCATCGTACACATCTGCTCGCTCGAACTCGTGCTCTCGCTGCTCCGCCGCAGGGTCAACCTCTTTCCTCTGCCTGTGCACGCTTCCCGTGCATACAGCGAGCAGGAACGGACTCATCATCACCATGCCTTTCTTCTCCTCCTTCTTCACTATGCCCTCGTTGTCAACTTTCTTCGGGTTCCCGATCCACACATTACCCAGGAACGCCGACGCAACGATGCTGAGCGCCATGAACGGCAGCACAGAGATGAAGCCCCACATAATGGCCCTCGCAGCAGCATTGCGGACTGCTTCTTGGGCAGCAGGGGGCAGGCTGTTCAGAGAGTCGAGGTTCGTAGGCCCGGTGGTCCCGCCATTGAACGAGGAACTGTTTCCCGGGTCGATAGCGGACAGGTACTGCGCGAACTTGTTGCTAAACACCGCGCCCATCATTGAGATACCCAGCGTCTCGCCCAGTGGAAGCGTAAAGCTGAGCACGCTCTGCATCGCCGCCAGACGCGTTGGCCAAATCCCTGCTGCGTGCAGGACCACGGGCATAAATCGAAATGCTGTTCCTGCGCCAGCGACAGCAAGGAAGACGCTCACGAGCGTGGTGTTCCGCGTAGAAATCGCCCACGTCATTGCTGCGAGACCGACGGCTTCTACAATAGAGCCAATGAAAAGCGGGTAGAACGTTTGTTTGGGCCAGTAGTTGCACATGGCGAGCGTGATATAGACACCCACTCCAAGACCTGGAGTGTAGTATAGGAGCTGAGTGCCGGCTTTGGAGGAAGGATAGCCCTCAGCAAGCTGCCAGTAGTAGGAGACGAAGTAGAATGCTGAGACGAGAGACACGCCTGCGGAGAAATTGATGATCATGAGAAGCGTTGTGTCCTTCTTACGGAAGAGCGTCGAGGGTATCATGGCTACTTGGTGCGTGAAGATACGCGCCATGAAGCGGCCTGGGCCGAGAAGGTATTCGTGGGTAAAGAAGACGACGAGGAGTACCCCCCCGACGACGAAGGGGACGATGGTGGCGGGTGAGTCCCAGGCGTAGGAAGTTCCGCCCCATTGGACGGCGAGGATGATGAGCCCGATGCCAAAGATGAAGGTTATCATGCCGATCCAGTCGATGTATCCGAGGCCGGTAATGTAGCCAGTGCGTCTAGAGTCGCCCGGGTTCAGAGCGACGCGACCTTTCTTTAGTTCCTTGCGCATAAGCACGAAGATGAGAACATGAGAGACGACAGCGATCGGGATGGGGATCACAAAGCAATACCGCCAGCTTGCGCTGGTGAGATAGCCTCCGATCACGGGGCCCACGGCATAACTGCGGTACAGATTAGCGAGAATCCCTTGAGGAATCTTGTAGGAAGTAGTACCTGATGCCGTTGATCAAACTGAAGATGGTGTTGTTCTTTGAGTTATCTGCCAAACTCATGCCGTCGGACAGGACAATGCGCGTGAGATTCAGGATACCAGCGGCCCCCAAGCCCTGGAGCGCTCTTCCAAGGAGCAGCATTCCCCAGGTAACTGAAGATGCGCAAAGTACGCTACCAATCATGATCCAAAACATCTGCCACTGGAGAGCGGCATGTCTCCCATAGACATCTGCAAGCTGGCCAGATACTGGGACAAAGGTGGTAAAAGTGAGCGTATAGGCCGCGACGATCCAGTTGAAGCTTCCACTCAGATGGTCTGGAACTGTCAGTGAATGTTAGTTGGGTGCAGAGGGTTCACATACTGAAATGCGATGAGATGGTAGGGATTGCTGGAGCCACAATCGTCACATCGACTGCAGCGAGGAAGTTTGGAAGCACCAAGCCAGCCATCAATTTCCATCGACGTATTGTCAATCTCCTAGCCTCTTGCCTTAGCCTCTCATTCTCGACCGTGTCCCTTGCGGCGCCTGGTTTAGTGATGTCAGAGTTTTGGTGTGTGGGAGCTGCGTGGTCGTCGTTCGCCGTTGACGGAGGCGACGCATATGGCGACAGATGTATATCGTCTGCGGTTGAGAAGGATCCTTTTTTCGCTTTACTCTCCTTAACCCTCCGTCGTATATACTTGTATAACATGTATGCCATCGCGTGTTGTAAACAGCCCGGAATGGTTCGATGACAGCACAAGGATCGGAAAATGAAGTCTGCAAGTTGACTTGAAGAGCATGAGCCTGAGCGCAGGACTTTGTACGTACTGCGAGCATCATTTTATACAACTCAGGGCTGCGCCCAGGTGTGCCCCAGCAACTATACCTGTTCGGGGTTGCTCAGCGTGAAATAGGCCCACCCTCGACCACCCACACTGTAGGCCGATTAGACATGCTGCCTACTGCATGTTATTTCGCAGACAGGGTATGGTCTGTGGCTGAGGCGCGCCGGTAGAGGGTCGTGGTAATGAACGGCGCGCACGGTCGCAGCCGCGATGCATGCCGGAATAAGTAATACACTAACCCTAGACGCACATGTACATGCGTGAATCCGTCGTATTCGTGGTTCAGCTGTGGGAGTGATACACCTGTCTTCGCAAGGCTATCGCTGTTAGGTTAGGAGAAGTGTGATTCGGTGTAAAAAAAAAAAAAATGTGGACAGTACGTCGTTGACGTCTGAAGATGGAACTCTGTGTCGCAGCCGTAGCTCAGTGAAGACCCTGGTGAAGATCGCGTAGTGCAGCCCCCAACGTGCCGTGTGCTAATACGAAGCGGATGCGAAGCTCGCCAGCTGGAAAAACAGTGGACGGAAATGGTCTGACCATCGTCAAGTAGAGATACCATTAGCGAGGTGGGAAATAAGCCCCGCCAAGGGCCATAGGGCTGCCTGCGTCATCCCTCGCAGTCCTGCAGGCAGCTCGTCCCACAAGCTCCAGTCAACAACAGTTGCTACACGAAAATGAAGCCGGTTATCGCGGTTCCAGCCATAGCGGCACTTGTCTACCGGGCCTGGTCGCGCAAATCGCTCACGCCTGTGGGCATCCTCGTGGCTTTGATTACCGCTGTGGTGCATGCGATACATCCGTGGAGTGTGTGCTTTGCGCTTCTGGCCGTCTTCTTCCTTGCTGGAAGTTCCGCAACTAAGGTGAGTGTCCAGACCTATGAAATTTGATCGCAGAAGCTAATATGATCTTAGGTCAAGCATGACATCAAAGCGAAACTCACGCAATCCGCCGACGGTGCCGCGGGCGGTGAAGGCCCCCGGAATCACATTCAGGTCCTCGCGAACTCACTCACGGCATCTATATTGATTCTATTGCACGCGTGGCAGTTGAAGAAAGAGGGCATATACGCAAAGGACGACTTATGCTGGCGGCGCGGAAGCGATGTGCTTGTCGTAGGCATTGTAGCGTAAGATCGGTTGCCTGGCACTGCTCATGTCACGAACTTACATTCTACCAGCAACTATGCAGCTACGTGCGCCGACACACTATCCTCAGAACTCGGCATCCTCTCACGATCGAAACCCCGCCTCGTCACAGCACCCTGGCGCATCGTTCCTCCGGGCACAAACGGCGGAGTGTCTTTAGCTGGATTGAGCGCTGGTCTGCTCGGTGGATTCATCATCGCGATCACATCTACTCTCCTAATACCTTTCTGTGACAATTGGAGCTTTGGGGACAAGATCAAATATACGCAGTCTATCGCTCTTGCCGGCTTGGGTGGATCAATTTTGGATTCTTTTCTCGGTGCCGTCTTCCAAGCCAGTGTAGTCGACATTCATTCTGGTAAGGTCGTTGAAGGTGCGGGCGGTAGAAAAGTTCTTGTGCACGGGCATCCGATGCACTTCAAGCCTGCAGCAGAGTTTCGGAGCCAGGCGGGCCGTGGAGAGGGCAAAGACGGTATCGCAAAGACTTCCGCCATCGACCTAAGCTTGGACGATTCAGTCAAGGTATCGAGGACTATGCAACAGGCTGGTGCTAGTGGGACTGCTGTTGGAGATGCTCAGCATGAGAGCCGTAAGATTGCCGTTGGGTACGACATCCTGGACAACAATGCTGTGAACCTGCTCATGGCAGCTCTGGTGAGTGTAGCATCGATGGTAGGCGCGTGTTTGATCTGGGATGTCCCTTTTAGCAATGTTGTATCTCTCTAGATGGCAGATAACAAAGAGAGCTTCCAAGCAGCCTGCCAGGCAAACTTTGGTGTGCATTTCGCTCAGAGTCGACGAGCACTTTCCCACGCTAGCAGTATGCTAGAAACTTCACCTGAAAAGTGCTCGATACAGCATCAAATCAAGAGCCCAAAATTTCAACCCCAATCTTCTCAGTGTACATTTAACGAGTTCAATGTACATATGGGCTGAGGTAGCTCACCGCCTGCCTCTTTGAGAAGCTATGACCGCCAAGGCGCTAGGTGGCGCGTCACTTCGTAGCCTTACTGAGCTCCGACAGCACCTCCACTGCAGTACAGCTCCACATTCACCAATCCACTACCCTTTGCCCATTTCACACAGCCTCCGGATACCTTCTGCCATACTAGCCGATCCAAGTATCAGCCTGTAGCAGCGACAAACATCGAAAGCCTTCCCACCCCCACATTACCATGGTATGCATACTCCCCGCAGAGCTCGACCCATCTGCATGTGTGAGATACAAATATCGCAAGAGTGCTGATAGTCCCAGTCTCTCCGCTTCGTCCCCCAGAAGGCGCATCCCACGTCCACCTCCTTCGAGACCTCCGCGCCCTCCGCCCCTGGTGTGCACGATACTCTCCGTTCGCGCCTCGCCCAGACCTCCACACCCGCCACCGCATCATCATCGAACAAGCCTGTCGAACTACAATCCGCACACCCACTTGAAGCCCGACTCGTGCAATGGCGTGAGACCCAGGATAAGCTGAAGATGGAGATGCTGAGGCGCCAGTTCGGGATCGCGGAACCCATCCGGAGAGGCATGGAGCTTAAGACCGTCAGGGAGGGCGAGTGGAAGCCGGCTGTGCTTGGAGGCACCGCTGGGGTGCACAGGGATATTTTGGAGGGGCGGGACTGTGAGGTCGGGTGGGAGGACGTCTTCACTGGTAAGTCCGAGCTGAACGTAGTCCGAGGACGGGAAAGGAAGATCACGCGCGACGGTGCATGTGCTTGAACAAATCGCTAACCCCTGTCACAGGCAGCGAGCTCCGCGAAGTGCCCGACTTCCACACTGAGATGGAGGCGAAGATGAAGATGAACTGGTAGAGGAAGCTCAATCAGGAGGATATGTGGAGAAGGGGACGGGAGGGTAGACATTCGATTGAGCGACCAAGCTCGATGTTCCGAGTTTCAGCCTGTCGATTGACGGAGACATAGAGGACAACGAGCAGCTACGATATACCTCATGAATGATTGCAAGCGCATTCGAACCAAACATCTACATTTCGCAACACGCTTTCGCCAACTATCCCAGAAAGAGAGCAGACCTCAGTGATCAGCCAATACACCTGGTTTCCAAGCATATGGTCATTGACATTCCAAAATATGCTAATAAGACCCAGTATCATGGAGAGGTGGAATTGCTTCGGTGTCGGGCCACGGCTACATGCCCGAGCGATGACTACTTCGTGGAAGATTTCTGATTCATGCATCAGGTGGGAGTGTGTATGGCAGCAGATCAAAGATTAAGTTCCACAGGTTGAGGCATTGATAGCTAGTCGACATTTTTTACACTACAAGATCACGGAGACGACATTAGAATCTGAGGCTCAGCCGCTTGTTTTTCATTCCTGGGATCTTCCTGAAGATAGTTGTATCCGCTCCGTGTCTATTGGGGTGCCAATTTGTTTGTAGTATCGAGAATGAAGTTAGTAAAGTTTGCATACTTGGGATCTAGATCGATAGTAGAGGTCCGGGTAGGAGGGTAGGTAGGTGCTACAACATCGTACTATACGCCCAGGAGGACAAATGGTACTCACAGTGCAATCAAAAAAGTCAGTGGAACAGTAGACAACTCATAGCACCTCTCAATGAGTCCAAGCACCGAGTGTGCGAGTCAAGGGAAACTATTTCACGCTACGTCGTGATCATGACTATGGTGCAATACAAGCAATATGAAAGCCGTGTATGACTACCAGATAGAGTATCCGAGAGTCACAGAATTGGGCTAGACGACGCACACATTGTGAGATGTATTTATTTTCTTCCATGACAAAGGATTCACCCGCAGTCCCAAGCTTCAGCGGCATGGTACATACATGACTGCGATATAAAGACTGAGGTCTCGCCTAGATTATCGCACTGCACGTTTCCATATACAGAAGTCTCCCAGTGATATATCATAGGTGCTTCTAAATCTGGAGGTATAAGACCAACTCGTCCGTTCGGTCGCTTTGGTAAGATTTCATTACCGTTATCCTCCTATCTACGTGCGTTCGCTGGTACATCCAAACAGGGGGACTGGGCACGGTATATCGGCCTCACGTCAGTCTCAACCCTTTTGTTTCGAAATCGACGGATATGTGCTTTAAGATCGAGATACGGTCGGCACCGTTGACTTGTAGTTTGTGAATATCCCCCCCGCGCTCATGGTGGCAATTGAGCGAGGTGACCGCATGTAGCACGCGACGAAGATGAGATTGAACAACAGTCTGTTACTCCTCCAACGATTGCCATTACGGTTGATCTCGTGCCCAAACTAAAGTAACGCCATGATCAATTTAGCAATCCATCCTTCATCAGCACATGCATGCATACGGGTAGCACATCAACGTACCCCCTCCCAGGCCACATGGAGCTCCTACGCCTGCACCGCCATCAAATCCCCAATATCCTGCACGAAGAAACTCATGAAGAAACAGGTAATCCCAAACGCCAGCGAAACCCAATACGGCCACCTATACGCCAGCGCAAATGCCTCTTGTGCACTCGCAATAATAGGACCGTAGCTGTCCCTATCCAGCACCAGTGGATTGCTCTCAATAACCTCCTTCAGCTCCCTCAGTCGCGCATTTCCCACCAGTTCCACCATCTCCGCGATGAGGAGCTGGCCGGCGGGCGTGGTGTAGTTCACCATGCCATTTGCAATGATGGTATTGGTGGCGACAATCTCTGTCGCATACTCCGTGAACTTGTGGAAGAAGAGATTGGAGTACACGGCGAAAGCTATCGCGCCACCGATGTACCGGATGCTGAGGGTGATGGCGGTGATGGTGGCGATGAGCTCGCTGGGGCATGCGATCTGCGCGATGATGGAGGAGGGGATGATGACGCCGCCAACGCCGAGCGAGGCGAGCGTCAGAACGGCGTAGACGGTTTGCAGGTTGTGTGGGGAGGCGATAGAGAGCGCGCCAGTGCCGGCGGTCATCAGGCCGGTGAAGATGATCAGCAAGGGCCGCACGCGGCCTCGTGTGACGGGGATGAGGAGGAGGCAGATTGCGGCGCCTCCGATTATGCCGAAGCCGATGGGGAGGGAGCGGATGCCGATGCCGAGGGGATCATCACCTACACTGTGCGTCGGTGAAGGTTTGTTTGAGAAGGGGATGGAGCCTACCGTAGACGTTGTATACTTCTGTGGGCCAGAACAGTAAGAGGACGAAGTAGCTGCCGCCGCTGAGCCAGGTGATGAGCAAGATGACGGTCATTGTTCGCTTTGCTTTCTTGAATAGGGCTCGTGGGACCATTGGGTACGGTGCGCGAAATTCCCAGACGAAGAAGGCGATGATCAAGATGAGACCGAGTACCAAGGGCGCGACGTTGTGTGCACTACCCCAGGGATACTAACAGCGTTAAGACTCGATCATATGACCAACTACGAGAGGCACTCACTTGGGTAGCACCCCACTGCAACCCCATCATGAAGAGCGTAATACCTGCTGTGCTGAGTATACCACCGATATAATCAACCTGACGCAGGACATCCCTCGCAGTATATTCGGCGGTGAGGCGTGGTGGATCATGATAGCAGAAAACGCACAACAGCAGTCCAATGAAGTTCCTACATGAGAGTTACGACTCAAGCATCCCAATGGGTTACGCGGGACTTACCACACGCCTACGAATATGCCGTTGTAGCGCCAGTTGCTCGACTCCGCAATCATCTGGGCGTACAATACTGATGGGCAAAACGGGAGAATGGTGAGCACAACGAGGCCGACGTACTTCCCACGATCCTTTACTGGAACGACTTCGGCGGTGCCTGTATTGTCAATATACAGCACGAGGTAGTTCGGCAGTGACATGTACCTGCCAAGGCGATGAGCTCGTTCAGCCCAGCCCCGATACCCGAGAACATGCTACCAGCTGTGCATCATCAGTGACTCTACCAGTGGTTCATACACTTCACCTACCAATAGCGATGTTCATGGTCTTAGCCGTTGCCGTGATGATAGGACCGAGAATTAGACATGCCTGCCCGCCAATGGCAACATTTTGGCGTCCATAGAGATCGGAGAGCGCACCGACAAACGGGCAAAGCGCTGCGTTTGGGATGAGATATCCAATGACGAACCACACCCATCGGTCGACGCCGCCAATGTCCTGGTAGATCAAAGGCAGGACCGAGCCGAAGAGGTAGAGGGGAATCTGCGAACCGATCCATAGGAACGACATGCATACCAGAGTCATGAAAAGCTTGCCATTGAACTGGTGACTTGTCAGTAAGTATTTGATAATTAATCGTTCGGATGCAGTGGATGTTCACCTTCTCATACACGATAGGTCCTTTGGTGACAGGAGCGCCTGTGCTGTTCCCAGGCGTCTTTTCAGCATCGCTCGGCGTGGTAGGAGAAGCTAAAGTCTCCATGTGTACGACTTCGTCGTGTGCCTTCTCAACATCGCGCGGACGTCGCTCTGCCTTGGCTGTTGCGTGCATCTTATTGATTGTGTATAGCTGAGAGAACATGAGGCGTTGTCTGTAGGCTGAAACCAGAAGGGCAGGGCTATCCTCCTTGTACGGATTCAGTTATCGAGCAAGTGTTGCTTGCATCTTCCGTCTCAGTTGCTCTTAACTTGTCCTCGCCGAGAGCTCGAGAAGGATGAATCGCACTCAGGCGATCGCACAGCCGCGGCAACATCGCGAGGCGCTCGTACTGCGCGCGGGGTCATCAAACTCGATTGACAGGGATGGATAGTTTAGCACTCTGTGCGACCAAAGAGAGTGGCAAGAAAGCTCTTGGTATACATTGTTGGTCGCTTGTACGCTTCCGTGGGATGATGCGGGGTCCCCGCATTTGCTGGGAGGGACGTCGAGATGCTCGACTTGGAGCACCGAATGTGTTCAAGATCGGGGCAAATCCCCGCATATTGACGCCTGCTAGGAAGTGCAATGTTATCATACCATGATGGTCAGCACAATGGTCCAAAAGCGCCCAGCCATAACATCTTTCTGGCATCGGTCGAGTGTGCTTTGCACTGGATGAGGTGCCTACATGTGAGGATTGTTTGCGGTCTCACATATCGGACGGACGACGCAAGGAGCAGTTCTAAATCTTATAACGTAGTTATAACTTCATGACTAGGTCACCACGGTGGCTGCACCTCATCCAGAAGACGGATGCTGTTGTGTTTCGACTGTCTCCGCAGGACAAGTCTTCACACCTCAGTCTAGGCTTGTCGCCCTGCCCAGCACGCTATCAAGAGTGGGAGTATTGAATCTAGATTCGACGAGTGCCCTGTAGAGGATCAGACTTGGCGCGCATAGAGGTCCCTCGGACCAAGCCTTTTCCGCGTTACTATCGAGCTAGAGCTCTGAGATGTACACTTTGAGAGCGTGTCTGACAATACAGCTCTCCTGTCTCCAAACTCTTCGTACGGCGTCGTGTCAATCTCCAAGGAACAAGGTCCTGCTCGGTCTGTTGTCTGGCTTCATCTCTTTCTACTTAGCATGCGACTGGGGCCAGACTGGAGGATGATGGATCAGTGTCCATGGAAGCCCACAGCCTGTGTTTCCAACGCTGACTGTTGGATCGATGTGTGTCCAAGCTGGGATCGGACCAGCAGGACAGATCACTGGCTATTACCGACTCTCAAACGTGTGGTTGAGTTTCGCCATGGTCGCGAAGCTGGCGAAAGGCTATTGCGCGCGTGCAGCGTTGAGAGCGGCGGTGCGTGCATCGAGACTTGTTGTGCACGTGCTGATCGACATGATGGTCAACATGCCTTGATGTCTGTTGATGAAAGGGCAACACGCTGGACATGGGACTTCCAGAATCCCAATTGCACACTGGTTGGTAGGTGTCGTCGCTCAGGAAGATGCGCATTGCATCCCCAGCGCCCAGCGAGCTGGAGTGAATGCTAGCGTGGGCAGCTGCAGGTTCCACCAATGGCGCTTGTGGGCAGGGACACTCAAAACCTGAATCAGCGCAACGCTAGGAGGCACCCGGGGAGACTTGCCAGCGCGGCGGCGCAGGCCGGACAGCGCGTGCTGAGGCCACGGAGGGCAATGGCGGAGGGCAACGGCAGGCCGCTGCGACGACAGGCAGCGTTGGCCGGGGCGCGGCGCGCGGCTGGGTGCCTGTGATTCTTGGGAGTGTGGAGAGGCGGTCCTGCATGATTGCGGAGAACAAGGCCTGGACGGGAGCCGGCTAGTCACGCCGCTGCTAGGGCTGGCCTGGGCGTCCGCCGCCTGTGCACGACGCTCCTCCCGGCGCTTTCATCCAACGTCGCCCGTCTCGCTCGCCGCCAGACTATCCTTCGCCTGCTTGCCCGATTGCGAGGCAACTGCGCAGAGCCGCCGTCCGCATTCTTTTGCTGCGTCTCCGTAGCACGCAGCGCCCGCTTGCCCGTCCACCACGCCTTCGCTACTTGGCGGCCCTTTCGTCGTTCGCTCCGGGCCCCGGCCATGGCCTCTCCCTCCGACGCCCCTTCACCTGCACGCCCGTCCTCACGGCCGGCGAGCGGACACGGTGCACCGTCCACCGACCCTGTAGAGATGCACACACTCGCCACGTCGGCCCTGGAGCCCGCAACAGCAGCAGAAGCGGCAGACAGCACTGCGCACACGACCGAGGCGGCTCCTGCGCCGTCGCCAGATGCACCAATACCCCATACACAAGAGGCGCTGCCGCAAGAGAGCATAGAACCCGCGCCTGCACCGAAGCCCGCTCCGCCCGTCGATCTAAGCCGCAGCGAGACCGAAGCAATTGGCCCCTCGACCGACACCCCGGCCGCGAATCCAGACAGCTCCAATGGCCCTGTCGTTGTCATCATGCTCCTGCTTACAACGGGTGCACGGCACCCCTACAAGATTGACGAGAGATATCTCAAGAAGCGCAATGTCACCGTCGATGATATGGACCCGTACAACATAAGCGTCTACACGCTCAAAGAGTTGATATGGCGCGACTGGCGAGAAGGTCAGTACTATCGTCCGTAGGCACTTTGTCACGCGATGCTGCTACCATGGCATGTTTAGCGTGGTGCTGTGAATTCCTTTGCCACGGATGCGGGTTGGCTGACCGCCTCAACAGAATGGGAGCCGCGACCCACCTCGCCCAGCTCGATACGATTGATACACTTTGGCCGCATGCTAGACGATAAATCGCCATTAAAAGGTAAGCACCACATCTCGCACTCCCCGCATCATGTCTTGGCGTGGCTTGCGTAGCTGCTGGGCATGACCACAATTGGCTGCGACGCCGCTTCGCTTTCTGCCCCTACAAATGCTACATTCGCTAACTTCGAGAAGAGTGCCGGTTCCAGACTGAGACTCCCAACGTTGTGCACATGACCGTCAAGCCGCAGGAGATTGTTGATGAGGAGGACGCAAAGACCGGCAAAGGCGGCAAAACAAGAGATTCAGATGAGGAGACCCATGCAGGCTGTCGCTGCGTCATCCTCTGAGTTTACTCCGGTCCCATTGTACTGACGCAACGATCACGACAGGCTGCCTCCTTAAGCCATTCACAAAACCTTGCATCCTTCGCTTACCCGACATCGAGGAGCGTCTAATCTCGAATACGAACGACAGTTGACGACGGCCGACACACTATTGCCAGCACTTTTTCTGGAGAACGTCCTGTTGTTCCAGCTCTCAAGACAGCATGATTCCGATCATTCTCACCCGCCCGACATCTGGCGACTACAAGTCACTAAATACAGCTTAAGCGTAGTTTTTCTTTTGGCACGGATGTCGCCTCTTGCCCTGTTGTCATTCATATTGTGCATAGGATTTTTGGGTATGGAGGCTTGTTCTTGCTAAATTCAGCCACGGTAGCGTCTATTGTAGAGGTGCTTGATTCTACATTGCGCGCATGAGCCGTGAGCTATTATTCTTGTACAAGTAGCGTTACACTTGGCAATAGCCGCTGCTCTGCCCTACCTGAAATCTGGGGTAAATAGATATCTTATCTGCTCATCATGAGCTCAATTCCTAGATCTTCCACTTGCGTGCACCCACTATGCACCAAGTTCCATCCTTTGCTATGCAATGGATGCATAGCTTTTCTTCTGAGCAACGAGCCTTCCTGCATAGCATCCCTTGGATCTACCATGCAAGCGAAAGTCACTTTGACCTAGGGTGCTCAACGATCCGAAGTAGTGCACTGATCATGCCAAGATGGGTAGATCGACACCCCTGCCACTCTTCTGCGTCATCGCTTAAGCTCGGCTGCCACCACTTCGCATCAAGCTCAACAGCACCACGAGCTACTGAACCACTTACTGTTGCGATATAGCTGTTCAACGGCAGCTACAGAAGGTCAGGATGGTGCTACAAGATATTGGGACACCCGAGGACAGCTTCAGCGACAACCCGTACCCCTCCGACAACGATGCCTACACATCCACCGCCCCGGCCGGCCAACGATACGATGCCAGCATCCTACCCCAACCGCTACCTTTCATCGGGCCGCTCTTGGGCTTCTCCAGCGGCACCGTACGGTTCAAGACGGAATCGACCCTCAAATACGCCGAGATGAAGCTCCACCGCCCCTTGACAGCCGAGGAAGCGCAAACTCTTGCTGGCCACCTATACCAGCTTGAGCAGACCAAGTCATACTTCACCGCCGCCGGCGCTGGCGCAGGCGTTTATAGATGGTACAAAACTTGGGAATTGTGCCGATATCCGCTGTATAAGCCAAAGCCCGAGGACATAAATCCGAACAAGTTTCTTTTCGTCAAGGGCCCAATGGCCCAGTATGCGCGACACAGCTGGAGACTTTTCTGCTATGTTTTTGTTGCAGGCGAGCTGGGAAAACTTGTCGGGCAGATCTTAGCGCAACCTGTTGCCGCGCAAGCCTCCGCGAACGACCCGAAGCTGGTGCAGTTTGCAGCGGACCTCAAGAACTCCATCTCGTCGGATACTGCACGTATGAACAACAGGACCGCACGGTCGAGCGCCGACGAAAGGAGGGCAGCGTGGGAGGCTGCGGCCAAGTCTAGAGCGGGCGGGGACGCAAACACCGAGTCACGGTCGAGCGTTCAGAAACCCACATACGGCGATGATGACATGTCTCCTACCGCAGGAAACGAGCCGTGGCCCTCGTCACCAGACAACTCCTGGGGCGACTCGAGCTTCTCGTCGGAATCAGCGCCTACAACGCAGTCGCGACAGCAACCTTACAGTCAGCAACCGAGGAGACCATCACACCGGGACGAAGACGACACCTCACCGACAGGAGGAATGTTTCAGGATGAAGTGCAGAGCCAGTCGAAGTCCGGGGAGTCTGCGTGGGACCGCCTGCGCCGGGGAGGTGTGCCGACACCGCAAGGTCCGCCACCATCTATGAGCAGGCGGCAGCCGCCGCACCAGGAGCAAAGAGAGGGTTCTACTCTAGGCGATAGCTTCACGTTCGTGGACTCCGATGATGATCGAAGAAGAGAAAGAGAGAGAGCAAAGAAGGAATTTGATGCGAGGATCGACCAAGAAAGGCAGGGCAAGGACTTCAACGAAAACAGAAGGTGGTAGTAGCAGTTGTTGGTTAAGGATGGTATGGCCCTGGCGTGGTGTGGGATCTCCGAGAATTGTGCGCCGAGTACGGCGGTGAATGGTAGTACGTGGATCGAAGAGGTTCGAATTCTTGCATGCTTTGTAACAGCTAGGTATGTACAATACGAAGTCCAGTATTCCTACTGTTCTTTCCTCCTCTATTGTGATCTTGGGACATGATTGAGCAAGCTCCGGCCTTGTACATACATGTTATATACTGCCACGACCCATCGCGCCCTGCTATCTCAACTATACTTTATTACCGAATCATCCAAGCGATGCAAATTCTATCGCGCTGACTGATGTCGCCCAAAGCCTTGAGCTCTTGAAATACACCGGCTGGCGCGAGCCGCAACCTTAGATATCCACTCGCTCTCACAGGCTGAGTCCACCCACGGTGCCGCTGCCCGCCACCCACACGACACGAGCGAGCGCGCCAACACGCGACGACCACGAGGGTCGAACCACGGTTCTGTGATGACCTTCGGTGATAGGTTTTCCGCACCATTCAGGGCAAGCGCTTTCCATATCCACCCCAGCATGACTGCGAAATCCTGGACAGAGCCAAATGTGAAACCAGCTACCATGTTTGCGAAGCGCAAGCCTACCGACACTACAGCACATGTACGCCCTGCAAAGAGAAAATCTGTCGTGGCCGATTCAGTTGCGGATGACGCTAGTGGGCGAGGTACGTGGGCCGCTCGTTCCCAGCAATCACTTTCACCTTGATCGCGGTTCACTCCAGCTCAGCAATTATAAACTGCGTCTTCTGCTCCCGCCCCTCTCTTACTCGAACACCACACTCGTCCCGCCCCTCGCGCCGCAACCTGCTTGCGACGTGATTGCTGACAACCACAAAGCAGGTGCCATGAGCGACAATCCTATGGCCGAAGGTGACAAGCCCACAGTCATCGACTTGAAGATGGACGAGGAAATGTCCGACCTCCCGACTGCTGGGGCTGAGAAATCCTCAGACTCGGGACACTCTCCTGCTGGCTCGGCTCGGCAACCTTCGCTCGACACGCGAATTGACGGCACCCAACCTTCACTCATGCCTCGAGACTCTCAGTCACCGTTCGCGAGTGAGAGTCGTATTCTGGACAGCGAAGCTCAGATCTCGCCTGCGGCACAGCCAGACGTATCCTCGACCAATACGTGGCGTGGTGACATGGTGACCGTAGCAACTTCACTGAACCAACTGACGGGCAACATACCACACTCCTCTACTTCACCACCTCGTCCTTCAGCTGGTCCGTTAGTACCTCGTCCCCAACTAGTTGGCCCTTATGGTACAGGATTAGCGGGTCTGTCACAATCATTCGGATTCCAGGCTCAATTTCTAGATTTCGTCGATTCATCGGGACACGGACTCTTTGGCCGACCAGAAGCTCAGGCCCATGTGGCAGCTGAGAGACAGCTGATCTTGCAGGCCTTCCAAGAGCCGCCATCAACGCCCTCCGGTCGCCATTCACAGCAGCAGCGCGGATCTGTTACAACGCCGAACATAAGTCCGCCTCCGATGCACCGTTCGCGAAACAAGCAATGCTGCTCGTCTCCTGCCCTGTCCTTGGCCCAGCGCGGAGGGCTGGTCTATTGCCAGAACTGTCATTGTGCCACAAAAGAAGACACCGAAATTAGTGATGCATCTTTTAGCACTTCTTCTAGCTCTTCTTCTTCGGAAACCCTAGTTCAATGCTGTTTCAACCCGAACCCTTTCGATATCAGCGAGGAGGATGATATCACTGGCCCCAATATTGTGTGTCTCAATTGCCACACGCCGCACGATGCAGCGGATATCTTCGCACCAAATACACAGTCTAAAGCTGCCAAATATTTGGTGTCAGAGTCCTCCAGCTCGGTTTTCTTGCGCGGACGGGCCGTGTCGTTGGATCGGTCTACCGCTATCGAAGACAAAGGCGAAGACGACATCAAGCACCTTGGCTCTATGAATGTGAAGGAAGATCTAGATCCGAACCGCATCCGCATGGTAAAATACATAAAAAGTGAACCAGGCGAGATACCGAGGCCATACAAGCCAGTACCAACAGTATACCGCCAGTCATTTGGCGAGGCTCTGTTCAGTCAGTGTTACGACGCAGAAAAGAGCTTTTGTCCTGCCCCTTTTTTCCAAAAGTTCATGGAACTTCCGCGGGAACTACGCGAGCGGGTCTACGGATTCGCGTTGAAGAGCGACAAACCTATCGCCCCTCATCTTTGCGATGCAGGCCGGCCAGCTTCTGAAGGCAAGGCTGATTACGGAAAGGCTATCCGGTTCCACGACGAGAACCAGACCGCTCACAATGCTACCTGCAAGCTTCTCACAATAACGCGCGTCTCGAAGCAGGTCCGCGAGGAGAGTCTGCCCATCTTCTACGGCGTAAACACCTTCCAAGCTAATGGAGATACGCCGACCTACTTCTTCCGTCTCCAACAGCTGGGTCGTTTCCATATGATCCGCCACGTTGACTTCTGGGTCCGGTTCTGGAAGAACGATCAATACCCGCAAAAGCATATGAGGATGCTTTTGCAGAATATCGAGGAACAGAAAGCCTTCGAGATAAACCACCGACAAGCGAGACAGAATGAGCGCTCCAACAAGGCCAAAGCAGCAACTCCGGCCAAGATCACAGCCGCCAAAGGTCGGCTCTCCAAGGTCCCGAATGTCTCAGAGGATACCAAGTTCTACACCGACGATGTTGATGTCCTGAAGAGCCACCCGCTACACCTGATGGGCGGGCTTGAAGCACACTTCTCGTCCTCATTCCTCGTCCTTCGTATGCTGAGTGCTCAGTTCCAAGATAGCGAATACAACCGCCAGCTCGTCATCCACGTGCCCACCACAACGCTCTTCGAGCAGTACAATAGCTTGAAGTACTTTCCCTCGGTGTGCGAGGGTCTCGGCATCCAGCTGAAGCTCATCTCAGGACGCCACGTCGAATTTTATGGCTCCTCGTTCCGCTTGAGCTGGGCCCAGAAGTACCAGAAGAAGGACTTCACGGCCTCGACGACGGCAAAGGATTGGGATGAGGCGGAGGCGCTGACTCAGCGTGTGCAAGCCCTGTATCCAAACATTGAGGAGTTGAAGAGGCCTGCAAAGTGGACGTACATGCGTCGCCTTTGCAAGCAGAACGAGATCGAGTGGTTCAGTATCAAGACTGCTGGTGGTGGCATCCGCTAGTGCGGAATGCGATGACGCGCGACCGACATCGGGTGGTGTATGAGTTACTGTGCAGCATCAAAGTGTCTCAGTTGAAGGGAATGCATTAATAGCTGTGCTGCGAAGCTTGCATGTGTCTGGGCTGAGCTTTGCCAGTTGCTTGTCTTTTGTTCGGACTATGCAAGCATGCTATCACAAATCGGAAGGAGCTACGGTATGAGGAGTGGTGCACGGTGGAGGCGCTTCAACAAAATGCTCGAGCTTGTATATACTTACCACAATGTCATCAACTGGCATATTATGACGCATATGTGCGCGGATTTCGTACGGGGCTCGCTCATCGAAGCGGTTCTTGAGACCACACCAGCTATCACACATGACCAAAAAATCTATTGACACATCCTGCTCTTTCCCCTCTCGCGTGCATGCTTTTGAACCTCAAGCCATGTCAAAAATCGAGTGCGGCTTCCTTCCCTTCGCTCTACGTCTACCTAATCCTTGCATAACAGTCAACGTCGTATGACCTCGCGCCCTTGCATGCCGCAACCTCACCTCTGCCGTTATCCTTCAAATACATTTACGCGCCAGCAACCATATCACTCTACAGACAGAAATTGCCACCATCCGAGCAGACAACCAATCATGAACCTCTTCCTATGCCTCTCCTGTGTCCTCGTCCTGCTTACCCTCTCCGCGCTCGCAACCCCCACCTTCCCAGCCTGCGGCACCATAACAACCCTCCAAAACAGGACCTACACCCTTCGAAACGCAGGCCGCACCTCCTGCCAGCCGCTCACAGTTCACGGTCGCCAGATCGATCCTAAGACCTGGAACATCGTTGAATTCTGCGCTTGTCGTTTGTACACGTGAGTACCGTGCCTTCATTTTTGAGGGTGATTCTGTGGAAGATGGGAGTCTGAGATGTACTGACGCTCGGTAGTGGCAGCGAGATGGCGAGGCCGTGCAGTGCGGCGTATTTGTGGAAGGAGGTGGAGGGTCCGAGTCTGGGGCAGTTTGAAGGGCCGAGGGTTGTTGATTACGAGTGCTGGAACAGGGAGATTTGGGAGTGAGTGTTATCAGTGTCTGGGATATATCGTGGTTACGTGGTCAAGGTGTTGCTGATACAATTTGGATGTAGGTTGCTGCATTATTCGTGATAGGCGAGAGCACAGCATCTGCTTAATTTTTGTTATTATCTTTAACTTATCGTATTGTCGTTTCTCTACTAGAACTGCTTGGTTATATTACTAGGATAGTTTAGACAAAGGTAGTTAAGATGATAATACTCCTAGAGCTATAATTTATACATAACTCGGCCTAATTGCCCTAATGCTCTCTTAGCTTAACAGGCGCCTACAGGCACCCACGCGAGTGACCTCCCGTTTGTTCTTCAACGGCTCTAGGATCCACACATGGTGGTTACGTAGGGAGGCTATTTTCCCAGTTGGGCACGAACAGTATCTGGGATAAGATGTGATTCATCTTTTTGAGCGCGACCTTTTCACAAACTGCAGGCGTCGAACATTGATTTACGGAGCCTGGAGCGTTCCGCCAAGGAGCTTTCTCGAAGAGGTCCTTTTCGATAAAACTATATGTCCCATATCGCCAGTATCCCATCATCAATTCCACCCTCTAGATACATTGCACCTAAATCAAGAGTTATCTAAGAAAAGTTTTCTTAAACTTAAGATTTTTTTTACTGGGAGCTCGGAATCTTGAATGTCGAACCGCACTAGCACAATAAAAATCTTCTCAAAATCGACCATAAAGTCCGGGGCAATTGCCAGGTCCTTCGCCTTTTTCAGGTCTATGTCGTCCTTCTCTTTACCCCTGTCGTCCAGGGATTAGCGCCGAAGGTCTGAAGCACGTGAAGTGGGACACAACACGCTCACCGGCATTGGAATTTCTCACCTATTTGAGCCAGCAAGCAGCACCACAGGCTTATGCGAGTCCTGCTGTGTCTATATTGCACTTTTATGGAATATATTTCCATGGAGGCAGTGCTGCTGGGTAGGAAAACTCTGTTGGATGCTCCCAGGACCTCGCGTCGTATTGCTCTAGTGACCATCGGGCTTCAGCAGAAGTGGATCTTCCCCGGCTAGACTCACTCCCGGAGGCAAGGAAGTCCGCGGAAGACCAGATCTGGGCCCGTGGGAAGACCTGGGATACTTTGCATCATCTATACTGCACTACAAAGACCTTGTGTCGGAACTGCAGTCTTGGATACAAGAACTCGCCAGTCAAACTTCGACGGTCGCACCTTGGTACAGGGCAATTGCGGTGCGCTTGCACTTTCCAATTTTCCGAGGCGCATTGCCACCATGCGTTCTCGAAGAGCTTCTGGTTGCCATCGTGGGTTACGAAAGCGATGCTTTGGAGCGTCACCATCGCGGAGATACTGAGCATCTCGGACAGGCAGCCAGAGGTCGGCGCGTTGACGAATCGTATCTCGCGAGGATGTCTAGATTCAACTCTGGGATTTGATTGTAGATAATAAGTTGAACTTTTGTCCTGCTAGTGACCGTCGCGCCTGCCCAAGGTGAACGTCGGCCACGCTTATGTACACTAGTGTATAGCGACTTCTCTTATATAAACAATCGCTTCAACGGATCATTCTCTCACTCGAGAACACTGAGCGCTCGGGAATCCAAAAACGCGAACAACACCCATCCCTGTTCGTTACAGCCGGCAACAACACAATATGCGCTTCTTCACATTTCTCCCGGCGCTTGCTCCACTGTGCGGGCTTGCTGCTTCCGCGGCGGTATCTGCGGCAGGTAGCGGTGTCCAGAAGTTGTTCGAGCGCAGCCAGCTTGCTCTCCAGGCCCCAAAGCTTCACCGCGCGCCCGAAGGCCATATCCAGCGGAAGCGTGACGCTGAGCAGATGTTCACCTTTGGTGGATACGCATCGAATCTGACGGGCGACGGCAACTATCTGAAGTTGGAGGAACCCATCGAGGCCAACGGCCATCCGCACCCGTGGTGCCAGGGCTTTGAGGGATCCAACGGGTACACCGAGGGACAGGAGCCCACCATCCATTACGTGCACATGGACAAGGCAAAGAATGAGTCCGATCCTCCTGGCATTCCTCAGTACATCTGCTGGTTCTACAAGTAAGTTTGGACCCATCAACCAATTAAGTTTGGGGTACTAATGATCTCAGTGACTTTGACTGTGACCCAACTAAGGGGGCCGTAGGGTCATTCAAATTTACGCACACACACTTGACCGACTTGGATAAGAAGGATAAGAACGGTGATGATTCTAATACGAATCGTGACTTCCCGCTCATGTCAGGCGGAGCTAATCGCTTTGAGTGGATCAAGGCATACGGCTGCATGTTCTACGTTGACAACCCCTCCGCCAATGAAGACTCCGGCAATGATGTTGGCCAAGCTGGAATTGCGCAAGACGGTACTACTGGGACTGAGCTTTCTGCTGCAGAGCTGGAAGCTGGTCAAATGATAAGTGCGTACATCCAGATTGACGAGCAACGACAGATCTAACACCCATGTAGGGGCATTGGCAAAGTGAGTCGTTTCTTGCGACGGGACTGAGTAATCGTGCCTCGCACGAAGGCACATCACGATCTTTTTTTCTTTTTCACCGGTAATTGAGGAGCTTGATCTCGAGACAGAATTGTGGTTGAAGTCCAGCCCCAGCTCTCGCTGCATAATATCAAGGAACTAAGCCCTGAACATGAGCTTCCCGCTTTTCCATCATTCCATCGATGCCGCTCTCCCCAGAACGCCTTCAAGCGTTCATCTGGTCTCACATATCCTCCCGCCTCACCTTATCACCGTAGACCTTACAGCTACGCCACCAACGCCCTCACCTCAACCACCATTTCAGCCAACGGAATCAATCCCCTCGCCACATGCTTCCCATACCACCTCCTCCACCTCTCCCTTCCCACTCTTATCCCCCCAATCTGCCTTCCTCCTCTCCATCCTCTTTGCACTGCCTCAATCTTCCCCATGCCTCGCTGTTGATCACGTGGGTATTCGATCCAGGGTCGAGGATCCATCGATCAGCCAGCTCGTCAGTCGCGCCCTCAGCCATCACCTGTAGAGTCCTGCACGGCTGTTGATCGTCGTCTAATACTGCATTGGCATGTGCCGCCTCGTCCTTGTGCGCCTTGTGCGCCACTGCGGTCGAGGTCGGGTTTGATGGCGGCTTGCCATCGTCGAGGTTGACAGACACCGTCACCCCGTTCTTCTCTCGCCATCTAGCGAGGGCTTGATCGATAGACTTATTGAGTCTAGGATCTTTCTTGCGAGCAGTTTTAACTTTCTCGACAAGGGACGGTTTCGGCGTAAAGCCTCTAGGGCGCCTAGGGTGATCCGGGTTGATCACCCAGTAGTCTACCCACCTGTGCTTAAGGCCACAAGCACAGCATAGCGTCTCCTTCTTTTATGCGCTCTCGGTGGGTTGGTTGGTAGTAGCCTCAGCTGGAGCAGCAACCTCGAGTTCTGAGGCCATAGCGGAGAGACCTGTCGAGATCGGCTTGTTGCGTCGTAGGTATGTGGTGAACTCAGACACGTAGGTCTCTACTGATTGTACTTCCTCTAGGTTCGACTCTTTCTTATAGATCTCACGCAGGCAGGCGGTTGCCTATTCAGGGTCGATCACTTTGCAGGCGACTAGGAAGTCCTCTTGAGCTCTCGTACCCGTCTTCTCAAGCAGCCTGAGCTCTTCGCACTGGTTGGTCACATCCACCTAGCTGCTTAGCCAATCTCCTACCTTCCTGCCGCGCGCTGGCGTCTGTAGAGCAGTATATCTGCCTATCAACTCTCGCCGGCGGGTCGCGTCAGTAGGTGCGAGGTGCTGCTTGAGGGTAACAAGCCTCTGGTAGGGCGTTGACTTGCTCCAGAGCAGATAGAGGTGGCGCTTCGCCACGGTCTTACCAATCTCTGAGTTGAAGTCTGCTAGTGCCCTACACTTCTTGCTCCACACGGTGTAGCGCTCTCGATAGCGCTTATAGTCCCATTTAAACCACTCTTGGTCAGCCATGCTGAGGCTGCCAAGGTTCTCAGCACCTTCCTTATAGTCAGCGAGCTGAGGCTCTACTGGCTCCGTGAGCTTAGGTAGCTCGTCGGCGGCTGTATCAGGGTTGACGTATTGCCAGAGGCCGTTCCTCTGGGCGGCGTCCTGTCGGATGAACAGCCAATTGTGCCAGTCGCTTGGCTTATCGAGGACGATGGTAACGCACGCCATCGCTGGATCAGACTCGGTAGCCATTGCTCGGTGTTGAGAGAAGAAATAGGGACAACTGATAGTTGGAGTGTTCTTAAGGTTGAATACAGTCAATTGTAAGCCAGGCTTATAACTGTAGCGGTAGCAGGAAGCTATGAAGGATTGTATTAATTCCTATGAGAGCTGATACATGAGATGGTTTTTATGCTCAAGCTTATCGGCCCGAGAGGCTTGTACGCCTCAGCAGCTGGTGTGCACCCTATCAACCTCAAACAGCTTCAGTTCCGTCACATGTTCTCCGACTCTACACTAGCCCTTTCTAAGAGGGATGGGGCAGATGCCGTGCATGGGCGAGCTGAATATCGGTATGATTCCTGTCCACCTGTCCATTTAGTGCAATGCGTTCTAGACACTGATGACGGGGAAAGTTGTTCGCGGAGTTTTGAATGTTGTCCGATATTAAAAGTAATCTACATGCGGTCTATAATGGTAGTTTTACAAATGAGGATGGCTATATGTTCGCGCTCATACTTGCACTCTCACCACGAATGCCTCTAGGCCTTCGCCTTTCCTGCCTCTTCTCCACCTTTATGTGCTTACTCCTCCTGAGCATCCGGTTGTGCCTTCTTGACACTATTCCACTCCAACGAACCAACACCGAGCATGACAAAACACGCGAGAATCAAGCCGACCTGAAACACCGTCCTCAGCGCCTCGTTGTAGCTTGTCAGCGCTTGTGCTTGATATTCTGCGGGCAATGCATCTAGGAAATTTGTTGCGCCACCAGAGGTAATAAGCGCGCGGTCGAACCCTGGGATCCCAGATAACTTCTTCAACAGCTGGTTAGCAAGCACATTCTCGCCCACCGACACGAATAAAGAGGCTCCAAGCAGCTGGCCAAACAAGATCAAGGCCAGGCCCATAGGTACGTCTGTCTTCGGTAATACTGTCTGCGCGGCCAGCATCGGCGTTTGGAAACAGTACCCGGTACCGAGCCCAAACAACGCCTGATACCCAATCCACTTCCCCGCGCCCGAGTCGATTTGGAGTGTGGTAAGCAAGCCTGCGCCGATTGACATCATGCAGGCTCCTAGTATCGCCAGAGGTGTGTAGTAGCCGATCTTCTGATTGATGATACCACCGGACATTGCACCGATGATCGTGGAGAGCATGAGGGGGAGGATGTGGGTGCCTGAGGAGATGGCGGAGACGTGCTTGATGGACTGAAACCAAAGGGGGAGATAGTAGACTGGCGGACAAGTCAGTGACAAGAAACGTGGTCTAGAATGCGAAGCAGGTAACATTAGTTCCCTGCTTACTGAAGATGTATTGCGATGCGCCGATGCAGATCGCAGCCCATAAGCCGGAGACCAGACTGCGGTACTTGAACAGTCGCAGTGGCGTCGTCGCTGTCTTTGGGAGATAGATCTGTACAGTGACGAAACCAAGTAGAAGTACGCCTTGAAGGATGAGGAGGACAATGATGCGGCTACTGTTCCACTGGAGAGTGTCAGTCGAGTCAACGCAGACGGGTCAGTGCGATACGTACAGTATAGGTCTGCCCACCCCACTGGAGCGCCAGAAGCAGGCACACAATACCCGGGAGAAGAAACATGGAACCGGGAAAATCGACTTGAGCCAGCTTTTGCGTGGTTGGGAGCTTGGTTTGCTCGTTGTCGGGTACTTTAAGGAAGAGGAGAATTGCGGCGATGGATAGACCTCCAACAGGGAGGTTTATGTAAAAACACCTATCTTGGTAAATGTTTGTTCGAGCAGTGCTGCAGGACGTCTTTGGTGGTCATACCATCTCCAAGTGACATGCGATGTGAAAGCGCCACCGATCAATGGACCAGCGACGGTGGCAACACCCATAATAGCACTCATCATGCCTTGCAGCGCGGGTCGCTTGGCTAATGGGACAGTATAGACTATACACACAATCTAGGCGCTCACGTTAGCAGTCGAGCAGGCCCATTGAGAGGGCCAGGATAAGGAAAATATGTGTTTGAGCAATCTATCTCAAGCAAAGAACGGTAAGTACACTCAGAAAGGTTAAGGACTTATATTTCTAGCCATTATGCCTGCGGCTCCAACACCTGCAATCGCGCGGCCGACGATGAAAGTGATCGAGTTTGGCGCCGCACCGCAAATGGCAGAAGCCGTTTCAAATAGGATAACGCTCGCGATGAGCACAACTTTGGTAGGGAAGAAGGCATACAGTTTGCCAAAAAGGAGCTGAAAACAGCAGTTGGTCATATTGTAGGCACTGCCATACCAACCTACGTCGGACAAGGCGTTGAAATCATTACTGATGCTGGGAATCGCCTGGGAAGCAAAGTCAGCATTCAAATAGATCAGAGCCGTATTACTCACTGTTGATACGATAGTCCTGTCCAGGCCGACGAGGAATACGCACAAGAACACTGAGGCCAAAAGCAGTGTTGTTCTAAGGTTGAAGGTCGGTGCATCATCCTTTCGAGGCTGTGAATCGATGCTCAAATTTTTGATCTCCTGATCAATAGATTGGCGTACAGCTAATTGATTTGAATTTGTCATACTGGAGATTTGGGTCGAGTATCGTGTGTGCTCTGGACCTGAGGTAAATTCTAAAGAGCGAAGACTCTGGCATGAAGTGGAATGCCATTGTGGCGGCTTTGCGAATTTAAAAACGGATGCACCGAACTTCCAGAGGCTCGCGGACGTTATGGAGGTTACAGGCTTGAGGAGTCGAGGAGGAGAAGGATGGCGGAGGATAGGTAGGCACTAAGCCAAAAAGGGCGTTGAACGCGGAACTTACGTCTCATAACTTCCGAACAAGCTCCGCGCTGCCTCGACACCTGCTCATTGCCGTTTCTGAATTCTAGCACTTTACTTCAAATTTCACAAGAAGCTGGGCACGCTTCAAGGACTAGATCCCTAAGCGAATCTACATCTGCGCTGGTATTGATTACGACAGCTATGACCACACAAGAACACGCGAAATACGCGTGTGATTGTTGTCGTTCTCGGAAGTTGGCTTGCACAAGAGAGATTCCGGAGTGTTCGCGTTGTAAAGATCAAGAAATCGCGTGCGTCTACTCGCGCTCCGGTGTACTTCGACGCAGCAGAAAGCGTAAAGCCAGCCCGACGACTACGAAGGAACGCTTCAGTGCGAACGCTCGCAGTGGCCCTTACCAAAGAACGACATCGCCTGCTCGTCCTGACCAGGTGCGTGAGCTCACGATTGACAAGAGCCAATCCCATTGAAACCTACAATCACCATCGCGACGCGTCACAACTGACACTTGAGCTTAGGCCACGGTAACCGAAAGGTTGCAAAAGCTGGTCGGCAAAGAGCATATTTCACTCCGTGACCTTGCAAAGCTAATGAGCGAATATCACACAGTTTGGCAAGGTCAGCGCTCCATTACATTGTCAAACGTGAGCCAACCCTGTTGCAGATCCCAGCATTTTTGACGACCTGGCTAAAAATGCACGATCCCATTATTTTTCCTTTGGTAAGGAACAGCATCGAGTCTGGGTTGACGGTAAGCTTCGCATGCTTTGTGAAGATGCTTATTGACGTGTAATTAGAGATGTGTACCGCCGTTCGTCAAAGCCAGTTCGCCATCAGCTCCGTTCCTCCGGATGTGCTAGATGATTTTATCGCGTCAAAACCGGAACAAATTCGCGAGCGAGCATGGCTGGTGATGTTCTATAGCATCGCGCTGAGCAACCTTGATGGGAGCGAGTCATCAGCTTGCACTGCGCGGTTGAGGAGCAATCTCTGGCTGGCTTTCAACGATGTTAGGTTTCTTCTTGAGCCTAGTTTTCTGAACATCCACGCCCTAGTTACAATGACGTTGCACGCCGAGAAATATCTGGCGCCGTACGCTTGCTGGGCATTGATAAGTAAGGCATGTACGATGCTCATAGCGTTAGGCATAGGTGAGCTGATCAGAACTTATTTCGACATATGCGTGAACTAATCGGGAAATACACAGGCACACATGCTCACATCGACTCTACTACGAGGAAGCAGCGCGATGCTTTATTCTGGCGCTTGAACTCCTTGGATAAAGCCTTATCACTGATCCTAAGCCGGTCTCCAATATTTCAACGCGATCTGATGAACGCAGTGCCACTTCCAACAATGGAAGAGCTATTGTCCACTCGAAATCGTTTAGATGGTATGCCAATACTATTTGAAGCGCATTTCGACCATCAGATGAATTTGCTATCGCGCGTACAGGCCGAAGTATGGCATTGCTTACCGGGTCAAGAAACACAAAATGTAGATAAAGTTCGCAAAGACTTAGAATCGTGGTACACTGAGGCAACAAAGGTATGGCTTCTTCCTCTCAGTTTATCATGCCACTAACGATCTGGACAGATTCTCGAAGCGTCTGCGCTAGTAGAGATGCCTCTTCTAAGTACCCGTGGTCAGTTGTCCGTCGATCTTCGCTTGCAAATATTGCTTCTTAATTATTATTACCTTGATGTATTACTCATGGTTGCCTCGAAAGATCTCAGATCACAATGCGTCGTCCCGGCGCAGAAGCTGCTAGACCTACTTCCTCATCTCGGGGAGCTTCTATCGTACGATACAAAAGAAACGCATACTTGCATGCTATGGGAATGGCTGCATTACCCCATGATGGCTTTTGGGACTCTTTGGGGTCAGGTCCTATCGAAGGGCGTAAGTAGTCACGAACAGAGTGAACGCATTCTCAAAGTAAGTAGATCTACAATGCGGCTTTTATAACGCCTGAGGCCATCACGAGGTATCGTGCCAGCTGATCAGGACACGTTGTCTAGCTGTTCTAGCGCAATCGGATTGTTGTGCCCTGAAGACAATTCCCGATGCTCATCATTGATAGAAACTGCATAATGTACCGAAGTACCTGGAGCGTCTCGAGTCGCGACACATCATCATTGGCGGAAAGCTCAAGGGCATCACAGAAAGGATCATTCACCACGTGAGCGCCATTTATGACGCGAGTTCTCCAACACAGCAACGCGTAGCTGCAAAAGATGATACGGCCGACTCCGCAACAAATCAGTCACGTACGTATCCTTCGAGCACTATCGATCCTTTCGACATGCCAAGCACATCAACAGATGCGACGTTCAATGCTCCAGTGGAGGATTTGATGCCTTTACCAGACGACTTCTTCTTGGATCCCTCGTTCGATTGGTTTTCCTGGGAAGATCAGGTCAGTCTTTGAAGCTCAAAGAACTGCCAATGACAAGTTAGATTTCACAGAAGAGCCAAGCTCGGGCATGGAAGTGTGATTTTCTGGGCTTCAGGGCATCTCGCAATCTATAGTTCGCCAAATCACATAGCCTTCCACAGCAGTGCATATTGCCCGCAAAGCACCGCGAAAGACAGCTGATGCAGTTAACATTACGCAGACCTTCGCAATCAAAAACACGATAGGCAATGGCGATTTGACGCCTGGCGGCTTGTGCACAACAAGCCCGGGATACGTGGCATGAAAAAAGCCCATGGTGCCAAAGGTGCTGCTGTGCGTAAAAAGTGAGACGCCGAATTAAAAGGAAAACTTGTGCACAGATTCAAATCGCGCTGTATGCGTCCATGCGATAGTTTTGCAGGGATGTGTTGTCCTACCCAAAGGGCCGGGCCAGAACCGGGTGGCTGCCCTGCCAGGCCACTGTGAGTTGGCGATATGAAGGGAATGATACAGTAACGAGGAACTAGTGGGCAAAGTGGCAAATTAACAATCTACTGTTATTTTCGATGCGATTTTCAACACAAGTTCCCTCTAGGGATTCGCTAGTCTTAGTTAGATACGATATACTGCTGGAACAAAGAAAGCGGAGACTGCTGGTATGGAGGCCGGAATTTCAAATTGACATTTCCATCGTCGTGCCTGCTTCTCTAGAGCGCTCAGCTGACAGACAGGATGCCGATATCAGGATGACAGTATCACTGGGTTTCCGAGCTCGCCCCTCAGCGACACCAGAAGCTTCTGAGCTATCTAGTCGGTGAGAGAAGTCAATGGAACCCTTGATACAGTCTGACAACGAGTCGCAGGCTGGATGTTTGCTATTGGATGGCAGTGTGCCATGGCAGCCACAGCGCTCGCGACGACTCAACAACTGCATGGTCTCATAGCTCTAAATGTGCCAGGATACTCTTTCAAGCCATGGCATAGCACGCTGTTTTACATCGCTGGTACGTCCTTTTCATTCTTGTGAAACATACTTTCCGCCCGAAAACTACCCGTCATCGAAGGGATCGGAATGATCTTATACATCTCTGGATTCTTGGCCTTTATCATTGTCTTGTGGGTCGTGGCTCTATATACAAATATAAAGGATGTCTGGATAAAGTTCGAAGATAATAGTGGCTGGGGGAATGCTGGTCTGAGTACCCTGGTTGGTGTCCTTGGGCCACTTTTTACTTTGGCCGGCTCCGACTCTTCTTGCCACATATCCGAGGAGACCGTCGATGCAGCATGGGTATTGCCACGCGCTATGGTGGCAACTGGTGTACTCAACTAAACTATCGATTTCATCATGACATTCACTGTCACGTCGTCGTTGCGAAACGACGTCACTGAATTATCACAACGACGTGGTCCAGGTACGTCCAGACTACGGTGTTCCTGTCAATGCTGTTCTAGCGATCTTGGCCATTACTACCCTTCTTTCACTCAACATCCTCGGCTCGTCGATAGCGTTCAACATCATAACTTCTCTGGGCCTGCTCGGACTCGTCATATCTTACCTCATTATAGTATCCTGTATCCTAGCCAATCGGCTCCAGGCTCCTCACGACCTCGTTCGAGCTCGATTCAGCCTGCGCCGAGCGGGAAACCTCATCAACGTGTTCGCCCTGTGCTTTCTGTCCCTCTTGTCTGTGTTCATATGCTTTCCTGCTTTGCCAAACCCAACCGCAGAGAGCATGAATTGGGGCTGTGTGATGTTTAGCAGCCTGGTGGTTGTTGCATTGGGATGGTACTGGGTGGCCGGAAGGCACACATTTGGGCCTGTAGCGACGGTGAAAGAGGTGTAACTCAACTAATGTTTCAGGAGACAGCGTGAGAAGAATGCGTTCCATAATTCTAGAATGGATGTAGCGTCGCTCGTGCAATGCGCTCCCTCTTTCCTACCACCTTCGCTATAATCAGAACGTCTTTCCCTTCTTCCGCTTATGCACCAACCACCGCCTACTAACATCAAACATGATGCGGCTCCACGATCGCGTGATGATCTTTCCTTCGAAGGTGCCGCTGAAGAAACTGAAAAGGAACAGCAGAACCATGCTGACGGCTAGAACCACAGCAAACGCCCACCAGTAGCTCCTCACCGTGAACTCCAAGCCCGCAAACTGGATTGAGAAGTACCCCGTCATTAGTGTGACAGGCATGAAGACGATGGTCACTTTCGCGAGAAGAAGTGTGACTCTGGTGAGGCGTTCTACGCTGAAGGATTCCTTGATGGCGATGAGATTGAAATTCTGGTAGTGGTGTCAGTCGGGCGAAGCAATGAACTGGAGCAGCTGTGTTGGACGTACCATCATGACGAGGGAGTCCTTTTGGTCAATGCATTCCTGGATCTCGCTCAGAGCATACAGCTTGATCCTGTCCTTCAGGCGTTCAAATCTGGCACGAGCAGCTGAGCTAAGAGAAACACCTAACAGGCTATCTGCTTCCGGGACTTGCGGTCCTGACGAGTTGATGGGTATCGAAGAGGCGAGCGATTCCATGCCGGATACGATGTGGGAATTTTTAAGTGAAGCAAGTGTAGCTTCCTGTTTCTTCAGAACACGGTCGATGATCATCTCGTAGGCTAAATAGACGCGCTTGAGAACAGAGAGTTGGCAGCCGATGTGATGTAGCTGATCCACGTGCTCCAGATTTGCGCGTACCAGCATCTCTCGTCTCTAGTAAAGCTTTAACAAATAACAAGACGGCATAGAAATGGGGACTTACCAGACGGTCGAGTTCAGCGGCATAACCATGTTCGCGACGTGTGACGAGGCTATACGTTGTGAACCAGTCCTCAAACAGGTAGTAAAAAAGCAGACCAGGAGCATCAGTCGGTCGGTGCGCGGTCTCCTCATCGCTGTTGCCTATACGATGTCGGATAGGTAGCATGATCAGGGAGGCTTCTCGCAAAGGCGTTGGTGCCTTTGTCAATTGACGGAAGACGCTCACTAGGTTCCTCCGTGTTGTGTACAGTGTCTTTAGATCGGATGACTGTAGGTTGCCATTAGTAAAAGGGAATGGGTCCTCAGATATAGATATGACAGTCTTGTCTTCAGTAAGAAGAAGCCAATTCCATACGCGCTTGGCCAAGGGCATGTCCCGGCTCTTGTCGACCTCATCGTTGTGGTCATGAGGCTTCTTGGTACGGACATCATGGAGTGAGTTATACCCGAGACAAACGACTGAGTGGTGTCAATCAGATGTAAGGTTAGATTTAAAGCTAAATGGATAGAGGAAACTCACAACGCCGTCCCCAGTCAACAGTTGACCAGTGCCATACTTCGTCCACAATGTGGTAGTGACTTAGATCTCGCACCATATCTAATTGGGTAGAGTGCATCATCTCGGTCATACCGATGCTTTCCTCCGAATCAACGTTGTCTGTCTCTTTTGCTGCTGACGATGCCTTCGATCGTTGCGACCTTCGAGATCTAGCTGAGCCGAGCGTAATTGAGCTCTTCTCTGGATTCCAAGCGCTCGAACGTGGCGACAGTGGCTCGGAAGCCATCATGCCCAACAACCTCGGTGAGAAATCGTAATGTTTGGCTAGAGCATGAAGCACATCTTTCTGAAGGTGGGGCACCCATAGGTTGATCCATCGCGTGTGAAGATTTGCTGGCCTTGGTACTGAGAGTAGTCGCGAAACGGAGTGCGAACTTAAGTCGAAAGCGCAATATGCGTCGTCATCGCCAAAATCGATAACAAAGTTGCTACTGCGCGGATTGCGTGTTTGCCGGTCGAATAGGTCGAAGTTTCGTTCATTGTCGAAATCGTGAAAAGAGGCCAGAACTTCTTCGTCGTCGAAATCCTCGTAGTACGCGGGAAGCCTTTCCGCTGGTGATGCAGGTCGCAACGGCGCATTCATAGTTCACTTACAGGAATGAGATGTTATATCAGCGGTAGCTAACAAGAGGACACGGAGCTTTTGCCCATGGTGGTCTTCTTCCCACAGCCTCGTGTGATGAGAGCTCGTGCCCTGTCCAGGCACCCTGGGATGCTACATGATGCTGGTCACGCGAGCATTTGGCACCGGCAGGCGGTCTCAGATAGGAGGCTGCTCTCCGCATGCGGGGGGCGGTGCAATGCGTCTCTGCGCACGCAGCAACTGAACCACGATCAGAAGCAAAGAACCGTATTCAAGTGAAAGCAGGTCAAGCACAAGTGTTGTGAGGAGTACAGGGACATGCAACGATCCGTGATCACTTGACGCATCGCGACGTTAAGGAACTAGCGCGGTCCCAATCGCGTTAGGGGGATGAGTCTTTTCCAGATCAGGACAAGCGCAGTAAGTCAACATCAAGACCCGTGGTGCTGTGCCCAAGCGATCCCGTTCGTGCGCATTGGCGCTGGAGTGTTCATATAGGCGGTAGATGGTAGTTGGCCTTCACCAAAGCGTTCATTTATTGCCTATGGTAGTGCTACAGCCGTGTAGATAGGTGTGCGTGACCTTCCAGCCTGACCTCAACTGCACATGGTGCCTGAAATCCCAACAATCTGCGGGATATCAGGAATCGCATGCGTTGACTTCCAGACCAAGCAACTCAAAATCAATTATTTCGCCCCTCTTGGAAAGACTCAACCCTATCCTCAGCAGATTTCTCTTCATGAACGGATCCGATCTTATCGTCTGTCGCAGCCTGGTTTACCAGTCCCTCGTCGATGAAGCGTTTGGTCATGGAAGTATGCGGGATCTTGTATCTCGAATCGTTGTTGTAACCACTGTGATATGTCAGTATAGGGTACCGTATATAATTCAGGAAGGGGGCGTACAATATGAGATCCATTTGATCCAGAGTCAATGCCTTGGTTTCAGGCAATAAGAAGTAGGCCCACACTGTGGCCAAGAGCATCCACCCAGCGAAAAAGTACCACGTGCCAAATCCGAACGAAGCGAAAATGTATGGGAGCGCTTTGGTAACGGGAAACTGGATGGCCCACTGCACAAGCGCTGCCCATGTGCCGCTAAACACACGAAGGGCACCCGGGAAGATCTCGGCGCTGACAATCCATGGAATACCGTTGAGGCCGAAGGACCAGCTGGAATAACTTGTTAGCTTCCGCTGTTGGAACTCGCGCTATTTTGAGGACTCACAAGATGGAGTAGATCATTATCATTCCCGTTGCAGCCCTGCCACCAGCAACAGTGGAAGCAGATAGTTCTTCTCCTGCAGCTAATTTTGCTGCTGGATTTCCAATCTTCACGTAGGTTCCGACTATCCATAAGCAGACAGAGCACACGAAACTTGAGACAATGACCGGCCGACGGCGTCCGATCAGATCGATGAGGAAGACGTAGTAGATGATAGATGCGATCGCTAAATACTGTGAGCAGAGTTCTCTCGAGGCATCGGGTTGGAAATACCTTTGACCAAACCATAAATACCCGTGTACAAAGCAACATCCGTGATCCCCAGTGAGCCAAAGAGTGTCGGCGAGTAGTAGTTAATAGCGGACGCACCCGAGAGGTTGTTGAGCGTGAACATGCAAAATACGAGAAACACACGGTTTCGCATACCCTTGCGACTGAATTCGCTCAGTGCACCGCGGAAATGTGCCCATGCACCAAAGCCGTAACGTTGCGAAATGATTGCCTCTTCAGCAAGCCTATTCCTCATAGCCTGAAGGTCTTCTTGGACGTCTGTCTGGGTCAGACAGATAATATGACAGCAAACCATATCACTTACATGGGTGTTCGATTGGCAGCTTCCTCAAATCGACCAGGACCTTGTAAGCCTGCTCATCTTTATTCTTACGAAGCAGCCAAAGAGGGCTTTCGTGAAGAAAGAACCCTCCAATCAAGAGCATACCTCCTGGCACCAATTGGAAAGCCATGGGAATGCGCCAGCTTGTAGCAGAGTCGGAAGAAATGTTTTGTGAGATTCCATAGTTGATCCAGAACCCAACAACAGAGCCGACTTGATAAGCCACCTCGAAGAGACCTGTCAAGATGCCTCGAATAGATGAGATGGAGAGCTCAGCAATATAGCTTGGCACGGTCGCGGTAATGGCTCCGCAGGCGATGCCTGTGAGAACGCGACCAGTGTATATGTAGGAGAGTTGGTTCGTTGCTACAGTCATCAAGATCGCGCCGATGACGAAGGTAAGAACATTGATCTGAAGCGCCCACTTTCGACCAAGGCGTTCAGTGACTAGTACCGTGTCAAATGAGTATCGAGGCAAGAATCCGAGTTACTTACGGAAGAAGCAGAAGACGGCGCCCCAGAAAGCTCCGGCTTGGAAAGCACTGGTGATGTTGCTGTTGATTGAGTTCGAGTTCTCTTTTGTAATGCCAAAACTTTTCTTGAAACTGCTGCGAGCAAGAGTAGTTCCGACAAAGGCCGAATCGTAGCCGAAACTGCGGGAGAGATGACTTAGTCATTATACCGTAAACCAGTTTTACATATACTCACAGCATAGAGCCAGTTGCAATGATCGCCGCCTCTGTATACAGCCGCCAGTTGTATACCTCCTTAGGAGTCGGCCGATCCTCTACCGCACGAAAGCCTCCCATGATGCCCAGGTGGTGCGCAAAGCGAATGGGGTGTCAAGAACCTGAGAAGCTGCACACACAGCGTATCAAAACAGAGTGCTTTGGAAACGAAGATCCACACGCAGGAACAAGCACCACTATGTATAGTTGCGCTTGTCTAAGGCAATACCCCAGAGGAACCCCGTGGGGCAAAGTACGTCGCTCCGAACTTCTGGAACCGAAGCCACCATCGCCTGCAATGTGCCGCAACCATGCTGGTGCGGTCTGCGCAGACTTAGAATTTAGTCATTAGCATCGGTTGCCAGGAAATGAAAGCGAGGCGAGGCGAGGCGAGGCGACTGGCGACGTTGGTAGCGAGCCGACGGGATCGGAGGCCGGCGATTGGCCAGCCTACCCCCGAGCGCAAGGTAGTTTCCTTGCGAAGAGCCGACCATGCTCGCTACAGTGCCGGAACTGCGGAAAAGACATAGGAGAAATGAAGAAGGCACGATCAGTCTAAAATCGGGAAATGTATCGGGAATATTCTTCGATTCGGCTGGTGTATAGCAATAGGGACCATCCTGGTCGATGATGAAGTAGCATAACATAATAATTGATCACCGATTTCTAGATTTACCGAGCGCATTATGTATGGCATAATATAGTAATTCATGAGTGCGAGAAGCACTATGACTTCGTCAGTGCCGTCTCAACCTTATTCAAAGGTTCCACCACTCCAGTAATCCACGCCTGCTTCTTCGCATCCGTGAATTGTGGATAGGGCCGCCTGCAGTGGCACGACTCCAACGGATACCCTCTGATCTTTGCTACAACCCACTTTGTCCCGTTGATTCCTCCCTTGCCAAAACCCCATTCCATCTGTGCCAACTTGAGTTGAGCAGCCTCGGCTTCTCGGATTTTGTCCGATTTGTATAAGTTGTAAATGTTGATACACACCTTGATAGAGTTAGTAAGTGTGAACTGGGGGGCTTCGCGGTAGTCATACCTTTGGATAGAGGTTTCCGACGCCTGTGATCGTGCCAGTGCTTCCAACCGCCATGGCCGGCACCAGCCAATCACTCTGCCCAGCCAGCGCGCAAAATTCCTCGGGCTCAAACTGCGCTCGTACCCGAGCAACTTTCGCGATACCACCACAGGTGAGCTTGACTCCCACGATGTTGGGATGTTGGCCTAGTGTAGCCAGCATCTCCGAATTGACATCAAGGCCGGCGACGACACCCGGGAAGTTGTAGATGAGCACGGGAATAGGCGAAGCGTCCGCAAGCTCTTGGAAGAAGCTGACAATCGCGTCTTCGTTCATGGCAAGATGGAAGTAGCTTGGCACCAGAACCAGGGCGAAATCGGCGTCTGCTTCGGCGGCAAGTCTTGCTTCTGCGACTACATCTCGTGTACATCCACCGCCGCAGCCGATTGTGATGGGAAGGTCGGGTCGTCCGAGTTCGGTCGCAACGGATCGTGCTAGCTTGACTAGTCTTGTCTTTTCGTATGTCGTGAGGGTGATGGCTTCGCCATTTGTTCCGGCAATTACGACTAGAAAGTCATTAGTATGGCATCACACAGGAAGGAAACAAAAGCTCTGTTATGTACTTACTACCGTGAAGTCCTGAAGCGACTAAAAACTCCAAATGCTTCTTTTGAAGATCCCAGTCTATCTCTTGATTTGGATCATTCTTGAACCAAGTCAGACAAGGAACGTGAACACCTGGAGGGAATGACCTTCCGCCTGGTGATGTGGATGTTTCGATGGAGCCCATGGTGTGTTTTAAAAGTTGATCTTTGCTTTTGGGAGTTATACAGCAGATTCAAGTGCGGGCTGAGAATGATCTTTTAGTTTTGCGAGTGAGCAAAACTGGGGTGTTCAAGAACAATGGCGGGGACATTGGAGACTTTTCCCCAACTTCCCGACATCCCCGCATCGACGCGACGCGGCGTGGGTCTCAGAGCGCGTGCTCAGCCGATGCTCTCGCGTACGCAGAGCTGGCGTGTCTCGTCGCGATATCGACTAGTGGCAATGTGAATGTGTCGGCTACGCTAGACCTTTAAATCACTAGCGTAGCCGACAAGAACTAGATGACTTCTACAGTCGATCTTGCGCTCTGCATGACTGATATGTGGGCGATTGAAACGTCGCAAATGACGAAATCTTGCTTGTTTAGCATATGTCACGCCGTGTTGAGTAGTGTGCGTGTAAGAGGACCAGTAAGATGAACGACGTCGCCAGATTCTGCGTTGAGTCGGTGTATCTTCTCGAAGCGGAGCGATTACTAGCTGTGAGTTTTCAGCGATTGCAATGCCAAACAGAAAAAGGACTGCCGCAGCCCAGATGAAGTAGAGTTGTGAGAGACGATAGTCTTCGTGGTAGACAGAGGGACGCGCATTGTTGTCGTCAGTTCAGACGATCGCGAAACAAGAATCGAAAATAGAGTGCATAACGGAGCGTATGTCAACTCTCGTCTTACTCGCATCCTGTCTTGTCTGCACTTCTTCTAGCACTTGCGCTGTGATGCGGGCATTCGTGGCTACCTTCTCCATTCGCATGATCTGTTCTTTGATCCAGGCTCTTTCACTTTGACTATGCTCCTCGGAACCCAGCATGAGAAGCGGCCACAGCATGTTCACGGGCAAAGCTTCATGCTCGCTTAGGCCTTCTTCCATCAGTTTGGCTAGGTCACGGATGGACCGAAGTGCTTCTGATGCTTCGCTAGTAAGAGGGAGAGACTTGTATGCAACGCGATGCAGATGTATCCTGCTGGCGTGGAAATTGGCAAGATAGGATCTGAATGACTTGGTGATGGTTGTTGCCAAATTCTCTGAGACGTGAGGCGTAGTCAATTTGCCTGAGATTGCGTAGTCCATTAATGGCGGCCTGTTTTCGTAGAGCTCCCGCAAATCTTTAGTGATTCTTGCGGCAATGTTCATAACCTCAGTCTCGTCTTCCACTGTCCCTCTGGGCCTGTGCCACGGATCGATCTTGGAAATGCGGCCCATGAAGCTCTGCACCTTTTGGAAGAATATGATTCCTGGGTGGTAAAGGAGTTGAAACAAGACGTCTTCAATGTCCCCGTCTTGTGTATCATCATCTCGATCGGCATCGCCTTGAAAGCTTGAAGGCGACGGTTTGACGAGCAAGTCCTCTTCCTGGTCTGATAGGAAGAGGCCGTCACCACCGGCAGAGACTGCGCGAGCGTCGACCAGTCTTATCCATAGCAATAAACGTATCTCAAGTGCGCGAAAACCAGCTTTGTCTCGTTGCTTGAAAATCGTGTGCGCCTCTTTGAGGCACTTGTGGGCAGCTTCTACCCGACCCTCCAGGATATCGACGTAACTGAGGAAGAACAGAGTCGCGAGAAGACTCTCGCGGCCATGTCCGGGACTTGTTGCGGTGCTGATATCCTCGAACTTAGACAGCTCCGACATAGCTTTGGCGTAGTGGTTTTGCGTACTCTGTAGCCAGGATCGTTCCTGTCGACGAAGCAGAAGCTCAGAGAAGGCCATAACTGCGTATCGTACCATTGCGGAAGTATTGCACAGTCCCATGAGTATTTGACGCATAGTAGACCACTTCTGTTGCGTCTCGACTTGAGACAAGATTGGCGGGACATGGGTGCGAGTAAAGTAATCCAATAGCAAGCGATCTTCGGCTGTTTGGTGACTTGTTGACGTCTGTTCCGGCATCAATATGGAGGGCTCCACAGTCCTGACGGAGACTGGGGGTTCCAAAACCCCCGAATCTTGATTGCTATTGGACGCGGGTGATGGTTCAGGAAGGAGCGGTAGAGGCTGCATACCTTCCAACATACTCGTGTCCTAGGTCTGATAAGCCTGTTTAAAATGTCACGTGGAAACCCACCCATACCATTTGTTGATATGTGGCGTTCATATTGTTTCCTGCATATGCTCCGCTACCCATATTATGGCTTTGCCACAGATCGGAAGTATCCCACATGAAGCTTGCATAGTCAAAGACTTGATCCACAGCATCAGTTGAGAAATTCCCGAATGGATCTAATGCGGGAGCTCCGTTGCTAACGATGGTCTCTGGGGTCGAAACAACGACTTCCTGCTGCATCGACCCCGGTCTGTGGACTGGGCGCCACTTGCACTCAAGGTTCAGTCGTTCACAGTGTGAGCACCGGGGCCGCTGTTCGCTACATCTCACTTTTCGTCGCCTATCACACCTATCAGTGCAGGGTCATGACTTTTGGACTTTCGAATGTACCGGCAAGTTAAGCATCCATTTTTGGAGCGTGGCGGTCGTCGAACCGACGAATACTGGGCCGGGCTTTGGCTGCCATTGCTCGCACCCACCGAGCTCATTTCATTCATCAAGGTATGGAGGCAACACAGAGCGACATGCGCCTTTTGAAATCGTGAGCGGTCACATGCAGACCGTCTCTGGTGATGTGCATTTCGTGTTGTGGCGCGATGTTCTTAGTTCCCCAGTCTACACGAGTCAGTTTAGCTCCATGCACCTATTGATCGGAATCTTGTAAATGGAATGCTGGACAGACCCATAACACCTCGCTCAACTTGCCCTTTGGTTACAACGCAGCATATAATATGTTAGTTGATATAGCCATAGGGATCAATGGGTCGATAGTATACTTGAATTAACTAGGCTGATACTACGAAGAGTGCTTTATCAATGCGCAGAAGACTAGAAAAACGACAAATGCTGAATTTATGCGCACGACAACTAAACAACCCGAGCGTCGTACGATTTGATTGACGTGCACCTGTATACCGATGTGAAACCTTGCTTGATATTGGGTCGGTCACGGAGCTCTACTGGCATACCAGACCTTGGCCTCATGATTGTAGGTCCCTAAAAGTATGAGCTTCAACAGGTGTAAGCACAATCATATAAGAAGCATCTTCTCGCTAACCTCGTACCGATCTTCTGATGCCCGGGACTACTGTTTGTGCTTGTCTCCGTCCTCCATTGCCGTACACTTGTACCGGACTTGCCGTCTCACATGCGCTCTATTGACCCAGCCCCTTATGCCCTCCTTATCTGCCACTTTATGTTCGTAATGCTCACTTCTTCGCCTGCCTTCTCATCATAATCGAACCACTCGCCCTCATCCAGGTCGATGGAAGCGAACTTTGTCCCCGACTCGATTCCCTTGGCCTCAAACTCGCCCTTCGTCCGTTTAGCATCTTTCCTGACCCAGCGTCTACGTCTCTCCACTTACCTCAGCCTTGAACTCGGTGAATTCCAACCCTCTGCAATCGAACTCGAGTATGTTCACCGTCTTGGGCGGATCGGATTGCTCGTAGGCGGCCGGCGCTGCCTTGATGTTCGCATTGTGTTCTCTCTGCGAGTTTTTAGTGCGAGCATGACATACCGGGGAGGGGCGGTATGGACCTTACAATTCTTGCACTTCCACACGAAGTTGGCTTCGGCTTTGCTACCGCTCATCTCGTTCATTTCCTGTGCTGTGGTAAGAAAAAGTAGCTGTGTGAAGCCATGAAGACATTCGTACGAAGCGTGTCATGGTGACAAAGTTGGGGTGCGTCTCGCGACATGACGTGCACTGCACTTTGAAGGTGTAGTGGAAGGGCGAGTCTTCGGTGTCGATGGGGCGGAGGTCGGTGACGCTGGGCGGGGTGAGCTATGCTTCAGAGAAATTGGACTAATCTACTTACCCGTTCAGCTCAGCGGAGAGAGCAAGTGCGAGCACCATGTTGGCAGTGATGCGGACTGGAGATTTCGGTCTCTTTCGCAGCGAGCTCGAGCATGAAGCTCTTTGCGGGGGCGGGGTGGTTGCTTACGCCTGATTGGCCGCGGAATCTGGGCTTGGCGAACGGAATTTGGGATATCGTTTTGGAGCTCTCACCGCGCGCAACACCCACGGTCGCGAATAGCGTCACACCTCCACCCCTACTCGCGTTCACACAGAAAGACTGAAATTGTCGCAATCATGAGTGTAAGCTGCGCACATTGTTCCAACCGCTCTGCTCGTTGCAGCGCTAACCCACCACCAGGCTCCAGTCGCGCCCTTCAACCCCCGACCTATGCTCCAGAGCTTGTATGTTGGGACGCTCACTCTGCGGATATACTCAATCGCTGACCTTGCATAGGGTCGACAAAGATATCCTCGTGCGCCTGAAGTGGGGCGAGACCGAGTACAAGGGCCGCCTTGTTTCCGTCGACCTCTACATGAACATCCAGCTCAACAACACGGAAGAATTCATCAATGGACAGAGCTCAGGACAACTGGGGCAGGTGCTGATAAGGTATGCATATACGAGGCGACTGGGTTGGACGCACAGAACGCTGACAAGGAACAGGTGTAACAACGTACTCTGGATTGGAGCGGCAGACCAGGTTGAGCCGAAGGCATCAAAAGACACGGCCATGTCGGGTTGAGAGAGGCTCGTTGGGTTCAACAGTCATCCTTCGAGAAGAAAGGCAGCGAGGATTGAAGGTCGCCACGCGGAAACGACGTACGCGACAACGGCGTCTTGGCTATACGAGGCGACGCACGAACGGCGACGAGACCACGCGCAATACTACTTTGATACCACGAGAACAGTTGGCGTGGGAGAGGCAAACCGGCGGCGTCAGTGGCATTGGGCCTACAGAGCCCGAAAGAATCTACTCGATCTCTTCTACAATCAGCCCCTTCCTGCGCGTGCCCCGTTGTTCCGAGAGAGGTTGTACGTTCAACCCTTGCAGATGTCCTTCGAGGCCCAGATCGGGTCCGAGTCTGAGTCCTTCATCCCGGATCTTGTACAACTTCTTCATGCGCCATGTCTCCAAGCCCTCTACCACATTGCCCGCGTGGTCCCTGACCAGGCCGTCTACATCATCGTCTCTTGCCCACCGCATCACTCTCTCCACCTCCTCCATCTGGCGCGCCCCCAAACCTGCTACACTCTCTTTCCCCTCTTCAAGCAGCCCGTCCATACCCCTCAACAAGCCCATAACAACCAGCACCGCAGCCCGTCTGAGTATCCCCTTCGCCTCGGCAGTCTCTATCGTAACAATTTGCAGAACCATCTGCAGCGCCGCGTCCACCGTAACCTGACTCAGCAGCTCAAGCCGCTTCTCCAGCACACTGCCCAGAACACTAAGCGCAGAAGCACGAACCCTTACGTCCTCTTCTATCCCCGTGTCTTCCCACCCCTGCACAATCTTGAACAGCGCATCACGCTCTGCTTGTTCGGCAGCGTTGTGTGCTTCTGGGTCGAGTAGGTTCGGAATTGGGCCGCCCCACGCGGCCTCCCCTTCTTCCTGATCTTTTCGCTCTATTTCCAGGAGTTCGTTGCGCTTGGCTAACGTCTTCTTGCGTTGACCGCGTCGCGAAGCCAGCGATAATGTTGCCTCAATAATCAGCTTCAGGCTCGTGTACTTGGTGGATACAGCCGTGTCAGAGAGCCAAAACGCATCCTCCGCAACAAAGTTGTTCAGAATCTCGCCAACGCGAAGTCGAAAGTCGAGCGCCTCCTCGATCTCCTTCTCTTTCTTGAGACGCAGCGAGCGCTCGTCGATGTCCACGAAGGCGTCGACGAGGATGCGAACGGTGGGGTTAGGCGCGCGGACTGTCAGCTCTACGACGGCGGGGATGGCTGCGGTGTGTACATAAGATTCGCCGTCTGCTACGGATGCTGAGAGTATTGTGTGTGTCAGAGAAGGTATGTCGAGGATTGGGAAGGCCAGAGGATCCTGGACTAGTTTGCGTATGGCTGACAGAGCCCAGACACGATTGGGTGGTTCCGGTGAGACTATATCTGTGAGCGCGGTCTTCAAGGTTACGCGATGCTGGGCTAGCGGGTCTGCTGTAGGTGTCGATGCGGAGTTTGGCTGGATGGTCTGCAGGATGTTCGCTGCTGCATTACGAATCAGAGGCGGAATCGGGAGCTCGTGGCTCGACTGCGAGAGGTGTTGTAGAGAAGGAAGCATTGAACCAATGACTTCGGCAATTTCTGGCGTCTGTTGGAAACCGGGTGACGAGATGATCGTGCTGATGATACTGATGGCAAATGACACGAGATCCTCGGAACCACCATCACTACTCTCAGCAGGCGTGGCCGACGATGCCTGCGCAATTTTGCCCAGATTTGCGCGGGTTGGCTTGTTCCTACTTTTCAGGTCTTTTATCTTTACCTTGTGTTCTTGTACGAAGTTGTGCAAAAGCTGACCCATGAGCTCAATGATGTGCTGAGGACTACGAGCAAATTTCTCCTTGAATTGCGTCGCCAGTGCTTCCGAGAACTTTGCGTCCACAAGGGCCGAGAGTGGATCCACATCAGGTTCACTCGTCAGTGAAGTCGCTGATCGTGAATCTGGTGATAGCCAACGTTTGGTGGATTGTATGAAAATTGCACCCGCAGTGGAATCTTCAACATTGGCTTCCACCAGCAAAGAAACGAGGACGCTGACGTACTGGTCGACGCTGGCCATTCGAGAAAGCAGATCTCCCATGTTCCCCAGATTGTCGTTGACCGGAGTTCGTGTACGGATTTCGACGCCACCTTGGGAACCTGGAGCAAAAGTCCAAGAAGGCTCGCCATCCCAGAAAAGATTTCTTGAGATGTTACCGACCCGCGGTACCTCGCACGCGAGAGTCAAGTACCGGAGGAGGATCGTACGAGGAAGCATTGACCATCCCTTATCTAGAGATGGGTGAGACGATGCGTAGGAGATAAGTCCCCACAGCGGTAGATGGATCGGCCCAACGAGTCGTTTCAGAACGCCAGCATGCGAGTATGAAGAGGTGAGGGTAGCCAGTCGACTTAAAGCACGACGCAGATTCTTTTCATCCACAATGATCTGGCCCAGTGCGTTCTTCTTCGGGTCGCTTGTTTGGCTTGTCGTTGGGTAGATCGTTTCAAGCAACGGTCTGGCAAAGAGTTCCCAGCCGATTGTCTTTGGTGCACCGATGCTCTTTTTGTTCAGTATGCCCCCTGCAATGATCTGGCCAGCTGCACGGCTAAGCTCTTGGCCCTCGTTTCCATCCAGTAAGTTGAGCAGCTGGGGTGCAAGCTGAGTGAACCATTCATCCTGAGTCATCTCGACAGGGACAGAAGATAGTAATCGTGCTGCTTGGGTGATAGATTCCAGTGGTAGCGGCAGCTTCGACTGCGGCCCTGAGGCGTCTTGCGGTACTTGAGAATTCTTGGACAAGTACGACAATGCCAAGAATTCTACTGTATGCCGCACACCGTATGGTCGAAGAGGGATCAGGGTGAGCTCCTTCGTCAGCCGCGCCTTCCACCATGGTGGAACATCCTGTTGCAACAGTGAGGTCAAGATAGGGAGTAATCTGGAGACAGGTGTAGTAGCAATTAATTTCTCATAAGCTGGTGTGTATCGGGAATGCAAAGTTTCACTCGATTGCGGCGAAAACGAGAGTTCTGCGAGCGCAGATATGACGTCTGGGAAAATTCGTTGGACGAGAAGCGGTTGCACACCCGCACCGTCTAGCGCAATGATCGGGATCAAAACATCGATAGCATGCGAGAGAGGATCCCGCTCAGGACTAGGCTGGACTGGTATCGAGACTACTAAAACAGATTTCGGCCGCTGGCTAAAGATGATACCTTTGGATAGGTAAGGTAGGATACCGATCGAGGTGATGAGATCGAGCAGGCCATATACAACGCCAACGAGAGACCCATCATACGGTTCGTCCGGAGCAGCAACCTGTTCGGCGGTGTTTATTGCTTGCAGGTGGGCGAGCGACTCTTGAAGAAGATGTGGAAACTCGCTGGCTTCTTGCTGGGGTACGGTTCCCTTCCCGAGGAACGGCCCGATAAACTGGATAGCTGCATCTATCGCATTCTCTACCGCACTCATATCTTCGTGCGCGGGACCCTCTGGAATTCGGTTCAGACGTTGAAGTTGTGGCAATGAACGGTGGTCCTTTGATTGTTCAGCATCTGAAAACAAAACCTAGCGGCGGCGTGACGGCGCGAATGACGCTAAGCCTAATTATACTTGGCGCGCTCCTGTCGAACGCGTCGACCAGCCACCCCTAGCTTTGATGTATCGTAGGCCCTGCTCCCCTTCGACAGCAACAACCTCGTTCGATTCGACACTGCATGGCGTCTATCTTTGCCCACATGCCGCCGCTTTCTTAATCGCACCACTACTGGAGTCTGGATTGCGACCCACCATTGGCAACTTTTGACCATGTCAACAACTGCGGGACGGCGCGCAACGACCTTTCCACCCACCAGATCTTCTCTCGCTTGCATTGCAAGCTGCATTCGCATGTCACTTTCCTCATAGTTGCCGATGTCCGTCTTCCACTTGGAATGCTTTGCGGCGCCTCGCGTACGTGCATTAGTCGGCACACACCTGAGCCTCTCGTACAGTCTCAATGGGTTGTCTCCATGCTTGCTTCTGCGCTCCGGTGGCAACACTGGGGTAGTATGTGAGGAGGGCGGGCTCGGATCTTAACCCTAATCATCTTCCGGTATTCGCTGCGTCTCGTACGTGTGCGAACAGCATCGCGGTCATGTCGCCGACCTTCCAAGTAGACGCTGGACGGCTGTCGGAGTGCCTTTGGGCGCAACGACACGCAAGGAAGCTCAAAAGGGGGAGTCGAGGTACGGGAAGCCACGAGCTTCGAATTGAGGTTTCATGTGCCTGTCGGGGTTTTAAAGCTCTCACGCGAGAACCACGTCGACTCCTCAACTGTGCAACAGACTCTGGCCAAAACGGATAGCTTTCTCGACAGCCACCATAGCTATCATGAGGAGAGCCTGGAGGGAGATGCCGGACCCCTCGTATGAGGATGGTTCTTGGGATCTTGAATACCGTAGGTGCACTAGATGCTCCGTTTTGGAAACAGCAGGGGAGCTGCAACACCAAGTGCCAACATCATCCGTGTCTCTGCGGGAACTTTCTATGATCTGATAGGTGGAGGGAGAGCACGGTTCTGACCTCTCGGTCAAGTCTTACAAACAGTCATATCGAGATGTGTGTGCAGAGATCCACTCGTCGGAAAGGGTGTCTTGCCCAGCGAGGTCTCAACGCAGCCCAAATCGATATCGACGCCCTTTGACGGACCGTCACGCTTCGGACCCGAAGCCTTGAAAGATCTTGAAGAACTGCGCCAGAGAGTCAACACGGGCTGGACGTGGTACACCGCGTTTGTACCCTGCTGTGGAAGGAATAGAAGTTCTCTTCTGTAACCTCGACGAAGATTCCCGAGCATCTGTCAGCAACTCGGCTCTCAGCTCGTTCTGATCACCCCAATACGGACGCAAGTTCTCACCCAATCTCCAACCTCTGACGCTATTTTGCTGTTGCGAAGTCTGTGTCATGATTCGCATCACTGACACTTGTTACCACTGGTAATATCCGGTCAGTCGCGTCAATCGCTAACCTGTACGTCTAGCGTACAGCTGCATTAGCGAGCGTTTATCTATTACTTCATCCGAGGAGCTCTTTCACTCTTGCGGATGCGACCATGCGGTTTTTGAGGATGTCGTTTGTCCGCATTACACGCCTCCCTACCCTTCACGAGGACTTGGGAAGGAAACAAAGACTAGTCTCAGAAAGTCATGCTACAACATCCAGAGAGAAGCACCTGCAGAAAGGGAAACCTCAGGTGATGGTGCTTGGAAGGAGATTTGCGCGCCCGTTGTGCTGTTCTGACTAGGAATTTGTCGATTATTGTGTCACAATCCACGATGACGAAGGTTTCGGTGTATTGAGAAGCAAGGCGGGACGAGAAGATACGACCAGTGGCTTGTTCTGAAGCGTCGCGAGCTTGCAATGCTGATGTCGGACATGAGTCGTGCACTGCTCTGAGAAAGGCAAGAACAACAAGTGCACAACTGCGGGAAGAGTGCGGTTGATCAAACACAGCTGTCGCGACAGATGCTTGTGAAGGAGGAACAAGACGTCTAAAACAATTCTCAAAAGCTATGGCGACGGGACCTCTCTAGAGTGAGGATCAAGGCTTCGACCTGTCTGTTGACATGGCTTGCGAGACTGTGTGGCCGCTTGAACTGCCTCGCAACGCGTTCTGGACGAAATTGTTTGCTGGTCGTTAAACCGTCTTCTCAGTAGTGTGTTCTCGGCTGGATCTGGGGCAGCGTCACTATCATGTGTGGAGCTAATGCTGATGCTTGCACGTCGGCGTAGAGGAGGTGGCCTGTAGTGGAGAGTCGCGCGTGGATTGTTCCCCAAGCCGCCTTCGTTAGAGGGCGGCACCATTTTTTTTTTATAAGTTGTCCTTCCCCAAAGAGCAGGTACTACAGCTGACATTTCTAGTTCGTATTCATCGATAAGGAGTGGTTGCATGCAGGCGATGACTCATCAGCTACCTCTCAGTCAGAACGTACATATGACCCAAAGTCGACCACTTTCGCTGGACTGTCCAGCATATGAGCTGTAGCTCAGCACCATGGTAAAGCCACACAGTTACTCGATTGTGCGTCTTCCGAAATCGCACGACTACCCACAGACATGGCAGGTACTCATCGCCAAACAAAAAACCCTGCGTCTCCAGTCCCTACTCACCTCGCCCGAAGCCTTCGGGTCAACCTACGAAAGGGAAAGCACGTTCACAGATGCCGAATGGGAAGCCCGCCTAAAGAACCCGATTGCCCACACCCTCATCGCCGTTGATTCCAACGCGCCCCACGCCGTGCACAAACCCAACGACGATGACCAGGACGCCGGAACAGATGACGATGATCTGTACGGCGCCTGGGTCGGCAGCGTGGTTCTCATCGGGCCAACAGAAGGAGACGGGATGCTCATCGCAACGTATGACATCAACGCCCTCTTCATCCTCCCGGAAGCCCGGGGCACAGGGCTGGGCGCTGAGTTGGTTGAGAGCGCTGTGTCGGAGGCGCAGAAGCTTGCACGGGGTGCCATGAGAGTGGTGGTCAGAGCCTTGGTCGTGCGCGGCAACGAGCGGGTGCTGAAGCTGTATGAGAGAGCCGGGTTCGTCAACCGGGGCGTGGAGTTTGTGGGAGGGCAGCTGGAGGAGGCGTGGGTTCTGGTCAGGGACATGGGCGGTAATGCAGGTTGAGCTGAACGTGGAAATGTGATGTTTGTTAGACCGGGTCAGAGCATTGGGTCAGAGGGTGGCGGAATCGATTTCGGTAATCATGTTCTTGACACAGGGTATGCAGATACTCTGTTTCACAGGCACATTGCGAAGACATCGCTGAAGCGAATCGAATGTTATCGTTGGTATCTACCGAATCATGGATATTATCACCTGCTCCTTTCATTACCGTGCCCGTGAGGCTGAAAATCCGTATACACAATTCCTCGAAGTTTTGCCCGAAATAACGCCAAATGCAGCAATATCCTTTCCCAACATTACTTGATTACTATCTAGAGCATCATGGCCGCAGCGAAAGCGAGGAGGGCTGCACCGCTGACTGCCACCTTACCGGCGGCGCCGGTGTTAGGCGGGGCCGCGGTAGTGCTTGCGGTCGGGGATGCGGTGGGCTGGATGGGAGCACCGGTGGAACCAGTAGGGGTAGCTGAGGTGGTGGCGTTGTGACCGTGGCTCGCAGATCCAGAAGGTAGTGCGGTTCCGTAGGAGGTGCCGACAGACGAGGCGGTCGTGGTGACATCGCCAGGAGACAGCTGCTTGAAGTTGGCGCAAGCGATACGGGTCTTGTTGGCCAGGTGGACGACAATGGACTTGTCACCGAAGTAGGACACGTCGTCGGTCAGGGTCGCAAGGAACTCATCGTTATATCTAAGAGGCAATTAGCTTGGCTCCGGGCGGATGCAACGAGGTTGGAACTTACGTGGCGCTGAAGGAGGTCGACTCGATCTTGCCGTACTTGCCAGATAGATCTCCCGTCTGGCAAGACGCCTTGTCGCTGGCGTCACAGGGGGGCGTCTCGCCGCGCTTGTAGGGGTCGAGATGGGCGCCAGTTCCAGTGCAGTTGCCATCTTCGGGGACAGGCTTCTCGTGAATATGGTACAAGAAGGGACCGCCCTGGGCAGGCAGGCCGGCAAGAGCGATCTCAATCGTGACGCCCTTGCCAGCAGCACCGCTGGCGATCTTGACGGCACCAGACACTTCGTATTTACCCTTGGGCTTGAGGGTGGCCTCGTACTGTGCGCCAATGGGGTTGTGCTCTACGACGGGAGCGTCCTCGGCGACGACAGCTGCGGCCACAGCGAGCAGAGTGAAGACGGACTGGGTACGCATGGTAGCGATTGTTGTCGGTTACTGTAGGAAGGTGGTATCGAGCTGGCAACTGAAGAAGCCGAGCGAGTGTGGTCAAATCGAAGCGAATGTGCGTGTGGGTGGAGAGAAGGGCGAGGGCGAGCCGGGAATATAAAGCAGGGGAATGTGATGTGGGAAACGGAGATGGGGCAGGGGCGGCGGGTGTAAATAGTGATTCGGCCCTGTGAAGCGCGGTCGCACCTGCAGCAGTACAAACAACCAGCCTTGCGCCACACACCCCAGCCCGCTTGGACCTGGAGGCTGGCATGGCTGCTGACACGCCGGAATGCCATGTTTACGCATCGAGCGCGCACTGCGGCCTCGCTGGTCAATGTCTTCCCCGAAGGAATTGCTAACCTCTCGGCAGTCTGGCATAGACACGCTCGCTCGTGCCTGACCACTGAAGCCCTGTCGCACAGTGCCCCCGTCCTCTGGCAGCTCGTGGACTGCACTCTCCCGCGGGTAATGGGCGACCCGTAAAGCACCTCGTTTCCCCAAACGAGTGGTGATATCGTTTTGGAACATGTCTTTGGCGCCCACACCCATGCCGCATGCGCAGACAAGCTTTGCGCCAGGGCCACACGTTTCGAAACACGTCTAGCCCGGCGAATCTGCAGCGTCCCCGTCGCGATCCAACCGGGATGCTCAGCCCTGGAGGAGGTCGCAGCCCTTGGCGCCGCGCTGGACGTAAGCGCACGCGCAGCAGCAATGGCAGCGGCTACAAATGGCAGTTGGACGGAGTGCTGAGCCTTGTGCGACACAGCCTCCTTTGCGCGACAGGCAGTCTGCAAGCGCAAGCGGCTTCGATGCAGGAGGCAAGCTGGCTGCCGCAAAGGTCGTCTGGGAAAACAAGCTTCGGCTACTGCTCACCCGCCGTTAGTGTACCAGGTTCGTCTCCATTTTACCCCAAATAGATCGCCGACAAACCCGATCGCATCCGTCTCCGAACACCACACCGGCTGTGCTATTGTTTCATCGCACGCAAATAGCACAGACGTTTGCGATGCTCTCTACGCGGTATCCACCTTCGTAGCGAAACCTACCAGTTCCGCACGAAAAGGAACGCGAATAAGACGGGACAACGTCAAAAGTCGTAAAATGAGCGCCCAGGATTTAGAGTAGCGGCGTGACGCAGTGCAATATCGAGACCCTGCCGTGCCCATGACAACAGATTGATCGTCAGCGTGGGAGCATCGGAGCACGCCCGTGATGCGAAGGAGCAAAATTCATCGAATGTTCGTGGGAGGCTCAAAGGAAGAGGTAGGCACCCGCAAGAGAGACTAGGGGCCTTCATATATGGACGGGGGCAGCAATCTTGCGCTATCCCGCTCGAACTTGCTCACGAAAAATCACACGGCATTGTTCTTCATGAGTACCACCCGCCAATGCCAAGACGCGCATTCGCGGTGGGTGGGATTGAGATTGGCAGGAGACAGGCATGCGTCGTGCATGACATTGAAGAAACATGTGTAGCAACTACGCCGTGACGACCGTTGTTGGTCACGCGAAGGTGGCACAGCATTTGAACACGATGAACTGTCCGCAGAACCAATTCGCTTGGGGCCACGCGCGAACGCCACGCGGTTTTGCACATAGAATCTCAAGTTGCTAAAGGTCAACCTTAGGGGCTTCCGCTGACACCTTCTAAGTACGCTCGTGGACCGGCGACGCACAGCAGGAGAAAAGCTCACGATTCCAATACCGCGGCTGAACTCGATGTCGCAGCAATCGCTAGTATCGTGCTACCAACAAGTGCATGCTGCAGCAAGACCAGCGGTCTGAAACCCTATCTTCTTGAATAACGACGATGGTAAACCACATCAGCAGGTGCTCAGAGCAGCAAACGAGGGGACCAGATTTTTGGCGACGCCATCTCAATGTTCCGAATAATTGTAACCTGTTCAGAAACTGGACAGGGTCCAAACCCACGACAAAGCCTCATGGCGGGACTGGTTGCATTGCTTCCTAGCAAGTACAACTAGCCCTCAGCTGTTCAACTTCCACCACCCCGCTCATCTCTACACTTATAATTAATCCTCGCCCTGCACCACCCAACCCTCCTGGCCGCCCCAAACTCTACCAAATCCGCCCCTACAGCTTCAACATCCTTATACGCCTCCGGCGCCTCTTCAAACACGAGATCTTTTGACTCACACACCAACCATGTGCCCTTGCCGCCTCTCGGCTTAAGCAGATTCGACACTTTGTACTTATGGCTGAGCGTCGATAGCGCTTTGGCGCGCGACATGCTCCTGCCGGCGCCGTGGGCGAGGGAGAATGCGTTCTTGAGACCGTGCGAGGTGGAGGAGGGGAATTGCGGGGCAAGGATGAGGGTTGGGGTATCGCGGGAGCCGGGAAGCGGGAGCATAATGAGAGGAAGGGATGTGCCAGGGGAGAGGGTGGGTGCTGCGCCTTTGCGGTGGATGTAGGCGTCGGTTCCTGAAGAGGCGGAAGCAGCCGCTTGTTCGTACGTGTCTCCGATTTTGGCTGTGGCGGGCGGCCATCTGACGCGCTCGACGTTGTTGTGCCATATGTCGACCACGCGGCGAGCACACAGCTCGGTCTTCGCACGAGGAATAGCATCGTGGACGTTTACGACATCTGTGTCATTCTTGCCCAAGCTCCAGGCTGGTTGACCCGGCTCGAGACAGCTCAGGAAGCGCAGAGCAATGAGGTCGCGATTTGCTTTCGCCCATCGACAGGCCCTGTCGTGTTCCTCGAGATACTCCCTCGCCTCTGCACTATCCTCTTTCAAGCTGACCTGTCCCTCAGACGTATACTTTTTCAAGACACTGGATCCGTACCCTCTCGACCCCGAATGCACCAGCAGAACCTACAAAGTCAGCATACTACTCCACTCCACGTCACCAGAACGAACTCACCACCTCCCCCTCCACAAGCCCACACCCAACCTCCGCCTCTTCAACAACCTGAATCTCCGCAAAATGATTTCCCGCCCCAATCGTTCCTAAACTCCCATCCCACTCCTCGCCCGCGCCACAATTCCCTTCCCCATCCTCCAACCACCTCTCCCTCTCTTCCGCCGTCCGCCACGCCCCCTCCAGCCCTCGCAGCTTCTCAGCAACCTTGCTCCCCTTATCACCCTCCACCTGCTCCCTCGATAGCCGCGTCCTAAACCACGCCATCCCACACCCGATATCGCCGCCAATCAGCGGCGGATGGATCCAGCCCTGAGAGACAAAGACGGCGCCGATGGGGAACTTGAAGCCGGGGTGGAGGTCTGGCTGGCCGACTGCGTGGACGAGGCCGGGGAGGGTGTGTGCGGTGGTTTGGAGCTGGTCGAGGGAGAGCTTGTCGAGGGCGGCGGTCGAGGCGAGTACGTGGATCGGGCAGGTTGGGTTTGCTTCCGCTGTGGGGTGCTTAGCGATTGACTGACATTGCAGAATAGCGTATGTGTGCATTTTGGTCTGCACGTCACGGGAGGGAGGAATGACTCACGGTGCACGCCCGCTTCTCTGTTCACGCCGACATAGTCCTCGCCCGCAGAAATCAACAGCGACACATCGTTCCGTATGGCTCGTTTCCAGTCCTCTTCACCCACGAGCTCGGCGCCAGATCCGGCGATGAAGATGCGTGACGGTTTTTTGATGCGCAGTTTGGACTGTGCGGCTTTGAAGACGAGTTTGCAGATCGAAGTTGGCGAGTTGGGATCTGGGCAGGCGTTTGAAGGGAGGAGGAGCGGTGCTCGCTGCGTTTGGTTGGTGTTAAGTGCGATTGTCACCCGCGTTGGCGGGAGTCGTGAATTGTGTGAGCACATTTGGTGACTATCTGGTGTTCGAATCTCTCTGCTGTTCTGCGGATCCAGAGCGAATGAAATGTATGATTGGTGGTGTGAGATTTCAACATCATGGCTCTTTACGTTTTATTGTAGTGGTCGACTTGTGGCTGTGCGTGCGTGAAGTTGCTCACTCAGTTCGACTCATATGAGGCTGAGGGCTAGACGTTCTCTGATTCGGCAATTGGGTCGACAACATGGGTTTAGCTGTACCTGCTCGCAAGCGACCATCATCGAAATGGACTTCAAGACAGCCTAGGAGTGCATCGCATTAGGTGAGGAATATACAACACGCTACAACAGAACAACATTAGCCCTTTCTACCCTCAAGACGTCCAGTGAGGCACCTGGGCCTTGTCGCCAATCACGCCGTCCTTCCCATTGACACCATTGTCAATCTTTGCCGGAGTAGGCCTCTTGAAGTGCGGCTTGAGCGGCTCCCAGCTCTCCGCATTGTACCCCTCCTGCACCTTCTTGCACTTCTTCAGGCCCCAGTCCGTCACGCCTACCATGAGGCAGCTCTCAAACATGAACGCCATGCTGCCCTCGCCGACTTTGTGCGGCTGCAACGGAGCATTAGATGCTTTTTCGTGGGTCGAAGCATCTGGACCGTGGCCTGCCATTACGTTGTGGAGCGACGCCCCGGCGGGCTGGAAGCCTCCGCCGGTTTTGGCGTCGTATTGCCCTTGGATCAGACCCATGAACTCAGACATGGTGTTGCGGTGGTACCACGGCGGCCGGAATGTGTCTTCTGCGACGAGCCAGCGCGGCGGGAAGATGACAAAGTCGGCTACTGCAGTGCCAGGATGGTCTGATTGTGCGGTCAAGACAGTGTAGATGGAGGGGTCTGGGTGGTCGAATGAGATGCTCCCCATTGTGTTAAAGCGGCCTAGGTCGTACTTATATGGGTAGTAGAGACCGTGCCAGGCTACAACATCGAAAGGAGTGTGTCCTTGCCTGGCAGAAAAGAGGTGACCAGCAAATTTACACAGCACGTGCCATTCTGTCTCGGTGTCCTCATCGAAGTCTGCGATGGGCGCCTGGAAATCGCGTGCGTTGGCAAGACAGTTGGAGCCAATGGGACCCAGTTCTGGCAGCTGGAAATGACCTTGGTATAGTTCGAGAATGTAGCCTCGCACGGGTCCTTCGGGAAGATCTACGCGGTACTTGATGCCGCGTGGGATAACGCAGATCTCATTTGGTCGCACGAGTAAACGACCAAGCTCTGTGCGAATGTCTAGCACACCGTGCTGAGGTACTATAAGGAAGTCTCCGTCGGCTGAGTAGAAAGCCTCTTTCGCGTCCATGCTCTTTCCTGCTGCATAGATGTACATGCCGAGACCTTGCTTCATGGTAGGATCACCGGCACCGGCGACCAGGTGTAGTGAGTGCACCCAGTCCACCGTCTCGTCGAGATCGAATGGGTCCCATCGAAGCTGGTTGGGAATGTGGTGGATCTTCTCATAAGGTTTGTTCTCGGGGTTGGTGTTGTATGTGGAGGATTCGCGGGGTTCGAAGTTGCTGTGCCCGCATGAAGGCAGTACGCGGTACAACCACGTCTGCTGATTCTCATGTCGTGGTGCCGTGAAGGCGGTTCCGGAGAGCTTTTCAGCGTAGAGACCATATGGCGGTTTTTGAGGAGAGTTTGCGCCTATTGGTAGGGCTCCCTCCACAGCTTCTGACCTGTCACATGTTAGTTGATGTGGTTGCGCTGAAGAATGTTGCGAGGCGCACTCATGGTAGGAGTTGAAGCCATTCTGGTACCGATACTTTTCTTTGTGGGCGAACTGTGTGGAAGGCATCGTGGATGTCAGTGTAGTCTGGATTGAAGAACTGCTCGAGGTGGCGCTTGGTCAAGGACACAGCAGTCTTAGGGACTTTCGTCTGGCGGATGGGGAGTTTTTTAAGCAACGTCTGCCGCCTGTTCCTGGGGTGCAGCGGGGTGTGGGAATCGTCATACGGGTCGGCCGGCCGCAATGCCATGGCTCCTGGAGACGCGGCTTAGGGCGGCCTGTGGTTCCGTACACAAAGCGGAGGCGTGGAGCTTCCGGCAGCTCACATGTGGCGTGCGATGCTGCAGCGGAATTGTTGCGCGCTGCCCTGGCCTAGTCGCTAGCGCCCGCGCATATCCCCCGCCTTCCATGCGCATTCCGTCACCAACCGCCGGAGTCGGCTTGTGAAGAAAATGGCCGCACCGGAAGTCTACTTGTGCGGCCTGTATTGGCCTTCTCGAGCACAGAAATACTGGCTCGAAATACATCCGTCCGTAGCCTTACCATGCCTGCCCTTCGCTCGTGGTTCACCATCCCCCGTGGCTCGCACTTCTCGCTTGCCAACATCCCCTTCGGCATCGTCTCAACCGCGACTTCCAATTCTCCGCGTGTTGCGGTTGCCATTGGCGACCATGCCCTGGACCTCGAAGCCTTCGCTGCGAACAATGGCTTCTCCGCTCTCTCCGCGATCCAGCCACACCAGGCTGTATTTTCCGAGCCTTCGCTGAACTCTTTCGCTGCCCTTGGCCGCCCAATGCACGCAGTTGTCCGAAAGTATATCCAGAGCGTATTTGCCGAAGACACGCCATATCCCGACGTCTTGAAGAACAACGCAGCGCTGCAGAAACAAGCACTGTTCCCCTTGAAAGATGTCCAGAAACACTTGCCGTTCAAGATTGGTGACTATACTGATTTCTTTGTCGGCATGAACCATGCCTACAACTGCGGTGTTATGTTTCGTGGGGCAGCCAACGCCTTGAACCCCAACTACAAATACCTCCCTGTGGGATACCACGGCCGAGCCTCTTCGATCGTCCCGTCGGGCACGCCCATCCGTCGTCCGCACGGTCAGTTCTTGCCGAACCCAGCTGCAGACGAGAAGGTTCCCGTTTACGCACATATCAAGAAACTCGACTATGAGCTCGAGCTAGGCGCCTTCGTCTGCAAGCCGAACAAGATGGGAGAGCCTGTGCCCATTGGCCAGGCCGAGGACAATTTGTTTGGCCTAGTCATGTTGAACGACTGGTCAGCAAGAGATGTGCAGTCGTGGGAATACGTTCCTTTGGGCCCATTCAACGCAAAGAACTTTGGCAGCAGTATCAGCACCTGGGTCGTCCTAATGGATGCTCTTGAACCTTTCAAGGTCAAGGGTATCGAGAACGACAAGGAGGTCCTGCCTTACCTCAAAGAGAAAGATGACAAAACTGTGTATGACATACAATTGAAGGTCGATTTGAAGAGTAAGCTTTCTTCGCCGCCAAATGTGACCAAGACTGACATCCAGCAGCAAACTCTGGCAGCACGACCACCGTCGCAAACTCGAACGGTCGCCATCTGCTCTGGTCATTTCCCCAGTGTCTGGCCCACCATACATCCACTGGTTGCAATCTGCAAACTGGCGATCTGCTTGGTTCAGGAACGATAAGCGGCACGGCTGCGGGGGAATATGGCTGTCTGCTTGAGGGTACCGAAGGCGGGAAGAAGCCGTTCAAGGTTGGTGACGAAGAGCGGACCTTCTTGCAGGACGGCGACGAAGTCACTTTCACAGGTGTCTGCGGTACCGATGAAGAGGCTCTGGTTGGTTTCGGGCAAGTCACTGGCAGGATAGAACCGGCGCTGAATCTTGGCTACTAGCGTTTCCCGTATAGATGCAATCACCTATAGACTCGTTATAATGCATGAAATAGCCATTGTCAAACGATAAACATTTCCACGGTTGTCACCATTGCTCGATTAAGCCAATTAGCGAAGTGCTCCATGCATCTTGCTGGCAGTTCATAGTGATGGAAATTCGCCGCACACCACGGAACCCGGACAACCATGATGGTCACCTCGTACGAATTCGCCATTGCATCTCCAAGCGAGTGCTTCGAGAAAGAACAGAGCCGCACAACGTAATCGACAATGCTGCAAGCCAAGGGCCCGCCCCGCCACGCACTGCCACTACCCAGCGCTCCGCATCGCGCTAGTGAGCGGCCAAATTCCGTGGTAGCTCCATCGCATCCTTCCCCGCCTTTGTATGGCATCGGATATCTTTCGGTCGCAGACGATCTCTGGGGCCATCCGAGGTCGCATTCGATCAAATGAGAACAGCAATTGGTCCTGCATGAGGTTGTTTCGCAGTGTACGTTAGCCGCAGACTGAGGCCAGCATCGGATGGTGATGCAATGAGCTTATTGCCAAACTTTCTCCACTCCACGTCTCGTCCTAGAGTATAAGATTGCTACCCCTCTTACGTAGCTCTAAATCTCTCAAGCTTATCCAAACTTCCTTTCTCATCCCGCAACCCAATCCGCGTCACGGAATAGATCATGACTTTGGCTATATATGTCGCGGCTGCGGCCGTAGTAACTTTTTTCTTATATCGTTTGCTATATGGAACGGATCAGCCACACATCAAGGGACTTCCGGAGGTGAAGGGACTACCGTTGTTTGGCAGTCTGTACGAGCTTGGAGAGGACCATGCGAAAGTTGCGCAGGGTTGGGTGAAGAAGTATGGCCCGGTCTTCCAGGTACGAATGGGAAACAGGGTACGTTTCTTCCATCTGTATCCTCTTCGATCCTCACAAAATGAGACTTCAAGCCCTGACCATGATTCCAGAGAATCGTCTTCGCAAACACCTTCGACTCAGTTCGCCATTTCTGGATCACACACCAGTCTGCACTGATCTCGCGTCCAACCCTGCACACCTTCCACACCGTCGTCTCCTCCTCCCAAGGCTTCACCATCGGGACCTCCCCCTGGGACGAGTCCTGCAAGAACCGCCGCAAGGCCGCCGCCACTGCGCTCAATCGCCCAGCCGTCCAGTCCTACATGCCCCACATCGACCTCGAATCCAACGTCAGCATCAAAGAGCTTCTAGCTGACTCCAAGGGCGGGGAAATCGACCTCGATCCGCGCGCGTACTGGCAGCGATATGCGCTCAACACGTCGCTTACATTGAACTACGGATACAGAATCGATGGTGACAAGGACGACAAGCTGCTGCACGAGATCACGGATGTAGAGAGGGGCGTCAGCAACTTCAGAAGCACGAGCAACAACTGGCAGGACTACATCCCGCTGCTGCGGCTATTCCCCAAGCAGACGAGAGACGCGATCACGTTCAGGGAGAGGAGAGATGTGTATCTGGACTACCTGCTCAAGGGCCTGAAGGAGCGCATCGCCAACGGAACAGACAAGCCCTGCATCACCGGCAACATCCTCAAGGACCCCGAAGCCAAACTGAACGAAGGTATACATCTTCTTCCCACACACCTCCTGAACCACTCGCTAACACCCCCCCAGCGGAAATAAAGTCCATCTGCCTAACCATGGTATCCGCGGGTCTCGACACCGTGCCCGGCAACCTGATAATGGGCATCGCGTACCTCGCCTCACCCGCAGGTCAATCCATCCAAGCCCGCGCCTACGCCGAAATCCAAAAAGTCTACCCAAACAACGACGCCTGGACGCGCTGCCTCGACGAGGAAAAGGTACCCTACATCACCGCCCTCTACAAGGAGATCCTCCGCTTCTGGACCGTCATCCCCATCTGCCTGCCCCGCGTCAGCATAAAGGACATACCCTGGAACGGCGTCATTATCCCCGCGGGAACCACATTCTATATGAATGCGTATGCCGCGGACTACGACGAGACGCATTTCAAGGACCCGGAGAAGTTCGATCCGGAGAGGTATTTGGATGTGGCCGAGGGAGCGGGGACGCCGCACTATGGGTATGGCGCGGGGAGTCGCATGTGTGTTGGCTCGCATCTGGGGAATCGCGAGCTGTATACCGCTTTTGTGCGGTTGATTAGTGCGTTCGAGTTCAAGCCGCCGAAGGACCCGAGGGATGCGCCAATTCTGGACTGTTTGAAGGCGAACGCGATTCCCACCAGCTTAACGATGGAACCAAAGTACTTCAAGGTAGGATTCAAGCCCAGAAATAGGGCCTTGTTGGAGAAGTGGATCAAGGAGAGTGAGGAGAGGACGAAGGAGTTGATGTAACTACGCTAATCAAGCGGATCACTGTAAATGTTCTGGGAAAATATTATATAAACTTAACACACATCACATGCATCATTTGGTTGAGATTGTCGAAGATGCTTTTGCTTTCTGAGCTTGACAATCAACTCTTTCCCAGAATCGAGGACATGAACACCCTTACTCCCGATCCAAATCAATGACTTAATTGTCATACGGGTATCATGAACAGGCACCGAAGTGCGTGGAAATATTCAAGAGCCGGGGACTGTGTACCGAGGCGTAATGTAATAGAGCTCACAGAGGGCTGCAAGACTAACAGTAGTGGGACTGACTGGACGGCTCAGAAGGACTTCTACTCGTCGTCCTCATCCGTCTTGTCGCCGTCCATGTAGGCCTCCATACGGCGAACGTTGTCCTCAACGTCTGAGGTATCCTCCTTACCGGACTTCTGGAAGCGTGGGCGATCGTCGGCAATGCTGAGCTGAAGCTTCTGGTGATTGTAGCCCTTCCCATCAAACGCAAGCACGAAAGCCTCGGCGCCTTCGAACTCTTTGAATCGTACAGTCAGGATGCCCTCGGCCTCCTTGTCATACAGGACGACCTTGGTGACCTCTCCGAATTTCTCGGCGGCCTCACGCATGTCCTCCTTGATCTCGAGTACAGCACCCTCATCCTCCTTGTCGTTGATCTGGGCCAAAGTAAAGGCCTTCTTGATGATGACGTACTTGGACCATTTGTTCTTTTTCGGCGCAAAGGCCTTCTGCACCTCCTCCTCCTCGTCCTCGGACCATTCAGCGAGTTTCCTGATATTGCGTTAGGATGGCGATCAGGCGAAGCCAGGCGAAGCCTGGAAGAGCCCACATACCGATTGAGTTCTGCGCGAGTACGCTCGGCGGCCTTGCGGTCCTTGCGGACAAGTTTGCTCTTCACAACCTCGCCATCGGTGTTCTTTTTGAACGACATGTCCGCTTCCTCGACCTTGATCACACCCTCCGATTTCTGCGCATCGAGGCGGAAAGGCCAACCATCATAGCGCATGATGGCCAGCTCAATCGACTCCTTCTTGAAGTAGACAATGAGCACGTCGCCGTTGAACTTGCCGTCCTCATCGGTATACATCTTGATGCGGGGCTTGCCGTCAACGCCCTTCTCGATAATCCCCGCCTTCTTGAACGTCTCCTCGATTTCCTCGAAAGTGGCGTCGCGAGGAATGTTGGACGCATAGATAGCGCGGTTCTCGATTGCTTTTTGCTGCTTCTTAGTGGACGCCTATTGGTTGTTAACTGTAGAACTGGAAAGGTGCCGCAACAACATACGCCTGCAGTGGTCGGGGCTTCCTTGCGCTTCTGGCCGGTGCCGTGATCAACAGTTGCACCGCCGGTGTTCTGAGCCTCCGGAGATCCGCTATTGGCGGGAACAGCGGCAACTGAGTCCTCGATGTCCTGACGGCCTGACATGATGTTCTCGGTTGACGATGGCTTGAATTGATTGATTTCAAGAGGACTGTGTAGACAGTCAAGGAGCACACAAAGTATGGAGCTTTGCTTTCAGACTTTGAAAGGTATCGCTAGACGGCTCACGATACTGCAAATTCACAGCAAGTTGCTCAAATGCTTTGTGCTGAAGTAGAAGAACCTCAGAGTGGCCCCACGAAAAGTGAGCAAACAATTGGCAGTGCAGACGGCTTAATGTCAGGTGCGATCGCGCGAAAGTTTGCGAGCGGGTGCGAGTGCAAGTGGAAGAGCGCGGGGTGAAGCTGTCGAACGCCGTTGCGATCAAAATATATGCGCACGGGCCGCCGTCGTCGCGCGGTGACAGCAGTCACGCGTTTGTCTGGTGCCTGGCGGGGCCGACTGGTTTTCCGGCACGCGGCAAGACGAAGTGAACGTCTGGTTACAGTTAGGAGTTGGCCCTGGGGTGATGAAGGGGGCGCTGACCTGTTCTGAGGTGCTCAAGGGATAGCTGCATGGCGGGCCTCGGTCGTTAGTCAACTGAAGGGTGGATGCCGTCCAGCATCGCGATTCCCGAGGGCGTAGAGGGACCTACACTGAGCGTCGCTGGGCATTGAAGCTGTTTTCGAGGCCTTTCAGGGGCGGTAGGCGGGCAGAGTGTGGTGTCCAGAGGTGTGATGAGGTGGAGCGGTCGGTCGGCGCAGATGCTCGAAGCTCTCCGGGAAAGATGCAGCGCACGGGCACTTACCCCACCAGCGTCTGACGGCCTCGCCGCTTCCGAGCTCTTCTCAAACAAGCACACGACTCGAAATCGAACTTGCCTGGTTGCGCCTCCTGCGGCAGACCTTTATTAATCATGATCCGACCGCCGTAACTTTTGCTGCTCGTCTTCCACCACTCCTCCTACACTCTGCACTCCACCCCGACATGCGCGACCCTCTTCCGGCCCCTGCGCTCTTCGTGGAGCTCACAAAGCCCCTCGCTAACAAGTTCTCACTGAACACCTTGCCATATCACGCGCACGAGATCCTACTCGGTTTCCTATGGTATCATTTCATCCTCTACTATCTTTCGCCGACCTTGTCACGCATACTATGCCCTCAAAGATACAATGGCTTCAACAAGCGCACCCGCTTGAACTGGGATATACACTGGGTCTCCATGATCCAGGCCCTGTTCGTCAATGCTGCGGCACTGTATGTCATCTTTAGTGACCCTCAGCGCAAGGAGATGGATTGGAGGGGGCGGCTTTGGGGGTACACACCAGCTAGCGGCATGGTGCAGGGCTTCGCTGCAGGTAAGCTAGAAGATCTCCGGAGGTTTCTAGCCTGCAATATTGGAGCACTATGACGACAATTCCATACGGATTTGCTGACGAGTACCTAGGATACTTCCTTTGGGATCTCCAGATCTCGTCGCAATATCTATCGCTTTCTGGGATTAGCGCCCTTGTACATGCTATCGGCGCTTTGGCGGTTACGTGCATTGGCTTTGTGGGCAACCCAACCGCACCAAGGCCAAGTTCAATAAGCTAACTCTTTTACAGAGACCTTTCGGAAACTACTATGGCCTCTCCTTCGTCTTGTACGAACTCTCGACACCTTTCCTAAACATCCACTGGTTCTGCGACAAGCTTAATCTTACCGGCTCAAAGATCCAATTCTATAATGGAATCGCTCTGCTTGCCACCTTCTTCGGCTGCCGCATTGTATGGGGCACGTACCAATCCGTCTTGATTTACTCGGACATCTACACAGCCTTGACAACATCTTCGGACCCACTAGTATCGATGCTAGACACAGGAAAATGCGAAAGCAACGCAAGCTCAATCAGTCTTGGTTACATAAGCGGCTGCGGCGCCGGGGACCTTCCTATGTGGTTGGTAAGCATCTACCTCGTTGGCAACACCGCTTTGAGCCTGTTGAACTTCTACTGGTTTAGCCAGATGGTGAAGGCTGTCAGGAAAAGGTTCGTGGCGCAACCGGGGAGCAAGGCGAACGGACAGACGAAGAAGGGGCAGTAGATGGACGAAGGACAACGACAATAGAGTAGACATTCTTACACTGTCTTAACAAGGCTAGCCTATCATACATTAAGAACGCTTGAGTGCGACGGTCTCCAAAGTTGATATCCAGCCAATTGTGAATTGCATCTCCGCCTGCTATGACCGAAGACATCGTTCTGATCCTTCAAGTAGTCGTCGGTGTTGAAGGGTCGACCTCATGAATATGGCGAGCTATGATTCGGCGAAGGGAAACTACCAATTTGCCCATCATACACTGGTGTCGAGGTCCAGGACATGGTTTCCGACACACCGTAAGCTGCAGCATTATACGGGAATGACCTAACAGTCTCAGTCTACCATCACACCACATTCGGCGTAGCACCACTCACATCTCTGAAAGCCCATCGTAGGAAGAAGCAGTCTCCGAGGTATTCGAAACCGGCGTATACGGTCTCGTTGACGCCGGATATACAGTGAAATGTGCCTGGCTGTTCGCAGTTGTAAGAATATCGGATGTGAAATTTGTACTGCAGAACGACGCTGACGGCTGGAAGAGATAGGAGTGCGGATCCACGAAGCCGTATCCTGCCGACAGTGACGACCATGGCCTCATCTGGCTGTCGATTGGGCTGCCTCCCGGCAGACTACCTTGACTTTGACTGCACTCATCCACGACCGCTGTGTGTTCGAAGAGGTACGGGCTCGGCGATCTCGCGTAGGACGTGTTGTCATCTCGATAGTGAGGCCGGAGCGGAGGCGTTCGGGGTAACGCTGGCTGGGATGAAGGACGGGACAGGCTTCGCGTAACATCGGGTCTACCTATCGAGTGTCGTTCAGTGGGCGGCAGCAGAGCCATGTGTGTGGCAATAAGGTATACCTGGCTGGGAACTGAAGGTCCTGAGGTGCTGCACCCACTCGCTTCTCGTCTGCTGTTTCTTGCCCCGGACATAGCAACATGGCGTGCCGTTTCGTTGACATCGCTTGCATCCCGGCTTTCCGCCATCGCACTTGACTTTTCTATCTCTACAGCGGGCACAAGCAACGTGCTTCATTTCTGGCATTGGTGAGACCATGCTTCGAGAGGCGCAAGGTGGATCGATTGAAAGGATTGCACTATCGAATGGAGATGGAACGATATCGTCCACGGGTCTCGAGGTATCCGAACAGAGTTTCTGACGTGACAGATGACCTCCAGCCAGCGAATATATAAAGCAGGCAACCCATCCCACCTCATCGCATACTAAACATCTCAGACCCAGCACGCTGGCATGCGGCGATCCATCTCGTTCTAAAGCACCAAAGTAACCACAGGAACGCAGTGCTCTTGGCTCAAAGCTGAGCCTCAGTAAGCAGCCCTAGCATCCACCACACCAAGGAATGTACAGACTGCTACTCGCTCTGTATGTGGTTGAGTTTCAGTGCAGGCACCGTTGACCGAAAAGAGGACATCAGGCCGACGGGAGGCCATGTAGCATGCGGACCGTGGGCCGAAGGCTCTTGGCATCTTCTTTGTGGCAGCCGCCTCACCGACTCCGAGGAGCCTCTGATGAGGGCTCAGAGGTTTAGGCTTAGTTGTACGAGAGGTGCCTGTGGCTGGCTGCGGAGGGAGTGGGCGGATTTTGTCTCCTGAGCGCCGCTCACCGCCCCTTGCTGCGGTGTAGCCGCATCGCGTGGTACACCAATGCTCGACGTGACGCGGGCTGAGATCACAGCTTGCGCATTCCCGCAAACTTCATTTGAGATGTCATGCACGCCTAAGCCATCCCCAACGTGGCACAATAAGTTGTCTCATATCAGACACCGGCTAAACAGACACCGTCCCGAGGTCGTGTATGTAGGCCATCTTTATCGGAAGGTGAGATGGTGTGAAGGATCGAATTTCACAATTTTTTACGCGCATAACAGACGTGTCCGACCATGTCCAAAAGTTTACTACATTAGGTGGCGTCTGCGTGGTAAATTCTTCTGGAAGGTCAACCAGCCCCCGTGTAACAGCACGAAAATAGGACAAGTGGGGACAAAATATCCAGCGTGCAACCGCGTACAAAAACGGACTTCGTGGCAGACATGTGAGATGTCCTTGGATCTGGAACAGTCAAGTGGAGCGCAATCTTTTGCCATTTGTCGATGGATTATCCTGTTGCCGGTAGCGATGCCCTCGGCGGTTCCATGGTACCTTCTACCAGGCAGCGCAACGAGACTGGACCTGGAATTTGGGAGTGAAGCTGTGTCACATTGGAACGGCAGTGGTTTGTTTCCCAGACAGAAGACTTCAGCGTAGCGATGGTCGTAGGGCTGATGAGGGCGGTACCCCGGTGGCCAAATAGGCCCTGTTCGCTACGGTTGTTGGAGGTTGGACTCATTACCTTGGACTAGCACGCGAGCAAATAAGATATGGGGCATCGTTGGTATCGTCTCGCTCGCGTGATGTGGGCCTGACGCGTCGCACTGACCGGGGGAACATCAACGGGCATCAGTCGCAAAAGGTAGTATGTCCGTCGCAAAGTATACATTGATGGACAACAGCCACGGAACCGAGTGAATTGATTCCGACATGGGCTGACAGGTCAACACCACTTTCTGAGAACCGAAGTCGTTGAGAAGGTATTGCTTATCGCGTGCTGCAGAGGAAGGCACGATGGGCACTCCTCCACTTTTGCTTTCCAAGGTTGCAAGTTCCAAAACGATTCACGTGACCATGCCATGCCCAAGTTGGCCTTGTCCTCCGATCCCGAACGATTGGCTCAAGCACACTCTTAGAAGTTGGTTGCCACCGTAAAGTCGGCAATGGCCATAGCACATTGGAGTCAGTGATCGCCAGCGAAGCGATTGAAATCGAGTCAAGCAGAATTCGCACTAAAACACGGCTCGGGGATTCCCCACACGCACATCCCTTTAGCGCACGACAGGGCTCAGGTCTTCCACCCCGAATCATACCATTCAACCCATACAATACTCTACCACATGTTGTCTCGTGTTTGAGTATCTCTTAATTTCCGCGAGTTGCATAAACGATTGCTCAAATGGAATAGTTGATCACTCACTTTTGATACTGCCGAATATGCACGCAACTGAGGGCTTGTCGTGTAGTATGGAGCTATCCGCGCCTCCCCGCTTTTTAGATCTGCCGAAGCTACCAAACTTTGGTCGCCGAGTCTAAGGTCAGGCTGTCGATGATATAGGCTTCAGAGTTCAGGCTAGTGGGCAAGGATGGGCATGTTCATCAATTCGAGGCAACGAACGCAGGAAAGGACCGAATGACAGAACGCAAAACTATGTAAGCCGAGATCATGCGGGTATCGAATGTCGTGATAGAACGAATACAGGTCGCTGGAAAACATGACCATGCATCATTTTAACCGCCGCAAGGCCTTCCAGGGATGGATGGTATTTGCCTATGCAACGGCGTAGCACTTGCAGCCCCCGAAGACCAGGAATATGAAACCTTAACACTACCTCCGCAATCGCCAGCTTCCGCGTTCACGTCTTCCGGAATATCTTCTCGTCGCGGGGATCCCTGGGCAACACGACCACGGTATCGAGCTCGCGATTCATGTCCCGTGATAGGCTGCGGAACCGTTCCTGGGAGGTCCCGCTTTTGAGCGACGTGCTATCTTGCTTGAGGTCATGGGTGCTTCCGTGCCCAAAATGGGAAACTATGGCCTGACTGGCTGTAATGAACCAGGGAAGTCTGCCGTGAGGTTTGACTGTATGCACCTTTAGTTCGGCAATTGGAGTTGGCCAGCCGTAGTACTTACTCGTCCAGTATTCGCGATGGTCCTCGTCGTCCGGTACAATGTGTCCACGGCTAATAATCTTCGTGATGTAAACCAGCCCGTTTAGGACTGTGTACACCAAAAGCCCGGCGATCAATCCGTATGCAGCAGAATAGCCAAACGGAATGAACATGACAGTGACGAAGGCTGGAACAGCATCGCCAATGTATCTCCAGTTGATCATGACAATTTGGCGCATCATCAAACAGCCGACCTAAAGGCGATTAGCATTGAGATGAGGCGCTGAATTAACAGTGTTATTTACCAAGATCAAAGTGCATCCAGTCGCCCAGGGGGGGATCGAAGCGAAGATTGGAGCAAAAAACATGGAGATAAAGAAGCATAGGCCGCAGGTCATGGCTGTCAACCCTGTCTTCCCACCTTCGGCGATACCAGCTCCCGATTCGATGAAAGCGGTGACGGGAGAAACGCCGAGCAGAGAACCAATGGAGATGCACAATGCATCTGTGCAATAAGCGAGCGTAGATCTGGGGAAATCTCCAGTGTCTGGGTCAACAACGCCGGAGAAACGCGCCATACTGTATAGTGTGGCCGTGCAATCAATGATGTCGACGTAAAGAAAGGTGAAGAGCGCGAGTGCAAAGTGCGATGGCGCAGTCGATATATCCCAACGCAAGACGTTGAGGGTCGTGATGGGATGGAAGTCGACAACTTGTTTGAAGAAGTTCCAGCGATCGTCGCCCTGCTTGGTGTGGGGAAAGTAGGTGAAGGATGTTCCTCGTCTATGCTGCACATCAGTACGCTGAAAGATGACGGCAGGTCTTTACTCACGGCCAAGAAATGATTGATACTAACGCAATGCCAGCAATCATTGCGCTCTTAACCTTGTAGGTCATGAGATAGGCTGTAACTACACCTCCGCACATGATGCCAATCCACATCTGAAATTACCCGTCAGTTGCCGTGCTCGATGCAAACTATTAGCCTGTAGCTATGCGCAGGAACTCACCGTTGGAGAAGTCATCTGGTGGCTCGTACAGAAACCATTCTCGTCCTTGTAGACGTCCGGACATCCCGCAATCTCGAGGGGTGTGTTTTTGGCTCCCTGGATAGCACCAATACCTGCGGAGTGACCCAAACCGATCTCGGCGAGAAAAAGCCCAATTCCACATGCGCTCGCAATCTTCAGCGATACGGGAATAACCTTGACTAGCCACTGGCGCATCCCAATGAGGGACAAGAACATGAAGAGCCATCCTTCCACGAATACGGCAGTCAGAGCCAGGCTATACGGCACAAAGCCGCTGCCGTGAAAGCCCACAATTTGGTATGCAAAGTAAGCATTGATCCCCATACCAGGTCTGTAGGCAGTATCAATATGGGCACTTCGGAAGTAGAGCTATTAGCAGAGCTATTGGTGGATAGCTTACCCAAGTGCGACGGGCATGTTTGTCAGGAAGCCAAACAAAACACAGCTAAATCCCGCTATAGCAGCAGTGGCTGTAATCAAAGACCGATGTAGATCTGGTGCACGTTAGCATAGTCTTGAATGGGGTGCAAGACACCATACCTTCCACACAGAGAGCATAGGCTCTGTCGGTTGTGCAAAGCGGGTCGTTTGGGTCATTGCAAACACAGTTACCGCCCGTGTCGGACAATACGGTCGCCTTCAGGAGTCAAGACCAGACCACGTAGATGGCTGTCAGACTCACATTCACGGAGATGATGTATGCCATCGTGAAGAACGTTGTTAGCCCGGCACGTAGCTCGGTGGTGAACTTGGTGTTCTTGATCTCGAAGTCCTTCGACGATCAGCTGCTATGTTCCACAAGGAAAAGGACGAGAGAACTCACATGACCTGACCCTTCGAGGTGGAAAATCCGCCCAAACGTAGACGCCGCTACCCGACGGTCAACGGTGTCGATTTTGCGTTTGATAGCGTTCATGATGGAAAGCATATAATCGAGATTGATTACAAGGATGCAAACGTCGATTAAAATGTAAAGGCAAACGCTCTTCCGTCGAGGAAGATTAAATAGATATCTTTGAGCCGAGATCCATGAGAAGGAAGCATTAGGAGAAGTGTTAGGTATGCAGGAGGTGCAATCGACCAGGACAACGTGAATTAGCCTGCTCTCGATATGTCTGCAGGGGCCAGCGCAGGATAGACCGATGTCAAGCAAGGGAGTTCTCGACTTTCAAATACACAAGCAGACGGGGATGAGGCTGCAGACAATGGCCAGCCACGAGACGTGGTGAGAGCAGAATGCGGGACAGAAGAGCTGTCAAATCGTAGTTGACAGAGCCGTCACCCATGTTCAAACAATGGGCCACAGCGCCCTGTCATGGCGGCCTGCAGCTGCAGTAATGTGACGCTGTGGAGATTTGGTTTGCTAGGGACCGAAGAGCGCGGTCGTGGCTGCGGGTACCGAGTCAGGGATCTCGTCCGATCCTTGAACCCTGTTCTTCAACCGCTCATCAGGAACAGCTCGTCGATCTAAGCCTTTCCGGTTGGCGATCAACCGGCCCGCGTCTGTCCTAAAACGACGAACATTGGAGATCTCCTCTCGAGCAAGGACAAGGATTGCACTGTGCTGCATGTTGTGGTAGGGTCTGACCCCTAAAGACCACACCAGCAGGGGCAGCGACAATTATCCCGCAAGTTTGCTTTGCAGTAAGTGTGCGAGGTCGTGAGCGGGAGTTGTCTCTGCAGGAAAACCCCTGGCCAGAGGCCAAAGAGATCGTCTTGTTTGCTCTGCCGACTGCGCTCGGGAGGGAGGAGGCGGTCTCAGACTGTAGCAGACGCAGCCTTGAATGCATGACACATGACCTTTGGATTCACATTGTGTCTGCACATCGCCCGATTGGATGGCCGATTGGAACCCGTCCCAACCGAAGAAGAGACATGTAGCAGTGGGGCACCGATAAGCTAACCAATAAGTGGAGGTGGTACGACATAAAATTGCGAAGGCTCGAGTCAATCTGCGTAACCGTACCAGCTTGGCCCACGTGTAAGCGAAACTCTGGCGGCTGGAGTAGCTCCGCGAAGCCGAAAGATGGACATTCTGGCTCCCATATCCCGCATGCGAGCACAGCAGCTCTGGTCCCTGCTAGTTTGTTCTCGTCCTCAACTTTGAGGTCCTTATGAAGACCCTCTCATAGCCCAATAAAGCCACAGGCGGAATGTACGACAGTCGACGACCTCAGGTGCTCTTGTAAAAGAGGCCCTCGTACGCCCGCCCTGACCTCTCCACACTAGCTACCAGCTGTCTGGTCGGCACCTGATCATGCTTTTTGTATCTGATAGCGATTAGCCACCCGCGATCTTTCTTGGTACCGAGCATTGGCTCTTCTCTCGATGCCTTTCCGTAATTTCTAGGGCCCTTCTTACGACCCACACGTTGTTCTCTTTTTTTTTTTTTTTCGTAATGTTCTCCGCCGACCTCTCCTGGACGGATTCGAGTACAGAGAAAGTTGGCGAGCGGAGAGAAAGAAAAGCGAAAGAGCGCTCTCTGCATTCCACGACGCCTTCTGTCACCAGCTCTCGGAGCTCGATAACTTCATCACTCGCCGACGAACGACAGCTGTGGTGGACGTCGAGCCTCCGAAAGGCGAAAAATTTCAAGCCGAACAAAAAAGCAAGACCTTCGACAAGCCGCAGCATCGTCACAGACGCCTCACGACCGACATCTACCGTTCTTCGCTCAATCGAGCCGGAATCAATCCGAGAGTTGAAGGATCCCTCACTACAACCAGGTTGGACGTATTCCTCTACGCTGTCTTCGAACCTTCCATCCGGTGCGCCGCTAGATCCTCCTGCACCCGAGTTCGAAGTGCCAGAGTTAGAAGGCGACTTGTCTTCGCGTGGTGCTAACTCTACTGGTTCTCGCTCTTCCCGTAAGCTGTGAATATCTCTCCTGGCTGTCGCAATACTGACTTTACACACAAGACGAGCGACGATGGAGTCTAAAGCCTTATCCCAAGCTGCATATCGCTGATGAGATCGACGAGATCCAACCACGCACTCCTCGCTCTTTCATCACTCGCACGACACGGCGGAGTTCTGTAGCCGCACAATTCGACGACATCGCCACAATCACACCGACAACGTCTTATGAAAATAAAAAGCAGTCAGTTTTCGCTATAGTAGAACTGTCACTCCCAAACTTACACTGTAACAGAAATGGTTCTGTGAATATCGATGCCAGTATGGGACTTGAGCGCCTGAAACTGCAAGACCAACCTGAGGAAGACGTGGCACCAGTGCCACCAATTGAGACACACCGATCGCACGCCAACGGCTTCGCATCTTCAAAGTTGGCTCCGTGGGTCCCTCCTAACGACTGGCACGTCTTGCAACCCGAGAGCATGCAGGATTTTGAACGGCCGCTCAAGCAACGCAAGGAGCTGCCGCCAACGCCAGTATTGAATGGAATTACAATGGCGCAGAACAGCCTGCTGGAACTCACCAGATTTCAGCGGTTCATTAGGCGAATGGAGAGTGCGGGTCCGAAGGTCATCCTTGACCGTCTCAAGGAAGAATGGGATGACCAAAACGACGAGGAAACCAACGAGGAGTTGCATCTAGAGAAGCGATTGTGGGTACTGTAAGTCAAGAGACATCCAAACCATCGACGCTACCATATGAGACACATGCTGACTCTGTGCAGGACTGCATTCCAGCTCCAAAATACGGGACGACTACAATCAAATCCGCAACCGAAGTGCAACACAGGCAAGATCCTAGAGATGTACGGGGATCTAGGTAAGTCGTACCCGGTCAACACAATCCATCGCGTAGTTGACCGTTAGTAGCGGAAGTATACCAGCTCTCTGCGATGCATCCAAGACACAAGGTTCAATACCTGACCACCGAACCTCAACGACCAATGCCGCTACCAGGAAACGTGTCGTACACGACGGTGTCACAGCCAGGCCTAATCCCGTGCCCTTGGCCAGATGCGACGTTCTCCCGCATTCGCGCGTCAACGCTGCCCTCACTGGTGCCATCATCGAAGCTACCGCAGCTGTTACGCGAATGCCACCGCTTGCTCGCGCCAGGAGGGGTGCTCGAGATCAGGATCATGGATGCTGCACCCTTGCGAACAACCGCAGGCCCCTTGCTAAGAGCCTGGATCGAGGATCGGCTGTCGATTAATCTGGAGAAAACTTTTCGGTGCTCCAAACCTTGCATGCTGTTTCCTGGCTGGATTGCTGACGCGGGCTTCGAGCTACCAACCGAGGAAGGCGTGAACGAGGTCATGCAGCTACCTTGCGCCTTCGATGGATCCTGCGTTGACGCGGAGCTCAGAATGCTTGTCGGACGAGCGCTCTGGAAGGACACCTGGGGTCCATACGTGGACGTTGATGAAACTTCCAACGAAGCACGATCCTGGTGGGAGGACGACGAGATCGTGGACGAATGCGTGAAACATGGCACAGTGTTCGAATGCGGGGCTATCTTTGCTTATAAAAGGTAGCCATTACTACGGGTTTGCTGGTCCAAGGACCGCGACCGACAATACGGATATGTTCGACTGTGGCGTGGCTGTTATCGGGCTTGTTCTGGCGGCCATCGGATCGCGTAACAGTTTGGGGTGGATTTCTGTTCTGTACCATGATACCACAGCTAAGCTTTTGGCTCGCATTTGAACATGGAAAGTGCCTGGTGTCATCGAAAGCAGCAACAAGGTTCCCCATAATCGAGTTGCGATGTCGTGCATTGCAACCAGGGACTATGCCCGTAGCGACTTCGTGGTTTAGCGCCAACACGTGAGGACCCGTACCCGCGTCTGGACCCTCTACAATCCCGACACAACAACTGCGAGTCCGTGCGACACCTCCCGTTTCATCAGCCTCGCTCGCTACGAAGTCAGCTAATAACACGTAAGTTGTCAGCTCACCACCTTGCATTCGCTCCTCTCTCCCTCCTATTTCACGCCAAAGGAACAAGCACCACATCACACATAATGCTCAGTAAACTCGGCACTAAGATTGCGCTTCAGCGGGCCGGCCTGGGCAACATCTCGCTGCCATCCTTACCGAAGAACGAAGGCAAGGGCGGAGAAGGCGGGCAGGGCTTCGAGTTCTCAAACCCCTTCGCGAACGTACAATGGGGGAAGGCATTCAGCTCGTGGCAGGCGCCGGCGGAGGGATACCCCGTGGCCGACCCGCCAACGATCAACATCCGCGCTCCAAGCAATGCGAAACTGAGGTTCCCTCCCATTGATGGTAGACCATGTGTGATTCTGTTCCTCAGGTTCTGCGGATGTCCCTGTAAGCTTTGCCCTGGCCAGGATAAAGCCAGAGAACCAGATTGCTGACATCGAACCCCACAGTCACACAGAAACTCTTCCTCCGCATGCGCTCCCTTGCAAACCGCCACACCGGCGTCCACTTCATCGCCATCTCACACTGCACACCCGAGGCGACCGCCGCTTGGACAAAAAAGATCGGAGGCTCATGGAACGTAGACATGGTCATCGACCAGCAGCGCGAGCTGTACGCGATGTGGGGTCTGGGCGTGTCGAACTGGGGCCACGTGCTCAATCCGCGTAATGGCATCAACCAGATAAAACTGAGCAAGCAGGAAGGCGCGGTGTGGCAACCTGTAGGCGAGGGAGGCTGCAGGTGGCAGGTAGGAGGCGCATACGCGGTAGATGAGAGGGGCACCGTGAGGTGGGGTGCGCCCATGCAGAGTGTAGACGAAGATATCATGTTTGAAGATGGCATCAGAGCGCTAGGCTTTTCGGCGGCTGCGCCGGGCGTGTTCTGATCCTTGTAAAAGGACATTTGGCTTTGGGCTCTGGGCTTTGCGAGGCGTTTGTGTAGGAAGATATCCATGCATTTCATGTGCGCAATTTTAGTATGAAGGATAGTCATTGTACTTTTCGCTCTGCGGTCGGCAGTGACGTAACGTGAATCGATGTTGCTGGCGGCTCCACGGTCCCTCGTGATCGGTGTGCTGTCGATGGGGTTCAGCTGCAGGCAAAATCACATTTCATGACGCAGCCATCCAACGTAAATGCAAATGAGAGAGGGAATTATGCTTTCCAGCTTTCCTGATGCTTTGGTATACAACCTTCGCAGTATACTACAATACAAGCCAAGCGTATGTGCGCTTCGCTGTGCCCAAAATGCCGTCGGCGCCATTACAAATGCAGCTTCGTTCCGCCATCCATAAAATGCGTCTATGTACAGTACAAGAGATTTACAAACAATATACAGTTGGAATTAATTTTTTTTTCCTCAACCACTTTGCAGGCCGTGTAGGTATTTCGCCAACTTTTTCACATTTTGGGTGACCAAACGAAGAGATGGGAGATGAAGCAGGACTGCCTCGCGGTAGGATTTACGAATCCTTCCCGCGTTTGGCTATTACACTGCTGTCGTCTGGTGGCGGTGCTTCGCCTGACACGGTCCCACGAAGCTCATGCTCCATCCATACAGCCCATGGATCAACCTCATTCGCAGTACCCTGTGCCTGAGGCTGCATGGTCCGTGGAGCATCCTCTGAATTTTCCTTGAGGGCTAGCGATGTGGCGGGCTCCGTGGCCTCGTATGGCTGTTTGGTCTGGATTGGCTCGCCGAGCTCATGCTCCACCCATGCAGTCCAAGGATCAACATGCTCCGCGGTACCTTGCTGCTGAGGGTGCAGGTGGGTCTCAACCAAGTCTGCGTTGATTTCCTCGAAAAAAGGCACCGTCTCAGCGTCTGTAGCCTCATTGGTCTTCATGTAACCTGACACCGCGATGAGAAGATTATCAGCCGTGAAAGCCGGCGCCAGGTAGCCTTTCTGTGGTCTTATGGCGTTTCTGATTTCCTTGTACCATGTCAAAATCGATTTACGATTGTAGCCCTGTTTGACCACATCGTTAAGGACGGTATTGAAAGCTGCCGGTTTCTGTGAAACGGAGCACAAGCTTAAGAATTGTGCATACGCCTTAGCAAGAAGTTCGGGTTGGATGCGGCCCTTGATGCTCGCAATTTCTTCCCAAACGATCAGGCCTCCCTGCCAGTCGGCACGATGCAGGCAATCGTCCAGAAAGCGAGATAGTCCAACCATGCTCAAACCCCAACCGTCGCTCTTCATCTCAAAGTAAATGTCCATCGCTCTTTCGAAGCCAGCGAATGTCAAGACGCCATGCATGAGAGCATCGAATACCATAGGCGTAGGATAAACCTTCTGCAAAACCTTTGTCTCGCTGATACGAATCAGGCGGCCATTCCCCGCTTCGTTGACGGTGACATCGGGTCTTGCCAGCATCAATGCGTTGGCAGCACCTCGCATTTTGGCAACAAATCTACTGAATTGCTCGGGCCGCCGTTGCTCCGCATAATGATTCAAAATAGTGGCGCAGGTGATCTCATCCGGACGGATCTTGCAGCCGTCCAACTCCCTGATGACGTTGTCGACAAGGCGCGGTTGTTCCCACTTTCGAAAGCCGGTGAGAAGGATATTGAAGGTCTGTAGGTTTGGAGCAGCCGTTGAGATGAGCAGATTGTGACAAATCTTGGCCGTAGCTAAAGCGATCTCTTGTGGTTCCTTACGCTTGTCATAGTACTCCTCGAACAATTTCTTGATGGCCACGTTTAGCTGATTGGCGATGTGGTGGAAATCCCCGTCACTGTCCTGGAAGTAACTAGGCTCAGCCACAATCTTTGCACCCGTTCTCATGCTCATCGTATCTTCGGGCCAGTCCTCCTTTTTGGTCGTTTCAAGTGCTCCCATATTCGCCATAATTTCACGTCGAATTGTGAGTCTCTCGTCATCAGTAAGAAGAGCTACGGTGCCGATATGTGGCGACAACGACGCAAGGTCGCCATCTGATAACAAGTGTGCTTCAGATTGGCCAAGTAAATTGTGGACCAACGAACACACTGAGAGCTCCTGCAAGGCGAGTTTCTTCCGAGTCGCTCTGTTGCGCAGGGCCTTCAAGCGCACACTCTCCAATGCCCAAAGAGACTGGGGAGGCAGATTGTATCTGGATCCCGGACCGGGACCAGTGCTAGCAGGCCACTCGAGCAGCGAAGGCCCATTGAGATGGGCGTCCGGGCGCAGCAAGTCCCACAGGACCTCCGGGAGAAGGGCTGCGTGCAATTGCTCCTGCCGCTTGTCCAACACGGCATCGTCGATTATATCCATTCCAGCGGCCTTAAACGCATTGTCCCATTCCAGATCACTAGGAGTTGCTTCCACAGAGCGCAGCGTGTCTCGTTCGGATGCAACGCCTGCGGTGCGTCGGTGTCCCGGCCTTTGTAGTGCGCGCAACTCCTCCTGTATAGTCTCGAACGCGGAGTCCCATTGTCCGCTCCTGTTCCGCTTGGCTTTTGCGTCGATAGCAAGACCCGCTGCGAATACGGTCGTGTAGACGAAAGTTGATGTCGGGGAACCAAAAGCCCATGCGCCTCGCAGGCCAGTCGCTCCGGGGCGTCTTGCCACGGCGGATGCGGTCGCAGCGCATGATATGCACCTACAGGTACCCGGGGTCCGAAATGCCCGGGACCAGAGTGCTGTCATTGCTACCGGGACATGCTTTGAGCTTCGTGCGCTTCCGAAGGAGGTGCGATTGGGTGTCGCGAGCGTAGACGCTCTGCCCGGGACGAAGGACGTCAATTGGGGAATCGTGTAGAATAGATGGGCCACAATGGCTTCGAGCCGCCAATACAAGCTCGTCGGGGGGGGTTCGTCGCTGCCGTCGCGTGGTGTGATGGAAAACTTAGGCTGACCCAGCACGCCGTCTTGGCGGCGGAGGTGGAGCGGAGCGGGGCGGAGACACCGCCTATACCACAGGTCTTCCCAACCGCTCACATGCTCCCAGGCTATGGCGTCGTCACAGGCTCAACCTCCTAGGCGACACGTTCGCTTGTAGTCGCCTACGCCGCACGTGTGCACCCGTCGACCTGATGATGACGGAACCGCGAGATGCGACCTTCCCAGCCGATTGCTACTGCCCAGCTGCCTGTCACTTTGGCCAATACTGTTAATCACAACTCACGAGTCTGTCCTACGACGTTCCGATGACTGATTACCTCTGCTGAAAATGCGTGCAGACGGCCCAATAACTCCGTCCTGCTCAAGATCTTGGTTGAAAGACTTTGAATCCATGTGACGAGGCAGCATTCGACTGTGTCAGAAACCAAATGACACTGAAGAGACGTCATGGTCTTGATCAAAGTCGCCACTCAGCGTCACGATAGGGTTCCGCCATTCAAGAGCAATTCATGGCAGCATACCATATTACATGCATGGAACGTACCACACTTTGTACACACCTACTTTTCAACAAGCTTGATAACGATATCAATTCTTTGGCTCAGCCAAGCCCGAAATTTGTCTCTGTGTCCAGCTTCCCAACGAAACTGCAGTGATATATTATTGAAACCTATCGATTTCCGACCTCTGTTCTGGAGGCCTTTGGAATGTGAACCTGTGCTCAACATGAATATCTGGGGGCGATAGCAACTGGTCCGCCAGAGCAGATTCAGTCTCGAAGCATTTCCGCAGACCATTACTGCCCTTGATCCGAAGACGGCTGGTTCAAGAAGCTAAAAAAAACCTGATATTATCCAACCATTCTGTTCTGAATCCTCGCTCGCTGCCGTTTTAATTGCGGCGCTGCCAAGGGCGGTCACTGCATTCTACTCAGATTAACCGCAATCTACGCGGCTCGCTTCACAGTCGACAACCTTGCAAAACATCATTCGCTTCGGATTACCAAGCTCGAACGCGGAGACGAGCGAATATCAGCGAACGCGTCAGGTCACCCTCGGTGGCTTCGCACATGTCCGCGTGCCGTTTACGCAAAGGTCAGTACCTGTTTCCAAGTGCTCAAAGGAAGTCAAGTCGTATCGCGAGCGATATCTTCTCCAGTATCATGCGCGCCTATCGTGTGCTATTCTTAGCTGTTGTCCTGGTCTTCCAGCACCATCGATTTTAGTATCTGTTCTTGCTAATAATTTCAATTAATTGCTCGCTTAGCTCATTAGCCCCAGGTCATTGCACAAAGATGCCGTAAATAGTCGCAGTACAAATGAATTCGTATCACAACGACGATGTGGCATCTGCAAAACCGTTGTGGACGGTCTACCCATGCTTTCGAAAGCATTCGCATCGGGTACTCCGGACACTTCAATTGGCGCGGGATCATTCGAAGGTCTGGACTCACAGTGCAGTATCAAGATCAGCCAAGGATACGGACATTCATTCACCTGCAAGAGAATCTTCCGCTGTGCGTCGATGCGGCGAGACCCTGAACGAAACCCAATGATCTTACCTTGTCCTGTCAACATGGACGCAGCCCGTATTTATGGTCCCGAGCACCTTCAGTTACCTCCTTCATCTGGAGATTCTGGGTGCCGCATGCATAGTACCTGTTGCCCAAACCATGGGCCCAGCCCGTCCAGAGGCACTATCGCGGACTGCATATCCCTGCTTCCATCAGCTTCGGCGCAGACTGCCAGGGTCAATCACCCCACATGATCGTCGTGCCACCCATGTACATCCACTTCAGTCATGCTCGGGGTTGGTTATCGGGTGTCTCTCGCGCGTTCGCCTATCAGTCGCCTTTCACGCCGTGCAATCTCTCCCTTACGAGACCCGTCTAGTCTCTGTCGCAAAAGGAACATGTTATGGCGGATGATGCGGCATGGTTTATCCAAATTGACGATACGGTAGTGGTTGCCATCAACGCAGTGGCATGGACCAAATGTGGATAGCTCGTCATCTTTCGAAGCCGGTGGCAACCGTGGCACTTAAACGTCAAGTATATGAATATGGCTCTTGTCATGTCTGTGGTCGATCCAAACCATACTCCAAAGCCCATTCTACTCCTACTTCTTCTTGACACTTCCCAGCTCTATCAAGGGCCCACACACAACACTAGTATCCTCTCCTCAAATTAATATAGAGAACGCCATGCAGTACAGGTCGATTTCGGTGATGGCCGCTGCCGCCTTCTTCGTGAACGTGAGCGGACTGCCTATTGCGCAGCCGGAGGTATGGACTCTCTAGCACTTGTCGTGCGATGCCCCCTACCAACAAATCGGTATTGACTCTTTGCAGGTGCAAGGCACTGTCAGCACAGGTCCACCAACCTTCGAACTTGGACCGCCCTCTACCGTCATTACTTGGGGCAAGGACAGGCGTGATGCCAATGCTCCTACTCCGACCGACTCTTTTTGGCTCGGCAAGCCCACTACCATTGTAACCTGGGGAAAAGAAAAGCGTGACACGACCCCTCCTACGTTCGGACTAGGACCGCCGGACTCCATCATCGGATGGTCGAAGGAGAAGAGGGACTCGACGAAGCCTGATGACACGATCATACTCACTCCTCCTTCGACAGTAGTGACATGGGGCAAGGAGAAGAGGGATTCGACGAAGCCTGATGACACGATCATACTCACCCCTCCTTCGACAGTAGTGACATGGGGCAAGGAGAAGAGGGACTCGACGAAGCCTGATGACACAATTGGACTCGGCCCCCCTTCGACGGTGGTTACATGGGGCAAGGAGAAGCGCGATACGACCCCTCCTACGTTCGGACTGGGTCCCCCGGATTCCACAATCGGATGGGGAAAGCAGTAGGCTTATGTGTGTCCCTTTATCTCGAGGATGTAAACTGGTACCTCGCCTTACCAGCCTGGCGCCTTGGTGCTAAGAGTTCCTTATTTCTATTCTTGTCTGGGAAAAGTAGGAGAAGGGCTGGTGTTTTTAGCAGTGATATCCGTCCGTACCATCACCATCTTTATTGAATTATTTTTTTCGTCGTCTCTGGCGGTAGCTAACTTCATTGGTTGACCGCCCTCCCCAATCGCCAACGGTATTGGTAGTCACCGCCAACGATACCAGTCACTGTTATGTGTGTTCATTAGCAATCTATGTTTCTAGCGACTTCACCATTTCCCTATGTATGAGCAGATATTGTCACTGCCGTTAGCGAACTTTAGCAATCAACTGTATGGTAGGGGAAATACTCGTAATATAGGATGATAAAGATGGAGCAATACAAAAAGCTCAAGGATACAAGGTGAGAGAGAGAAACACTGGAACGATTTGTGTAGTGAGGACAGTGGAGGAGCTTGTAAGGAATGCTGCTGGATATGTCGTTTAAACCGCCCAACCTAGAGCATCTAGCTTGTGAAATAGGAGGAGAGGAGTGTCCAACGTCTCTGTGCCTGGTGTACCAAGGCCCGCGCCGCGACTCCCATCACAGACTCGCAACGAACCTTGACCCCACTTCTCCGCCCACTCGTCTTAGAGAACTCGAAATCAACTTCATCCACCCTTTCCAGCATATCGAGTCTATCGATCAACGCATTAAAACGTCATACCTTACAGCCCCGTCCTCATACGACCTGTTCAGCACCAGCCTGCGTATTGCATCTTACTGGCTCCGACGCATGCGGCTTTTTGCAGTCCTAGATGAGACGGTTTTCTGGCCGAAAGATGGCGATGATCCGCCCACGTGGCCATGTCTCGAGGTTCTCAACGTGTGTTTCCATATGGCGACACCGTGAGGCAAATGGTACTTTAAAGGTTTGTGTGAGTCCGAAAAAGGGTAAATTGGGGGGTACGAGCTCGCAGAACGTGCATATCCTCCGCTAGAGACCGCCAACGACGAGTATTGGTGCGACCGCGCGGAAGAGATGAACTGGGACGACTCATCCGATGCACGATTTCGCAATATTCCCGACAGCAAGGCTATATGCCATTCTTAGAGGCCTTTGCGAAAGCTGCGGCGCGTATGCCTCAACTGACGTCTGCAGTTCTTTGGTGCCCGTTGTATTTTAGGACGCAACCGGATGATGTGGGAAACCTTTCGGATTACCTATCAAGGCCCATCCCGGGCCTCTGTCCATCCAAACCGACCAACCTGGCGTGGGGTATCGCGTACAGGAAACCGAATTAGCAAGCGTTCAGCACACGACCTAGCGAAGATAACGCCACTGAAAATCATATGTGGTAGTTGGTCGAGGCTCAGTGGCGCCCAAGATCCCAACTGCATGAGCTTTTTTAGGACATTGGCCGTGGAAACCACGGTGATGGATTGGCATGATCAGTATTATGGAGACGGGCTTAGGGAGGGGAACATATTCGAGAGACATTAGTGGAGATTTTGGCCTAGGCGATTGACAGTTCTGTAGCTATCAACACCCTCGCTGTGAACATCATAAAGCTCCATTCACTGGCCTTTGCTGGTGCCTGGCGGAACTTCGACATTGATATTCACCTGCGAAGTGGCCTCAGCACAAGTCAGGTATGAGGCAGCCTGCGGAAAAGGGCATGTTGTCTTGTTGAATTGTGGCAGCCTAGGAAAGTCGGAGCGAACCGTCTAAGGTCTGTGGCGGTGAGCATGCGGCTGACGAGCTTGCGATAGTCCGAGGATCCAAGACAAGGGTGCCGGATACCGTATCACAGCGCGAAGTATGATACCATGTAAGACTGGCTGTTGCGTCCGGAGTGTGCACGATGCAAAAGGCCGGCTTGCAATAAAGGACAGCAAAGCAACGCAGACGTGCACACAGCGCGAGGCTGCGCAGGCACAGCGTGTTTGGAAACGCACATGGATGCCTCCCTGAGCCGATTCGGGCAAGGTGGAGATAACACCGTGACGCCTTGGGTCCCAAGTACGCGAGTGGACTGGAGTCTGGAGAGGGTGGGAACCAGATCCGCGAACGTCGCGGCTGCCTTCGTGCGGAAATACAACGTGTTCTTTATCACCCGCGGCGTCGGAACGCTCTTAAAGCAGTGCTGAATAGCAGAGGCGCCGTGCACCCACCCGTGGAGGTTTACAGTTGCGAACAGCACGCCCGCGGCAGTCACGTGTGCACCATTGGCTCACTGCCCTGTCGCCTTACTGCCCAGAATCGGTGCCGCCAAGAGACTTTTCCCGCGCCCCAAACCACAACGTCTCTTCAAGCCCTTCTTGTACATCAATTAGATTGCTTCCACGACCACCCCATCTCGCACCACCCCCGCGCCCCTTGAACTGTACCCGTAAGTTGCTTCACCCGCCCATCCCTCGCCGCACCTGCCCGTATTTGCCACGCGTTCGAGAGCGGCTGCCATGGGGATAGCAAGCCTCGACCGCAACCTGGCACCGGGCGCTCGACACCGCGTGCGCCGCCTCGACACGCTGCTCAACGCCGCAGCCGCGGTGCTTTTGATCCAACGACCGCTTCTCTGACAGTGTCCCCGCGCAGGTTCAGGAGCGTCACTCACCGCCTCCCGCCCCCCTTCACACCGTAGCTCCACACACGAGCACACGCCGCAATCATGGGTCTCACATTCTCGAAGCTGTTCGACAAGCTGTGGGGAAAGAAGGAGATGCGCATCCTGATGGTTGGTTTGGACGCCGCCGGAAAGACCACAATTCTATACAAGCTCAAGCTCGGTGAAATCGTCACCACCATCCCCACCATCGGTGCGTGCACCCCGAGCCCCGCACCCGCCGCGCGCCATCGCTGACATCGCATTCTGCAGGCTTCAACGTCGAGACCGTCGAGTACAAGAACATCCAGTTCACCGTGTGGGATGTCGGAGGCCAGGACAAGATCCGCCCTCTCTGGAGGCATTACTTCCAGAACACCCAGGGCATCATCTTCGTCGTCGACAGCAACGATCGCGATCGTGTTGTCGAGGCCCGTGAGGAGCTCCAGCGCATGCTGAACGAGGACGAGCTCCGGGATGCCATGCTCTTGGTCTTCGCCAACAAGCAGGATCTTCCCGTAAGCATACCACGCCGAATCACTCTTTACCGAAATGCGACTAACGCGCGCTGCAGAACGCCATGAACGCTGCCGAGATCACTGACAAGCTCGGCCTCCACAGCCTCCGACAACGCGCTTGGGTATGTCGACCCATTTAGATCGCACCGACACTAGCTGACAACCACTACAGTACATCCAGTCCACCTGCGCCACGAGCGGAGACGGTCTGTACGAGGGTCTCGAATGGCTGAGCAACTCGCTCAGGAAGGCTGGCCACAACTAAGCCGATGCACCCCGACCGCCGCGATGACGATGCGACATGCCACCGTGCCCAGGTCTGCCTGCGACCCAGACAACCCTCTCTCAACCCCGCCTTACCACCCCCTAACGACCTCGGAAGAACCTCTACAAGTGTGTCTGTGCTTGCGTGTTATTCAAATCGGATGGTGGAGCGGACAGATTTCCTTTTCACCACTGGAGTTTGTGAACTGCCATGATCGCTACATCATTAAATGTCACGGATTGTTTGGTGGTTCAAATCGGAAATAGTCTACCGGGTACTCTACAGTGCTACTATCCAATTTGAGCCTTTGCTTTTGCTACAGACTGCTGCTCTGCAGTTTCCCTAGCGGTTGCCTGCCTGTGATATCATGACTCGGCTCATTAGAACCAGGGGGTGTTGGGTTGCAAGATTGTTTCCATTCACAACGAGCAAGTCATAAGTCTTCTATATCATGCCGAATGCACATCCCAGAACCTGAACGCCCACTCCACCTATGCGACCAATTTCCTCGCCAGCTTTCCACTCATCCCAAACGACACAGGCCGTAAAACTTTGGACCGCCCTCGTCCCGTGCCAGACACCAGCCATTCCAGACGGCGGCTCCCCGCTGCATGCACGCTAAAGCGACCAACAAGCAAAACCCTACACGGCCACACCCTGTGGCGCACCGCTCGGAGGCGCACCCTCCTTCAGCGCCTGCGCGGCCTGAGGCGGCGGCGGCAGCAAGCCCTTGGATAGCCAGAGGTCAACGAGGGGCTGCATGGGCTCGATCTCCTTTTCGGTGATGAGGTTGAACAGCTTGCCCACGTTGATGAAGTGAACGAAGCAGGTGTTGAGCTCCTTGTAGGCGCCCGCGTGCCAGAAGGGGTCGAGCCAGTGGCCGTGGTAGATGTGAGCGTAGCAGCGCATCATCTGGCGATAGATGCTCTTAATGTCGCCCTCGAAGGTCTCGGGGAACCCGGAGCTCTTGCCGAGCCATTCACGGCCGGAGAGCTGCGAGAGGGGGGCATTGATGCTGGTTGGGCCGAGGGGCTGAGGGGTAGATGATGGGGTGAGGGAGCCGGAGGCGTAGCTCGAGGCCGAGTCTGAGAAGCGGGCGGTGTCGGTGGGGAAGATGGAGGGGTCGGTGATTTTGCCTGAGATCCATTTCTGAACGAGGTTGATATACTGGATAGCGGGGATCTTGATGGGCTTCTTGTTGTTGTCGAGCCATGTGTAGGTGTGGCCGCTGGCCGACATGGTGGGGCACACTTCTGGGTTGCAGCAAGGCTTCCCGGTCCTCTCATCCGGCACCTTGATAATGTTGATCATCTGTTCCAGCAGGCGGTACTGCTCGACGACTGCTCACGCGAGCTGGATCAGTACTGATCACGTGAGCAGAGGGACCATATCGTACCTTGGTGCGCCAGCCACTCGCCCTCCTCGACGAGGTTGGGCTTTGCAGCCAAAGTCATGAAGTTACCGCGGACAATCAAAGAAGAGTACTCTTCGCGAAAGAAGAAGGGTGGGCGGCGCGAACCAGAGGGGGCCCCCTCCTGAGTAGCTTGGCTCTCAAAAGACATGGCGGAGGACAATGCGGGGGAATGGGGCATGGGGGGAAAGCTTGGTGTCTGGCCTGGGGCGGCAGAAGGCGAGTACGGTCCGCTGGTGGTTGGTGAAGGGGTGCCGTTGCCGCCTTTGCCCTGCTGGTTGCTGCTCTTGTTGGAGCGTCCGGCCAGTCCTTGGCGTCTGGTGGGAGTTAGAAAGCGGTGCAGGTATGGAGGGGAGACACGAAGGACTCGATTTAAGCGAGGAAGGTGACAATTAGTGAAGCTTAAAGGAGACACAGAGGGTGAGACACAGCACAGTGCAGCTAGTGAAACAAACGTCGACTGAGCGGTCCGGAACACGCAGACGCATTGCTGCTGCAAGCAGCTGGGGGGAGGCCCATGCCAAGCACTCACACGCTGGAGAAAAAGGACGCCATAGCCGGCTGCAGATGGGGTGCGGCGGACACGGTCGGCGCAGAGGTGGAGTGCACTTGATCCGGCGGCGCGAAAGGTGAATGTGAGGGAAGCAGGCGGAGCGTGGGCGCTGGTGATACGCCTCAAATGGCCGTCGAAGGGGGCAGGGGCGTGGACGTGGGCGTGGAGCCTGGAGTCGCCCTGGAGACGCTAGGCCGCATGGGGCCAGCGCGAAGCTCAGTGTCGGTTGGTCGTCGTGCCACTCCACGGTGGACTCGCAGCACATCGCCGCTGCCTCTTCCTCGCGCAATCAATTCTTCGCTCGCATCGACGCCCTGATCGCGCGGTCGCAATTGCGTCGTGCCTACAGCCCCCGCCTCGCACCTCTGCATTCCCTTCGCCTCGGCCAACCGACTGTGTTAACGCGACCATGAGCGATCTTTCGAATGCGCCGTCCGAGGACGACGACTTTCCAGGCAGCGCGCCCGCCGCAGAAGAAGAGGCTGCCGCAACGCCTGCGGACGTCGAAGACGACGACCTGGATGGCGATCTCTTCGGCGACGACGACGACGCGGACCAGCCCGAGTAAGTTGCTCACTGCCCTTTGCTGTGCTGCGGCGCTGACTTCACGCGCAGGCAGCGCAAGCTCGACGATGAAGACCTCGACTCGGGCGACGACGAGGGACGCAACGACCGCGCGGAGAGGGACACGCCCGACGTCGAGACGCAGAACCAGAACTTCACGTTCGAGGACGCCGAAATCGCGCGTCACCCCGTGCCCGAGCCCAGCGACGGCGAGCTCTATCTCCTCAAGATCCCGACCTTCATGTCCATCGACCCTACCGCCTTCTCCCACAAGACGTTCCAGCCGCCGACAACCGACCACCACTCGAATAAGCCCGCCTCGGACCATTTCTCCGCCTTCAACACTGCCATGACTACCATCCGATGGCGCCGCTCGCCATCGGACCCCTCAAAGCTACAATCCAACGCACGCATATTGCGGTGGTCCGATGGCTCGCTCACGCTGCAGCATGCCAACGACCCGGTCAATCACTACGAGATCAGTGCGCAGATGCTTGCGCCCCCTCAGGCGAACCCTGTAGTGCCCACGCCTACCATGCTCAAAGGCAGGCGGAGAGACGAGCACAACAAGGAGAGCTACACGTACCTCGTGGCGCCTTGCGAAGGCCCCAACGTCTTGCGCGTAACGAACAAGCTCACCACCTTTTTGTCTGTGGCCCCAACATCCAACACAAAAGACCAAGCGTTGGAGAAACTGCAGAACGACCTTGCAGCCGCTGCGTCCCGAGGCCGCGATGACGCCAACCAAGCCATCTCCTTCATCGACGTAAACGAAGATCCTGAGCTTCGTCGACAACGTGAAGAGGTGCAATACAAAGAGAAATTGAAGCAGCAAAAAGCGCGCGAGAAGCATGCCATCAGAGAGCAGGAGCGGAGTAATCGCGTACTGGGCAAGCCTAGGGGCGGCTACGGTCTTGATGCCGACATGCTCGAAGGCGGTGAGGGCCGAAGGAAAGGCGGAGCCAAGAAGCCGCGGACGCAGGCTCGTCGTGGACACCAAGACTGGAGCGACGATGAAGACGACGCTTATGCTCGACGTGGAGGCAACAAAGAAGACGAGTACGATGAGTCGGACGACTTCATCGCCGACAGCGACGAGGAGCCTGAAGTCGTCGACGACGACGACGATGACGACGATGGCATTATTGAAGAGCCACGGAGCCGGAAATCAGGAAGCCCGAAGCGGGGTAGAGGCAATGATGACGACGAAGACGAGGATGTGGTCGCTCGGTCGAAGAAGAGAAGGGTGGTTGTGGACGACGACGAGGATGACGAGTAAAATATTGCAGGGCATCGCGGCAGAGAACCGATGCTTCCTCTGCTATAACTGTTTATGGACATGGCCGTACAGCAGCGATGCCTCAAAGGACACTGCGCCTGGCCAGCGGGAAGATGTCTTTGCGCGCAAGTACCAAATGTATCATCATTTTGTGGGTTCATTTACTACTTTGCATAGCCTGGAGTTTGGCTACTTTGCATCGGATACTAAGTCATCTCAACAACCCTAGATCACCTATCAAGCTTTTCGTTACTATACGTCTTTGCAGGAGTGCCAGAGTCGTCTACCAAAAGGTCTCTCCAATCATCTGTGACGCAATCAATGGGCTCTGATCGAGACTCACACTTGGCTTGCCCTGCGAATGGGCTCGCCTAAGAAGTGAGGGCATTATCTCGTGTAGCCAAAGGAAAGTTGGACAAGAGCTTGAGCACAGGGAGGGGTCTGTGTTACCAATCCCACCTTGGTAGGCCAGCACACGATGCTTCTGACTAAATTCTGAGGTGTATATTCCGTGACAGAGAGCTCCTTCTACAAAGCCTCGTACCCACCACTTACTACTTCCGCCGGAACCCAATGCAGGAACCATCCGCATACGGTAGTACCAAGTGCGGAGCGTGTCTTCCTTACCGGTGTAACTTTGGTTTCACAACAAAGCGTGGGACTTACGCTCACCATCTCAAATCTCGACTACGGGACAAGATGGACCACCTCGACGACATCGAGAAGCTCTCCAACCGCATTTCGAGTACGCACAAGTTCGCCTATACCACGGTTCCGCTGCTCACACGCTACAGGGCATGCGCACGTCATCTTTGGCGCCTTATACCCCAGCGCACACACTTTCGAAGTCGTCACCACATGCTATCCACGCGAGGCACCAGGCGATGCCGGCGGTAAGTAGGCGCTCGATTATAACACAAGTTCCCTCTACTAAGTCTTTCTACGTACAGGCGTTGGTATGCGCGAGTCACGCAAGGACGACTTCTACACAGCCAAACTCGTCGCTTTCCTCGGTGATAACTTTAAAAACTGCCTGGTATTGAAGCAGAGCGCTGCGAGACCATCGGACAAAGGCGCGATTGAGGCGCTGTGGAATGAGATCCAGTCGTGCATGTTGGACATTCGACGTAAGTTCTATATGTAGCGCAGTGAAAGTTGAAGGGACTTAACTCGTGGACCACCTGTCCTTGGTTGAACAAGACGTTCCTGACTGGAAGAGCAGCGTTTACGACCGGTGACGGCAAGACTTGGCTTAGACCTCGAGCGGCACCATAAGAGTATCATGAACGGCGTATCGGGGTTTTCGTGGCTTTTCAACAGATTGTTCGATGTCAATTTCTTCATGGGTTCGGTTTTGCGCAAACTTGCGAATCTAAAAGATCATATCATACATTCCAGCTTAAATTAACATAAACGCGACCATGCAGCCGCCGCTCTCTATATTAATACAGTCAGGGCCTTCAAACAAAGCTAACATCTAGCTATCAATTTTCCCCTCTCCACTGCTCAGCATGACATCCGCATCAGGTCCCTCCGGCATGCAGTCATTCCTACCTCCACCAAAATCTTCCTCCAGTAGTTTCTGGGTAGCCATCTCCTTTTCGGTGGCGATTTCTATACCTGCTCCCGCTGCGGCCTTCAGACCATCTGCCATCGAAATCGTAACTTGCTTCATTGGAGCGCATGTATCACCGCCAGCAAAAACACCTCTCACACTTGTCGAGTTGAACATCGGGTTTACGATTTTGATATGTCCACCCATAGCCGGTTCGACACATTCCACTCCTAGCTGATCGATCAGGTCCTGCGACCTGTTCACTGTGGCCGTCTTTATTGCGATGAAGCCTAGGGTAAGCGGCTCGCCTTCCTCAAATTCTACAGTGACACCTTCTTCATGCGTAGGACCGTTGTTGACCAGGCGCTTGATCTTCCTCGAATCGACCTTCGCGCCCCAGGCTTCACATATCCTCAGTTGCTGCTTGATAGCTGCAACCTCGGGCACAGCACCGTTCGTCAGCACCGTAACACGTGCGTCGAAGTTGAGCGCCATGTTAGTGAAGTGCGCCGTCTTGGGGCTGCAGTCGAGGATACCAATCGGCATCCCGCGCTGCTCGAACCCGTCGCACGCGAGACACTGGTAGATGTGCTGTGGCCAGTTCTCCTTGAATCCCTCGATGTCCGGGTACACGTCCCGAGAGCCCGTCGCAAGAATTAGCTTCTTCCCCTGGTAGCTCTGTCCTTCCCCATCTGTGACTTCGAACCCATCGTAATTTTCCTTGCCCAGCTGCTTCTTCGCGGCTTGCGTGATGGTGACGTTCTCGAACCACACGCTAGGATAGCGCGAGGTGATTTGCTCGCGGGCTATGCTGCGGAACTCGTAGGGGTTGATGTGGTCGCGGGACGGTACCGTATGCATGTGCGTTATGCCTTCGTTGCGGTAGGATTGCGAGTCAAAGACGATGGCTGTGGTGCGGGTGCGGGCGTATGCTAGGGAGGCGGCGAGGCCCGCGGGTCCGCCGCCGATGATGAGGGCGTCTACTATCTGGGGACGGGGAGGCATGGTTGTGAGATTGGTGGGTCAGATGAAGTGGCGATTGTATCCAGTAGGAGGAGGTTCGGGCAGTTATCTGTGCGTGACGATGTCAGGTTCGCAGTAATTTATGCTGCTGATTACCCTTTTAAACGTGAACAGCGGTTGCTTATGTAGAAAACGGTGAGTCTGAGCTGGTATGACTGGAGCATGAGGCGTAGGAGGGAGCACCCTGATCTCTCCGAAAAGTTTCCCGGCGAACGGGAAGACGCTTGCATGATCAAGACAGTATGAGGACGCGGGGGATATTTTTGCACAGGATATGTGACTATTGCAACATCGAAGCACGTATTCAAGACAGTGTTCTGCGCGAACGAGTATCGGTGGGATAGCGTGTCGATGATGTGTGGATGGTGGACGCTAGCAAAGTCACCCTCGCCAATCGGACAGTTTCTACATCAGCGTCGCTTCCTTTCTCTCCTCTTCGTGGGGATTACGTTGTATCCGGTTACAACGCATACCTTCTTTCTTCGGCAACATTAATGGACGATTGACGGCAAAACACTTTTGCGTGTAATCACTCCGCTAGCATGGATTGAGCAGATGCTGCTTACCCCATCAACGTTGTTCGTAGCAAATAGGATCTGAGTATGAGAAACCCCAAATCAAAATGATCTCAACGATCAGTAAACAGAAAGATACGGATTCTACGACCTTTACATTCCTGCCTCAATTGCGTTTTCTAATCTCCAACTGGTCCACCTCAGTACGAGTCCCCAAAACCACCTTGAGATGGTCCCCACCACTTTTCATGGTCCGGGATGCTACCTCCACATGGCAGCATTACTCATCCGCTTAAGAAGTAAGGGCCGTGCCCACACCAGGCGGACCGGCAAGAAGGATGATAGTTCCCTCGTCTAAAATCTGGTAGTTAGCAACTAATACCTTGCTCTAAGCTGGAGATTCTTGGCCCTAGTGCTGCACGAAGTGGTTAAGACCGGTATTGCAGATTTGGTTGTCTGCAAATGCCATCAAGAGGACCATTCGCTATTCGTTCAAGACCAAGTTGTCATAAGGATGGTCGTTCCACTCTAAGTCAGCCAAGTCGTCTACGGTGAACAAGCCTGCACAACTCGTCAGCACAGTTGAGGTGGAACTTATACAATGATTCCTTACACCATTCTTTTCCTTGCATCTCAAAGCCTGTCATGCGAGGGACAGTCGGCAGACATTCATCATCAGCGAGAGGCCTCAGATCTCGTTCCTTTGGCTCTTGTCGTTACTCCCTTCGCTTTCAGCGGGCGTATCCTTCCCACTGTCTTCCGTTTCATCCTCGTCATCATATATTCATATTCTTGTCCTTCTGTTGGTTAATTATCGAGATGCTGTTACCCAGTCTAGCGGCAGTTGCACCCTGGCAGAAATAGTAGGCTTAGGCGTGAGCATCTACGACAAAACGGCACGCGATCTAGTTACATATCTACTGATAGTCCCATTGCATTACAGGCGCGACGGAGTAGCCACATTGGGTGGGTAAAAATTTCTTTCCACGAATGTTTGTCTCGAGGACTCCACGAAGCGACTCAAACCTTCCGCCCTGCTATAGGAGTTTATCGCGTAGGTTTGCTCAATCCGGGACGAACTCAGACGGGAAGTATTCCAGCGTACGAATGGGTTTGGAGCCTTCAAAAATTCGTTGCTTAGTGGCCGTTGTAATGAAACCGTGCTGGCTTCCATTCCGGTCGATCTGGCCCAGAATGATGACCCAGTACGCCTTATTGTTTCCGGTTTTATTGTCACCACAGGCATCGTTGCCGAAGTTGTATCACTTTGCAGCTACGATCTTCAACGGCGGTTGTTGCCTCCGACGTTGACACTACGAAGTCTCCGGGATCAAGCACGAGCCCAAGCTGATTAAAGGTGAGAAGCGAAATGCGCTTCACTTCTGCGAGTGAAGAAACATGGTTGTTAAGCTGTGGCTCGACTTCTCATTGAATATGTTCAGGTTGTCACCCGCATACGGATTCGGATAGTCGCGGAAGATCTTGTCAAGGAAAGATTGCAGCGTAGGGCTCTTGATCTCGATCGAAAGAATTGCCCAGGTGTACCAACGTGTAGTCATTATCATCAGCCTTGTGCTTCGAGTACCATCGAACATCAAAGTGAGACTGCTCAAGCTCTTTAATTCGGCGCTCCTCAAGGATGTGGTCCTTAATCTCCGACCATTTGGATGAGGTTCGAGAGCGAGATGTAGAGTCATTTCGTAGATTTTTGACGGCACGAATCGGCCCAAACGGATCTTCCTCTATGTTTTTGGTCATTGTGGAGAGAGAGTTAAACTAGCAAGCCTGTACATGATTTGCACCCCAAAGACGCCAGAGTTTTGAGTTCATATATAGTTGTAATTGCCAGTCTATAATTTAAATGAAAAGCGTAGAATATACAACGAGGATTGAGGAATCTCAATGATTTATCGAGGTCGATAGAGCCTCGCACGGATCAGATGCTGACCTATAGAGGGAACTACCCCTTGTACCCATTCAGGTAGCTACCGCTCAGTCGGATGGCTTATTGTAGCACGAAACCAGGCAGTCATCTATTGGGCTACACCATCCCGTGGGGAGACCCCAAACAGAGATATCTACCTGATGCACGCCTCGTTACCATACCAGTTCTGACGACACAGCCACGGTTGCCCAGTACCTACGGTTTCGAATACGATTCGAGTGCCATATTTCACCGTTCTACAGAGCCCCTATCAGAGAAAATGGATCTGGAACTCGCAGGGTCAATCTGTAACTAGGTAAACAAGACGTAACTAAGAGAGGGGCCTGGGTGATCATCGTTGTTGGCTTACACCTGGCTACATCTACCTGATATTTAGACAACATACTAAATATTCAAACATTCGTAGTTGAACGACTCAAGCGATGATGTATTGGAGGATAGCGTCTCTGAAGTGTTATTCTGGTAAAGATCCATCGCGCTGAGTTCAATAACGATAAAGAAAATTGGCGAGGTGAAGGCTGCCGAGAGACGTTAAGATTGATAGTAACACAGTCTAGGAAGGAGCTGCACGTTGCAAGTCAGTTTGCGCGAGACGTGATGAGCGATGGAAGGGAACTTTTAAGGTTTGTGAACAATGCCGATGGCAGTAGTGCTCAGTGGTGAGCCAATCAGCGAAGATCAATCGCTGACATAAGTCAAAGTGGGGTGGACCTGAAGGCAGATCGACAGTCCCAAATGACGACAGACACGTCTCATTTCACACCTCAACGTTGCCGTCGCGAAAAAAAATTCTCATATTCATTGAGCCTATCTGTGGGTATCGTGGCCCCGTAAGATGCATCATGACTCCTCAAACACCCGAACTCCAGATTGCAAGTGCCGAAGTGGCAGCGCTTGCTTCACGCCTCCGCGTAACAATGTGTCGATCCTAAATCATCAAACTGCATCCATCTCATCAAGTATATGCTTCTATTCCGGTCGAGCGATGCAAAGTGGGCATACTGCAACCTGCGCCGCACGCCTTCCATGTGCCGAACGGTCAGTTGTCTATTCGGAAATAACGTTGACTTAAACTTCTAATTATCTCTCAGATAATCATCATAAGTAGATCATAGATCACTTCTGTGGCGGCTTGCTCGCAAGAAGTTTGTCCTGTTCCTCTTTAGAGAGTTTGTCCCAGTCCGCCACATTTTTATCCTGTGAGGACGATTAGCAGGTCATTTCGAAGGAATATGTTATCGATTACACTTACCCATTCGGCAACACATTCTGGCTTCCAGTTGCACTTTTCTACCTCACCGTACATGGGATGATTGCGGCGCGGGTGGAGTGATGGCCAGCCCGATGCATGGTAGTGGTGTTTTACCAGCGCCCCTCTGGAGTCGTGATTCCCTGAGTCGGAATGCCCCTGGCCTGCCGCGAAAGCTTCCACGTTCAAGACCAGTATACCATGCTCAAGCCTTGACTCCGCCAAGTTGTGGAAAGGATCCCAGGTCACTTCTTTGCCGCCGTTCATTGCAGTCATCTGGGCAAGGACTGCATCTGTGAAAGCCGACGGCCCTGTTCCGCTGATTACTTCGTTGAAGTCGAGCTCAAGCTGACCGACGGAAACTCCTTTCTTCTTGGACAGATCGTGTATCCATTCTTGGATGTTCTCGATCAGCCTCATCATGACAGGAAGGCGAGGCTTGGCCGCAAAGGTCCATTGGCAGAACGATTTGCACTTGGAACCTAGAACAGGATGATCTGCAAAAGCAGGCTCATCAATCTCCACCCCGATAATCATATCAACCTCGAGCTCGGTGTAGCGCTCTGGAATGAACCGTTGGACTGGGCGCAGGCATTCGACGTCGATATCTGCATACACCCCGCCTTCGGCATACATGATCAAGTAACGGAGAAGGTCTGCTCGTATGATCGTAATGTTAAGCTCTCGGTAAAGATCGATGATGTCTGGTCGGTTGAACCCGTTGACGCCATAATGCTCTTCAACGTACTCGAGAGCATTGTCATCTGTCAGAACCTCGTATCGGTAGTTGGGGTTCTTTGCCGGCCACGTTTTCGCTGTATCCGAATCTCGCTGTTCGAAGGTGAGCGGTCCTTGTTTCCAGGTCTGCCAGATCTTCTTCGGGATAGTGGTCGTCGATACTTGCAGGGGCTGTTGGTACTTGAGCTCCCTTCTGTACTTGTGTGCCGCTCGGATGGGAGCAGTAAAGAAATGTGCATTGGCGAAGAATAGGACTATGAAGAGAAGAGCAAGGTATGCAGGCAGCACTCTTCGGACCTGGGTGGTCAGTCTGCTCCTGAAGTGTGAAGCAATTGGCGAGTGGACAGGCATCTTCGTGTCGAGATGGAGCTTGAGCGGTGGAGGTCTGAAGGTCCCCGTTCGCATGCTGGTATCAATGGGAAATTGCAGCTGCTCGCCTTTTTGCCAGCCTCGAACTTCAGGGAGCTCTGGGGGACTGATCAAGCCGCTCCCTGCTACCCGAGCCCTCGTTCCCTAATCCTGACCCAGCATGGTCCGTCGCCAGGGGAAGAAGAGCCTCGGCCAGCAGGCGGCATGACGTCGACCAAATGGACCTCGAAGGAGAGATAGACGCTCGGTATACACGTGAAAGGTAGATCAATATCTTGTTTGACAAGGGAGAACATTGAGCACTGCATGCCCATACTCACGGCTCGTAGGCCTCATCGGCACAAAGAGCTTAGTTAGGATAGTGTCCCCGCCAAGCTAAAGCTTACAGAGGTAGACTCCGCAGTTGCAGACGCCACCAAAACGATTTCGGCACACGACAACGTGATGCTGCCAGGGCCAGCTCTGACGGACCACTCACATGCTTGGATAAATTGTGGGTGTCCTGCATGTGAAGGTCCGAGCAAATTGCTCGCCGATCCTGACCCCATACCGCCAACTTTATCCCCGCATATGCAGTAAACCAGCGCCAAACTACCTGTGGCTTGAAGAACCATAGTCATTCGGCCTCAACGTCCCGATTTTAGCTCGGACGGTATGAAGCCTATGCTCCTGTTACGCAAGCAAATCAATGCATTGACTCGTGAAGGCTTTTGGGGGTTTACCGATTCCTTCTCAATCTTATCACGTCGCTGTGTGAAGGTTACAGTACTCTTTTCACACCGTGGTGTCGCACACCATCACTGCAAAGTCTTGGCCATCTCAACGAACCCTCTACACGATGCCGGCGAAGTACGAAGGTTTGCTAGACCAGGAGCGCATGCAGGAAGTCAATCTACATTCTGCAACTTGGAAATCTGTACGACCAGGAAGATGGAGTCTCGACGTTGTTCGACCTCAGTTCCTGACTATGCGTCCTGGCAGTCCAAAGAAGCGATTGCGACCGACGGCGTGGCTCGACGGCCTTCGAGGCTTTGCGGCTTTGGTCGTTTACCTTCATCACAATCAGCTTTGGGCACACGACTTCCACGGAAATATCATCTTCGAAAACGCATTTGGCTTTGAGGGCAGACATTATTTCGCTGCATTGCCCTTTGTTCGACATTTCTTCTCAGGTGGCCACTTTGCGGTTTCCATCTTCTTCGTTATCTCGGGTTACGTGCTTTCTGTGAAATCACTCAGTTTAATTCACAAAGGCCAACATCAGACTTTAACGGAGGGTGTCGGCTCCGCACTCTTCCGACGCTGGATTCGACTGTACATTCCAGTCATCGCGGTCAGTTTGTCCTCTTTGGTGTTACGATATTACCCCGGAATCTCCGCCGCGTTCGGTGAGAAGAAAGAAACGTTCGGTGAGGACCTGTGGCAATATTACACGACCTTCAAGAACTACAGCTTTGTGTTCCTCACTGGCAACTTGTATGAGTTCCCACTACTATACCACCCTCATTCATGGTCGATCCCGATCGAGTTCAAAGGATCGATCATTGTCTACACGGCGCTCTTGGCCCTTTCCAAGTGTACCAGGAACGCGCGACTATGGCTTCAAACAGGACTCATCTTTTATTTCCTGTACATCGTTGATGGATGGTACGGCGCCCTTTTTACTGCTGGAATGATGCTGTGCGACCTGGAGCTGCTCGCAGTCAACAACCAACTGCCGCGCCTTTTCACCAAGCTTGAGGACTTCAAGGAGTTGATATTCTTCCATCTCTTCATCACTGCAATGTACCTTGGAGGCGTCCCATCCTGTGATGGGGATGACTACGCAGGCATATTGAAGAAGTCGCCAGGTTGGAAGTGGTTGTCACATCTGAAGCCTCAAGCTGTATTCGACGGAAAATGGTTCTACCTGTTTTGGGCGGCCTTGTTCACAGTGGCTTCAATACCCCGGTTGCCTTGGCTGAAGTATTTCTTCGAGACACGCTTTTGCCAGTACCTTGCCCGTGTTTCTTTCGCGCTGTACCTTGTCCACGGTCCGATTATATTCTTCCTGGCTGACCGCATCTACGCTGCGGTCGGCCTCACGAGAGATGACCACAAGCTCCGCATTCCTAACTGGATGGACAAATTCCCTATTTCGAAGAGTGGGCCAATGGGATTTGAATTGGCTTTCTGGGCAGCACAGTTGGTTCTCTTTCCGATCACACTGTGGGCGGCAGAAGTGGTGACCAAATTGTTCGACGAGCCGAGCGTCAAATTCGCCAATTGGCTCTACAACAAGTCCTTGGCCCCTCCCTCGTCACCAAAGTCTGCAGCTTAATCTCAGCGACGCGAATAAATCTAGAGAAATGACATCAGTTCGAATTATCGACTTCGTATTCCCCGATATCGCTGTTTCTCGTGCATTCGTGCGAGTGCACTCGTGTGCCGTTATTTCACATGTACCTCGGATCAAATCCTGGGCTCGACGCCGCAATCCTCGAGCCTCGAAAATTGATGAACCCTTGCTCCCAACATAGAAAAGGATAACTAGCTATCCTGAAACAGTGCTGCGTCCGGCGCTAATCACCTTGCCCCATCCCCATACCCCAGACGGCTACCCGCTAGCGGGGTAAGTTCAAGGCCGCTGCACTACGCCGCTTGGTGTCAGAGGTCCCAGCCTCTCAATATGCGGCATATTTAATTAGGCATCGAGATTTGTGCAGATCTGGAGCATGTACGAATGCAATACCGCGGCATCTCGCAGGATCGTGATTTCGCATGTCAATCCATGACGCCAGACCCCACCCTTGTATTGCCCACTTAATTTCATGTGCATCTCATCAGATGTCTCAATAGAGGTGGTCTGTTATTGAACCCTTCCGGCTTGTTGAGTCCAGTCACCTCAGACAAAGTACTATCTCCAATCCGTCGCTCGGTGAGTGCCCGAGACGAGATAGGAAAAGACCGGACCTGGGATTCGAGCTCCCTGTTCGGCAGCGAGACATCTTTAAGTGGTTAGCTTTGCTGCCCAACATCCTCACAAATATGCGACGCTGGCGCACTGTTGCGACGGCGACACTCATCCTGATAACAGTCATCTATCTCATCACACTGAATCAAGAAGCCATCTCAGACAACTACTCCTTTGGCATACCTTTTACAGAGTGGGATCAAGATGAGTCCGAGAGCAGCAAGACGCATGGGCGGCTATTAGGGGTAAAGCCACACCCACCAGAATCATTCCCGAATGAAGCAACACCTCAAGATGCGAACACGGACCTGTCAAACATACATGCAAACCATGAGCCCGACCTAGAATTGCCAGGTACTTTACAACCATCCCCACCAACTGAGACTGGGCAAGTCGGCTTTCAGGCCGAATTCGGTTTCCAGCAAGACCTAGAGCTAGATCTCCCCGTGGACGTCTTGCGGAAATTCAGCAATAATAGACCGCACAACTACGATCCTGCCGGACCCAAGACGAACGTGTATGCTACATTCATGGGAACCAATAATCCCTCCATTAAGGACCCCTATTATATGGCCATTCACTCGCTGATATATCGCCTACTCTGGTCTCCCAAATCTAGAAGCGAAAAGTACGCCTTCGTTGTCTACGTCGCCAAGTACGTTACACCTGAACAGCGGGAACTTCTTGCCGGAGCCGGTGCCATTGTTCGAGAGCTCGAAATGCTCGAGTGGGATCCTCAAGACGAGGGAATCCAGAAACGGTGGAAGAATCTATTCGCGAAATTGAATATGTGGAAAGAAACGGAATTCTCGCGAATATTTTCCCTGGATGCGGATGCATTTCCAGTCGCCAACATCGATGGCATCTTCGACACCGCGACTGAGCAGACCTGTATAGAAGCGAAACTTACTCCCGAGGACTATCTGCCTGACGGTACATCTGCTTGCGAGCCGTACGTATTCGCAGGCATCCCGCAGGACCCGTTCAACCCGGTCGCCAAAAGCATCAACGGAGGTGCCCTTGTTTTCTCGCCTTCCACGCGCATGCATCAACGCTTTCTGCAGAATTATCTCAAGTATGACAGGTACGATGTCAAGTTGGTCGAGCAGGCTTTCTTGAACTGGCAATTCGACATCAACGGGGCATTTCCTGCACAACTATTGGATCGAGAGTGGAACGCCGCATTTCCGAACGAAGAAGACGAAGGCAAGGTCAAAGTGGTGCATGAGAAGATCTGGTCCGAAGATCGGGAGTGGTTGAAGAAGGAGTGGGTCAATGAATGGATCGCAATGACGCAATTCTATATGAGCGAGGCTTTCAGCAATGCTAGGTTCCTTGATGGTCTAACTGATAGTTAGTGGGGTTGTAGGTAATGGAGGCGCCGGTTTTTTTTTACCCGACCTAGGTAGTTGGTGATACCCGTGAAAACACATGAGACTGCCCCAAATGCACATTATATCCGCACCTGGGTGCTTTGCTAACGCTCTCATGACGCGATGTACATCGTGAAATAATTTCCCTTTCCAAGTACTCACCTCCATAGACCTCATATCCATCACTAGAGTGGAGGGCTCCAAGTGAGCGTAATCAGAAATCCCCTTGTAGCATGAACTCTTGGCAGATGACCCCACCAATGAGAGAACGATGCATCCTATAGTCAAACTCGAGAACACGTGTACAAGAACTCTCTGACTCAGATCTGAAATATTATGGTCTAGCTTCCGTCTCTGGAAAAGTCAGTAGACGCTCTAACTGAGATCATTTCCACGACGGACGGGACGACTCGCCGATTCAGTTGTATCATATAGATAGCTTCTCATCGGAAACACAGATGATGGTAGGTAATATGGACAAGGTTAGTATTTCAGAGCCGGAAATGAACATGGTACGGTTCGCAATCTCGGTTTTGCGCAAAATCAGGGTTTGATGGTTCTTGAAAGGTATTGCGGTCACCTGTAAAATCAATATTAAGCAAACCCCCATAGGGTTCAGTCAATTTTCACTTCGAATAGTACGCTTCAATGTCAAAGATTGCTTTGTCGCTAGCATTCGCGTATCGTGGCAAGCTGTTGAACGATTGAGCTCTGATCCCCGTGATGATGATTCACTGACAATCTACGGCTATCTGAAAGAGTAAACAACGCGATGTTACTGCCAAGCTCTAAATCTCCAGCAACATATTTTGCATTGCCTTAAAATCGGAGCGGCGGAGCTCCCGGTTTCTGTATAGCTCCCATACCACCAGGTGCCATTGGCAGCGAGAAATCGTCATTTGTGGCGCTTCGTGTTGGTATAGCTCCCATTGGCCTTTCCCCAGTGCTTTGAGGGATTGCAGCGCTCACATGTGACACATAGCTCCTTCCTGGTACCACTTTTGATGTCGACACGATTTGACCCAACGGTGTGGGTGCTGATGTTGCGAGTTTGCTCTTCAACGTCGAGATCAATGTCTCGATACCAAGGCTTTGAAAAGAGGGAACCACCGATGTACTGTTTTCCTGCGCAACAATAGCCTCCGATACTATGCTATCCAAAGAACCCGGCTGCAAGCTCTGCGGCCCGTCGCACCCACGTCCCCTCACCTCTCCACAGAACAGGGTGTCACAAGGTGTTTCGCAAGGCACACCCGGGTTCACAAAGATGTTCAGCGCTTCTGGCCATGTCCAGCCTCTCAGTGCCATCCATCCCTTAGGACCGAAGGGGTGGCCCTTTCTTCCATGCAGACATGCGCAGTTGTCTTTTCTACATATAGCACCCGGTCCGCACGGTGGTGCACCAGCGTTGCTACATTTCTGGAGAGGACACGGCGGAGGCTGCTGGCCCGCAACGGTGGGGGTGTCGGAGTCTTGTTGACCGGTTATTGTGTTGTAACCACCAAGACCCGCGGGCTGAGGCGTTATTTGGCCATTATGTGGAGGCGTCTTAGTTGTGAGGAGGGTTCGTGAACAGCGTAGGTCGCGTGGACAGCGGCTGCAGTCGAGCGCTAGCGCAGGGCAGTTCATCATCCACGGTGCTGGTAAAAAGTTGTCGACCATTTGTGATCGACCATTGTCATTGAACGGTGATATAGGGTCGAGCGAGTTGGGAGCATGATTCTGAGAATCATGCGACCACTCTGGATTCAAAGTGTAACCTGGATTTGCGCTTGGATCCGAGTCAGGGGCTTCTCTGTGCAAAGAACGAGTATCAAATTTTCCATTCACTCCGTGGAGATCTCGTGGTTGTGCCGCAGTGGAAGACTTTGCGAAGACTAACAAGCATACGATGAGTAGAAGACACATTATGGTGCAGGGCAACGAACAATCGGCACTTTGGCTACCGGAATGGAGCTATATTAGTATTCCAGGGTCTTATGCGCGGATAGCGTAACGATATGCAAGGGGGTCAGCTGGCGGCCCAAGATCTTAAAGCTATGAAGAATGCAGCAGAGGATCAATCGGAACCCACACGTAGAAGAGCGTGAGCCTTCGAGAATCTAGAATAGACTGTCGCTTGAAGCTCCGAGCAAGGGTCCGCCCCCTGTCAGCAGTGGACGGCATGGAGACCATCGAACAACAGCTTTTCACGAACTTTGCCCAACAAACAAATTGAAATAATGCGATATAATGAGCCAAAAGTTAGAACTATAATTAAGGGCCACTATTTCTAGGCGCGAAACTTTGAGGCTAGTCATCCCTCAGATACTTAGCAACTGCTTCGAGTTGCAGCGAGCACCTTACCACTTCTCGACAGCAGGCCTCAAGTCCAGCTCCCATGTGAAGTTGGTTCTCGGTTGTGTGTGCAGATACCAGTAGTCATTCGCAATCTACCCAAGTTGTTAGCTTGACTCTAATCCCTGGAAAGTGGTACGCACCCCGTCTGCGCTCAACTTTGCATCTGGGCCTGCATCCTTCAACCACCCCTTCGTCCGAGGGATGTCGATGACACCATCAATAATGGCGTGGCTAACATGCACACCTTCCGGTCCAAATTCCTTTGCTAAACTCTGGGACAATGCCCGGAGCGCCCATTTGCCAGTCGAGAAGGACGACATTTGTGCGCTACTCTTGACGGAAGCGGTTGCGCCAGTGAAGATAAGAGATGGCGGGTATTGTGACTTCTGCTTGACTCCTTCGAGAAGGAGAGGGAGGGTTGCTTGTGAGAAAAGAAACCCGCCCTTTGCACTGACAGTAAGCGACTGAGTGAAGGCGTCTTCTGGCACCTCAAGGAATGGCCTTCGCATGAAGCCTCCACTGGCATTGAATATAGCTGCCTGTCCCGGGGATCAGTTACTGTTCATAATAAAGGCTAGCATTACGCACTGCAGCAGCTACGTCAGATCCAAATTCTTTCTTGATGGCATCAACGGCAAGCTGGACGCTCTTCGAATCCGAGACGTCCGTGCTGATGCCGATAGCCTTTCCACCACTTGCATTAATCTCCTCAGCAAGGCTCTGATAGCTATCAGGATTTCTCGCCAGCAGCACCACTGGATATGTTGCTGCGAATTTGCGTGCGACAGCGGCACCGGTACCAGCCCCAACACCCGCGACAATGGCGATGAGCTTCGAAGACATGATTGGCTGATGGTATGATCCAAGGCGGAATGGATAATGTGGTGGGTGGAAGATAGAGGGACAGTAGAATGAACGAGGAGGAAGATTGTAGAACACGCTTTTATGTTGGCTTTGATTAGATATTTGACGGTGTTTAAGTAAGACGCCTGCCGTTGTGCTGAAGACGTATTGCACAGAACGGACCTGGTCGGACACCGAGCAACGTCACGATTGTTAAGCGAGCGTGCACTAGTGAGCTTGAACCTCACTGGTCAACCACAACCACAACTACAACCGCACTATCAGACTCCAAATCCCTCTCGCAAAAACAGAGACTGAAAACGGATCGCCGCCCCTGGAAATTCAGCGTAAAATAGGATCACTTGGTGAGAGTTCCGAACACATGAGGAACCGTCGCGTACCAGGTCTCTTCTGGAGGCTGCACGAGGTCAACTCTCTCCCAGGCGCCCGCTTGCAAAAGGCTCTTTTTTGTATCTTAGTACGCGCGTGAGATCAGTAGATGTATCAACAAAGTGCGCAGCGGGAAGCCGCTAGACTTGCTTACCTCTGCACAGCTCACATCCCCCTATGATATGCGGCCAAAACAAGTTGACGAACGCTAACCGAACGTAAGCGGCAACCTGCAACAGTAAATGAATGCTACGCACCTTGATAGAAACGCATAAAGTAATTCTTGTTCGTCTTCACATGTTCGAAAATGTACCACCTGCCGCCTTTCTTCAGGTATTGGTAAAGTTCGGCAATATTTTCTTCGGGCTCGGGAATGCCGCACAGGCAAAGAAGGGTCACTATGCAATCCACGCTTCCCTTTTCGATTTTGCTGATACTGCCGTCAATCTCAGTCACTTCGACGTTCGAAATGTCCTGTATTCCAGCTGGGATAATATTGTAGACGCCGTCGAGACCTGCTTGGTGAGCACGCATTCGCAGCCCTGGATGTGCTGTCGTGTTCGGCTCGACCCCGTACACTTTCAAATCACCCGTGTTGCTTTTGGCGTAGAGGTCAACCCAGAAGCCGGGCCCGGGCCCGATGTCCAAAATAACGCCACTGACCGGGGATACCACAGGCTTATCCACCACCTGAGCCTGGCTTATACGACCTTCCAGAAGCGCTGTAATGCGCGGCCCGTTCCCGACTCGGATATTCGCACCAGCCCGAGCCCAAAATGCATTGAACCAGACGTCTTGAATACGAGAAAAGGAGATGTTTTGGAGCGGCTCAGTCTGCACCAAATGCTTGATGGCCCCAGGAAGGTACGATATAGCAATTCCCAAGAACTGCCAGGGAAATAGCAGCGACAAGCAGACAGTAAAAAAGTCTTGGACGGCAGTCATGTTCAGTAGTGTTGGGTTGGGGGAATAGTGATTGAAGCAGGTATGATGTTGCCGAAGCAGTAGTGGCTCAAGGGAGAAAAGCGAGAAAGCGGGGCATATATGAACACCATCTCCTACGAGCACTAGGAGGCTTTATATACAACGCAGCGGATAATGCCGCCTTCCAGCGGTGATAAAAAAAATAACATCACCGAGCTGGTGCCGAATAAGGATGTATACTTCGGATCGCCCGCATCAGAGGAAGAGTAGGTAAGCGGAGAGGTCCGTAATATTGACATGGCCCGGCGCTAGCTATCGGTATAGGATTAGTGAGCTGTACCAAAGAGAGATGTGCACGCGAGGTTGTATGAGCATCATCGGGGCTGCGTTGCTCCCCTCCCTAGGGGTATTACCTCGCTTGATTTCTTGCCCAACCTTGCCCCACATATATAAGGCAAAGTACGAATCGATGGTAGTAACGAGCGAACGATGTAGTCATTAGAGAAAGAGCGCATTGAAACGCGGAATGTAGTTGTGTATCTGTTTACAAGCTCTCTCCAGGGCGCAGTGTTACCGTCAGTCGGAGCGTATCCAAGTCCGACTATCCTTGACCTTTCCTAGGCCTCTACGAACTATAATGCAAATACATGGCGGTTCAACAGGTCCAAATGGATATGATGCAAAACCTTATTCATCCCGTTGCGCAAATATTGTTCCGTTCGGATGTCGACTTGGTGTTGCATCAGCATGTTCCTGGTTCAAGGATGAGCATTAAATCGGTGCACCCATATGGGCCGACAGGATCCATGTTAGATGCGTGCCAATGAATAGCACTGGCATTGACAATATCATGTATCTCACCATCAAACCGCAACCTTCAAGGTCAGATCAGGAGCGGTCTGCAGGCGAGCATAGCTTCTGTGAAGCCATGTGTGATCATTCTCCGCTAGTCGTATAACTTGGTTCAACCATCGAGAAGGGTTGTCAAGTAGATATCCTAGCGTTTTGGGGGCAAGAGATCGCGACTGGTGAGGGTGAACGGGCAGCGAAGGAAAATGCATGGTACACTCAAGGTGGTATCGCTTGTGATCGTAACCTATGTCGTTGTTACATGCCATCGTAGGCGTGTCCATAGCCCGAGCTGAACTGATATAACGCCCCTACTTTTCCATGCATTGTGGCATATCGAAAGTGGTGTAGACATGTTATGCATTCCGTCCGCTCGATGTAAAGAGGTGCAGCCCGCGCCTATTCCCCGGGCATTCCAGCCATGAAATTGTCGTGAACCAGAGAAAAGCACGCCGCCGTCTATGCCTCCGACTTCTTCTTCTGCGCCTCGCGGCCCTGGCTTATCCTCTCCAGGATGTTCTCACGGTCCTGTGCCGCGTCAGTGTGCCATATTGCAATATATCCATCATGTACACACCTTGTCGAGCTTGAGCTTGGTGACGACAACCTTGGAGGCAGCAATGGGGATCGGGACGGACTGGCCGTTGCTCTTCTCGCGGACGACTGTGTGGTTGTAAGCGTTGGTTGACAAAACGAGCGCCGGCGCTGGTGTACGTACCACCGTTGATGTGAAGGGCGTATTTGAGACGGTAGACGGAGGTGACCTTGCCCTCACGACCCTTGTTGGTTCCGCGCACGATCATGATCTCGTCCTGGCACTATTCAGTATACGTTTCGGGGCTACGCGTGGATCGAGGTGGCATACGTCTTTTCGGATCGGGATGCTGTTGAAATTAGCAGTGTGCCTGTCAATTGATAAGGGATACACTACCTCTTCACGTTGTGCTTCTCGCGGAGCTCCTTGCTGAGCGGCGCCTGCCGTAGTCAGTACATCCTCCCAGAACGGCTTCCTGGCTCGGTGCTCACGAACCGACATGATGATGCGGCGGACGCTGCTGGGAGCGCTGAAGTGCGCCTTACGCGACTTGCGGCGCGAGCTCGCAACGTTTGCTTGAACCTTGGTCATTGTGCTGGTGGTTAGTTGACGGTGGTGTTGTGACGATGTCCGCAGGGCTAGGTTTGACGGTCGAAATGTGTGAGGTCGAAATTCGCTCGCTTACAGGAGGAAGGCGCTATAACCGGTTCGGCTTGGCGCTATCATGCCAATCACGTGATGTTTATAATAGGCTTAGCTCCATCTAATCTCCCACTTCCAGGCCATGCGCGACTTCCTCGGCGAAACCGACGCGAACTCACAGCGCTACGCTCGCACGCGTCATGCGCATGCATTGGAATTGGTTCACGACTCTTGCTTACAGCTATCGCCCATCCAGAAACTCGCCATTGGCAGCCTGTCTGCCCTGAACCCTTTTCACGAACAACGTCATTTATCCGATCCGGCGTTGAGCCACCTAACACCATCTTGATGCGCTTGATCAGACATCTGCGAGAAGAGGTATCGGGCGGGGCTGGGCCCTGCAGGCCTTGCAGCCATGGCGTCCAACAACTATGATCCGTACAACTACTCGTACCAGCAGATTCCTGCGCAGCAATACTCTGGAAATCAAACCGCGCCGGTCACCAACAACGTCCCCCAGTCATCGCGTCAGTACAAATCGACACCTGCCACCTCGCAAGCATCAGACTATATGTCTTACCAAGCGCAATCGTACAATGACCAAGGCTGTGGATATGGTGGGGCTCAGGACAACAATTGGGGCGGCAGTAGCTACGGGGGCAATCGGGAAACAACGAGTCGAGCTGCAGAGGTTCTGCGCAACATGAGCAACACGGCATACACGCCAAGCAACGCGACGCCTGCGAGCCAGGCGGCTTTCACCGGTACAATCGCTCCCACTTACCGCTACTCGAGCAACTTCCCTCAAGGTCACTCACACCAGCTTTCCAGAACCCACGCCGTATCGTCTACTATCGGACAATCGCAAGCGCGGCCTCGTAGCGTAAATGCTAACCGTGGCTGTACCACTACACCTCGAGGACTTTCTTCCCCAGCACTGGCCGCTGGATATCCCTCCCAACGGGCGTCAACTGCGTTTAATCAGCAGCCACAACGCTCTGCATCCCCGGCGCAACATCCCGCGACCTCAGCGAGGGGCCCGACAATATCTACAGCCTCACAATACAACAATTGTAGTAATCGGCAGTTCCCCTCGATCAACGCCACGCGCAGCGGCACAGCAGCGGCATCCTCATACAACTATGGTGATACTCATGCGCCAACGTCAACCTTTCAATCACCTGCGAACAACGCTGCGGATTCGTACAATCAAGGCGCGATTACGGTGGACCCAATGGCAGTCTACGATCCATGGCCTGAGTACCAAAGAAAGCAAGAAGCAGTTCGTGCACAAAAAGCTGTAGAAGACGCCGCACGGGGGGAGGCAGAGCGAATTGCTGAAGAAGCGCGCAAAGATGAGAGAAGGAAGAAAGAAGAAGAAGAGCGGAGGCAGCAGGAAGAAGAGGAGAGATCACGACAGGCAAAGCAGAGCAAGCCGGAACAAAAGAGTCACAAGTCTCAACAACCCGCTGAGGCCGGCTCTGGCACTTCCGCTGGCGGTGCAGAGGAGGGTCCCACGAGTGCTGATATGGAGGACGAGATTCGAGCTCTGATGGCCAAGATGAGAGAATTCAACTCAAAAGACCCCGTTATGCTTGCGCGCATCTGGGAAGAGGAGAGGCGTGCGAAAGCACCGAAGTCGCCACTTGCACCCGCCAGAACAGTACCACCAGCCACGCCTGTACCTCATCCAGCTCAGACAAGCGCTCCTCAGGTGGCCAATCAAAGAAAGAAAGTCTCCGCTGCGAGAGAATCTTCCGCAGCGGCCGTCGCGACGCCAGCAATTCCCATTGCAATGCAACACGCAGCCAGACTACCTGTTCCCGCTGCAACTGCATCAACACGAGCTGGTGGTCACACTATCTGGCCTTCAGAGAAGAAGACAACTCTGGCATCCGCGGCAGCGGCTTATCTGAACGGTCAGAACCCACAAATGCCCGTCTATGCTGATCAGATCCTCGATGTACTTGACGGGAATCCATCGTATGTTGCTCTTTGCGAGCACTTGGAAAACATGGGCATCAAGCTGGATCGAGCTGCTTTTGCGAGGAGCCTACTCGCCGCTGTACCGGACATCAACTCTAAGTCACAAGGCAAAACTGCGCATGTTCCCAACAGTGGAGCAGTTGCTCCATGTGTGCCCGTCGCGCCCACAGCTGTTACGGAACAAGACATTGGTAGTCCCGCAACCCCAATCACTCACTATCCTTCTGCGGCACCATCTCCTGCATACCCAGCTTTTCCGGACTCACATACGCCTACGGCTCCAAAATCTGCCCCTGTCGCAGAGATGGTGCCCACCAACCCAGAGCTGAAACGACCTGCCAACAAAGAAGAAGCTGCAAGAAAGCGCGATTTTAGTGATCTCATCGATTTGACGCAGGCAGATGAAGATGAGATCGAACCCCTTCCGAAGAGAACGCACGTTGCTGCGATGTCGTCATTCACCCCTTTTGGACATACTCCTCCCGATTACATGTATTTGGACGAAGGTTTTCATCTTCGTCCTTCAGCTCATAACAGTCTCCAACCTGCAATCCACCAACCCGTCCCTCCGGCATCGCACGCTCTTGATCTGCGGCATGCTGCTATCGTAGAGCCGCTCGATCGCAAGAAGGCCTTGCGTCGCAATACCTACAATATTAAAACCATCGCGCGCGATGTTTTATTGGCTTGCGGCAGACATCCTGAACAGCGGCAGCTGAACCAGCATTTGGAGGTATTGAGGGCTACATTGCCCCAAATACAGCAAGATGCGGATCTGAGTACACTGCGGTGGGATCTTATCGATCCAGGAAAACCACCGCGAGGTTATTTCAGAGACGGTACTCAAAGATTTGCCGAAGATGCCGACGATGAGGACGACTCACATGCAGAGGGAGACCACAAACGACGAGGGCTGTTCCTGCAGTCAAGTGAGAGCACGAATCACCAGAAGGTCCAAGCGCCCCCGCTCGCTGAAGCGGTCAATCCATTCAAACAGAAGAGACGCATAGGTCGCCCGCCGCGCAACTCGTTCGGACCCGACCAGACGACCAAACCTTCTACTCCGGCGCGGCCGGCACCGAAGATGAGTAGTGCAAGCGCACCGCGCGCGGGCTCTGCGGGAGTCGGCTACTCTGCGTTCCGATCCGCGACACAGTATGACGCCAATGGCAACCCGATGCCGAAGAAACGAGGTCGCCCTGTTGGCTGGCGCAAGAACATACATGGCTCTGCGCAAGCGCAAGCTCATACTAGCGCAAACGGATCTTCTTGTCCTCGCCAGCCTCAATTCAAGCCCGCAGAGCCGAGCGGACTGCGTAACTCTACACTGAGAGACAATGGTACCGAACCTATTCGGATCGACTCCCGCTCGTCCAGCGCCCCAAACAAGACCAATCGATATCAGTCATTCAAGTGCAAGTGGCAAGGTTGCAAAGCGGAGCTACACAACCTCGACACACTGAAGAAGCACGTCTCCAAAGTGCATCGAAACTCCATCAATACCAGCGGCTTCATCGAGTGCCACTGGGCCGACTGCGCATCGGAGGTGACGAACCAGGATGCTATGACTGGCATGCGCTTTGAGCAGCACAAAACCAAGTCGTTCACGACGATTGCCAACTGGATGCAACACTTGGAGCAGCTGCACTTCAGCCCCCTTTCCTGGGAGCTGGGTGATGGACCGGCAGGCGGGGTTTCAGGTTTGCATAACCACCCTGCTCTATGCGCACATGCTGATGTTAACAGACTGAATAGATGCGGCTGATTCCGAAGCATATCTCAGTGATGCTCATGGACTTCGTGTAACTCCGAAGCTCACGCCTCGCCCAGAGTATCTCGAGAGTAGTCGCATCAACACTCCCGATCGATGTGGTGCTCCAGAGCCTTCAGCCCCCCGTGGTCGCGGACGCCCGCCAAAACACGATGTACAACAGGAGGTTATGGCTGTACAAAAGCGTTTGGTTGCGCAAAAGAAACGCATCGGCGGACCAGGAATGGACCGTGGAGGTGCGACACTTGTTAACGAGAAACGCCGCAAAGGCTTCGTCGAGAATGACGACGATGAAGAGGAGCTCGTTGATGCGGAGGACGAGATGCGGCGGGAATGATATCAATATTGATGAGGCAGTGGAAACAGGACAGCAGGCTTTCAAAGTCCAGTCTGTTCTACTTCCATATCAGCGCCTTACGACTGTTCTGCATACGCGTGGTCGAAAGGGATAACTTGGGCAGAACGTCCATAAGTGGCGAGATCTTGCAAACTAATCGTTCACTGAGTAACGAATCAATTGGAAGCATGCTACGGCTTCTGCGGTTTCAACTCCAAACTCCATGAGCACTCGCTCTCTTATGCTGCCCATAAACCATGTGAGGTGTCTGTACGCGTGGCTGACCTCCTTATCGTCACCCTTTTCGCCCGTCTCGTAGTACCGTATAGGACTGCACAACTGCTCTCGTGTGGTATCATGCGCTCTGGGTCTGGTCCATCATGCCTTAGCCTTGCCCGCCGCAGTCCTGGGTTTCTCTTCCGCAACGTGGTCTTCCGAGTTCACCTCGAGAAAGTGGTAAAGAACGATCAAGAGCATGGAAGCGCTTCCGAGGAATATGGCGAGCGTGTAGAGTTGGTTGTCGGTAATCATCTTGGCCGCGCGTTCGTGATGTGAAGGTGTATGTGTTCTTTAGTGGGCTGTTCTGGGGGTTAGTGAGGGAATCGTTCTGCACGCAATGTAACCTACACTCGGCAGCGAGTATTGCGTCAAGCGAGCGACTCAATTGGAGACAGCGGCGGGCGATAGTCTGCACTTTGTGAAGCTGGGATTGTAAAGACACCTTGAGCTTCCGCGATGGCATCTTGGCGCGGTTCCTGGCCCGTGCCTTCCGCCGCCACTCACTCCCGCCGTGCTCCCCACCAAAACCGGCGGCGTCATTCTCACTTTGCGCAGCCTCGACATATCCAAGACAATCCGCCAGCAGGCCCCACCACCAACTTCACCCACAGTCCCTACACCTCCACGCGTACTCCTTGCACCCCCGGAATTTTTTCCTGCGTAGAAACAGCTTTTCAACATGCCACCAAAGGGCAAGGACCAGCCGAAGGCGGCGAAGGTGGCCATTGACAAGGTGCGTTCGCTTCGCTGCACTGCTGTAGCGCTTGCATACTGATTACTGCTAGTCGTTTGGTATGAAAAACAAGAAGGGGGGAGCCGCACAGAAACAGATCAAATACCTCCAGCAGGCCGCCGCCGGCGCCAAATCCCCCGCCGAAAAGAAGAAGGAAGCCGAGAAGCTACAGCGCGAGAAGGAGAAGGCCGCTGCCGAACAAGCCAAGAAGGAAGTGGCCGATCTCTTCAAGCCCGTTCAGGTGCAGAAGGTTCCATTCGGTGTCGATCCCAAGACCGTGCTCTGCCAATTCTTCAAGAAAGGGCACTGCGACAAGGGCCGCAAATGCAAGTTCTCGCATGACCTGGCTGTGGAGCGGAAGACTGAGAAGAGGAGTCTCTACACGGACAACAGAGAACTTGAGAAGGAGGAGAAGGAGAAGGACAAAATGGACGACTGGGACGAGGAAAAGCTGCGAAACGTTGTCATGAGCAAGCATGGAAATCCAAAAACAACAACGGACAAGGTGTGCAAGTACTTCATCGAGGCTGTGGAAAACCAAAAGTATGGCTGGTTTTGGGTATGTCCGAACGGAGGCGACAAGTGCATGTACAAGCACTCACTGCCACCTGGGTATGGGTTTCCTGCAATTGAATACCATGTCCACTTGCTGATCTTCCTAGCTTCGTGCTCAAAACCAAAGAACAGCGCGCTGCTGAAAAAGCCCTTATGGAGAACTCGCCCTTGGCTACGCTCACGCTGGAAGACTTCTTGGAATCGGAGCGCCACAAGCTCACAGGCACACTCACACCAGTCACAGAGGAAAGCTTTGCCAAGTGGAAGAAGGAGCGCATGGACAAGAAGGTTGCCGAGGAGCAGGCCAAGAAGATGAAGGAGGCCACGGGTAGGGCCATGTTCGAGAAGGGCGACTGGCAACGCGGCGAGGACGACTCTTCTGATGAAGAAGACGATGACGGCACGTGGAATCTCGAAGCACTACGACGAGAGACGGAAGCCGCGCGCGTGAGGAAGGAAGAGGAGCGCATGGCGGCCGCAGCAGGTATCGAAGCCTCTTGAACTCCAGACACGTACCCACAGGACGCCTCAACCGCACGCCAGGAGGAGTGACGGATCGGAGCAGGGCCACACAATGCTGATAAAGCTTGTGATGTTGCACCGAGCGCTGGTGGTGATGAAGGTGCGGTGGCATACATACATCTATGTTGGCCATGCTTAATGCGTGGTATCCACTTATGTTTTCGCGATCAGCGGCATGCATCGCACCGCTTCGCGCTACTCTCACTGGGAAGCGGAGGTCTGGTGTTTCGGCGTTTGGTTGTTAATCTTACTGCGCAAGAATGCCAGTTACCTTCAAAATGCCAGTTAACTTCAGAATGCATTACACATTGCTAGACCACACACAGGTCCGCGCCTTGTCCCGTCGTGACACATGTAGTGGGTAATTGTTGAGCTATGTAACTTGCATCCCGCTACAACACATGAGAGGGAACAAGCGAGATACTACGACCAGGAGTCGGGCGCTTGTGTCGCGGTATCGATACTCCACTTGCTCTCTGACATGAACTAGGCAGCTGACATTCTCAGCGCTATATGGCGGTATGCTAAGTCGCGTATCCATTGCACTTAAATCCCACTGGCTTCTCTGCACAAGCCGAACTTATCCATCTCCGAATCACAGGAATCCCTTGTGGATAATAGCATCCTAATGTTCTTTACTACGCTCTCTTCTATGTCCGAGACCAAAGCGATATCCCCGACGTCGAATTCGTCGTGCGAACCACAGGGCAGATGCCCCACTGTAGCTTACCGACCGGTAAGGCATCCATACAGTGTGCAGCGCTGCCGCAGGCGCACATGCATGTACACAGGCCGATTATGCAACCGCTTCTGGGCCTTGCGTTTTCATAGGGTGTGAGTCAGGACAGGCAGCAGTCAGAGCCTCGATGCTTAAGTGGACTTCACGCTGAGGTTATTGCGACAGTGCGGATGCCCAAGGGATGATGGGACGAACATTGTTCAAAGCTGAAATTATCGTTATCATTCCGACGCGATGTAGTCACACACGGGGTGCATGAGAATACATCAACTATTAGGTGGCCGCCGAAGATGGGGCTCGTTCCGTCCAGATCTCCGAGCCTAAGGAACATGGAGAAACACACAAAAGGCACGGACCGAGGTCGCATGCGTAAAAGAAACCTAGTGGAGGTAGAGGAATGTATGACCCCTAACAGCGGGGTACCGCTGTTGGGGATTTCCTGGAACTTCCGTTGCCTCCTGTGTCAGAGCTTCGCAGTGAAGCATTCTTTCGTTCCGAACCTAGGAGACAAGGAACGGAAGCAATGTGGGGAATATAAATAAGTGTACGGTAAGAAAGTTCAGAACCAGCTCAACTCCTTCAAAAGTCACCACACACAGGAGATATTCAAGGTGCAGTATATCGAATCTTCCTTGGGGGTTTAGGACCAAGGTGGTGCGTGCGATACTCGTGCTTCTTCCTCGCATCCGACCTCTTGAATATATGTGAGCAAACACTGCACTTCAGTTTCTTGGGATCGCCTGGACTCTCGCCGTTCTGCACCAAAAGCTCTGGGTGGTTGGACTTGTGATGGCGTTTGAGATTCCCCTTCTGATATTCGCCTGTGAACCTGGAACCGCAGCCTGGGACCAAACAAAAGGTAGTCTCCTCAGGCAAGGGACTTGGGCGGGACTCGCGTTCGTAGAGCTCCTCAGGCTGGCTAATTTTGGGCGGCTGAGTAACCTGACTTTGGGTGGGAGATTGATCCGAGAAGGTTGGGCTATATGGGTATGGGCCTCCAAGAAACGAGGGACCCGGTATTGGTGAGCATTGTGTGTTGAAAAACTTCTGGTTGACTTGGCTGTGTGAAGCTGTCGAGCTATGTGATTTTAACGACGTGATGGACGGACGTGAGCTTGGCGTTGTCACTGATGGTGACATGAGCCCCGACTCGAAGTTTGGGGGAGAAAATTGGTGGTTGAAAACGTCGTAGTTGGCAAGCGTGAAAGCAGGAACGCTTTCAGGGGCATAGATCTCGTGATGGATACCATAGCCATATCCAATGGGCTCAGGTCCGGAAAGGGTATGTCGACGCGGAAAGTCGGGGTGAAAGCTTCTCACGTTGCATGGGTTAGGTGACGGGAACCCGACATTCTGGAACACCAAATTATCGCAGGACGTTGTGTTTGGACTGTACTGAGGAGTTACAGTAGCTGTGAATCCTGTGTCGGACTGTTGTGTTGTGAGGATAGGTGGCCACCATCCATTCCCATTGCCGAATCGTTGATCAATAGAGGCTGCGTATTCACCCTCAGATTGGTTGGACGTGTATGCCATGTCTCCCTCTGCAAGTTGGGGGCCGTGTGTTGGATGGTTGGGGAATATGATATATCGCATTGATAGGAGCTTCCTTTGGGGCTTTCGAGTTCGGCGCGGAACAACTGATGCAAGCATAAGTCAGCATAAGCACGTAAAATACTGTCTGCGCGTATGTCTTTCAAAAAATCTTCGCCGTGATGAAATATCACCTTCACGTATTGCAGTCCAGGTGGTATCGCAAGACCAAGTACTTACAGAGTCCTGTGATAGTTCTTGCGCCTCTTCGGTACCGCAGGGAGGATATCTGTATGGGATTGGGTCCCGTTGAGGCCGTGGATACAGCTCGTTGATTGTGCTCGAACCCGGCAGCTCAAAACGGTTGCTGGCTCTTTTCTTCGTTCTTGACCAGCGTCGCAAGGACGTCGGCTTCGTGGTAGACTTAGGTGTATCTGAGGTTGACTTAGGTGTATCTGGCAATGTTGGACTCCGAGTGTCGACGTCAATCTTTACCGAACCACCGCGAGAGCTTGGTGTAAGGACGATGGAGGCTTGCTCTCCGAGGTTGGACACAATGGCTCCACCTTTCCGGCGAGAGCATGTAAATCTGTCTAAATCAGCTAACGATTCAGCAGCTAGGTCCAACTCTGGGCGGACAGACTGTATAGTCAAGCCAGCGAACTCGAACAGGAAGAGCATGTTGTAGGATATGAAGCGGGAGTTCCTGGTTTTCAGATGAGACGCAGTGACCCGGAGGACTTTTATGGTCTCTAATGTCAATCTTGTGGAGATCGTTGGTCACGATCGGCTGATATCAATTGTCCACCAAATTGCCCGCCTGAACGTCCGCCGCTGGTACCGACGTCGCCGTCTGAGCAATCAGATCCAGCGAAGGAGAAAGCCGCGACGATTCCTCAGTACGTGTCGGAGAGGGCGAAAGTGAGGGACCGCGCTGGCAATATGTTGCCCTTCGCTCAGTTGGGCATGTTGCTCGTATGGTAGGTCTCGATTGGCGGGGGTGGCAACCGCATCCTATTCGCTCGTCAGCACGTACAATTCCGCATCTGTAAGCCTTGAGGGACGGCAGGACTCACCGGGTTGGGATCGTTGTGGAGTGGACGGTAAACGATTTGGCGGTGGCAGAAGCAAGTTGTCATTGCATGTGGCGCGTTAGTAGATGCACCTACAAATCCACCAATTTGCGCTATTTCCAATGGAGGACGCAATTTAATGGTGTTGGTGGACTATACATGCAGCGGGAGGACCTGGATATTGCGCATCGAAAACAAAGCTGGAGGATCCTGCGCGCAGCATTCATGACCAGTCCCGGACTCTGCTCGCAGACATGGGAAATTGTTGATGTACAACGGAATCCCGGAACGTGCAGATGCTCTCACCGGTTTCAAAGGCGGCGTTTCTTTTGATGACAGCAGTCCTCCAATGCCAATGCATCATCGACGTGCGTCGGCTCGCGGTCTCAATGATAGAGAGTTTTTCCAATATTGCCCCATCAAAAGTACGCTTAAAGCCAAGGTATCGGTATTGTCTTCTTGCGTGTATTGTACTTGGAGCTTTTCCGATCGCAGAATGATTCGGGAGTGGTATACCAAATAATGGTGGCTAAGGTGATTGCAATTCTGCCTTCATTACTCTACACCTATATGGTATGGAAGTCTTGCAAATTCAAACGAAGTCGGAGACGCTTGGAAAACTCTGGATGTCATCGATTTCTGCTCCTTGAAAGAATTTTGAGGTATCTTTTCCCAGGGAAGGGTGACTGTTACACAACCCCGGAGTGGTTGCCTCCATCTCGTTTCGTAGTGTAGCTTTAAAAGGGTATCTTCGCAGAAACAACAGGACTGTAGGTAAGTTTCGGTCAAGGACGAGCTTGGGGAAGTAAGAGAAATAAAGAAGATAAAAGCTTCATATTCGAGACAAAAGCCTTCCAGTCTCAACAGCCGTTGCAGTACATTAGTTCCTTATACAGACGTCTGCCGAGATGACTGGCTCGATAATTGGGGCCAGATGTAACGGCAATCGAGGTTGAGCCCCAATATAATCATCAGTAATCCCTCAGCCTTTGGTGCTGTCTACGTGTGAGATCGTGCACCGTTATGGTACGGGGACCGAAGCTTCTGTGGAGCCGAATTGCCTGCATCACGACAACTCGTCTAAATACAGAGCGTCTCGGCGATGCTGCAAAATACATAGCCTCAAAGACATGTATAGTTGGTCGCATACACGGTGGCAGCTACAGCGAGTCATCGATGCAAAGAGCCAGCCACTGTGCGGTTGTGGTCCGATGCAACCATAGCCTGAATGCTGTGCTAACCTCATAATTGTCTTGTCTTCAATCTATGAGAATGATTGCACGGAAACTGCTTAGCCGTAACGGGCCAGTGCTAGTTAACGGAGAATATGTAAAGAAGGGGCGGAGCGCAGTCTAGATGCTTGGGGAAGATGACATAACATGTGTTGTATTCCATTATCTGTTTCCAAGTCAGTACAAGTATTCAACGATGGGTTGCACGCCTGATTAGAGATATATTTGGTTACCAAAGCCCCACCCCAGAAGTCCTTCAGTTCTTTTCGGTTATGATAGATGCAAGTACGCCCTAGACGAGTGGGTCCGCTGTCCTCCCGCAACCCCAGCATAGTGCAAGTATCCATCTTTTTACGCGCTAGAATAGGAACACGTATCCGCCTTCCAAATCATGGATACGCTAGGCGAGAGTTGCGAAGAGTTTGTGGTGTCGGGTTGCAGTGCGGTCGACAATGGTGGACCAACGCAAACGAGCCTTGGCAGCAGTTACCGGTAGCTGCGCATGCCCACCGCACGTCACGTGCGGATTTCTGCGCGACGCACGGATGAACGTGGAGCTGCATCAGTCTCAATGCACTTGCACCACGCATACAAAAGTCGGAATGGTATACACGGGCTCAGCACCTCTCCCCCGCGCGCATGCTCTGCACTCCGCTACTCTTGTGCAGCTTGCAAACCTTCACAATACACACGCAATAACGAGGCCTGCACGAGCGGCAACCCTGGGTTTCGGACCCCCGGGGTGGACTTGGGAAAGTCGGAGGGCTCGGGGGGCTCCGAGTCCGGGGCAAGTGGTCTCGAGGTGGCTGGCTATTCTTCAGTCTTCAACCCCAGGATGCGGCAGTGGCCCAGCCGCTAAACCCCACTGCGTCTAAACTCCCGGGCCGTGCATATACTCCAGTGACAAGTCTACTAAGAAGGCATGGTTTCATATGCAGGATGCAGTTGCCTTTTGCCCTCTCGAACATGACGAGATTAAACTAGACGAAGCAGCGCTAGAGCCCGTGCATACCATAGGGATCCAGGTGTTAGGCGCCTAGGTGTTGGCAGGACGCGTATCTTTCCAAACGGTTCAATTGACAGCTCCATGCCCCAGGCTCCACATAGCTTCACGCGAGCGTTTTTCTTGAATAGATGTGGTTCTGAGAATTCAATCCTGGCAGACCGTCCGAGTTTGTACGGCGCTCATGTCAGGTGGAGCTGACACAACTTGCTCAAGCCGTTCATCCGGCGCTCCCGCTCCGAGATAGCACGCTGCGTTCATGCAGAGCTTCACCGGATGGCGGACGTACGCCGATGTCGATCCGTGGTCCTCCAGTTCTTGAAAATCAATACACGGCATGCGCCAATGCATCGCTCAGCACATTTGCGTCCGCATCTCAATTGAGCCGCAACTTTCGAGGTTAAATGCTTCCCCTCGAAATATTATTCATCTTCGAGATCTCTTTGTCTTAGCACGTGCAAATCATAAACATTTCGACCAGCTAATATGGCGCTACCCGTGGTCTTTCCTTAAGTGTTCGTCTGCTGGTATATCTGATTGTGAGACCAGATGATCAGGCTGATGCATACAGCCACCTCAGGCACGTGACGACAGCCTTGCCCAAGTACATACGTATGTTGGCAAAGATGCTTATAATAGCTCTTCGTGCGTATGATGCTACCCCCAGAGTTGATCCTTGAGCTCTATATACGGACCTGTCTACCGTCCTGGTGGAAAATCCTGCATGCCCGAATGACGACAGCTCATCCGATCCTATGCGAATGGATACTCGAAGCCATATCGACGTCCAGTCGAATGACCGTTCATCCGATCCGATTTTGATTTAGATTTATTTCGCTATTGACCAGAACGTGAGGTCACGATGGCTGACCGAAAGGGAAAGGGGCATCCTGTGTAGACTCACTGTGTGATACGTTTATAAAGTTGTACTCTGATAGGTCAGCGTGATTACTTGCAGTAGGGTCCGCCACAGGGGCGCTCTTGATTTTATTATGGGATAATGTTTTTACTCTGATGAGGCAGAAAGTTTCGTAACCGTGTTCCGCATCGCTTACTCTTCGTACGTTGTGAACACCCCAAGGTATCCGTATCGGCGGATCCAGTCTTCGCACCGCAAGAAACATTAGAAAATTAAGGATAACGTAAGATACTGTCTGCGCCAGCTCGATTTCCCGGCCTGAGTACAGAACTGTAGATGTGACATGCCTGACGTCTACTTCTCAGGAAATAAAAATTCAAGTACAGTACCCGCGAGGATTTCGCCTGCAACCAAGATAACGCCTCTCATTAACTGTTCCCGCCATCGTCTGGCATAGGTGGCATATAGATCCTCTTCTCCCCACCGCGTTTCTCGATGCGCCGTTTGTGAGGACGGCAGTCTTCAGTCTTATGCTGCTTCCACTCATGTTTCCGTCTGGCATCTGGCCGTCTGAAGTGCTGGAGACAGGTTCGACAGGTTTTACCATCGTCGATGCCAGCCGCGGAAAGATCCACATCGACATGGAAAAGGTTGATGTGGCGAAGGCAGTTTGCTTTCTGATACTTCCCGGTGAACAGTTCGCCACAGTGGATACATGAAAGTGGGAGTATGTTCACAATCGCGCGAGCAGCCGTGACTGCAGTTCGTTTGACTTTGCTTTGCCGATAGTAAGGCCGGGGAGTTGCTTGAGATTGCCGAGCGGTCTGCTCTTCCACGCGTAGTGGTACGCTGCTCGCCTCATAAGCTGGCAGGGCCTCGTCGAGGTAAAAGGACTTGTTGTATGTTGTGCGCTGCGATTGAGGTCCGTCATAGTAAGAGTCAAATGGAACATGCGACGATAGGCCGTCGATGTACTGTTCTGAAGCAAAAAGTCTCCTTTGCGCAAAAGGAGAGATTTCACTATTTGGGTCACTAATTCCATACTGGACTCCATGATAAGCTGACAGATTTCGCTGCGCGTTTGAGAGCCATGGTGACTGCTCGGAGACCTCCGGATTATGAGAGAAACGGTGATGCAAGCGAGTGGCCGCTGTGGCGAGCGGAGCATGGTCTGCGATCATAACGTTGTCATGAAACATAAAATGGTTGTAAGAATACTGGTCGTGAGAGTCCATACTGTACTGACTATTCTGGAGTCCGGAGTTGTGTTGTAGAGGGCCGTTCGCAGTTTGCATACCATGTGTAGCAGGCTTTGCAATGCAGTAGTTCGTGGTACCAGATATGATGGAACTTGGGGGCGAGATAGATATTGAAGGATATGTTTCAAAGGAAGGACTGAGAGTTGTTGGAGGTCTCAGTAATGTGGTGCTAGCTATATCTGTTGCTCGGTAGTCATGGTGATCCATGTTTGGAGAAACATAGTGAGCGTTCATGTGCACAGGTGATGTTCGCGCCATATCCACGAAAGTATCGATGGGCGCGAGAGGGTGCGAAGAGATATGAGAGGTGTTTCTCATACGACCGACATTGGTAAGGTCGCCAGTAGCCTGATCGAGGGGAAGATGCCTCTGCCAAGCCACCGCTTCTACCGGCGTTGCATAAGGCTCCGCACCTTCGTGTCGACACATTTGTTGATCACTACCTAGTGAAATAGCGTCTGCTGGTAACTCGCAAGGCTCCCGATCTCCCGGTAATTCCGCCGGGTCCATGTATACGTACTCTTCTGCTACATACGCTTGCGCAGCAGATGCGGTTGGTGAGCACATGGGCAAGCTATTCTGTGCAAAACGAGACATGATCTTCCTTAAGGACTTGCGTAGACTCCGCGTCCGCGAAGACACAAACCTCTGTTTCGATGCAATGTTGGAGTGCCGATAAAGCTCTGGTAATGTTGAAATGAAGTCGTTCGGTGGCGAATACAGAAGCAGATGGTCAATCTGACTGGCTTGCAACGTGGAAGAATGGCAAATTGGCGGGCTATTCTTGTCGGTACGCCTGTGGCTAGAAAAGTTGAGACTGCGAATGGTCAGTGAATCTCCTGTACGAGACAAACAAAGGCTCATACGAACTGCAACTCACTCGCAAGACCATTTATGAAGCTCGATCACGAGGAGCATTTTGCCAATCTTCAGGGTTCCAGCCGAGGGTATGTGAGCACAAATTAAGCGTATGGGCGAGGACTTTATTCCGACCGCTACGCACGGTGGGATTGGAATAATATCGTGGGTTGCCGTGCCCTCATTCCCGCTGGAAACCACTTCATGCAGCAGGACGTTGGTGTGCCGCCGTGAGTGACACGTAAACATACGTTGCATGCACCTTCATCAGGAATTATTCCTCCCGGCTGCAACAGCATCCACGAAAAACACGCGGCCGCTAGATTGGTGTGCGATGGAACGGCAACGCCACAAGTCGCCTTGAACAAGGCAAGGACACGGTGACGCCGCAGTATCTTGTTTGACACCGGGCACAGATCGGTCGTAATCATTGCCTGGAAACGTGATAGGCGTGATAGCCCCGGTCGATGCGCAGACAAGGTTGGGCCGCCGAGGACATCAGAGCAGGGAAGTGCGCCATCGCTGGGGCAACGATACCATCGGACGCTAGACGGACGTACGCTGAGGTCCCTCCAGTCGATACCCTTGCTGGGCCAGAGATATCCTCATTGCGTTGTTGACACCCAATTTTGGAATTCTAAACGCGCACTGCTTATTTTGGGGCTTTCGCAATGACAGGCCATGAATGCATGGCGATGTTTTTGCTTTTGCTTACTGCAGACTTTGGTCGTTTGCAATGGAGGGACATGCTATCACATGTAAAGCCACTGAAAATGCAGATATGCGCTCGAATGAGTATGAGAGTAGCTTTTGCGACGCCAATTTTGGATCGAAAAGTCGAAGGTCGAGCGCTTTGCAAGTAATTAGATTAGACACACCGAATCGTAAGCGAAGTCGGAGGAAATAATGAGGCTGCACCGGTATCTTTCGCTTGACGCCGCCGGCAGCGAGATCTCGTCATTGTATAGCATCATAAGTAGCTGACAAAGCTAATTGATCAGAGGAACACCTTGAATATCTCTTGACCGGTTTTCGATGATCGCCGAACGTGGAATTACGGCGACGCGAGGCGAAACTGCTGGTAGCGTTGGATGTTCGATTCTGCGCAGAACCCTTTCAGAGTGTGCTGGCGGCATGATCACTTATACATGTCTTTAAGTAGGCGGAGGCATGTTCTATCAGGCCTGACCCAGGAATGCTCAGCCCCCAAATTTCTGCAATGTTGCCAATCATCTCTGGCAAGGCTTTCACAAGGCAGATTCCAGCGTTGACCTATGTTAGCTTGTGGCTATGTCAGTGACAGCTCGTCGTGCTGCCCTACGACCGGCTACGTATGGTATAGCCGAAGATTGAACATGTATCTGGGCAAAGCGCGATTCACCGGATTACCGGAAACTATAGACTTCTGCCACATTGTCCATTAACTCCGAGGGCCGCGATTCATCCAAACCGTTCCACACCTGGGTGCTAAGCAGGGCGTATCTATATCGACCCGTAGGTGGGTAAGGTTTGATCTAGTCAGCATTGTCGGCCTAGATCATAATTCCATACGTGAGCATTTAGCCTGGAGCATGCACGACTATACTGTTACTCTAGCTCCATAAAGGGATGCTGGGCCACCGGGTTGGAGGTTCGGAGGGAAGACCAAGGCGACCGTGGGCTACTACTCGTACATGCCGGGGCACTCCGGCTGAGAGCCGCCGGATTCAAAGTAACGAGTAGAAATCCATAGTGTCGCCTATGCCTCTTTCTTCATCGCCTATCTTTTTACGGGCGGCCTCTCGACAATAGGTTCTAGTTAGCACGCTCTCCGCAACCCCATCATCCCGACAGCCTCACTATGATACCATATAAGACGCAATGAAATTCGCGATATCGTCGAAGATGCATTTCTGATGTAAGAATCGTGAGCGTGTGGTGAACGGCGAGGTGTGAACGTTGCCCTCCTAGGCTGTCGTCCAAATAAGACGTTAGCGTGTAAGGCACGGGCCGGCTGTAGCCCCGCTCTCGATTGGACGATGGCGGCTGCCAACATACTCTCGCCGATCTTCGAATGCAGTGTGGGAGCTTCAGATTCGCATTTTACGCCATGATGCGAGAGGATAAGGGATGCCATCTGATCAAACGACGCTATAAACGTCGAGCGCCTATGCATGTGAATCTGCAGGTGCCTGGTCCTCCAGTTCGGTACATCTCACTGGTCGGTACGAGTGCGTTTGTCCGCCTCATCGTCCGTATTCTTCAACACTCATGGGTTTCACTGATGACCAGATACCAAAATAACTCGTTAGGATATTGGCAAAACCGCCTCTGCATATGGGGTGGCCTCTGACTCCGTCTCCAGCACGGCATGCCTGCTGCACGGCCGTGACCATTACAACCAGTCCGGCCAGCTCCGGAACTCTCGTACGCCTGACATCTGCTGCTGCCGATTAAACTTAAATTTCAGCGCAGATGATGGCAGTTTCCTGTGGGAATGCATGCAAGTGTTTTGCCCTGTTGCCCTACACATGCATAGGATCTCTTCGAATGCAGGTCCTCCAAGACCATGCGGGGATGATCCGGCCCTTTTACACATCGCCACGTTACATATCTACCCGGTCGATCCGCTCGCATCATGTGCGTGCGCGCGTACTTAGTGATCTGTGGTGTTCAAGTGATCTATCCGCAAAGTTTTGCTTGAGCAAGCGACCTTGCTGTGTCTGACCATCGCAGTGCCAGGAAGTCCGTTCAAATTAGCATCACGGAATTCGGCAAGCGTTGTTGCTGTGCATTTCAGGCCAGAGCCATGACATCCACAGTGGCCGACAACAAAGTAAAGAAGGTCATTCCATGTATCAACGTGTAGGGTTTACATTGCCTAGGTCAGTACCTTACAGAAGTGTTGGATCACAGTGGTCGACACAAAAAGTGGGCATGTAGCCGCGTACCTTGTCCTGTGTCAACTCACCCCATTATACCTTTGTAAACTTACAACGTAATACGTCAGCGTGGACGTTCACAGTAGGATTTGAAAAACTCCGATTTTTATTGTCGGTCACTGTGGATGTTGTCGCGTGTTCGAATGTGAAGATCTGAAAGTGTTTGCTTGGGCCTAGGGTCCGTGGGACCAACCCCGCACAAAGCCCATAGGGTCCATCCTTGGTGATGATGCAATGGCTCCACAATGCTGTAAATCGAATGCTCGACGGCGACGACAGGACCGTATCGTGAATTTCATGCAAAAACCCATACCTACGACCAAGAACTGCAGGAAAACATTGTGTCGAGAGATAAGCAAAGCATAATGGCTCCATCAGGTCTTGCGATTTTAATTGGTGCCGGTCCAAACACGGTAAGCCAATTATGAGAGTCGACCTCACGCGGCTGACTTGATCTTTAGGGAACTGGTATTGCACGTATTCTCTCCCATCCGTCTCATGGAAACTTGGCTGTCGCTCTTCTTGCTCGCCGTCCTGAGTCGCTAAACGAGGTCGTCAGCACAGTACACAAAACAAGCCCCAATGCCGTCCTGGAGACCTTCGCTACCGACACGTCAAAAGCATCTCTTGAAAATACTTTCAAGGAAATTCAGAAACACCAGAGTTCCAAGAATCTCAAATTGAACCTGGCGATCTATAGCATCAAGCATTCTTCCAAGAAGCCGTTCTTGGAAGAAACGCGCGAAGAATTCGAAGATTCTCTGGAGACATATGTTGGTGGTGCCTTTACATTCGCGCAAGAGTCTCTAAAGCGTTTCTTCGCGGATCATGGGGAGAAGGACCTGGCGGAGGGAGGCGAGAAAAAAGGCGTAAGTAATTGCCCTGTCAACTGGTATTAATCATTTAACCATATCTTACAGACACTTATCTTCACTGGAACACTCGGCGCGCTTCGTTGCAGCGCGCAATTTGCTGCATACGGAGCTAGCCGCGCATCAGTACGCCAGCTTGCGCAGACACTTGCGCGCGAGATGAGCGAGAAAGGTGTGCACGTTGTACACACTATTGCCAATGGCGGCATTGCGGATGCGGACGGAGAGGATCAGAAAACGGGAAAGAAAATGAGCTCAAATGCTGTTGGCGAGACGTACTTGTGGCTACATAAACAGAAGCCTTGCCTTTGGACGCACGAGCTCGGTAAGTGACCAGTCGCCACATACGACACTACTGACAATTACCTAGACATGCGGCCTGCTTGCGAGAAGTTTTAATTAATATATTAGTAGCCAGGCTCCAACCATTCAATCCAACCTTTGCTCCCATCAGACGTTCCAACGTAGATATAAATGAAAGCGTCTCCATTCTGCTCATCTTCCATATCTTACAACAACACGCATATCCGAGCTCTGAGTGACTGGCTAGTGATCTGTTCGCCAGCTAATGCATCTCGTGTATGGCCACACTGCCACCAATCTCAACAGCTCGCAGTGGAACTGTATCTTGTTTCAGCTCATACACTTCTGACGAAGCAGTGTATCCCGAATGCGTTGAATGGGTTTCTTGCGCCTCGAATTTTATACCATGGTTCTCGGTTTTCTTATCGTAGTCGGTGGTCACAGGTTTCTCGAGTAGCTGCTGCTTTCTCCTCTGGAAGATAAGAAGCGCTGCGATGGCTACTACGATGAGTACAATCGGTACAGTGACTCCTGCAGCAATAGCCGCGGTATTGGTATTTTTCGGGGCTGGCGTGTCTTTTGCGGGCTCCTTCGTTGATGATGCTGATGAAGACGTTGGCGACGCTGATGCACTTATCATATGCGGGGTTGATGCAGGAGAGGCAGAAGCACTGTTTGACTCTGTCAATGTGCTTGATTCCGTTGACGAAGTAGTCGATACTGATGACGAAGTGGGCAATGCTGAAGAGGACGTGGAAGACGTTGCTGCCCCAGGATAGTCAATATCCGGCGTGTTGAAAGGTACAAGAGGGAGGCTAACCTGGGGTGAGTGAATCGCCAAGATGACAATAACTGTCGAACAATTCCACCGCAGAAGTTTTCTGGGTATCCGGATTATCGCTCTTGCAAGCTTTCTCCACTTTCGAGCCGATGAGATTGCTGAAGTATGAGGACGACGTGTGGCAGAAACAGTTGTATGATGTTGTCTGTGAACCATCTCCACATCCATTTTCCATGTTCCGTACGATTGTCGATACTTGAGGCTCGGCGCAGTCAGCCATCGACGAATATTCGGGTAGCTGATTGATGAATAGCCTGATTTGTCCAGACGCAACCGTCATGTTTGCGAGCACCAGGAGAATCAGTGGACTACGAATTCTAGAGGCCATTGTGAGATGAGTGCGTTGCTGAACTTGCGTGAAAGTGAGTGACTGGAAAGGGCGTGAGAAGTAGAGAAGAATTTGGCGCCTAAAAGAATGTGTAGCCACACGAGGGGAGTGAAGACTCTTGCTTTGCGTTCATTAAAAGCAGATTAACCGCAGAGCCGCACATCATATGTTTTAAGCTCGTATTCGAGCCGTGTCTACTCCTAATTGACACAGTAGCGCGGCCCCCAACAATATGGTCTCGCAAAAAGCAAATCTAGACGGTACAGAGAGCTGATCTGCCTGATCTCGCCACGGATAGCTGGATTGCATTTAACATGTCTCCTTCGGTAACTATCGCACTCTCGCACGTTGGGTACGGACACACTGATCTTTAGATGAGAGCAGTCAGGCTGTAAAGACGGCCAGGCTTCAACATGGTAAAAAGTCGAGCAAACGACCTGACGAGATTACTGATTTGATTCTTGGCAGAGGCATACATCCTGCAGCATGCGTATGTTCGTTCGAGTAACTGTTTCGGTACTGACCTTTGAGTGCATCCACGCTAAGATGACCTCGCTACGCATAAATGTGGGCTTCCTTCTGCTTATTAACTGCGCTAATCGCTTTTCCCTCACAGAAATGCGTGTACTCCCGAGTCAGGAGACGACCTTTCCGGCCACAACAAGACTCTCAAGCTCCATGCATCATGTACTAACCACAATTTTAAATCATTACCGTCGATGGAATCACGCAACGCTCACAGATAGTTATGAATTAACCGTTCTTTGCGCGCAATGATGTTGAAATTCATTATGCTAAGCAGCGCTCCGCAGAACGTGAAACAGTGGATTGCCATCGAGATGTGTCATGCGATAGACGTCCCCTGGTCGTGTACACAACGTCGAAGCTGAAGAAAGCGAAGGAGCGAATCAATGACTTCTTTTTCGGGGAGACCGATGGTAGGCACTTTGAATAAGATTCCAGGCTGTGCAACTTTACAGCCCTGAAGTACTGGATTGGTAATGTTAGGTACAAGCCATTGCTTCGGCAGCCATGAAGATATGCTCGGTTCCGCTAGAAAGCACTAAAATGTCGACTTGGACGATCAAGGCGGAGGAAAAGCTACCTACATGGGTCCTCAGGTACGGATACAAAGTCAGTGTGGGTTAAGGCAGGATCCTATCTGTGCCAGCTAAGCGACAAATCTATCATTCTGCAAGAGAAAATCATTTTCCTTATACCATCTCACGTTCCAGGGACTGGGTCCCGTCGTTTCGGTGTCTGGTGGTTGGTGTTCCTAAAAGATGGTTGCGAGAACCTGGGTTCGCTTACCTAATTAGCCTCGGTGCATAGTGGCTCCGCCCCGCTCTTGCTCTAAAAACTTCGCGAACGAACTTCTGCTTTCCACACCTCACAGGTGCCTGCACCGAAACGCGCGCACTCGCGCTTTCTTGTTCTACGTACGAGTGTCCAGCTACTGAGTAGCTGGAGTTGCGTAGACACCTCGCGCAGTAAGTTACCCTCATTCCTTCGGTCTCACAGCAGAAGATTACACTTCACAACAATCCAACTCCTATAGCTCCGTGATGGACTACACATACTCTAGAATTACAATGATGCACATCGCTCGACCGCATTGTCACCACCATTGGTTGAGAGACGCTGCTAACGCACCGAACAGGTTCACAAACATCGCTCTGCACGCGTAACCTGCAAGCTGTTCAATTTTATAAAAGGTATGATGACTCCATCTCTTCACAACCTCCACAGCACAGTGATGATACTGTGACACCGGAAAGGCATTCCTCGACCTGAATATACGATGTCGATTTTGTCAAAACTTAAGTTTCAGCCTTGTCTGATTGTGCTCATACCATTTCAACCAATTGTCGTGCGCGCCTCTTGGACCATGCTAACGTTGCAACGTATAGGTACAATACTCTCGTCCGCTACAACTACCCTCGCTTTCCTGATGAAACATCTCCGATGCAACGGGCGGACAGATTGCGCTCTTCGACCGGCACTCGTTTACAACAGGACGTACAAACCTGTGGGTGTTCGGGAGTGGGGTTGCTTGTTGATAACGCATCTTCTGATCGCCATAACATCACATACTTTCTCGACGTCCTATGTGGGTATGAAGCTAACTGTGGCTTCAGGTATGCCGAATTCCTTGTTTCGTGTGGTGCTCCATCTTTTCATGATGATACTTCGATATTCACACTGTGTGAGCGGTTTCTGCCGTTTTGATCTTACTAAAAAAAATCTGATTTAATGAGGTAAGTCGGAACTCAAAGTCTCAGCATCGGCGTCTACTAACTTGAAGCAGGCTGATCTCAGATGGAGACACTTTTACCTGTCCAAACAGGACCAACGCGTTACTTTGCAGTTCATAGCTGACCACAGTCTTACGCAGATCCCCATTCGCCCTACGTGATGTTAGACCGCTGAACTGCCCGGATGGTACGTAAATTCATCTCACATCTGCAACCCCTTTCACCTGATGAACAACCTTATTTCGCTGTGTTCTTACCGAGTACAACGTTGACGAAACAAACCAATCACCTTGGAGAGCTGATACCCAATCCAAATCCGTCCTTCTCGACTCTGTGCCAGGGCTCGCGCTAACGGACATCAGGTCTTTCAATACCACACGGGCGCCGACTGCAATGTCTCTATACCCACTAGCTTAGTATATGTAGTTCAATATCGAAATCAAGGTGCATATGTTCCAGATCTCCCCCCGGCGTACGCTTGCCAGCGTGTCACCGTCTCGTTTCCATGCCAGTACCCTTGCTCCCGTTTTGTTTGTTTACGCACTTACATCCACACCGACCCCACTTCTCTGAACTTTCCCCGTTGGCAGTCTGCTTCTCGACCCGTCTTTCCCGCACCGCTCTTTCTCCACGGCGCGAACTGCGACCGTCGGGGTTCGGTGGGTACGCGTTTCGGCCTGGGCCACTCCGCTCGCTTCGCAAGTGTTTTCCGCGTCAAAAGGCGGTCAGAAGGCCGCCACGTCTGTTCTGCCAGACGTGCTAGCGGTACTTTGCAGTGATGCCGTGCGTAACGGCCCCGGGTCTAATGCGTGTGCTGCGTTAGTGCGTGGGTGCGATTGCTTGCGTGCGAGACGTGTTTTGTTTGTGTGGGTCAGTTTTGGTGATAGGTAGCATGACATCTTGGAGGGAGAGGTAGGGACTGTGAAATGGACAACATGCAATCGAGAGGGATGTCAATCGTGAGAGTGCCGAGAAGAATAGGCCGCCCGGAGATGTATCGTAGTCGGGACCAGCGCCAGACCACGGGTAGAATGGGCTAACTTGATGTGGATAAACGACGGTGAGGGAATAGTAGGGACGCCTTTGGGTTCCCGGGCAATCTGCAGGTGGAATCTACTCAATGGTTGGCACTAACCAGTGAGCTCTTTTGAATATAGATGATATTGCTTAAGTAGCGTGTAAGAAATATCGATCCTGCGATCACGTAGTATATAATAATCAGGGTACGTGTATAACCTTGGGTATTGTGAATATCGTAAGACAACCGATAAGAGACGCTGACTGGATCGGAAGAACTCGTAGAGACGGCGAGCGTGGTTGCCGTAATGACAGGAAGACTAATAGGGACATCGACGATAAGGAGGACGGAAGCGTAGTAGAGAAAGGTGATAGATCTCTTGGTTCCACCGCAATGTGCAGTCACGCCCAAGCGACGGACGCAACCACCGATCTACGCAGCGTGGATCAAGAACTCATGCAAGGAGAAGACTAAAAGTCAGTATCCAAGTACGAGCGATACCGAAGTAAATGTGCAGTAAATCTCAAATTACTAGCAAGATTGAAGATAATGCAACCCTGTCAACTTACTATTGGTGTGAATGAACGCTGAAAAACAATTGAAAGGTCGACTTTGCTACGGCCATTGTGTAGAGCGTTCTCTCCGCTCTGGAGGTCTTTGAGGTGTTGTAGATGGGCCATGGCTGCAACAAGATTCGATGAGTCACGTTTGGAGGCAGCGTCGTTCTACAGCGCGGCCGTGAGACCGTGGCGTGTTTATGACGCAAAGAGAACTATGACTACCCCTTGGTGATGTCGGTGAAGTCGGTGAATAGTCGTACTGCAGTGGCTCGGTAACGCGGACGATACATTGTAGTACGAGTGCCTCCTCGCGGAGTGTGTATCGCAAACGCTTAACGTTGTAGGTGAAAGCATTGAGGCCTATCGACAGCAGTACTGGCGTTTACCCGCGCTTGTTGGCTTGCCGGATGCGCGAAGATCGCGCTGGTGTACGACTAACTCTTGTGAAGCTGATCCTTGCAGTATCCCGGCTCTGTTCGTCGGTGTTGGCTACCGGTGCATAGCGGGACTTCAGGTTGCTTGCGCTACGTGAGGCAAGACGACCCCGATCGATCTCTGGAAAGAGGATGTGGAAGTGGTCCGTCCAGTGTTCCCCAACGATGGACAGCCCTTCTTCGAGCGTGAGTCGGTCTGTATACCATGAAGTGGAAGCTTCATTGGACGAACGACAAGCAATACTAATATCAGCTTCCTTTTTTGTCGTCTCCACACAGCACTGTACGAAGGACGCTTGCGATCATCTATCGTCCGCTCCCGATGCACCGTTTTGCGTGCGCTGCAAGTTGGTAGAGAGACTCGCGAAGCACCCAAACACTTTGAGCACCGATATGAAGACGCTGCGTCTCGAGTGTGCACGCGTATATGAGATGATCAGGGGAAGCTTTTGGAGAACCTGCTAAACGCTTGAAACCTTGCCCACAGCGGATGCCATAAAAATGCGAACGTAGGCGCGCAGCTCATCCTGTATTGACTCACTCTATTATCCAATTGTCAATTCATCATATGATAGGTTATCGTGGCTGCTCACGGTAGAGTGTATTTCTCAATTGAGTTTCGGCCATTGTAACTATCTCAGCCAGACCTCGGGCTGAGTATGAACTGGTATATTACCTACATTTATGTTGAGGACGACATGCTCTCAAAGGAACACTCAGAACATAGAGTTATTAATCTAATGCCCTTTCGGTTGCGCGATGATTCGCGCGGGAGCGAGACGAGGACGGACCTTGCGCTCACAAACCCACGTGTTCCAACGTCTAGCACCGACCCGAACATGATTCACCGAGATAACCTGCGTTCGGTCCTCATTTGCAACTCCGGGCTACCTTGGCGGTATCATCGTACCACCGCACTCTCCTTACCATGGGTAGTTGAGCTCATGATTTGCGCTTCCTATTATCAAATCAGCCTCACACATCAGCAATACATTCGTGCAGATATACCAGGCCTCTCGCCTTGTGAATAGGATGGCTTCCCCAAATATGGTGGCTCACGCCCACGTCAGATCGGGATTCGCAGCATCGTCTCCCACGTAAGCCGCCCCCAGTGAGACTACGATCGGGACGGTCCTTCGGGGGCGTGCTGGGGTAAAGTTCCTGCCGTGTATGGCTGACGTTTGCGCAGTGCTGGCGCTATCTGCAGATCTGGAATTTCGGGAGGTTTCATGTGGAAAAGGAAGGTATGGTGGACGCTCTGTTTGTCGGGCACGGTGGGTGCGCGTTCGCATGGGACAAACCGTCCGTGGTATGTCTCTGGGTGGTTTGGGCAAAGGATGCATGCTCAGACGCGGTTGTTGGCCCGGCGTGGAGGTTGTAGCCAACGCATGCACGTGGGGTGTACCGGAATATCACAGCGGTTGTACAGTCAGTACACAATGACTGCAAGAAAAGCAACGTGGGAGCTTGACCCACGATTGACAGGTCTTGCGAGATGGCATCGATAACAGCTACGTTCGCATGCTAGTGTCTGCGACGCTGTCCCACGCTGAGGGCGAGGACAAGAGTATTGGTGTCCAGTGGGCTTCAGTGACGGTGTCTTACATGCCACGCTCGGCGAATACAGTGGTCTCATTATGCAGATACGCTTAATTAGCGTGTGGTTTGGGAAGCTCAGCCGGCGACGTTATTATTGCTTTTCGTGCGTCGTTGTGGTTGCTTATTCTGGAAGGGCAGGCGCTGACCGCTGAAAGAGGCAACCGCGGAGATGTGACCACCATCGTCACAGCGTAGCACAAATGCTCCACTGTCGCTGTCCCTGATGCTCGTGCCCTGGGGTCGCGCCTTCGAGGAGTCGCCTTCCCCGAAGACCCGGGCACAGGTTCGAAGGATGTTGGTGCGCGACACGCCCAACAAGCGGGGTAGACTTGTGAAGGAGCGCCAAACAGGTTTGGTCTGTACACGAACACAGCTTGTGATGCTGTGCTGGCGAAGCAGGAGTCACTGGCACCGCGCTAGGGTGGATGGCTGGTGTATGCTAACGGTCTTACTGGTGGCTTGAGAGCCGGAACAGGAACGGAGCATGCGAGGGGGCGACGAAAAGGGAGCCGTTGACTGAGCATGGGGTGAGCTGGCATTGTTTACGAGGCTGGCCCGCAGGATTTACACCGTGTTCGCGGCCAATCTCGTGCCTGCAGCGTGAGCGCACACGCAATCGAGTCCAGGGCGTGAATGCAACGTCCGTTGCTGGGGAGCTCGAAAGCTTTGTTTGACATTGTTCGTTATTGTCAAGATTGATTGGGCGACAGCTTGTCATTACCGGCAGACCTACTGCCTGAATATGAATATAGTCGAGTGGTCCGGAGGTTACACATACGATCCCTAGCGGATGGCCTCAGCCAACGCTGAGCCAGAGTCATGAGGAAACTTGATGATACGTTCTGCAAGGCCAGTGTGGTCAGGCGAAACAGCCGTGACGTAGAATACGTGATATTTGCAAGTAGCACAATCACGTAGTGGGGGAATGTTTCGAAACCTTGCTAGAGCTGATGCAAGCTTGCCGAGCATGAGGGTGGGTAGGTAATATATTTTGATGGCGCCCGGGGATTGCGCAGACGGGAGAATGTTTCTAGAAGACATGGGAGTGGAATCGCACAGAGGTGCGGGCTCAGGCCCTGGCTGGTTGCTCGTCAAGCACAAGACACAATGACAAGCAGACTCGCACTGTCGGCGAGAAAACGGCCGCTGGGGTGTTGCGCTACGACGTTGGTAGGACACCAGGCATGCAGGAGGCATTGGAAACACATCGTCGCAGCGCCAGACCCCTCTCTCGTGCTTGCGACTGCCAGGTCGCCGGCTGCTGTCCAGTGCTGAACGCTGCAAAGAGGTCGCCGACACACTAGCTACTGAGCTTGTCGGTGCTGCTTGCGGTGGTTGCAGCTGTCCCGAGCTTGCACAATCGGCGCTGTCGTGCCGGGCCTGGTTCAGGCGATCCAGCAGACTATCGACGGCGGGCAATGTCGAGGTCGTGACGGACGCGTGAACAGGTCTAGGTCGAGCAATTGTCACGCTCGCGGGAGAGCCCCCAGAGGATCGTCGGTGAGATGACCGCATCGACGGCAGTCTGTCACTACGCACGACCGTCTGCTTTCCCGTGGCTCCCGGCGCTGCGCTACGGAGGGACGCCTCGAGAGCAAAACCACGACCGCGGAACCTTGTGGGCACCGTCGGCCAATGGCAGACGGGTGCCGAGGCACCACGCGAATAAGGCTGCATGTCGCTCAGGGACGGCGGCCAAAACAAGGATGGGAGGGGCCCAAGCAGCGGCGCGACGCAGCGATATGCGACGGGCGTGGGAAAAGGGGCAGAGGGGCCGACGCAGCAGAAACGTGTCGGGCAGGCTGGCGCATCCACCATGTCATGTTGCTCGCGCTGTCAGTGCGAAGCCGCCCGCGTCGCAGACAGGCACGCGATGCGGTCCAGGGCGCGAACGACGCGCGCCGTCCCATCCGTGTCCGTCGCGCTCGACCAGCGCGCCGTCCTCTGTCCACGCCGGGTCAGCCTTGGGCGCAGCGTGCGAGGGGATAAAAATGGCCGCTCCGCAGCATCACCGCATGCACAGATACATGGACGGCGGGCATAAGCGTCACGTGGGTGCACAACCCGCAGCGGCGCGCGACGGGAAAGGAGCGTCAATAAATGCAAAAAGGGGGCGGGGAGGGCCAATGGGCCGCGGGCGCGGGTGCGTTTGGCCGCATTTCGCGAGCACGTCGCCGGCGGTTGGTGGGCGCAGGAGCGCCGTGGTGCGTCTGCTGCACACGAAGCATGGGCTGCGCTACGAGCAGCCTAGGGTGCTAAGGGTGCCGTGGCTCGAGGCAGGCGGATCCAGCCGATTGAGCCTTCCTGGCCTTCCTGGCTCCCCGGCGGTAGTGCCAGTAGTTGGGCAGGTCAACACCTCGCCTGTCGCGAAGCTTCAGCCCCCCGTCGCCGTAATCTCGCGCCCCCAAGCAGAGCCTGCGCCGGCCTCACTCCGCGCTGCCACCCGCTGCCTCGCACGCCCTCAAAACCCACGGCGTCGCCATGGCCCTCTCGCGTCTGCTGTAACGCGCCTGCCTCCCGTCCAACGCTCGCTACGCTAGCATTCACCGCTCTCTTGACGTGCTGTCCCGTTCCGCGTCCTGCAGCGCGTCTGGCCGCGGCAACCTGATTCTACCGGCCTGCGACCGTGCCAACACACCAACGCCGCGACCGCCAGCTGCTCTCCTCAGCAACGGCCATCCTCTGGCCTCGTCGCAGCTTTACCCTTTCCAGCCTCGCCATCTCCATTGTTACCGACTGGCCACGCCGCTCCCTTTCCCCTCTAATCTGCCAACGGCCCTGGCCTTACCCGAAATTGCCATAACCGATTCATGCTCAAGCCCACAGTCCCGCCGCTTGCTTGACCTCAGGAAACCCTCCGTCAATCACAGAGCCTGCCACCCGCAAGGCCCTCTCCTGTCAACACGCTGCTGTTGCTGTGCGCCCACGCGCTATTTGCCCATCAGTCTCGTCGCCGACCTAGTTCGACCGCCACACCCAGCCTGCCTTCTCAGTGATCGACTGGAGCGCGTTGCCTGCCCGACGACCTCCTTTTGAGCTGTGTTCCACTTGCCTCCCTCCCCGGACGCACGTCCTCTTTCACCTATCCTGATTCACAAGCCACTCGAGCTATGGTCAACAAGTAATTCCTCTGTCGCCCGCTAGAACGATCCTATCCCGTGGAACTCTACCCGCCTACCGTGTTCCTGGACCGTCCACCGCACGCCCTTTTCCAACCGTCGTCCCTCATTTCTTCGACTTTGTCACACCTGCGTCAACCTGGACCCTTACTTCTCCTCCTATCGAACCTGGACTTGTCGATAAGCACTGCAGGCCCCTCAGCTGGACTCGACTCCCCGCCGTGTACCACCTGTTCATCATCGACCTCCGGCCCCTACCAATCAGACACCAACCTGACATGAACACGAGTGCGCTGTAAACACTGACATCAGCCGCAAAAGAGCGCTACTAGCGGTATGTACATGTCCACGCGTGATACAAGTGTAGCTGATCGATGTAGTTCTTAAACATCATCCGATATGTACCCCGACACACAAACCCAACCGCAAGGTTGGGCGTCGTTGGAGGAGAGGTATGAGGTGATGAAGGAGATTGGCGATGGTAGCTTCGGCAGCGTCGCTCTTGCCCGCGTACGAACAGCGGGCGCACACATCGCTCGTCGTGGCACACTTGTACGTATTACGGCTGTGGTAGCATCGATCCGTGCCTAACACCCCACAGGTCGCCATCAAGACAATGAAGAAGACGTTTGACTCGTTTCAAGCATGCCTAGAGCTCCGGGAGGTCATCTTCCTGCGGTCACTTCCTCCGCACCCACATCTCGTTCCGGCATTGGACATTTTCCTGGATCCTTACAGCAGGCGACTTCACATTGCCATGGAATTCATGGACGGCAATTTGTACCAGCTGATGAAAGCGCGTGACCACAAGCCAATGGACGCGCACAGTGTCAAGAGCATCCTGTTCCAGATCCTTTCGGGCTTGGAGCATATCCACCAGCGCGAATTCTTCCATCGCGACATCAAGCCCGAGAACATCCTTGTGTCGACCTCACAACAGAATGACACGTCGCATCCATTCCGGAGGTACTCCGCGCTCATGACGCCTCCATCCACTCCTCCGGTATATACGATTAAGATCGCCGACTTTGGCCTTGCCCGAGAAACGCATTCAAAGCTGCCTTACACAACCTATGTCTCGACTCGATGGTATCGCGCACCCGAAGTCCTGCTCCGCGCAGGTTCCTACTCGGCACCAGTCGACATCTGGGCAGTTGGTGCCATGGCTGTCGAAATCGCTACTTTGAAGCCTTTGTTCCCTGGCGGCAACGAGGTCGACCAAGTGTGGCGAGTTTGCGAAATCATGGGTAGCCCCGGGAGCTGGGTTAACAAGCATGGCCAACGTGTTGGCGGTGGTGAATGGAAGGACGGTGTACGACTGGCCCAGAAGCTTGGCTTCTCTTTCCCCAAGATGGCACCACATTCGCTCGACACGATCCTGCAAGCGCCCCAATGGCCCGCCAGTTTGGCCCAGTTTGTCACGGCGTGTCTAATGTGGGATCCACGTGGCAGGCCGACATCCACCCAGGCCCTGGGTCACGAGTACTTCCAGGACGCTTTCGATCCTCTCCGGCTCAAGTCCTCTTCCTCGCGCTTGTTGGGACGCAAGCAATCGGACATCTCTGCAAAAGATTCGCCCGATGCGTCGCCTAGTCTGACATCCAAGACGTCCTCATGGCTACGACGATCACTTGTGGCACGAGAGAGTGCACCGGCCGTACCACAACACACCTCAGCGCAGACAGGATCGCCGCGGCCATCACCTGCGAACCCAAGTCCCGCAGAGACACCAGCCAAGCAGCGCCCTAACCCGACCAAGCGAGCTACATGGACGAACGGCGTTCCTGTTAATGGAGCGCCTATCCCAATACTACCATCTATTCGGCCAGTATCTCCTCTGTCGGCAGAAGTGACTGCTCAAGCAAGCGTACGTGCTGCAGAGGGCGACGAGAAGGCTGCAAAGAAGATTGGCCGCCAGCTTTCCGTTGCCTCGCATGGAAATCACTATGCAGACATCCACCGCCAAGAAGCCGAGAGAGCTCTGAACGGCCAATCTGGCCTTGTATCGCCTTTGAACGGACAGAAAGAGGGATTCTTCTCTCATCTCAGGAAGCGAGCTCGCCGTCTTTCAGGTCGGTATCAAACCCCAATGTCACCCAACTCGGATGATATCGAAGCCAATGCGGGTTGCGCACCCTGGGCATCTGGTAGCAACCGGCAGTCAGGGATGATGATTGACCCGCCACTTGCCCCAACGCCCAACTCGGATCTTTCCGATCTCGACAAGGCCTTGCAAAATGTAAGGCGTAGCCTTGAAGCCGCACCTCAGCCTACCAACGTGACGAAGGGTGCACGCGTTGCCGCCAACCCGATGCTCAAGCGGCATCATTCATTGAATCACGGTCCAGACAACCGTACCGCGCAGCCAGGTGCTCCTCAGCCAGGTGCTCCGATCTCGAGCAGGACCAGACGCGCTCTCCAGACCAAGTCTAACCCTTCAAACAATTATGAAACACCCAATGAAGAGGAAGAGCTCTTGAGCGAAGTGCTTGCCTCTACCCACAAGGCGGTGAAAAAGCTTGATCGACACTCCCTAGCTGCCCAGGAACAACAGAGGAAGGCTCAACGACCAGCATACGTAGATGGCAACCCGGCCGCCTCATATCTTACGCCTTCGCCATCCGCCAACCGCAACGGCGTAGGGTTCGGGCAATCACCCTATATGACTCCCACCAAGCCACTCGAGATCTCAAAGACCCGCGGTCCCAAAGACCAAGGGCCTTCAGCGAAGTACGCTACGCCACCCGACGATCCCAACGACTGGGCATCAAGCGTGGCAGCCAGTCTTTTGGCCACCCAGTCTATGTACAGGTGAACGCCAAGTCTCTTTTCTATCTTGACATATCTGGATCTACATTCTCTACGCCTTTTTCAGCCCTATACATAGTGTAATTCGGTCTCTGCGGCTTTCATATACTAGCGTCTATCGTCGGATACATCTCTGGGCTCGCGCCGCACTAGACATTCACGGTTGACGACCACAACCCGTCAGGAACGGTGCACGAGCGAAAAGATGTTAGACGCACGCAAGTCACATCTGGAAAAGTGGGACAACCCCGCATCTTTGGTTTTGGTGTTTTTGGCGCACTGCATCATGTTCATCCGCTCGTTTTCTACTCATCATTTGGCCTCATCGCACTTCAGCCAACATTTTCTTCTCTCGCTCACTTTTGAATTTCCACGGGCACAGCATCTAAGCTATATTTTCAACAGGGATCTTTCTTGCAGGAGTGGGAACTATCGTGGTCATGTTTTTGTCTGTTCGCGCGCGTACGGGCCCTCGCCGCATGATCACCCAATTTCCTTTTCAGTTTCATTCGAGGGGCAACCGTTTTGTAAGAGATACCTCGCTAGACCGCGCGTTTGTTTCTTGGATCATTTCCTTCGATTGGCGAATACCCCCCAAATTTGGCATATTGCATTTGCGCATACCATCACATACCACACTACATCATATTACTCGACTTGGATTGAGCGGTTTGAGCGATTCACAAGTTGGATTATTGGCGACGAGGGAAAGAGGCATGCAGCCAAAACAATTGTAGCTAGCCAACATTTCTCCTTGCTTCTTCCCACCAGACAGACTGCGCACCACAGTTCTCTATTTCCTTTGTGATACCTTATACCTACTCTCCTGTTTCTTTTGTTCGCGCTCTTGCGCTGTAGACTGGCCGGATCGGATCGGATCGGCTCTGGGATTCCCTTGCCCCCAGATTGTACCTTGTAACCTTATAATACGCACTGCTTGCTGCCCAGGATTGGCATGCCACACACTTGTACACTTCGCCGCTTTGCTTTCCGTGGCAGGACGCCTCGGGCGCTGATCGGCAGGGTCGCGCGAGCTACTCGCCCTGTCTTGCTGTCTTGTCGACGTTCTTTTATTCAGGGTTTGGTGGACATTGGAGGACTGATACCCATGGGGAGGGCGTGTATAATGGGTGGGCGGACAGTTTATAATATAGTACGTAGCAGATTCTCTAGCTGGCCTGGGCCGGAGGATGGTTCCCTATGTCGGAGCGTAATTGAAGTGATTCAGCGGAGAAATGTACTGTGCTCGACATGTCACCTGTGAATACAAGATGGGATTTTCCACCACCATGCCGGTCACGTACTCGTGATTAGAGTCATCCCAGCGCACTGCACTCGCCTTCCCTTGCTTCCAAGACTCCCCGCGCAGACACGCGTCCGCCGCCACCGCACGGGTGCGCGCCTCGCACACGGTCGCACCGCGGATCCGATGTGCGTCGTCACGGTTGTGCGCCCACGCACCCGCGGGGTCGCTGCGGTATGTACGTGCGATGTGCGGTGCTCTAGGCGCAAGGGTACCGGCGTTTTGCGTCTGCCAGGCGCGCGCTGGATGCGAGGGAGCGGCCCGCTGCGTGTGTGTGGCGGCTGCGTGCGTGCTTAGTGTACCACGTTTGCGCAGGGTCTGGGCTGTGGGGTTGTACGTTGGCGCCGGGGCATGTGATCTGGCGCTTGTTCTGGATCTCGGCAGTCGTGCAGACTCCATGAAAGAATTCAGACTTCGTCGGCTTTGAGGAGAGGTTGAATTTCTTTGAGCCCGTTATCGCGTTTCTGGATTCGGGCCCTCGTCGGACATTCCAGCTACAAGCATACACGCGCGTGCGGAGGCGCACTGGCATATAGTATTCACCGTCATGTCATCTACAGGACTTCCAGATATAGAAGCGAATGGCTTCCTATGTTTTCCAAGGCGTCCAAGGGACAAGAAGATCGAGATGAGTACTGAGTTAATCTTCACTGCACGTGTGCTGTCCTCCGTACGTACGACTCCCAGGGATGGATGGAAAATTGCGTTATGTGACATGAAAGATTCTTTCTGCGTGCCTGTCGAAACCGTAATCTACGTCAGCTGCATCCGTGCACAGAAAAAAAAAGAGACTCCTTACACAGGCTCTCAAAGCTGCGATGAATATGATTTTGTATCCTACTTTGACAGTACCTTTGCTTGCGACAGTATCAGATGTTCTTACTTCCGGTGGTAAAGCTTCCATGTTGACCTGCAAGCTTTGTATAACCCCAAACGCCACGTGTGTTGTGAATGTGCCGGAAATGCGGTTCGACTGTTTGAAGAGTACTGTATTTGACGTGCACATTGATAGACTGAGTCTACAAGTTCGCGGAAGCCAATCTTATGATTAGTATACGTATGCTCACGAACGACGATGTCGTGTCGCATGCTTTTTAGTACAGCCTCCAGCTCAGATAAAGTTCTGAAATTGCTAGCAGCGCTTTTCAAGACAGGTTTGGCTGATTTGCGCATTCGTCCACGCTGAGGCCAAAGTGACGTACATTTTCAAACGTCCGACGAAAGACATGTACCCCCTTCGTAAAGGTACGGCGCAACATTTGCAGCGCCAACGGTGGGCGTGTAAGACCTCGCATAAGATAGCCATCTGGGTGTCGGTTCATCTCAGAAAGCGCACATGCCAGCTTTTGTGCGTCGTCTCGCCTTATGTAGATGTCGTCTCGTCGGGCTAAATCCAGAAAAGCCCATATTTGCGGAAAAGTAGGGGCATGTTGCGACCTGCTCGAGTTCTTAAGGGTGGCAGTGTCCATACGCACTAAGCTTCATGTGTAGAAGCTCTTGCTCGATAAATTGATTACAAGGGAGTTGGTACGCTCGTCAATTGTGCCTGCTTCCAGTTCTCACAGCCTGAGACGGCGAGTCTCAAAGTGAACACTAGTTGGACACGTGGACCATGCACTCTGCCTGGCTCACTATCCTCCGAGGTGGGCACAGGAACGTGACTCTCTATTTGAGGCGGGAGAATGGGCTCATAAGAGCCTTCAATCTTTATCGTGAATAGTTTTATCTGGGGCTAGCGTGAGTGATGGCGCTTTCACCATTCGCATCTTCGTCTTGCAGACTTGAGGTGTTCACATAGAGCTCAATCCCAAGAGATAAGTAGCCATCGACCAGGAGCATTAGATCTGTAGGACCTAGTGTATCGGTCTGGATGGCGAGAGACTCGTCCAGAGGTCTGCTCGTTTCTATCAAGAATCTTACACATTCGATATGATCGACCGTATCGGTAGGGCTTTATACGGCGTGAAATTGGTGTGTACCAGAAAGGCTACAAAGTTCGGATTCTGCGTCGCCAACAGGCGAAGCTAGACGTCAGTATCCGAATCGATCACCGAAATAATTATTGCTGAAACGATGATAGCGGACCATTCTGTGTGGCAGCATTGTCATTGAAGCTAAAACCCTTTTCATCGTACGCCGGCTGATTCGTCCAACGGTGGCGGATATGAAAAACCAATGAGAGTCCGTAGATTGTCCATGAATGGGTACAGACGACCAATTAGAAGGTGCTATGATGAGAGTCGTCGGTTGCTCCAAGGCTGGCATACACGAGTTGATGCATACCATGTAATTTGGCGGTTTTCTCCCTGTGACGTCCTCCAAAGCGCTTCCCAGATCATCATTTCGAAGGAAAGATCCCAGAAAAGCTCATTTGGCACATGCATTTTTCATTGCCGCTCATCGTGCGAAGCTGTTGATCGAAGTACAAGTTCGTATCTCATTGGCCGCTCTCTATTCTATCTCTAGCTAGACGCCCGAAAATGCTCAATTCGTATGCAACGCTCTTCTACATCTTCTCGGTAACCATATTCGTTGTGAAATGGCTTACCACCCGCCGCCGATGCTACTCGCGAGACCGGCGACCCTCTCTACGTCGTTCACCTTCTTCCCAACGTCGCTTTCCACTTTCCGGTATGACGTGTAAACCAAGTTTTGTGTATCGACGCCAGTAATGGTGGACCAGTGGCTTAGGATACCTTGGATGTATTTCTTCGAGATGCCGTTGACAACATCTCCGTCCTTAAGACCGTTTGCCCGCACGGTATCGACGTCCTGCATCTCCTGATCGCCGTCGAGATCTGCTTCCTCTTCAGAGCTAGAGAAGTAGGCTTCGTCTACCCGCCCTTGCCACTCTTTTTGCTCCTTGGGGCCCGGTCTGGAAGAAACCACGTCTCCGTTGACAGCCTGAACGCCCTCGTAGGCGCGCACTTCTTCCACCTCGCTGACCTTGACCTGGCCACCGCCGTTTGTGCATCCCCCAGGACACGCCATGACCTCGACGTATGCGTAGTCTTTTACTGTTTCTACTGCCGCACCGTTCGGTCTCCGGCTTCCGCCAACTCTTGCGCCTGGCATTTTGCTGATCTTCGCGGGTTTCAGTCTCCGCACGAGATTTTGTATGTTGCGGAAGCCGTAGTACCGGGCCATCTTGACGATGGTATCCGATCCACGCACGAGCGTGTAGTCGATTACGTCTGTATTTCTCCCCTGTTTCACAACAATCTCCGAGCCGGGGTTCTGCGCTTGATATGTATGCAGTATGTGGTGGAGATAGCCGCCCGAGGGCCCGGCATCTGGGTTCTGGTTCTTTCTGTGCGAAGATGGGAAGAGGAAGGCATCGAGTTTCGGGTCAGGGAAGGGTGTCCGCTGTGACGGGGCTAAAGGTGTCCGGGGGAGGCTTGCGAAATTGATATTGCGGGCGGCAGCTAGGTGTAGCAATTCGCGGGCTGTGATGACGCAGTCGGTGTCTCGTACGGGGTCCTGCGAAGAGTCATGGCCAGGAAGCCACACGGAGGAGGTCAATTCGCTCCTGCTGGCCTCGAGCTTCTTGTCGAAGCACGGCATAACAGCGAGATGCCATATTTGAGAGGGCGGAACGTTGTATCGCTGGCTCAGCACCGACTTGAGCAGCGTCCCGGTCAAAGCCTGCGGAGACTTCATGCGCGAGAGGTGTGGGAGGACGTAGGGATGTGTCTTTTCGGCGTAGCATATCCAGCCGGGGCACGCCGATGTGAGTATGGGCTTCTTCGGGGTGGTATCTATCGCTCCTTCGGAGCCAGGCTCTGACGGCGCATCCGATGCCCTTGACGAAAGGGCCATGGCAACCTCGTCGGCGGCCGCGACAAGACAGGCTTCCCGCACGACGTTGGTATCGATGACCCATGTGAAGTCGCTGCCGTTGTGTCCACCAGCTTGCAGCCCAGACGGACCGCTGAGAAGTTGTGCAATCATATTCCCAACTTCGACCTCTGTCACAGAGAATACGGCGGCCAGACTTGCGCGAGTCTGCGGGGATACGCTGGCTACGAACAGCTTGCCCTCATGATGATGGCCATCCAGGCCATCTATTGTCCCACTGGTTGTGCCATTTTGTGCTTCCCACGGCGCGCGTAACGACCGGTAGGTATCAAGCGTGGCAAGGACTTCGTTATGCGACTGGAGCGACACCAGCATGGCCTCGGCGCTGGTCACGCATCCCGAACATGCCAGGCAGTCGGTAAGCGATAGGGTGGCCGGCGGCGGCGGTTGCGAGGCTGCGACCTTGTCTTCGGTGGTGACTTCGTATGCATGCTACCATTTGTCAGTATGGGCCGATGACGGCATGCGCACGCGAACGAGAGTCGTACAGCGTCGTCCTCAGGTTTTGCCGCAGGCAGGGTTTCTATGGGTTTTATGCATGCGACGCCCGGCGATATGAAGTCGTTCAGGTCGTCTGCGGAGAGAATGGCGCTCATGGTGGGCTGCCGTCGGACGTTGCAGTGGCGGGGAACGCGTGAGTCGAGGAAGAAGTTGCGACCGGCGCAAACACGTCGACGAGAGCGCTACGGCACCGCAGTACGCGCGAGAGACTGTGTGGGAGTGGGGATATGGGTAAGGACAGAGACAGACAGTCGCAGCAGTGGTATGCAAGCAGCGGAGAAGCAGCGCATCAATCTTCTTTTTCCTCTGCCAGCGCCTCCGGTCCATCTCCGCTGTGCTATCGATAAGCCCTTCATCAGCGCCGAAAGATGACCAATCGCTGAGCCTGCATTTCCGATGCCGCCGCCACCCGAGCACGTGCTGCTACAAGTGCGTGCTCGCCGGACCTCGCTCCGACATGTTGGCCTCAGGCAGCATCCGGGGTAATTAATCTGCAATATATCGCGTGCAGCATTGAGCATCAACTTGCGGCTCCATTTAGCCAATATTCTGGGGTGCTTGGGAACACCATGGCCTCACCTCCATCTTCCGTCACCAGACACTCGCTCGACCGAGACCTGATGCGGCTGCTCACTCGCGCAAGAGCATCATGCGGCGCATCTCCATCGATACCTTTGGGATGAAGGGCGCGAAAGATAGTGCAGCCTTCTACCCGAAGAGAAGGAGGAGCCCGTGGTATCTGTCTCGTCCGAGGCTTCTCACGACACTTTTATGCTTTTTAGTCTTATACACATGGCTGAACTTTGGCGGGCATGAGATTGTGATACCGAGGGATTCGTGGGACTTCGTAAGAGATGGTTCGGTGACGGATGTTATGAATGCCACGCTTGGAGTAGGTCAATGACTTGTGGTAGCACGTTCAGCTCCCACATGACACATATCATTGTCCCATTACTAACATCTCATCAAGTTCCAAAAGATCCTTGTGCTCAACCTTCCATTCAGAACGGATCGACGTGATGCAATGACGCTCTCTGCGGCATCCTCCAACATGCAACTTGAATTTGTGGATGGCGTCACCGGCGATAGTATCAAACAGAGCGCATATCCGCCTCCTCAAGAAAACATCAAGCTCCTTCCAGGCATTCGAGGAAGTTGGAGAACTCACATGAACGCACTTCAGAGGTACTTCGCCACGTCCCAAGTCTGGCCTACTCAGCTGACCTGTGCAAAGGGTCGTCGAGCAGAATCTCACCACCGCTCTGATCTTTGAAGACGATGTAGACTGGGACGTTCGGATCAGACAGAATCTGCAACGCTTCGCACTCGCGTCACGGTTCCTCTCGGGAAACAAGGAAGTTCTATCATCATCCCCACGATACAACATCGAGAACGTGGAGAATGTCGAGACAGAAGAAACCACCTTCCGCATTCTGAGTGACAACCACACCATGCCCCAGCTGCCATCCCTTCGCCTCGCCTCGTTGTACCGCAAATCGCATCACCCTCAGCACCACTCGAGCAGCCCATACGGCGACCCCTCGCAATGGGATGTCTTATGGATTGGTCACTGCGGCGCAGGCTTCCCTCGTTACTCCCCACTCCACAAGAAAACGGACGTCACGACCGCCAATGTGATCCTCACCAACCCAAACGATGAAACGGTTCCCGCGCCGCGCCACCTGAAAGCCCATCCCTTTCAGGGTAGTCTCGATCCCCTCGCCGACGCCTATCCCCCGCATACACGCATCTATCACCGATCCACCGGCGGCGAACTCTGCACCGTCGCCTATGCTGTTAGCCAGCGCGGCGCTCGGCGTCTGCTTCATCAATTCGGCGTCAAAGGCTGGAACGGCATTTTCGACTCTGAGCTCGGGCGGTGGTGCGCAGGCGAGGATCCGGATATGGGAGCGTCTTATGCGCCACCTTCACCCTCTTCGAAGGAAGAGATCAAGAAAGATAGACGAGAGAGGATCTGTTTGGCGAGCCAGCCGCCGATCTTTGCGCACCACCACCCGATGGACGGGGAGAGCGATATCGGCGGCTTGGGCGGCGGGTATGCAACGAAGTTCGAGACGAAGTATCTGCGCTACAGTGTGAGGATGAATCTGGAGAGGATCATCATGGGGCGGAAGGAGAAGGACTTGGTAGATCAGTGGCCGGACAAGGGCGCGCATGCTGTGAGGTGAGGGACACGCGTGAGAGCCAGGTGGTTGTTTTCTAGGCGTACGCGGGATAGTAGGTGTTACAGGAGCACCGTGTAGCTCACCTTTGCTGATGGTTTTGCTCTATGAGTGCTTCCCTCGGGGCCTAACGGTCAATGACACGTTGCTTGACTGAGGTGAGGGCAACCTCAAACATCATCCAACAACCCTTAGCCATCATCTATAGCATAGCTAGGCACCGACAGTCACGTTTCCAATCCGCCCAGCTGATCCTTCCCTTCACAACGAATCAGTGTCCGCCCTGACGCGCCCAAGCATCGGTATCTCTCACCCAAATCCATCTTTCACCAGGCAACCGCCTCTCACGTGCGGCTTTCACCTCGTCCATCCAATCACGCTTCTTAGAACACTTCCACACGCTTCCACGCCGCCTTCACCCGTTCCTTACCCCCAGGCAGCACCCCTCACGTGACGCCACTAGCGCGTGCCCGTGCATGCCCTTTTCCATGTATAAAAACCGCGCTCCCCTCGCCCTCTTTCCTGCTCCCCAGCTCTCTTTGCCATATGGCTTAGATCAAGTGTAGTATCTGTTCTTTCTAGTTTAACCGCTAGAATGCCTCTACGGAGGTATCCTCTATGGTTATCCTTATTTTTGGCTTTGGGCTCCCGACTCACTGCGCTTGCGCATAGTCGGGGGCCACAGTGACGCTTCTATCTGCACCACTTGAGGCTGTCGCAAACGTTGAGTTGGGTTTTTCATTGGGTTGCTGGCGGTGCTGGCGCTTGAGGAAGACTGTTGGTGTTGAGGTTGGTTGGGGCTGAGAGGCAGGAGTGTCTTGACGTTGCTGCTTGTATGGGAAGGAGCTTTGGAAATGCGATGGGGATAGACAAGCTAACGTCTCTCCCGTGGATCAGGAAAACCCACCGTGTGGAACATTAAGTGAGGTACAGTAACCTCCCTCCCTACGGTTGGAATATCCCACCGCGCAGAACCATGCAAATCTTTAAGTAACACCACTTTGCAACCCGCTATCTGATGGGGTTCGAAATTGTCTTTGAATATGCTTCAGCTGTAGCGCAATCCACCGCCATGGTCAGATAGAAAAATTATAGCAGTCTTGGTTAAACTTTCAGTTAATCTGTCTGCAGTGCTGGTAGCTGCGACGACAACGCACCCCCGTACTTCTATCAAAATCCACGACTACACTATATCGGAAGCCTGAGGATACATATTGGTGTGTCAAGAAAGCACCACTAAATCGTGAATATGTGTAGTATCCTACAACGTCTACTCTGGGTTTATCCGTAGAGGCATGTAGGCTCTCGCATTCAAGCATGAATTCTCGCTTACTAAGAAAGCGCGTTCTTTACACTAAGCGGCCTACATTGTACACCCACGCTATGCCAAAAGCGCGGGTGCTGTGGCTCATACATCTTAAAGCTTCTCCTCACGTGCACTGCACGTGCGGGCTATTCTTAGAAATCAAGGTAAGCAAGGCGAGGGTGAGGCTGTCGTTGGCCTCTTGCTTGAGCTAACCCTCCTCCCACAATTTCCGCCAATATGGACCCAGCCAGCCAAGCGCTGGCGCAAGTTCTACCTGCAGGTGTACCTAACACATTTGCTGCTTAATTAGAACACAGCAATGTCCCTATCTCTACGCTCGTCCATTGACGTAACGGACGGCGCTCGCGGGAGGAGTAGGCTTAGAGCCAGCAGTACCTTAGTTAATAGGAAGAGAAAGCTCTGGTGCAGTTCTTACTACTAATGTCGAACCTTGGTCAACCTGTGCGAATTAAGTTCATACGCTTCCTAGCTTTTAGTATAGCTCGTCAAAGGTCCACAACGAATCGACTGATTAAGCCCCTAGGCAAGAACTGGCCGCAAGCCTTCGTGGAGCGGCACCCTAAGCTATAGTCGAGAAAGGTTAAATTGATAGACTGGAAACGTCACGAGAACAACGTGTATGGCAAGATTGTCAAGTGGTTCGATATGATCGGACAGGTACTAGAAGCTCCCAATATCGTGCTAGAAAACGTCTATAACATGGATGAGACGGGCGTCATGCTAAGCATGCTTGGCTTAGTTAAGGTCCTAGTAGGTAAAGACGATTGGCGGAACTATAGAGGTATAGGTGTGAAGTGGACGATGGTTACTATAGTTGAGTGCGTAAGTGCTGATGGTAGGGCGCTACTACCGCTTATTATTTGGCCCTCTTCAACCCATCACAGCAATTAGACCACTTATAAAACCCCAGGATGGCATTATGCGCACTCTGAGAATGGATACAATGACTCTAAGATTAGCTTGGAGTGGCTCACTCGTGTGTTCGATCCTCAGACAAAAGCACGAGCTAACGGAAAGCCACGCGTACTAATATGCGATGGATTTAGAAGCCACGAAACGCTAGAGATTTTGGAATTTTGTCTCACTAACAACATCATCTTATATCGTTTGCCCTCTCACACATCCCACAAGTTATAGCCCTGCGATGTTGGGCCCTTCGCACCGTTGAAGACAGCATACCGTGATCAGGTTGAACGACTTAATCGTGGAGGCATAGATGTAGTTAGCAAAGAGCACTTCACTTCTCTATACAGTCCTGCTAGGGACAGGGCGCTGACGAAGAGGAACATTAGATCTGGGTGGGCTGCGACCGGCCTGTACCCTTTTAATCCAGACAGAGTGTTGAAAGATATCCCGAAACCTCTAGGTGAGATTGACGTTCCAGGAAATACCATCACGAGCACTAGTACCCAGGACGCCATGCTCCAAATGCCTATAACGCCGGTCACGCCGGTGACAGCAGAAGCACTCACATCGTTACACGACATAATTAAGCAAGACAGCAATATACCTGGCGAGACGAGGAGGCGTATACAGAAACTCGCAAATACTACCTAAATATCGTTCGCCGAGCGAACCCTCCTAAAAGACCATAACCGATTTCTCTTTAAAATCAATAACGAAGCCAAGGCTCGTCGATCAACTAGATCAGTCGTGTTAGGAAAGGCGAAGGTGATGAGCTTTGAGGATCTTGAAGAGGCGAGAACAAAGCGTGCTGCCAAGGAAGGAGCTGCCGCAAGGAAGGAGCGGCGAGGTCCTAAGCGTAAGGGTCGTCGGCTAGAGGTAGAAGGAGGTCTGTCAGTGTCTAAGGACAAAGTGGTGCAGGGAGACGAAGCGCTAGCGCCTAACGCTGCAACATCGTGGAGGGCCCTAGTGGCGCGGATGTATTGACGGAGGGACCAGAACATGATATCAATCAATGTGGAAGGAGCGCAGATGAGCTTGGGACAGCCTTGGGTGGGCTGAAGCTTGTCATTGAACAGCGTTCATGAGACGGAGCCGCTCGATGTCATAGCTGCAACAGAGAAGAGCCTTCCCTTATACTGGTGTGACTGCTGACGCTATTATTATGTTGCACTTGCTGTCATGTTGCTGTACTCATTGTCACCCCACCGCTACTGTACACCTCATCGTCTTCCGCGAAAACTATTAAGATGAGGCACGTATACTTGTGGCGCGCTAGATGCGCCGCAAAATTCATCTGTTATAATGGCCGTTATTATCGCGCTGTGTACTGATAACTAGGTCGCAAGTTTTGTGCGAGGGCGTTGCACAGATGCCTTCCTCACAAATGTCGTAGAAATTGTGGCTGGGGGCGAACCTTGCGATTACAATTAACTCACTTTAGTAATGTATCACATTTAAGAGCGAGCGCTGCCTCCCTGGTTGCGGTCGTTACGGCAGCTGGCACGACCCCTGGCAACAAGCTTGCTAAAAATAGCTATCATGTGACCAATTATCCACGTTGTGAGTGATCGGGAACGCGAGGTCATTGATTGATATCACGCAACTCTAGTACAGCTAAACGCTTCAGGGTGTTTTATATAGATAGGAGGGAAATCAGCGATTATAGCTATGCAAGCAGACAACCTGTCGTTAACACACGTGCTAGAGCAATTTACGAAAGACACAACGTAACGTCCCGCACTGCGTAGCGAGACGCACCATGTGGCGAGACACTCCCACTTTCGGACCTTCGCATTCCCACCCGAGCATTCATATAGCGATAAATTCAATGCTGCATTATTACTTGCCTGATCTGCTTTCGATAGACTATGTTTCGGTCCTATAGAAAGTGAAGTTCCTACAAGTTACAGCTTATCCTGCTTATGCAGGATCCACGGAGAAACTGTCGGAAGGCACTTGTTCTAGGGCCAGCAAGCCTTTGGAGCATCCTATCTTAGAATTTAGTGTGAGGACTCACTTTTAGTGCCACCGATCTTTCGTAATAAATGCATTGTCGCAAATGGACAGGGGTCCGTAGTAGGTCGCCCGAAGACGAGGAGGACGGAAAAGATCAACAGCATAGACAACATTGAGATCTAGCACGTCGGAAGTGGATGTATTCAGGGTATACTAGCTCTAGATTCGCTGTACATCGATAATATATGTGTGCAGGTTTCGAGTGAGAAGTGCGAAGATCCGGAAGAATAAGTGTCTCGCTACATGGTGTGTCTCGCTACGCAGTGCGGGACGTTAGAACTTGTCCAACAAGAGAAGTTGTTTTTGTGCCCTTTGATGCGAGATGGAAGAGGCCTCTGGTGCTGCGTGGTTGGACCTGATAGGCCATACGGTATCGATAAGATGCGGCGCAGCACAGCGGGCATCGCATGCAGCTGTTCAGCCTTGCAGCGGCAACTCCTCAGCCTGGGCGCTTGCGATATTACCACCTACATGATGCCGCCTGCTTCTCCATTAGCTGCCCCATACGCACCTGCATCGTCCGTCGATCTTTTCTGAGTATGGATCCGCTCAGCGTCGCGGCCAGCATCATCTCAGTTCTCCAGCTCTCGGGCAAGGTCCTTGGATATCTCAACGACGTCAAAGATGCTTCGGAAGATCGTGCAAAGTGCGCAGTTGAGGCCTCAAACGTATACAGTCTCCTTCTCAATCTGAGGTTCCGTCTTGAGGAGGGAAGTGCCGATGCACCGTGGTACACCGCTGTCCGAGCCCTAGGAGTCGAGAATGGACCGCTCGACCAGTTTAAGCAAGCGCTGGAAACACTCCAGATTCAGATGACAGGTGGAGGTCGAATACAACAGGCAGGTAGAGCGCTAGTATGGAAGTTCAAGAAGGAAGAAATCGCTGGCATATTGGTCCGAATCGAGCGTTTAAAAGCGCTCGTGGGGATCGCGTTACAGATGGACCATTTGTAAGGCTTCGCAGGAGCATCATCAAGTCATATCGCTTACCTTTCTAAGTAAATTGTCCAAAGCCATCAAATACGATACCAACGTCCTCCAAACACACGTGCCCGCAATACATTCTCGAGTAGATGAGATCCAGCAAGATCAAGTTAATGCAAAGCACAGCAAGATGGTGGGATGGATCTCGCCTACCAACTACCCCGCGCAACAATCGGACATTATACGTCGCAGACAGAAGGGAACGGGCCAGTGGTTTCTTAACGCACCCGAGTTCACAACGTGGCTCGGTGAGCCGAAGGGAACTCTCTTCTGCCCAGGCATTCCTGGCGCCGGCAAGACGATGGTGGCAGCGATCGCGATCGAACACCTCCTAAACTCTACACAGAGCAGCTCAGTCGGAGTTGCGTATGTGTATTGCAATTATAAAGCACAAGAAGGGCAGGATGCCTCCAGCATGCTGGCAGCCATCGTCAAGCAGCTGGTGCAGGGTCGACCGTCAATGGTGGAGCCTGTAGCTCGACTGTACGAGCAGCATGTCGATCAAGGCACGAAGCCGTCTATTGAGGAGATCTTTAGCGCCCTTCGAGAAGTAGTCCCAAAGTACTCTACTGTCTATGTTGTGATCGATGGTCTGGACGAGTGTCGAGACAGTGACGGCACTCGCAGTCAGCTTCTGGCCAGACTTAAAGACTTACAAGTGGGACAAGATGTTCGCATTATGGGCACTGCGCGGTTCATACCAGAGATTGAAGCTGAGTTTCAAACAGCGATGAAGCTAGAAATACAAGCTAGTGATGAGGACGTGAGGCGATATATAGCCGGCCAGACGCACCGACTGCCAAGGTGCATTCAGCGTGACCCTGCGCTGCAGATCACGATACAAGACAAGCTTGTGGAGGCGGTAGACGGCATGTATGCGATCTATTTATACTTAGAAAATGGCGTTTAACTTATCAGTTTCTAGGTTTCTTCTTGCCCGCCTGCACACGGACTCGCTCCTAGACAAGCGAACAGTGAAAGAAGTCAAGTTGACGTTAGACCGACTCTCAAAAGGCTCGGCTGCACTCAACGATGCATACGACGACGCCATCCAACGCATAGACGGCCAATTAGACGGAGATAGAGAGCGGGCTAAGAAAGTACTATTGTGGATCACGTACGCAAGGAGGCCGCTCACCACAACAGAGTTGTGCTGTGCCCTAGCGGTGGAGCTAGACGAAGCGGAGCTCGATCCAGAAAATATGCCAGACATCGAGGACTTGCTATCTGTGTGCGCCGGCCTTATTGTTGTTGACCAGGAAAGCGCTCTCGTTCGTCTTGTGCATTATACTACGCAAGAGTATTTTGAGCGCGTTAGAGACAGGTGGAATCCCAATGCTCCGCTGCAGATAGCCTCAACATGCCTCACCTATCTATCGTTCGATCTTTTCAAGACAGGCAGCTGCTCCTCGGACAAAGACTTTGAAAAGCGGCTTCAGGAAAGCAAGTTCTTAGACTATGCAGCTAAACATTGGGGAGAGCATGTTGCGAAGGTGGAAAGCGATACATGCAAGCTAGCCTGTTCATTCCTTTTTAATAACTGCTTAGTTTCGAGCGCTACGCAGGTGCTCTTGGTTCCAACGTATACGTACAGCGGTCATAGCCAGGAATATCCCAAGGCCAGCACAGGAGCCCATCTTGCAGCGCGGTTCGGATTATCATGTATCCTGGAGGCTCTGCTCTTACCTGAAGGACAAGAGAGAGAAGCTGATTTAACAAAGAAGGATAGCAGAGGTCACACTTTACTCTATCTCGCGGCAGCGAACGGACATTGTCTGACAGCGGGATGGCTGATCAATAACGGCGCCAACGTCAACGCGCAGGGTGGAGGGTACGGCAACGCGCTCCAGGCGGCTTCATACGGAGGCCACGAGGCGATTGTGAAGCTGCTGCTCGACAAGGGCGCCGAGGTCAACGC